AAAATTAAAAACTATTTTTAATATTTAAATCTTTCTAAAATAAATCCTAAAATATAATTTAAATTATTATTATTAATAATACTATTCTTATCTTTCTATTTACTTATCTATAATATTAAAATATTAATATTAAAGTATTTTAGTAAATATTAATTTATAATATAATTTATAATAAAATTTACTATATTTCTACTATATTATCTCTATTATAGTAGATTTAATAAAGAAACTTATAATAAAAAACAAATTTCAGAAATTATATATAGTATATATAATATATATCTATTCTTAACTTCTATTTTATTTATTATCTTACTCTAATAGAATTATATTTTTTATTTTTAATATAAACTATTTTTATATAAAAAATCTTATTAATTTATTATCTTTAATTTTATATTATATTTAGAAAATAATATATTATAAATCTTTTATAAATAATTTATAAAGATTATATTTTAAGAATATTAATAATTAATATATTATTATAATTATATAGAAACTAATTATTAATAAAGATTAAATCTCTATAAATTTATTTATTTATAAATTTATTTAATTTAGAAAAGAATCTATACTACTATAATATCTACTCTATTATTATTTTATTTAGAATATTTTATTTTTATAAATCTAGATTTTAGGATATTTAATAATATTTTATAAAAAATCTAGAATTTATCTATAAATTAAAAGTATTAATAAGTTTCTTAATCTCTAATACTCTATTTTATATTTATTCTAAACTAATAGATACTAGACTAGAGTATAATAATTTTTATAATAAAGATTTTATTTTTAATAAAATTAATAAAAACTTTACTTCTAATAAAATTGATAAAAACCTTATTTTTAATAAAGTTAATAAGAACCTTACTTTTAATAAAATTAATAAAAATTTTATTTTTAATAAAATTAATAAAAATCTTATTTTTAATAAAATTAATAAGAATTTTATTTTTAATAATATATATTATAATTTATCTCTTCTAGAATATGATTTTATAGATAATATATATTTAAATAATAAAAAATATTTTAGATTTATTAAATATAAATTTTTTTTTTCTAATATCTTATTTAGCAGATCTATTATTAATATTTAAATTTAATCTTAGATTTTAAGTTTTTAATACTAAAATATCCTAAGATAATTATATAAATTTAATTTAATTATTTAATTTATTTAATAATCTAATAATATAAAACCTATCTGTTAAGCTTAATATATTTAAAAATAAAATTAAAAAGTTTCTGCTATTATTTCTTATATAAAATTATAATATTAAAGTTAATTTAAAAACTTAGTCTTTATTTATAAACTTATTTATTAATACTAAATCTAAAGTTTTAATTTAATATTAATTTATATATAAACTATTATAACTATTTTATTCTATTTTATTATTTTAATTAAGCTAAAATAAAATATACTTTAGAATAATAAAATATTCTAATAATTTAATAGAATTATAATATTTTTATACCTAGAATTCTTTACTAGTAACTATATTAGAAAAATTTTTATATTATTTTAATAATAATCTACTTCTACTAGATAATTTTATTAAAATAAATTAAAAGCTGTAATCCTAGAATATATTTATTTAATATAATTATATATTAATAGTTAATTTTAATATATATATAAAATTATTAATAAAGAATTATATTATTATAATTATATAAATAATAATATAATAATATTAATTATATTTAATTTAATATATTATTATTTAGAAATTAAAAAATCTAGATCTAGGTTATTACTAGATATTAATAAAAAATATTATATTAAAATTTTCTTTAATCTTAATTTTCTAGTAGAGTAGATTATGTTTATTTTATAAAATATCTAGAAATACTTATAATCTCTATATTATTTTTTATATATTTAATTCTTATATAATAAAGATTTATTCTTATTTTTAGATATATTTTTTTTAAATTAAATTAAAGATTCAGTACTTTAGGCAGGATTATTTTAAATAATTAATTAACTAAAAATATATCTAATTTATATTATTTTTATTTTTTATTAATAATTTTAGAGTTTATTAAAATATATATAAAATATTAAAAAAGTTTTATTTTATTTTAATTAAATTAATCTATTAAAAATAATATTAGTTAGATAACTTTTTTATATTAATTCTTAGATTTTATAATATATTAATAAAAAAAATTATAAAAATATTTAAAAAAAATATTCTTAATATATCCTAAGGCTTTTATAACTAAATTAATAGAAAAAAAATAATTATAATTATATTAATTATAGTTTTTATTAATAATATACTATAATAAATAAAGAATAATAGAATTTAAAATTATAATACTTAAATTAATTATTAAATATATTATTATCTAAAAATAAAAAAATATAATCTAAAATTTAATATTTTATTAAATAAATATTATTATTTCTAGATATAATTATTTTATTAATATATATAGTCTCTTTTAATACCTGCTAAATAGAAATATTTTCTAGATTTTAAAAAATTATAAACTAATTTATTACTACTAAAATCTATTATATTAATATTTAATCTTATTTTAAATTAGTTATTTAATATTCTATATTCTAATTAAAAAAAATTAGATTATAACTATAGAGCTGGATATAAAAAATTATTAAACCCTGTAATTAAAAAATCTTATTTTTAAAATATCTATAAATTTAAATTTTATTATAATTAAATTAAAGTATTATTCTACTTTTAATTATTTTATAATATAAGGCTAATTAAACTTAATTTTATATTAAATATTTTAATTATATTAAAATTCTACTTTTAAAACTATTTCTAACTCTTAAATTAGATTTTCCTATAAAACTTATTATCTAAATATATATTATAATTATATTAACTATTATACTTAACTTAACTTAATCCAGAATAATTCTAGTTATTATTAAAAAAGAAATTTAATTTAATTATTAAATTTTCTAGTATCTAATTACTATTACTTTAATAATAAATATAAAAAAATTAAAATAGTTTTATTTATAAAATAAAAAAAATATTTTAATTATTATAAATAATATTTTTTTTAATTAATAGTTTTTTTAGGTTAATTACTATCTTTAAAAAATAATAAATAATTATAGAATCTTATTATTTCTAATTTATATATTAATATTTATTTTTTAACTTTTATAACTAAATATAAACTAATAATAAATTATAATATTTTTTATAAAAAATAAAAATATAAGTAAAAAATTATTTCTAGATTATATTTAATAATAGCTGTATGAACTTTAATCTCTAATAACTTTAGATATTATAAATCCTAGACTAATTAAGTATTATTAGTTAAACTTATAATTTATTTAATTTATATAAATTATATATATTAATTACTAAAACTAGACTTTAATAATATCTAATTTTATAATTCTTTTATTTAGATTTTAGTATTCTTAAAACTCTATTAAATATATTCTTAATTTACTAAATATTATATCTTAATAAATAAATATAATTAAGATAATACTAAGATATTAATATTTAATAATTTTCAGAATTAATAAATTAGTATATTAATCTAAGAGATTCTAGATATATTTCTAATAATATATATAAAAAAATATTCTTAAATAATACTAATATTCTATAATACTATTCTTCTTTTTTATTAAAATTAGATTAAATTTTTTTTTAAATTAATATTAAAGTTATATCTATCTTATTATTATTAATAAATTAATAGTTCTTATATTTTTAGATCTTAGATTTTTATTTAATATAATTCTATAATTATATTTCTATTCTATAATATAATATATTATTTAAATATTTAATATTCTTTATTTCTTTTAATAAAGCCTTTATAATATATCTTTTATAATAAAAATTTAGACTTATTATATTATATATATTAGATTAGTAATCTAGAATAAACTTTAATTAATTCTTATAGTAATATTTAAAAAATATTTATATTAAATTTTTTATAGTAATTTAATTATTATCTATTAAACTCTATTATTTTTATATATTATAACTAGAAGATTAATTATATATAATAATTTATATTAATTATCTTTTATCTAAAATTATATATTATTTATAAATTATAGTTTTACTATAATTATTCTTAAAGAATAAATTAGAATAATCTAGTTTTATTTTAATAATCAATACTAGTAAATAAATTTATTTCTAGTTATTAAACTAAAAAAAACTTTAGTAATATATTAGATTATTATAAATATAGATAATAGTTATTAAATAAAGATTTATAGATTACTAAGAAAAAATAAAAAAATCCAGTTAAAATTATCTTATAATTATAAATAACTATTTAATAACTTTTTATTATTAGCTTATAACTTTTATATAATCAGTTAAAATAGAAAATAAATACTATTATAACTACTATTAATAGATTATTCTTTTTAATAATTATTATCTGCTATTTAGAAATAGTGAATACCAACCCCCTCGGCCTGCTATGTTTACTTCGGACAGTGACGGAAGTTGTCATTATGGAACATATCTCATATATATCTTTAAAAACTATGAGATATTTTAGAACAGCAAAGCACGAGATGGATCCGTCCTGGGAGCAAGAAAGGAGGCTACGCATCGCCACCAGAAGACCTTCCGCTAAGCACCTATTATCCAAAAAGCGAATAATAATAAATACCGGGACAACACGGGATTTTTCTCGATTATAGCCACTGGCTGGGAAAGGTAGGGTTCGAGTTGGATGGGATGTAGCCTTCGAAAAAACTGGGATTGCTATCGCGCTTGCTCTTTTCAACCCCCAGGTGCAGATAATGCCTTGATCTCCAATTTTGGTTACTTACCATCGGCCTATATGCCATAACGGTTAGCAATGCTAATATATCTTCTCGGTTCATCTTATATCACATGTAAAAACCCGCCCTCTCCCCCCAATGCAACAATAGTGAGAAGGTAGGCAGTATTCAGACAGTTGTACTGTCGAGCTCCAGCCTCTACCTACGTGCGCTTGCCGAAACACAAGACAAGACCCAAGCACCCAGCCGCCAAAAGATAAACACCACCAGTAAACATCTGCACTGGGAAGAACGGACTACAAACACTACCTGGAGTCCTCAGCTGCAGTGCGATAGCCTCGGCCACAGTCCCAGGAGCGACCAGCGCCAGCCAGAGAACGGATAAGGCGCCCGGGACCGCGGGAAGCTCCACCAACTCAGCCGCGATCGCCGCCGCCGACGCCCATAACGTCCCAGCCCCCAAGCCTCCCATGATCGAGAAGGCGAACAGCGATGCGGAGCCTGACGCGAAGGGCCAGAATACCAGGCACAGTAGACCGCACAGGCCGGACGCCAGAGCGGCGATCCGAATTCGGCCGAACCGATCGCTGAGTACCCCGATTAAGGGTCGACCGAGCGCTTGTCCCAGGTTCAGAAGCGCGCTAGCCAGACTGCCCGTGTTGGCACTGAGCCCAACTGCTTGCGTTGCATAGCTGGCAAGGCTGAAGAGTAGAGCGATGTAGCCCAAGACACTGAAGAAGCCCCAGCCTAGGAAGAGGATGAAGCGCGGCTGAAAGACAAGCGAGGTAGCACGGAATGGCGGTTTATCACCACTCGCTTTCGGATGGATACGTCGTTCCCGAATAAGCATGCCGCAACCAAGATTGACTGTAAATGCAATGATGGCCAGAATCCGAAAGGACCAGCGTAGTCCGAGCTGCTCAATCATGCTGTTCGTGGCTAGCGAGTAGATGAGCCCCCCTGTTCCCGAGCCCGCAGCCACAATCCCATTCGCAATCCCACGTCGCTTCTTGAACCATTGATTTGGGATTCCCACGGTGCTTATGAATAGCGTGCCCATTCCGAGCCCGAAGCATATACCTTGACTGAGGAACAGCTGCCAACTCTGGGTGGCAAATGACGCGCCGATCATCGAAGCAGTTTCAAAGATAATGCCAGCTAGGAGGATATAACGCGTCGAGAGACGTGAGGAGATCGAGGTGATAACCGGCGCAATCAGCAGAGCGATGGAAATGCTGAGGCCACTGACAAATGCGTAGGCCAGAGCGGAGGTGCCAGGGAAAACATTGTGGGAGAGATAGAAGGACAGGATGACTCCGAAGGCCTGCTTGGATTATTGGGGATTAGTTGATACTGTCATCTTTGGTGGCTCCGATGCGTGAGACTCCTTACACTATTGATGCCCCAAGTGTGAGCATTAATGAGAAAGATACAGGCCACACATACCCAGCCATATCCACCTTCGGGGACTGTGTCTGCAGGCGCAAGTTCCCGTGGCGGCTTCCGTTCGTGCATTGGGGCCTGAGGCAAGGTGGTCATGGGTATTGTTGCGGGAGATGTACGGTATTAGCATTTATTCAGAATCACTTCTATATTGACCCTAAGCAGTCCGGATTTGATATAGAATATATATGTTGGCCTCTTTCACCAACGCCCTCGACTCCTACAACAGCAGTCGGAATTAGGGCGCCGCTCCGACAGGATCCACCCCGATGCTGACGTAAACCAACCAACCATAATTAATGATTGTCTTGCCTAGTTAACTACATAAATTTAGGATATAAAGACCGCGGATGTCTGCGGCCCGACAAACTCTCATCAACACGCCTACTATCTCCGATCCCCCGAATTTCCAATTCCATATGGCGGCCAGTCAGTCTCCCTACGCTTGCGACACCTGCCGTGCTTCCAAAGTGCGATGCGATAAGACACGGCCCCGATGTATTCGCTGTTTACGTATGGGTAATTGCTGCAACTATGCGGAGACAAGAGCCAGCCACCGCGCCCATGCCTCACACCAGAATAAGCCAGCGGTACCGGGGCAATCGCCCTTCCCGCGGCGGAACAAACCCGATAACAGCATCAGCCAGTTTCAGCCAGCCAGAGGACCCATGGTGTGTTATCTTTCCAGATAATCGGTTAGCCCAGGCTAAATTGCTTCAGAGACGGAATCGTGTCCCCAAGGCGTGTTTGCGCTGTCGGCAGTCAAAAGTCAAATGTGATCGGCAAGAGCCTTGTGGTCGGTGCCTCAAGGCTGACCGAGAATTAGAATGCTCCTATCCGACCGGTTCCATGCTTACAGACAAGAATCCTGATGCGACAAGACAGGTCATTCCTCTATACAAGCAAACTTTCCATAGTGGACACCACTGGTCAATCCTGGTTGAGAATGTATGTATCCTCTATTCAGCGCATGCAGGTGGATCTGCAGTCAAAGGTCACATCTAACCACTTCAAGATCGAGAGTCTGCTTAAACATCATCGCTGGCCTGGTAACCACCACGAGCAGCATATGGAACAAGAGAACTTGTATTCTTCTATGGGAAACTTCTTCGGCAGTATGAGTCCGCTACACAATGCCACTCGGAGAGCCCTGCTGTCCCATATTCCGCCGCGGGACGTCGCTGATAGTTTCGTCGAGCATTACCTCAAAATAATCGAACCTTCGCATCAGATTCTCCACGTGCCAACTTTCCTCTCCGAAGCCGAGAGGTTTTGGGATAAGCCCAGTGCTCTTAGCGACGGATGGCTAGCCCAGTTCCTTGCGATCCTTGCCCTCGGATGTCATTTAGTCAATGTGTCTAGTGGACGAAGCGACATGAATGACTCTGGGATTCTCCCATCACAATTGCTGGATGCAGCGCAAGCTTGCTTGCAACGAACGGGTTTTATGATACACCCCGACTTGGCCAGTATACGAGCTCTCTGCCTCTTTGTTATCTTTAGGCAGACAAAGGGGGTGGTTTGCATTGAGTCGGCCGCATTATGGCCCGCAACAGGGCTGATCGTTCGTCTGGCAGTCATGATGGGGTTGCATTCGACTGCTCCGCTTCATAATTCCCACGGCCGGCGTTCACCAATAGACGCTGACATACGAAACACTCTCTGGGCGTCGGTGATTCTTCTTGATCTGCGCCAGAGCCTTGCAGCCGGCATGCCAGTAATGTCGCCTTCGAGGGACCTACTATCAGAACCATTATTCAGCATTGATCATGCGCTTTTAGGGGTGGCTGATCGCCCAGAAGGCTTGCTTTTTCCACAGCTTATCTACGATACACTTCCCCATATCTTCAAAATTCTGGAGCTGGCCACCTCTGCGCAGGTCACCTTGGCCTACAGCCTAGTGGCAACCTATGACCGGCAGATCAGGGCCCTGCTCAAAGACTACCAGAAGCCCTTCCTATCGGTCCACAAGTCCGATATCGACACATTCGACACCAAACGCTTCCAGTGGACCATGATCGATGTATTCTTTCGACGAGTGCTTCTAGCCCTCCACAGTCGGCTCTACCAGGAGCCGCAAGCCTCGACTCGATATCCTGTGTCTTACTGGTCCTCTCTTGAATGCAGCCTAGCTCTCCTTTCCCAGCAGCGCGAACTGTGGGACACCGTATCTGCTTCTTCTTCCTCTGGCTCTACTACCGCCGTCACGGCAGCTTTTTTCTATGCTCGACTCTTCCAGCAAGAATTCTTCCTCGCGGCCGTGACGGTGTGCTTCCACCTGGTGCAGACGCAGGCCCCCTTTGTATCCTCGGCCGACAATAGCCCCAAGTGCCAGCGGCAAGCACGCCACACGATCCTGGATCTTCTACACTCGTGCAAGGAGATATGGGGCAATGAAAAGGAAACCTCGATCTGCCATAGCAGGTCTTTTGAGATGATTGGTACCTTGCTCGCGATCGTAGAGGACGATGCGCAGCCAGAGGAGGGACGTATTCCACCCCCTTGCCCGGGGATTGAGCCATCTTTACCCACCTGTCAAGGCGACGGAGAACATGAATACTGTGGCGAAATATTCCAGCTGCAAACTTGGAATAACCTACCCAGCATGTTCACGGACGAATAAGGAACCTCCTTACCAGACTATTACTTGGCATAGGACTTACGTTTGCCCGTTACCTCCCATGTAAAGCCTATGACAGCCCAAGAACATACCTCCAACGTCATCTCGCCAAACCCTTAAAAAAGCTTTTTAGGGGTATCAAGCGCTATACTTGCTGCGATTCAGTTACCGAAATCCGCGGCAGGATGCCGTGGCTCGACTGAGTGCTCGGAGTCCGGATCAGACGCGGAGGATTGTCCAGGCGTCTGTGGACGAGGCTATCGGTGGAGGGCGATGGAAGTGTTCGTATCTGGGCTTTGAGGATGGGATGGCCGGGGCGCCGCCTCCGCATTTCGAGCCGGATTTGGAGGGGATCGAGGCTATCGCGGTCAATTATGGGACGGATGCGTTTTTATTGGCGGTTCATGAGCGCAGGGATGCTCGGAAGGTGAAGAGGTATTACATAAACCAGGGCGCTTTAGTGTTACCCATGGTGATTGCGAGGCGACTGCGGTTGGCGAGTTGGAGGGGGCGGTGCTGGGGTGTATGCGGCTGATTGCTGCTTCTTTGTTTGTGATGGCTTGTTGCGCGGATGAAGTGGGGGCTTTTCTGGTGAGTGTTGGTGAAGTTAAGATTGGTTCAATAGTGCAGTATTCCCGAGGGTGCATGTGCGGTCATGTAGGATGGTTATGTTATTTGTGAAGCCTCCTCGTAGGGAATCAATCAGCTTTGCAGAGATCTTGCGGGAGGCGCGATCCAGACTAGATGGGCGGAAGGGAAACGCCCATCAGCCTGGATATTGTTGACATCTAGGGGCGTGACCGCTGGGTCACGTGACCCGATGGAATGTAAACACCGTGAAATCATGTAGATAGTTCCTTACTTAACCAAATTAATAATTATTAAAGGCTTTATACCTTTTTCCCGTATAACTACTTACTTTAATAGGTTATAAGCCCAGCTCGGGTTTAAAGTCTTCCTTTAGTTTTTTCTCTCTTTTTTTTTTTTTTTTCGGTGTAGAAAATATATTATATACTGTTCAACGCACCTGCTAATCAGAACTCTTATTTATTATTAAAAATAGTTTTTTTCTAAGTATTAAGTATATTAACCGTCTTAATCAGCTAATAATACGTGAGGTTAAAAAAATAGAGTAAGTATAGAGGTATTATAGGGTAATAGACTATTAATATTACTAAGTTACTAGTTTTATTAGGTATAGATAACTACTAGGTATAGAATAAGATATTATAAATATATCTTTATTTCTAAGATCTCTAGAAAATTATCTCTGGAATTATTAAGAAACTAGCTAAACTAACTTTTTCTACTTTAGTATATTAAATATATAATAACTTATATTAAAAGTCCTCAAGTAATATTAATATAGCTGTATTTAATAAAATATATAAATAATTTAAAAAGCAGTTTAGTATATAGAAGAAAAATAATAAAAAAGCTTATAAAGTAATCTACACAGCTTTAATACTGGGAATTTATTATAAAGTAATTAATCTTACTAGTACTAAGAAAGTATAGAATAAATTAAAGAAATATTATAATATTATCTTCTTTATATAGTTCTTTAAAGAACTCTAAATTATTATATTTTTTTACTACGATGATTGCAAGAATATAAATAAATATATTATAAAAATATTATAAATTTTAGATAAATTTTTACGTAGTCTAAAAATAAATAAAAAACTTTTTAAATTAGTATATATACAGTTCTTATTCTATAATCTAGAAGAATACTAGAATATATTTCTTATCTTCTATATTAATTCTTATTTTAATAAGGAAAAAACTATATAGAATAATATTATCTAAATTCTTGTATAAAAAAAGATATATTTCTAGTTTAATTCTGTAAATATAAATCTTACTAAAATATTAAAAAGAAAAAAACAGAATAATACTAATAATAAGAATAAGAAGAGTAAAAACATCTTATTTAAGAAAAATAACTCTAAAAAGAAAATTCCCTGGGAAATCTGTAAAAACTAAATCTATAATTATTATAATAAAATAAACTATAAATTACTTAACTACTAGGAGTTATATCCTGAACTAAAGATATTAAAAATAATACTAAAAAATACTAAAATAAATATTACAGAAAATAAACTAGGAACTATAATCCTAATATTTATAGTAGTAGAAAATAATATAATTAATAATCTTACTAGCCTTATATCTTAGTAGAAAATTAGTTTTATTAAATATAATACTATAATTATATATCTTAAATATAAAAAGGAATAGATTATTAATTCCAGTTTTATTAAATATTTTATTAAAAGTATAAATAACTTTATATCTGGTATTATTAAGCTGTACAAGTAAAAAATCAGAACTGTTATAGATAAAATAACTTACTTAGAAAATATAAAAGATATAAAACTAAAACTAACTTATAAAACTAGAAGATTCTATACTATTATACTTATAAATATACTATATATATCTAATATCAAGATTAACTTACTTGATATAATATACTTTACTAAATATAGTTTAGTAATATTATTTCTTTCTACTAAAATAATTATTTATAAGATCTTTAATAAAGAGATTATTAACTGAAGTAATATTATTAGAAATTAGTATATTCTATATCTTAACTATAATCTGTATATAAAAAAGATTACTAGTAATAAAATTATAAATTTATTTATTTTTATAAATAAAGCTAAAGCCGTGGAAAATATTATTAAATCTAATATTATAATTCTACTAGTAGAAATAATTATTTAAGTAATTATTTACTACTCCTATATATATAGAGATCTCTGTGAGAAATATATTATAAATATAGATAAAAGTTATATTAATCTAATTACTTAATACTACTATCTAGTCTATCTCTTTATTATAAATTATATATATCTTTTAAAAATAGTAGATAAAATAGATATTAAAGGCTTTACTATACTGAAATATTTATATTAAATATATTATCTTATTAATATTATAATATACCAGGAATATATCTAAATAACTTTTCTAGAATAATATAGATAATATATATTCTTTAATATTAGGAAAAAATATATTAATATATCTATAAGTAGAGAGTCTAGTATATATTACTAGATATTCTTTATTAATATATATAATAGCTGGGTTAATATTTATTTTTTAAAACAGAGAAAAGATACTGTATTAAAATTAAAGTTATTTATTAAAAAAATAAATTATATATCTTATAAAATTAAAACTTTATACTCTAATAACGCGCCTGAATTCTAAGGAAAGAAAATTCTTACTTAGATATATTATAAAAATATTAAATAAGAGTTTACAGCTCTATATATATATAATTAGAATATATTAATAGAATATATTAACTTTACTATTTTAATTTATATTTATATAGTTTTTTATAATTAAGGCCTTAATTAGGATCTCTGGGGTAAAATTATAAAGAAAATAGTATTTCTTAAAAACTTATTACTAATTTATAATAAAATAATTATTATATAGGAATTATATAATAGAAAATATCTAAATTTATTAAATTTTTATATCCTTAGCTGTTACGGCGTTATAATAATTCCTAAGAAAATTAGAAATAGAAATAAGATTCTGAAAATACAGCTATATAATTTACTAGTATATTTTTTTAGCTATATAAGCTTTATAAAGTAATATAAAATTCTAGATATTAAAAATAACAAGATTTTTATTATTAGAGATATATATTTTAATAAAAAAACTAATCTAGAACTATATAGATTACCGGATAATAATTATAATTAATATTATATTTCTACCCTAGTTATTTTATTAACTTATAATCTAAATAAGTATACCTTAGATAACAACTCCGGTGACGAGAAAACTATTTAAATACTAGAATATTAGTATAATCTAATAACTCCAGAATATTATCTAATTAATAAAAATAGTTTATCTATATCTTTTATTTATATTAATAATTACAGAGTAGAATATAGTAATCTAATTACTTCTTTTATAGAGGATTTCTCAGAGTAGAAGAAGTTTTATACTTTATATTTCTTAAAGCAGGTCCTCGCAGCTGGTAATACTAAAAAAAACAGTAATTATAATTATATTATTAAGCTAGCTATATATAAGTAAATTATAGAGTTACCGGAAGCCTTACAGTAGTATATAATAATAATAAAAAAATTTTTTATATTAATAGTAAAAAATACCTAGAAACTTATTAATCTGCCTTACAAATATAAAATAATTTCTAGATATTAGATATATAAAGTTAAATTTAATATAAATAATAAGATCTACTGCTTTAAAACTTACTATATAATATATAGTTTTCTATAGGTTTATAGTATTAATTATAATCTTATATTTATCCCGATAACTAAAATAATAATAATAAGAATATTCTTTATTCTTATAGTAACTCTTAATTATATCTATAAATAAAAAGATATTAAGTAAGTTTTTTTTTACAGAAAATTTTATAATAATAAAGAGATTTATATAATCTAACTAACTAGCTTTAATAATAGTATAATTAAAATATATAAACTATTTCTGCCTATTTATAGTTTAAAATAATCTACTAGAAACTAGTTTTATAAGTTTTTTAAAGCAGTTATAAGTATTAGAATAATTTCTTTTTAAATAGATAAATATCTTTTTATCAGAAAATACAGAAAACTGATAATTCTATATATAGATAATATCTAAATAGCTACTTTTATTAAATATCTTATTAATATAATTTACAGTTACTAATTTTAGTAAGATAGTATAATATTTTAATATAAAGATTAAATATAGTAATAGTATAATCTATCTCTTTTAAAATATATTTCTTTATTAAATTATTACAGCAGCGGATCTTAACAGTAAGAAAATCTGTAAGATATTAATTAATAAAAATATTAAGCTTATAAAGAGTTAAGAACAAGCAGCTTAAAATAATATCAAGAATTACTAAACTAATATTAGAAGTTATATATATTTAATAACTTAAATATATCCTGATATAGTCTTTATTATCAGAAAGTTTTCTTACTATATAAGTAATCCAGCTAAGTAATATATAAATAGCCTTCTCTTTTTATATTATTATTTATATAGAATTAACAGATACAGAATTACTTATATAGTTTATAAATCCTCTGAACTGCTTAACTAACTCGGTGTAGTAATTAATTATATTAATACTGATTATACCAGATATCTTAATATATATTATTTAATAACCGGATATATTTTTATATAGATTAATAGGTTAATTTTATAGGCTTTATATCTATAGTCCTGTATTATAGTATCTATTTATAAAGTAGAATATATAGCTTTATATACAGTAGTAAAGAAGATATACTAAATTATATATATACTAGAAGATATAGGCTTCGGTGGTATATATCTGATAATAATTTATATTAATAATAAAGGTGCTATTACACTTACTTAGAATAATTAGTTCTACCAGAGAATCAAGTATATTAATATAGTATTCTACTGGATTCGTGAGGCTGTTTAATACAGTAATATATATCTTATTTATATTAACTTCTCGGAGAATCTTACAGACTTATTTACTAAGCTGCTCGGAAACATCAAATTTATTAATCTTATTAAGAAACTAGAAATTATATCTTAATTCAGGAGATATAACAGAACTTATCTTTAGTTTAATAGGCTGCTATACTAGCAGCCTGTATTAGTTTACAGATTATTATTTCTTATTACCTGCTCGTTCTCAACACTATGAAAAATCTATATATTGCCTATTTAGGAAATTAAGAAGAAATTAATTAGAATTACTGTGAGCCCATTAAGGGAGTATATTAATATCTAGGGGCGTGACCGCTGGGTCACGTGACCTGATGGAATATAAACACCGTGAAATCACGTAGATAGTTCCTTACTCAACCAAATCAATGATTATCAAAGGCTTCATACCTTTTTCCCGTGTAACCGCTTACTTCAACAGATATACTATCGAGGTGGGAGGAGGATTATGAAGCGGATTTCCGATATATAGTGGGGACCAGCCTGTATTTTGTCTTTGAGACAAAGAAACATGTTTCTGCATTACGGTCTTGTCCAGTAACAATCTGGCCGTGGGGAATAGATACCAGAGAAGAGAGAAATCATACTCGAGCCAGGGCTCAGCCCGGTTCACAACGGGAGACCGGATCAGATAAGCTTATCACGATCTTGTGTGGCTGAGATCACATGATTGCAGTTTGAGATGGAACTGGCCAAGTATATCTCAGGTCAACTTGGGAACGACACATTTCTGGAGGCAGACAGAAAGAGATACAAGCTGTCAGGGTTTCAGATTCAATTGAAGCCGGTCGGAAATCTATTCGCCGGAAATAATTCGGGAAAGATAAGCGTCTCACATGCATGCATGTGATGATAACCAGCGAATGTTGTGCCTTAGGTGTTAATAAACTCCAGCCTGAGCTTGCAAAGTTAAAGATAGCTCTCAAAGTCGCTTACTGACAATGAGGCTCAGTAAGACATCAGTATCTGTTCGTATCATGGCCCTGGTCTAAGACTTCTGATCATAAATTTAGGAACCCAATATGTCTCCGTGGGGAAATAGTGGGCCAATACTAAATTTAGCCATGCCTCGGCTAAATCCAAAAACAGGGTCCATGTCTTGGGGAAAAATTAATGAGAATCATATCTGCAAGCCAGAGTCAAAGGTAGGAATAGTAAACAAAGCAAGATAAGCAGCCCAGATAGTTGCTTACCGCTGTTCTATAGAACCTCTAGAAGGATCGGTCGAAGTGCGCTCGGTCACTTTCGTTCGACGCTGTCGCAAGGCTGGATTAAGCGCTCGGGAAATTGCTGTCAACACTAACTTTCGGTCCCGCACGTCAATTCCAAGGCTGTGGCATTGCGTTTTAAAAAGCTAAGACTGGCGGGGACTCAATCGAACGAACGGGTTTATTTGACCCCTACATAGTATTACTTACTGTGGACCATGATTTTCAATTCCGTGCCTTGTGGGGGAAGTGCAGTGTGGTGATTAATGACTTCAAGGCTCCACCATATCGTTGATGAACAGTGATCGGCTGGGACTGATTGTGCCTTCCTGGATTTACGTCACATAGGGCCCTGGTTGTCTTACCTTCTACCAGCACTATTGGCTTTCGTCTCCCGTGTTTCTCCTCTCTCTCCTCTCGTCCCAGCGGGTTATTTCGAGTGGGTTGTTGTCCCCTCGACAGCATTATCTCCGGGCCTTTCTCTCACACACTCTCTTAAAGATGGCACTCTCCCATCCTCTGTTCGTCAATCCCACTCCACCTCTTCCTCCCCTCTGATTGATGATTCCCTTCCTCTTCATGCGCCCTTCCGAACTTTGGGTGCAGCGAGGCCCTCGCAAGGCCCTCTGGCTGGCGCTGGGGATGGTATGTCTAGCCTGCACCTTTCTGGTAGCGTTGTATGAGACATTCCCGGCCTCGTGGGGTACTGCCTTGGTCGGGGATTTCCACTCACCTCACGGTCCGAGCGACCACAACAGCGAAAACAACAGCTACCATGATCCAAACACCTCGCCGACCAACATCACCGTTCCTCCCAGTGACCGGCGTTGTTGGGCCTTCACCGACCCGGGCAATGTGTTACTGGTTATCAAGACCGGAGCCACGGAAATCTACGAGAAGCTCCCCACTCAACTGCTGACGACCCTGGGATGCTCCGAGAACTACCTGATATTCTCCGATCTCGACGAGCGCATCGGCCCATACCATATCCAGGACGCCCTGTCCGACTACGACCCATCTCTGAAGGAGTCCCTGCCCGACTTCCGCCTCTACCGCCAGCAGCAGGAATACCGCCGCACGGGGCAAGACATCGCGAAGCTCAAGAAAGATGGACATGATGCATGGATACTGGACAAGTACAAGTTCTTGCACATGGTGGAGATGACCTGGCGCGAGCGGCCCTATATGGACTGGTATGTCTTCATCGAGACGGATACCTACCTCGTGTGGAGCAATCTGCTGCTCTGGCTCCGGACGCTTTCCCCCGCCGACGCGCTCTACATGGGTTCGGTGGCCTACCTCATCAACGAGCCGTTTGCCCATGGTGGCAGCGGCTATGTTATCTCCGGGAAGTTGATGGAACGCTTTGTTGACGAGAACCCCGGTGTGGCGAGCCGCTACGATAGTGTTTTCCAGCCTGAGTGCTGTGGAGACGTCGTCTTGGCGCGCACCATCAAGAAGGAAACCGGCGTCGACGTGCTCAACCTCTGGCCACAGATCAACGGGGAGAAGCCGGCGACGCTGCCGTTCGGTCCCAGCCACTGGTGCCAGCCCGTGATCACGATGCATCATGTGGAGCCGAGGGAGCGCAGTGCCATTTTTGACTTCGAGCAGGCACGGGAGAATATCTCGGTGAGTTGATTATCAAAAGAATGTCCGAAAAACGACTGATTACTGACTATTGGGTAGGATCCCCTCTTATTCCGTGAACTGTCGGAGATAGCATTCCCGCCGAATGCGATGCCGGATGAAGAGGAAAACTGGGACAACCTTTCCAACGTGCCTCTGGTCTTTCCAAACAACAAAACTCCTACGCTTGAACAGTGTCGAGATACCTGCTTGGGTCGAGATGATTGTTTCCAATACCGTTTCAGCGGCGAGGAGTGCCACGTGCTGACCGAGGCGTTCAAGCGAGGAGCCAAGCGTGAGGCGGAGAATGGTAAGCAATGGACCTCGGGCTGGAATGTCGAGAAGATCCGGGAATGGCGCGAGAGCCAACCTTGCACCACACCAGAATGGGTAAAGGGCCATTAATGTTCCCTCATTGATGCCGTCTGCTGGCAGACCGCATTATCGGGTTGATGTGGTTTGAACAATCAGACGCTCTGTGCGATGCGCCCTTGTCCCTGTTCTGTGATGAGAAAAGTTATGTTCTATGTGTAAATATCTTGCAGACTAGGCGACCAAGACTGATGAATGATGAACAAAACCACAACACAGGAAGAATTCCTTCTTGTAATTGTGTTCGGACGTGGCGGTGGAGAGAAACTGGTTGATGCCTCAGGCTGTTATAGTTGATGCCTGAAGTGTTCGTGACCGAAAGGGGTTAGTGTATCTCCCCGCTGATGCAATGGTCAAGAGTGACGAAAACAGGTTGGCCGGAGCTCAACCTCTTCAACTCTCTCTCTCCATTGCCAATTGCTTCAAGTAACACCAAAATGGCGTCCATCATCTCCCGTACCAGCTTCCGTGCTCTCACGGCTCTTCCCCGGGCCACTCCCCTTCCCCGATTGTCTCTTTCTAGCCAGCTCCCGCGCGTGCAGCCCCGCGTGCAGCCCGTCCCCCGTCGCTTCCTTGCCACCATTCCTCAGGAGCAGCCCCGTCTGCGTCTCGGATCTAAGGGTATGTTGAAGTCGTTGCTTAGGGTTGCCAATTGACTTACTCTGACTGTATCAAGCCCCCAACTTCAAGGCCAAGACCACCCATGGCGACATTGACTTCCACGAGTTCATCGGCAACAGCTGGGCGATCCTGTTCTCGCACCCGGCTGACTTCACACCCGTGTGCACCACCGAGCTGGGTGCCTTCGCCAAGCTGAAGGGCGAGTTCGAGAAGCGAGACGTCAAGATGATCGGCCTGGTAAGTCTTCAAACCCCCCTTACCCCAACAGAGCATCCAAGCAGCTAACCAATACCTTTCACCTTCTCCGACAGAGCGCCGACGACCTCACCCTGCACGAGGAATGGATCAACGACATCAATGAAGTGAACAACACGCAGGTGCAGTTTCCCATTATTGCCGACGCGGACCGCAAGGTGGCGTTCCTGTACGATATGATCGACCAGCGCGACCTGGACAACATGGCGGAGAAGGGGATCCCGTTCACGATCCGGTCGGTCTTCGTCATCGACCCGGCTAAGACCATCCGGCTCATCATGGCGTACCCGGCCTCGACGGGTCGCAACTCGGCGGAGGTGCTGCGTGTGATCGACTCGCTGCAGACGGTCGACAAGCGCGGCATCGCCACCCCGATTGACTGGAACGCGGGCGACGATGTGATCGTGCCCCCGTCTGTGTCGACCGAGGACGCCAAGAAGAAGTTCGGCAATGTGCGTGAGCTGAAGCCGTACCTGCGTTACACTAAGGCTTGAGTGCCGTGACCGGCCGATGTGTGTCGAATAGAAAATGATGGCAGATTGGAGGTTAGTGGTTAGTTATTGTAACATCAGTATTTAATCTGACCTGTCTTCATGGATGATACTGCCTGTTCTGTAATCGATGGTTCTTCAGCCACTGTGCTGACTAACTGAGACAAGTGTCCAGCTTCCGTGGCTGAGCGGAACATCAGCCACCGCTTAACCGGAAGGAAGAAGGTGGATATTAGTTATCATTGCGCTAACCCGAATCAGTAGCACCAACACAACAATCGCAGCTAGACGAATCACAGCGCTCGCTTTCCGCCGGGTTAATTTGGCCGATGTGTTGTTTTGATTGTTGTGGTTTTTGTGGCCAGACACTCTGACTTCCCACCACTTTCATTCCCTTGTGCGGCTCCTGGCGATCCGTCCAGTCCAGTCCGGTCCAGTCTTACTTCTTCCAGCTTGTTTTGAGTCTTGGCCTGTGCTTAATTGTCATTACAAGGTTGCTGGATTGGAGCATCCCTTGTTGTGCTTCCGACTTGCCAGGCGCCATTATCCGGCAGTCATCCACAACCGTGAATTGCGAGCCGTGGTACCTTTCAGCCATCAGCACTCTTTATACGCCCAGACCAGCGGGGCACACTCAGCTATCCCATATCTTGACTTTCCTATACTCTCTCCTCGTACCATCCCCGGAACTTCCGGACCTATCAGCTCCAATCCCCTCCCCTCCCCCAATAATCCCTCGGACATTCCCAGCTGTCAGCCCACATTCCGTGCACTTCCGCCACAACCCACGGGGGCACTGACACACCACTGGGCACATTCATCAATCCCTTAAATTAAATTAAGCCTTCGCTTAACCCAAGCGTCCGTGCTCGCGGATGCCTCTCCACTCGGGCAGTCGGGATCGCCTATCCCGCGGCTCCAGCAACACCAGCAGCCGCGACGACGGGGATTCCGACTCCACCCCCAACTACTACACCTACAGCCTCTCGCCGCCACGACCAGGCTACCGCGGCGAGGACAGCTACATCTCCAGCTTGAGTCCCAGTCTCACCTCTGCCGGAAACCCAGAGCCATCCCGCTACCTGCCACGACATTATGATTACGAATCCGACAGCCACCATGCTTACGACCATTTGGACAATGTTGTTCAACACCACTATGACTCTGACCCTGAACTACCCCATGACCAGCTCCATGATCCAACCCGCGATAGCCTAGACCCGCACCCCTGGATCCCCCTGCGCCCGCATGTCCCCGCAGCGGACCAATTCATGGCCGAAGCAGGGACAAGGGGCGTGGCACCTAACATGACCTTCACGGACTCCGAGCGGGCAGCAGCGGTAGGTCATGACGGGTCGCACGACGAGCATGAAGGCGTTACGGCTGCGGACCTGGCAGCCGAGCCTCGATCGCGAGCGCACTCGCAGACAAGGGAGGCGGGTCCTCCTTCCTCTTTTGCGTTCTGGAAACGCAGGCCCGATCCTCAAGGCGTTGAACGACCCGATCGAGAGACGCGTCGACAGCGACGGAGGGAGAGGCTGGCTGCTGCCTTTGGGCGGCACGGCACCAGTAACCGGGACAGTGCGGCGCAGGAGTTACTTAGCGGGGATGCGTTGGCGAAGCTGCTGGGTTCCACGGCTGGTGATGAGGATTGCTTGAGTCATCTTGGCGGTGGGGAGCGGGAGGATGAAGCGGGATATGGTGACGCGGGAGGAGAGCACAGGCAGCGGAAGAGGCCTGTTATTGCTGCGCAGCCGGTCGCTCTGGCGCCGTTTCCTGTGGATATGCCGAGGGACCAGGCGCGGGGGAGGATTGTGTCGGGGGCGCAGTTGGAGCAGGGGGATGCGGCGGTTAGGCATCGCGGTGGTGGTGGGGAGGCTACGGAGGCGATGTTGCGGAAGGAGGAGAATTGGGAGCGCAGTAGTGGGTCGGGCTCGTCTGGTCGCGGCAGTGTTGCTAACTTGCCTTTTTGGAAGAAGTGGAGGGGCACCTTCATTTTCTTTGTCGTGTTGTTGGTTATGGCTGCTATTGCTATACCGGTGGGCATCATTATGGCGCGCAGAGCGGATAGCGGTGGGGGTCCCGCTGATGCGGACAAAGATAAGCCCGCTAATTCCAATTTGGATGGGATTAGTCGGGATAGTATACCGGTATGTCTTCAGTAAAGGGGGTGGGCAGGCGTGCTAATCATTCCCAGGCGTACGCCCAAGGGACCTACCTCGATCCGTTCACCTGGTATGATACTACTGATTTTAACGTTACCTTCACGAATGCGACCGTGGGAGGGCTGTCGATCATGGGTCTGAACTCGACCTGGGATGATACGGCCCGAGCCAACGAGCACGTTCCACCCTTGAATGAGACCTTTCCATATGGTTCGCAGCCTATTCGAGGGGTGAACCTCGGAGGCTGGCTCTCCATCGAGCCATTCATTGTTCCCTCTCTCTTCAACTCCTATACGACTGCCGACGGTATCATCGATGAGTGGACCTTAAGCGAGCGTCTGGGCAGTGATGCCAACTCGACCATCGAGAAACACTACGCAACGTTCACCACAGAGCAAGACTTCATCGACATCCGAGACGCCGGGCTCGACCACGTGCGCCTCCAGTACTCGTACTGGGCAGTCCGCACCTACGACGGCGATCCGTACGTGCCCAAAATCGCGTGGAGGTACCTGCTCCGCGCGATCGAGTATTGTCGCAAGTACGGACTGCGCGTGAACCTCGATCCGCACGGGATCCCGGGGAGCCAGAATGGCTGGAACCACAGCGGTCACCAAGGCAAGATCGGGTGGCTGAACGGCACGGACGGGGCGCTGAACCGGCAACGGTCGCTCGACATGCACAACCAGCTGTCGCAATTCTTCGCACAGGACCGCTACAAGAACGTGGTTACGATCTACGGGCTGGCGAACGAGCCGCTCATGCTGTCCCTCCCCGTGGCGGATGTGCTGAACTGGACTACGCAGGCGACCGAATTGGTGCAGAAGAACGGCATCAAGGCGTGGGTAACTGTGCATGATGGGTTTTTGAATTTGAGCAAATGGAACAAGATGCTCAAGACACGGCCCGACCACATGATGCTGGATACCCACCAGTACACCGTGTTCAATACCGGCGAGATCGTGCTCAACCACACCAGACGCGTCGAATTGATTTGCGAGAGCTGGTACAGCATGATCCAAGCGATCAATGTCACCAGTACCGGGTATGTAACATAGGCCCCATCCCAGCCCATCCCATCCCTAGCGCATGAGAAACCGCGACTAACAAACCCCGATGAAAAGATGGGGCCCTACCATCTGCGGCGAATGGTCACAAGCAGACACCGACTGCGCGCAATACGTTAACAACGTCGGCAATGGCAATCGGTGGGAGGGCACGCTCGCCTCTACCGGCACCACCATGTACTGCCCCACCGCCGACGAGGGAACCTGCTCCTGTACCCTGGCCAATACTTCGCCTGTGGGCTACTCCGACGGCTACAAGACCTTTCTGCAGACGTACGCTGAGGCGCAGATGTCCGCGTTCGAGACGGCCATGGGCTGGTTCTATTGGACCTGGGCGACCGAGTCCGCGGCGCAGTGGAGCTATCGGACGGCTTGGAAGAATGGGTACATGCCGAAGAAGGCTTATAGTCCGAGGTTCAAGTGCGGAGATGCCATTCCCAGCTTTGGTGACTTGCCGGAGTATTATTGAGTGAGACCTGGGGGTGGATTGGTTTGTTATTGGGATGGGTTGTTTTCATGTGGGTGTACATATTATCATGACGATTCGATTATTGAAAATGATTAGAGGTTCAGAGATATGATGACCATCAAAGCGTGCCCTCATAAATCGTAAATTAAGTTTGTATAGTGAAGATGACCATGTCGAGTAACTCAACGTAGTAGACTGTATAGATCACGAGTGCCCCAAAAAACATGATCACGTTTAGACATATAACTTCATTATATAGTCTATTCATCAATGCAGCTCATACACCGTCGATGACGCTTTCGGAACGAAGCTCCCCTCATACATCTCGTGTCTGTCCTGATGGACGTAGCTCCCTTGACCTTCGTAAGAATATCCACGTGCTGGATCATATTGCTGTTGGGGCTGGAACGTGCGTTACTGCCGGCGGGACACGAAGATGACTACGCCAGCAACAATGATCGCCACACCCGCTACCGTCCCGATGACGAGGCCAGCAATCCATGCTTTGGAGGGAGCGTTCGGAACGGCCAGCGCCACCTCGCTCGGTGTTGAGGCCGCGATCGAGGGCGTAGCAAATGTCTCCGATATCGATTTTGCTGTGGGAGAGGAGGTGAGGGCGGCAGTCGTGACGATGCTAGCTGAGCCTGTGTTTCATACAACTCAAACTTCATCTGAAACCTCGTATCCCGAACAGAAGATATATACTGCTTGTGGTACTCGGGATGGGAAGTTCACGGTAAACTGTATTTGCATTCCAAGCCTGCGCGCAGAACAGGTTGCTGGCGCTGGGCCCACCGTAGGGGGACGTTTCGGAGATGGCCATCGTGCAGCAGCGCGCGGAGGTGCTGATTTACCCCACACAGTGCAGGTCAGCGTTGGAGATGCTCTTTGACGGTTAATAATTCTTCTCCGGACGGCCTGGACTTAGCAGACGAGACTCTGGTTGTTGTTGTATTGGATCGTGTTTGCCGTGCATAGGGTTGCGAAGGAACATGCCGTCCCTGAGCAACCTGCGGCGTAATTGCCTGACGTCGTCCATGTGTTTGGGTCGGTTAGTGCTTGAGCTATTGATTAGTGTGCTAGGTGCGCTGCTTGGTTGGATCTGTGCATCGATCGCGTCGCTTACTGCCTGATGGTCCGAGATACCAGCCGATGAAGTGTGGATTACTCTCCACGGACATGTCCACTGTGGTCTGGCAATGACTGCTCCGGATATAGAGTAAGAGGATAGTGATAGGCCATATGGGCCATAAGGCAGTTGACACAAGGTTTGCTCTGCTGAACATTGTGGTTGATATAAATTGCTATCTATGACTGTGTGAAATATAGGACAGAGGATGGTTTGATGCAATGCGTAGGGGCGAGACCCAGGTAAGCACTGTTTGCTAAGAGACGAACGACAGAGAAGACTTCTCAAACAGCGCCCCCTTATAGTGCGGATGAAAAAGAGGGCACCTCATTTCGTGTCTTGGTAACAGCAACTCTGCCGCAGCATAAGGATAATAGCCTTGTACAAAGACATCTTGCGAGTTGTTAGTTGTCTCCGGTAGCCTCGTGGCTCGCAGGGGCTGTTATCTAGCGGATGAACCGCCGCAGCGAAATGCATGGGAATTAGCACGCGCGCCTATGAATACAATGGTATCATTCGCTCGCTTCGTCACTCCCCATTTATTGCCTGCTAAAATGGCTTAATTTAAAGTCAGAACGTGGTGGAGTCAGGCCCTTATCATTGGCCGTTATTTTGAGTGCAGGCTAGTTTTACCAAGATATGTAAGCAAGCTGCTTCGCGAACCCGGCGTTTGCCGGCAGTGAGGACCCCTAAGCTTAAAACTCATATTGGCTAAAGGTGTCCCGTCTTGGCGCTGACGCTAATTGAGGTAGCACATGTGCTAAGCCGTATGCACAGGCTAGGCTAGACCCTGACTGGGGTTGCCATGCTCTTAAATCTCTCATCTCCCTCCTCCATCCGCCCCACGCTATACGCCGAATGCCTCCTCTTTTCTAGTCGCTTACTGTCAGTTGGCTTGTTGCCAGTCAACATGCTTTCATCCCGTTATACGCGCTTTGTTTTCCTCACAATCCCCTCGCTTGTTCTCTTATACTTCTTGTTGCATACCTTGGATGTATTACCAACACCATTGAGCCACGGCAAGCCGGACGCCACGTTAGGGCTATCCGAGCTTCCGGCATCACCGCTGAGCAGCGGCAGCAGCGACAGCAGCGACAGCAGCAACGATAACAAACCCCAACCCGACCCTCATAACCCTACCACCCTCTCCATCACCAATTCCCAGCCCGACACCACGAAAACAGCTATATCCGGGATAACCGACAAAGTATGGCACTCAGCCAAGAACCCCAGCCTCACCACCGAGCAATCCGAGTGGATCAACAGCTGGCTGTTCAAGAACCCGACCTTCCGCCACGAGCTCCTAACCGACGACTCAAGCCTAACCTTCGTGCGAACTCGCTACGGCGCCACCCGCCCGGACATCGTCGAACTCTACGAGAAGCTCCCCATCCCGATCCTCCGCGCCGATCTCCTCCGGTACCTGATTGTCCTTGCCGAAGGCGGAATCTGGAGCGACCTAGACGTCACCTGCGACACGGAAGTGGCCAACTGGGTCCCGGCGGAGCACCAGCACGCCCAGATCGATATGATAGTGGGCCTGGAATTCGATCTCGCCTGGCGCGGCGAGGGGACGGAGATCGCCTCCCAGTTCTGCAACTGGGTGTTTGTCGCGCGGCCCTCGTCTCGAAATCTGCAGGTGGTTGTAGACGCGGTCGTCAGCAAGCTGAAGGAGATCGCTACCGCGAATGGTGTCGGTATCGAGAACCTGACGCTGGATATGTTGCCCATCGATGTGGTCGATGTCACCGGTCCGAAGATCATGACGATTGCTTTGCTGGATGGGTTGCGGCAGCTGTTGGGGCGGGTGGTGGATGATCGCGACTTCCATGATACCAAAACTCCCAAGTTGGTGGGGGATTTGCTGATCATGCCGGGCAATGCGTTTGCGGCGGCGCAGAACGGATACCCGCGCGATCAGAGCCCGGCTTTGGTGACCCATCATTATGCTGGCTCCTGGAAGCAGGCTGATGCTGAGGCCAAGGAACGGAAGAAGCTGCAGCAGGAGCAGGGGTAGAGAAGTCTTAAGATTCCCGTGATGAGGCCATGTCTATAGTAACTGTAATTCTCGCGATGTATATTTTTCTATTTGAAAAGGGTTCCTCCGAGCAGTCTTTATAAGTATACTTAACAGGGGGGGTGGTCGGAAGTGATTAGGACGGCACAACCAGGTGCTACTTCTACAAGGAGCGATGGAGTTTCGAAGAGCGTCGATACCTGGCAGTGAATAGCCTTCTTGAACCCACCATTAGGTGGTTTGCATTGGGGCTGTTGTTCAGGGACCTGAGGCTATACTAAGCTCCGCATTCTAGAATAGTTCCCAACTGACTGGATCTTGTCAGGCTTTCTTGATTCGTGGTTATGCACGGAATATAGCCACCCTGCAATGATTTCCGGAGTGGTGAATACCACAAACTCACGATTTATCCGACCTGTGACTACCGCCACAAGAAGCAGGCAGCAGCGAGATTGCGGGGAGAAAGATGATGGCGGAGTATTCTCGAGGCTGATCTGGACAACCTCACTACATAGACTAATTCTAACCAGGGTAGTGCCTATAGCATCTCTAATTTGGAGACATCTTGACATATGGACTGCCTAACTCATTGCGATTGATTGACAGAATGCACGCTTGCTAGATACATGTACTGCGCCGAATTGCCATTGGTTCCCTTGATAGTAATAAGCAGCGTTCCCTTATTGAAAGTCACTGATATCTTCGGTCATGTCTCTCATGGCGACGACGCGCGTCTTCTTCTTCTTCAATTGTAGGTCTTCGAGCTGAAGAGCTTGCAGGTGTCGAGCCGCGGGCCGAGCCCCTAGCACTCCTCTGCCACCCTTGGCGACGTCTGGAAGAACCACGAGTGGAGTGTGAATGTTGTTGAGGGGCAGATATTCTACTCCCAGAGGTTGTACCTGGTCCTGCTGTCGTATTAAGAGGTCTTGGGGGTGGTACCTGGGCTGGTGGTGCTAGCTGGGCCATGACTCCTTGGATAAATTGCTGGGGCAGGGACTGCAAAAGAGTACCGGCAGTCACCCTTCTTCCTGTCTCAATATAGCGCTGGGAGAAAATACGCCAGAGGTGCTCTGAATAATCGTCCTTCGTGTATGGACGGGGACAATAAGGCTCATTCTCGACGAAGGCCTGGACTGCCCGCCTTATCCCTTCTGTGTTCATAGTGATCGAACCGCAAGCATCGAAGTCGATCATCCAGAGGCTCACCATACGCTTTTTGAAGTTCGGGGTTCTGTTTGTTGCCCACTCGAGCGTACTTGTTCCAGGTCTGAGCCGTGCAATCTCCTGCAGCGGTGGGGAGCGACGGACAGAGTTCAAATCAAATGGTGTGCTCCCCAAGACAAATTCAACATCCATGGCGTCGATTCTTGTATGCCAATGAAGAATGGCGAGAGCGTCTGCCATACTTATGGCATATGCGTCTGCATCAAGCTGTAGCTCTTGGATTTGATCCACGTGGAGCTTGTAATTTCGGAGAGAAAAGAAGCGACTTCCTCCTGGAAGCGACGTCCCATAACGTTTTCGACCCAGGACCAAGCGAATTAGGCAGTCTTTGTTCGAAGTAGAACTTTTGGCTGCGGTGACATGGTTGGGGTTGCAAAATAGGTCGATCAGTGCGTCTCGGATTGGCTGAGGCAGGGGGAAGATTCGTTCCATACACAGAATCTCTCGAGGCCGACGAGGAAAGGTGGGATCATCGGGGAAAAGAGAAAGGTTGTCGGACCAGAAGTCGGACTCTTTGTTCGCGAACCAGGCTGCTCGAGGGATCTCCAGGCCACCAGTCTCATAGCCCACTCGGTCAAAGCTCTCTTGAATCCGAAGGTGCATCAAGTAATTGTTCCACAACTTGTCGGTTCGCTCAATCAGGAGAACCTTGAACGCCCACAGAGTACCGGCTTGTTCAAACACCTTGCCTATTGAGCCTGTTCCAATTTCCCGAAAAGGAGCCTTGCAGCCAACCGCTGCTTGTTGGCGCTCTGCGAAAGATGACGATGTCGAGATCACAGATCTGATTGAAAGAAATCGCTTGAGCCGAGCTTGTGGAGTCTCGAGCTGTTCCTGCTGTAGCCTGTCTTCCAGCTGCAGGTTCTGTTGCATAGCATCTGCCAACGAACTGGTCCATGACGTATCTGTCGTTTGGTTTTCGCGGCGACTGGCCATGGTCGGAAAGCGAGAAAATGGGGGCTCAAGAGACTGACGGTGATAGGAATGATAGATGGAGGATGTGAGTTGTGTGTTTCAACATGGTGAAGACAGAGAGAATAGACCGATTAGCAGAATTATGGGATGAGAGTCAAGCTGTGAATGGCGTTCTGCTCGAAAGTAACACAGGCGACGGTTATTCACTGCAAACCGAATTCTTTATTGTCTTGCCTCGACAAGCTCAATAAATTGCTTGCCCAGATAGAGTCCGTCTTGTTTCTCGGACTTTACAAAAGAACTCGAGATAAGTGCGGCGGTTTGTAGATAGCGGCGTTGGAAAGCCATCCAATGCGGCGTGTTCGGTCGTGGAAAGAAGGGATCATTTTTGAAAAATGCATCGACTGCTTGTATAACACCCTCTAAATCGGCAGTGATCGGGCGGCAAAGGTCAAAGTCCAGCACCCACATGGTGTGTAGTCCCAGTACATTCGTTACATTGTTGGCCTCATCACTTCCAGTTGGTGGTGGGGCCAGCACGAATTCGATATCATTGCCATCCACTTGCCCAAGCCAGTGCAACGTGGCCAGCGCCTCGCCCATCATGGCGGCATAGTAATCAATGTGGGCCGATGAAATGCCCAACTCGATCATTTGGTCAACGTGGAGAGGAAAGTTCCTTAGCGAAAATCCTCGAAATCGGGATCGCACATTCAGCGCTGTTCCGAAGGTGCGTTTGCGGCCGACGTAAGGTCTAATGAGGCAGGCCTCATTACTCGGACTGGACAGGATCTGCTGGCCGGTTTCAGGAGGGCAGTATTTTCCCACAAGCAAAGCTCTCGTCGCCTTGGGGAACGGTGGAATTCGTTCCGCGATTGTAGCATTGCAGGCCGAGTATCCAGGTGGAAACAGTTGGAGATTGTCTGCCCACCAGGCCATATCTTTCGGGGTGATGAAAGCGTGGCATTGAGGAATACGAACTTGAGGCTGTAGACATCGGTTCTCATGGTCGCGCTTGATGTTCGATAGGCTTAGGAAGGCGTCAAATGCTCTCTTATGCATCAAATAGTCGTTTGCAAGAGATCGTGATGGCCCTCCATCTTCTCGCTTGATTGCAGGCCCGTCGAGGCTTCTAGCCCAAACAGTACCACAGAACCCTGCTCCGATTCGATGGTAACTCTGCTGAGAATTACGATGGTTAATCATCGTGGTAAAGGTATTTTAAAGCGATTTCAAAGTTGAAGTGATTTGGTACAGATGAGAGGCCTGATTTGGTTCTTGGTCTCTTAAGATGATTTTGAAGGGTGAGATATGAGTCACTGGGAGACCACGCTCGGTTCGAAAGATTTGCAGTTTGGTAATTCTGACGACAGAAGGGAAATTCGGGCTTCCGCATCTCTCATATAATGACGTCCATATATGTGCTCTCGGGCTTCCGCTAAAATATCCCTGACTCCATAAAATCAGGTTCAAAATCGTGTTGCGAGTTACCCACCAAAGATGATTGAAGGCGCTCCTTAAGATTTTCGAAACCGGCCGATTCTATACCTTTTGATATCAAAATATACGGGTTTATTTGTCTGACATCGCCTTATCCCAACTCCAAAGATTATGTTCGGTCACCCAAGGTTGCGTTTGACTACAGCTTTGAACTCAGTTCACACCTCAACTTTTGACTTGGGTCGACACAGCGGTTGTCAAGCTGCCAAAATCTTTGACAGAATTCCGGCAAATCCAATATTGAGACTGACGTTTTGATTCATTATCGCAAATCTCGATTGTTTGGTGAGAGGAAACTCGTTAAACTTTCCTACACACTTGGCCCGTAATCCATCTTGCCGAGTTGCACAGAGGTGCCTTGATACATTGATAGATGAGATCACTACCTCCAAAGCTGCCTGCATAAGGTCCATGATATTCCTAGACTTTTCCTCAATTCCGACTGATTCATCAATTCCAGATTGAGATATTCCCGCCGGGCACCGGATCAGATTGCCGAATTGCGAGGCTCCCCCGAGGGGCATTATATTTCTTTTCGTGGTGAATGGAAAAAGAAGATAAAAAAAAAAAAAAAAAAAAAAAAAAAAAAAAAAAAAAAAAAAAAAAAAAAATATGCAACAGAGTATAGAAGACAAGATAAAAAGAGAATAAAAGAGAAAATAGAGCCGGAGAGGCCACAACTCAAGTTTCCGAGAGGGTGGGTAGTTGGCCTCATCCGTCGTATCCGAAGCAGCCAAGCAACACACTAGAGTATCAAGGTTATATCTACGCGATGGCAGGAGGCTTATCAAGTTCAGTGGGGCATTTCGTCAGCTTTCTTCTAATGATCCTCCGTTTCAGCGGGAAAAAGTTGCCGAGCAGCCGTGGTGGGGACTATATCACTATCTGTTAAGAAGAGAGTACGACATAACAGGTGGTTTAGAACAGAAAAGTCCCACAAGGTACCGTCCGTTGCCTCAAAATGAGACAAGCGCTTCATGACGTGAGAGTCTGATCAGGACAGACGGTCGTATCAGACCACCTATATGATGCACCAGTATGAAGGGGCGAGACACACCCACAAGCCGGTCTTCCAGAGTACTTAAACACGGGACAATCCCAGCTACTCTGGACCTTCAAAGAACGATCGTATCCCACACAAGAACCATCGCCAAAGGCAAAAACCCAGCATAATGTCAAACATCGAGAATCAGACCATTCTCATTACCGGAGCATCCGGCTTCGTTGCGACTCACGTCGTCCGGGTCTTCCTCCAGCGTGGCTATCGGGTCCGTGGTACAGTCCGCTCCGAGCAAACCGCCGACAAAGTCCGCGAGATATTCCCACAGTACAAGGGTAAACTGTCCTTCACAATCGTCAAGGACATTGCACAGCCCGGCGCATTTGACGAAGCCGTGAAGGACGTCCAGGGCGTAAGTTCAGCCAGCAATCTTTCCTCCCCACCCAGGTTCTCAACCACCCAATACTAATCCATTCACATCTACAGATAATCCACACCGCATCCCCATTCTCATTTTCCGCCCAAGACCAAGAACGAGACCTACTCCAGCCGGCTATCCGCGGCACCAGCGAACTCCTTGAAGCCGCCAAGCGGCACGCCCCGCAAGTCACCCGCATCGTGATCACCTCGTCCTTCGCGGCCATCGTCAACCTCCGCAAGGGCTACTGGCCGGAGCACACCTACACCGAAGCAGACTGGAACCCAGAGACCTATGAGCAAGCAAAGGTCGCCGACGGGTCCACGGCCTACTGCGCTTCGAAGGCGCTAGCCGAGAAGGCCGCATGGGAGTTCGTCGACCGCGAGAAGCCCAATTTCACGCTCTCGACCATCTGCCCGCCCATGGTCTACGGGCCCGTGGAGCACCACGTATCCAGCATGGACCGGCTCAACGAGAGCGCGGCCGACATTTACCGGTTCATGAATGGCAGCTTGAAAGAGATCCCTGCGACGGGTTTCCCTGCGTGGGTCGATGTGCGCGACGTGGCGGAGGCGCATCTGCGCGCGTTCGAGTCCGATCAGGCTGCTAATGAGCGGTTCTTTGTGACCGCCGGGAATTATACGTATGAGCAGGTCTGCGAGATCCTGCGCACGAAGGTGCCCGGTGTTGCTAAGGAGCAGGTCCCGGCTGGGAAGGTAGACAATGAGACGCCCCGGGTGTATGGTGTTTCGAATGAGAAGGTTCGCACCAGGCTGGGGATCGAGTTCTACTCTTTGGAGGCTAGTGTCAAGGATACTGCTGAGTCGTTGCTGAACTTGGAGAAGAAGCTTAGTCAGTGATGGGGACACAGTGGTTGTGTGTCGTACATAAATAGTACGATTTGGTTCATGAGAGAATGAATAAGTAAAAGCAACTGTCCTTGAGGGGGATGCGGTCACTGTTACTGCTCGCGACATGTGTTTTAGCTAGCATCCTAACCTTCTAATCTGGGACAATCGCGTCACCAACCGGAAGCACTAAAATATCTTCAATCAGTAGTATGCAAAGAGCCGTATGATCTATGGCCATTGAGTACTCCGTAGTCAGCCCAACAAAGAAAATTGCTCCGTGACGCCAAGACTGAACGAAGTTCATGGGGGTAAGCAAATATATGTGATAAGGCCAAGCCAATTACTGACGAGAAATCTACTGGTTATACCTGTAGTTATGCTATATTCATTGTGTTGTTTCCATTGTCCAGAATCCCTTAGTCTTTGACCTTTGACATAATATATTTCCCCATTCGACCTCAACACAAAGCTTGCCGCTCGTACAATTACAAAACACAATTCCCCCTTTGAACCAGCAAATTTCGATGCCCTTTCAAAATGGTGCGACATCAAATAGAATACAGACATTGGCTGACAGAACATCGGAGGTATAAATACAGCATTTCATGAATCCAAAACTCGCATTCCTTCTCTCCCATGCGCGAAAAGGAACATTCCTTGCCTTACTGCTCATCAACGAATTCTTACCCATCGACAACTCTGGGTCTGTTCGAACGTGCTTCTATACGTATTGGATTTCCAACTCGAATCCGGTCTTGACCAGGGCGAGGCTCGTCAGAACCGCGTGTTTGTACCTTTCCCCAAGCTACGGGAGCAAATCCGCCGGAACCCAGGCAGGGCTATTTGGTTTTGTTTCCTTGGAGTCGTGACTTGCCTTGCGCTTACTGCGCTCGTTGTAGCCGCTGTACTGTCTACCAAAGCCAAGAATGAACCACAACATCATCTTGACAAGCGCTGGGGCAGATTCGCCGAACGGCCCATGGATGATAGGTGCTACGGCCAAGAACGCACAGCGATCTTCCTCGCCATGTTCTTGGGACTATCAGGCGCTGACCAATAGTATGCGCATCATTGGGCGCTTGCTGTTGCCAATTCATTCCCCCTCTTCGGTCTTCTGCTGCTGGGTAACTTGGTGTGTTGTATCGGGTCTCTATGGTCTAAAACGTGGCCTTCAACCGTCAGCAAAATCATCAACACACTGGCTCCCCTGATTATGCTTCCCTGGTGGGGTTTGATATCATCCTTTGGGTGGTTGGGGGCGTGTATGGCACTCCCGGCTGCCCTGGCGGTAGTGGGTCCTGGAGGTACTGATCTGATCCTGTTATGTCTGGGCTTACATTAGTAGTGTTTGATATGGGATGCACGGGAGGACAGAGGTGATGTTGAGAGCATTATACATATAGAAATGATGACCTGTTGTCGTTTGAAACTCAGTTTGAATAGTAGTTCTTTAATCTAAGTGGAAAAACTAGTTTAATAAGTAGATTATACGAGTGAGTGGTTATGCCTAGGCTCTGGGTGATACCATAAAAAGAAAAAGGTTTTTGTAAGAGTTGGTCCAACCAGCGTTAAAGTGTCACTGTCTAGACTCAACAGTAAGCGTACAATCATCATGATTTCCCACCGACTTGTGAGATCGATATTTGCTTTCAGCTGTGTATGCAGGAGTAGCAAAAGTGACCGGATCGAAAGATTTTCAGTACTTGGACATTAATCACGGAGAAAGCCGCTCAGCCCCTATGGGCACAGAATATGATATACCGGTCCTTACCACCAAGAAATAAATCGTTAGAAGACGAGACAAAGGAAACCAGGATCATGCATCTAGCAAGGTGAAAACCTCATTCAATAATGGGGAAGCCAAAAGTTATAAAACTGCATCTTGAGGACGAACGGATACATAAAGCCACCATCCCATTTGCGAAACTCGAGCCTTTATTCTTTGCTCTTGCAAACGGCGCTAGCCATATCGACGAGACGAACGCCTTTAGATTCACCAACAGCACGTGATTTGACCCAGCAGTTTATTCATCTACAATGGATTCTAAGGTCGAACAAGAGCGCGATCGTGGCGAGGCTCCGGCTCCGGCTCCGGCTCTGGCTCCGTCGCGTGGCTCCATTCCCGGGCTGAGGCATATTCGGGCATATATTCCCTGGGATACCTACACCATAGTCGTTGCGATCGGTCTTGGCTCTATATTGATCGGCTTTGCCATGATGATCATAATGTGCGTGTGTAAACCTGCACAGCATCAGAAGCTGCCTCATCTTCAGCGGCGCTGGGGCGGCTTTGACAGACGGCCGATGGACAATAAGTGTTATCTTCAAGAACGCACGGCGATACTGTTGTCGATTTGCTTGGGTTTTTGACGTGTGGATCAGTGGTATGCCCATCACTGGGTGCTGGCATCTTTCATGACATTCCTTGCAATTTATTCCATCGGAACCATGGTGCTCAGACGATATCTGGATAAGAAAGGTGGGAAAACTCGCGAAACATATTCCTCGCATAGTATGACGATGGCGGGCGTTTGGTGGTCGATCGATACCGTCCTTTGGGTCGTCGGTGGTATTTATGACACACCTGGTTGTCCTGGTGGTAGCGGATCTTGAAGTTATTGAGGTCTGCTCACCCTATTACTCCCCGGGCAGGCGCGCTTAGTACCCCTTGATGGAGAAAGAGCTAAGAAGGCCGAGAAAGCTGGACCAAGGGCATTTGGGGATGAAATCGTATCGCTTCATGCAATTTAATCTGCACGCAGCTGAAACAGGGTTGCTAGATTGAGATTTTTTCTTTGTTAAATACGTCAGTTGCTAGCTAAGTATCAATTACACTGATGATTTTATGTAATTCCCTTGCAATCATAGCCGTGCCACAACACCTCAGACATGCACATAACTCTCACTTTCCGCCATTTTCAAGTGAGTAGACAATTTTAACTAAGCGTTGGGGTACAATGAAGTAAGTAGAAGTCCCCATTTTTCTTGGCTTGTTGTTCGCCCATGATGCCACAAGCATAGGAAAAATCTTGGTAGTGTAGTTGACACCCGAGGCCACAAGCTGAGGCAAAAAACCCTTTAATTAGAATTGCCATCCGCCAGTCCAGGCACCAGCAGGCATCAGCAGGCATCGACAGCCACCGAATGCGAGTTTGGCTGTACCGAGAGCCCAAAGAGGATGGAGACAAAGGCCAAACAGGAATAGCTTCCGAGCCAAGAGGCTCAATTGAGGAAAATCCGGAATAGGCCGTCAAAACTCTGGCGAGTCGAGGCGATTTGACTAGCCTTCTTTGCGTTTAGCCCTACAATGGCGAACCTTGAATGCGAGCCCGCCAAGGTTTGTCAAACCTCGTTTCCCCCTCAGTTTCGCCCCAAGCAATTTCCCCCTATTAAGAAAAAAGGCAACAGAAAGGATCAAGACAGGAATGCGACTTTTGAAGTCAAGATATCTTCGACGGCCCTGTCGTTCAGTTCATCGGCAATTGGCATACGAACAGGTGGACCCGGCTGAGACCTTGACCTTCGAGATGAATTGTCCCTGAAAGCCAAAGTCGTAAAGAGGGTCTTCTCTACACTTTTCGTATAGTCTTAGTACACTCTTAGTACACTCTTGGCGCCCAAGCTACTTTAGAGACCCTGCGTTTAGACCTCGCCAATGAAACACTGCCAATCACCACCGTCGCAGCCTCCGGAGGAGAGAAAGACAATTTCCCCTGGTGTTGTGCGCCGCTGCGGACTCGATTTGACTAGTTCAACTAGTCTAGTGCTGTGAGACTCCTCGTATAATAAGGCCGTTGGGCGCCACAGTCATCTTAATCATCTTTGCAGTTTTGCGCGGGCTTTTACACGGGCGACCATTCAAAATGGCGTCCTTACATTCGTTTCTGTTGTTTCTGTCATTCGTTTTGGCCCATCTGTCGTCCTTCGTTTCTGCGGCTCCTTGGATTGTCACTGCTTACTATCAAGAAGACGTCTACACTCGCGAGGGGTACTACACCACCTACACCACCACTCGAATTGAGCAAATCACCCCCACTGTCACCTCTTTACCCCCAGCCCAGTCGACCATCACCTCCGTCGCCAACCATCTTGACTATAATGGCTATGGTTCCTACTACGAGAACAACGATGTTACCGTGATTGAACAGCTGTATCCGACCGGCGTAGGATCCGATTACTACGACTACCTCTACGAGGATAACGATGGAGATGTCACCACCATGTTCGTTGTCAACCTGACCTATACCGCGCCCACTGGGTGCTCGTCGCAGTGGACCACGACCACCACCGCCGAAATTACTCCGCCGGCCAGAGTGCAAAGCCTGTTGCCTTTGACCGCAGTGGAAACCTCATTCTCTGTCGACGACAGCCGCCCCTTCCAGCCCACCACCTACACAGTCGACGTCGTCTACGTCGACCCCACCCAAGTCCCTAGCAGTTCCTTGGAGTCCCTCAGCCTGTATAACCGGCCTACCTCCCTCTACACCGGCGACAACTGCTACTACACCGCCAGCTCTGGCGCGCAGTACGGTAGTGGCAGCTACAGCAACGGGTACAGCAGCGGATACTACAACGACTGGGACGACAACTACAACTGGTTCCTCGACAATTATTACATGGGCATCTCGCCGCTGGCCCTCACCCTCATCCTGAGCCTAGGCTGGATCGGCCTGTTCCTTATCCTAGGCTTCATTGAGGCTTGGATCCGCTTCCGCCGCCTGATGACGGGCTGGCAGACCCGCCGCGGGCTGCCCGTGTGCTGGTCGCTGACCATCCTCCCGATCACTCTGATCCTGCTGTGCTGGTTCCGCAGAGGCTACCGGGCGCGCTCGCAGGCCGACGGCGAGGTCCTCCAGAAGCGCTGGAAGGCGATGAGCATCTGGACCAAGCTGCGGCTCTTCTTCGTCTGGGGCTTCCGCTTCAAGTACCCGCCCATGCTCGGTCCCGCCCCGGCGCGCGTCAAGACCAGCAAGCAGCCCGAGAGAACCCCTGGCCCTCGTCTTCTGGAGCCCAGTCCTGCGTCCAGTGTGGCGCCGCAGTCTCGTCAGGGCTCTACTGCCCAGCCAGGTGGGGACGTTGCTGCACCCGCGGCTACTGCTGACCCGGAGATGGCGGAAGCGTCGCACTTGGCTCCGGTCGCATCTCAGCCCCAGAGTGGCCCTGCGCACACGACGCATCAGGATGACGAGATTAGACACGCTCGCTAGTTTATGAGATGGAGTGGGCGCGGTCGCGCTCACCAACGAGTTGCCATGACTGGGAGCACACCCCCATCACCGCCACGTGATCACCCGATACCCTGATAATGGACCCCTCATTCTTTCGCTTCTATTATACCCCATCTTTCAGGAACCATTAGAATAGTTTAATATATTCATTTCAAGTATGCACGGACTCGTGTGGAACTCTAATTTTTACGACACTGAAGAAGGTAGACATACGCATTTCAATCCCAATGAACGGATTAATGATGTCAGGCGATTGTTGTTCCGATTATAAGAAACCCTCGTGCACCCCCGCTGCGGCCTTCGCATAGTCAGAGTAGCGTCTCTTTTCTGTCCATGAAAGCTAGTCACTCTTCGCCTAGTTATGCACTGGTTTTATCTGGCTTCACGGCGAAGATCGTGAAGGAGCCTGTCGGTGTATAAGTCAACCACGTGCAATGAACAGCGAGCTTTACGCTCTGTAAACTTCGTGGGCCCTTACCAGTCCAGTAATTAAAGTCCACGTTCACGGTTGCCTTTGACTGTCCAGTGGCACCTTGCATGGTGGGGTCACAGCAAGAGCCGCGGGGGCCAAGTCCCTGAGTCTCTTGGCCCTGATACAGCTCCTTGTAAATGTTCAGATCGTTATTGGTGTTGACAATTACTATATCTGTAGTCTCACTGTCAATGCTTGGCTCGGATATACCTAAGACTCTGCCATCCCTGCAAAGAAATATGCAGTTACCTTCAAAACCGGCGGCCCGTAACCACTTTTCATAATCCCTCACTTGGCTTGCACCCGCCACACAGCCAACATACAAGGAGAGATCTGTCTTGATCTCCATCGGCAGCTCGCGCTTAGCCAGGATATCACTGATCGCCACGCGACCGCTCGGCTTCAGCAGTCGGAACATTTCCCGGAAGACCAGCGGTTTCTCGGTCTCAGGCACCAGATTCACAACACAGTTGCTCAGGATACAATCCACGGTGGCTGAGGATAGCGGAATCGACGTGATGCGGGCCTCGACGAAGGAAACATTGGCTGCGCCGGCTCTTGTCGCATTGTTTCGCCCTAGCTCTATCATGTCCTACCCGAGACTATTCAGCATGCTCTCACCACGACTGATAAGGTCACTGTACCGTGGTCATGTCAACCCCGATAGCCTTGCCTTCCAAGCCGACCTTCTTCGCGGCCAGCAACACGTCAATGCCCCCGCCGCTACCCAGATCCACAACGGTCTCGCCCTGGTAAATGAGGAGCAGATTTTACTTTCACCACTTTCTGGAGCAGATGGTAGATATATGTCTATGCACTCACTGTTTGTATGCTTGCCATGGCCACGGGGTTCCCGCAACTGACGCCGAGGTTGGCTCGCTCCGGGATGGAAAGCAGGTCTTCCGGTGCATACCCAAACGCGGTGGCAACCTTACGCTCGTATGCTTTGTGGGGATTTGGGCTGGTCTGGCTCGCAACGCTTGCATATCGATCTTGCACTGCGCAATACGTATCTTCTGGATTCATGGTAGGCCAGCGGACCATTACTTCAAGAAATCTTGGATATTGTTGGACTAGTGAGTTAGATACAACTTTGCTTCTTTCTAGCAGACCAGACAGAAGGACTCTTCAAGGACATTAAAAATATCATACATCCAAGTTAACTGGCGATGTATAATGTTGGATGAACTATTGAACCAATCATGCCAGAGCAGTGACATGCTTTGTACTATGACAAAGGCGGCTAGACCCAATGCATAAGGTAAAGAATTGCACGTGCAAGACCGTATCGAACGGGCACGTCTCACCACTCCTCCAATCAGCATCAACTAGTGACATGCTACTCATTCCCACTTTGCATATAGCTCTTATACTATCATCATACCACCCTCGATAGTGCCACATCATATCACCCCCAGTCTATCTATCATGACAGGCATACCGAACAACGAGGCCGAAAATGAGATGTCACAGCCTTGGCATGCCATTTACCCCACCCCCAGGATCACAGCAGCCTACGTCTCACGCACCAAGCTCCTTCAATGGCTCAAAGAGGGTAAAAAACAAACAAACAAAGACTTAATCATAATTGACTTGCGTCGGACAGACTGCGAGGTAGCCAGTGACGCCCATCCTGACATTACCATTTCTGACTATTATGTGTAGGGCGGCATGATCAGTGGTTCTCTGAACCTTCCCGCGCAGAGCTTATATCCGAGCATCCCAACTCTGTACTCTGTTTTGACGCAAGGCAGGATCTCGAAGGTGGTTTGGTATTGTGGTGTGTGATCAATCTACCGTTCATTTCTATCAGCAACGGCTGAGAACTGAAACAGGATCCTCCCGCGGACGAGGACCGCGCGCGGCCGGCTGGTTTGCTGATTATCTCGCCGAGCAACGGGATAATAGGATGGAGAGCCTGGTCCTGGAAGAGGGGATTAAGGGTTGGGTTGCGGCCGGGGAGGAATTTACTCAGTGGATGACCGGGTATGAGGAGTTGAAGTGGACGATATGATATGCTTTCGTCGCATGCTCAGGCGGAGCAGTAGATAATCTAAAGTTATGCACGTAATAACCTGTGCTCCGGTATATGCTGTGGTCGAAAGATAGGTTTGAGCCTTGATGCGTCTATTTTTGCTCGTCACCTGTACTTCGTAGCGCTACAATCACGATCTCTCCGTACCCCGGAGTGTCGCACTCGACGAAAGAGCCAAGGAAGTTTACGACGGAGAAGAGTCAAAATCTAATCAAAACATGAGAACTGAATCTGCCGAAGAATACATTGTCCCTGGTCACTCGTTATGGACACCTCGTACTCACGAATGATGTCAAACACTTGAAAACTTCTATACTCTATACCCCAGTGCCGACAAATAGCCAGAAAAGGTGAACAAGAGTAGGGCTGAGTAATGCACGCAACAACAGCGTGCATCACCACCAATAGGGCATGGCCCGGGGATTGATGCCTCAGGCACTAATACCTATCTTCTCTCGCGCTGGGAGCTGCTTGCTCAAACCTCGTCCTCGCAATTATAGCGATGACTCTTAAAACTATTCTTTTACAGATTCTGCTGGAATTGTCAAGGTTCTATTTCGATATATTAAGGAGTGGTGAAGATCGTCTGACGGCTGCACTTAACCATCGTTAGCCGAGCGATTCTGCCATGTTAACTGATGCACTCGCGATTCAATCAATCAATACATCATCAAAGCCTCCCATCGCCGTGTTTGTGTAACATGTGTGCTGGCTAGTTACATCCAGCCGCAGATGCACGCTGCTCAGATGTTTCCGTCCAGTCACGTATTGCCCCGTCAGCTGCATGTCTGCAGCCTTAGGATACGAGGTGGATTCTGTCAGTCTGCATCAGATGCGAAGGCGCTCAACACCACCACAGATGCATTCTTGTGAATGTCGAGATTAATTTCTCTTCCCTGCTCTGAACAGGAACGATATATCCTCACTCTCCGTAGTAGGGAAAATCGACCAACGAGCCTGAGGCCTGATGCAAGCGCACGGGGACGGGTAGAAACCTGCGAACGCCCACCCAGCCTTATCCTTGTCTCACCAGCCCTCGTCCCCGCACGAGGCACTCGTATCCTGTCGAGCATAAAACACAAGGCGTGCCCACCTGTGTCAGACATCCCCCGAAGGCTCCCTCGTCTCCGTATCTTATCCTCACGAATAAACACCAAAACAATACCTACTCATAACCGTAGCCCAGCATGTCCGCTCCCAGCGATACCCCGCAAGCGCCGGACCCCCCCACCACCACCTCCAGCCCTAAGACACCCATCCCAACCAAATCCCCGCAAGCAACCATCGACAACTTCTGGGACAAATTTATCACCAAAACCCCAGGCAGAGCCACCGCAATTTTTCCGCAAAGCTTATACGCCGACCTCCTCCCGCATGTGCAAGAGAGGACACCGCGATCGACGACGAGCAACGCAGCCGAAAGCTACGAGGCCGCCGCGCGGCAATGCAAAGCGCAGGTTGAGCGGATCGTGCGCGAGTGTCATCGCGTGAACGAGAAGTTCACTGACCCGGAATTCGATATCGAGAATGATCGGGAGCTGGGTTTGTGGAATTGTGTGCGGGGGTTGGTTCGAGGAGAGAAGGGTGGTGAGGGGGCGCAGCTGGCTAAAGTGAATGCGAGGGGGAAGCGGAATGGCCCGAGAAATGGGCGGAGAATGAGAGTGAAGAGGGACGGTAGGTACACTGGGACGAAGGGCTGGGATGATAACTCGAGCTCTTCGGACTCTTCCTCCGACGAAGATGAAAGCGAAGAGGAGAGATTGCCCGGTTCGGTGCATCGTGTCGACTGGATCTTCGAGCAGCCTGCATTCACTATCGACGGGTATTCGAACACCGATATCAAGCAGGGCGCGAACGGTGACTGCTGGTGGTTGGCGGCCGTGGCGAATATCTGCAATCGGCGGGACCTGATGGAGCGGGTTTGTCTGGCGCGCGACGAGGAGTGCGGCGTGTATGGATTTGTGTTTCATCGCGATGGCGAGTGGGTGTCCACTGTCGTGGATGATAATCTGTATCTGACTCACGAGGACTTCGACTTTTATGGCGATCGCTATGATAGCACCGGGGGGCGGGCGCGCGAGTACCGCAAGCATCTCCAGACGGGGTCCGAGGCACTGTTCTTCGCCAAGTGCTCTGATCCCAATGAGACTTGGTTGCCGTTGCTGGAGAAGGCCTATGCGAAGGTGCATGGCGACTATGAGGCTCTCTCTGGGGGTTGGTCGGGCGAGGCGGTCGAGGATATGACTGGAGGCGTCACGACGACTATTACTACGAACAAGGTCCTGAATCAAAACACTCTCTGGAGGGAGTTGGTAAATGCCGAGAAGAACTTTGTCTTTGCGGCCTCGGCGCTAACAACAGGCCGCGATTGGACGAAAGGTGGTCTGGCTTTGAGGCATGCCTATTCGATTCTCCGGGCCACAGAGGAGGAGGATGAAGATGGAAGGAAGGTGCGGTTGGTTCTGGTTCGGTATGTCTTGCCATTACGATATTGGTGTGAAGTTACTAATGCTAATATGAATGCCGTGTCCAGGAACCCCTGGGGCGAGAGAAATACCCGCGGTATCGGGGAGTGGAACGGGCCTTGGAGCGATGGCTCGCGCGAGTGGACGCCATACTGGCTTCAGAAACTCCAACACAAATTCGGGGACGATGGGTTGTTCTGGATGGCATACGAGGATATGCTCTCGACCTTTGTGTTTCTGCATCGCACGCGTATCTTCGATGAGACATGGACCGTGGTTCAGCGGTGGACCAGCGTGAATGTCCCCTGGATTGAAGGCTATCTTCGTACGAGATTTCTGGTCGAAATACACCAGGCTGGGCCTGTCGTTTTTGTCCTTTCGGAGGTATGTTACAATACCATTCATAGCGATCGGTGGTCCAGGTCTTTGAGATGAAGACAATGTTACTGAGGTGTATTGACTTTGCGTCTAGGTTGATAAACGCTATTTCAGAGGCCTTGAGGGGCTGTACGTATTTGCACTGCACTTCCTGCTGCAGGAGGAAAATGCAGCTCCCGGAGAGCATCTGCTGGTGGTCCGACCGGTTCAATGTCGGGGAAACCGGTCCATTAGTGCCGAGGTTGAACTTGAACCTGGCAGATATGAAGTCCTTCTCAAGGTTGTCGCAACAAGAGATTCCGGAAGTAAAAAATTGGAGGATGTGGTGAGAAGTTATGTGGAGAAGAATCCTGAAAAGTTGAAGCAGGTTGGCATGAACTACGATCTGGCCAATTCTAGAGTTGAATCTGCAGCAAAGCAGGTAGAAGGCAGGACTAGGAAAAACGCGGAAGTGAAGAATATAACTAGAAAATATTCACAGGAAAACAAGGAGCCACCGGTTGAAGACGTTGAGAGAGAGGTTCTTTCTAGCCCTACAACCGAGGAAGGGAACTCAAAGGCGCACGACGCCCAGGCTTTACCGTCCCACGTCGAGACTTCTGCAAAAATGGATGGAGTGAAAAGTGACAGGTATGATAAGGGAGATGACGATCTGAAAGAGGACAACAAGAAAGACGCAGACAAAGACCTGGACAAAGACGCAGATAAGAAAGATAGAGACAAGGAGGTCATTTTCATTGAGCCTCAGCCATCTGAGGCGGATGAGACTTCACCTTTGCCGTGGAATGCAGTATGCGTACTTGGATTACGAGCCTACGCCAAGGATCCAGAAGTCAGTATCGAGCTTGTGAAATAGTATGGTTCTTAATCACTCGATCTCTCTCTTATTGTCTTGAATAACATCAATCCCAACTCTGATCATCAAATCTGTTTTCCGGCATTCTCGCTCTCTAGCTCGTGCGTGAGCTTCATTGAACCTTTTCTATACCTACCATGGGGAAGGCAAGTGCGCATATTGTTCATTCAATAGAGTATGAAATGCCATTTTCTAGTAAGCCACGCCTTCCAAATGAATTAAACTAGCAATCAATGAGCCCGGTTGAGACGTTCTCCAAGTCCATCGAAAAGCAGTGAGCTTGATGGGACGCTGATCACCGACTAGTATTTGCGAAATATACAGTAAGTTCTAACAAAGGATTTGCGTTCAAATCGCATACCCAAGTCTAAGAACCTTTCTCTAATTCCCAATCAGTAACGGAGATTCCCGTCCCATTATGTCAAGTCTTCCATATCTGCCATGCAGAAATGTTCTCGTGGCGACAGTATATATGTGCAGACACCTAAATCCAAGTAGAATAGAGATCCTTCAGTCCTCAGACAAACACCAGAGTCATCTGTCTTCGATATTCCCTCGGTATTCATCGCAGAGCACTCTTAGAGCACGATGGCTGACAAGGATGCACCGACTCCTGGGAAGATAACCCCACTGGGAATTAAGGAACAAGCCACTGCCAAGGAGTCAATCCAGTATTCACGTGCGAATGTCAGCGGGCGCCCGTTCTACGTGGGCTCCGAAAACGTCGATCGAAGGAAGGGGACAATCGGGGGAATTCTGGAGATCGAGGGGAAATGGTACGGGCTGACCGTCTTGAGTCCATTCATCGAGGACCCCTCTGAAATTTCGAGGCGTGATGCCCTCTGGCGTAATCTTCCCAGCGACGTCTCGTTAGTGTCCAACAATATCTACGACTCGGAGAAGCCAGGTACTTTATGGGGACACATCCCCTTAATTCCTGACTCACTGAAAGTAGACCCGCGCTACTACTCTCCGGAAAAGAACTGGGCCCTCGTCGAGCTCACGAGTCAGTCGCTGTCCACCACACGCCAGACGCCACCAAGACCGGGTCTAGTCCTCCTTCCCGCCGGCTTGACGATCACAGACGACGAGCCCCTGCCCTGTTTGAAATTGGTTCAATCGAACTTTGTCAAGAGACAAAGCGTGACGCTAAGATTGCCTTACACCCGCGCCTCTGATATCAGTGGCCGCTACTATACCTTCAAATGCGCCAATGCTTCAAGGACGTATGCGGGTGTGAGGAACGCAGCGCATATCGGGGGCTGGCTTGTGGATATACATTATCTGACAGTGGCCGCCATAATTCAGCACGTAACTCGGACGATAACGTACCTTTCCTCTGCGGATGATGTCTTCGGAGAGATCAAGGAACGCTTTCCTGGGCTCAAACCGCCTTTGATAACTACTTCGCTCGATTGTGATGAGATGGGCTGTGGATACTTCAATGAAGAAGAATCCGGTCCATCGACTAGTGTAGATCTGCCTTACAGATAGAGTGCCTGAAATTCTGACGGAGTCATAGAAGTTTCATTTTTCCGCTCTGCTCGTGCTGATCTCTTAGTTGTAATATTTCATCATATTGTCCGCGGAGTAATGCGCGATTATATCCCCGAGATCCGTCTTCCTTATTCTTCTGAAGGGTTGTCTCTTCACCATCACGCAAGAGATAATTTCCCATCTGGCGCTGTGCTCAATGAACTACTTCATCCAACCTGCCCTCTTGAATCCGACGCATGATCCGTGGTAATTTTCCATAGGTTTTGACTGTTTCCAAAGACTAACTAAGCTAACTCCGTCACTTGATAGCTCCTAAGGCTACCAGTGATTAGAATGTGTGCTTCGTGTGTTGACTAAAGTAGTGAGATGTTGTGTTTCTACCTAGCGCATATAAATTCTCTGGACGGTGTGCAGAATGTGTCTGCTCCTCTCCTACACATAAAAACTCGACGTGAACCAGCCTCTGAGGCATTGGACTACCGCAAGAAAATTTGGCCAGTCAGAGACCTGGTTGCGATCAGACTAACACTTCATCTTCAAATTCACGATACCATATGGTTGGTTGACCCAAAGCATGCTTAACTTCTTTCATTGTCTCAAAGCAGAAACTATACACAGCGAGATTGCAAAAACATCAGGGTTCGCCTACAAAAACCTGGCGAGTATAAGGAGAAGGTCCATAGAGCATAGTTCCTTCCAACAATACCCATCTGAACGGCAACTCATTGCACGGATGCCGGCGGCGGCAGAGAGAGCAGCTTCTGGTTGACCTTGACATCATCCCCAGCCGTCCAAGAGAGCTTGATCTCTGGGCGAAAGATAAGACAGTGCGTGCTGCCCCCGAAATGGAACAGGCCAAGCTGGTCACCCTTGCTGACATCAACGCCGACCGACACCGTCGGCTCGCAGGAGCTTCTCTCCATTATACCGCCAAAGACGCATGCGACTGTGCCCAGCTTCTTGTTGTCAATGAAGATTAGAGTTCGGGTCGCTTCGTGGGCCGCATATGTCAGAGCGGACGCTGAGGGAGGGATCGCGTCTTGGGGCAAGTTAGACATCGGGTTCCAGCCGCCACGTACGACGCCCTTGAGCCCGGGATAGTCGCTCTCCGCCTCTTTCTGCGACTTGCCCGATGGAATCGCGTCTTGGGGCAAGCTAGACATGGGGTTCCATGCGCCACGGACGCCTTTCAGGCCGGGATAGTCACTGCCCGCGCCGGTCTGCGAGTCAGTCGAGGAGCCGGCGGCGTCCTTGCCTAGGTAGACCATGGGGTTGAATCCGCCGCGGATGTTCTTGATCCCGGTGATCTTGCCCGAGACAGGCGCGTGCCACCTGTGGTAGTTCATGGGGCCCAGATAGGCCTGGTAGATCGTCCCGCCGATGAAGTCGTTGGCCCGCTCGTCGCCGTCTAACATCTTGCTGAGCGAGTACTGCTGGCTCTTGATGTCGAAGGTGTCATTGGACTGGATGTCATTCTGGATCAGGAATTTTGTCGCGTCGCAGGGCGACACGATGATCGTGTCGTCCTCTGGGTCGGCGACTGGTCGGCGGCCGTCCCGGAGCCTGCGGGTGAAGAAGTCGTCGAAGGACTTGAACCCCCAGTGATCCGTCTTGATGTTGCATTCGAAGTCGTCTTCAAAGTCCTTTAGCCTCTCGTCGCTGAGCGCCTCGCTGCTGAACCAGCCGCCTGGCTGGTCGTTCAGTACGTTGGCTGATTCCGGAGACTGCAGGTACACCGTCCAGTCTTTGAGAATAGCCTGGAAGGCCTGGTCGACTTGCTCATTCTGGAAAAATGCCTGGCCGGCCGGCGTCTTGACGTAGGGCTCGATCAGGTTGGTCAGGATCCCAAGACTGCCGCCGCTGGTTCCCTTGGCGTCGGCATTGTAGGTGGGAGCGGTGCGTGTGAGCTTGCTCAGATTCGACAGGAAGCTCCCCAGGTTCTGCTTGGAGCCAGCCTGAGTGAACATCTCGGTTGCATTCTTGAGCAGCAGAGGATCACTCTTGATCAGGGATCCGAGCTTGGTGACTGTCGCGGAAGACAACTCCCCGAGGTCGGGAAAGGGCACGTTAGACTTCAGGAAATCCATTTTGGTGCTGAATGGCTAGAACGTGTAGATTCTTGACCGGAGAAAATTAAGAATAAAGAGTCTCTAATCACTGCTCAGGGAATGTGATCGCTTAAGTAGAGCACGACCGGAGGCAAGCCGCTGCTGGCGCCTCCACTGTCACCATGACGCGCACATATTCTCATAAGACGTTTGCATCTCTCTATGTGAGACAGATCATCAGCTGCAAAACTCAAACGTTCGACCGATCCGACCCTACTGTGTTGACGATTGGATGGTGGAGTTTGGTCAATATGTGTTTAGGCTGTGGTGGGACATTTGTTAATCTATGAACCCTGCAAGACAGTGGGCCTCGTCGGTGCTGATACCGGTTTGAGACTATCTTTGCTTTTTGTTTTCCTCGGTTCTGCATCAGACCATTCAACCCCGCAGTTACATTGCGTTGCATAGACGGAGGTTCGTAGTTCGCGAGTCGCGCCGATCTGCAGTCTGTGCGATGTCATCTTGCATCGGAGCCGGCTCTAGATCCTGGATCATCGTGTCATGGTTTCACGAGTTTTAATAGGATACCTTGTGTTCCTTCAATCAGAGGGAGTGAAAGAAGCCTGTGAGACGGATCTTCACAATGTGTATGACTTGATGTTCTCTTTTCTTCCTATTCTGTACTCAGACGAGGGTTTCTGTGGTCGCATTTCGTTTCTATGACGCTCGTTCCGGTTACGGCCATTCTCATTGTTGAAATGGAGAGGTGAACCAGTTGGAAACATAATTGGCCAGATCTCATCTTGATATGCGATGAATGATCAGATGCGGCATACTTAAATCAACATGTAAATTGGTTGGGGACTTGTTGAAGACTATAGTACTTAGTAGAAGAAAAGTGTTGGTATGAGATGTGGGCGGGGATGAATAAATTCTGCCAACTGGCTTATAGTGGCGGTGGCTGCACTTTTGTGGCGGTACAAATCAATCTGGCACTACTCAGCCACTGTCTATTCATCAACCTCATCAATAGGTGCTATTGTAGATGCTGTTCATCTGATATCTTCTCCATATAGACCATAAATGTCCTCCCAATTGACCCTAACCCTATAACACTGTACAATAACTTCGAACTATACATCGAACTGACAATAGGGGTGTCTCCACTGCCTGATTGATGAACCCATCTACTTGTTTCCCCCAGCCATGCCCGGGAAGAACCCCTCATAATAATCGCGCTTCCCCAGCGGGACGCCCTCCTTCCGAAGGATCCCATACGCGGTCGTCAGATGGAAATACACGTTAGGCAAGACGACGAGATGAGCATATTTGGCCCCGCTCATCTCCACCGTCACCCCGGGGCCCATGGGCGTGGGCTTCGACTCCTCACCCTGCGCGTTGACGACCGCCTTGTCGGCCTCGCGGAGCAGTTTCAACACCATCGCGATACGATCCTGGCCTTCCGCCAACGTGGTGGGATTGTTGTCATAAGCAGTCGGTTCCGGCTGGGCTGTGAGGCGGGCAGCAAGTAATGCGCTGAATTTGGTCGCCAGGCGGATCTGGTCGGCGAGTGGATACATGTCATCGTGCAGACGGGCAGCAAGGAAGCTGTCGGGATCGTTGGGGCGCTGGGTCTCAGCCGCGGAGAGAATGTGCGAGAGGGTCCTGAGGATGCCCTCGAGCACGACGATCGTGCCGTCGTAGAGTGTGTGGGCCATTGTGGGTTGATTTTGTGGATCAGCGGAGATGAAGTCCGGTGGTAGGTTGGGGTGTGATTGCGGACGGGTGGGAATCTAGGTGCGTCTTACTGGGCTGGGGCGCGGACTTATTATATGTTGCGTTTGTTTGTCAGGTGACTTCGTGTTGCGCTATAATTCCTGCAAATGGGGGCTGAATCCTTCCGGGTCGAGAGACTGTGCTGTGAAACTAGCGCCTCTGAGTCACTGCTAAGCCTCAATTCGCAACACTTGTTATGATGGCGGACTGTAAGACGGATCTTATCCTTGTCTACACGTGATGTTGGACTGTTATCGATAAGATATGCAGACTGACGTCACGGGAATTTTGACAGGTTGTTCAGGCTGCTCATAGCTTTAGTTACTCTGGTGGAATGCGTATGCGGTTGAGCCGTCCTTTCTTTGGTTTAACTATCTTCCAGATGTCTATAATGCTCGTTCTATTGCCTTTTAACTTACAATCTAAGCCTAGCAAGGTTTGATAATGAGTTTTGCAGGCCAAACCTGATAGTTCATAGCGAAAGTGGACACAGCATATGTGGTGTTGTGCCACGGGGTGCGAAACAATTGCAGAATTGCGGCTCGAAGGTCTGAATCAAGAACCCAAACAGTGGTAAAATGATGACTGCGGGAACATGCATCGGAGCAATATCAATGGATCAATGCGAGCCTCTATGCCACATCCTGGAATCCCACACTGTGCCAAACCCGAAACGTCGCATAATATCTTGGTTGGTCCCGGTCTCCATATAATTTGTAGATGTTCCGCATCGCCTCATCGGTGATCTCGTCTCCATCAGCCAAAAAAACAATAACTCTGGCCCGGTGAGAAAGTCCGGGCGGTCAGAAACCACAAAAGAAGCCTGGCAAGGGTCCCTGTCACTGGGGTCATCGCGATTGTACCCCTTTTCTGGAAACTTGCGAGCCCTTTGTCCTGGGGCGGGCTGGGAAACTGCCATTCCTACCTCGGGTCGCGAATGGGTCGCGAATTCATCAACTCTCGATAGAACGAGAGAACTGCACTCAATGATCGGTTGGGCGCCGAACAAAATTCAGAGCCTACTGTCTCTCCTGCAGGGATGTGATCCAGGATCGCGGCGGTAGCGCGCCCCATCGTCGGCAACATCAAGGGATCTTTGCTGTTGGGAGCGAATGTCACGTATACGATATACCGGAGTTCTGGCTCCAGGGTAGGGACAGCTCTCGACGTTAGGACTACAGCCCCCTTGTCGGAGGATGGCTGAATAACAGCATTCTCTTCAGGCAGTGAGTCAGCTCTGCGCTGTCATGCCTCTACAGCCCCCGGCCAGGCAGTTGAATCAACCGGTTCGGATCGCCCTCACCCGCCTCCAGGCCGTAATCGTACACATCACCCTCAATGACATCGTGACGCTAACTTCGAATGCGAAGGGAGGCTAGTTCTCGACGGGCGCGGTAGACATTTCGGCACTTGCGAACCACAAGATCCTTCCAGTCCGGCCAGACTTCCTCCTCCCATTGCTCGTCGTCCTCATGCGTGGGAGAAGACAGGGACGGCCGTATAGACCTGGATTGCGAAGGTGGCTTGTATTGTACCCGGGTCCGGGCTGTATTTTTGTGGACTAGCAGGGCTGCAGGCTGGCTTGCATGCTCTTGATAAGGCTGAGCAGTCCATTGATGTCGCTTGACCTGCGGGGTGTTTTTGTTTCTGGCCATTGCTTTTTCTGGGTTGACAGGATGGCAGTGGTAGTTGAAACTAGGTGAAGGTGAGAGGAGAGTGAGATTGCAAATCAAATGGTGGAGTTTCTGTCGGTTTATCCCTGATTTGATGGGCGGTCCTTATGGCCGCATGCACTACGATATCTCAGGTAGCCCGGCACCTGGAAGTAGTCGATTCAACTCTGCGTAGAATTCAGGTAGTGGACATGAAATGAAAATACTCATGTAGACATAACAATTAAAGTGACGAATAAGCTAAGGTAGGGACTTCTGTCTAATTATACAAGCACTGCACGGTCTTGGCATTCTTGAACCAGTATCCCGCCTTCGTCTCGCCGCTGCCCTGCACCCAGGTCGTCAAGTCTGCGATACCAGGGCTCACAAAGCCTCCCGAGTTGAAGTTGCCCTGTGTCATGTAGCAGTTGCCCGGCTCGACGAACATGGAGCAGACCAGACCTGGAAGACAAACGATCAGCATGAGCTCTCCGCAAGGTGTTGTCCAATCACTTACCCTCATCCGGTCCAATCGAGCCCAGAGTATCCCAGAAGCTGATGTCAAAGCACTGACCATTCTCGAAGGAGAAGAGGGAACAGGGACCCGTCCAGTTACTGTGTGACAGAGGTAAGTGCTCATGTTCATCACAGCTAAGATCGAAGTCAACTTACGGTCCGGGACACATGTAAACGTTCTTCTTGGCTGCGGCAACGCCGGCGAGGACGGCCACCGTGGCGAGGGAAAGGACCTTCATAGTGGTGGTGATATGGATGGATTTGATTGAAAAGAATGGAGGTAACCAGAGAGGGGAGACTCGCGACCTCTTTATATAGCATTCTTTCACTCACGAGATAGATCGGCGCATGAAATCTCGTATGATCGTGAGTAAAACATGTCGAATGGTTGCGCAAAGAGCATATTGTGTGTCTGTTCAATACACGAGGTTGAAGCATCAGATGGAGATGAGTATGAGACTAGAGGCCCCGGATACGAGAACTAGCGGCGGGACTGTCACCCAGGGGTCCAGCCCAGTTTCTACTTGGAGTCTAGCGGCATGCCTGGTGGCTCGCTTTGCTACTTCGACTATCTCGCTCTCAGCGTCTATTCGTGGACTTACCGATTGTTTGAAGAAGGGTGGAATGTCACCTTGTCAGGATTTAGCCCTATCTAATCTAATCTCTCGCCACCATTTTCTGCACAAAAATGCTCGTGACTGTTTCGCTGGGTTGGCAGGGGCCCGCAGGCGGTAAACCCATACTTGCGACAATAAGTTGACAGTTGCCCTAAGAACAACTTATATAAACGAGGCTTCGTGATCTAATGATTTATATCTCGGCATAACGAGCTCTCTCTCGTTGTACTTGTGCTCTGTATCCCATGCATATACAAATCTCCTGCACGCCATTTGCTTCTTGCAATAGGTAGGAACCCGTGCTGTATCGAAAAACCAGCTCGACTAAATATCAAATATATGTGACCAGCCATTGGAATTATTGGCAGGTCTGAAATGCTTGCCAGCAGTCAAAGGCAACGAATCTAATTCCGCAACGGAGTATGTCGGCAATTGGTCCAAATCTAGCCATGTCTCTTGCTCTACGCTGTCTGCCCTTGTTCGGTGCCTTCCAAACTGCTTGACAATGCTTTTAGACGGGAGGTATCACAGAGTGGTAAATCCGTACGCCAACTTTAAGCGAGGTATGAAATCTCGTATCCGAGCGCGGCAATACCGGTGGTAACCAACGGGACGAGCCGAGGAAGATGCCGTGGACTCGGTCCATCGTATGGCAACGTTGATTTCTTGTGAGAAATGTTGCAAAAGGGATGTTACTGGGCAAGGCAGCGAAGTCGCCAATTCTGCTTCGACCAAAGACAACGAAAGAGTTACGAGGTCTACTCTTCAAGCGTGTAAGCTAAACGAGTGCGTAGAGTGGAAATAATTCGAATTCTCGTTTCCCGCAGCCACGGCACTGCTATGAGGCATGCACCCTTGCCGGTCCACCATCTCAAACAATCTTTGCGAGAAGCAAGCGTAGTAGCCAAATTCTAATTCCACGGTACAACGGGGTGGAGACGAACCGGCTTCTCTTTCCGTTAGCACTAGTGGAGCACAGTCTTGGCAGCCGAATTACCCATTCCCCTATTCATGCACTCCACGCCTGAGTCACAGCGTCTGATAGTTACGTGAACATCAACAGCTACAAGCATGATGTCGCATTCAAGCACGTTTCTGAGATACGCAAGTCAGTTATATCGAGTCATGTAGACAGGACACAGGCAGGATTTGTCATTAACCCACAAAGTAGGTCCTAATGAGCGCCGCACGATCAGTCGCGAAGACCTCGGCTTCTACCATGCCGTCGTTGTGGGTGCCATTTACGAACTAGACAAAGATATCGATGTCATATCGGCTCGCTCTTTTATCTCACCCTTACAACAATGTGTATTGCGACATACATACTTGAGTGTGGTGGTCAACGACAAGCACACCGAACAGCCAGCCTACGAGGCAGTGGAAAGCGTGAATCTTGAGAACCACATTACCATCCTCGACAACCACGAAGTTAGTAGCGAAGTGGAAGCGATGGCAATCGAGAGTGCCCTACCATCCCTCCTGGACCGACCATGGCCGGCGGATCTACCACCATGGCGTATCGTCGTCCTCCCGCTCCGCTCGCCGTCCGCCGCCACTGTAACGCGTTGCTTGATCGCGTTCGCATTCTCGCATACCCTTGGCGACGGTGTTGTCGGACTGACCTTCCACCGTACCTTCCTCCAGGGACTGCGGGAAGCCCCCGATACCAATGTACAGGGCTCAGACTCATCCGTGGTGACGCTCCCGCGTAACCGCACGCTTCCACCTCCCTTCGACACCCCCGAAAGACTCCCCATCTCGTGGGGCTTCCTCCTCCGCCCCCTCATAGCCGTCTACCTGCCCAAGTTCCTCGCCAACATGCTAGGCATCCGCGCCCACGCCGCCCAGCTTGAGGCAGGCACGTGGACCGGCTCGCCCATGTTCTTCGACCAGACGGCCCCGAAGCAAAGTCGCGTTAAGCTCCTTGAGATCGAGGCCCCACTACTCCAGAGCGCATTGCAGGCTTCCCGGCGCCACGATGCCAAGCTTACAGGACTGCTGCACCAGCTCATCGTCCGGGCGCTATCCAGGGCGATCCCAGATGACAATGTAACTAACTTCATCTCCGGCACGGCGGTCGATATGCGCGCCTCGATCGGTACGCCGGCCTATACCTGGGGACTGTTCGTGTGCGGTCACTTTGAGGGTCATCCGCGTGCGGCTGCTGATGCAACGCAACCGGAGTTGTCAGAGGAGATGTGGGCCAGAGCCAGCGCCATGACGAAGAAGCTTGCTGAGTGTGGTGCGAAGCTGCAGGACCAAGCGGTCGGGTTGCTGCGATATGCGCCCAGTATCAGGAATTGGACGTTGGCGAAATTGGGCCAGCGGCGAGACTGCTCGTATGAGGTTAGTAACTTGCTGGCTTTTGATGGTAGTGGGGATGAGACGAGCCCCAAGCATTCGAAGATTAGCAAGATGGTCTTTGTGCAGCCTGGTAATGCGACTAGTGGGGCAATCGTGTTCAACTTTGTCAGTGTTAGAGGGGGCAGCTTGGTGTGCGCGGTGAGTTGGCAGGCTGGGGCTTTAGGTGTACCAGTAGCGGAGGAGATGGAGTTCGTTGAGGGCGTGTGTGCCTCTATTCGAGCCGATCTGGAAGTTTTGAAGGAAAGGTGATTGATATAGGGCCGATGGCCGCCGTTGATAGATGAGAGTCATTCGGCAATTGCGTTTGCCCGCTTCAAGGCGTAGTATAATGGCGCTGCATTGTATCAGCAGATTAGAACGAAGACTTCACTGTCTAGAGTAGGGTTTGTGTGATTCCAGGCTGCGAAAGACTAGTTGCGAGTCGATGCTTATTGCCTGAGCATTCAGGCAAGAGACCCTCACGTGCATGAAAAGGGACCGAATGATGCCCGTTTCATTCCTCCCATCTTCAATAAGTTCAGGGATAGAATTTGAGCCTGGAATAGCGAAGAACCAAGATGGATAAGGTCTGAGCATGCGCAGGAGCGTGAGGAAGGGCTATTTGTTGTATTGTGCATCGGCCGCTTGAGACTAGCACGCAGCCTAAGCGGGGTCTATAGGTAGCGAGCCCAACTCCGAAACCGAGCCCGAAGAGAGGTCTTAGGCCGGGGACGACGGCGGGGAGGCATTGGATAGCAGTGCGCTGGTAGTTAATAGCTGAGTGAGGCTGAGTGGTTTTTATGTAGTTGGTTAGTAGTAGTGTGGTTGTTGTTGATATTTGGGGGAGTCAGGTCAGGGAGGCATTCAAAGTGAGGGCGGCAGTGTTTAGCATGTTTTGCTTTTGTGTTTGCCTGTCTGCACGTGCAGTTCTCGCCTTTCTCTCTCTTGCCAGGTCTTTTCCATCTTGTTCAAGACCAATATTTGTTTTGGATGCGCACTATAATACCTTGCTCTGGTTTCGTTTCAATGTCAGCAAGTAGTATGATTCATTCTTAAAACCAGAATAAAGATATCTGTATCGAACATCAAGTCCCTATGATAAGGTCAGTCAGCTGACCGCGGAAGATGAGCATGCTGGAGCTTCACAAAGAAATGCAGTCTTACAGAATACAAGATAAGCGACCGACAACATGGTGGATGAGCAATCACTTGTCTAGGAGCAGAAGCCGAACTAATCATGCATGCGGACCACCAATCCCAAGTCTGGAGAGTCAATGACGTGTGGATCTGTTGGATTTAATCCACCGACGCGGATGCAGTCTCCACCGCATCTTTCAGATCGAAGAAATAATCGGGTCAACCGGATGGTCTTTCTACTCGGTGCAGAACTCCGATTTACTATCTAAGCCAGATTCGAAAGATGCCCACCAATCACTAGAAAGCCCATCTTTTGCCTGGTTTCCCTGATCCGATGGTGAGATCTCATTAGCGCACCGCAGCGATAAGCTACCCCGGCCCTCTCGCCAATAGTGTATCGCCCTCACCCGCATCTTTCACCCGCACTTAATCTCAATAGTTTATTTTTGCTTCTCCGGGAGGACATGAGATGACGTATCAGATTAGGAAGTGGAGCATGCCTCGCCAGGTTCTGCATTAATTGGACCTGACTTTCGTTTAGGAATTGAGGGGTTCGATGCTACATAAATACAACCAATGCCCCTGTCGTCCTGGGACCTACGAATCCTTTTGTGTGGAAAAGGTTCATACTCATGATGTCTCGATTACTCCTCCAGACTGCTTGGTGCCTAGCAGCCGTGGCTTGGACAGCGGCGGCATCACCTGCTCACCATTTGATTGGGTCTCGTTTCATGACCCGCGCAGACTTGGACGCAGGGCAAGTCCAAACCGAACTCGGTCCCCTGCTATGCGAAATATCTAGTGTCTTTGGGCCGGACAGCCCCTTGTGGGCGAATGCGACTTCCCGATATCAGGAGTATAAGCCCCCACGGGTACAGGTTGCCGTGCGAGTCGGGTGCGAGGACGACGTCGCAAAAATCGTACGTCCTGAATTGCACTGCTAATTGATAGCTTTTACTTAGCGAGGCGTGATCAAAATAGGTGAATTATGCCAATGAGAACAGTCTGCCGTTCTACACGGTCAATCGAGGCCATGGAATGACGATCACGCAGGGACAGTTCCAGGGCCTGGAGATCGACATGCAACTGCTAACAGGGATCGAGATCAACTCTGATGGCAAATCGGCCCGGCTGCAGGGCGGGACATACACCCAGGAGGTCATCGATGTGCTCTGGGAACAGGGCTATGTAACAAGTGAGTCGTCTGTTTCACCTGCGTGCATGCATCAAATATAGGTCCTAACTAGGAGCGAAGCAACGGGAAGCTGCGCGTGCGTCGGAATGATGGGTCTGGGTCTAGGCGGCGGGCATGGACGCCTGCAAGGGTCTTATGGCATGGTCAGCGACAACTTCGTGAGCCTGAACGTGGTCCTCGCAAATGGAACAGCTATCGTGGTGTCCGAAACCTCCCATCCAGATTTATTCTGGGCGATGAAAGGTGCAGGTCATAACTTCGGTGTGGTCACCAGTTTCGAATTGCGCATCTTTCCTCGCCAGGTCGACACCTGGTACTATCGCAACTATGTGTTTTCACAAAGCAACCTCGAGCCATTGTTCGAAGAGCTCAATCGCTTGCAAGGCAATGGTACACAGCCGGTCAAGATAGGGTGGCAGTTTGTCTTGTATGAGATGATTGCCGAATTCAGTCAAACGGAGGTAAGTGGTACCGGAATACCTTGTCCGAGCGCTCGGAGTTTGACAAGCTAACGGGGTGAAGCCAATTGTATTGTGGTCATTCTCGTACGCCGGCTCCGAAGAGGAGGCCCAAGAGCTACTGGCCCCCTTCGATGCTCTAGGCCCATTGAACATCACGGGCGGCAATGTCCCTTACCCCGAGATTGCCAATGCCCAGAAGACCGGACTGAACGATCCGGTCTGCGCTCACGGATTTGAGCGCATTGTCTCCACCGCCGGCTTGCAGATATATAATGTGACGGCCCAGCGGGCGATCTATGACGCCTTCGATGACATGATTCAAACCTACCCTGCATTCAATGGCTCAGTTGTCCTTATGGAAGGCTACCCCGTCGACGGAGTGCTGAAGGTCGACCCAGCCTTGTCGGCATATCCCTGGCGAGACGACTACCTGCTCACGTATGTTTATGTTTGGACTGTATTGCACGATAAGTTATATGCTAACGTGGTTTTGTACTGCAGGTGGGCTTCGATCACATACCCGCCAAACTCGTCATTGGATGCCACGGCTATCGAGTGGGCGAGTCGGTTCAGGACCCTCTGGAACCAGGGCCAACCCGCCCGGCGACCGACAACCTACGTCAACTATGCATTCGGGACCGAGTCGACGGAGTCGATGTACGGATACGAGTCATGGCGGCTGGACAGATTGCGGAGCCTGAAGAGAAAATATGACCCGGAGAACAGATTCTCGTACTATAATCCGATTCCTATCTGAAACTCAGGGAGATCGTGGAGAGATGCTGAGTTGCGTGGACACATGCTGGCGGATAAATTCACATAGCTGTGCAGGTTCGACTAGTCTTTTGCTGCCATTCTCCATGGACACCAATTATGTGGGATATTCTGGTACCTGTGGATAGATAATTCTATCTGCAAACTTATTCTGCATATGTTACTGGTCACTACGTCTCAGTACTCTACAAGGTAGGTAGACATTTGACGCATCGAGTGGACTCGCCTTTCTCTGCCGAAGCTGGAGGTATAAATGTTGTATTCGACCAATCAGCCACGATGGACAACTACTAGCTACTGCCAATACCACCGTAGGGGCTGGAATTGAATAACAGAAGTCCCTCAGGAGTGAATAGAGTAGACATTAAAACCGCATACCCAGACTGAGTAATAGAACATGTCGGCGTGCGATGCATGATTGTGTTGTGTACTTTGACGTTGTGAAAATATACAATCCCCGCTAAGAAAGTCCAAGCCAAAGCCCGTTCCACCACCCACTTCAACTCCACTGTCCCCTCCAAACCAACACCGATCCTGACAAGATGAGCAGGGAAGATCGTGTCCCGCCGCCCAGTCCAGCTCACGCGGGTGCGCAGTCTGCGCGTATGGATTTGCCAAACTCAAATACACCATATAATCCGGCAAGGTCGAGCTGTTCATCATTCCTGTTCGATACGGTGCAGCTCTCGACAAAGAAAGATCGTAAGATAATCTAATTCATAAACTAAACTCGTCAATGGGGTATCGAGCGCCTAAACCGTATACGTGACACAACAATCAGAGTCCCCTTCGCAAACCGCAAAACCGCATTAGCCACGTATATAAGCCACATCAAACCTGATAAAAGAAAACAATGAATAAAATAATGAATGAAAGAAGCCAGTGTGAGGGCAAGATGAAGCCAAATTTGTCTGCTGTGGCTCCTTTGTCCTCATATGTCGCCATTATAATCTGTCCTGCTCCCAATTGTCCAGAAACTGGGATATTTTCTCGAAAGAGAATGGCTTCGTCACGAACATGTCCATTCCCGAGGCCAACGCCTCGCTTTCATCCTGTGCACTACTCAGGCCGGTAAGCGCAATAATCTTAGCCGATACGCCACCGTCTCGCTCCCTTTCCAGGGCCCGAATGGCGCGTGTAGCTTCGAATCCGTTCATCACTGGCATCGAGATATCTGGAGCAGGAGGCGGTCAGCATTATATTTCATCGTGAAAGGGGGGTGAAGGGAGTGAGGAAAGGTGGAAGAATACCCATGAAGATCAGGTCGTAGCCCTCCTTGACCTGCTCCGCCGCTTCAACTGCCTGTTTTCCATTCTCGGCAGTGTCAAGCAACGCCAGGTGCCTCTTCTTCAAGAAGGTTAGAATGAGATTTCGATTGATTGGATTATCCTCGACCACCAAGACACGTGGCCCTCGCGCCGTTCTTGTCATCTCCGTATTCTGAGCAGAAGACCTTTGGCACGAGCATAATGATGGCCGGGACTGTGTAATGGCTGCTGATTGTTGCTCGTCCGGTTCTTCAGGCACAACCGCTGACTGAATAGCAGCAGGAGTTTCTGATTGTTGATTCATGCAACGCTCAATCGCAGCGGCCAGCTTCCATGGCCCGCACGGCAGACGCACAAAATTAACAGTAGGGGCAGTGGACAGCCAGCCAGGCAGCGGGTTGGACTGCGGTATTGAGGGGTCCCAGAAGACAACAATAGGTGGTAATATGGTGTCGGCTTCGAAAGTGACGGTGGTACCTGCGTCCACAAGCATGAGATCCACGGGTAAGTGAGAGGAGTGCGGTATAAGCTCTATGCCGAACCAGTCCACCAGGTAGCGACTGATAATTGACCACCGGGGTGATAACTCGGTCTTGTCTCCATCTCCCTCAGTAACCACACTTGCTCGCTGTCCCGCATATTTACCAATTATTCCTGTGCCCTTGTTGCCCTGCACCGTCAATTCCTGGAGCCGACGCTCCACCGACACCTCTTCCAGCCCCGGGCAAACGAGAGGGATCGACACCTTCGCTGTGGTACCCTCGCCAGCACAGCTTTGGAAGGTAATGTTGCCTTCGAGCGATTTTACCAGACTGCGAACGATAGATAGCCCCAAGCCCGTACCCACAGCCAACGGATCCTCCTGTGCAAAAGGAGTATAGAGCCGATTTCGCAGGAACTCTTCGGATATGCCTTTCCCCGTATCTGATACTGTAAGAAGTAGGATGTCTCTGGGTTTACCATAACCAGACTTTTTCTGAGGCGCTTCCGTCAACGTCATTTCTAACAATACTTTCCCCGCCTCGGTGTATTTTAGAGCGTTCCCAACGAGATTCATGATGATCCGACGCAGAGCTCCCGGGTGAGTCTGAAATATCCAATTGTGTCGCGCGATATCCAATAGTACTTCCACTGCGTGCTGGTCCATCGCGCAGGATGTTGAGGCCAGCGACTGCACCATGTCATCGGGACAATCGGACGGCGCCGAGGACCTTTGCCCATACGCATGGCCCAGATGCACCCCTTCCACGACTTCCTCGGCCAACGCACTCAAATCCGTTGCCACGGATGTGTCGAGTAAGGATGCGCCGGAGTTAGTTCTCTTCGTGGTGCGCCGCTTTGTATGAGCGCGTCCTCGCTCGGCAGACATGGTCTTGCTGTAATCCAAAACCTGATTCATGGTATCGAGTAAGGTACGTCCGCACTTGGAGATGGTGTCTAGCAATGACCGTTGAAAGTCATTCAGACGGGTGTCGTGCAAAAATTCGCCGGCAGCCATAATGCCGTGCAGGGGACTACGCAGTTCGTGCCTGTGTCGATAGATCGATGGGTCAGTCATAGTGGTCTGGCAATGCACCCTAGGGAGGCTCTTACGAGATACTACCGATGAAATGACTCTTTTGGCGGTCGGCGGCAACAGATTGCATGCGATTGAACTCGGCCATGATGGATGACGCAAATCCGAGCATTGAGCTCAGCTCGACAGATGGGTTAAAAACACGCGTCTCCAGGGTGTTCCAACAAAAGCAACCGGCAAACCACTGCGAATCAGCCGCGTTCCAAAGAGGCACAAAAGCAACCTGGGTCGCTCCAGGGAAATAGCGATTGAGCGTCGTATTCTCAGAGACCTTTAATCCTTTCGATCCTTCTGCGGTCTCGTCGAGGTGTGTCTGGGGTCGATCATCATCAGAACTAGATAGCAGCCCATCGCGATGAAACGACCATAGCCTTCCATGACGGTATCGACAGAACAATTGATGAAGAAATTCCAGACTCAGCTCCGATGCTGGGTACTCCGTCGTTGACCCTGACCGTGGGGAGAAGGGTTCCTGGGAGGTGGATACTGCCAGAACCTGAGGCAAACCAGGAGGCTGGCGGGAATATTTCTCGCCACCCCATCTTGAGTCATACTGCAAAGTGGGATCGGCTCGGAGGAAGATCACTCCTCCGTCATTTCCCAGCTCCAGGCTTTCGCGAAGCAGGTTGGCTGCTCGTTGAAACATCCAAGAATCGCCAGCCGAGGCCTCCATGTCTTGGCGTGCACTGGCCTCTGATATAGATGTGGACCCACGCCTGTTCCGCGATCTTGACCGTGTCCCGGAGGAACGCTTACCCTGACTCAACGTCTGCCGAGAGCTGTAGGATCGCTGAGAACGAACCTCATTGCCGCCCGCAGATTCAGCGGACCGCGGGGCAGACCGTGTGGAGCGAGGTGGCGGTGACAAAGACGAACCTGCGCCCGGGGCAGGTGTGGTGGGAAGACTCGCTGCTTCAAATTCTGAGCTGCCTTCAACAAATTGGTTCAGGGCCTGCGAGAGCCGCGCAGCGCGCCGGCCGTCGGTTGCTTGACGACTGACAGACAGGTATTCTGTAACGAGAGCGCCAACAGTGACCAGGGCTTCTTTGTCTAGCTTTGACAATCCATTGGGATGTGGTCTCTTATCCAGGACAAATATAGAGCCAATGTTAATGCTCTTTGCTGCTGTCAATGGCGTTCCCGCGTAGAAGCGGAAGCCGGGATCCCCTCGGACGAAGGGCAGATCTCGGTATCGCTCATCTCGGCTCAAATCATTGACCTCAACGAAGGAGTAGTCCTTCTTCTCCCTGTTGGAAGGGGGAAGATCCAGAGTGTCCTAGGTAAGAGTGTGGTAAGACAGAGAGTTCATTCGAGCGACATGCAGCTTCGGTGAATATCGGACAGGGGTATGTATACCTTGCACATGGTCCACTCATCCAGCGACAGGCTGGCATTTCCATTCCAAATCCCATCGCCCAGATCTTGCAAATTCAAGTCCCCTTGGCTTGTTTGCGCGGCCTGAGCGATGATATATTGCGAGTCTTGATCGGAGACGCTAAACACTCATCAACGAAAAAAAAAGGTGCGAAGCGGCCGACCATCATGAGGCAAGTGGAAAGACCAAGTAGGTATTGGACACATACCTAATCAGAACACGCTCAACGTCCAGCCGTAACGCCGCGAGTTGAGCGAATGATGTCAAGGTTGCATTGTGGTGACCCAGATGCGGCTCCGGTATCAAGGGGGATGGGTGGCTGTTCCCGGCGTACAGGCGGGGGCTGCTGGATGGGGGAAGATACTGAGCATTCAAGGCCCCGTGCGGAGAGAGATCTGAATCAAAAGCCCATGTCACATCTTCTGCGATAGGCGAAATGTGATTTTGAGGGTGGAAGATGCTGTAGACTTCGCGGGCTCGGCGGCCGGCGCCATGGTCTAGTGAAGGATCCCATCCGGCAGGGGATTTCCCAGGGGGAGGAGGGGTCATCGAGCTTGGGGAAAAGACCAAGTCCGGGGCATGTGAGCAGAGAGAGAATAACGATAGAGGTACTAGGTACAGTACTCAGCGATAGTGTTGCAGGAGGATTGGGGAACTACGCCGACATTAGAAATTGATCAAAGGGGGAGGAAAAGTGTGTAATGGTGCAGTCACGGGTGGGTGACATCATTGCCCAAGTCGGAAAAGTCATTTCCGTGATTGGAGGGCTGGGCACGTGATCTCGCCCTGACTCAGGAAAGTTCCGTGGCTGGCTTAGCTAGACTAGATCAAGTCTAGCGTGTTGCTGGGGCCCCAAGAGTCGGGTGCTTTCAAACAGGCCAAACAGCTCGAACAGGACATACCCGACGGAACCACCCGCCTGGGTCGGTCTCGGCCCTCTTAGCCGAGCTATTCTTTCTGCCATCTTTTTCCGCTCCGCCCCCAACTAACAACAAACCTTCCTGAGTCTCAGAATTGATGAGTTAAGAATTATCACCAGATGTGCTGCATTATGGCTAGGTCGAGCTGACATTCTATTTCCCCTTTGCTCCTTCAATTGGCTTTCTTGGTTCTAGTTTTCTGCTGCTTAGTTTCGTACGCCCCGACAGTCCTTAATGAATATCGATGTCGATGCATGTTAAGCTAAATATATCCTGGACTGGTGGAACCCAAAGAGGACAACCCTTGTCAATGTCAACATTAAATTGCTGACTGTGCGACGATTTACCAGCAGCCATTCCTTTTCACTTGCTGGATTAGTTCGATCTCATTTTCTTTCATCGTCCTGTATAACTATGACTTCGTTATATTTAGCTTTCACCCGCACTCTCACACCGGAGCCATGTATGTATGTATGCGCCGCCGTAGCGGTCCGTCTTTGGTCTAGACAGCCTTCCGTACAACAGAACATCAGGCAGGTGACACAAAGCGTGCTCTCCTGATCTCGTGCTTACATGTCCTTCCGGACAAGACAGAATGCATGAGAGGAATGTATTGAACATGATCTACGGAGAGAGGAAAAAATCCTATTTCAAAATAATCTTCAATTGTTTAACAGTAAACAAGGTGTATAAGGAAAGTGTGCTGAAAGATCATCTACACCTGACCGGTCCGCCGCATGTTACTGCTGATCATCTTCCTGAGAGTTCTAATCAGGTACGCCCCCGGAATACAGCAGTTCCTATCGAGATATTGCTATCAAAAATAGAACAGACCAAAGCAAGAGTCTCGACTTATTCTGCCTGTCATTGGATGATCCTGTGGCCAGATCCTGCGAGCTTCATAAAACTTGTCCCCGACCGCTTCCTGCACCCGGCGCCGGATTCGGTGGTGCCACAGCAATGGCCATGCTTGCCCTTAGAAAGCTTCGTTTCCACTGCCGCAACCAAGGTACAAAACGCTCGTCGCCGTGTAGCGGGTACAAGGCGGGCCCGCTGGCTGGATCCAGATACAAGGTCATGCGATAACCCCAGCGATACTCGGTCTGATGCGACCCGCAAGTCCTACCAGCCTGGCCCGCCGGACACGTCGGGTCAATACAGCAGGGTTCGAATCCGTACAGTATCACTTGATGGAGGTGGAACACACCACCATAGGTGGGAACGGGCGGCACTCTTCTGGGCCAGTGGTGGCGTAAGAAGTCGATGCGCTTCTCCAGCGCCGCAGCGTCGCCTGCCCTGTTCGGATAGGCTATCGTGCTGAAGTCTCGAGCATTGCCTCCTACCAACGTGAAAATTTCGGTTTGCCACATGGTCGAAAAGACTGCGATACGATTGTACGTGCTGAATCTCTCGTCGGTGGCACGCATGTAATCGTGTGTTGAGACATTGATTCTGTAGCCCTCGTTCAAGGGGAACACCTCCTCAAGCTTGTCGCGCCATCGCGCAATGGTCCGTGGGGCCGCCATTTCTGCATGATGAACTCCTCTGGTTTCAGACATTCAGGGAATATATATATACAGTTGTTCGAAACTTAACGGAGATCTGTTGTGCGATCAATGAGGAATTTCTCGCGAAGTCATCGAATAGAATGAATGATGGAACGGAAATGTCAAATTAAAATTTGAAATTGTCGGTGCTCTCTAGTTATAGACAAGCTAGACAGCAAGTGAAGATGGAAGGTTGATTGAAAACTTCCTGCACATGGTATGCCCTTCTACAATAACAGTTACTTGGTCAGGTAAAGGAGCATAATAAGAGCTTGTTGTCTCCATGCTTGCACTGTAGGGTATAGGCAGCCTCCGGGGTGACAGGTATAACATAACGATAATCGAATAGCTGATCCAATTTCATAAGCAAGGTAAATTGATGATCATCTGCGAGTCTCTAGCCACTATATGGGAACAAAGAGAATTAGGGCTATAGAAGCGGGTATCCACCAATCACACAGATGGGGATAGAGCCCGGCTTGGTCTCCTGCTTCGCCGTGAGTCCTGCAACCCCCTTTCCTTTTCTGACTATCCGGCCTCTTGTTCATTTCTCTCATCTCCATTTCGGGTCCTTGACCTCAAATCAGCGATTTTTCCATCGTCGTCACTACCTTTACATCGGAGGATCAATCATTCTCCCAAGTCCCTCCGTCTATTCATTGATTGACACGGCACAAAAAATGCTCTGCCAGCATTATCTTCAAATGTTTTAATCGCCGGGATGGGCCCTTAGCATGCCAAAGAAGCCTCGCTGATTGAAGCAGTAAAGAACAAATGCTACATCTGCCAGCCCATGCAGCATGATCTTCCAAGGCAGGGTGATGGGCTCATGCATCGACCCTGGAACTATCGCGTCTATGAAGATTTAGCGTACTCCCAGCGGATAATCGACGACATCATCGATGGCGAAGAACGGAACGACTTTCGGCCCTCCCAGACCCTGATCGCTGTTCCCAGCTCTACTATCGCCTTCAAATCTGTCCCTCCCCCGCGGGACTCGTCTAGCCGCCTCAACGACGCGGCCGCTGCGGCAAGAACCTGGATCTCCCCGTGACTGGTTGAGCACTACTGTGTAAAGAATCAGGCTCCCGAGTTTTACCTGAGCAGCTCCTAGAGTTGCGAGGCGATATCATCCGCTTGGTCTCATTGGCCGAGGCAAGGGTGTCGGCGCTGCCGTACGCGGCGTTGAGTGACAGGCTCCCGCACGCCTCGACCAGCCTCCTCGACGAGCTTTCCAGAGGTTCGTTGATCTCACCTTTTCCAATCGCATATCATGAACCCTATCCGCCTTCTTCAAGCACTTGATATTCGCTTTTTGTTTGCCCAGGCGTCCTGCGGGCCAGCATCATTAGCGTCCTCCTACCACGATACCGACAAAGCTCTCCATTGCTCCTCCACATAACCCATCTACACGCACTCAATACTGACCTTGGCTCTCTCAACAACAGCCGTCGCAGACCAAAGCTCCTTTCAACAGGCCCCAGCGGACGTTATAATGCCGTTTCAGGTAGTGAGCAATGGCAACATCTTCGGCGCAAACGACACCAACGAGACTGCAATCACCATCATCGCCTCTCCATCCACAATCGTCTGCATCGCGCGATCTCATGGGACTACCTCGAAAGCTTCCTCTACAACCAGCCCCTATCCGATTACACAAGAGCCATCCAAGAACGCCTCTGGTCTCCGCGAGTACTGAGGCTAAGACAAGGGGAAGTCTTCTGGGATTGTAGCTGCCTGTCGCGCGCGAGCGAGACTCTATCTGAAGGACACCCGAGTCTCGAGGTCGAGGATATTTTCACACTTTGGGTCTTCAGCATTCCGGAAACGGAGGAACGGGCGGTGTTGGAGCCGTTTTGGAACCAGGTTGTAGGCGAGGTCACAAGCTGTAGTCCCAGGGACCGATTAGGATGCATGGAGTGGGTTGCACAGCAATTGGCGGAACGGATGGGCGATGTGTATCTTGGGGGGTCACTTTTGGAGGTCTTTGCCCCAGAGCTTGAACTAGATAGTCAAGGATCCTTGGGAGCCGGATTGTGGTGTCGGTAATGGTCGGGATGGGCGGAATGCCTCTGTTGGGACAGGGGTTGACGGGGTGCCGACGTGGAGTTGGGCGTCTATGGATGGAAAGGCGTATCTTCCCTCAGGCGGCTGGGGGGACGATATGAAATGCTTAGCGGACAGGATGGCGTATTCGGTTCTACGTGCCTTGTCGGTGATAGGTCTTTGGATTGAGACTTACGTGGTTGGTGTCTAGTGGGACTTCGGGGGAGAGGTGGAAGATGGACTTTCAGCACGTTTTCCGACGGGATGTTATCACGTTAGTCTAGCTGCTTGCGGTAGTGAAGAGGCAGGATCTCGCAAACGCGTTGCTTTTGTGCAGCCGCTAATAAGGGCTGAACCTAAAACACCACCCAAGAAACAGAAATTGAAGGGAGGATTACCATTGAGCCAGAAGACAAGATATTTACACCGCTGCCAAGATCATTATTCTCATGTTGCTTACCGCTTGGGATAGCAGGTTGCTTTAACTCTGCTCCGTAAGGCTGTATGTGTCCAGGTGTGTATCAAGAAGTAAAAGGCATTGTGTAAACCTATGGTGGAGGAGATGAGATGAAAAATCAACCACAGGTCTACTGGAAGGGGTTCAAGAAGCACGGCTACCTCGTTAAAGTTGGTTACCATCTCCGGACTAATATAACCACCCTTGAGCGCCTTGGAAGTAAGATGTTAAGTAACATTGCCTAGTGAAATTAGCAACCTTGCCGCGACTGAGTGCATGCTCTTCCTTCGGATTATGTGTTAGTAAATATCAAAACGCGCGGTGATAGAAAAGTCTCCGCCTGCCGTGAGGAAGCCTCCGGACCCCGTAGGTAACGAACAGGTCCCCAATAGCATGAACTTGTGAAGGTCCTTGGGAAACGTGAGGAAGTTGAGTAGGACTGTCGTGGGATGCGCTATCCACGCACATGTAACACATGAAGCAGCCATAAGCTAGGCAGAACGTACTCATTTCGGCACAAATTGGTGCAAGGCAAGGAGCTGAAGAGAACTAATCGAATGAGCTAATCTGACTTTATTGGTAAAAGACTAATCTCTCTGAACGCGTTGCCCATGCCCCAGCAGTTGAAACATGGGATCAATCCTGCATTTCTGATATATTAATATAATAGAATTACCGTCCATGTGACTATTCACACGAGGATGATTGGGTGGGGAGCAAGCATTTGCACCGGGGAGCATGTGCGCAAGATGCAGTCCCCGACCATTTGGGGTCGTATTAGATTCATTTTATGCAGCTGCCTAGTGCCGGCGTCTCCGGCTCTGCATCCTCGTGGGGGTCTGAGCACTGCACTGATAGATTTGGGTATGACCACCTCAGCCAGCCACAAAAAGGCAAAGGAGAAGGAATGCGGGGAAGTCAGAGAATGCGTGTTAATAGGCAGTCAGAATAACAGGCTGAAGTGTTTAGCACATACGATGATCTAGTGTCCTTCAATCTGGTGTTTAAAATTCATACTCTGGTCCCCTGCGCAACTGTATGTAGCCTAGTTGGTAATCTATAAGTCGGCTCTCTATCTTATGGGTGAGTATCTGCCAATTGAATCTCTAGATTACTAGGAAGTACCGTTGCATCGGCATAGATGAGATACCTATTAAGGGACATTTTGTTCTTCCCCTGTAAAAGTCAAAAGATGGACTGCATCTCTCCAGTAGCAAGACCAAGACCATACATAGTCTCATTACTGACCATGGGCAAATCCACTCGATAAGGGAACCACTGGGAGGCCAAGCTGGCGCCCCGGTGGCTTGTAAGCAATATCTTGAAGACAAGATCCGACCGGCTTCGCGAAACATATTCCACGAGGCTATTAAGAAACCTCATCACCCAATCTAGCCAATGTATATGAATCTGGTTGCTGAAGTAGTCCACGCCATCAATCATGCATAGGACAATACCAGTGGGAATCCGTTTGATCACGTTCGCAAAGAGGTCGCACATAGTAGACAGATCCTGAGATGCAATCGTGTGTAAGCTATCTTCTACCAAGAAACTGAGATCGAGGCTGTTGGCCTCTGTGAGGGTCACCGCCACTTGAGCTATCAGAGATCGCATCATCCCCGACGCGCCAGCGAGGTTATCCTGGGGATCGCAATGTTCCCGGCAGAAAAACGCGACTGGCACTACACGCTCAGTTGAGGCAAAGGACTTCAGTAACATCGAGCAGATGTAGGTCAGCGGCGAGACGGGACTCTCCTGTAAGATGTCCTCCTCCATCATTGAGACCACAAGAACCTCAGAGCGCATGACTTGAAGCCAGGTGCGGAATCGACAATCCTGCAGGACGCCAGCAATCTGGTCTTCAGCATCACCATCCAGAAGTCCTCCTAAGACTAACAGCCTCCTTCTTTCCGTGATGATGACATCGACTGTATGGTCTACAACATCGACGTCGGGAAAGGGGCTGGTCAAGTGGAGCGCAGTGAGGAGCTGCTCGATTGTGATGTGTACTCGAGTCACCGGGGGAGCTTGAGCTGAATCATATGCGTCCAGTACTGATGAAACAGGTCAGTGGGAGGGACTAAGGGCTCGTTTGGTGCGTCCGACCAAATGAGACACCAAGTGAAGCTTACTCGGTTGCATCTGTTTGATCTTGTCCTGCAAGATTGCCTCCAATCTTTCCAACGATGCTGCCGCGCGTCTTAGATTGTCTTTCATTTCGTCCTGTCCTTCGCCGATACGGACCACGTTTTGGCCCATATCGTGGACCTCAATACTCAAGCATGACTTCACGGCCTTTTCAAACGCAATCGCCTTCTCTCCAACACTGGTGGTAATCTTGGTTTCGAGTTTCTTCCCATAGTCATCCTGTTGTACAAAGGCTTTTCCTATTGCGATCACGCCTCGAACCACTGAACAACCGTGAGTAGCGCATTCCAAATCAATAGAACAAAGCCCTTACCACCCTTAGTCTTCGATATCCATAGTGTTATCTCCTCGACCGCATCCAAGACGCACATGTAAAGTTCGTGAGATTTTTCCAAAAGCTCCTCGCTCCATGAATAGGTATAAAGATAGGGCGAGACATCTTGAATTGGCTGCGACAGACTGTCCAAAGAGCCCAGAACAAATTCGCGAACGGTACTCATCCGATTGGCTGCCTATATATAAATGAAGTTAGAGCTGGGAAACCAGAAGATACTGAGATCTTATGGCAGACAACAAGAAAGGTAAACAGGAACTCAAAATTTGTCAGTGGAATGGATGCAACAGGAGACAGCCGAGGCAACGCTGTTTTGCACGCACGTTGTAGACCAGCTTCAGCCCCCCGCATATGACTCCCATATAATCGCCGCTAGGAATCAGTTCTGTCAGGAATTCCAATCGAGAGGCAACGTCTCCGACAACTCGAATCGATTTCCGGAAAAAGTTCTTCTTTCCGTTCTGTTTGTATCGTAAGTCTAATGCTTTTTGCGCCTCACTGCGGACCTCCTCCCATGTCGTGGTGTGCTCGAAAATGTCTTTGGCCTGACTGTCTTCAGTATGTCTGAAGTATGCCCGCATGGCAGCTTTGAATCTCTCCTTTCGATCCTGGACGCTGTATATGCTTGTCAACATGCCTCGAAAGCCCACATTCAACGGTGATCGGACTTGTAGACTCACCGAGGAGGAGGATCTGGGAGTTTCTTCTTTCTCATACGCTGAGCTTCGGCAAATGCCCAAGCCGGGTCAACCTTGGCGGCATTGTGCTGGATCCAGGGGGTGACGGTGCCTTTTGCGTCGTTCATTGTTGGACAGGGAGTGTCGAGCCAGCCCGTAGGGAGCATGTGTGGAGCTAGAAATTCCGATGTCATCTTCATATCGGCGCTTTTTGTGCTTGGTAGACCAGATAAGATGTCTTTGACCTGTCCGCGGAGAAAGAATGCATGGCGCTTGGTTCGCCGGAGTTGGCCGGGATGGATGCATGCATACCATGCATATCTGCCCAAAGAGTGTTTGCTTACATGAAGAAGGCTTAGCTGACAACCCATGCGACTTGTCAGCATTTATCTGCACGTCAGCACGTCTTGCTCACACTGTCACACTGCATACTCTAATTTTCAGCCAATAGCCTAACATGAGTGTCTCGAGTGCAGCGGCCCCGCACTGCTGAAGCGGATCCTCTAATATCGTATAGCAGTATACCTGAACCTGCGACCAGCTTATAAATACTGCTGCGAGTTTTCTGTCACTGATTTTGATATAGCTGGTTGTGGATTCCAATTTCTCCATCAACATCTAGTCCGGTCTTCTTTCGGAAGGATTTCTCATGACGACGGTCGAAACATTGACTGCCGATGTAGGCAGTGTGCGCACTACTGCAATGGAACCAGATGCTTTGCCCCCGGAAAGTGAGACTGAAATCCCCCCCGAGTCACAACCCGAGAACGAAAAGGATCGCCGAGTGGAAGGGGAAGATGAATCGTCAAAAGCACCCAAGTCCCAGTTGGACACAATCCCGAGGGCGACAGTAGAGGAGTGGTTCAAAACCAGCAAAAGCTCGCTCTCTCGATTTGAGGAGCTCGAAAGCCGGACCCAGAGAGTTGTGGACGCGCATGGGTTTGACTGGCAGGATGCCTTGCAGGACATCTCGTCAAGCCTTTTCGAAGAGATGCAGATGTTGCGCGACTTGAATGAGTCACTGGCCTCGTTGCTCGATGGTGGTATTCCCACCGAGGCAAAAGACGACGTGGAGAAAGAAAGCCAAAAGAACGAAAGCGAAGAGAAAGAGAAGGAGGAGGAGGAGGAGGAGGAGAAAAGGCCCCAGGAGATCGACATCTCTGTTGCAAAAATCCGTTACCTCCCCTGGGGTGAAGCAGCCACCTTGGACTGTCCGCCTGCCAAGCACTTCGCCATTGAAATTCCCCACAACGAGCCTTCAGCAGGCGATATCCGAGCCAGTACTGGGGGTAGCGGACAATCGGTCGCTCTCCTGACTGGAGAAGAAGACACAGACAGCCTTCCCTTGACTACTTTACCCGAACGAATCCGCATCAACTCTCATCGCCTGAAACACTTGCTAGATTATGAGTTCGGTAACGGGGACTTGTCCTATCACGGTGGCACCCCCTTGTCAATTCTCCGGCCCTTCAAACTCTTGGTCTATTTTGATAAGCCAATTCGGGCCAAGCTGGCAGAGTTTGAAGCTGCCCGGAAGGAGATACAGGATCTGTCGGAGGAGGAGTACATTCAAGCCCTAGTGGACTCTTCTGTCGAGGACAAGGGCTATTCCAAGGATGATTGGCCATCGATGAGTGTGTTAGAGTTGACCGCTCTGATCATGGATTGTCGATGCTTGACGCAATTCATGGATGAAACTCTCCGTCCAGCACAGATGTACCTGGCCACTGCCCCGGAGATGGTGCGATTTTCTGACCTTTGGTTCCTCTTCGCCCAAGGCTCCCTTGTGTATATCAAAGGCAGCAATCCCCCCCAGAAGATCTGGAAGGTGGTGCAACGCACCGGCGGCCGCCGGATCCTGGAAGGGTCGGGGCATCCCAGAGACAAAACTCTCGGCACCTGGACCACTTTCGTGCTAGATTGCTTCTATTTAGACTATGATGGAACCCGCTTTATTCCCGTCTTCCGTCAATTTGAAATCAGTGGTTTTGATGGCACCCAGGCCGTCAAGTCCCTCCCAGTCCTTCCTCTCCCTGTTGCGGAGCGAGAAGGGCTCACAGACCGAGCATACCTGGCCACGCGAGGGAAACAGTTCGTTGAATGCACGCAGCAAATCCTTCATCTGGATTACAGCGGCCGATGTCACTACTTAGACCCATCCGGCCGAAAATTGACTGATATGGTCGACAAGATCCCCTCTAGTGCCTCTTGCTATTCTGAGCAAATTGATAGCGATGTGATAGTGGACTTCGCACGTGCCCTAGGGGAAATTCCTTGGTGGCGTCCCGTGACAAATGACCATACTTTTGGCGAAACTCTCACGGCGGAGACAGGCACCGATACAGGAATCGAGAGAGATGCGGTCTGGGATAAGCGGTTCACCGATGACTTTATGGAGGCTCAGACACTCATGTGGGATGCCTGGGCCAAGACCGGAGGAGGGCCAACCGATGATGACCTGCTAATTTTGCCCGACCGGGTTTTTGCATTCGTGCTATCAACTAGACGATGGGGTATGCTCCCGGCATGTTGCTTCCACAAGACTTTGTCATGGCTAACAAGGAGGTGTTTTCCAAACAAATAGCATGTCTTCAAATTGGACGGGACCCGAGTGGGAATGAGCGGCTGCGAAAGAGACCTGCCAAAGAAAACCCCTGGCTCAAATTACGTCTTCCGGATGGTCACAAGGACCTGGTTCAGTCTTTGATCCACTCGCACTTCAACAGGAACAAGTCTGGGAGTGTCCATTTTGACTTGTTGAGGAACAAAGGTAAAGGCCTCTGTCTCTAGTGCTTTGTTTTATCCCCTCGAGGGCTTCTGCTAATAGCTAGAGATAGGGAATGGGGTTACAATCCTCTTACATGGGGTTCCCGGAGTCGGGAAGACATCTACGGCTGGTATGCTACGCAGACTCTTTCGATCCTTCATGGAACCAATACTGACGATACCATAGAATGTGCTGCCATTAGCAATGGCAGACCTCTACTTCCCATAACGTGTGGTGATCTCGGACTCACAGCGGGCGAAGTAGAAGAAAAACTGAAGGAAATCTTTCGTCTCGCTCAGGATTGGGGTTGCATTATGCTCTTGGATGAAGCTGATGTTTTCCTGGCTCAACGCCGGGCATATGACGTGGAGAGGAATGCACTTGTCTCTGGTAAAGTTGAGCTCCGATGATGTGCGCGTCTAGCCTCCCTAGCTAACCATTCATCGAATTACCAGTTTTTCTCCGCACCTTGGAGTACTATGAGGGAATTTTGTTCCTCACCACGAATAGAGTTGGCGTATTTGATGAAGCCTTCAAGTCCCGAATCCACATGTCGCTCTATTATCCGCCACTGAACTGGCCTCAAACATACGAAATCTGGTCGGGTCACATTGACGAAGCGAATAAGGCTGGAATAATTGCCAGCAAGGGTGAGTTGACGAGCTTTGCGAATCAGATCTTCTACGCTCAATGTCGTCCGGGGTCGGGACCTGTTTGGAACGGTCGACAGATTCGTAATGCCTTTCAGAGTGCCCTTGCTCTGGCGGCATTCCATACCAACGAGGGGGCCAAGATCCAACTTCACGCAACCTATTTTCATAACGTCTTCACCGTGTCGGACAACTTCAGCAGATACATCTGGATCACCCAGAAAAAACAGGACGATGCTGAGCGCAACTCAAGCTCAATGGTAAGACGAGACGACTTTACCTATGATACGACAGGGGTGCTCAACCTGCAGCCTCCTCAACAACCCACTGTTATGCAGCCATCGTACACCCAGGGAGGTATGCCAGCGTCATCCTTGTCTCAAGGTCACCCAAGCTCACAGCAAATGGGGGCCGTCGGTAGTGGCCAGCCTTATATGGGAGACCCGCGGAATCTCCAGGCGGGTAACCAGAATATTTCCCTTCCCATGGGTCCGCAATCTGGCCAGCAATTGCAACAACCAAGTCCACAGCTAGCCCTGCATCCCCAGCTCAATCTTTCGAGCAACAATCTTAACGATAATTATAACTTGCATTCTAGTGGCCAATCATTACAACAACCGAGCCCACAAATTATACCGCAACCCCAAGTGAATATGCTCAGCAATAACAACGCCAACGAGAATTATGCCATGCAACAGCAACAGCAACAGCAACATGCCCAATTTATCTCTCTATCTGAAGCCGTGGCCTCCCAAAACCAAAATACTGGATCGCAGTCCGCATTGCCGCCTCCCGGTCAACACTTCAACCACCAACCCTCAACCAACTTCCCCCGTTAGGACTAAAGGCACTCAGCTACATGTAGCCCAAACTTATGGCTTTGAGCTTTTACCCACTTTGCATTGGAGCAGTCGAAAATGTCCGGCTTGGCCTTAGGAACTTTGTTGCAGGATCGTGAGGGAGGTTCCTCATCCCGTTATAATGCCAATCGGGTCGAGAGTGATTTGAATTCAGGATGAAACAATTAAGTTAGGAAGCTTTATATAATGAACAAATCGACAATCTTATTGTACAAGACCCTGTGCGGTCAATCTTGTTTCAGTACAACAGGTGATTCGAAACATGTCATAAGTCCGGTCGACAAGTAGATGCAATGAAACATGGTACTAGGGGCGCACATTCCCAAGTCATCGATACTTCAAGATTACCAATTCACGTGCAGCTACACAATCTGAGAGAATAGTAGCGCGCAGATCGAGCGGTGCGACATCGACGAAGTGAAAGAGACTGGAGAGCATATGCTAAAAGTACGTACAACCCACCGTAGACCATGGCAATATGCTCCTCTCTACTCTTTCTGCCCGACTTCTCCCCAGCTCTACCCATCCCTCGTTGTCTTTTTAAATCAGCCTGGAGGCGAATCATCTATATTTATTGTATTCTTAGGACAGCTTCAATGGATGGACATCACTTTTCACCGTCACCGCACTGCAAGTGAATATCTCACGGGTTGGAATTCAAGGACCGGAACTTCAAACGGCACCTACTTAAATTCATGCAAAGTATTGATCTCCTTGTTGGACTTATTATTGGGCTATGTTTAGACTCCTGCCACAGTCCCCGCCGCAGTGGCTTAACACCGAGCCAGACCAGCATTGACCAATCGGAGTTTACCACAAGTCCGCGGCGTTAAATGCAGCCCTACTCCAGCGAATCGATGCTTAAAGCTGAGCTGCAGACTCCTTTTATCCAATTCTCATCGTCCACGCATTCATCATGTCTACTACTACTACAGCTCCTACTACCAAAAAGCTCACCTGGCTGGTCACAGGCTGCTCCTCGGGCTTTGGTCTCTCCCTGACCCGCGCCGCCCTGGCTGGTGGCCACAAGGTCATTGCGACCTCACGCAACCCATCGCGAACTCCCGAGCTGGTAGCTGACATTGAGTCCAGAGGAGGCAGATGGGTCCAGCTAGACGTCACCAGTCATGATAGCAGCGACGTCGTCGCCAGGCTCGAACGCGAGGGCGACCATATCGATGTCCTCGTTAACAACGCAGGCTACTCCATCTACGCCCCCATTGAGACGGTCGAGGAGAAGGAAGTGAGAGCCCAGATGGATACAATGTTCTTCGGCCCCTTGCGTCTCATCCAAGCCGTGCTGCCTCACATGCGCCAGCGGAAGTCCGGCGTGATTGTCAACATGAGCAGTGGTGCTGCACTGGATGGCATTCCCACCATGGGGGTGTATGCGGGCGCCAAGGCTGGATTGGACGGTAGGTACCATTGATATTTCGCTAAGGACAGTCGCTTATTGAATCGGATCTGATAGCCCTCACGAAGATCCTTGCAAAGGAGGTCGACTCATGCAACATCCGCACCTTGACCGTCGTCCTCGGGACTTTCAATACCAACATGCCCAACGCCGTCGTTCTGGGGAAGACCCCGCTGCCAGAAGACTACAAGGGAACCTTCACTGAAGAGGTTCAAGGGCTACTTGTCAGTGGCAAGATCAAGCCCAATGGCGACAAGGACAAGGCGATGCAGGCTGTGTACCATGTCGTTACTGGTGAGGGAGACGGGCAAGGCCTTCAGAACGAGAAGCTGCTCCCTCTTGGAAGTGATATGACACCTCGGCTCAAGGGGGTCCAGGATTACCTCGGCCATGCTCTAGAGGTCTTTGGCTCTGTGACTAACGGCGTCGATGTTGATAAAGAGTAGATTCAGGCTGGAATCCGCGGTGGCTTTGGTTCCAGTATGATTAGCTCCTTATCAAAGATGTCTTACCCGCTTCACCCCAATATATGCGACAACTCATATGATTGAAGTGGGTTGTCATTGCGTATTTTTCGCAAGCCAGTACTGATCTTGTAATAGAGTATCGTACTACCGAAGAGGTCGGAACGGTGTAACAGTTTTCCACGCTTCAGATAATATCTTTTAGGAATGACTTACTCTGGTTCAAAAACCATCTAAAGATCAATCTGCAGTCACTTTCTGTACCGTAAAATAGGGATACTCAATCACCTAACCCCATCACCGCGTTCCCACACCCCCTATCAATCTTCGGGAGCCCTCAGCCGATCCAAACCCAACTCACCCTCTGTCTAAGTCTTCTAATAGCAGTCCGAGTCCTGAAACTGATACTGCGCCTGTAATGCCTTATCGAGAGGCCAGCGCGTTGCTCCCAAGGTTTCTTTACCGAGAATAATCCCTGGCTTGTCCAGCGGTTGCCCAGATCCCGACAGAATCATAAAACACATACCGAGCAACCATCCATGACTCAAGTCTAAGTATGCGCGAAGGAAAGCAAACTAAAATGTGGGCATGCAAAAAGCTGTCGTATAGAGGATGGCAGGTACATCCCGCAACACAAGTAACACGGTTTAATTTTGTATAAGAATCACCGTTGCTGGTCCGTGTCCAGAGATAATCTTGTCATAAATAATATACCGCTGTCTAGGTAGCCTAAGGCCTTGTGGTTGTAAACCAGCAGCCGACTACTGGTTTCAAGGCCTTGTATAATGAACTCGGGATCCTGTTTGATGGCGTAGTAGAGACAGTCTTGTTCAAAGGGACGAGCGGCCGGGATTCGGGCAAGTCGGAACTTGTGTCGAGCTGTAAGGTTTCTACAGGCCTACGGATCGACGATCCCGGCTCATGCACTGCAGACTTCGCTGCTGGGCGCGGGAGCGAGGTGAAATACCCATTGAACTCGAACCGCGAGTATACCTTTCCACAGCTTGAGTGGTAGGTCCAGTAGCTATCCTGGAGTGGGCGCACATTCTAATAGTGAGTGAATCCTGGGGATTGCCAACAGCAACTAGAGCAAATGACACTGGCCAATGACCTCATTCCTTTCTGAGAAGCCTAATGAATGTTTGGGTCGAGCCTCGCTTCCTGAGCAACATATTGAACCAGTATCTCTCCTACAGAACGCTTGACCTCCAAAGTGTAACTCCATGTAAGCGTTATGGCATTGGTCCAATTCTTTGTCTCATGGCAATAACAGGCAAGGTAAGCTACGATAGTACACCAGACCACAAGTAGTAGGAGCAGGGGTATGCTGGAAGGGGAAGATCTGCCATCTAGCGCACGCGCTCTCGCATTAGCCCTGCAGGGAAGGTCTAGATCATCACTTCTAATCCCGGCAATGGAGCGGCCTATGCTAACTCGGACCCTAGTCATTTTAGAAGGCTTTGCACCCGACCAATTCTGTTAATCAATAAAGCAACATTTGCTCACCCGAGAAGGTACAGGGGTTCGTCTGACCACCCAGGGAGAAGGTGGCTAGCTGAGAGTCAACGTGGGAAGCAAGCTTCCGTGCTCACTGAGTTTGCCAGGTTGAACCGTTATCACACTGCCAAATTTATGATTGTGTTAGATTCCAAGGCAAAGCTGGGAGGGAGATGCAGTCATGCCGCATATCGGGTATGATGAAAGCCAGTTTGAGCTCGGAAAAGAGATCCTCTGATGCCACAGTCTATTTCCGGTAACCCTGGTGAGTGGTTGAGAACGCTCTCAATATGACTGATTGTTCTTAGACCAAGCTCTAGATATGTCTTTCGCGCAGGGCGCGAGGTATCAATGGGTCTACATGCACTTAAATTGTCTTGAATTAAAGTCACAAGAAGTGGGATAAACAGTTTTCAAAGCGTACTGCACTCATTTCATGATTAAGTACTCTCCAAACAGGCCCGCAAGAAGAATAACCCCTACAATGCCCGTGCCCTTCCCGAAGCACCAAGCGCAACTTGCCGCCGAGCGAAGATCAACTTTCACCAGCATAACAGTCAAAGCCAGCGCCACGCCAGCGCACGAGACAAAATACACCGACGAGAACTGGCACTGCACGCCAGTGAAGACCAAGAGTGCGACTTGAGCGGTCGTCATGACCGCACAAGCCAGCTTGGTGTTGTCTCCGAGACGGACCGCCAGGGAGCGCACGCCCGCTTTGATGTCATCCTCGCGGTCCTGGTGTGCGTAGATGGTATCAAAAATCACAGTCCAGATGGCACATGCAACACACAGACTTAGACAAGATGTCGCTAACGAATGAGATTCGTCCTGCGTCAGAACGCCCCTTCCGTCCAGATCAAACGGGTCAAGCCCGACCATGGCCGCGGCGTAGGGAATCGCAGCTGCAAAGCCGACTCCAAGAATCAGCTGTGGCATGTCAGTCACGCGTTTCCCCAGCGGATAGACGCTCAGGATGACGGCTGTCAGAGTGGCATAAACGGGAATTGCCGTCGCTTCGGGGCTCTGGCGGAATGGACACTTGACGGCCATCACGGCTAGGATGACAAACTGGGTGGCGGCGAAGAGGTTGGCTTGGGTGGTTGAGACCGCCCCTCGCGCAATGGGTCGCCATCGGGTTCGAGCCACCTGGCGATCGAACTCTTGGTCCAGGTTGTCGTTGACGGTGCAAACCGCACCGCGAAGCACTATTACCCACACGCCGAGGTAGATTGTTGCTCCTGCTATAGTAATCGGGGACAGGCGCGGGGAAATCAGGGCCGCACCAAAGCCGATTCCGATCAGATAGTGCCAGATGAAGGCGAAGTACCCCGCTGGTCGGTCCAGACGCATGAGTTCAGCATATGGAACCCATGCCGGCGGTATGATGGTAAAAATGCCACCGGAAGGAGGTTGGTAAGATGATTGGGGAGGGGTGTGGGAAGAGCGACTGGGATTCGCTTTCATTGTGGATAACAAGCAGATACTGAATCACTTCAAATTTAAAACTTGGCAGACCTCTAATTCCTCTCATCTTCGTTCTCTGCCCTCTTTATATGTCGAGATGCCAGCATGTCGAAGTGGGACCGGTAGCCAATGGGTGCAAATCCCTTGTGTTCTTTTTTAGTAGCCACCAAATCGGTTAATGATCCCCTGCTAGTGCGCAAACTACAATTTACGTGATTATCAGCCCCGATTCTTGGACCAAACAAGACTCGCCCCAGCAGCAGGTGCGATCTTGGCAATCTACGTGTACGCAGATTGCAATCACTCCCCATTCCACCACCCCGATGACTTTCAGCCCCCTTTTCACACGATGTAACCCTTCCCACTTTGCTATTTGCTGTCAAGCGTTCGCCAAGGTTCTTTAAGATCCTTGCTAGCGTACACGGCGGGATGTGATATCTGTCTGCATGAACCGTCACATAATTAACCGCCTGGCGCTTCTTTCTTTGTTCTCGTTGTTGGCACAATCCACAAGACAGCTGATGAGTTTGGATTACCGCAGCAGGGCAAGAATTGCATGTCCTCAAGGCCTACCGGCATGTGACTATAGAGGGGCTGTCTACTCTAGTCCCTACAAGCCAGTGCACTTTCGAGCGTCGCGGAAGAGGCATGGGATAAGCTTTCTCCTTCGTTGCTTGGTTCGCATCGAGCCGAAACTTTCTCGGCAATGGCTCTCCTCGTTAGGGCTGTCGGTACACGTGGAAGGATTTGGGTTCTTGGACAAATTGCGACTTCGCATATATTACGGCCATTTACATGTATTATATTTCATGACATTAGTGCCGACTCAGCCGAATAGGCTCCTAAATCATCTCTCGTGCTGATTGCTCGAGACAGGGAGTAGTGCCAGCCAGCGATACGCGTAGTCCGGGATCGTGAAACCCCGCTGGCAAGATTTCCAATGATTTCCAAGCAAAGAAAGTGGGCTTATTCCACTAGAGCGAGTTTATGGTCTTTCTCTGCATGTTATTTGGATCACACCGCAAACCTGCCTGGAACTGTAGTGGTGGCGACCGGTAAGCAGTCACCAGCCAGGGGCTGGAAGGCGTAGAGAGCAATCCCTTAATTTCGTCAACACGGCACCATCTCAGGCTCAATAGCACGATGGAAGAGATTAGAAATGCCTTGGTACAGTTGTAACAAGCATCTCGTCAAAATGGCGGATACTGCGTTTTCTTGCGAAAACTGGCTCGTACATTCCCGGGCCCTAGGCTTCGATACTCTTGAATGCGAGATCCTGTATGGACTTCGGTTTTACAGCAGACATCCGAGTCCGGATTTGCCGCAAAGTCTGCTGGGTCGCGTGTTTTGTGCCTATAAAAGACGCCATGATTTAAGCGTTATGTTCGCGAAGTAAAGCAGAATTTCTGTCTATGATCGGAAGGTTGTTCGCTGGACAAAAAGTCCCGGGGAGAAACCTCGCCGAGAAATGGCTTGGCAAACAGAATTGACAGCGGAGTTTAAAAAGATTGATTACCTGGTGGACTTATCTCTGTGATGGTGATGCTTATATCAGAACTGTACAAGATATCTGGCCCACTACCATCCACTGTAAATCTCCACACTATGCCAGCCAGTCGTATCACCTCCGCCATGGGATCGATCTGAATTGTACCATCCTTGATGCCATTACTCATTCTCCGAGCTAATATACCCCAATCCAACCCCCAACAATGCCCAACTCGGCCGCCAGTCCACTCCCAGCCCCACGACGCATCGTAGCCGGCCACAACGACGCCGGCTTCGCGACCGTGAAGCACGACTCTCAAATCCATCCGCAACCGGTGGGAGACGGGATCAACCTGGCCCTCCTCTGGACTAGCACAGAGCACCCCGCCGACGTCATCAGCAGCAGGGATTAGGCATTGGTGCACCCGGGTGTACCGCCCACAGGCTCGGGTTTCAGCGCCTATGACCTTCCTCCGCAATCGGTGGGCGTCTTCCACCGCTCGAGCACACTCGATTATGTGATTGTGGGAAAAGGGAGTGTGGTTTTAGGGCTAGATGGTGGAACTCGGGTGACGTTGAATGAGGAGGACGTCCTGGTGCAGCGCGCCACGATGCATAGCTGGAACAATGTGACGGATCAGTGGGCACGTGCTTATGGGATTATGCTGCCTGCGCGGGCGCCTTGTGTTAGTGGGGAGGAGCTATGAGCGGTTTGGCCTTTTTGAGGGATGCGGTGGACTGTATATTGTGGGGAAGAATGACTGTTAAAGGTGTTACGATAATGCGTGCGGGATTGCCGGGGGAATGTGTCTACATCGGCAGTTGTCGTTGCCAGTTCAAATATACCCATTGTAATTGTTCCTAGTGCACAAGGTACAATAACACTATCAGTAGCGAATCGCTCACGCAGCTTAAATTTAGGTGTCTCGATCTGAACACCGTAGCCGCAGCCACGGTCCAATTTCCGCATGCAGACAATAAGCTCAGTGGCTCCTATGACCAAATCTCTCGTCCCTCACGATGCGGCCATTTTCCATCTCGATCACCCTTTCTCCACCCTTCATCATGGCAGGCCGGTGGGAGATGTGAAGAACGGTGTAACCACCAAACTCTTTCACAATGATCTGCTGCATCAACGCCTCAGTCGCAGCGTCGGTTCCGCCGGTGGCTTCATCTAGAAGGACTATACCACTCTCTCTCTCTTTACTGACATTGTCCCGGTCCCATTTCCGCAGCAGGGCCACCGCCAACGCGAAGAGTCTTTGCTCACCCTGAGACATAGAGGAGGATGTCAACTCTGCATCCAGTCCGCCACGAGATGTTGCCACTTGAAGTAAGTTGGTTTTCTCCAAAGCCGAAAGCAGAGTCGAGTCGATTAACCGACCGGTCGGGTCCAAGTTGAAGCGGATGGAACCAGGAAGGATGAAAGGGTCTTGAGGTATGGCGATGATACGCGAGCGGAGCAGATTGCGTGGGAGGGTGGAGATATCGATGCCGTCAATTGTGATCGTGCCGCTGGACGTGTTGAGAAGGCGGAGAAGCGCTGATATGAGCGTGCTCTTGCCACTTTGTACGCTTGATCAGCGGAGTGTCACTCTACATATGGTGCGTTATTCACTACTCACCTGCCAGTCCGTCCACACAAAATGACTTTCTCGCCAGCCTCTACGCGGAAGGATATATTGTCTAATGCGGTTATATGGCCACTGAAATAGTGGATATTAGTTACAAGCTCACTTCCACTTGGTCAAAATACGCACTCATATGAGGCAGAAAGAGATTTGATCTCAATCCGCCCATCAGCAGGCCAAGTTGATGGTGGAATAACCGTTTCCCGGGCCTCGTGTTCAGTCGGTGTTTTCATCTCGAATGACCTGGTCCTCGCAATCGCACCAAGGGATGTCTCCAAAGCAGTCCAGTTGGACACCACATCCTGCAGGGTTTGACTAAATGCCATGATTGCGGTCAACGATACGCCTAGCTTTCCCGGATTCGTCGAGTCTCGCAGCGATGTGGCCAGTGCGATCAGTATCACAGCCAGAGCAGCGACCAGGAGGTCGAGCACTACATTGAGCCATCGCTGGATACAATAGAACAAGTAGTATGGTTTTTGAGACTCGTCAAGTCGGCTCAGGCAATCAGCCATGAATGACCGACGCCATCCAAGGCCCCGGATTGTAGGAAGGCCCTCGAGAGTCTCGACAAACAATGTATAAAGAGGGCTTCGAGCTTCGAGGTCGAGGAACCTGAGCTGTCGAGAAGTTCGCAGGTAGACCTTCTGCGCGCAGTATAAGACCAGCAAGCACGGAATGATGGTGACAGCCATATAGCTGGAGCCTAGTGATATTAGAGCAACTTGGCCAAAGCATTGCGCAATACCTGTGATTTGAATTAGTTTCTGGATCGAAAACCCCATTCAAACTTACTTAGCACTGTTCCGAAGGCCATCGTGGGTAGTACCGCATCTACTAGGGTCATGTCCTGGCTGAACCTGTTAAGTATGACGCCAGAGTCGACTCCCGCAAAGAAATGCATCGGCGCGTTGGTTACGGCTCGAACGAGGATCCCGTGAAGTTCTAATCCTGACTTGATGACGATCTTTATCATGATTTGCCTGAGTGACTTGTCAGCCAGGAGAATAAGGTAGGAGATCAAGGGCCCCAGCCTACCATATCATAAGGCCTTGCGACCCTGACGCCATTACGGCAAGAAGCACGTAGATGCCAACAAACTCAGCGGCATTCTTGCCATGGTCGTTCGTGAACAGCTCAAGCCATATCTCTTCGAGCCTCGATTAGCAGACGAAGACGCAACATGAGGACATTACTTACGAGGAAAGATTGAGGAGAACGTGTGCACAACAATGATAAAACAAGCCACCAAGGTGCTGCGCCATCCGATGGCTTTCAAGTAATAAGTGTAAACTGCAACGTCGCCAGTACGGCGGGATATATCAGCTATATCATCAACAGTCAGGGTTTCGACCTTCTTGGTAGAGGCTGATTGGCCCTTTCTCTCGGTCTGGGAAGTCGAGGCTTCTGAGTCGGTCTCTGTCGCAGCTGGGATTGTTTGGGAAGCCAATCCTAAGCTCTGTACAGAGCTTTGTTTCTCGATACGTCCACATGAATCCAGCATGATAATGTTGTCTGCAAAACGCCATAGCTGATCTACGTGAAAGGTCAAACATGGTACTTGATGTCATCTGAACAAGATCATTTCACCTGAATGTGCGGTCATCAGTACAGCTGCGCCTATTTTTCGGCAGATTCCATTGTCGCCAAAACAGGCCTCAGCAACGTAGTGTGCCGTCTTGGCGTCCACGGCGCTCAAAACATCATCAAGCACTAAAAGACGTTTTCTCGAATAAATAGCTCGAGCTAATGCCTGCGGAAAGTGTCAGTGGAACATGACAGCTGCATGTATCTGTTGATTTGTGACTTACAAGGCGCTGCTTCTGCCCTCCGCTCATCTTGAGCGCTCCACTCCCGACCACGGACTGATCGCCCTGAGGCATTCGCGAGATGTCCTGCTCCAGTGCACATGCCTTGACTACCTTCTTATACCAATCATGATCTAGATCCGAATCTCCGCAGATATTCTTCTGAATGGTTGTGTTCTGAAGCCAGGGAGTTTGGCTGCAGTAGGCACCGCCGTGCCATTCTCGTGCAATCGTTCCTCGCTCGCAAGGTAGTTCACCCAGCGCCGCCTTCAGGAGCGTCGACTTTCCACAACCCACCGGGCCAGAAAGCATTGTCACGGTGTCTATTTCAATCGCTACATTGATCTCCGTGAGCGAAAAGTCAGAGTCAGGAGTGGGGCGGATACAAGCATCCGTCATCCTCAAAACCACTTTATCGGAGCGTACTTTTGGTGGCAATATATTTAATTCCACCGCCGATCCGGGGCTGCTGTGAGACACTCTGTCGTTGGCAGCATTTCTTCCAGACGATAGTGAGCTCATGGATGGGGAAGTGAGGAATTTGTGAATGCGGTCTAAGGCACCCCAGGCAGCTGTTACCGCCGGGATCGATGCCAGTAGTTGCAGGGCAGGGGTCGTGATGAGATTGATGATAGCTAGAGATGTAAAAGCTTGTACTGTCGACAGTGTCTGCGAATGATCAATCCTTGCACGAATAACGAAAGCCGCAAATGTGACCAGAGAGGCACACGTCGTTGGGAAGCTCGCTATTATATAGTCAGTGGCAGCGGTTTGGCGCGAAGGATGAGGTTGGGTACTTACCAACCACATTGAGCCATACAATCAACCATCGGAAGTCCCTGGATAAGTCAAGCTCGCGTTGCCTCTGCGCTTGAAGAACTGTGGAGAGCACGTCCGACAGTCCTAGCATCTTGGCGCTTTTCATCGACCTCAGAGCCGTGGAGACAATGCTCACGCGACGCTGAATAGCCCCAACCCAGACTGTTTGTCTTGCAGGCATGAATGTCGCCATATACATCTGAACGGATGTACACACTATTGCGAATCAATTTCTCGGACTTGATAATTGAAGAGACGGAGCGAAACCTACGAAGAATCACGAGGACGGGAGCCACGCACACAGCGGCAAGCTGCCGCTCCAACAGCCAGAGACCAATTCCAATCTCCACCAATCGAGCCCACATCTCGCTGGCTTGCTCCAACGACCGTGTTATGATGTCAACGTCAGTACTCATCAGGGTCACGGCTGCCGAGTCATCCCGGGTCCCATCGGCAAGGACCAGAGTGTGGTCGTAGATCAACGCAACAGCTGCGCCCCGGAACATGGTAATCATACGGAACAGTTGATGTTTGTAATGCACCGTTGATATCTATTCCGGTCAGGAGATTAGTGTCAAGACAAAACACGTTGAATTACGTACCGCGATGCCTCCATAAATCAGCGCTGCCGCCCCAATCAACCCATAGCTTTCTTTTCTTGTCTGCTTGGTATCAGGTTCATAAAGGTGCTCAATTGCACGCTGGATGAAGAACGTCTGTGCGTAGCTGAAGCCTATCAAGAAAAGCCTGGGGAGGATTGTGTTGAGAATTGCCCAACGCAGACTGAGCACGGTCGCAAAAGCTAAGCTGCATGTGTGGCTGGATTTGTCTGCCAGGGCCATGAGTAACCAGGATGCTATGACTCAGACTGGAGAAACAGAATCATACATTTCTTCCAGGCTTTTCGAACCTTGCGTCGCAGACGGTTTGAGCTTAACTCCTCATCCGTCGGGAATAGATCTTCGATAGTCAGCAGCTTCTGGAACCCTCTAAGGAACAAGCGATTTAGCCACCAGAAAACGGTGCGAGCGAAAATTCCACTAGTTGATTCGGGCGGCGTCGCACGCAGTGGTGACTTCAGATACCGGCGTTTATTTTGGGCTTCCACTACCAACAGCAGAAGCTTCAGTCCCATGGTTGCCGCAGTTAAGGCTGGCAAAGGAGATGGATAGTGCCGGATAAACAGAGTGCGCACTTGCACGGCATCGAAGAGCGTTGACATCAGAAGGTAGATGCTCAGAAGCGATGAAGGACGTACTGAGCGGTCGTGCTCGATGGCTGAAAGAACTGTTATTGCTATCGAATCTGCCAGCGACAGAGCAATCGCAGGAACGGCAGACCTGACCAGGCTGTGGCGCGCCCATTCGACTACAGAGGCGATCTGTATAGCGACCAGGCACAACGCAACAACCAATTTGCGCCATTGAGCCGTATTTGAAACAGTTTTGATGTCCTCTGAAAAGAGAGACCAGATGCGCCAAGGGACCAACAAAAGGAGAAGGGCCGAGGGGCCGATAGACAGGATGCTTTGCTCGAACAGCAGAGTGAAGTCAAAGATCGTTGGACACGCGATGACGGGGCCGAACGAATCGTCCGCTGCGGGAGAGCAGCTACCTGCCATCTTGCAGTTGGTAGACGAGAGCTCTTGTGAGGTCTGAACAAGAGAAGAAGCTACGAGGATACAGAGAGAGAGAGAGAGAGAGAGAGAGAGAGAGAGAGAGAGAGAGAGAGAGAGGGAAGTGAGACCGACACGCGAAAGGGGATTGCATGTGACTGACTGACAAGGGTCCCTGGTCACTGGACGTCAGCCCGTCGCTGCCTGGTGAGGGCCTGGCTGCCTGAGGCAAAATTCCATCAATAGATCAATCATTATGCTCTCAACTATGCGCCCACAACTCGTACTCTACTCTATCTCAGGGGCCGGAAATATCATTGATTCATTATCATGTATCGTCTCCCCTGAACAAGACCTTACTCTGTCTAACCGTGTTCTTCACTCGGGTAACATCAATGGGCTGAGCCCTACTATCGCTGACAGCCCTCCATAATGGTTCTGGGTCTCTGCACTGATGCGTATGCCCCATTCCGTCAACAATCAAAATCCGTTCTCCATTCTTATCAATGGCTAGATGAGGGGGCTCGATAGTATCGTCTGCTGAGCAAATAATGGCCTGTTCTGGCTCAGCTAGTTGGGACCTGCTAATACTTATGCGTGGCTTACCTGTGCAATATAATCGAAGCAGTGAGCCCAGTGCACTGAATCCTCATGAGCATTATCTGAGTGTGGTAGTGATGAGGTTGATGCACCGTGATGCTGCGATATGCTAGGGAAGATCACCCCGCGAAGCATTGACAAACAATGGAGCTGGTGGAACATAGAGATTCCGTAGTCGGTGATGGTGCCATTACTTGTTCGGACCTTGAGCATACCACCATTCGGGGGAGAGAGAAGAGACTCCCATGAAGAGGTGTCTGACTGAGCTCTCCATAGTGGTGTCAAAGGCTGGAATTTTCGAGTGACTGGAAGTTGGAGAGGGGGCCCGCTGGGACAAACATGAAATTGAAACTGCTGTGAGAGACTGCGAGGACTACCCGCTGAACTAGCTATAAGAGCAAAAGCTGAGAGAAGAAGGAATCCGAGCGCTGCCGAGATACTATAGAGCAAGCGTTTTGAGCAGGCCATGTTGTGTGACTGGATTAGCTACAGCTGTCTCGGGGGCCGGCGATGAACAAAAAGTCTTCTCACCTTTGTAAGTCAAGAGTGATGACTGTGTGAATACTGTCAGCTTGTCCAGGCCGTCAATGCAATCTGTCGCCAGCAATCTCCTCTTGTTGCGGGGGAAATGGACATGCATGAAGTGGGTTACATCGTGCAATTCCTGTTTGCAGCACACATTGTACACTGACACCAGCGTGAACCAACAAGATAGGAAAATATAACAGGGTAAATGGAGCAACCAATCGTAGTGTAGTCATTGTCTTATCAGCTCTTTGGTGGCGCCGCCAGACTGCAGGGATCGGTGATCAAGCGCGCTGCGCCGCAGCCCGAAGCTGATAGAAACTCAGACCCCCCAATTCCCCATTAAACCCCGCTTTCAGCCTTTTCCTCACGTGCCAAATCAGTTACAGATAGTCCTGAGCAATGCTTGTCCTTTCCGAAACAGCTATCCAATTACCCCACTATCAGAGCCATCATCGGGGTTGGAGTTGTACCAGCCAAACAGCTCCTTGAACCGGTGAGACATGACCCGCGCCACTGCATCAGGCGGCTTCCGGATGGCTGCAAACTCATCCACATTGACCGAGTTCTCCTCCTGCCACCGCAATACGGCGTCGAAGTCTCGACATTGGTGATTCACGCTAAAGTCGGGGAAGGCGTTCAGTTGCGCGTCCGCCCAGTAGTGGGTGTAGATGTCGACATTAGCGGTACACATTAGGTTCTGGAGCAGCAGGTAGATGCAGTGGGAGATATGGGTTCGATGCATGTCGGACGGCGGGGTTCCCGGCGGCCATTTCTTCCCATAGTAGTGGTCGAAGTACGCTTCGCGACGCAGCCAGTCCAGGCAATGGATCTGATGAAAGACATCAATCCGCCCAATGTACGCCTCGGATCCGAAGCCAAAGCTCTCTGGCCATTTGGCCGCCTGTTCGGGGTCCCTGCCCAGCTTGACCACGTCATCGCGACTGATGGTGATGGGATTGATGTTTGCCAGTCGGTTCCAGGCTGCGTCCACCTCAGGGCTCGGAGGCTGGCGGTAGATAGGCAGAGGATCCGGTTCCAACAGCGTTCCGTTCATCTTCCGGCGTATCATTGGAATTTGAAGACGATCAAATATGGGAGCTGCCATAGGTTAGCGAAAAGAGGTATCGCAGAGGTCAAATCTTCCTCACAGTATTCAGAGGTCTTCCGCAGAAGTTGGTTCTGGTCGCCAATGCCCCGGACGATGCTCGCAGTCATGGCGAAAAGGAATAAGGACAGTGCAAAGACTGTAGCATTGAGCCAGAGAAACCAATGGTGTCGTGTATGGCGCTGCTTAGGAAGTTGAGATGTCTCGTCCCCAAGAAAAACTTCCTTTCCGCTGGTTACATCCCCCGGGCTGCCACAAAGTACGTCGGGGTCTCGAGTAGCCATTGGTGCGTAACCTGCAGACACTCCCTTCATTTTCATCAATTTCACCAACTAACCGTCCGTTGAAGTTCAGTGAGCATGAAATTTGGCAGACGGTCATCGGTGGTCCCCAGAGTAGGGAAGGGTCAAATATCCTCGAGCTCGAAGCAGCAGCCTGCGTCGGTCAGCTGAGATACGGAATGCCCCTGGTAGATGAAAGATGCATCAACCGGTCATCTAGACCTTTTGTAGCCCACAAGTTTGTCTGTACCGCGTATGCCGCCCACTTGCCTTGGTTGACAGCTAACCATCTCCTTTCCTGTTTGAAACAGCTGCAGACGCCAAACGCCTGCTGCGGTCACAGTCACGGTGGTTTCCGGGCATTCCACGGAGCTCGATTCGAAGAGCGACTTTGCCCAAGCTTTCTATTACCTGATCAACTCTGACTTTGCTGTTAGTGGGCTATAGGGGGGATTAGATTGACCAATGTCCGAGACATACAAATGACTACCTCCTCCCCTCTTTCTTCTCTGCTCAACAACCATCTCTTCTCATCTGTCAACATTCACTAGAATACTCCAAGCATCTCAGCCCACAATGAAGCATTCATTGCTCCTGTCAGTCGCTTACGGACTTCTGTTTAGTCCTCTGGCGACCTCGGCACCGACAGCTAAGCGTACGCATATTTTCCCCTAGGTGACCCTAGGAGAATGCCTGGAACTTAACTTCAGAAGACTGACATGCTCCAGCAGCAGTGAAGCTTCGAGTGCGGTCAGATGACCTCGAGGCCCTCCGCGCTAAAAGGGCTGACGAAGCCACCGCTCTCTACGCTTATATTGCAGCCGACTCCGAGCTCAATAAGCGTGATGAAGAGGCTACTGCTCTATATGCCTACATTGCAGCCGACTCCGAGCTCGACAAGCGTGACGAAGAGGCTACTGCTCTATACGCCTACATTGCTGCTGACTCCGAGCTCGAAAAACGGGATGAAGAAGCCACTGCTTTGTATGCGTACATCGCTGCTGACAGTGAATTGGAAAACAATTGAGGTTCTTCCGTTACCGGGAAAGTGCTCAAGTAGGCGCACAGGTAGTCCATAGTTGTTGATTTTATCACTCAGCTTCGATGTCTTCTAGTCGACTCGATTTTAAGTTCAACCTTGCAAGCCCACCTTTTTGCGAATGTCGTCTATAGCACTCACAAGGTGGATATTCTCTATCCACTGAATTGTTTTGCTCTCAGCCCTGCTGTCACTCAGGCACCAGGCTGCTTCGTCTGCTTCGTAGTTCATTCCGTGGCTAGCTTCGGACTTACCAAGTCACCGGGATCCTATCAACTTCTAGCTACATTTACCGTGTGGCCCAGAAGCAGCTGGCGAACAGTGAATCCCGTTTTACACGCTCTGTTGCCGTATTTGCCTGATATATTCTCACGACAGCCTATAGCACTACTCTGGTAGTTGCATGAACTGCAACGAGACCGTTGGCGAGATCGATTACGGTCATATTGATGCAGGTCGCTGTTGAGTAAATGTCTTCAATGTCTCCATGTAGTGTACACAGAGATATCGAGGGCAGGGTGACAGTTTGCTGATGAACAGAGTCACCGAGCCGGGATGTGCTTACCCTGGCGACTTCACGATGACACCCGCAAACGATGAGCTACCATTAACGCTGTCTAAGTATGATTCTGAGACAAATAGAATCGAAATACTCCAGGTAAGGTATTATTCCTTGCCATAGCTCTTCACTCCCTCGCCCACTCAACCACCCGCTTCAATACCTTCAAGCCATCAGTCGGCCGATCAAGCTTAGCCAGATGAGCTCCCAGCTCCTGCTGCGAAAGATCCCCATTATAAACATCATCCTCATCCAGCAACATCTTCTTAGCCAACTCAGCCTGAACTTCTGGGTGTGCCTGGAAAGAGAGAACCGTATTCTGCTGATTCACAAGCATCTCATGGTTCTCGGCCAAGTGGATAAATCCCATACCAGGTTGCGCCACCTCTCGCACGTGAAACTCCGGTACTCTCTATGGTATTTTATCAGTGAACAGGCGCGGTGAAATTGTTGGCGGGTGGGTCGTTGGTTTAGGTTGTTATGTTCGAGTGTATACCTCCTTTGACTAAGTAGCGAAACACAAAAGAGTTTACCAAGAGCGGTAACCTGAGTGATAGTCATACTCTTTTCGAAGTCACTCGCCGAGTCACGTGTTCAAAGCGAGGAGTCAGGTATCTAAAGAGCTCCATTAACACATTCCATATTCAGGTAAGACGAAGTAACTATGCGGTATCTAAAGACGAAGCTTTGTCGGACAAAAGGTATAGATAGGATTTCACTGGACCGATTAATCTACTGGAGTGGCATAATCATCTTATCTAAAAGCTCATCTGCAAAGGGAACAAGCTACTCCGTGAGCCGTCGTAAAGGAAAGACTCTCCCAGTCTATAAACTCTGTAAACAGCTCTCCTGTGGCCTTGCATTTCCCGTGAAACAGAAGGACACTGATCCTCTGGCTGTTATAACATGTGAACTTCGGGTCCCCGCCGCCATCATCCGTGAGCTGCGAGACCCCGAAAACGTCGTATTCCAATGACCGTTGGCAGTTGATCGCAAGGACAACACCTAGTAGACAGGAAAGGCCCTTTCTTCCGTCGGCTGCAGGCTCTCGAGAGTGTACAGCCATTGTTCGATCTCCATACCAAGCGATAGGTCTTGGCAGCGGAGCGAGACGGCGAGAAGCAGGCCTGAGAATCCAATGGTATAGCTATTGCGGAGAATGCACGATCTCATGTCGATGCCCTGGACGATGCGCAGCAACAGGCGGATCCATGATTCCGTTTCCATGCACTCGATGCCTATATTTTGAGGATCGCGGGATGGAAGATAATTTAAGAATGTTGTGCATTGCATGATTCGGGTGACAATATGGTAAGCAAAGCTGAGGGCCGCCTCGTGTGGTTGGAAGAACATGGATGAGCTTGCCGATGTATTCTGATCTGCGAGCGGTTATTATGAGGGTGGTAGTCTAAACAATCACTCATCCAGTTTTCTGGACTAGGCTTCCAGTCCTGTGAGGGTTTCTTCGGTGTTCGAGGGGTTGCTTTCCTGGTCCCCTTCAAGAGCTTGTGTTGCAATTCGTGCCGGACCTCCAATGCTTAAGGGTCTATAAAGTTTAGTCGGTGGGACTCACATATTATGCTAAGAGTGACGGCTCGCCGCTCATGGAGAGAGCTAGGGTTCTCTTCATGTGCTCTGGGCAAGGCAATCGGCGGGAGGTGCAACTGGATATCGGGAGAGCTAAAGTATGCACGAGCCCACCAAACTAAGAATTGTGATTGTAGCCACACAGTGAGGAGAGCCCTGAATAAATGATCTCCTGTGACCTCGCGCATATCCACGAGGAAGGCTGACAGACCTTCAACATGGCGGTAGAAACCCAACAAAGTTGCCAATGGAGGCTTCGATATAGCCAAAAAGGACTAAAATTGTCAGGGCTACTTTAATGTTGCTTCCGTAACATTTGGGAGTGGGAGAGATGAATTTCCTCATTGCAGAAGAGTAATAGAGTTGACTCCGGGTCTGATGTGTGAGGCTGGGACTGAATGCTCCCATGGCCAAGAAAGGTGTCGGGGATGTCTTTTCAGCATGAAGGCGACTGATACTACACGAAGATAGAGCGAGAATAGCATCCTTTAACGCTGGAAGCTCAGGCTGCTGCAAAATGGAACGGGATATGGGATGTAAAGCTGATAGACATTGGTCTTCCCAGTAAGTCGAGTAGAAAATATCCCGATCAGTATGCTGCAATGAGTGGATAAGGTCCAGGTTCAGGCTCGGGATTAGGGCACTTTGGTGGTGACGTTGACGGCTGTGCTGCGGCGGCGATCTATTTGTCTCTGGCACGGAGGGAGTAACCACCCGGAACTTGAAGTCTAGTTTGACACTTTCGCAGAATCTCCCCAGTCTAGCGCATGTCCCACAGGTGGGCTTTGCCTCATCACACTAGTGTTTGGTGTCAGTGGGGAAGAGAAGGTGCCCCGAGGGAGCATGACATCTGCTGAGAAAAAGCTGACCTTGGTGCGCCGTTCGAGACAGCTCTTGCAGCCATTGCACGAGCGGAAAATATTCGTTTCTTTTCGGCCTGGGAGAAGCGGGCTTGTACATGTAAGTTCCTCGCTATCTTCAGAAGAGAGGTTTCTCAATCTAGACCAAGACTAAACCCTGTTTCCAACATCAAGGCTGCGGTGGGCGATGAATGGGGTTCGATGGAAGAAAGATCGGGGAATGGATAAGGCAGCATTAATTGGACGGGTCCTGAATCCGAGTTTCCGGAATTCCGACTGAATAATCGGACTTTGATCCGAACTGGAACTACGCAGTACAGAAGTAAACCCTAGGGCTCTTTCCAGATATATAGTTCTCTTCTTTCAGTCTAGACAGAATATACAGATCCAAGAAGTCTGTCTTAACAATTTACAGCTCTCACTGGCCATATCATTATTGACCGGCCATGACTGTCTCACATCAGAACGTTGGGTGCAACAGACACACAAAATATATCTAACGGGGAGTACACCTCTAAGCTGTTCCTCAATCGAAATAGCCTTCAGTGCATAATACGCTTCACCAAACTCTCAATTAGTTATTGATGAGTGCATTTACTGCTAATTGTGATAATCTGACCCAAAGGATTCCGGATTAAGTGCACTAAAAAGGCAGGTTGGGACATTTGATAATGCTTTATCCGCCATTTAGTTGGGTCCCTGCGTTTCAGTTGACCTCTACAACCACCAGCCTCTGTCTTCTCGAAGAAGAATATATTCATCAAGAAAAAGTTGTGAGCGTGAGAACTTCGCCTTTTCCTCCACCATCATACACGGCTTTTCAGTGTTAATTTCGAGGTGTCAGTAGCCAGGCCTAGCCTAGGTCATAGGGGCTCAACAACTTCGATAATACGGCAACTTTTTTGCCACAGAGTAGATCTCGATGGAAGCAGGATTGCAGTGTATCTGCAAGCAATGTAGGGACGCTTGCAAATTGGCAAAAGCCTCATGATACTAGGCGACATCTACCACCCCCTCAAACATCATAAAAGAGTATCCAGTCAAGCCGCGTGTGACTCACGCTTTCAGCTCCAGTGTTCTCACAATTGCATTCGATTATGATACAACTTTTGTAAAGTCGACACAGAGAGCCAAGTTTAGCAGACTCGGAGCATGCTCCCATTAGAGCTATGCCCGAAGCATAGTCTAACGTGAAGGTTGGTAGATCCACAGCAAAGCTACCAAAGACAGAAACATGCCGCCGAAACGGCCTCGTATTTTCTAGTATACTTCATCACGTCGGAATCCTTCCGCCACAATTGCCTCCTACTTCAATCAGGGACTACCGGCCTTTTCGGTGCCTTCGGTGCCTTCCATGTAGTCCTGCTGAAACGTGTCTTCTGGGGATGAGCGGTCCCTGGGACGTTTAGTCACTCCGAAACACGGCGATGGCTCTCTGAGAGCATCGGGCAGGTGTATGTCCAAAATTGTTCTCGATCGCCATCACCATGGATAAAGGCCATTGGAGCCTGCAAAATTTCACGGGCTGGACACCAGTAAACCAAGGCCGTGACTTGACTAGGCCGGATTCCACGCTAACAGACTGAAACCTGGCGAAGCATATGTTTACTGGTAATTTATTCAGTCAAGTGTCGTGGAGTATACTCGTAGTGTGAACTAAGTGCTGCCAACTCTGTCCAGCACTATTCAAGGTTGAGAGTCGTAAGGCGTAGGAAGTGAAGGGCTTTCTCTTGGCACTCCCCTGGAATGAAGCAGTATGATCCTTGATGAGTTGATCAGGTTACATCGGGAGAATCCTGCAGCAGCAGACTATGGAAAACTAGTCCGTGATAGGAAAATGATAGACTTGCCGAATTTCGTGACAGTGGGGTTGGAAAAAGCACTGTACTGTATGGCCCATACGTCTTCGTCACGTACAATACCCGTAATTTGCAGATGGAACAGACCACTTTATCTGATCTCATGTTTGATCTGATAAACTGGACATGATACACGGACTGTTCTTTACGTAACTGATTGGCGATCCTGCGGATGATCTAAATCCTTGGCGAAGCTCGGTCATACCGAGAGCTCGCAGTGAATTCGTGACCCAAGCCATCCCAGGAGATCGACTGCATTCCACATCCTCCTTGAGGCTTCTCAGAACCTACGCCGTCGTGTGCAGTGGTTTTCGTGGCTCAATCACTATGTCGGAATCCGAGCCCTCAAAAGACAAGACGGCGGAAGGGGCTGTGGAGGCCAAACACCGGGGACGTCAAGCTGTATGGATTCACTTTCTAACGATATACTCAGGTAAAGCTGACACAGATAGATCCGACTGGTGTCACGTTGCGTGCCGAAGACAGAAGACATTAAGACTGCCTTTACCTTTCTCCGGTTGTTGTTCTCGCTGAACTATACCCGCGTCGACATCGCACTCATATTTGTCGGCACTTTCTTCGCCATTGCAGCAGGAATCCCAGAGCCTTTACTCGGAATCGTACTCGGTCAGCTCATTAACGAACTGAACGATGTCTCCTGCTCTGCAACAACGTATAATCCTTCCTCGGTCCGGACCAAAGTCCTCTATCTCATCTACATTACCATCTTCAACTTCGCCGCCATCTACATATACGCTGCCTGCTGGGCACTGATCAGCGAGCGTCTGGCTCGCCGGTATCGCAAGGCCTACTTCCGCAGTTTGATCCGTCAGGACGCTGCCTTCCATGACACTTTGCCCTCAGGGCAAGTAATTTCTCGATTGGTAAGCGACATTGAGACGGTACAGTCTGGCACCTCCGAGAAGGTGGGAATCTACATTGCGACCCTGTCTTACTTCATTACGGCGTACATCGTGGCATTCATCAAAGTGCCCATCGTCGCGGGCATCCTGGTGGCTATTGTGCCCTGCTTCTTTGCCATGTCTCTGCTTGGGGGCCACTTTACGTCGCGCTATGGAAATCGCGTCGGCAAACATGTCGACCAGGCAACCTCCATCGCCTCATCCAGCTTGTCTCATCCCCGCATCGTGCACGCGTTTAACGCTCATCGACGCCTGGAGGAGTTGTTTTCGGCCAGCTTATCCAAGGCCCACACGGATGCGTTGAAGAAGGCGGCAGTTCATGCCGCACAAATGGGGTTCCTGTTTTTCATTGTCTATTCTTCAAACGCGCTGGCATACTGGAAGGGTGCCCACTTGATCGCGGACTATATTGATGGTGTTGCCGGCTCTGGTGTCTCTCTGGGGTCCGTGTATACCGTTATCTTCATTCTCATTGACGGTAAGTCACTTTTCTCCTGTTGCCATCCGCTCTTCGAAACCAGGATCCAGCTCTTGCTAACCATATTTTGCTCTACAGCTTCCTTTATCCTGAGTCAAGTCTCCCCATACATGCACGTCTTCAGCGCCGCTGCAAGCGCGTCCGAGCGACTGCTAGAAGTCATCAACCGTGACTCAGAAATCGATGGCACGTCTGGGGCCGGAGGACCGAGCGCATGCCTCGCCGATCAAACAATAGTCTTTGAGGATGTCCACTTCACGTATCCGGCACGTCCTTCAAATCCCGTGCTGCAAGGCGTCAATTGTACCATCCCGCCAAAGAAACACACAGCCTTTGTCGGCCCGTCTGGGGGTGGCAAATCGACTATCGTGGCACTACTGGAACGGTTCTATGACCCAACCTCCGGAAAGATCCTCGTCGGATCCCAAGTGATGAGCGATCTGAATGTGGCGAGCTTGCGTGGACAGATGGGATTCGTACAGCAGGAGTCACAACTTCTGGATCGGTCGATTCTGGAGAATATCGCCTATGGTCTCGTCGGGTCCCCGGCTCACGAGGATCTGACTGAAGTCATCCAAGATATGCGTCTGGCAAGCATTGTAGAGCAGATCCAAGCTGGTGCTCTGGAAGCGGAAGTTCTCGCTACCTGCGGAGATCCCAGGATTGCAGAAATCGTTCGTCGTGCAAAAGAGGCAGCTGAAAAGGCTAATGCCCTTTCATTTATCGAGACCCAACCTTTTGGTATTGCGACCAGTGTGGGAACGGCCGGAGGCCAGCTGAGTGGTGGTCAGAGGCAGCGCATTGCACTTGCAACTGCACTTGTCCGTGAGCCTAGGCTGCTAGTGCTCGATGAAGCTACCGCTGCATTGGACTCGATCAGTGAGCGGTTGATTCATGAGGCCTTGCTTAAGGTCTCGGGCACGACTACCATAGTCTCCATTGCGCACCGCATGGCGGCTGTGAAAGGTGCTGATCAGGTAGTCGTCATCGAGAAGGGCCGAGTGGCTGAATGCGGCTCTCCTCAGCAGCTTTTAGAACAAGGTGGTCGATATGCCGCTATGATCGGACAGCAAAAGCTTGATGAGAAGGACAACGAAGAGCTTTTGCCAACGGCCAGCAGCACCTTTACTGAGATATCTGAGGCCCACGGTCAGTTGACTTCAGTCAGCGAGAAAGGTAACGAACTCGATGAGAAAGAAAAGATCGATGCCACTGTGGAGCACAAAGCCGTCCCCGAGGATGAACAGGACCCTCCTCACTCCAAGCGCCTCACTGTGAAAATCTGTTTCTCTTTCATCCGCCCCAACCTTCTGTTGATTGTTCTTGGACTCGTTATGTCGGTCATTATTGGTGCCAGCTATAGCTCGAACGCCGTTCTGTTTGGAAATACACTGGGGGCGCTGAGTCCCTGCAAGGGCACTGCCAGCATCCGCCACAGCGGGAGCTTCTTCGGACTCATGTTCTTCATTGTCGGGCTCGTGGAGTTCTTTGCGAATGTCATCGGGGGCTGTGCTTATGGATGGGCTGCAGACCAGACCTTGTATCGCATCCGAGTCGCATCCTTTCGATCCCTGCTTAGCCAGACAATAACCTGGCACGGGACAGGGGGACGAAGCCCGGGAACGCTCATCTCGTATCTGACAGGTGATGCGTCGGCCATTAGCGGCCTCACTGGAACAACGATCGGCCTTCTCCTTGCGACAACAGTCAATCTCTTCGCTGGTGTGATCATCTCATTTATTGTAGCCTGGAAGATCTCAATCGTTCTCCTCCCCACGATTCCGGTCCTTCTAGCAGCCGGAGTCATGAAGCTGCGCGTGCAAAATCAATTCGCCGAGCGACACAAGAAGGCCTTCACGCGCGTCACTGAGATCACCGTCGAAGCATTGGGGAATCTGCGGTTCGTCGCAGGGTTCTCGCTTGAAAAACAGCTCTACCGGGAGTTCATCCACTCCCTGCAAGGACCCTACAAGAAAACCATGCGAGCGATTACCTGGGGCAATTTCTGGCTGGCGACAGCCTTCAGCGTCAGTAACCTGATCAGTGCCCTTGCATACTGGTGGGGCTCCAAACAGATCGCGTCGGGGCTGTATTCGCAAACGCAGTTCTTCATTGTCCTGCCCGCGCTGCTCTTCAGCACCCAATCGTGCGGTCAGATGCTGGCTCTCGCACCTGATCTGTCCAAGGCCGGCAAAGCTGCTTCTCGTATTGTAGACCTCGTGCGCACTGATTCAGCGGAGAAGGAGCTCGCTGGATCGAACGACGACAAACATAGGGGGATGATGCTCCCATCCCCGTCTGAGGAAAAGGCCGGCTTTGACATCGAGGCCGCACCTGCAGAATCGACTACTACTCCCGCTTCAACAGCCATCAGCGCTGAACTCCACCACGTGCACTTCTCCTACCCTACCTCCCCTGATATCGCCGTGCTCAAAGGCCTAAGCATCCACTTCGAGGCAGGCGGATTTTACGCCCTCGTCGGTCCCAGCGGCTCGGGCAAATCCACAATCCTGGCCATGCTGGAACGCTTCTACTACCCACACTCTGGCTCTGTCCGCATCGACAACCAAGACATCACACGCATCCGCTCCACACAATTCCGGGACGAGGTCGCGCTCGTACCGCAGGAAAGCGTCCTCTTCGAAGGCAGCGTGGCCTTCAACATCGCTCTGGGCGCCCGACCCAATGGTCCGGCGCCCACGCAGACAGAGATCGAAGAAGCGTGTCGACTGGCACAGATCCACGAGGTAATCATGGAGCTGCCGGAGGGCTACGAAACGGTTTGCACGCACGGCGGGAAGCAGTTCTCGGGTGGTCAGCGCCAGCGGCTGGCGATTGCGCGAGCGCTGGTCCGTAAGCCGCGGCTATTGTTGCTGGATGAGTCGACGAGTGCGCTGGACGGCGAATCTGAGAGGAAGATCCAGGAGGCGTTGGCGGGGTTGGTGGGGAAGACGACGATTGTTGCGATTGCGCATCGGTTGAGGACGATTTACCGCGCGGATCGGATCTTTTTGATTGAAAGTGGGCGATGTGTGGTGCAAGGTACGCATGCTCAGCTTGTGGAGAGGAGTGAGATTTATCGGGAGAGTGTGCTGCATCAGTCGTTGGATGTTTGATTTAGACTGGTAGAGTAAGCGGTCTTGGTTAGATTAGGACTGACAACATTTGCTAGCATTATCGTTGTGCTGGTTAGAGCTGAGAGAGATTATTAAAATAGAATTGTTCCAGAAGCACAAGATATCAAACCCCACTGTACCACGAAACCTGTTTGAAATCCTAATTATTATAACCAGAGGGTAAACCACATTTACCAAGATAGCACCTATGCTACACTTCTTCCCTTCCCCGGTTTAGCACAACACCTGAACTTCACCTAAAGCATAACGCCCTTGTTCTGCTTCTGATCCACGCTCACATTCTTCCAGAGAAGAATGCAGGGAAATCCCAGCGCAATGACAGCCGTAGTGGCAATGCAGCTATATTTCTGACTGTCGCCCCAGGCACTGTTAATGGCAGTACGAATCTCCGACCCCATCGGATACTCCATCTGAGCAAGATAACCCCCGAGATAAATATCCATCCAGCTGTCCCGAGCCGCGCCAGCCGGAAGGCCCTGGCGCAGCTTATGCGGAAAGACGTTGGTATAAACCGCCGACCCGACGGCATTGCCACCGGCACCGCCGAGACTCGCAAAGAGCCCTAGGATGGATAACATCATGGGGACACCGTCATGGTCAGCGACGGCCATGACAGCCATATCCTGACCGATTACGAGCGTGCCACCGGCAATCGCGATGAAGATCTGGCACATCGCCACGTACCCTATGTTGTGGTGTTCGCCGCGGAAGTGGATCATCAGCCCTGAGCCGAGGAGCATCAGAGGGAGCCCGAAGTAGAGGCAGGCGTTCTTGAAATGCTTCGTCTGTCGGATGTAGAGTCCGAACAGCGGCGCCCAGAAGCACGAGCCGATGTTGTAGATCTGGTTCATGTATCCCCCCTCCGAGACGCTCAGGTTGTGCACTACCATCACGAAGTTGAGGAAGTACAGGTCCCATGCGGCGTAGCCGAGATTCAGAAGGGCTGAAAGGATGCAGGCTCCGAAGACGGTCGGCTGCCTGAGTAGGTCGTATCGGATGAACTGCTTGCGGGCGAAGTATCTTTCCCAGGCGACGAAGACAAACAAGAGACAGAAGCCTATCACGAGCATTGCAATGAATGTAGCGGATTTGTATTGGGCTCGTCCGTAGACTGTCAGGCTGAAGGGGAGGAGGAGAAGGATGAATGCCGCCATTAGGATAAGGGCGCCAACAACTGTGATTGAGAATTGACATTAGCATCAGATCGACGTTGGGGGATGAAATATTGACTATCACGTACCATCGAACTCATGCACATAATGGATGACGGATTGGATCCAGGTACGGTCGCTCCGTCTGGGAGCATAGATGCCCAATTTCTTTGCCTTCCGCTCATGGAGTTTGAAAACAACAGCGAGGGGCACGAACACGCAGGGGAAGATAATCGCAAATGCACCATATGCCCAGCGCCATGTCGTCATGGCTAAGAAGGACTGAGCAGCCAACGGGCCCGTGAACGCAGTGCAGATAAAGGGTGTGTTTGAGAATCCGAACGCAAAGGCACGATTGCGAAGGCCGGACGTGTCCGCCATGAACACATCGAGGATCAGATAAAGTGCATTATAACTGACCCAATACAGGACATAGCCGGCCGCAAAGCCACTCGGTCCAGTGCAGGATGCCAGGACAATGATACCCACTAGGAACAACCCAGTGAAGATGAGCAAAGCCTCAGCACGCCCCCAGACATTCAGGATTTTGGCAACAGGAAGTTTCATCACACCCCCTACCACCGTAGCTAGGATGGCTGCGGTCGAAATCTCTGGAGCAGTGTTGAAGTTGGCATATGCATAGACGAGTACGTTGAGTCCGATCGAAGAGTGGAAAGCAAGCATGAAAAAGCACACCCATATCCTAGGATCCATCGATCATGATTAGCCAATTGCTGAAGTGAGAACATAAAGGACGGTCACTTGCTTACCAGGCGTAAATTACCAGCAGTGTCTTTCTGCTCCACACAAAAGCTGCAGCTTCGACCTTGTTGACTCCAGTCGCTCCGTCCTTAACCTCTTCGTCAACCTTCCTCTGAGCCTCCTTGTCATTCGCAGCAGGAAGACCGTGCTTCTCAGGGTCAGTGGCAGCCATTGTAACCACTTGATCTGATGATGAGTTCGTGGAGACTCGAGTACGGTCGAGCGAAGTGTGGCTCGCCATGGTGGTCTTCTCAATTCGATAAGATCAAAGGTCAAGAAGAATGGCAGAGGTGATCTTTGCCGGATCTTGTGAGTAAGGAGTGCGGGCGGTTTAAGACACGCGTCGACCGAGCAGGAGCCCTAGACACCATCGTCAAAGCGTGGGTCTCCTAAAGGCGAAACTGGCCGGGTCAGTTCGGCTTGGTGGCACTATCAGATTTTGCAAGCCACTAAAATCTGACAGGCGTAACTAGTCCTAGTTATCGTACGACTGCTACCTAGTACTTGGCTGGACGATAGAGGGTATTAGCTAGTTGAAAAATACTGGTGGTATCTTCCGGCGGTTATCAAACCCTGATTTCTCACCTCAGCCAATCACAAGCAAGTTCTGCGAGCCGGGACCCGTCTGCCGATCTAATCTGATTGATAATCGCATCTAAAGTGAGACCCTGCCCGAGAACCACCAATGGTTACTTCCGCTCGTCCACCCCTTGGCATACAACGGTAATATATTTGACTGAGACCCTGGACGAAAACTGCCAATCATTTAACTAGAAAATCCCTTGGCGTACGACCGCGATATGTGATAGTTGTTCTTAAGGTTCAAATAGGAAATAAAATCAGGCAAATCCATCCAGTAAGGACAGGAGCTGATTCGTAACCAATTGTTCGAGGCAGATGAAAACTCTGACAGCACGCACAGCCCGCTTTTCTCTTATCAATCAATCTGATAATCACCGCTAAGGCGTCGTGGCATGATGTCGGAAGCTTCGGTTTTAGTTCTTACTGTTCTTGCCGTGTACAGCCACTTACCAGTGACCTTGATTTGCTCGGTTCTTGTCGGCTTATTGATACAGCAATAAGGTACTTGATGTTTGCATCCCCTCAAATCGAGCAAAAATTGGTCTTGAGATGGCATCTGCCTGGAATTGGTTCGTAGAAGACGCTCTACCATAGAGCCCAGTGTTCATTCTGTGATCAGGTAGGCCCATTTGGGAAACTGATGCGTGAATGTCTGCCTGAGTAGGGTCATGATACGAGAAAGCGCGGGAAGCGATGGGTAAACAGCCTTGCCAAGAGCCGATCTCTTCGCCAAGGAACAATGTCTTATTTGCCCCTGTGCTGGGAATTACCCTGGCAAGCTTGCGGAAACTACCTTGTTAAAAAATACAGTATGTAAGTCAATGATACAACGCCACAGAGAGCCTTTTGTGGAGTCAATCGAGTCCCTAAATTGCCTTCTGTGGGCATATCAGCCTTTGGTGCTTCGTGTACTTGCCCCTCTGTTGCATGTGAATAGTCCAGGATGGCAGGAGGGATATCAGCTCCTAGTTCAATAGATGAAAGGATCATGGCCAGCCTTCGGGTCAAGTCGGCGGTCGAGTGACAGCAATAAATAGAAACAGAACAAGTTGTGCTCTCCCGCGTGGACGGAGTAGGACCACATAGCATCAAAAAGGGTGTTCTGTGTGCAATTGCTGTTTATCCGCAAAGATAGAGTGTCAAGAGGCCTGCTCTACATTTTAGCAACATGTTGTTAGACGTCAAGCACTGGGAGCGCCTTGTGAGGCCGACAGATGAGCTCGAAAGCTTTGCCATACCGACAACGTCACTTCCAGCCCGTCAGTCAGAGCCCCCACAAAGGCTGGCTACGAGCAATTGCAGTTACTATCTCGGCACCTTACAGCGTCTAACGAGCAAGGAAGATGTCAACTCCCTTGTTGAGGGTTATGCGCGCGGGATCATGGATGTGACCGGCCAGAGGCATGTTGCCTTCTGGGTCATTGTACAGACAGAAGATCGCCACACTGAACGTGCATTGGTCATAGCACAATGTATGGCAGATGACCCCGCACTAAGATGGGATATACGTCTTGTCTCCATCGACGATCTCAAGACAAAATTAGAGGTCGTTGAGTTTGGGCTCTGTCTATTACAGGAAGGAACTATGTTGACAGAGCTAGAGAGGAATGTATGAAAATTCCTCGCCTGGCTTATATCTTTTTACAACAATATGGCTGATTATTCAATTGCATTAACTAGGTTCAAGTCTTGCTATCTGTCGATATCGTACGGTCCACTGCCAAATTATCATTCGAAAGAGAAAGTGACGGTCGAGACATGGCGCAAAGGTTGATGTCATACCTACCGCGGACAGGAAATACCGAAGACAATGCTCAGTTCTGGCATAGGCAGCTCCAGGGATTTGATGGCGTCTGCGAGAGACAATGGCCAACGTTGTCCTGCGAGCGGATAGTCACCGAACCTGATTATCCTCCCACCGTCTCGCAGACTCTTACACTTAAGACGTCCCTGCCATCCCTTGAGGCTATTGCGAGGCAATCGACCCTAAGCTCGGTTGATACAATTCTCCGAGCTGCATTTGCATCTATTTTGTCGGAATACCTTGAACTCGACAGGGTAATTCTTGGAGAGAACATCGTACACAATAGAGACTCTGCTCCCGCGACCTCAACGATACCAGTCCCGATTGTCGTTGCACCACAAGCTCGAGTAAATGATCTTTTCTGGCAGGTCGATGAGTTCATTTCAAGCACCACTTCCCGGGGGGCAGTGCCGTCTGGACTGGTGAGAGATATTTTGCAATGCCCCGTGTCACAAGTCCCATTCAATGCGTTCTTTATCGGTCTTTTCAATGGAACAGCAGGGAAGGATTTGTACTCTTCGCAGTCTGGACCGGATGAGCCGCCTATCTCACTAGGTGTTGATTATTGCGGCGAAGATAGCCTGTCATGCACCCTTTCCATACGGGGCGACTTGATTGATTCCGTTCATCTCGAGCTGGTGCTGCAACAAATAGATGCTTTGGTCACTGCAATGGCTTGCAATCCCACCAAGTCAATTCAAGACCTCACCAAACTCTTCCCATCACACCTTCTGTCAGTCTACACACCATCGGTGAGTGAGCAATTGAAGCACGCACCAAGTCTATCTCCTTCCTATTGGGTAGATCATTGGGCCAAGTCAAACCCAAACTGGCCAGCATTGGAAGTCATTAGGGAACTCAGCGAGGACAAAATCCAGTCTCAAACATGGACTTATGGCCAGCTTGCACAAAGGTCTAATCAGATTTCCACATGGCTCATCCGCCGGGGCTGGCGCAAAAACATGATCGGAGTTTGTCTGGGCCGCTCATTTATGGCGTATGCCATAGTTCTCGCGATATGGAAAAGCGGGAACTGCTACATGCCCATCGCAGAGGATTTGCCTGAGGCACGCCGTGTGCTTCTACTCAGTGACAGCGGCGCCACGGCCTTGTTCTCAGACAAGGACGTTCTGGGCGACGTAGTTCCCCCTGAGGGATGTGAAATAATTGACATTGACAGCCCTGAGCTCTACGCGGAGCTTGATAACATCGAGGAAACGGCCGTTGTTGAGGCAGAGCCGTCTGATAACTGCTACCTCCTCTACACCTCCGGATCCACAGGGCTCCCAAAGGGTGTTTTGGTAACTCGTGGCAATCTATCCGCCTTTACAGAAGCCCAGTCCGAATACATCTGCCGAGATGTGCCCGACACGCTGAGACTCGGAGGGAAGGGTGCTTACTTAGCCCACGCCAGTCGAGCGTTCGATGTCCACATATGCGAGATGGTGCTCGGCTGGCGTCACGGCCTTCGTCTAGTGACAGCTCCACGTACCATGCTGCTTGATAACCTGCGACTGGTGCTCACGCAATGCCGCATCTCGCATGCGGGTTTTGTGCCTTCGCTCCTTGAGCATACGGGCCTCAATGCTGCGCAGTTGCCCGACCTGCGGTACCTGGGAGTCGGCGGTGAGAAGATCTCTGAAACAATCATCGAACGATTTGTTGGAAAGCCATCGATCGCTTTAGTGAACGCGTACGGGCCAACGGAGGTGACCATCGGCTTGACAAGTCACACAGTCACGGCCACGTCGAATGTACGAAACATAGGCTCTGCTGTGGGCAACATCACGCTTCATGTTCTCGATCCGGAGTCCAATGACTACGTGAAACGTGGGCAAGCCGGTGAGCTTTGCGTGACAGGAGATCTGGTAGCCAAGGGATATTATAACAGACCGGACGCCAAAGGATTCACGGACTTTCAGAGAGAACATATGTACCGCACGGGAGATATTGTGCGTCTGATGGCCAACAACTGTGTTGAATATCTTGGCCGACGAGACAGTCAGGCGAAGGTTCGTGGTCAGCGACTGGAACTGGAGGAAGTCTCGATCGCAGTGCGTCGATGCGCCGAGCATGCCGTCAATGTCACCTCGATGGTGACGCCTTCACCTATCACTAAGCGGCCCCAGTTGGTGACCTTCATAAGTCCTGCAAGTGATCGACCTGACAATGCCACTACACGGCCAAGCTTCATGAAGGAGGAATACCAGAACTGGGTACCACATGTTCTCGAGCGCTGTCGTCGTCAATTGCCGGCCTACATGGTTCCCAGTGTGCTGCTTCCTGTCAGTTTTATACCTATTCAGATCTCAGGCAAAGCGGATAATCGCCGTTTGGTGTCTTTATATGAGAGTATTCCGGCATCAGACCTGCTGCATGACACCAGTATTCCTATCGTTTCAGGGCCAGGAAAAAGTCAGGAGTCGGATAATGAGCCTTTGACGGTAGAGGAGCAAAGGATTGCCGATATCATCTGCTCAGTCACATCAGCAGACAGACACACCGTCACGAAGACAACTAGCATTTTTCAGCTGGGCATCGATAGCCTCAGTTCAATGAACCTCGCGGCCCAGATGCGCAAGGACGGCTACACCTGCTCTGCTGCAGACGTTTTGCGTAGCGCTACAATTGAGCAGCTGGCAGGCCTACCTAGACACAATGACAATGCAGGTCAAAGCGGACAGGGGAGTCTGTCAGATCAGCAGATCTCGGAATCAATGCGGCAACTGAAGGCCCTGGATCAGACTGTGCGAGCCCTTCATAAGCCCATTCTGAATTCATCCATTGCCAATGTTCGCCCATGCCTACCTCTTCAGGAAAGCCTTGTTTCCAACTCTGTCGACAGTCCGACTCCACTATACGTGAATCACATTATGTTCCGGTTGGGGTCTACCACGTCTCTCCAGGCTCTGAGACTTGCATTTGAAGACTTGGTACAGGAAAATGAGACTCTCCGTACCTGCTTTCACGTTATGGACGATAGAGTCGTTCAGGTAGTCCTGAAGCCTCGCGTGGTCGAGTTAGCCTGGGAACAACTGTCGGTCCCGGATGAACAAACCGCCCAGCATTATTTCCAAGAATGCCAAGCAGAGGTTGCATCGAAGATCGTGAGTAGCATTGAGAGACAGCCTCCCATGCTGATCACTGCGGCTTCTTCGACTCAGAACGAAGGCTCCGGGTGGTTGATGCTCTCCATCCATCATTCCATCTTTGATGGTGCAAGCATAGGTATCCTACTCGACCGGCTCTATGATCACTATACCGGCGACACATGCATGAACTCCATCGATCTTACTCCTTTATACGGACATTTTATGACTTTAAAAGAGAAAGAAGCCGAGGACTACTGGTCTCGCTATCTTTCCGACTGCCGTCCTGGGATTATCATTGTTAACGACCCGAGCGATACGACATACAGCATAATCACTGAGAAGGTGCCCCTGAGGCTGTCTGCACTCTCCAGTCTCGCCTCTAGAATATCAACGACTGCCCCTCTGGTGCTGGAGACACTCTGGGCGATTGCATTGGCTAAGCTGCTGCGTCAATGCGACGTGATCTTCGGGCGCGTTATGAACGGTCGAGCTATACCAGTAGACTCCGTAGAGACCATGCTGGTGCCCCTCGTTACTACTGTCCCTGCTCGTCTACGACTGTCGACTGCCGCGATGAGTCTCGTTGATCTCATTAAGACACACACACGAGCCTGTCTTGAGACTTTGCCTTACCAACACACGGCGCTCCGTGCCATCCAACGATATGCCCAGAGCCCAGGCCCATTATTCAACTCGATGTTCTCTTATATTGCCAAAGTCCGTTCACCTGCTGGCAGTTTGCTGCAGGAAATGGATAGTGTCATGGAGGCTGACTATCCTCTCGCAATGGAGATTCGAGCCGACGCAGAGACAGAAACTGTTACCTTGCGGCTCAGGGTTGCCAATGACCAAATTTTGACACGGAATGCCCCTACAGTAATCAGCACGATGCTCATCTTGCTGCAGAGCTTGGCAGCGACTGGAGATGCAATTATACATGAGCCGGGATTGATTCAAGAGCAAGAACCGAAGCAGACGGAGACATGCGACGTAAGTGAATGGACAAAGGGCGAAACGCAGATCAGGAAGATTGTCTCCCAAATCACCGGTCTTCCTGAAGCTCAGATTGCGAAGCACACCTCATTCTTTGCGCTCGGGATCGACTCGGTCATCGCCATTCGACTCGCCCGTTGCCTGCAACAAGACGGGCTCAAGGTATCTTCAAGTGACATTCTGAAGCACGCATCTGTTGCTTCCCTCTGTTCTCACCTACAGGAGACTCCTACGGCACGCGCTGAAACCCAGGGAGAAAAGCCTATTTTGGATGCGGATGCAAAACTGAATCTCCTCAATGCCGATAGCTCAATCGTGGAAGTATATCCCTGCACGCCATTACAGACGGCTATGATAGGGCAATGTCTAAGCTCCCAGGGAAAGGATTACGTGCATCAACACATCGTCACTCTAGATGAATCCGTCAACATCCATGGTCTAGAGAGTGCCTGGAAACAGCTCGTGGAGATGGCCGATATCCTTCGAACCTCATTTCACCCGACTCCGACAGGTCACGAATACCTGGCTGCAGTCCACCAGCAACCAGCTGTACAGTGGTCATATCGTGTAGTGGAGGATCAATCGTTATCTAGTGCCATCCAGCAGATCTCGGAGGAGGCGAGTTATCCTGACATAGAGGATTTCCAACAGCCACCATGGAAGGTCGACGTTCTACGACACGGCCCGCAGCGTGTAATGGTTGTGACTATGCACCATTGCCTCTATGACGGGTTCTCTCTTCCACTCATGTTTGAGTACCTAGAAAGGCTCTACCGCGGAAAGCAGACATCTATCGCGCCGTTTGCGCCGGCCGCTCGCTCGATCGCAAACATCCAAGAACAGTCCGCTCAATTTTGGGCCGATTCCGTGGCAGGATATCAATATCAAGGAATTCCGACTTCACCAGACCATTCCGTCAAATCCCCTCCGCAATGGGCAGAGGTGAAAGTGCAAGCCCCAGTTGCAGACTTGCTACGGCAGTGCGGCTCGCTTGATGTGACACTCCAAACCGTCGCCTTGCTTGCATATGGACGGTCATTGGCGGTCTTGCTAGGCCAACGAGACGTAGTATTTGGTCATGTTGTCTCGGGTCGTGGACTAGATGACGATACCACGGGCTCGAGAATCGGTCCTCTTTTCAACACCGTGCCTTTTCGGCTGACACTTGAACCTGTTCTTCAGAGCACTCGCTCCGTCTTACAGAACATTCAACGGTTCAGTGCAGATGCGCTGCAGCATCAGCATGTATCATTGGCCGAGGTTCAAAAGAGGTGGCGTCTGACGAGCCAAAGTCCTAGTCCGTCACTGTTCGATGCCCTTTTCACATTCAACAAGTCGGACAACCCCGACCCTGATGCTGTATTCCAGCCATACCTTGGTGAGCGCGAGCCACTAGCCGCTCCTCACTACAAATTGAATGTTGAGTTTGAGCAATCTCCAGAATTTCTCTTCATTCGGGTCGCTTGTCGAGACGTTATGGGTGGATCCGATGAGCTCGAGACCTGGCTTCAGACATTGGCCCGTAGTCTGGTCGAGATTGTCAGCTTTCCTGACGCACCGGTGCTGAGGTTCCCCGCTGGCCTCAATGCATTGCCACTGGCTGATACTTCTCAGCAGGTGACAGAGGCAGATGTTGTTGATACCCCGGATTCAGTGCGCCTGGTTGAGGTCATTAAAGATATCCTGGCACAGGTTACAGGAACTTCGGTCGAGCAAATTGGTGACAGCATCAGCATTTTCGCTCTGGGTGTGGATTCTATCCTAGCAATGGACATCAGCGCAAGGTGCCGAAAAACTCAACTAAGGCTGTCTGCAAGCGACATTCTCCAAGGAATGACAGTCCAAGGGATTGCAAGGCTTGCCGCCAAGCGCCTCGTCGCCTCACCCCAGAGTACAGAGTCTACCCCTGCTCGAGCACCCACGCTCAGCTCGGAAGTAAAAGAGAAGGCCTTAGCCACTCTGTCTCTAACGGACAATGAAATTGAGGCGGTTCTTCCTTGTCTCAGCGGTCAGCTGTTTTACATATCACGCTGGCTGCAAAGCGGCCGTCGACTCTGGGAGTTTACATTCGCGTTCAAAAGCAGCGTGCAGATCGACAAGGACCGGATGCAGCATGCCTGGCATCTACTGCAAGAGAGACATAGTGTTCTTCGCACAGCGTTCGCAGCCGTGTCTTCCACTGAGGCTGTGCAGGTCGTGTCAAAATCTACCAGAGCCGGAGAAGTCCACGTCGAGAAGCAGCAGCTATGTTCCGAGAATCACGACCAGGAATTCCTACAACAAGCGATGCAGAGGATCGAGTCCACTCCATCCAATCTAATGACCCCGCCAACCAGACTATGCCTCGTCCCGTCCCCTGATGGCGTCGACCTCATACTGCTGACCCTTCATCACGCTTTGTACGACGCGTGGACACTCCCCATCCTGATCCGAGACCTAGAAGCCCTATACTACGGCGTATCCTTACCCACCCCGGAAAATGACTTCCCGTCTTTCGTCCACGACGCCCAACGCATCCCCGATCCTGCATACTGGGAACCCGCACTCCGCATGGCGCAGCCCACAATCCTCGGGTCGAACGTCTTCGAACCCCAGGATTTCTCACAGGTCAAGTCCTCTCACGCCCTACATCCACCGCGCGAGACGCTCACCAACATCAAGTCGCTCTGCCACCAAAAAGGCGTCACCATGCCCTCACTAATCCTCCTAACCATTGGCCGCAGCCTAGCCCGCCTCGCCGACGTGAGCAATCCCACATTCGGTCTCTTTCACGCTGGACGAGCAAACGACTCCTCCCTCGCGGACGGTGTCCACGGAATGACCGCCGGGCCGACAGTCAACATGCTGCCGTTTGTAGTGCAGGACGCGCTCTCCTGCTCTGTGCCAGCTGGTGTGGAAGCAGTGCAGCAGAGCCTGAGCGAGCGTGCGGCCAGCCATGAGCAGGCAGATCTTCGGCGGTTGCTTACGCAGTTCAACGAGTCGAGGAGTCAGGGAGATGTCGGTTTGCAGTTCAATGTTCTTGTCAACGTCATCGTTCAGAGTACATGGAAGAAGGAGGAGGATGGTGCTGAGAGGAGTATTTTCACTCCTATCAGGATTGATAAGGAAGAGAGAGAGTCATCCGTATCCGTGGAGAAAGAGGTCATAGCATCCGCTGTCGACGCCTTGGATTGCAATGAGTTGCCCTGTCGTCGCAATGCGATGCTGGAGGTGCACTATGATGAGGCGGAGGATGCACTGTCGTGGAGGATTGACTATACGCCGGATTTGATGTCGTCTTCTGAGGCTGAGGGGCTTTTGGAGGTGCTTGGGAGTGAGATTGGGGAGGTTATTGGGGGTCTTTCATAGTTGGCGAGACCGTCTGCCATCGTGTGTTTGGCGTGCCTCTCTAGACTGTCACGGGTGCTTGATTCTGTGAGGTGAGTTGAAAATTCTGTCGGGCTGTTGGATTTATGATGTTTGTAGTGTGATGCAACTCGTTCTTGCTTAGATTTGTTTCTCTAAATATCTTTGATTTGTCTATTTTTATTTTGTTCTCCTGTCTTTTTTTCTTGGCCGGGCATGAATAAGCAAGCACGGGTATATATTGTCTGCATTGGAATTCCAGCGATTGCCCAATAGCATTAGTCTAGATAAGATCATGAACAATTCGAATTGACATAAATAATGCTACAGCCAAACTACTCAACCCGCACCTCAACCTCCATAACCTTTTGAATCTGCAAATGGCCCTCCCTCTCCTCCTCGCGCCTTATGTCGCCCACAACCTGACTCCGCTCGTGCTCCCGGCCCCCAGCACTCTCAATCGAACTCCCATCACCACTCCCCCGCCCAATCGTCGTCGTCACCGCGCCACCCACATTCTCCCAAGGTTGCTGCTGCTGCTGCTGCTGCTGCCGCCTGACGCCCGTCGTAGCCGGAAAGCCATCTTGCTCGTCCGTCTCAGAAGGGATCATCTGGCTCTGATGGCGGTGTGTGCGTCGCAGCCCGCTGAGCCGGTATGAATGGGGGTGGTGATTGTTCTCTAGCGTGCGACTCTGCGATGGATGGCCGCCGGCGGTGCGCTTTCGGCGGCGTGAGGTGTAGCCCGAGGACAGGGTGGAGGCGAAGGAGTGGAAGTAGGGCCCGTATGTCGGGATGCAGGCGATGATTACGCCCAGGCTGATCTCGACGTCGGACCAGAGTACGATCGGTTGGCTGTCTGTGTAGGTTTTTAGGTTCCTAATTGAGAAGATCCGGATGATTTGGATGATGGTAACGAAGAAGCCGAGGGCGAAGATGACGATTAGGGCGATCTGGTTGTTGTTCCGGCGTGGTGGTTAGTTTGATTGGGGTTAGGGATGGTAGTGTGGGGGAGGGGGGAGTGAGTGTACTGTACCTTCTGTGGTCGACGGAGTTGCAAGGACCAGAGGACGGGCAAGGGAAGGGCGATAATCACAATGTCCAGGCCTAGGCTTGTTCCTAAACGCTTGTGTTAGGGACGTTTGCTAGGGGCCTTCGGCGGCCAAGGGGTGTAGATAGGTACTGTACCTGCCAAGGCTGTGGATGGTGTTAGTTCATGCCGGTGATAACTATGGAAGCTCATGTGGGGGGAGGCGAGGTGCATGCATTACCGTAGTATGAAGCCACCGTGTCAATGCAGGTTCCCGGGAGGCTCGTGTCCCATTGCTTGGCGATCTGAAGGAGGAGGACCCTTGTCAAAGATGTTCCTGCGATAGACGATGGGTGGAAACTCACCGGCTTGCACGCCAGCGTCAACAGGAATGTGAACACCAGCTGGTTACACACCACCGCCAGCACGACCGCGATGATCGTCCACCGGTACGCTGCCACGAAGCCCCCGATCCGCAGATACGAGGTCAGGAGGGAGACTTTGAAGCCGAGCAGCGCGAGGATGTACGTGGGCCCCCCGGCGTATTGGATCTGCACTGTCACTTGCTGCTCAACTTCCAGCAGATCACGATCGGGGTAGAAGGGGCGTACCAACCTTGCTGAACATCACCACATTGGCATCGGGAAAGTACGCTGCGTCCAGCCCGAGGCCATACCGGGTTTCTGATGGTCCGGCGCTGCTTGTTAGTTTCTCGGGTTATAGTCTAGCACAGAGGAGAAAGCGTACGGCCCACCGCGATCCCCGCATAAGCCATGCCCAACACCGCACTGCAGGCTGCTGCATAGTCGTCGACCCAGATGGGACGCTTTGTATGCCACCGGATGTATAGCCTCAGCACGACGGCCAGTACGGCACTGATGCTGAAGGTCAGGCAGATAGCAATGACCCGGGGGACATGGCTGTGCGGATCTGGACGCTCGAGGTTATGCACCCAGGTCATGACCCTCCGTTACCGGCTTCGAAAGCTGCAGGCTTGGAGTGTGAAGTCGAACAGAATAGATGTAGAGCATGGGGAATCGATCAGTCCACCAGGCAGGGATGTGTAGTGCCCAGCCCGGAAGTCATCACTTTAAACAGAGTTTTTTTGGCTTACCTTGCCCATATTTCTGGGTAATGCTGCAGCTAGTGATCCTGTAAACTCAACCTATTAAAGAGGTGGCAGGAGGAATGAGACTAAATTGGGTGCAGCCGAATTAATTAATATGGACTAAACCCAAGCAGCAAAGCATTTCCGAGTCCAACGTGGGGCGCGGAGCGGGACAGTCCATTCCGCGAGTGGGGGCTCAAACTGTCAATGCCCTAAGCGACGCGGTTCGAGATGAATTCCCTTACTATCCCTCACTAAGGGCTCGGCCAGGTGTGGCATTGATTGTTGGTGGGGTATGGTCTCACAACTAATATCGATCGAGTCGCCTGATAGGGCCAGCGTTTGGGAGTCGGATGGCCCCGGAAAGGTGGGCTTGAGGATTCAGACTGTCAACGTGCCACCTCGACCGTGCAGCTGCAGGGAAGCAGCGAAGTATGTTCTACACATAACCTCACAGACCCCTGCAGGCACAGAACCGTCTTTCGTGCTTCGTCTCATCCTCTTCTGCCGAGGTTCGGCACTTTGCGGATATTAGCCCCATAACAGTCATGAGCTAGCATGCACTAGAAGAAACGGAGGCATCGAAAGCAAGCCACGAAAGACCGTAAGCGAGTGGCTTGCAATTAAAATAAGTTCGAACGCGGGTTGTAGAAGCAGGCCTGTCGAAATGAGACTCACAGGTCGGTTTGATAAATCATCCGGCAATAGACAGCCGTAGGAGCCTAATAGCATAATAGTCTAGATCAGTGGGTCGAAGCTAGGACTAATTAACGGTGACGGCGTGTCCCACTTGGTGCAAGGTCCCTCTCTCTTCATAGCCTGGCTAGTCTAGCTTGTCGTCTCCCGGGAATGAGCTGAGCCGATTGCTTGGGTTGCCCGCCGAACGCTCTATAAAACGGCCTCCCCCTGCGCTGCCGAGAAATCTTTTCGACCAGAGCGAGTCATCCAGCCATCATGATTGCATCTAACCTCTGGACCAGTGTGCTGGCTTTCACAGCCGCTGCCACCGCCTCTGCGATCGGCAGCAGCGGCAGCAGCAGCAGCAATTCCAGCTGTCGCTGCTTCCCAGGAGACGCCTGCTGGCCCTCCTCGAGCGAATGGTCTCAATTCAACAAGACCATCGATGGCAGACTCATCCAAACCATCCCCTTGGGCAAGCCGTGCCACGCTCCCAATTATGATGCGTCTGTCTGTGCCGTCCTCAAGGAAGAATGGACGGAGCCTGAGCTTCAGTACGTTCTTAGCCCCTCACTCCCCCCTTGCATGCCACATCACCAGCTGACTCACGATTCCCCGACAATAGCTACACCTCCAGCAGCTCGATCATGGCCCCGTGGTTTGCCAACGGAACCTGCGACCCCTTCCACCCGGTCGCCAAGCCCTGCACGATGGGCAACTACATCCACTATGCGGTGAACGTGTCCACGCCCGCCCACATCTCCGCGACGCTGCAGTTTGCCAACAAGCACAACATCCGGCTGGTGATCCGCAACACCGGACACGACTATAACGGCAAGTCGACGGGCGCGGGCGCCCTTGGCGTCTGGACTCATAACCTCAAGTCCCGCACGATGATCCCCAGCTTCGAATCGAAGCACTACACTGGGCCGGCGGTGCGGTTGGGCGCAGGCGTGCAGGGCTTCGAGGCGTACGAGTTCGCCGACGCGCACGGGTACCAAGTGGTCGGCGGCGAGTGCTCGTCCGTGGGCATCGCCGGCGGATACTCGCAGGGCGGCGGCCACTCGGCGCTGTCGTCGCGCTACGGGCTGGCGGCCGACCAGGTGCTAGCGTGGGAGGTTGTGACGGGCGCCGGCGAGTTCGTGACGGCTACGCGCGACAATGAGTACAAGGACCTGTACTGGGCGCTCAGCGGCGGTGGCGGCGGCACGTATGGCGTGGTCGTGGCCATGACCTCCAAGCTGCACGCTTCGACCCCGACCTCCGGGCTGAACCTGACCTTCACCAACGAAGGCATCAGCCAGGATACCTTCTTCGAGGCGGTGACGCTCTACCACACCCTCTTGCCCAGTCTCGTCGACGCCGGCGTCATGAGCGTCTGGTACTTCACCAACACCACCTTCGCCATCTCGCCATTGACGGGTCCCGGTGTCCCGGTCGAGACTCTGCGCTCCCTTGTCAAGCCGTTCGAGGCTGGACTGGCCAAGCTGGGCATCACGTACACGCTCGCGGCCAAGGAGTTCGACACCTACCTGGAGCAGTTCAACACCATGGAGGCGGAGATCGCCGTCGGCAAGGCCCAGTACGGCGGGTGGTTGGTCCCGCGTCAGGTCGTGACCCAGAACACGACTGCGCTCACCGCGGCGTACCGCCAGATCGTCGAGGACGGAGCCACCTTCATCGGCGTGGGCCTGAACGTCAATCGGTCTGTGGCGGGCGACGTCGATAACGCGGTGTTGCCCGCGTGGCGCGAGGCGCTCATCGACACCACCCTGACGACGCCGTGGGAGTGGGATGCCCGCGAGCAGATGATCGAGGAGCAGCGCAAGATGACCGACGAATACTTGCCCTTGCTGGAGGATTTGTCCCCCCAGTCCGGGGCCTACATGAATGAGGGCAATTTCCGGCAGCCCAGCTGGAAGAAGGCGTTCTATGGCGTTAACTATGATCGCTTGTTGCAGGTCAAGAACAAATATGACCCCTACGGGTTGTTCTACGCTAGCGCGGCGGTCGGGTCTGATGTCTGGACCGAGCACCAGGATGGACGCTTGTGTCGGGCGTAGCTGTTTGATAGTTAGCTTAATATGAATAGACTCATTATTCCAGTTTTTTTGAAATAAAAATTCCTCTGATAAGTTAAATTACAATTTGTATGGAGCGAAGAAACGCTGGCTTTTTATGCACGTACAACAGCACCTAGGGCTTGCTCAGCCCGTCTTTATGCAACGCAAGTAAAGTGACATCGCTACAGCTGTCGGATAATGTGAGAATCAAGACTTCCTGCGCCGTGCGGGTAAAGTTGGTGAATAACATGCCTTTACCGGAGCAGCTACGAGAGCTACATAGTTGGGGAATTCGCCCGTTCTGCTGTCTGCGAAGGTTCTTGATGAATATGCGAGAGATGTTCTCGCAAATTTGCATCCCGATTAAAGACCCTACCGCAACTTTGGTGGGGACAAATAATACTGCGGGGCGAGAGATGCAGGTGTCGGATATGCCTCCAGAGGTCAACCTGGCGCCTAAAGGTAGCTTCTGTACGACATCCGGACCATTGGCAAGGATTCCCCGTAGTCTCCAGATTGTTTCTTGACAATGGATTAGCCTTCTAGTGAGTATGAAGAGAATTCTTCTAGGGAGTACAGCTTACTCTTGGCGGAAACTCATCTTATGTTCCCGTAAATGTGCCAGTAAGTTATCACGCCGTTGGAAACTCTGGCTGCAGCCTTCCTCGGGGCAATTGTAAGACCGATGTGACAGATGAAGAAATCGGATATGACGCCAGAGATCAGCCTCATATTCAAAAGTACAATTAGTACTACAGCCGGTCCATTGGCATTCAAAAGTCGTTCTTTCCGGGGTATTCCTTCGAAGGGACTTAAGATTAGCTTTATGGCCAGTGTGCAGAAGGAATGAGTGGGGAATGGACCTACCTGTAACGGCGTCTTCCCGGGCTTTGATGCTCTACCACAGCTGTGTCGCTCATGCGCGCCTGTGCTGAAGTGGTCGTCCCGGCGATTCCGCCAAGATGCCCAGGACTGTAGTCGTGCCACAGTGCAGGAGGGGGATCACTTAGGAACCTCAGTTCGGCAGGCTCAAGCGCCGTCCATTGTCCAAGGGACTCCGGTGTAAAATTACTTCCTGCTGTGCTCATTCCATTCTGGACGATCCAGTCGGAGAGCATATGCGTCTGGCTAGCGTTCACTGGGGATATAGTTCCCAACTCATCGAAAAGGGGGTCGGGAGACCCAGGCGTTGTAATCATATCGCCCGTGCTCTCTAGGGGTGCGGACTCGGGCTGTTCAAAGATACCCAATCCGGGGCGATCGTCTCGTGGCAACGCTTCGACGGTGTGGGAAGGATGACCAAGATCAGTCATCACTGTGCTTCGGGTCCGATCATCATTAGTACCACAGTTACTCGCTGTGTTTTCCAAGTCATCATCATCCCCTTCACTGTCGAGGATGGGAAGTGACTTCAATGCAAGGTATCTGAGATGACTAGCAATATGTTCCTCAAAAGCGGTGCTACTATTTTCACCACACAGAGGACAAGACTGGAAGATAGGGCCAGATGATCGACTACTCCGGTCTGCGAGAATGGCTAGCTGTGAATGTGTACTTTTGTGGTTGGCGCGCATATGCTCTTCATACTCGCCCTTCGTATGAAAAACTAGAACTCCATGCGATTTTGCTGCACAGCGCCATCGCAGATTATGCTGCTGCATATGGTTTAGCCAATCCTCACTGTGGTTGTATAACTCGTGGGGAGAGTCACAGTGTTCGGATAAGCAGACGTACGGATCCAAGTCGTACTTGACATGGTTGCTAGATCATAGGATCAGCTGTGTAAGAGCTTGTGAATATCTGTCCAATGACTTACATCCATTTTGCCCTGCTGGTGACAGTTGAGCTAGACAAAGCACAGCAACAGTAAGGACAGATGACCTCTATAGCGTCAATTTCGCCAGTCGCCCCTTCGCTCTCCATTTTGCTCTCGAGGTTACTATTTGAGTTTGATAATATGTCTAAAAGTCCATCATCGTGGACGTTGTTAGACGTTGAAGAAACATGCGGTGGTTTGTTACGTGTGTAGTTGGATAGTTCTGAGAGCCATCCCTGGTGCTCAACATCAGATTGTGCTTTGAGAGCTTTCAGCCTCCGTCGAATTAGTCCTGAGGGTGCGGGTGGGAACTCGACCTGTTCGGAGGGACTCCAGTGTATCGTTCTCACCCGGCTGACCGTAGACGGAACATTTACCCTTTTCAAATGCGCCAAATTCAGGGTAGTGGCAGATAATGTCTGATTGTCCGTCGTTTGTCTTCTGTGTTGAGCCTCTGGTGTGGGCTGCAATAGACGGCGTTCCCCATTACCGCAAGTCTTCGATGTTACGGCCTGGTCTAGAGTTTGGGGAAGCTGGGATAGGGGTTTCCAGTACCGGGAGCGCCGATAGAGAATCCGTTTTCGGCGCAGCAGCATGGCAGCTGCGAGCCTCTCCTGGATCGTCTCGCTACAAAGTGGGAACTTGCGTTGAATGATGCCCAATGCGAAAAGGTTCATGAAAGACGGACCGATGTCTTTGCCATCCTCATTTCTCAGTGTAAAGGCCGCCGCTGCTCTTACGTTCTGCGCTTCCTTACTTGCTTTGCGTATAATGTTTGAGAGCTGGTGCATCAAGCTGATCTCGTTTCCTATTTTCTGTACGATAGCATCGAACTCACGGGTAACCAGTGAGGATAGTTGCGGTGGAGAAACCTGTGCTGGACGAGAAGACACTAGTTGAGATAAGTCTGCAAAAGCGTATGTCTTAGCTTGTACATCTCTAGGGGCAGAGCGGTCGAAGCTTGATCTAACATTCTTGGACATGGTCACTCAGAGTTCGAAGCAGCCGGCGGAGCAGTCGCTGGATATCACCTGCATCTCGAAGACGGTAATCGAGGGAGATTTTTGGTGCCGCAAAGACACCGATATTGGAGATCCAGATTGAGAACCGACCGTGTTGGTCTTCGATGGCAGACCTCTCCTTTAGGGTGAGGCGGTCAAAGTGAGTGAGACATTCGTTGAAAGATTGTAGGCAAATATTCGCACACTCAGCGATTGTCCCAGTCTGCCAAACAGTCTCCATCCTTAATGGAAGTGTCGTGTCGTTACGTGAGACTGAAAGTTGAAGGTGAGGTGTTGTTGAGGCTAAGCTCAAAGACTGATGACTACCCCGCATCGTGTCGTGTCAGCACTGCAGCCCACGTGTTTCACTCAACATGTAAGGAAGTTAACCTTCCTCCGCCTCTCCTCCCCTCTCCCCTGCTCCTCTTCTTAGCTTCTTCTCCTGGATGGTTCACGAAAGCGCAAAGCCTTCTCCTATCTCATAAGACATGCTATCTCTGGGCAACTGAATGAGGCTCTATGAATCAAATGACGCCGATACAGGTGAGAGATTCCTTATATACTCCTGTTGTCGACTGGAGGAGTCTTTCTAACCCGAGATGACCTGAGCAACTCCATCCAGCTTCTCCTTGAGTCCTTCTCAATCGTTCGCACTGTGGCCGACTCTTTTCAAGACGGTGAAAATCACAAGTTGGGAAAGTTTTTCGGGCACCTCAACGCCTATAGCTTTCTTATGACAGAGCACCTCTTGCCTTTCCAACACCAGACTCCCGAATTGAGCGTCGAACTTGAGCGGCTGATTCACACCGTTCTGAACAAGCTGACAGCCTTCCTACGATCTCCAGTCTTACCCGAATTCGAGTCCGCCCTTCCACCGTCCACTCGGTTTCGGAAACTGACAGCGCTGGTCCGGTACTGGGAGTTGCCCGAAAATGAGAATGATAGGCTGCTTTGTGCTCGCGGGTGCCTGGTCTTTGATTGTCCAGACCGAAGAGATGAACTGATCCTATTGCTCCGGGGATGCGTTGCGACGTTGCAGTCACAGCTCTCCAAGGAGCCACCCATTAGAGAGCATCGCACTTTACGGAGGAGGAGGAGCAAGCCTTGCTCCGTTTGGATGGGCGCAGACACGGTCTTCCAGGCGCTCTTTACTTCATCTAGAGCGTGCTCCCAGATCCATACCCACGAATCCGCAGCCAGACTCCGACTGGCAACGCATAGGAAACACGACGAGGATCAGTATAAATTCGAGACATTGGTCTCTCTCAACCTGACTTGCCATATTTGGCAAGAGACTCACATCCGCACCACCCTCCTCCCTAGTTCTTCGAAGAAAAAAAAAGCAGGTGTTAAATTTTGCTTGACAGAGAACAACGAAAACAGTGCCGAGAAGCACAAAAGACCTCGGCTGTCAGTGATGGGGCTGTGCGAACAAATCGAGAAGCTGAAGTCCAAGAGGCCATTGATGCGCTTGAATCTTTCTATCGAAGATGGCAGACTTTGGAAGGATCAGTCCAGTCAGATTGAGCATCCCATAAACCGGACTATCCCCCAGATCTCTCTCAAAGACATCATCAAATACCGGCCGACATGCCTAACGGAGAAGGTAAAGCGTGTTCTAGCCGTCTTGCTCGCGTATTCCGTCTTACATCTCCATGGCACGCCATGGTTGCGGTCCACGAATTTTCACCCCGATAAAATTTTCTTCTTCGCCACCTCCGCGACGATCCCGCTAAAACCATACATTCACACAGACCTAGATGAGCCACTTGACGGCTGCGTGAATACCGATGAAGACAAAGAAGTTGACCCGGATGACCTACCATCGCACCCCTATCCGGATATAGTTATGCTAGCTATCATGCTTATTGAACTTTATGTTACACAGCCGCTGCAGTCCTTGGCCCGCGAATTTGAGATGCAGTGCGAGGATTGGGCGATCGTCGATGATAACACGCGATACTCGATTGCCATCGCTGCTTTTGACAAATTAAAGGCCGACTTCCCAGACAATTACCGAGAGGCAGTGGACAGGTGCCTTGATCCAAATATTGGGCTTGGCCCGAATGATGACGAACTCAGCGAACAAGATTTTAAGCGCTTGATTTATGATGATATTGTCCAACCTCTCGAGGACGAGCTTGACCAAGGCTTTGGAAACACTGTCCACATCGATAGATTAGACGAGATTGCACAGACCATGGACCTTAGTACATGGGGACAGATGCGACCCACTAAATGCCCCTTACCAGAGTCGACTGCGCCCCCCCCTTCAAATCCCGATGCTCCAACCATTCAAGGGAGCAAATCCTTATCGCAAATGTGTATCTCTTGGACTTCCTTGGCAGGCACAATGCCTAACACTCGTAGCCACCGTGATTATACAGTGGGGTGGGTTTGTGCACTGCCGAGAGAGCTTGCCGCCGCGCAGGCGATCCTGGATGAGATTCATCTCCCCTTACCTCAAGTTTCATCTGACCAAAACAATTATACTTTCGGTCGAATAGGCCCGCACAATATTGTCATGGCGTGTCTCCCAGCTGGAGTTACAGGCACGGTGTCCGCGGCTAGAGTTGCGAATAACATGATGGCTACCTTCCTATCGCTGAAATTTGGCTTGATGGTGGGTATCGGCGGCGGCGTCCCTGGTCAAAAAGACATTCGTCTTGGAGATGTCGTCGTCGGGGAGCCGTTTGGGCCATTCGGGGGCGTAATTCAGTATGACTTCGGTAAGACCGTACAGAACAGTGACTTCCGCCGCACAGGGTCTCTCAATCGGCCGCCCGATGTGCTCTTGACCGCTGTCTCCCGACTCAAAGCAGATCATCTTCGGAAACAACCGAGCTTGGAGCGCTATATCACGGAGATGCTTGAGAAATATCCAGATTTAATCGCGGAATACTCGCATCCGGGTGTGGAGAACGACATTCTCTTTGCAAGCGAGTACGATCATGTTCCTATTGATGATCGCAGTACCTGCGATCGATGTGATCCTTCGAAGGTGATCCAACGCCAACCGAGGACTTCGCATGCTGCCCTCATACATTACGGTCTTATTGCATCCGGTAATAAGTTGATAAGAGACGGAAAGACTCGCGAAAAACTGCGCAAAGAACTTGATGTCATCTGTTTCGAGATGGAAGCCGCCGGAATTATTGATGTGTTTCCATGCCTGGTGATTCGAGGTATCTGCGACTATGCTGACACGCATAAGAACAAGGTATGGCAAGGATATGCAGCTGCAACTGCCGCTGCTTATGCGAAAGAGCTCCTGAGCGTGATTTCCGGGAGTCAATCGGATAACGCCCACCGACTGGAGAGTATCCGGCCGTGAGCCCGCAGCCTCCCAACATATTCGAGAGTTCTATCCACTCCCCCATCCTATCCCAGGGCCTCAAAAAGGCATTAAGTCCTTTCAAGTCGAACACACACTGAAATGTACGCTTTACTCAGACGGAGCAGTTCCTTGGACGACCGCGGTTCTTCCCGGGGGAACACGGGCACGATAGGACCGGTCAACCCGCTTACAGCTTACGCAATAGCCGATTATTTTCCTTCATGCGATGCGTCCAACCTCATGTTTAGGAACAGGGACGACACGCTGTCTGCTCTAGCTCCAGAGACTATTCAGTATATAAGCGACGGTAACAGCAGTATCCGATTTGCCTAAACCATGATGATCATGGTCAGAATAGTTTGCGACACTCGACATCACTTTGGCTCGTATGGATTCAGATCAAGGACTGTGTCACACCCTGGGTTCTTTGGGGAGGTGACGGAAGGCATTTAAATGCTGTAAGATTGACTTTTATTTAGTGAGCTTGGAGAAAGTCATGGTGAGACACTTTAATTGGAAAGTAGCTTGGGAATAAAGGAGAAGAATGGTAGCGTCATGATGTGTGGCTACGATATCAGCACTGACGACTGCAAATGGGAAGACAGAATTAGGGCTATCCTTCCCGGTCGTGCATTCCAGCCTGGAGGGGGAATTCGGAAGCCTAGAGTTCCCAAATCCTCAAAACCCCATCTATATCCGGAACAACAATAAATCTCGAATCCCTTGAGCAAGCCATTTCTGCGATAGGGCATCCGTCTATCTTGTCCCCCACCCCCCTTGTAAATTGCGGTTTGAGATTGCTTTCGAAATCATGCATATCCACGGTTCCCTTTCGGATCTGGAACGCCAGCTTCCGGTCACGATCTATAAACTGCACTGCTCGAGCTGTAGCAAAGCGACGCATTAGATCATCGTCGAATGCTAGACTCCATCGCATTAGCTCCTGTCCGGTGTATGGATCCCAATAGACAGCGTTCCCTCATTAGCGCCGTTAGCTAGCATGTTCCATCATGGCTCCAAGACAGAGAACGTCCCACGCGGTGGAATCTGTCAAAGCAGGATACCGGCTGCCCTGTAGTGGAGTCGTAGACATGGACATAGGACCTGGGGTTCACTTGGCTGAAAGCCAAGTACTTTTGGTCTGGAGAGAAGGCTCCGTTCTAAAGCTGGCCACCAAAGGGCCCCCAGGACGTGCAGACAGGTCCCGGAGTTGACATTCCAGACCCGCACGGTTTCATCCCATGCGACGGATGCCACCGACTTGTTGTCTGGGCTCATGGCAGCCCACATTATACGGTCCGTATGGCCTCGCAATTTGTGTCGAACGGATTTCGTTTCGATGTCCCAGAGACTGAGATAAGGCAGGAACATTGCTTCACGTGTTTTTCTTGGGTGGTTTCGTTCTGACTGAAATAGATCATGGTTTGTCCGTCTGGACTGAAAGACCCGAGCGCGCCCTCGAAGCAGAGTTTGAGTTCTTCTTGTTCCTGTCTTGCTTTGGCTGCAAGCTTGCCCTTCTCATCTAGCTCCCACAGAATCACCATATCTATGTCCCTAAAGCCATCTTGGGACGCTAGAAGATAGCTGGCTGTACTTGGGCCTGGAATGTGCCTGGATCACCCTGGAGTGGCTCATCAAGCTTTCTCCCATTCCACACCCAGTCGCCATGTCAATGCGATGTATTCCCTCGATGTATTGGCCCCTTTGTCGCTTTTGTTGTCGGCATGCATTGTATCTATGTACTTAGCATTTTTCCAATCGTGAAGTGTCCGTGTCACTTTTTATCAGCTTCTTAAACACTGTAAAGAAAACCACACTGTTGGTTTTCTATAGCTCATCTTGCCAAATACTCAGGGGAACAATATGAAGCTTGAGTGGTCTATTTTGAGTATCTATCCATCGCCCAATGATTTGCCTAGCGTAGTTGATAGCACGGATTACGAATGGTATATTTGGCACTTGAGCTCCCAGCTAGTTACCTTTATCGTGCAGAAGCTATCGGCCTTTCTCTTCCTCCCAAAGTAGCTATCATTCCAATCGCTCTCTCTCGAAAGCACTATTCTCACACCCTGAGACCTTACAGAACTTCTTCGAGCTATGAGTCCACACCGGACCCTTATTGAATCCAGCGCGAAAGGCATGTTGCCAACAGCACAATGAATCCGATCTGCTTCTGTCTCAGGCCTAAACCGGAATCTTAAACTACGTTATTGTTGAAGATACTTGATATCATAGACCGAGTAAGTATGTTTTGCATCTATTGTCTACTCGTGAGATCATTCGTACTTAACGTAGGCTATGCCTGCAGGTCTATACCAAGAACTCGTGGTAGACGAGCTTACCATTGATCAATACTTAATGAATCAGCCCTGAAGGTTGGGCGGCCTTCCATTCCCTGCGTGGCGTGGTCTTAACTTCAAGCACAGCCCTAAGCCCCCACTAGAACATTTTAAAGACTGGGATACTCTTAGTGTGCCCTGATTGTCAGCAGGAAGCAAAGCTAATCGTTATTTTAAGTCACACTGGAGCCTATAGGCTCAACAAGGAATATGCTGGTACATAATCAGCAGTAGCCACCTCCATCTAATACTTTCACTGCATTCACCTTGGTGAGATTTTGTATAATACGTGATTATCAGCCAAGAACCTCCGACCATCAAGTTCCATACAACTCTTCCCAACGGGGCCAAGAGGTGCGCCCAAGATCAATCCCTCTCCCCAGAACTCCTCTCTCAGATAAAGAACTTGCTCCCGGTCAATCTACCAGCCATGCGTCAAATACATTTCCTTGATCCACGAGGCATTTTCCACTTTAGACAGCGCACCGCCATGAATGCTCGCTCCGCGGACCGTGGTGCCGACTGTCTGGCGGCACCTCGTCTCGGTCTGCCAACTCGTCATGGTCGAGGTCGTTTCCAGCATTTCTCTGCGGCCTGACGCTGTAGCATAGCGTCCGACACTTCTCGATGGTCGGAACCATGTTTGTTGGTGGTTGGTTCGCCGGTTGCGCGTAAATGTTCTTCCTCCGCTTTGTCCAAGGCGCGTATGAGTCCTGGTTTAGGATGTTGTCAGCACTCGGTTGTTGTTTGCTCCTGCTTGGTAGGAAGAAAGTCGAATTAAAAGAGTTGCTCCGAGCTAAGATGGTCCAGGTCGCCTACTTGATGGCCGATATTAGTGATGTCGGCCTTTTCGATTGAGCATTGGTACAAAAGACTTGAGATTCTTCCGTCTAACACCCCCCCTCTGTTATGACAGTCAAGAACGATCTAAGATAAGCTTGCATAAACTCTAATTATCAACTGAAGTGACAGCATGCTGAAGAGGAATGATTTCATGATTTCAGTGGATTATGAAATGAAGAAGACAAAAATACGTGACCTATGCGCTGGAACGCTATCAATTTCACCGCTCGTTAAAGTCAAAAGACACAGCTCAGTTCTTTCCCAAGGTATTATAACAACTTGACTTCTTATCCAATCCCATACATCACCTTATAGCACTAAAAGCAGATAATTCTTGACCTAGTAGAAGAGTTTGAGCTTGATCTGACTTTTCCGCACAATCTCAGGAGTAGGAAGAGAGGTGGCTGCGATGGTATCGTCCGTGATCTGCCAGCGCTGTTTCAACTCCTTCAACCACTCCTTGTCCGGTTCGAGTTGACCCTCCTTAAACGCAGCCATAGGCTTCTGCATGCTGTTAAGGTCGCGACCTTTCAAATAGACTTGGATCATATCGTGCGATTTGTCGCAAACCCTGCTGTTGGCCTGTTTGACCAGGCAAGAGATACAAAAGCTTGCGTCAAGACATACGCGACAAACGTACAACGCGAGCCAGTCATCCTCCTTGCAGCCATATTTGCCGTGACAGGGAAACGGGCTCAATGGCGCCCTCTGCATTGCCTCTAGTGCGTTGCTGCTACGTGTGTCGCCTTTGCCCAGCGACTGTGAACGCCTCAATAGGGGCAGCATCGCCGCTGCAAACACCTGCGACGCCTCCTCCTCCTCCCCCGCAGAAAGTAGGGCTCTTGCTAATATCACATAGCCGTCCGCGTCATTGAGCGGATCGTCGTCTTCAAGTATCCGGACCCCCTGACACACCTTAGATCGGCAGAGTTCTTTGAGGCTCTTCTCCTTGTCTGTCTGTTTTTCGTTTCCATACAATCGTCGCCAGCGACTGAGCATAAGCGCTGCGTCGCCCCTGTGCTCAGGGGTGGCAGCTGCAGTATTGGCTCTCCAAGAGACTTTTGCCAGGTCCTCAAGCTTGTCGACCCATGCAGCCTGGTCTTTGGACGACTTCGCCTCAACCGCTTTCCGGTAGTAGTCGTTGCACAAGGACCGGCATTGCAATTGCTCGATATACTCCCTGGTCTGGATATCTGGGATTCTGCTATGCAGTTTCTCCCATATCAACCGGGGCCTGCGGTCCGCTTGTTCGTGTCGCAGGTAGTAGAGAGCCCGTTGGTCTTCTTCGAAGGCTGCGCCCTCAAAGTCCCCTTCCCTTTCCGCTGCCTCCACTGTCTCCTCCAGGATCTTTCGAGCAAAGGGCATCTCATTCATATTCCAGGCCGCCTCGCCGAACAGATCGTGCCCCTCTTCCCAGCCGAGCAAGAGCTGTACCAGTGGGGTTGGTGTCGAATCAGAGCGGTTGAGCTCTTGACAGAGCTCGATAAGCAACCTATATTTCCCCGCTCTTCCCAGGGTTTGAAAGTAATGCGCCGTCTTCAGGAGGCTGCCCGGCTCTCGGGTGTAGGCATTCTTAGCGGCCTCAATTGCCTCGGACTTTCTTCCGCGCGCGAGTTGCCAGACACTCAGATCAAGGTAGATCTTGCTCTGCGAAAGGGTATCGGGAGGAGGATCCCGCGTCAGAGCTTCCTTAGCCTTCTCGACTGCCTCTCTCAAGTTGCCCCTTGCTGCTAGTGTCAGCGCGAGTTCAGTTTTGATGATCCAACTGTTCGCATCATTCTCTTCCGCCTGGTTATACTCATCCTCCGCTTCCTCGAGATGGTTGGACTCTCGGAGTGCCCTAGCAACGCGTACATGCCAATCTGAATCGCAGATGAATTTGGCTTCCCGGGCGAGGTTGAGTATGCTCATGCTTTTGACGTCTGAGATCTTGTTGGGCATTGTCTCCGAGGTCTGTTGTTCCTCGTTCCCATTCTATTTCTTTGTTAATAGCGAAGAATTAAGCACCAACAGAGGCCGACTCACCAAGGCATTGTACCTATGCAAGAACAGAATGCAGAACTCAGTGTCTACATCCTTACCTTGAAGCCATCCCTCCGCGCAAAAATGGGCAAACGTGGCATATAAGTCCTGCGCAGATGCGCACGTATTTGGCTGCCAATAGTTGATGCGCTGGTACACTTCGTCGTCATCGAGCAACGAACTCAGAAGATCCATCCTCTTTTCTTCGGACATGGCATCGTACCACCGTTGAATCCCATTCGAGTCTTCTAGAAGCTTTTGTAGCCGTGTGGCAAGGAGCGATCTGTTTTCTGGCCGAGGTACGATATCTTTTTCGACAGCTCGGACATGATCGATAACATGGTCTGCTGCGTATCTAAGGATGTCAATGTCTTGTGGGCCTTGGGCTGGCTCATCGTCTTCAAGAAGTCGACGGAAACATATTTCCGCAACCACCGCATGGGCGTCGCTTCGGCGAAAGGGGTAAGTGCTATCTGAAGCACTCAGAAGTTTGGAGTCATCTCGGAGTAGGTAGTCCTTGAAGCACCGATGTTGGAACTGGACTGAAAGAGACAGGTTTGGGGAAGAGCCAGACGGTGAGTCGAACGTGAGGAGATCTCCGAGTTCCTGTTGTAATGACTTTGTAGACGAATTGTCTGGATTAGAGATACGGTCTCTGTGAAGTGCAGCCTTTCGAAGGAACAGCAACTCGCCCACGGTCAGCTCACGATAGGCACATGCGACCCAGCGCAGAATAGCTTGCCAATTAAGCTCGTCGGACACTCTCTGCTGCACCTTTTCCAGCGTATCTCGAATATGACACATGATGTCGGGTGATGATCCGTGGTCTATGCATCCGTGATTGAGGGTCTTGATTTTCTCTTCGACGTCGGTGACCTCTTCAGCCCGGGTGACAATCAGACTGACCCATAAGAACATCCCTTGGGATTCTCTCGTCAGCTTCTCAATTCGACTCTCCCTCTCTTCTTCTGTGAGCCCTCTGGCAGGATTCAATGGCGTTAGCTTGCCCGCCTTGTACTTGTTTCGGAGGTATTGCGCGATATCCGACTGAGTCCTGTCGGAGGAGACGTGCAGACGCACATCCGTGGTCCAGATGTCGTTCGCCATTGGAAGAAGATCCGGTCGACTGATGACTGCCACCCGGAAAAGAGGCTTTCCTTCGAAATTTTCTTCCTTCAGGGCCTTGAGCCGACTCAGAATCTTCTCTTGTTCGGTGGGAGGTGCTGCATCCAACCCGTCAATGACTAGAAACGTCCTCCATACTCTTTTGAGCTTCAGGAACGGTACAAAAAAGTTCTTCCAGATCTTGTCCATATTCCTGACAGACGAAAGGTCCTTTAGTGCTTTCGTCGCTATTTTACGGAATGCCTGGCTTTTTTGAGCCAGCTGCAGCGCAATACACTTGAACATCACCGTGGCCAGATTGCCTGTCGTTCCATGGCCTCTGACATAGAAGTACGCGACCGTGCTTTTTTGCTCCTTTCGCATCTCACTAATCAGTTTTGATGCGATGAAGGACTTACCACAGTAGGGGTCGCCATAGACCCAGATCAGGGCCTGGTCGTGGCCCTGCGTCTTCCATTTCTGCACGATTGGGTCCTGCGCGACCCACGCTGGTTCGACCCCTTTCCCACGTTTGTCGACAAGGTCATCGTGATAATTCTGCATCTCCGTCCAAGTCTTCAGGCCGAGCATGCTGTTAAACCGATCCTGATCGTTGACATCGCTGATCTTGTCGACCTTGGACTCCACGCGCTTGCCACCCTGATGGATCAGAGCCAGACACATCGCCGCCTCCTCCTCAGCGAGCCGTTGCAAGACAGCCATCTTGCCCTGGATCTGCGGATCCTCACCGGTAAGAATGGCGATGAATTCCTTCGCCACAGCACGCTTGCGGCCCCTTTTCTCATCAACGAGCCGCGTCGCCAGCCCGAGCACTTCGATGACCGCGCCCAGCGTCCGCTTGAGGATAGCCTGCAGTTTGGGCTCGGTGGTGGGCCCATGCACCTCCATGCGATCCACCACGCCGGCAATCCAGCCGAGGAAGTCGCCCAGGCTGTTGTAGGCCTCGATGACTCTCCGGGTGGTCTTCATCAGATGCAGCGTGGCGCCCAGGATCAGCGAGGCCGGTGCGAACGGAGACAGCGACGCCGCCGCACCGAGGATGCTCCCCGCGGCCTCGAACGGCTTCAGGATGCGGGCCACATTGTTCCAGGTCTTTTCATTGTGAGAAATGTGGTAGTCCCGGTCCAGCCTCGCGATCTCCGACTTAAGCTCCTGAAGGCTTCCTGGTAAGGAGTTTTTGCGTTGGAGCTTGGCGGCCAGGTCGACCTTCGTGTCGGCCGCGTAGACCTGGAGACTCTCTTCGAGACTTGTAGCCATGGTGGAGTCACTCTCCGTGGATTAAGTTTGAAGACCCCCGGTATGAAGTTTCTACCATAAGGGCAGATGTTATGGTTACTATGTTGAGGACGAGGCTCTTACTCGGTGGGCATGTCAGCATTTTGGTGGTGGGGTGGTGGTGGGGGAGGGGAAGAAGAATCCTGCAGAAAGAAAGAGATAAGCACCCCGCATCTTTACATGCAGGTCCCATCCCTGTCATGATTCCCGATTACTAACGCTGAACATGTTGCTTATTGTTGCAGATCCGATCTGAAGCGATCTACCTGAGGGTGCATTTGACTGGCAAGGAGAGGGGAGAATCGCGAAGAGTCCCATTAAGGTACCCACGTTCCATGCCAGTGGCCCGGACAGAGCCCTAAAAAGGCCGAATCCCTCACTGCTTGAGAACACCCGATCTACTACTAAATGAATTCTTAGTACAAGGCAGATCCGTCCTATTGCCTCTTTGCTTTTCCTAGAGATTTCCCCTGTTGTACGGGAGGATAAACATCTCCTGGAACTTTGCTTCCAGTTTTGATTTTTACCTCAACTTCCAGGTATCACCCCTCAACCCACCGATAGTCGAGAAGTCCCGTAATTCCGAAGATGATCTATAAATACAGCGCATTTCTCTTTGTCCCCAGGGCAGAAGGTTTACTCTTCTCTTTCCATGAATCCGACCCCTCGACTTCTAGGTCCACCAGTCATTCCCAAGATGGAGGACCAGCAAGAAGAACAAGGATCGCGAAGCATGTCTTCCGATACCTCCCCCGGTAAGATGATGGCTGCACCTGTATTAAAATAAATGAGTATGTGTTATAATTCGCTGACGGTGTCTGTGTGTTGACTACCTATATTCTTCTAATGCGGAATTTCATGTACAATGAATGGAAGGAGGTCGCGCAGTAGGTGTAATTGCGATGGTAATAATAGCGGAGCCACAAAAACAGTCCCTATGTGCACGGCCAGCCCCGCGCCCCCCGCATCTTCTATCAGGGCTGCTTCCGCCTCTGGGTCGAGGACCATCCCGCCGAGCCCTGGCTGTATAACGGCAAGAAGGAGTTCGGCGGCAAGGAATACTTGACGGGCTGGCACGCCTTCCTCGAGACCTTTGGATTTAGGTAGGCGCCCAAGGCGGAGACTCAGGCGGAGACTCAGGCTGAGACCGAGGCTTGATAGACATATTCGGGGAGAAGTTTGTGAGTCTCACTCTATCAGCTTACTCGGTTCTTTTGCTAAAGACTGAATCCTCAATATCAGAAGCTTAGTTCTTCGTAATGGGAAGATTGAGCGATTCATATTAACTTCCTTTCTTCGTTCATTGATTAGGATATTCTTACTACTCCGTAATTTTTAGAAGATGACTTTAAATATGCAAGATGGAAGTAATCAATCAGGTTTAGTCGCTATACACGCCCCTTCGCTGTTGTAATAGTAAACATATAATTCAATTCTACTACTTTTTAACCGTCCTTCGCCATAATTCTATATCATCGAAGTACTCATAAAGGTTCCGCAATGAGGAAAGGGGAGAAGAAGAGTATCAAGATAGAGCTTCCTAAGTATTCGTATTAAGGCACTCAGGCTCTGCCATAGCCCTAACAATGTAAACCTCTTCTTATTGCCGGTTGACTCTATGGAACATCCCTTCTACCTTTATTTTATGGACGTCTATCTAGTACTACAGAGAATAAAGTCACAAGATTCGGTAGATCTTTCTTCCAAAAAGAATGGAGTAGTAAATTTCACAGACCCGAGTCCTGACACTTGTAAATACTGTACAGTGTATATATCCAGGGCCATGAGCCCTGGGTTGGTTGTTCATGCCTGAGGGTTTTCGGGATGCTCGGTCCGCCACCACATTTCTTTTCTCTCTCTCTCTGACGAGGAGTCGACCAAGGTTAACGATATGGGCGTCATCCATGGAAATCGTTCTGAGTGTTGCGTGCGAGACGGGAGGTAAACTGATATGGACGGTGCGATCGGCTCTTGCTTGAGGGAAGAGCTACTGTAAAACGTCGCGGGGAAGGAAAGGAAACGAAAGGAGTGGGCTCAGCTGCCCCTGCATGCGGCGTCCAGCTATGGGAGATGTCCCCATGTTGTCTCATGGGATTATCCTCCTCAATTATGGTACAAAAGTCGATTATGTACATACAGTTTGGATCTGTATGGCTGCCCGGAAAGGGGGACGTTGTGTGCAGTCTTGCGTGTGCATCTGCAGTATGGGACTAATGCTTAAAACGGGTTCTGTTTCAGGTGGCTTGACTTGATTCAAGGGGGATGGATGGTCGGCGTTTATGCTGAGTAGGAAGAAAAGGTATTTACCTGCATGGGAAAAAATTGTACAGTACTGCACAGTCAAAGATACAAAGCATCCCGAGTAAGAAACCAGCGGTCTCACTGCTGAATATTTTTCAAGTTCCTCGCTTACGGCCACCCTCATCGGATCGAATGCGGAAATATGTTGATGGTTGGACAGGTACAACAGCGGTAGGACATGCAAATCGAAAGCTTAAGGACTTTCTGACCTTTCAAAGTAATGAATGCTAATAGTTACTCACAGATGTTGTCATATTCAACCACGGTCTGCATTCCAACAGGCCTCCACACACGTCTATAGGTATAATCAGGGTAGTAAAATCATTAGTTACAGATGTAGAAAAGACCTCATCCTGCCCCGGACTCTCTCTCATGAAGATCGACGAAATAGAACAGCTTCAGGGCAATGACTAGCCAGAGGGGTATGCAAACGCCACAAGACAATTAACAGGAGAGAGGAAAACAACACAACACGAAATAGAATACAACGCAACCATCATCGGGCATGCCACAAAACACAGAACATAAATCCAATCGAGTGTATTATAAACCGTTCGTATGCCACTCCTGTCTGTACAACTCCGGAGCACCTGTCGAGGAGAATGGTCGGGAAAGACCCTTCCCTGCGTTGTATCCGGGGGAATCAAAAACAAGCCAAAATTAAAGTCATGGGTGGTCCGTGATGCTTCTAGTAGACGATTCGAGAAAGTATAAGAAATTAGGGTTGTCGTATCACAAGACTCCATTCAGGTCGACTTGGTGACTGCAACTCCGGGTTGCGACCTCGAGTTAGTCGGCATCATGAGACAGATTCGATTGAGCAGAACACGAAACGATGAGGCCGCCACCGCCGCCGCGCTTTCCGATATTGCGTGTCAAGTGTCCGAGTGAACCGGTCGTCGCCTTGCAGCCTGGAAGCATCCACCCTGGTGCGTAGCCGCCTCCGCCTGCGCATAACGATCCGAGCGCCGGACAGAAGTCGTGCCACACCGTCCTGCATGCCAATAAAAGTTCCAGTCTTCGAGCCAAAAAAGCAAGGCCTACTTCCCGTCCAGTGATGCTCAAGTCAAGACGGAGATGTTCTCTCCCAGGAGCGAGCCGCAATAGCTCCACCTCAACTGATAATCTGTCTTGCACCTTCTTTGCCCAGAACACCAGGTTCTTGGGGCTTGGGACTCCTGTCGCGTCCCTTCTTCCGGCTCAGAAAAGCGAGCATGCCGCTGTTCGAACCCTTTCCTTTGCCGGTGACGGGGTCGTAGCCTTCAGCCGGGAGGGTAGAGCTATGATCCGCGAGCTCACTCCAACTTCCGGCTTCTTCCAAGACCATCTGGACTCCACCCCCTTTGCTCGCTTTCCGGGTGGCCCCCCGAGGGCGACCAGCTGCGGGCGGTGGCAGGGGCCTGCTGAATGAAGGAGCTGACGCTGGCGGTGGTGGTGGGGGCGCAGGCACGGATTGCTGAGAAGTCGGAGTCTCACTCATGGGGGACGGTGTGTCGGGTTGGGTCAATTGCCCGACCGAGCCTTCATTCCGCGGAGGCGGTGAGTTTCTCGAAAGATCAGGTTGGGAGACTTGCCGCGAATGGGTGGATTGGGTGGGGAGACATTCTTCGGGATTTCTAGCGCCAAGTTAGTCAAAGCGAAATACGGCACCTCACGTGAAGAGGGAAGGCTCACGATGAGTTGGCGATGGCTTCGGCGGCGCTTCTAGACTCTTGGTTAGCGAACCCCATACCCGCATCCTGCAAGTCGCCGCTGACGCCCACATACCCGACATAGCACACCCTGGTGTAATCGAAGGGCTCAAACATCGTCTCGATGAGACGGTGAAGTTCGTCTTCCCGGATCTCCTTCGCCGTGGCGTCCTCCCGCAACTCCGCCCGTGGTTTTTGTCGACGGGCCCGGGCCTCGAGCGGCGCCTCCTCCAAGAGTAACTCCTCCAAATCGTAGGTCGCATCGAAATTGGTCTTGTCGCTAGAGGGTCGAAACACCGGGGGAATCTCCTTTCTCTCCAACGCTTCGAAGTCGATGTCGGCGAAGAACATGTGCGAGGTGAACGTCTCGAAGCCGGCCGCTCCAATTCGCTTCGAACGATCTTTTTCCATCAGGGCGGCCAACGCTCGTAAACACGGGACGGACACGGCGGGGTTTGTGACGTAGTATTTCGGTTGTGCCTTTTTGATGTTTTCGCTGAGCACATCCTGGCTGCGGCCTTCGAAGGGACGCTGTGGTAGGATTAGCTCGGCGGCCCAACCTCGTTCTCAGGACCAATCTACAAACCTTGTTGTAGATGCATTCATAGAAGGTGACACCCAGCGACCACCAATCGACTTCGCAGTAGTAGCCGCCTCCTTCGTAGACCTCGGGTGCGAGATATGCCAGCGTTCCCGATTTGCTCGTGAGAGGCTTGCCGGGCCGGAAATCCGAGGCCACATTCTGTGGGGGTCAGGTCAGCGTTCCGCAACAGAAAATGCCCCTCTGCCGGGGGCACTGTGGACAAACATACAAAATCAGCCAAGTGCACGTGTCCTTCCGAATCCAAGAGCACATTGTCGGGCTTCACGTCACGATGGATGATACCCTGCGAGTGGATGTATCGCAGAGCACAGCCCAGTTCCGCCGCCCAGAATCGTACCGCCTCTTCGGTGAAACACTTCCTCGAGATATGGAATCTCAGGTCGCCGCCGTTCATCAAATCTACCACGATGTAACTTTGGGACAATCAGTAAGTCAGTCGTATCGGAGGAGTTGTCGTGGGACGCACATGTATTCGATGTCTTGAAAGCTGTATCTCAAGTTGCAAAGGAAGGCATGATTCAGGTGTTCGAGCATGCGCCGTTCACGGATGATGTTTCGTACGCTTTCCGACCGGACGACTAGGAACCCCCAAGCCACCACTGTCAGCAGGGATTGCGAGCGCCTTCGTGGGTGAAGCCGTACCTTCTTCCTTCCGGATGTATTTCAAGGCGAACGTCAAGCCGGTGTCCTTCTTCTCCACAATGCGAACTTTGCCGAAAGCCCCTTTGCCTACCACCCGCAGTAGGCGGAACTGGTTCAGATTCACTGCACCCCAAAAGAATCAGTAATGAGATCGATGCGTCGTCCCAGCGTCGACGCTGTCGCTTCGGGATTGCGCTGGGTGGAAAGCCAGGGAAGGGGAGGGCGGTTACGCACACTCATCGGTGGGGGCCACCTGTTTCCCTTGTGAGTTCCCCATTGAGGAAGCTGTGTAACAACAAATGCTGAGATCCTTCTTCTTGAGTCACCTCCGACAACATCCCATTCGAATCACAAAAATCGGTCGGTTGGCAAAAAAGCTCGGTCGGAGTCTCGGTGCGGGAGAGGAGGGGGAGGCGAAGAACGGTAGAAAGACGGCTGGAGATTGAGTGGTTCGGGGGTGGGAGGCAGATGAGGATTTATAGGTCAAGTTGAGTGCTCGCACATCCAGGTCAATACTGAGCAAGACAGAGAAGAAGTTAGTCAGGATTGCCAGGCATGCGGAAGAGTGCAGTCGTCTCTGCAAAGCGGGAGAACGTGGGCGGAGGGGTTTCATTTTCCCGATTGGCAGAGAGGAGGGGGAGAGGGAAATCCAGCAATCTGACAGGTGAGACCTACCCCAATAGAAGAGAAGAATGGCTGTAGAGACAGGTTGCGGTGAGAGTGGAAAGTGTTGTTGTGAGAAAAATGGAAAAAAAAATAATTAATGGATTGAAAAAAAAAAGGAAGAAGAGACACGTCCCGACAAGGACCACCAAGCGGACGACTAGTCGGGGAGAGAGAAGGAGAGAGAGGGAGGAGAAGTGAGAAGGTGTGGTTGGAAGTAACGGGGAGAGAAGAGCGGGAGAAAAAAAGTGACTGATAGGGAGTTTCCGAGCTATGGAGATGTAGGAGAAAAGGGAAGAGAACCCCTAAGATAGTAAAGTAAGAGGAGGGAAGAAGGAGTGTGAGGGATGGGGAGAAAGAGGGAGGAGAGAGAGTGGATGAGGAAGAGGTTAGTTAACAGGTTAAGGTGGTAAGCAAGATGGAGTGCTTCTTGTTACGACTACTTCCTTCCTACTATGACTATGACTGTATGGGACTATGTGTAGTTTCTCTCTTACTGGAGTTACGAGTAAAAAGGCAGAGAGAGAGAAAAGACGGGCCGGAGTTGTGGCCCTCCTAATGATCTCCTCCCTCCCTTTTCCCCCCCAATAGCCAACTTCCAACCAAGTTTAATCGTCTGACGATGAACTGGCGGCGGAGAGGTTCAAAAATTTATTACTTGTAGGCAAGTGGGAAAAAAAAAAATGTAGATTAAAAAAGTAAAAAGTAAAAAAGTAAAATCGTCCAAAACAAACCAATCCAGAAACTCCGAAGCCCCCAGACAGTGTTCAGTTCATACTAATGAATGGTGGCCGTTCGTATTACATTTTCTCCTACTCTTACTCTTTGGCCGTCCCGGTTCATTGCTTCTTCTGCTTCTGCTTCGGCTTCGACTTCTTTTCTTGTTCTGAATCTGGTTTCGGCCTGTCGCCCTGCTGTCTCGCTGCTTCTTGGGAGCTTCTGGCCCAATCCTCTCGGATTTAAGCTCCGATTTCCCGCCTCCCACGCCTTCATTGGGAAGAGGTCAAGGGCAACTTAGACAGGCGAGAACTCTGTCGTCGCCAACACGAGCTGGCTGACCCTGATGACTGGATTCCCCCGGTCATGGCAAGATGTCAGGGATCCGGTCCTGGGCAGTCAACGGGGCAAACCTTCTCCCCGGGGCTGAACTGCCCGGCAGGAGACCAGCAGGAGCTGTCCTTCCCCGATCCGGTGCAGCATGGGTCATGGACGCTGTACGGCAGGGGCAACTATAACTACCTATAAGCGACGCTGGCTGTGTCGTGATGGTGATGGATGGGGTGAGTTTCCAAGAGGCTAGAGCCAGGGCTGGAAGAATAGGGGGTCGGGAACTAAAGGGGGGGTCCGAGCGAAAGGATGAGAGTGTGTTTGCACTTCGCAGACATGCAGCCATGCAGAAGAACGAGGAATCAATATTGATTAGTAGAGGTGAATGAATACATAGATCCAGCATGGTTTGGTGGAGAGACAATCAAGCAAGCGAAACTGAGGGGTTGTTTGGCATCCGCTGACAATGGAGAGGGTCCATTGCATGTCTCTATCTAAATATCGATCTAACTATCTATCTATCTATTGCCCGCTTACTGCAGCCATCCGGTTACTCCCTCCCCCCTTTTAGGAAGATGAAAACTTGAAAGATTCAAGGTTGAGAGATAAACAGATAAAGATGACGCGATAATGTCCCCCGGAATCACCAAATTAGCAACATCCAACAAAGAACCGGCAAACAAGAACAAATAAAGAGTCTCCGGACCAGCCCTGCGAGCCATCATTCCCGTGCAACCCGGCCCAGCCATGGACGGATCACTATCATGGGCATACACAACGCAACGCAAGGAACACTTATCGAAGGCTTCGGTACTTCTGCTTCCCCTGCTTCAAGCTGTCGATTTACCTGTCGACAATAAATTGACTTTGTTTCACATGTTGTGTTGGCTGTCCACACTTCACGGTGCACACCGCTTCTATGCTTGTCCACCGCCCGCCCGCCCGGGCCCTCCTTGTCCTCTCCCAAGCTTCTTTCTCCTCTTCCCTGCATTCCAGTCGGGACCACCACAGGTACTCTACACTGTAATCGTAGCTCTGGGGCGGCCGCAGATTCAGCAGCCAGTCAGTCACCCCTTTCTCCCCCCCTCCTCCATAATAACCCAGTCGTAAGGTTATGCGTGGCCACATCTCGTGGCCGCCACGTTTTTGACCCCGACCATACCTGCCCGTACAATCCGCTTGGGGGCAGAATCTCTGCCAACCCACACCCCCCAAACCCTCACAGTCAGCATCTTGTGAATAGACCCGGAGTAAGCCGTCAATCGGGTGGAAATGGCCCGTCAAGCAGTCCCGGTCTCAGCACTACTGCTCAGATTCGGAGAAGCGAACCACCTCCCCCGTTGCCACGAATAGCCCGCAGATCATGCACTCGGGGTTGATGCGCACGCTAGCTGCATTCATCCTGGGCCGGTCTGGTCTGGTGTTTCAGGTTTGGGTGGGCAAAGGGGGGGGGGGGGGGGGTGGGATGATGCAAGAAAGAAAAAAGGAATGTGCCATGCTGAAGACTGATCCCTGTCAGAGTTAAAGTGAATGCCAGGGTGAACACAGTGGACGGTCTGCCAGTCTGCCAGTGTTTAGGTGGTCCCGTTACTATAAGCCGAACAGATGCTCGGTCGGCTTCCGTCAGTATTCACATTGAGTTCATTCATCCCAAGAACAGAACGGCTAAAAGATGACCCCGGTATGAATCTCGCCTCCTGATCTGTCAACAATGCACCACCACCACCACCACACCACCACCACCACCAAAAGGCATAATGTCATCACGGCCCCAGAGCAAAAAGCAAAGAAAAAAAAGATTGGACTGGTCCCATCCCCCATTGCAGGATCATCATCTTTAGCTGGGCGGGTCCGACCCCCAAAGTTCCTGTTAGACTCTTGGCCGCGAGATGTGGTGGAGCCGGCGCCTATCGTATCCAGCTGCTCGTCGTCTCCTCGTCTGGTCAACGGCGCTGATCTGCTGGGTCTAGCCACTTTGGCGCTTAGTCTCTGCTGCGGTGACCCCCCGGCGGAAACCTTAGCTGTTTCCCAGGGGGGAGGTTCAAGCTTAGGGTGGACAGGCCCCAGCAGTGTGACTATGTCGCCTGCCGTGCAGTGTGGTCCGGCGAGGATACGGGTGCTCACCGTATGAGGCTCGATGGGTGGGATTGGTCTTTCGGTTGGACACCCGCAGTAGGGCTTATAGACGGTCGCCTGCAGAGCGTTAAGGTATCGAATGGGTTGTTCAAAAAAATATAGTATAAGGGATACTGTGCAGTACTGAGATTGTCAAGGGAACCAACCTAGAATGAAGAAAGAGCAAAAAGATTGACAAGAGTGGGATTCGAACCCACGCCACTTGCGTGACTGCAATACTCCTCAGATGTGATCTGAAGAAGGAATAGTCCTTGAGTGCAGCGCCTTAGACCACTCGGCCATCTTGCCTGTGATGACATATCTCTGTCAAAATTAACATTATCACCCTAAGGTCAGCCCGGTTGTTCCGCGGTGCACTAAACAGCCAACCCCGGTAATTCTGCTAGATACTGCATGTATAAGCTCAAGACCCGAGCAGGTGCTACTGTAGATTAGCCGGTTCGTATCAGCGTGCCAGCATTTTGACACCAAGGTCCTTCGCCTGGTGCAAGGGTTCCGATAATTTAGTTGCACTGCTCGCATTGTTTCACCATTATATTGAGCATGATGTACTGCCTTGTACGATTCATGTACTTTGCCTATATCTCCATGCCAGTTATCAGTGTCATCTCACTTGTGCATGCTTGTATGTGGTCCTTTGAATGCTGAAGCGGAGTCGGTGTGGACACCCGGGACAAGTACCGCATGATATATACACCACAAGCTGAGGGGTTCTGAGTTGCCATACTTGGTGCAGTGTATGGATGTGCACATTTGAGCTTTTGCGGAATAATTCTGCACAAAAGTGCGAAGACCAGAACTGAAGCAGTGTTACAGTGAGAGCAGTTCATACCTGTCGCATCTTAATGACACTGACACAACTGAACTTCAAAATCACGGGTCGGCACACGCACTAGAGATATAGATTAGGACGGTGTTCATTTTATAACAACCAAGGGCAAGATGGCCGAGCGGTCTAAGGCGCTGCACTCAAGGACTATTCCTTCTCCAGATCACATCTGAAGAGCATTGCAGTCACGCAAGTGGCGTGGGTTCGAATCCCACTCTTGTCAATCTTTTTTGGCTCACGTCCAGCAGTATGAACTGCTTATTTCCCTTGATCCTTCCCTCTCTTTGATCTCTTCTTCATATCATTCAACCATATCATTATCCTCTTCTCCAAGACCATACACTCAGTCCTATCACTCCCAAGCAAAACCCCCAAGAACCAACCCAATCCACCCCATCGGTTTAAACAAAGTTAACAACGATGGACTACACGCATCATTACCCTCCTAGGCAACATCCCCGTCAACCCTCCCACCCAGTCACCCAGTATTCATCGGCAATCAGCCCAACTCGCCTTCTCACCTCCCACCGAAGACGGCTCATTGTCCGACCTGATATACTTGGCAGCCCTCGCTAGCACCCGCGCGCCAGAATCCAAGCCTATCAACATCCTCTACCCCATTACCAGGCTCACTGCGGCAGCCGGTGCTAACCATAGTGCTCGGGGTTGGCATGTCCTTTGTGTGGGGGACCCGCCACAGACAGGGTTCACTCTATGAGTAAGTTACAGAGGTGGCCAACCCACAGGCCAGCCAGGCCCAGGGATGTTCGCTTGCATGAGACTAGAAGTATGCATAGCATTATTGTTCATCGCCTTCGAAGCCGATCACACTCCATTCCCCGCTCAGCGGACGGTATCTACGTACAGGGTCCTCAAGTCTGAAGGACGATCCCAGTAGTACTCGTACGTAAGTACCTTACTATAGTCTTCCTTCCCTCTTCTCAACCCCAAAACACAGCAGCGCACAATATACAACTAGCACAGCTACTGTAAGTATACGCCGAATAAAAGCGAGCCCCCTCCCTCCACAACAGAACACCACAGCCCCATACTCCGTACAAAACAATCAATACTCCTAGGTTATAACCCGGAATTGCCACCACCACCAATCTCCCACCCCACAATATGCACAAATCAACTACTCAGTAGACACACCAAGTCCCGATCAATCACATAGAGAACCCACATCAAACGCACCCTAATTCGCCACCCCATGCACAACGCGGAAATACATTCCTGTCGACGGCACTGCAGGACGCAAATCCTTCTGGATCGGGATCCGGAAAGGCTTGAATGGACCGTATGGGAAGAGGTTCCGGTGGGATCATCCTATGTACAGTACAGTACTGTACACCTGCAACAGGCAGTACAATCCCGGCTCAGCTTAACTAGCTATCTTAGGGACTTTTCTGGAACCTAGCATCTGAAAGAACAGTCTTGTTTCTACTCATCTAGTAAGGAAGTCTCTCGATTAAGGTAGAGAGAGTTGATCGTATGTGGGGAGGAGAGAGGAGAGGAGAATGCGAGATCTACGCACCCAGCTCCATCAATGTTTACAGATGCGATAATGCGCGGAGATAATACCACTAATAAAGATCATCACCGTCCGGAAGTCAGGAATTCAAAGGAAGCAAGGAAGAACAAGGACGCGGATATGAGGTGTCATAAGGAATCTGCCAGGTTCTCGGACTTAAAGAGGCTTCTGGGTCAGTCATCGACTAGGGCGCCTGATCTTCATCTCTGGTTTTTATTTTGTCCTAAACGGATCCTGTAGTCAATAGATACCATACCTGGGATCCAAAGGAGAAGAGGGGTGGGGTAAACAGGGTATGGTTATTGAGAATCTGGCTGAGCCAGACAGACCTATGCCCTTGATCCTTGTCAATTCTGAAACATGGCGGGCTGGCCGTCTGTTGACACATTACTTCTGAAACAGTAGCAATCATAGCGTGCATAAGACTATGATAGGCGAAAGTGCGGAGGAGATACGATCTTGCTGACTCCAAGGATGATAAAGACTAGGATGAAGACCCGAAAATATGCTCCCACTGATATCGAACAAACAGAACCCAGAACATGAAACACATCTCCCATCTATGTGTATATGTAATGCACCAGTAGATGTCCCGAATCACAAACAACGCCTGTTAATGCATCGATCTCCTGTCAAGGAATCATATTCATGCCCATGACACGGCACGATCCGTTTCAGGTTCATGCAACCACAACCACCCCTTACCACCGTCTTCCATACACCGAGTCTTCCGTCCGAGACGTGCGATTGCTCTGCTGACGGCTGCGCTCGCGCGACTGCGACTCGGCGGATCGGTTCCCGCTGCTCTTGCTCACGTACGGCGAACCACCGTCAGCCCCCGAGGCCAGCAGCTTGGTCGTCTGTGTCAGGTCAATGTTGCTGTCTCCGTTATATCGTGCCTCTGCATCCTTGCCGAATAGCGCCATCATATCCTTCATGGTGAGCTTGGCAGCTGCGGTCTTGCCCTCGATCGTCACATTGGCGAGCTCCCGTTTGCGTTCTTGGAGGTCGAGAATACGTTCCTCCACGGTGCCCTTGATGATCATCTTGAAGATCTTGACGTCCCGAGTCTGGTTCAGTCGGTGAACGCGATCGATTGCCTGCTCTTCAACGAACTAGAAGAAATGATATCAGTACGAGTCCACAGACTTGGCGGTGTAATTCAGCTTACAGGATTCCAAAATGGCTCCAGGATGACAACCCGGCTCGCGGCTGTGAGATTCAGCCCCAATGCACCGGCTCGCAGACTGCACAAGAGAACTCTCGTGCCGCTGTTGCTCCGGAGCTTGTTGAGGCTCGCCTCGCGATGATCGTTACGCATCCCACCATCGTAACGCGCGAATCCGATCCCGGCGCGTTTCAGGAAGGGCTCGATCTTGTCCAACATAGACGTGAAGACCGAGAAGACGATGAACTTGTGGTCCGCTGACTCGCGTCGGAGAATCTTCATCAAATGCCGGACCTTTGTAGACGGGAGAACGTCGCTGGTATCGTCCCCGGGGTTCAAGTAGATGTCATCGTCGTCTTCACTATCGATCGTAACAAGGCCGTGAGTCTGCTTGCGTATGCTCGTAGGCTGCCGACTCGGAGATTCGGGTCCATCATCATCCGAGTCAGAATCATCCGAATTGAGCCACTCGCCACCCCCCTCAGCATCCTCATCGTCGGTGCCTCCGGCCTTACCAAGATCAGACGCCTTGCGCTGGTGCTCCGGGACAATCCACTCGCCGTCCTCGTCCTCTTCATCATCGCTGTCGATGACCACCCTCCTGTTCCTTCTCGAACGAGCTGCCTGAGCCTCAGAACGGCGCTCTGAAGGCGACTGGGTGAGATCCGCAACCGCGTTGGGGCCGCTCCTTTTCTTCTTGTCAGTCGTCATCACATTCGTGTCAAGCGTAACTTGGCACTCTCTACACCTGCTTTTACCGCCCGACGCCTCGTCCTTGCTGAGATCCATCTGACAGATGTCACACTTTTTAGAGACCACGCTAAGTGCACCAAAAAGATCTGCCATGCTATCCAGATCATCCTGTTTACCAGACGATTGCTGGCTCCCGGTGGCTCCTGTCTGCAGGAGGACATCCTTATCCTTAGCAAGATCACTTTTGACCAGGTCGGGGTGATTGCACGACTGCCGAAGACGCAAGAGCAGGACCAACGCGCCGGCATAGTCGACCTTTTCGCCGCCCATCATTTTCTCGAGACTGTCGTCCGTGCGCTGTTCAAGGCGTTTGTAAAAGTCCATTTCCCCAGGCATGAATTCCGCTTCAACCTTGATAACCTCACGATTGACAATCTGGAAGCCATTGGACTTCTTCTTTTCGCCGTCCTTGCCCTCCCCGCCAGGCTTGAGGTTGGCATTCTGCTTCAATACATCTTTAGTCCGTCTCTTCATGAAAATCTTGAGATAGACCTGCAGGCGCTCAATGGCAAGGCCACCGCGACCGTTCGCTATAGGCTTGGTGATTTGCTCTCTCCAATTCGCTAGATCATTAAATGGCTTGATGCGCAAAAACTTGATCAGGCTTTGAAGCTCGTCAAGGTTGTTCTGCAAGGGTGTTCCTGATAGACACCACCGGTATTCTGCATCGAGAGCACATGCAGACTGGGTCGCCTTCGCGTTGCGGTTCTTGATCGTGTGCGCTTCATCCAGAACGATTCGATACCAGTAAACGGAGAAGATACCCGTCTTCTTCTTGCTCTTGTCGATCGCACCGTGCTCCGAAGTTAACGTTCCATAAGTGGTGATCACCACGTCGTAGTCCTCCAAGTTGTCTGTCGCCTTTGCGCGTGCATTGCCATGGTAAACGAGAACGCGAAGCCTGTGAGACGGTTCCACTTTATCCAGTATCTCCGCCTCCCACTGCTTGATGAGCGCTAGGGGGGCAACGACCAAAGTAGTCTTGCTGAGACCGGGCGGAAGCTTCCGAGTATCTTCCTCCTCGTCCTCGTCGCTATCCTCCTCTTCATCTTCGGTCTTTGATCGTCTGAGACCATTCGCAGGTTTTCGGTTCGAAAGAATCAACGCAATGGTCTGGACGGTCTTTCCGAGACCCATATCGTCGGCCAAGATACCACCCTTGGGAAGCACGCCCTTGGTCTTGTTGCGGCCCGTTTCCTTGTCACACATCCAGCTGACACCCTCACGCTGGTGAGGAAGTAACTTGACTTTGAGGCCTTCCACAGTACCGTCATCCTCGTCCTCTTCTTCATCTTCCTCGTCCTCGTCCTCTTCCGACTCAGCCTCAGCTTCACTAACAACGTCCTCTCCCTTCGCGTCTTTCTTTGAATCCTTCGTAGAGACCTTAGATTTTGCCTCAGGCGAGCTCAAGGGTGTTTCGGCTTCCTCGCTCTCATCTTCAGAGACATTCGTTTCCTTCACCGTCACACTCTCCAACTGCGCAGCAAGATCATCGATATCAGCAGTATCCTGCTTCTTTTCTTTGGGCGAGTCTTCCTTCTTCGCTTTCTCTTCTTCCTTCTTCTTTTGCTTCTCCTTCTTGTCTTTCTTCTTGTCCTTCCTGTCCTTCTTTTTCTTCTTGGATTTCTCCTTCTTCTCATCCTCATCATCCTCAAACGCCCCCTCCAACAGCGCCTTGATATTCTCGTTCGCCTTCGCCGTATCCACGAATCCATTCACATCCACCGACCCAAATCCCGTATTCTTCGCCCGCGCACTCGGCGTGAACCCACCCTCCCCAGTCAAATCGACGAAGTTCTGCAGATTTCGCGACGCATTCGACATCTTGATAGCTGAAGGCTTAGAGGCAAAGAATGTCTTAGGCGCCCGCGGCGTGTTGAACGTAAAGTTCTCCGGCCGACGGATCTCGACGACATCGTCGTTGGCGGGGCGGGCGAAACGGTTGTTATTGTAAGCGGACGGACGGACGGGCTTGAACGGATCGTAGGGCTCAGCTCGTCGCGGGGTGGAGAATCCTCCTGCTGGGCCTGGGGTCATCGGCCCTCCCCTGTGATGGGGGAAATGGTGGTGAGGAGGTCGCGGTTGTTGTTGTTGTTGATGTTGCTGGGCTCTATGATGCTCCGGACGGGCTTGGTGTGGTTTTGGGATGTTAAAGGGGTTTCCACTTTTATTAGCGTGAGTGTTCGGCTGATGACTCTTTTGGCTAGGGTGATAGTGGTGCACTGGGCGTATAGGAGTGGTTTTGCCGAACTCGGGATGGTTGGACACGGGGTGACGAGCTTGTTGCTGCTGTCCTTGCTGCTGCTGCTGCTGCTGCTGTCCGCTGTTTGTAGGACGAACAGGCGTCGTGAGATCGATCGGGGCGTCGCTTTCACGGGCCATTGTGAAGCGAAGTGTAGGTGATGGTTGCGGAGGAGTGTCGAGGGTTGAGGTCCTGTAGGTTAGTATTTGCAGCTGAGCGCGGATTTATGTGTCTGATCTATGCATCAGGCTTTCGAGAGAGCAAGGTGAGCGATTGTCGTGTCCACAAGTGGCTGGGTGGAATATGTCTTCTTGTTCCTGTGAAGCCAGGCAGCAAGTTGTTAGCATGACATACCCAGCGATGATGTCCCACAAGCTCAACGGGATAGGAAACACGTAGGATGAGGAACAAGCAAGACTTTGAATACTGGGCACTGACTCACCTCAGATCATGATCAAGATTAGAAGGATTAGAATATTCCAAGACTGGAGACTGGGATGGAGGGGCTGAGGAAGAAGATCCGCTGTTTGTTAGTGCCGGCACGCCACATTTTATCGATAGCGCTATCGTTTGGTTTGTTTGTCCGTTTGCCCCGGCAACCGCGTGTGACGCTTTGGCACAACACCGAAAATAACCTGCAACAAAGAGCCGTGACAGGTGAAAATCTGGGGGTTCAAAGCAGATCTGAGCTTGGACTTAAGGTTATGACGTCTTACTCACTTGTAGCTCAAGATTAAAGGATCTATTGATTATCCTAAGGCTTTCTCGTATCCACAAGAACTTGCGGTGAACCAGCAGCACCCCGCTAGCTTGTCTTCTTTCCACAGCTTGCTACAACCTGGCATATATTCAATCTACTCGATAGAGACCCTGCCCCATCACACTCATTCACATCAATTATACTTCCCCAATAACAGGCTCCAATATTTGAGGTACGATAACCCCAGCATCACCCTGGAACAACCAGTCCCTCGAGGTCAATCCCGAAGACCCAACATCATTGCGATCCATGTTGACGACAGCCACCCTTGCACCCCGCGCGCGTGCTTTATCGACGTACCCCGCCGCAGGGTAAACCTGCGAGCTCGTCCCAATCACCAAGATGAGGTCCACCGTGTCCGCACTCAGCCACTTGTCGACATGATCGAGCGTCCGTAGCGGTAGGCTCTCCCCGAACCACACTACCCCCGGCCGTAGTAGCCCTTCCTTGCATTCCGGACAGTGCGGAAGCACCTCCGGACTCAGCGCGGGGAGAGGAACTCGTTCGTCGGAGATATCCAGCCCTGAATCTTCTTCCCCACTTCCTAGCGCGCCCGCCAGCGCGCGAGACGCCTGCTCGCCTGTTTTGTCTTCGGGCGATGGACCGAGGTCCGTGGTGTTCTTTGGGAGAGCGAGTGCAGGTACAATCGGGTCCGTGAAGTCATTTTCGCGCGAGTAGCTGCAGTAAAACGAGGTGCATTTGACGGTGAAAAGGGAGCCGTGGAGGAGATGGAGCTGGTGCGAGGGATGGCCGGCTCGCTGCGAGAGACCTAGTTGTAGTAGTGACAACTGGTCAGTGTGAAAGATTAAACAGTTTTCTGCGGTGCAGGATCCTTACCGTCAACGTTCTGCGTCAACGTTATAAATTGAGGGTTCTTCTTGGCAAGCTTAGCCAAAGCGTAGTGGGCCCGATTCGGCTGAGCCTTGAGCGCCATATGCCTTCGATAGCTGTAAAACTGCCATACTAGGTCTGGGTTGGCATTGAACGCTTCGGGAGTTGCCAGTTCTGTCGCATCGTAAGAACGCCAGATGCCCCCGGCGCCTCGGAAGGTGGGGAGGCCAGATGAAGCGGAGATGCCGGCTCCGAGAAGAGCGATAATTCGTTTGCACCCTCTGAGGTGGTCTGTAAAAGATTTGAGGTCTGCTGCTGGTATGGCGGCCGAAGCCATGGCGATGGCTTGAGAACGGGTGCGTAGAGAGGGTGTCGTATGTGTCTTACACGGGTTGGTCGGCGATCAGCGAGAGTATAAAAACCGACTCTAGGTAGGAAGAGGTGGAAACCTATTTCTTGGCTGATTGCCTGAAGGCAGGAGATGAGGAAGCATGTTGGTGTTCCGATGAGTCGAGGACGCTAGCGATGACGTGGGGTAGCAACGGAATTATTCTCTCAAAGTCGGCAGTCGAACTCAATCCTCGAATGGTTTAATGGTTGAGTTTGCCAAAGCATATCTTCTGATAACATGACCCGCTCGAGAACGGAACTCGGGTCTCATTACTCTCGTTTTCAATACCCTGGCTGAGTTGTACAGTACATGATGCGACACTGAGATATTTCCCCTCACCATACCCCGCACAATGGTGGCGGGCAATCTCGCGCTCACACTCTTGGTCTACAATACAGGTGAACAGCTCGCAACTAGTATTTAAAGGGATATGTCGATACCACGAATTAGTATAAATATTATCAGATGCTAACAAAGAAAGGTGATGTGCTTTGATCCAAGACTCATCAATGCTGCTCCTCTTTCCGCAGCTCGATCCCGATAGCCTTCTCCGCATACTCACGATTTTCCGCATTCTTCGCCGCCACAAACGAGCTGATATGGTCCGGAATCCCGGCAACTTTGTTCTGTGAGCTCGGAACAGGATCTCCGAACGTCTCCCATACAGGGACCACGCCCGTCCAGACCCGGTCGGTGAGCTCCTCGTTGTCTGTGTCCTTCTTCTCGTCGGAGACCCCGCCATCTCGGATCTTGCCGCTGCCGCTGACGACCTTGACCCTGAGGATAACGGTGGACGACATCTCTGCGCGGTCGGGTGGCACACGCGTGTTGACCCAGCGGTTCCGGAGCACGGAGTTCGTAATGAGTTCCATCGCGTACAGCTTCTCCGCTTCATCCGTGACCAGCTGCGCATAGCCCTGGATGACGGCGGAACGGTAGTTATAGCTGTGGGAGTTGGGCGTCAGCGACAGGATCAGCCCGTCGACTTTACTTGCCGCTATGCAGATGGGCAGCCCCTCTCCCTCGGAGTCGCGAGCAAGATTCATGATCCGGGAACTGACATAGCCGTGAAGATAGCAGTCTAGAGGCTCGTCGATGCTGGCGGAAGGGTAGTCGAAGGAGCCCATCTGCCCTATCATTGGCAGGATTGCGGGGAAGGGCTCGGAGGGCCCGGGGCTGAAGGATACATGAAGCACCTGGGTCGAGTTGATGATGGAATGGATTGCTCCGAGGTCATAAGTCGCTATGTCGTCGTTAATTGAGCAATGCGGCTGTGGCATTAGGGGCTGTCTTACCACGATGCTTGTATCGATTGACCGTGTTCGACGGTTTCTTGGGATAAGTCAGAGTCCTTCCCATTGCTGTAGACTACTCTTATGAAGGTGATATAAGTCCAGTGGGTACAGGAACTCTTCAATGTTGCAACGAGGATGGGAAGATGGATTCTAGTAGTGCTGGTGTCGATTTGGGGGTGGCTAAAGTCTACGATATATATGCTGGCGCATGAGTCACTCAAACTCCCCTACGAATGATAAGAGTCATTCCTCTGTAAAGAAGTGTTTGCAGGATAGAATCCACATGGTAAGGTAGGAATCGCAATCAGCTCATCATTCAAGCAGTGAAAGCCTGGAAGGCTGTGATAGGTCTTCAACTCCGAGATATTGTGATGGTGAAGCCATGACAGCCTGGAGCCGGGCCAATCCAAACAGCCTTGGAGAAACCATCGGAATCTACTAGCCGCTGATTGGTTGATACAGCCGACTGAGGCTTGCAGCTTGCAGCCTGAGGCAGCCACGGTGTCGGAGCAACTTATTGACTGACCCTTGGGACTCCAGACGTTGGAGATCATCGCCGTGGATTCCGAACCATACGTGAACAGATAAGCCTTGGTCACCTTCAATGGTGGTGACTAGTACCTCAATAAGCATGTCGACATGCAAATCTGTTCTCCGCCAATGGCCTCGCTATCTCCGCCGCCAAACCCCGTCCGTTTCCCTGTCGCATTCTAATCGGTTGGTGCTGCAACAACGACCGCGTCTTGCGCTTCGCCGAACATATGCTTCCATCTCCGCCGCAGAACTCAAATTCGGACAGCCCCTACACGAGACACACCCTCACATCTTGAATCCTGGTGAATGTGAGTACATACTATAATAGTACTTCTTCTACACGATGCATGATCTACGAATACTGATACTGTTCTTGAACAAGTGACCCCAGGAATCACCGCCCTCGAATATGCCCAGCGCCGCTCGCGACTCGCGAACAAATTACCCAAGCATGCCGTAGCAGTGCTGGCTGCCTCCGAGGTTACCTATCGCGCAGCGGGGATCTTCAATGAATACCGACAAGACTCCAACTTCTTCTATCTCACTGGTTTCAACGAGCCCAGTGCGCTAGCCATCATCGGTGAGCTTCCTGCGCGGTGGAATATGAAGATGAGTGCAACACCATGCTGATACGCTCACCAGCAAACGATGGATCGGGAAACAACCACCTCTTCCACTTGTACGTGCGCGAGAAGGATGCAAAGGCCGAACTCTGGGACGGAGCCCGGTCCGGCACCCGCGCTGCAATTGATGTGTTCAACGCAGACGAGGTAAGGATGCTTGCGTCGCTTAGAACGAGCCGAGCGCTGATGCTAGAATGGACTATAGTCAGGAGATATCGACCGAATCGGAGACCTGCTGCCTAAGATTCTCTCTGACGCCACGGAGATCTACACGGATATTCCCGCCTTGAACCCTGGCCGATCGTCCCTCCATAGATACCTGTACGGCCCCACGGGTGCCTCCGAGAAGTTGAAGAAACTGGTCGACTACCGCAAGGTCAAGCCCTTGAAGCCGATACTGAATGAGATGAGGGTCTTCAAAAGCGAAGACGAGGTTGTACAGATGCGCCGCGTCGGACAGGCTTCGGGCAGGGCGTTTACCGAGGCAATGAGACAGACCTTCACCAAAGAGAAGGATTTGACTGCATACCTCGAGTATAACTTTAGGCGGAATGGCTGCGATCACAGCGCATTCGTTCCGGTTGTTGCGGGCGGTTCGGTGAGTGGCCCATTGAATTCCGGGGGGCGGGCCGACTAACATATTCAGAACGCATTGAGCATCCACTACACCAGAAATGATGATGTCCTCAGGTAGATCTCTGCAACCTTGTTTGCTACTCTGTATGCTAACGCGATAACTTAGAGCTGGAGACATGGTCCTCGTGGACGGTGGCGGAGTGGGTATATCCTCGACAAGGGTCTTGATTCAGCACTAACAACCTCATAGGAAGCGGGCACCTATGTGTCTGACATCACACGATCTTGGCCTGTCAATGGCAAGTTCACCGACCCTCAGAAGGACCTGTATAATGCCGTTTTGAACGTGCACCGTAAATGTGTCTCCCTCTGTAGGGAAGATGCAGGAATTAGTCTGGACCGATTACATACGATTGCTGAGAACGGTCTGCGTGATCAGTTGATACAACTTGGGTTTGACGTCTCTGGAGACGTAAGTGCTACTTTACCTCACTACGCTCTTATATTTGAGGTACTGACTGTCGCAGGCAATGGGAATCCTTTTCCCTCACCACGTTGGACACTATGTTGGACTGGACGTCCATGACTGCTCCGGGTACTCTCGAGGCTATGACCTGCGGGCAGGCCAGTGCATCACAGTTGAGCCGTGCGTACTTCTCGCTCAATGGTAATGTTTCCATGCTAATTCATCTTAGTGGACTTTATGTTCCTGAAAGCGACCGTTGGCCAGAGAAGTTCCGGGGTATCGGTATTCGCATTGAGGACAGCGTTTGTGTCGGAGACGAGAACCCTATTGTTCTGACCACCGAAGCCGTCAAAGAGGTAAGCTTTTGTCAGAGTTCATGGTGCTCGCCTTCCCAACGATACTTCAGTCATTGCTAACACGCTGGGCGCTACTCTAGGTCGACGACATCGAAGCCCTCCGGGATTAGGATAGAAGGAACAGGAACATTGTATAGATACCCTTCTGATTGAATTGTAAACTAGAACAGCTCTTCTACTTTCATAGGTGATTACCGTGTGTCGGTGCAGGTAAACATACAAACCAAGTTTCCATGATGGAATAGACGTCATACATTTTATGTTGCATCAATCAATGGTTGTGACTGGACGCGTCCCGGTTTGGGTCAATGTCGAGACAAAGTGTGCAAATTTAAGAAATAAGAGAAAGGATAACTCAAAAAAAAGTTTCCTATTGTGGATTAATAGCGTAATCAATGATATGACTTGAATAGCAATCGGGCAAAGAACGGCCTTTAATTACTGGTAGCTAAGAATGTTCTTCGAGGAGCCAGGGCTTCTCTCATGCTTCGCGCACGCCTTTTGTTGTCAGGCGCACATCCCGGAGCCAAAACAAACCCGCCCGTCCGTCTCCACCGACCTTCCCTGACACGCTTAGCCTTCCTTGCTTGCTGCTGCTGCTGCTTCTTCTCGATCATCACCACCAAACCAAACCAACCAACCACTCGATTTAACTACTCCTACTGCTTGTTCTCTTTGACCACCACCCCCCCGTTCTTTTGTCCTTTAGGCCTGGGACTATTGGTCGACTTCCTCTTAGTCTTGGGACTATTCAAGTCTCTCAGTCATTCACATCCACTCCCTTTTCTACCGTCTAATCGCGTGGACAATGGCCCTTTTCTGATCGAGTTCTTTGCTCGTCGAGACGTGTAATCCCATCGCGTGCTCGTCTGGAGTGCCCCTCCTTCACTTCTCTCCACCCTCCTGCGCCTCCTCTGCCTCCTGAGCTTATAGTGCTGCCGTCATTATTACCATATGGCAGCAGTATTCATCCCACCTTCTCCCCAAACCTCTCATAATATGTCGACTCGCCGACCACTCGCAAACGTGCCGAATGCTACCAATTCCCCTCACAGGTCAGGCCTCGTGCCGGCCAAACGCCTCCGGGCGGCGTCAACCCAGCTGGACATCCCTTACGGCCAGCCTCCTCCGAAGAAGCAGGTAGTCGACGGCCAGGACCCGGAGGCCCGTTCACCCACCCGTCCCCGGACCTCCGCCTTACAGAACCCGGACTCCAAGTTGTTTACCCGCCGGACGAACAATGCCCAGCCCAGCGCGTTCGAGAGGAAGCTGGTTGCCGTGAGGGACAAGGAACGACAGACGCAGGTGAAAGTCACGAGAAACGACAAGCCGTCCGCGGAGACGCTCGATGCCATGCGACAGTGGCAAAGGCACTACCGAAAGGCCTTTCCTCAGTTCGTCTTCTACTTCGATAGTATTCCGGAGGATGTTCGAAGCAAATGCTCGAGGCAGGTTCTGGCTTTGGGAGCTGTAAGTCTTCCCCCCTCCCCAAACATATTACCTTTTGCGTTTGTGTTTTCGTGAGCACTGGGAGAAAATGGCAAGAACGAAAAGGGGCTTGGGATGTGCCATATACCCTTAATTGTCCATCTATATGCCTGACATACTTGCTGACCTTCTATAGCGCGAAGAAAAATTCTTCTCGCGTCAAGTAAGCCATGTCGTGACCTCTCGCCCCATCCCCCCTGAAAATGATACCGCAACCCCGACCGAGATCAACGCAGAACCTACAGAGCAAGTCCATGTGGACGGTACCTTGCAGACTGTCAACCCGTCTCTACTCGACAAGAACGCCGAAAGCCACCTTCACATGTCCCTAAAGAACGATGCACGCCGTGAACAGCGAGGAATGGATGTGCTGCACCGGGCACGGCAGATGCGCATGAAGATCTGGGCGATCGAAAAGCTTCAGCGGATGATTGCTACAATAAACGATGGGGATATTGGAGGTCATACGGGGTCGACACGGACTACCAATGCCGTTAGTGGCCACACCAGAGTCAAGGGCGAGAACGATCTCTCGCAGGTCCTGCAGAACGAGCTGATGAACGGCCCCTCCGATCGCAATCCTCACTCGGTTCTCAAGGAGCAGATTTTGTTCAAGGGACCTTTCATCTACGTGCATGATATGGATGAGAAGACGAGACCTGTCATGGTTCGTGAGTACGCGAGGGTGGTCAAACGGCAGGACGGAACCTGGCCGCAATTCCGAAGTGCACCGCTAGGCAAGTGTCCGTTCATCGATGAGCCCCCGACGAAGAAGGATTTGGATCGACAACGCGCCCGGCAACGTGAGAAGGAGAAGAAGCTCGTCTTTAAGCCTATGCCTGCCCAAGAGATTCGAGACACCAAACTCAACGCACCGGAGATCAACAGAACCACGGAAGAAGCTGAGGATGCAACTCCTGAATACAGCCCCGCAGAGACTATCTGTCAAGGAAAGCAACCTGAAATGCAGGAGATGCAGCCGACTCGCCCGCCGTCGCCTAGAAAGAGCTCCGAGAGCTTCTGTCCGCCGCCCCTGCAGCGCACGGGCCCATTCTTCCATGGCCGTGAACCCGCCGCGTCGGGGGTACAGCCCTCTAACATCACCTCTGCTATCCGCTCCCAGATGGTCTCTTCAACTGCTGCCGCACCCGGTGCCAAGGCTGGGCTGAGCAAGGAGGTCCATGAATTGAAGCGGAAGGTGCTTGAGAAAGGAAATGGAGGGCTGAGCACTACCACCAGCATGATGCCACCCTCACACCACACCACAGACATGAACACGACGCTGAAGATGCGAGCCCACGAAAGTCGACCGAGTAATCTGAGCCACACCGAGAAGGCCATGAATGTGATTGATGAAGGAACGACGCAGTCAGAGGGTGCTGGGGCACTTAAGCGACTTACAAGTAACCGCAGGGGTATGACTCCGAAGAAAAAGGAGCGGCGGAGGGACCCCAAGCCAGGCTATTGTGAAAACTGCAGGGACAAGTTCGACGACTTCGACGAGGTAAGCAGCCCCAAAACGCGAGTGAAAGACACCGACTGACCATAACTAGCACATCATGACTCGGAAGCACCGCAAGTTCGCCATGAGTAGAGCCAACTGGACCGAACTCGATGCCTTGCTCACCCAGCTGGAGAGACCACTGAAGCCCGAATGTTTTAGACTTGATTAAAGGTCCTTGGTACGAGGATACGTTAAAAAAGGTGGATATATGATATGTACAATATATCGCATGTCTCAGATCTTCACGCATCAGTCACCGTGTCGTTTGCCCGGGGCAGCCAGTTGGCCGCTCAGCGGGGAAATCATATACGCAAGGCCTTAGCACATTTCCGTCCCATGACATACATACGACTTTTGTTTGCTGGTTCCCGGCAGGCCTCCTTTATTGTCCGCTGATGATGTGTTTGGTGATGTCTATATTCTTCTGACTGTCTTTCATTTTCTTCTCTTCCTTCTTATCTGTTTATTGCTATCCACATCCCCAGCCAGCACATTGATACACAACTGGCGTCTTTGGGTTTTGGCAATGTTCACGCGCTCTTCGTCATTGACCCTCGGCGCAAGAGCACTCGACGGCCCTGCAGTGACGGCGACGACTTCTTCTCTTGGAAAGACCCACGTGGCATCTGAAAGCAGAGATGCAAGGGCATCGGAGCCGGTTTGGGGGACGAGGTCGTGCGGATTCATGCATGCAGTCATGCTTACGATGCAGAAAGCGAACTGCCCGACCTCGGCTAGCGGACTGAGGGCATCTGAACAAAGGTGACTGACAAGTTTCGAAAGTCCCGTCCCCACTCCCTTCCAGCCTCTGTTTCTGTCTCTTCCTCTTGTTTCTGTTCGATTCTCGGTTTTTATTATGGGTGGATGTGTTTATGGGGTTGCATACAACGGCTGCATTCCTGGATTGGTGTTGAAGCTTTGCATTTGTGCTCGGAGGTTGCCTATGTTGTTTTGTTTGTTTGTGTTTTCTCTTTCCTTCGTGGCTATTGTTAGGTCCTGAGGTATGGAGAGGACCTAGGCTTGACTTGACCATGGCTACCTACCTAGCTTCCCACGATTCTATTATAGTAGGTACGGATAGTAAGCTGATTAGCAGCTATTATCGACAGGTTACATAGAAATGAATATTACTGACTGAATATGTGACGGACTAATAAGTATGTAACTAAATCCATTGATCATACCATATCACCACCACCACCACCACCAGGAACCGAACCTGAACAAACCCCACCAACCCCAATCCAACCAAACCTCGGCCCATTTCCTCTCTCCCCTCTCCATATCGGACCGGAACAAAGTATAGCCCCGGCGGAGAAGCCCCGGACCCCAACCTCAACCAATAACAACCCACACCAAGTCACCGAGCCAGGCAACGCTAACATCCCCCCGACCGGAAAAACCGGCAGAATCGGACCACCCCTCAGAGGAAAAAAAAAAAAAAGAAGTAAGACAAATACTGCTGCAAAGAAGAAGTACACCAACTACGCCGCATAACCCAGCACGCGATTCTCGTTTGGGGCAGTTGTACATACATCCCACTGCAGTCGATCTCAATCGTACGCCGTATATATCCGCACGTCTTAACACCAAGCGGTGCAAGGCTCGGATAGAAGGAAGGAAGCTGAAATTGCCAGGCTGAGTTGTGGTGCTCGGGACTACGCTGCATATACCATACCAGGCGGGTATAAAATTTGGGACACAGCGGGAGGTCGATTCGCTTCCAATCGAGTTCAACTAACAAAAGAGGGATTGATTTCTGGGGTTGCTGCAATAACGGACGCATCTTATAAGCAAGCATCCTTCTTCATCCTTCTTTGAGCACACACGCACGCAGCTAGTGGAAGGAGCCGCCTGGAGGCAACAAACGGCAGCTGTTGTGACGACATTGTTCGCCGCTCGCATCACCGCTTTCGGGGCTTTGTTTTTGCTCCGTCGTTTTTGCCATCTGATTCTGGGGGGATTTATTCGGTTGTCGAGGGGAATTGGAAGGGTTTTCATTCTTTTCCTATCTTCTCAGGTTGGGATTGTTACACTTTGTGCAACTTCATCGAAAACAACACAACATGGCGTCTACAACATCGCTCCTCCGCCGCTCGCTGCATCCCATCCGCGGTTCCTTTCTCCGCTCGACCACAACCACACCTACAGTTACGACTCGTCTCCCGGTCTTGAGCGGCGGTGCGGTCGCTACGCAATGCTACAATCACGAATACCCCACTGCATCACATGGCGCACAACATCAACTGCAGCAACTCCGCTACAGCTCGCACTCCCCGCTTGGCGCCACGGCTGCCAACCCCCGCAAGAAGGTGACCCTGCAGACGCTGCGCGGCATGTACAAGCGCGGCGAGCCGATCACCATGCTCACGGCGCATGATTTCCCGTCGGGTCATGTGGCCGAGGCGGCGGGCATGGACGTCGTGCTTGTTGGCGATAGTCTGGCCATGGTGGCGCTGGGTATGGAAGATACGAGTGAGATCGTCATGGAGGAGATGCTGTTGCATTGTCGCAGTGTGGCGCGCGCAGTGAAGGGGGCTTTTACGGTAGGTCTTCTGTTTTTTCTTCGGTGGGGGGACGGGGGTAACACTTGAATCTGGTGCTAACGCGTTTTCGATTTTGGGGTCTAGGTTGCGGATCTGCCTATGGGCTCGTATGAGGTCTCGCCGGAGCAGGCTTTGCAGTCGGCCATTCGCATCATCAAGGAGGGTAGGGTGCAGGGTGTCAAGATTGAGGGCGGCGAGGAGATGGCACCGACGATCAAGCGGATCACGCAGGCGGGGATCCCTGTCGTCGGCCATGTCGGGCTCACGCCGCAGCGGCAGCATGCGCTGGGTGGCTTCCGCGTGCAGGGGAAGTCGACGGCGGGCGCCTTGCGGCTGCTGCAGGATGCGCGCGCGGTGCAGGAGGCCGGTGCGTTCATGATTGTCGTCGAAGCGGTGCCCGCGGAGATCGCGTCCATCATCACTAAGAAGCTGCGCGTGCCGACCATCGGAATCGGGGCTGGCAATGGCTGCTCCGGCCAGGTGCTGGTGCAGATCGACATGACGGGCAACTTCCCCCCGGGTCGCTTTCTCCCCAAGTTCGTCAAGAAGTACGCCGATGTCTGGGGCGAGGCCATTAAGGGCATCGAGCAGTACCGCGACGAGGTCAAGAGCAGAGCGTACCCGTCGGAGGAGTACACCTACGCCATTCCCAAGGAAGAGCTGGCCGAGTTCGAGAAGATCGTCAAAGAGAGCTCGTCATGAAGGATGCGTTCCTTCCCTCCAGCACCATTGATCGCTTGTTCACGATGCGCCCTTGCGTTATAGACCCTTGAGGATCACGGTTGCGTTTGATGCACAGCAGCATGCTTTTGTAGAGATACCTTTTTTTTTTCCAATGTTCATAATCATCAATCCATAAGAGACCCTGTCCATAATATCATCAAGAATCATTGACTCCTCGGTTTCCGTGCTTTCCGAACTCGTAAATTAGTTCAGCATGCTTTTAACCTGCTAGTAATCGGATGCCACAAGAGATAGTCCTTGACTAGGATAATATACTTTCAATGGTCCGTCTACCCAAAAGCGGGCGTCATCGAATAAGCAACAATGAGCTGCTCATCCGTCTTGAAGCACTGGAGAGAACCAATCAGTATTTAAATGTTAGCTTGCATAGCAGGAAGAAGCAATACTTACCCTCCACAACCCCCCGATCCCTTCATCCAACCCCGGCGCAAAGACGCTATTGACATAGCAGAAGACCGAATCCGTCTCCTTGCAATCCAGCCGCTTCCGGAGGAAGTTGACGACGGTCTCGAACTTCTGCGAAGCACTGACCTTGAACACTCGGGTTTTGAGGATCGGGGCCGACGGTAGAGGTTGGAATCGGACCGTGACTGCTGGATGTGTCAGTCTGGTGTCTACGATCACCCATCGCTCGCTGGGAGGATGGGCTGATCTTGTAAGGATCGATCGATCGATCGATCGATCAATCGAGATGATAATCCAGAGTATTCTCGATGATCGGAGATCGGGGTTCAGAGGCAGATGTGATGATTGGGAAAGGCTATAATGTGTCTAGGGAAGATATCACTTGCCTTTGCCTGTGTCCACGGCTTCTGCATCCGCCAATGCTTGGTGGGCGTCGCGGGGTAGACTGGTCAAGACCACAGAGGCGGACAGGTTCATGGGCAGGTCTGCGCCATGCTTGTCATCGGGGATCGGGGTGTGTTGAGCTGTAGAGGCAGAGTCGGATGATTGGGTGCGTTTGCCTGGTCGAAGAGGCAGGTTGCTTGTGCTGGGATCCGCGTTGGGGGAGTTGCGGGCGGAGGGGCCCTGCGAGGAGGATGATTCCATTGATTTTGGTCTGCCGGGGTTGAGGCAGATGAGTGGGATATATTTTTCTTCTTGAGATGTCTTAAACGGCAGTCAGGGGTGGGTGGAGAGTGCCCTGGGATATATATGACTATGGGTGTTGACACAGATGTTAATGGATGGATGTGTAGTTCCATTCAAGGGTGCAGCGGCATGCTGATTGCCCTTATCGGACTGGGCGGGTGGCATTTGACACCTGAGGCCTACCACTCTTCCCCGCAGAAACATCCATCAAACTCACCTCACGGCATGCAATCCCCTAGTGCTTATACTTACGATCTAACTCATACTGACAATTGTTCAGGATGTCGGACGCTTATCTCGCATACATATAGCTCAAGACTAGTCAGTAACACCTACTGGCTTAGCACTCTATCAGCTTCGTAATTCCAGCAATGCGGGATTCCAGTCGCCCGTCCCAGATTATCCCAGTAATTGGAAGCCCAGTTGCCGCCGTCGAAGAGCAGGGGTATATCCATCTATCAGCACTGTATATCTTTCAGTTTATCCTACTTGCTGGCCATCACATCACACCGGCGGCGGCTAAGCATGTATTGCAAGTGGACGGTACAACCAGCGCGAGCGCCAACCATGGAAAGACAAACTTTGGAGCGGTCTTTCGGAGCTCAAGAGTCATTCAAGCACCTATTTCAATCACCACTTGCTAAATGACCCTAACCTTGCTCAAATGCCCGCGAAACTTCCCCCCTCCAGTCCTCAGAGCTCTCATTTGAGCATTGACTACTATAATGCCGTCTAACAAAGACCGCCTGTACCTAACCCTAAATGTGCGCGGAGGTGCCCCTAAGATGCCGGGGAAGGAAGACACGTAAGGAGTTCGCGTTCATGATCTCATGAATAGAAAATGATTTAAGATTCTTGCTTTATATAGGTATCATTGGGCTTTGATGGTCGGTCCAAAGATTGAAACCGAAGGCAGCCAGGGCGTCCGTTTTCATGCCAAAGAGACGATACAACCAGAGGGCAGCCAATGGCGACTCGAAGAACGTCCATGCGGACTTCTGATGACCAGCATGTTACTTGTGCGAGTCATGATAGCAAAAATCGAGAATAGAGCTCGGCTGGCAGAGATCCTGCGCCGAACTCCGATCCGACAGGGCCAAGCAGGATGGAATTGTGTATCATGGGTCAAAGAAGCTTTAGAGAGACTTACGGCGAAATGGAAAGTTTTGGGCACAAATGTTGTGGAGTGGGAAACAGTCCGCCATGCGGCGATGGACTATTGCCAGCAGAAGAAAAATCAACATCGGTTCGATGGACAGGGGAATTTGATATGAGTAAGGCTCCGACATATGACCTCCTCGAGCGGAAAGAGACTATCAATTGAAGTGCTGGAGGCGAGTGTGCTGCTAGAAAGCTCCAAAGTATTTCTGGCGAAGCTGTTCCATCGCTAGCTCTTCTGGCATCGGCGTGAGAAGCCTGTCAATTTCTTCAATCCAGAAAGAGTTCTGTGGGTTGACTTGACAAGCCGTGGTATACTCCCAATAGAATGGAAACCATCCAGCGGTTTCCCAATCGATAATGCCAACAATCTGATCACCACGGGCTAGGACATTGAGGCTGCTAAGGTCACCGTGAGTAAATACCAGAGGCCAATTGTTCTCGTGCTGCTTGATCAGTCCCTGTGCTTCTGGGTCGAGTCTAGAATCCCACTCCAAGCCCTCGCGCAAATGCCGGTGGAAATCCTGTATAGTTGAGAATGGCCCAACGCGTCGGACAGCGCCTCGGAAGCGGGGGTCAACAAGGGAACCCCCGTCCACCGAGGCTATTCCCATGCCTTCCGGAGGTTTAAGCTGTCGCATTTCCTGGGCCATCTGACGTAATTGTGCCAAGAGTTTGCTTTTCGAATCTTCACTTCGGGGGACCCAGCCCGTAGCAATCATCTCTCCTTTGATCCTCTCCATCACAATGTAGGTAAAGTCGCCATGTGTAAATGCAGAGAATACTTTTGGAACCGGAATTGAAGTGTGACGTAACGCAAAGCCAATGCCTCAGCCATGTGTACATGAGCACCATATTTGACGCAGAGGCGATCCGTCAGCATCATGACACTACCTTTGTAGGGCCGAAAAGACCTGAGCGCCCTGATTGCCAGGAGGGTTGAATACCGGCACAGCCAATTATCATTGATGGGGGGTGGTGAGCGAGCTGGCGACTCCGAGCACACCATTGAGTCATCACTCTAGCACTCAACTGTAGATATACGCTTAAATCGAGCGGATGATTGAATGGTTGATCGATACGTTTGGTCTTCGCTGCCCACTGATAAGCGTAATCCTTGGAGATGATCGCCCTTCCCAGACAACCTAATGGTGGGATCCGCCCTTGGGCAACCGTGCAGAGCTGCCAGACCCTAGTCAGATGATCCAGAGTTGGAGAAACTCGCTTGTGTCACAGTCAGTCCATGAAGTCCCTCAGGCAGTGATATGGAGGAGGAATGAAGTACTAGTTAGTAGTGCTTGTGGTAGTAACTACCCCTAATGTCTAACCATGGAACCGGGAAGGAAAACCGGCGCCTGACCGCCTCGCAGTGCCAGTGACTGCCGGGCCTGACCCGTTCGATTCCATCACCTCATCTCGCCTCCCTCCCTAACTCACTATCGGTCCCTCTTGTACTACTTCTTCTCCTCCTCACTCCTGACTCCTCACTCCTCCTTCTTTCCTGCGCTTTGGCATACTACTCGCATTCCTCTACTCTCTTTCTCTCTCGGCATCTTTCGCAGTCAGACCCAACACGTCAGTTCCTCGCCCCTCGCCTCTCTCTGCCTTATTGCTACCCAGACTCGCCCCGCTCATCGCTTCCCCGCTTCAACCTTGGGGAAAGCTTCGACCTTCAACACCTGGACTTTTCTCGCCGCCTGACTCTCCTCAACCCCGTTCTTACACTCTTTAAGATAGAAGTCATCTTTGAGATCTCGAAACTTGTCAATCAGTCAAGATGAGCAGCCCCAAGCGGAGAATTGAGACCGATGTAAGTACGCTCTTTCATCCCGGTGACGGCAGTGGCGGAAGTGCTAACTCTGGTTTTTCTGATAGGTCATGAAGTACGCGATACCTGTTCTGCCTCGCGATGCTCACGACAGTTAACTAACTGGAAACAGGATGTATGCGCCCTAATCCACGCTATGCCCTCTTACCTACATCGCGGATGGACATAACGATTCATGGAATTGCCACAAGTGGGGATCCATTCAAAGGCCTCACGCTGATTGCTACCTAGGTTGATGAGTGACTACGAGGTGACTCTGGTCAATGATAACAGTGCGCTCCCCTCCTGTATAATGTGATGTGGTATATGCTGACAGTTGAACCAGTGTACGTCTGTTCATGTCCGCATACAGCAGACTACGTTCATAAACTTACCGCTATACCAACAGGCAAGAATTCTACGTGCGCTTTAAGGGTCCCGAGGAGAGTGAGTGGTCTCGCATGCCCGCATTTTATGACAATATCATATTGACCAAATCTAAGCGCCGTTCGCTGGTGGCCACTGGAAAATTCACGTCGAGCTCCCCGACCAATACCCGTACAAGAGTCCCAGTATCGGCTTCGTCAATCGGATCTTCCATCCGAACATTGATGAACTGTATGTCCCAGGCTCAACTCTTTTACTTATGGCCCGCCCACTCACCATCGGTCCTCCACCTTAGCTCCGGCTCCGTCTGCCTCGACGTCATCAACCAGACCTGGTCACCCATGTACGACATGATCAACATCTTCGAGGTCTTCCTCCCCCAGCTCCTCCGTTACCCCAATCCGTCCGATCCCCTCAACGGGGAAGCAGCGGCCATGCTCATGCGCGAACCTAAAACCTATGATGTCAAAGTGAAAGGTGAGACACTCTCTCCCCGAACTTGTTGAGCAAAACTCACACCTACCAGAATACGTCGCCAAGTACGCCAGCAAAGAGGCCGTCGACGAAGCCGGAGAGGATACCGAGTCGGAAGACGAGCTCAGTTCGGCCGGAAGCTACGAATCCGGCGGCGAGGAACCGGCCGGAACGATGGATGATGTTTAGCCCGTCTTCCATCTATCGATGCCGCTCACCTTTCATTACCCCCACGCACCTTCCGTTCTTGGTTTGGGCATTATACTCCATCTACATCGCATTGGCATTGCCGTCGTCCTTGTTTCCTTCCGTCTGTTTCTTCTACCTCCCGGTTTGCGATTGAATATCTGAGATGAACCATCCCCGGTGTCCGGCTGGAAGGCGTTTTCACGGCGGAGTCATGTTTCCCTGATGTTTACCGGCGCAAATGGATATCTTATCTTCTTTTATCCCATGGGGACGAGGGTTCAGCCAGTCAATGTACCTGGTTACTCAGGTGTTGAGTACTCATCTCCCTGCCACTGTTCCTTCAAGTTCTTGTGTTTCATCTTTCTACTCTCTGCCAAAGATAGTACAGGAAATCCAAGCTCCATGACTGTATATTAAAGCATGAATGCCATGTCATTCGGGCACAGTCTAGAGCGAGACATCAATCATTCCCGGGCAACCGTGGTGGTAAGAAGTACAGTCAAGATGGTGGGTATCCATGTCATAGATCGTAGTGGTCTATTACCATGTACGTGCCCAACCTAACGTAGCCGGTCTAGCATCCTTAGTACGTAGTGCCGCTAGATAGAAACAGCTGACCTGACGTTTACATCGCACCCGCGCATTTAGACAACCAAGATAACCATTGACATGAAAGAGAACAGTAGAACCTAAGTCAAAGGAAAGAAGAATATGAAGAGGAAGGGGACAGGCTAAGCCAGGGTATTATGGGTGAGAAAAAGAATAAAAAATGATTCAGCAAGTGAACCCGCCAGAGGAAGATAGAAAAGACAAGGCTCAAAGAATGGAGCAGGAGAAAATGATTGACGAAACGCCCCCTACCCCCGGTCGCCCGGCGACGCCATGATAATGCAGAGATGAGTAAATGAGACAGAAAGCCATGATCAGTGGTTTACATCCCCCTGGGGTCTAGGTCACTTTCAACACCCCAAAAACATCCCTCTCGCCGTCCTCATCCGCGCTCGAGCCCGGCCGCGACCGGTTCTTGCGCGTGTTGATCACGACCTCCCCCCAATGCCGGGGCACCGTGCCGCCGGGCTTGGGCGACGCGGCGGCGGAGCGGCGCGGCGGGCGCGGGGGCGTGATATCTGTTTTCGTGACGGTCACCGGGGGCGCTTCGGAGGTGGAGGTGCTCGGCGCGACGGCGCTGGGGAGGGTCGCGTGCGGTTGGAGATGTGGTTGCGGTTGGATTGACCAGATGTCGATGACGGAGCTTTTTGTCGATGTTAGAATTCGTTGGTGCGGCTTTGGGGGTTTGACATTTGGTCAAGGATGGGTGTTGAGGGCACTTACTCCGACGCTCGTTGGCAGATCGCCTCCAGAGCTTCACGTTCGCGCTTCAGGTAGCTCGGGTCCGGCGAGTGGCCGGTTTGGCTCGCGTTGTTGAGTGAGCCGTAGCCGTAGCCTGGTTGGTTGTAGAGGTCGTCTTCGAGGAGACGGGAGGATTCACCCTGTGAGATTGTGAGTTAGTGCCTGGGTTTGAGGGGTGGTTTGGTGGGTTTGTGCTGCGGCGCATGCGCATTCCTCGCTTGCGGAGATACAGGATTGACCTGCTTGGTTGGGGAGAAACGTACATCTTGACTTTCTTGTTGGCGACGCCCCAGACATGAGGCGCAGATACCCATTATGAGTGCTTAAAATCGGATGCCGTGGCTCTGGGGACGGATGATGTTGCGAAAGAGGGGATTGAGTTCCGGATGTGGTGTGACGCTCGCTGGGCGATAACACGGGTTGGCCTGGAGATGGCGGGCGTGGAAAGGAGGGACAGGTTCAATTCGAATGAAGGTTGGTGATGCAAAGTATATTATACAGAAGCGCACCAGGCGGTGATACTTGAACGAGGAGGAGGGTTGGTTGCTCTGGGTGGAACGAGCTGTGGTGTTGAAGTTGAGATAGTGAGGCGTGAGTAGTAAGTGTTGGACGGCACCTGGCTGGCAGTGGCAGTTAGTTCCCTCCTAATCCCAATCCAATCCTAATCCACCCGGCATTTGTGGCCCGTGCGTGGCACTAGCGTATCATCCAGCCATGTAGGAGATATGAGGGATACTTCCTACGTTCTGTCTGCCACATTATCAGTATTTATATCAGGATGGAAATCAAGTTCTTGCAGGTAGTCGCACAGCGACTTAAATGTTGCAGTCTATCTTTCCTAGGAGACTGCAGTGGCAAAATTTACAGCTGATGCTCTTTTCTCCTATGCCATTACTCGAAAGACACGAGGGGAGAAGATAGCGATCAAGTACTATATGACGCAGGCAAACAACTCAGAAGCGACGACAAGTTTGTATGGAAAGAATCTCAGTCCAATCAGAGTTAAATTGTATCAGACATATCTAAGAAATCTACTTCGAGGGGAAGCCCGAACGTATACTGCCAATGCTGCCAATGCTCCGGGCCGTGGCCGCACTCAAACTCCGAGTGGAAATAGGCCCAAGCAGCAAACGACCGACATTTTTCACATCCACCACTCTCCAGCCCGCCATCTCCAACCGGCCACAATAACCACCAGCACACAGACAAACGAAGAAAACTCGGGCCGGAACCCACCAAGGATACTATTCGTCTTCTTCTTTGCTTGCTCAATCGTGTTAAGCAAATCCCAAGCCTGACAATGTTCGACCTGCCAATGGCGAAACGGTATGGCCCATCCAACGAACCGCCTTGCAATTCCCAACCCACACTCCAAAAGGCAAAACATTCCACTCACATAACAACGTCACCAGCGTCCGCCGCGACGAGCTACTATCCCGCGACTCCGAATCGCCGCCCGCATCCCCGCCTCCGGAATCCGCCCTCCCAGAAGCCCAGCAACGTCTCGGGCAATTGCTCGACCTCGACTCCCTGCTCGCACCCGCGTACTCCGCGCCCGAACCCACCCAACCCCACGAGAACGATGACCCAAAGGCAGAAGATGAGGAGCAGGAGTTCGAGTTCCGGTTGTTCAGCGCGCCCGCTCCCGCGTCCGCAGCAGCCACGAAGCCCCATGCAGACGAGAACAAGACGACCACGCCCGCCGTAGAGGTTGCGGCGGCGCAGAAACTACGCATCCGGGTCCGCTCTCCCTCGCCTGGGGCTGGAGGGCTGGAGGACGGGCGCCTTGTGAACCCGTTCCGTGGATATGGGCACTATTTCACCGCGCCGGGGTCGATGACCGGGGGTAAGGTTGATGGTCACGAGGAGGAGAGCCTTAGGGCCAAGAGGCGGCAGTTTGAGGAGGTGGCTGTTTCCGGGCTGCAGATGTTGGGGTTTGCGCAGGTACCCTGGGTGAGTTGTCTCTTTTTCCTGGGGGTGGATTGGAAGTGCGGAGGGGGTATGTCTTGCCAACTGACTGGGTTTAACTTCAGCCGGGTTGTTATCTTCCCTGGAAAGTGATTCATTTGAAGAGCGAGAAAAAGACAAAAGGGTCGAATGGTGCGAAGGATATCGATGCGAAGCCTACCGCTTATGTGGTAGATCCGCCTGAGAGGGTCCCGGTTTCGAGCACGAAGCCTGGAAAGAAGCGGCGCATTCAGCTGCGGAAACGCCGGACGGCTAGGGAAGAAGCGAAGAAAAGGGAGGAAGAGGAACAGCAACGCAAAGCGGAGAAACGCAATCGGAAGAACCGCGAGCAGAAGCTGAAGCGGAGGCAGAAGGCTAGAGAACAAAAGGCCGCTGCTGCCGCCGCCGGTGGTGCAGCCGAGGGCCAGTCTACACAGCCCGTTGAGATGGATGTAGATGCTTCTTCGGATGGAGGAAGTGACTGAGGCCTTCTCTTGAAAGTGTATTATATCCCAAGTCATTTTCAGCCTATGATACCCATGTCAATATCAGGATGTTCCGAATTACTAAACAAGTTTAAAGAGTACTACTAGGCTTGTGAGATCGGCACCTTTCTACTTCGGACTCGAGTTCAAATTATTAAAAAAAGTATGCGAGGATGTCAAGCTAACGTAAACAAGATAGGGTATTTTGAGATGGTATCAGCCACAGAGCACAAGGAAATCGATAGCAGTCAATGCTGGGTATGAGATGTGAGGTATTAGGGAAATGGAGGAGTAAAAGAATGGAAGATGCGTGCAGCTAACAACGCATCACTCATCGCCATGAGAACGGTTACTTAGACTCTTCAGCTAGACCCGGTCTATTAGCCCAGCATCGTCATTTGGGTATGGCTTGCTTACCTCTGGCCTGACCAACAGTCTCGGCAGGCTTGTCAGCAGCAGCAGCTTCAGCAGCAGCCTCGGCCTTCTTCTCTGCCGCATGAGCTTCGGCGTCAGGTCCGGCAGCTGGGGCGCCCGTGTTCAATTCCAGGACCGGAGCAGCTGAGGAGGTCGCAGGCTCAGTCGGCTCTGGCTTCGCTCCTTCAGCAGGAGTCTCAGTGGGGGCATCTGCTTCTATCAGTAAACGATGCTCCTATAAGGCATTCGTAGTGGTCTGATACGCACCAGGCTGGGGCTCCGTAGCAGCCGGAGCAGGAGCAGCTTCAGAGTTCTCTTCCTCGGTCTTCTTCTTGCAGAAGACGGACTTGAGCTTAGCCTTCAACTTCGCAAGGAAAGCAGGCGCTGTCTTCAATTTTAGCTAATATTCTTCTCACCAGCCCAGTTGAGGATGGCCATCACACTCACCCATTTTGAAGATTGTGTGATAGGAGTATCTGTATTTGTGAAGTTGGGCAGAAGTGAGTGATTGAGAAAGGCAAGAAGACCGCTGGTGGATCACGACGACGACAAAGAGTTGTTTGCGATTTGGGTAGTTAGGTAAACGAGTGACTGGGTGAGTGAACTGGTCCAGAGAACAAAGAAAGACCATGAATGCTTCGCAACCCAGTAGGTATTTGTATTCCACGTGACGGGGGCACGGTCCTGATGGTGATGATCACCTCTGCCTGGCTGTTAATTTGCCTGGTAGTATTGCTTGCTGCCTCCTTTCTTTTCACTAGACCACCACGTCCCTTTTTGACTCCTTTTTTCTTCTGCGCGACGATTTTTCCGCCGTTATGACCCCGCAGGCGTGTGTTTCAGGTCCATCATACTCAGGGGAGAAAATGGAATTGGACCAATTGGCTGGTCTTGGTAGTGCTTTGCTTGAAGTCGAGCTGGACTAGACTTTAGGTTCGAGAACGGACGAGGGACTCCCCATCCATCTATTGACAACGAACCAATTGACCTGGGCCCAACTTTGCTGCTTCTACCATGGTGGCTGTCTTCATCAACGGTGAAGAAAACTAGAAACTCCGAAATCGCCCGTCCCAGCTGGACGGAGATGAGTTGCGATTCCAGGGGACTCTAGTCTACCTGGCCACCATCGCCTATACTCCCTAACCGGTTGGTCCGAACGGGAATAGGGTATCGATTCAGGGGGAAGGAGAAGAGCTAACCTGTCAAAAAATCCCTTCACACTGCTGAAAGATCTGGCGACTTAGTCAAGCGGATAATGATGAAATAGACCAGCTACCGATCCACTATTACTCTAATGAAGGTCCTGTTATACGCTTGTTTGAAGCTATTTGAGCCAAAACCTCTTGCTCTGGTGGGGCCATCTATATGAAGTACGGAAATTGCCCTAAACATGGATAGATAACCTTGAACGCTGTCAGCCTCTCGGGTCTCGAGTAGCCTTGAAATTGATAGCTGTGTCAAAGGATATTGAAAAAAGAAAATTTTTGCAGGGTCCATTGACTCCTTCAATCTGCTCATTTTTTCATCTATTGCAGTTGTTTCATTTCGGACTGGATGAATAGATCTTCGACTGCCCGCTCGCAAGGGTCAGTCTCATCAGACGCTCGCGTAACAGCTGCAAGAAGCGCTGGAAATCCTGTTTCATGCGATGTCTGTGCTGTCAATCTGTCAAGCATGCGCTGCTCTTGCCCTCCTAGTCTATTTGAGGCTTTTTGACACTCCGTGGCCATGAATCGTCTATTGAATGACTAGTAGCGATGGACAGGATAGACATCAATCGAATTGATAGGTCGAGTCCATAAATAGAATATTTCAGAGCGAGAGCCAGCTTGGTTCATCCGGTCAGGGGCAAGAGGCTCTCTAGGGCTCTCAGCAGGGGAAAAAAAAGCTTGGTTCACAAAAGACAGGGACAAGAGACCTCCTGCTCCCGTCAAGCTGCCTCAATTTCTTTAGGAGACTTGCCTAGCCATGGTCATCGAATGGCTGACTCTATGAAGTGAAGGACAAGTTGAAGTGAGTGCTATTTAGCACTCGATAGATAAGAGTGAGTATGCAGGAACACCGCTCCTCCCCTCTCCCGCTCGCTCGCCGCCCGCCGCCCGCCGCACCGCACGTCTGACCGCTCGGCATATCGTCATCCGCCTACGGATAACTATCTTACTCTTATCTGCAACTCTATTTGGAGTACCTCCAACTTCCCTCGCTTTCCAATGTTGTGACCCATTGGAACATCCTTAATACAACTATAGAGATGTCCTCAGGTCATTCCGCCGCAGACAATTCGTCCACAAGGCCGGTGTCGGAGCAGACTCCTCTTCTGGGGGATCACAGTCGAAATGATTCCGATCAGGTTGGGGACTCTCCGGTCCCGCTAGCCGACGAACCCACCACCAGGGAGCTGATCCTGGTTATGGCAAGTGTCTGGGTGGGCGTCTTTCTCGCGGCATTGGGTATATTGAAGCTTGCAGTAATGCTTTCTCCATTGGCCATACTAACGTTCCTAGATACCACAATCGTCGCGACCCTAAGCGCTCCGATCTCGTCATCCTTCCACTCCTTGTCCTTGCTGTCGTGGCTGGCCACCTCTTACCTAATCTCCAATGCTGCTTTCCAACCCCTGAGCGGTCGTCTAACGGACATTTTCTCTCGCCGGGCCGGACTCGTCTTCTCGAATGTCTTCTTCGCAGCGGGAACATTGATGTGCGGTTTGGCAAAGAGCGAGGGTGCTATCATAGCGGGTCGGGTCATTGCAGGCATCGGCGGCGGCGGTCTGACGGCCATTTCAACCATCATCAATTCAGATTTGGTACCCTTGCGAAAGCGAGGGATCTGGCAGGGGATAGGCAACATTTGCTACGGCGCCGGAAGTGGGTTGGGCGGCGTCTTCGGAGGATGGGTCAACGACACGATGGGATGGCGGTGGGCTTTCCTCATCCAGGTGCCTTTCATCGTGGTGTCGGGCATCTTGGTGACTGTCATGGTAAAAGTGCCGGTCAAGGAAGCTGAAAACGCCAAACTCAAACGGGTGGACTTCTTCGGAGCGTTTACGTTGGTCACCACGCTGGTCTTGTTCCTCCTCGGGCTCAATACAGGTGGAAACCAAGTTCCCTGGACGCATCCGCTCATCTTGGTCTCGCTGCCGCTGTCCGTTGTGTCTTTTGCTCTCTTCATCTACATCGAAGCGAATGTTGCGTCGGAGCCGGTAATCCCTGTCCGGCTCCTCCTGGATCGGACTGTGTTTGCGGCCTGCTTGACCAACTGGTTCAGCACCATGACTGTCTTCGGGCTTCTGTTTTACTTGCCCATTTTCTTTCAGGTTCAGGGCCTCTCGGCCACGGCAGCGGGTGTGCGGTTGATTCCTCAAGCCATTGGAACATCGATTGGTTCGCTCGGGGCTGGCTTCCTCATGCGTTCAACAGGACGGTACAAAGTGTTTGTCCGCATCACGCTAGCTCTCTTGGTCATCTCGGCCATTCTCATTAGCACCTTGTCCCTCACGACTCCGTCATGGCTACCGTTTATCTACTTCTTTTTGATGGGTACGGCTTACGGCAGTATGCTGACCCTTACCCTGGTGGCGCTGATCTCAGCGGTGGACCACGAACACCATGCCGTGATCACATCTGCATCTTATGCCTTCCGCAGCACCGGAAGCACGATTGGCATTACGGTGGCCTCCGCAGTCTTCCAGAATATCTTGAAGTCGGGCTTATGGAGAAGATTTGGAGACCGGGAACACGCGGGGGAATTGATCTCCAGAATCCGAGACAGTCTCGATGAGATCCACCGTCTCCCTGCGGACTGGATTCCGGGAGTGTTGGATGCATATATAGACTCATTACGGGCAGTATTCCTTACATTGCTCGGATTGGCCGTGTTGGGAGCATTGGTCAGCATGGGGATGCGCGAGCATAAGCTGCATTCGAACCTTTCCCGACGGGAAGAGTAGTATAGATCTTATACGTAGTACTCCATAGGAGAGCTATAACAAGGTAGAGAGTGGAAACAACCCCCGGGGGAGAAAGAATGGAAAGGACTACTTAATGATAACATCATCGGCAATGAAGGGCCTCAGGCCCCACTTGACTCTTCTTGGCGGCGCGCCGCGAACTGCATTCGGCCGCCGTTCATTCGTTCCAGTTCCCCATTTCATTATTCTCATCTCATGCAGTGCCACGGACTGACTCTGGTTTTGGACTGCTTGCTTGCTCTCTTCTTCCTTTCTTTTCGTGATTGACCGATCCTCTCTTTTCCCCCTTTCCCCCTCTTTTTCAGTGCAGTCATCACCCTGAGATCATTCGATCCAATAGTTCTTCCCAACCCCCATCACACCGGGTGGCGTCCAGCGAAGAAAGACGTGGCGACGAACGCCCTACTTCGATTCACGCCCAAGCTCCAGTCTGCGATTTCAACTAAAACTCACCCAGTCCAGTTTTACGTGTTATTCTGCAAGTCCCGCTCGTCCACCAACACACCGCTTCCTCCCCTAGTCTCTCCGATCAGACCACCAGTCATTCAACACGTGCTGTTGCTTCGAGGTCCGCCTCTCGACTTTCTGTACATGGCTTGGATTCGGTAGTTCTTCTGGGAGGAGAAAGGATTTATTGGGTTGCAATTGATCGACCAACAGACACGCATCTGGTCCACACTTTGGCATTTGTACAGATACCCGCTTTCTTTTTACAGCCGCTCTTGTTCCACTACTTCCAAGGCAAAGCATTGCACTGGCTGCAGTCTTAATTCCTGACAGTAAGAGGTGACTGGACCAGGGTCTATCGCACGATCCCTGCCGGCGAGCCTTGTTCTTAACGGTCCTACTCTAGTTCGGGCGACTCGGGAGGCCATCCAGCTATATTACCGTGAGCGGCCCTACGCCCACCATTCCCGGCCCCCGTCGATCGATTCTCTTCGTGAAACCCTTTTTTTTTTCTTATTCTTGTACCGGATTAATATGGCAGTGGGGGTTGGGACGAATATCTCTACAACATCTACCGCGACGAGTGTGGTCCGCAAAGCTGCTTGGTCTTCGGAAATGGAGGTTAATCCTGCAAGTGAGGAATTGGTGGCTGCGCATACGAGTACGGTCGGATCATGCATAGATAAAGAAATGAAAGATGTCGCTGGCCCTTCAACCAACCGTCGAAAACGGTTACTCCTTTCCACTGATAGCGCATTCGTCGATAATGTACTCCCCTCGTTGGTGCGGAATCCCGACATCGAACTCCGGTTGATCACCGACGAACCCTCGGCTCTGCTCTCGAGCGCCAGCAAAGTCCCTCATTACATGGATACGGTGGACAGTCAGACATTCGAGAAGAAAACGGGCGCTCGGAAATGGCTGAAGGCCAAGGCGGCGGAGCTATGCGACTGGGCGGACATGCTCCTGGTTGCGCCTATAGATGCGGGCGCGCTGGGATCCATGCTGTCAGGCTTGACCAATACCCTCACCTTGGCGCTGCTTCGGGGGTGGATGTCGTCGAAACCGGTCGTGCTGATTCCTGGCATGACGGTGTCGGAATGGCATCATCCGCTCAGCAAACGACAGCTCTGGGAAGTACGGCAATACTGGTCGTGGATTAAGATCGTCACGCCCGTGCTGTGGAAGCCCGGCGATACGGAAGAGCTTATACAATTACCGTGGGACGGGTTGAAGGTCCTCCACGACACAATCGAGCAGACTCTGATGCTATCTTTCTCAGAAACAAAAGCTGTCCCCAGTCAACCCTCGGATAGCTCGAGTGGACCTTCAGATTCGATGCAGACAGGGGACGTGCCTTCAGCACTGTCGCGACACCTGTTATTTCGCATGAAAAAAACCGAACATGGACCGCGTTCACTACCTATGGAGCTTTGGTTGAACGTCTTCGAGGAGCAGCTGCACGACTGGGAGATTGCCAAAGCCGTGGGCATCCCCACAAATCTGCCCGTTCCCAAAGAATGGCAAAATCATCTTCTGAAGATGTCCACACCAGCTTCTCTGGAATACACCATCCTGCGGGGATCGTTCGCAGCGATCAAAAAGCGCATCGACAGCCTTCCCCGCTGGAAGCCCCTCTCCGATCTCTCTCTCCACCTGATCTTTAAATTCTCCCGCACCGACATCCTTTCCTACCTGATTGAAAAACAACACGACCTCCTCTGGACAACTTCCCTCCTCAACGTCCTTCCCTACCGCGCCTCCGCGATCTACGGCAACCCCAACCTTCTGACTTGGTGGCGCGACGCCCCCGACCTCCCGAACAAAGACTATACTACAGACGCAATGGATGGCGCCTCACGGGCCGGCTTCGTCAACGTGCTAGAGTGGTGGCGCACCTCCGGTCTGGAACTGCGGTACACCGAGCGCGCCCTTGAGGCCGCCAGCGCCGAGGGCCAAGTCGCCGTCCTAGACTGGTGGAAGCGCGCCTCTACCACCTCCACCACTTCCACGCCGGCCTCAGCAACCCGCCGTCGCATTCCGTTGAAAGTCGGCAAGTCCGTCCTCCTGGCTGCTCAATCGGGCCGCACCGCCTCCCTGGCCTGGTGGGACGCCTCAGGCATCCCCTACACGCACGGCGAGTCCGTCGCACGCATCGCCAGCACCCACGGCCACGTGCATGTCCTGGAATTTTGGCATAGGCTCAAGGGCGCCAAGATGATCTTCGACAGCCAGGTCCTGGTCGGTCCCACCAAGAACGGCCACGACAACGTGCTGGAATGGTGGCGCCGCAGCGGTCTGCGCGTTGAGTTCAAGACCTGCGATATCGAGGAGGCGCTCGAGGACGCGGACCCCGTTTCCGGCGCCGAGCAGCGCGTGCGCACCTGGTGGGCGCGCAACGGGTTGAACTTAGGAGTGGGTACGAGTGAGTGGATGAAGACGAAGGTGCTGTAAACTCTTCTCTCTCTGTGCGTACGGGTCAACCACCTTGACCTCCGTCCTCACGCCCTCTTTCCCGTCATCGATACTCCTGCTTTCAGCGGCATATATCCATTACGAGTATCCATACTCCCGCCATCGTCTCAATTGAGACACATTTGTTGGAAGACATCCACGGACCCTAAGAAAAGCCAAGGCTACATTCTACATTTATAATATTCCCCCCCCCCACCCCCCTATCCTCCTCCATTCCCACAAATCACACCTCCACTTTCTTATTGATGGCTATGCCGCCTGTACCTAGCGTTCGAGTCCGCTTTATTGTTTCTTTATATAGACTGCCTTTTATCATTCATGATGATGACACCAAATTGTGGGGAAAATAACTCTGTTCTATCGTGATTTCCATTTCTTGTTACATCGCATGCATGCATCTTCTGGATAACGGGGGCGTCTCTCATCACGGGGTTTGTCGGTGTCATTTGGCAGTATCGGGCGGATTGGAGTCAACTTTTGTGCTTGTTACTTCGAGTCGTGTATATTGACTGACTGACTAGTTTGCATATTTGCGCAGTGAGTACGTAGTAAATACATTGCTCTTATCGCATATTTATTTTTCTGTTTCGTACGCATTAGTATCGGATACTGGTTGTTCTCTGACTGGATATTTTTTATCTGGTGTATTTGTGGATGCGCGCAGCGCGCAAGTTTCTCGTGATGCTAGATGGACTCAGTTGTCCAGTCCAGAGCCAAATGATGGAAGAATCGGGCAAAGAAAATGATATTCCTATCAGAGGGGTGAGAGGGAGCCTGGTATGTCTTGCTCTTTCCCCTTCCACGAGGAAAGAAAACGCAAGAATCCGGGTCACGGCATATTGAACAAGAGAGAGTATAAGAATAAGATCATGAAGCAAGTGAAACAATGCGTAAAGGGGAGGAGCTATGTAAATCAAGGTCTTCAAGCGCCAGAAGGAGAAAAGAAAGCAACGCCGTCCTTCTTTGATGAAACACACTTGCACAAACAGACATGGAACTTCAGACTTCCTTCCTGCGAGAGGGATTAGTCATGTTTCGCAGAGTGATCGGACTGCATGTTTTTTGTGGTATACGCACCAGGTAGGTTCGCTTCTTTCAAAAGCAGGGGTCCGGATCTCGTTTCGGTCCCCGAACGGATTGTTCTCGTCATCGTCATCCTCGTCCGTGTCGGAGTCGCTGTCGCTGTAGGTCTTTCTCCTCGATGACGAGGAGGGGACGGACATGCTGAGCGGGCGCGGCGGGCGCGGCGGCTTGGGCGGGTTGACGGTCAAACCCGCGAAGGATTCGGGGAGGTCGTCGCGATCCGGGGTCCAGCCACTCTCCAGCACGTCCTGGTCACTGTCACTGTCGTAGTCGACGCTCTTATCCAGGACCTCGAAGGCCATCAGCGCGGTGACCAGCTCCTCGTTCGCATGAATTAAACTGCCGAGGTACTCCTCGCTCTCCACGTGCTGGATGTATCGCAGGATCTGACGTCGCAGGGTCTTGCAGGTCTCAAACCGGTTGAGCACCTCTGCATCTTCGCTGACCCGGTGCGTCTCGCGGTTGACCAGTTTGAGCGCGTTGAGGAGGTTCGTGCTGGCGACCGAGGCCGATGCCAAGGTCTGGAGAACGTCCGGCTTCTCCTTGTCCAGGCTGAATGTGCGGCTGAGCGTCTTCTTCTCCTTCTTCTCCTTCCGCGACGAGCGGCTTGATGTGTGTTTGTGTTTCGGCCCACTGAGGACCGTCGCGGGCCCGTTGCCGGCCGAGACGGAGACGGTATGTCCTAGCACGGGCTCGTCGGATGTGGCTGAGTCCCGCAGCACCTTGGCCTTGGCCTGGGTGGCCGGTTGCTTGCGCTTGGGTAGCTGACGGTAGAGCGCTGTCACCCGTTCCATGCCGGGAGTGTCCTTGTACGACGCCGCCCATTGTCCGAATAATTGCTTGCACTTCTGTTTGACCAAGAGATCCGAGACTGGGTCAGTAGCGGCAATGCGCAGGCGCTCCAACAATGGCTCGTCCGCGAATTCGCGCAGGAACCGATCGCCGGTGTTCTGTATCAGGAAGTCCAGGATCGTAAGGGCTCGGAGTTGGCGGTGGAGATTGCCATACTTGCTGCGAGGGGGCGTTAGTGGCTTGGGGGGTGAAAGGCTGGTTCGACTGACAGCTTCTTGCGCAAGGCGCGACTGGCTTCCCGAGGTCCGCTGGCTTGTATGCGGACGGCTTCAATCAAATCAACAATGCCGCTCGAGTCTTCGACATCGTATTGTTCGCTAGTGAGGACTTCGATTTGCACCGTCACGGCGGTGTATGGCTTCTATGAGAAAAGTAGGGTGATCAGCACGTGAGGTGGACTGACAGTCCGACTTTCAGTAAAAAAGTAGCAGAGCCAAGAGAAGCTCGTCTCGCGCAATGGATACGGTTCGAACTTCGTGAGGGAGTCGGGGTGGGAATAGGATCGTATTTCAGGCAAACTTACCGACGAGTGAAACATGATGTCAAGGAAGGTGTTCCGATGTTGATGCGGCCGTTAATATATCGCGAGATTCGTGAGGATTTTGCGGACAGATTGGATAGGAATATCGGTAGCGAGGACTTTCACATGCTCAGATGCACAGTGCCTGCTCCTGCGTAGCGTCGCAAAATGTGGTCTGGATGGGACAAAGAGAAGCTGAGGCTTGGTCCCTTCGCCTGCTGTGCGCCCGCAACGTTCTTATCAAGTCCTCGAGCGATTGCAATTTGGCAAAACGACTGAGTGTTATTCCCAGCGCTAAGGTGTATTAAGGGGAAGCGCGAGAAAACAGCAGAGCGGTGACGTGTGGACAGATGAACAGACCGCAGTCTGTCTGGGGGGAGTAAACTGTGGGTTTGCCGTTGGCGGTGATCAGCCCAACCCGCAGACAGGCTAAGGTCACAGGTATTACTACTGATTTGAATTTCGGAAGAAGATCCACGGTGCACGGAAGGAAGACGAAGGAAGGAACAAATGGGCGCCTCCAACGTCATGCAAAGGCAGAGAGAGCGGTGTTGATACTTTGATAGCAAATAGCAAGTAAGTTGCTAGCGATCTCGTGACTGACTGAGTGCCCCTCGCCAGTTGCCTTATCGGGTCTAGTGCGGGGAAAGATAAACCAGGCTCAGTGCCTGATTCTTGCCTGGGGCTCCTCTTTCCGGTGCCGCGCGGGCCTCTTACCCGTAATTACGTACTCATGGCCCCATTTGACGGTAGCGCCGCAGTGGGTCAATACCTCCTTGTAATCCTCTATACCATACGCAATTGACGGCATTGACACCCACCTGCATATTCAAAGGAGGGGAAACAATCCCATTAATTCATCGACGATCAGATAGACAAGGAGAGTCAATGGGAATCACCACTGCGCAACACACCGGCCATTGCTACTCCAATTCAAAGCCCTCCAATCTTGCTTGGTGTGAATGGGTCTCCGGTCGCCGAATTCGGCGGATCCCAAGTCCATCCGCAAACCGCGACTCTCCATCTTCTCCCGTCTCGTCGTCTGCTCCACTTTACTACTGGGGGTCAGCATCATCTTAAAAGCCCGCCACCAGCTACTCCCTGCTCTCCTCCCGCACCTCTATTCCTCCTCCGTCTCCTATACCCAACCCGCAACCATGGCCTACCAACAAGAACGTTATATCGCCGAGCTCGCCGTTCAGCGCGCAACGCTCCTCACCCAGAAGGTCTTCAACGAGAAGGCCAAGGGCACCGTGTCCAAGGATGACAAGTCGCCCGTTACCATTGGCGATTTCGGAGCCCAGGCCCTGATCATTCAGGCCATCCGCAAGAACTTCCCAAACGATGAGATCGTCGCCGAGGAGGAGGCCAGCACTCTCCGCGAGGACAAGGCGCTGAGTGCCGAGATCTGGAGACTCGTCAAGGACATCAGACTGGAGGACAGCGAGAGTGACAATCTCCTGGGCGGCGCTCTGCCAAGCGAGGAAGCGATGCTGGACATCATCGACGAAGGCAAGAGCGCTGGCGGCGCCAAGGGTCGCGTCTGGGCCCTGGACCCCATCGACGGCACCAAGGGCTTCCTGCGCGGCGGCCAGTACGCCGTCTGCCTCGGCCTGATCGAGGACGGTGATGTCAAGGTCGGCGCCATCGGCTGCCCCAACCTGCCTGTGAATGACGCCGAGACCCTGTCCGCCGGGATTGGTGCGGAGCAGACCAGTGGCGCCGGCAACGGCGTCCTCTTCTCTGCTATCCAGGGTGTCGGCGCCATCAGCAGACCCCTGACCAACGCCGGGCTCGCCGAGAGCAAGTCGATTGCCATGCGTCCCGTCCCCGATATCGCCCAGGCCGTCTTCTGCGAGGGTGTCGAGGCCGCCCACTCCGCTCAGGGCGACAATGCCGCCGTCGCCCAGCGTCTGGGCATCACCGCCCCCAGTGTGCGTCTGGACTCCCAGGCCAAGTACTGTTCCATCGCCAGAGGAGCCGGTGACATCTACCTGCGCCTGCCAGTGAAGAAGGACTACCAGGAGAAGATCTGGGACCACGCCGCCGGAGACCTGATCGTCCGCGAGGCGGGCGGCCAGGTGACCGATATCTACGGCCAGAGATTGGACTTCAGCAAGGGCCGGACCTTGGCTGCTAACAAGGGTGTCGTCGCCGCCCCCAAGGCCATTCACGACCAAGTAATCGACGCTGTGAAGGTTGTCCTCAAGCTGTAAAACGTTACGAATCTTCTGTCATGCATATATGGTAAAATTTTTTTTCTTGCTCCATAAACTGTCAAGCTATATCCACGCTAGATGCGTCTAAAAGTACACAAATCAAATACCAGTCGCGAACCCAGAGACCCATGCTCCGATATACATATACATGAAAAGAGAAAAGAAGAAACGAAGAGAAGCGAAGGGATTCGCCCTTTCACTCCAAAGGTATAACTGAACACACAATCACCGAATCTTCTTGGCCTTCATTCTGACGGTCTCTCCGTTGACGAAGATACCCTTGCCCTTGTAAGGCTCGGGCTTGCGCCATTCGCGGATCTCGGCCGCGAACTGCGTCACGACTTCCTTGTCGATACTCTCGAGCAGGATACGAGTCGGCTGGGGCGTGCTGGCCTTGACGCCCATCGGGATGGGCAATTCAATCGGGTGAGAGTATCCGACCTTCAGGGAGACGAACTGCTGGCCGGGGAATTCGGGCTGGACGGTAGTCGCCGTCGACTCGATCGTGGCTCTGTAACCGACACCGACCATACTCAAGATACAGATGTGGCCTTCCGACACTCCCAGAATGTAGTTTTGTAGGTGTGCGCGCGTGGTTCCTGATTGTGTGGTAAACCTGGTCAGTCACTGTCTCTCCGGAAAACCGCAGTAAGCAATTCCTCTGGGGCAAGGTTGTACACACCCCACATAGCACGCTGGTGCTTGATCTCTGCGTCCTGGACGGAGAGAGTGGCTTTCTGGAGGGCGGTATCATGCTCGACGTTGACGAAAGAAGGGACGGTCAGAGTCAGTTCACCTAGCATTCACTTCGTCAGAATAAACCATCACAAATTCCGCACCGCATCACGCGAAGCAAATCAGACTTACCCAGAGGTCCCTTCACCTGAATCGCAACCTTGGGAATGTCTTTCACAGCTCCTCTCGCGGAGACCACAGGGAGGTCAATGAAGTTGAGGGAAACCTCCGGGGGCACCGTGATCGCGGCACCGCCCTTTCGTGATTGTGTCGGGGAAGTGGTTGAGAAAGGCTGTGTCCGGAGAGGAAGAGCGAACGCTGAGCCGGGGCGAGCAGACGCAGCACCCTGTCTCAGGGAGCTTCGCGCAAACTGGCGAAGGCAGCTCTGGGGGAGAAGATTCGACATGGCGACGTGATTTGCGACTGGGGTTTTGATATGATCGTTTGAGATCTTTTGATGCGGACGGATTTTGTCCGGAGATCCTGTCTTCCCGATGCGGTTAGTGAGAGTCACGTGAGGAATCATATAGATCGGGGAACGATGAGGTCTTCAGGCTTGCTATAGCTTCTGCTTCAGTTGAAGATATGTGTCAAAGTGATGTTTGAAGACTTAGCTACACCCACTCCGTTTCTTTCTTGCTACGCTAGAGATAAACTCTTGGGTTGGCCGAGACATTGAGGTCATCCTCACTTTCCCGCCTCACACCTGTTGTATCTCTTCGTTCCACTCGCTTGCCTTACGACTGCCAATTTACCAATCTCCGTTATACTATCCCAGCCTCATGCTTCGAACATGATCAGTTTACTATCGAAGCACTATACTCAATTGCTATAGTCCGAAAACCTTCATGCGTCGCGTTAGCTCAATCTGCGGACCGCGGACATCGATACAAACCATGACCCTACCAGCTACATCGTCCTCTTGCGCTACTATGTCTCGCTACATCACTATATTGCTGCTCATACTTTCATCTTGTCTTAGTACTAGTGGGGCAGTAGTGGACCAGGAAGATGGTACGTTTCATGGTGGCTACCTTCTTTATACCCACTAACGTGCAAGCAGCTCTCACGGTGAATGAGCATCATGCGATGGACGAGTTCGACCTTGCTTCCCTCCTGACCGCACACACTCCCAAACAAGATACTATACTTCAAGAAGCTCTTATACTCCTCGATTCAATGAAGCTCTCTCCGTCCTGCAATCGGATCGCAGTCTCTGAACTCGTCTCATCCTGCCAGTCAATCGGAGGCAGAGCCGAGAAACCAGACAAAGATATATACCTAACCCTGGAGCACGTCCGCTCGCTCTACGCCGCACGTCTGGCGATCTGCGAGCTCAAGGAAGCCAAGGCGACAATACCTGACGCATGCCTCCCGTTGATGATTGCGCCGCCGCATAGAAGGGGGATTCTCGGATTCTCCCTCGGCGAGAAACTGCGCTTCAGCAGCCCAGAGCTTATACAGAAGTCGCGCTTGGAGTCTTGTCTCCGGTCGCTGGAGACCCGGCCCCAGTGGTGGACCTCCTATAGTAACAGTCGGCAGAATGCGGTGGTCATCTGCCAGGCGGCCAGGAGTGAGATTGAGAAGGAGGAGCTCGTGAAGCTTCATCGGGCGATAGTGGATAGCACACGCAAGCTTAACCGTGGGCTTCAGGAAGCGCTGAAGACGGCTACAGCTGACGCTGCCCGCCAGAAGGCTTTCATGCAGGCGGTCGAAGGTATGAGGAGCAGGCTGACGCAGGAGATGGGGGAGACTGAGTCGCGCTTTAGTCAGACGATTGAAAAGGCGCTGCATAGCATGGGAACGTATATCAATTCGGTCAAAGAGTCTTTTGGGCCTGCGGTTGAGATAATGCATCAACGGGCAACGAATCTTGAAGATGTGAGTATATTTCCGCCTTTTAAAGCAAGGCTGACAGTTCGTCCAGAGAATCCAGACTGCTACTGCTGGAGCTGATGAGCTTATTTCTGTCTTACGGGCCATGCACGAGGAGATTTCTGCGAGGAACACGGAATCGGCAATTGCGCAGCAGCGAGACGTGGAGGCTAGTAGAGAACTAGCACTGTCTCTCCAGACAAGTCTAAGGGCACTTGGGCAGGATGACTTGCAAAGACTCGTGCAGACTGTGCAAGGCTTCGATGCTTCCCTGGTGAGTACGTTACTGCGTTAGCCCGTCAGCAAGGTAACTGTAGTAGGAGTTATTGTCGAGCAGATTGGTGCATCTACTGCAGATAGAGCAGAGCATGCATGAGGTTCGCCGCCACCTTCTAAGAAGCTAGGCTATGACTGACCCTTGAAGCGCCTACCGGGCCTCGAAACGGCACTCCAAGAATCTCAAGAGAGGGCTGAACAGTTGCACCAGGTTCAACTTCAGCAGTATGAAGCTCTGAAAGAAACCTCTCGGTTACACGAGCAAAGCCAGATCCGCATGAATGGAACGTTGGCAAACCTCGACCGCGCAGCTGTGGCAGCAGCGAACTTGCTCATGACTATTGATCGGACCGGATCCAGATACAGACTGGACCTTGCATTGAAAATGCTTCTTGACCTCGTCTGGCCTATTTGTAGCTTCGTGGTCTGGAATACATTAGCGGAACATACACGGGTGGTAGCCAATATATGTATAGTCCCCCGTCTAACGTTTCACACTTATAGTTTCGGCCATGGGCTAACCATCTTGGCTGCAGTCAATCATCTCTTCAGGCGGGGGCACTGATACTGTTTTATCTGAGAGCACCATCAAGTGCTCTTCTTTTTTTTCTTTTCTTCTTCTTTTACTACACTCTGGCTGCACAGCACAGTAGCGTGTGGTGCAATGACACAGCAGATATGCTCGGTGGCCGCTTCCTGAGAGAAGAGTGTGACTACGTGGAGTTCAAAATACTCATGGCTTCTTTTGCTTTCAGTCTGCTTTCCATCTGCTTCCCGAGCCCTCGTTGAACTTTCTTCATTCGGGGTTTTGATCCACCAGGTCATTCATTTAGGCATCTCTGAGTCTATTATCGATCTTACCCCGCCACATGCGTATCTGTTAGATTGAGCTATCTCCTTCAAAATGGTGCAAGGTATATAGGGTAGATGCCGAGACGGCATTGAATTCGGTAGACGACGTGAATCCGAAGCGATGACTGGCCAGCATTTTACGGGCATTTATGTCTCCGTGCCTCGGCTTTGCCAGCGCTGTATTGTAAGGCAGAGGAGTGTTTCTGACGTGTAAGCGAAGGAAGATAAGTGCATCCTTCCGCACCCTTTAGGCTAAGGGTGGAAGGAATCGAACCTTTCTCCGCAAAATGCGGAGAAATTGACGATCCCCGGAAAAGGGAAGGTGGAGTATGGGGGAGGCATTCGTCCAACCACAGGCAGTGTATCTTACCTGCTGTCTCAAGCCAAACTTCGGCTCCGCTCTCGCTGGGCATCTGCCGGCATTCTTCATAATTTCTCCATCGGACTGTTCTCTCCCGGTACAATCTCGGGGGAACTGTCCAAAGCTTGGCTTATGACTCTGCTTCAAATGCCCCTGCCAAACTCCACAGTTGTTGATAGCCATCACTGGTGGAGCCGGTGATACAAGCAACTGGAAATGTGTCCGAGCGAGAAGGCTATAAATGGGCCTCTGGTGCCCTCAAATATTCCATGATCTTATCCTCCCTCGCATTGCAGCCGTGCTGAGAAACAGCCCCCATCATGAGAACTCTCCATTTTCTCCTGCCCTCTTTGGCATTGGGCTCAGCCATCTTGACTCGACAAGATTCCTTTCAATCTAAATGTGCCAAGTTCGCAGACAAGATCAATCTGCCCAATGTGCGGGTGAACATTGTTGAATACGTTGCGGGAGGAACCAACCTGTCCTTGCCAGACAACCCCGCTACCTGCGGCGCAACCTATCAGTCCGTGACAGTGGACTTTTGTCGAGTGGCCATGGCGGTTGCGACGTCAAACAGCAGCGAAATCACGCTGGAGGCATGGCTGCCCCGGAACTACACTGGACGGTTTCTGAGTACGGGCAATGGAGGGCTCAACGGCTGTACGTCACGCTTCATCCCCTTTCGTCCTCAAGTTCGCTTTCCAACCTAACATTCAACTAGGTGTCGCCTACGATGATATGGCGTACACATCTGGATTCGGCTTTGCGACAGTCGGAGCCAACAATGGCCACAATGGCACGTCTGGCGAGCCCTTCTATCAACATCCCGAGGTCGTCGAAGACTTCGCCTATCGATCCGTTCACACCGGGGTCGTCGTCGGCAAGCAGCTGACCAAGCTCTTTTACGAACAAGGATTCAACAAATCCTACTACTTGGGATGCTCCACCGGCGGTCGTGAGGGCTTCAAGTCTGTGCAGCAGTTCCCCAACGACTTCGACGGGGTCGTGGCTGGAGCACCAGCCATGAACTTCGTGGGCCTGAGCTCATGGAGTGGCCACTTCTACCCCATCGTGGGAACCAACACCTCGGACAGCTATCTTTCGTCTGATCTATGGATGGTCGTGCATGATGAGATCTTACGTCAATGCGACGGTATCGACGGCGCGCACGATGGGATCATCGAAGATCCTGATCTCTGCCACCCGATCATCGACACGATCATCTGCAAGCCCGGTTCCTCCTCGACCGAATGTCTCACTGGCGCCCAGGCAAACACGGTACGCCAAGTCCTGTCTCCACTCTACGGAGTGAACGGGACCCTTGTTTACCCTCGTATGCAACCTGGATCGGAGTTGAGCGCCTCAGCCGTCTACTACGGCGGTTCGCCCTTCGCCTACAGCACCGACTGGTTCCGCTACGTGGTCTACAACAACCCAGACTGGGACCCAGCCACCTTCAACAGCCATGACGTCGCCGTGGCGCTCGCGCAGAACCCGTACAACATCCAGACCTGGGATGCGGATCTGACCCCGTTCCGCCAGGCTGGCGGCAAGGTGCTGAGCTACCACGGGCTCATGGACCAGATCATCAGCTCGGAGAACTCCAAGCTGTACTACTCGCGGGTGGCCGAGACGATGAACCTGCCGCCGGCGGAGTTGGACGACTTCTACCGCTTCTTCCAGATCAGTGGTATGGGCCACTGTGGGGGCGGTGACGGTGCATACGGCATTGGCAACACGGCAGATTCGTTCAACGGCGTCGCGCCGGAGAACAACGTGCTCATGGCCATGGTGCAGTGGGTGGAGAAGGGGATTGCGCCGGAGTTCGTGCGAGGAGCCAAGTTCGCTGATGGAGTTGGCAGCGAAGTGGAATATACCCGCAAGCATTGTCGCTGGCCCCGACGCAATGTCTACAAGGGTCCGGCCAATTACACGGACGAGAACGCATGGCAGTGTATTTAGTCGAGTCCAGCACATACCTAGTTATTGTATTCAAGCATTTATAAAGTTGCACGAGTCATGAAAGCATGGAAGTTCTTGATTAGCGAATGACGGACCGAAGCGTTGTAAAGTAGGACAAGAGATAGATCTGAAACCGCATGAGATCATTTGATCGTGGATTGATCGGATAAGGGTTGGTGGCCGGCAGAACCGGGCGGTGAGAGCCAGCAGTTTCCCCTCTTGAGTCTCGAGCTTCCTTTGCCCGGGCTTCGCTGCTGCTCCATCATTCCCCGAGTCTCTCTGGCGCAATTGAATCTACGTCTTTAGTTGTCGGGGAAGCACAGCTTCTTTCATCATTTGAACACCATTCTAGTCTATGTATGTACTATCTCTGCCTTCTGATCCTCCATTCCTCTATCACCCCCCACCCCCCACTATGAACCCCATTTCCCCCGCAGAGCAGACAACCAGACGCATGCCAGCCCAAACCAGACCGCCCTGGAAGTCGGAGCCGCCGCCGCAATGACTTGCTCGGGCTTGGGCTTGGTCAGGCTGGGCTGGAACCTTCCCAGCAAACCTACTTGGTTGGTTGGCCAGTGGTCCGTCTACTTTCCATCCCAGTCTCAGCTATATCCCCTTCCTACACCGTCTACTGTGGCATGAATACACAATCACGCCAAACAACCCCCTCCCCTGCCTTTGTCCCGCACCAATAAGCTGACCGTTTCTCCCCGCGTCCGCGCGCGGAACTAGCGCTGATAAGTCAAGCTAGCCTCAATCGATCGCGCTCTCTGACTCGACTCGAACCAACGCCAACCGACCAAGAAACCTTCCAAGCAATCCACGGTCCGCGACTCTCTTGACTGCCCTCTTCCAGTCTGCCCGTGCGAACCTTCATTCCTTCAAATATCTCACCCCTTACTATCCTTACCACCTCAACCCGCGACCGAACGAGAACAGAGTGAGCACCATGGACGAGTTCGCGCAAACACGAGGAGGAGACGACCTGTTCGACGACGAGATCATCCCCGTCACCGCCGAGCAACAGCAACAGGAACAACAGTCCCTGCAGACGGAGGATCTACACGATTACCAGCAGTCGTTCGAGGAGAGTATCACGACGACAACGGCAGGTTACGAGAATGATCTATCGCCCCAGGGGCGGACGGAGATCCCCACGCGGCCGCGCGGCGCCGAGCGACGAGGCAGGGGAAGGGGCAGAGGGGGCCGCGGTGGGCGCCGGGGGTCCCAGAATACCGGTCGCAGGGGCGATGCAAACGTGAGGATTAATCATAATAATCATCAGAGATCTGCGGAGGGTCCGGGAGAGGGGGCGGGGGAGGAGGGGGAGAATAAGAGTCCGGTTGAGGAGACTGCGGCTGCCGAGAGGGAGACCGAACAACAGGCTGGGGAGAAGCCGGCGGAGGGTCCGCGGGTCCCTGCTGTACGTGGGGATCGGAGTGCTACGGGTGGAATTAAGAAGGTTTGTCTTGTCTTTGTCCTGGGTCGGGGTGTTTTATTTATGGGTGAGGGCTAATGGGTTGTGTGTTTGCTGTGTCTAGCCGAAACTTACGGAAGAGGAGCTCTCTCGTCGCATTGCGGCTGCGAAGGAGAACGCCGCTAAGGTCGCTGCGGCGCATGCTCGGGCTGAAGCCGATCAGGCGTCGTTCCTTGAGCGCGAGAAGGTGGCAGAGGAGAAGAGGCGACAGGAACGTGCGCAACGGAAGGTCATGGATAATGAGCGCGAGCGCAATCGACAGCGGAAGTTGCAGGCCTTCGCGGGCAGGGAATGGGATGCGCAGAAGACGGAAGAGGATTTCAACCCTCGTGGCGGGCGCGGGGGCTTCCGTCGGGGTATGCACGGCGGGGTGTCTGGGTATACTAGACGTGACTTTGAGGGGCAAGCCGCTGATCAGCCTGCTGGTGAGCCTAGTGAAGAGTCACGGGCAGAAAGTCCTCGAGGCGGTCATCGTGGCCGGGGACGTGGAGGACGGGGTGGACGTGGACGGGGTGGTCATCGTGGCCCACGGGAGGATATTCCCCAGACAGACGGGCCGGCTGAGAATGTGCCAGGTTTGAGCGAATCGAGATGGGCTCCCGCCCCTGTGCTTGACAATGAAGCGGATTTCCCTGCTCTCCCTGGCAGCGAGAAGAACGCGAAGGATGCCTCGAAAGAGGGGCCGAAGGACTGGGTCAAAGACGACCGGAAGGACACCGTGAAGAAAGCCCCCAAGGAATCCAAGGAATCCAAGGATACCCAGGAATCGAAGGAGCCCGCCAACGCCGCAGCAAGTGCAGCGAATCTGGATCTTCTCGCCGTGGATCCTCTATCGCCTATGGAGGGGACGTCCTGGGCCGAGCAAGTCGAGTCCCAGTGATTATCCACCCGTTGCTATTGCTTACTGTTTTTTGGAATTTGAAGATCTCGATGATTGATGCACCTATAATTATTACTCTGTTACTCCCCGGATACCTTTATTTTGACTGCCGCTCCGAGGTTTATTCTTTTCTGATGTCTTTGTTATACGATAGCCGAGGAGCTATGACGTGTTGTATATACTACAGAGTGCCAGGACCAGAGCCTGTAGATGAGAACCGAATTCATAAACACAGCAGATCACTTCACTTTGTCTGTTTTACCAAGCGTCCTTCCTTGGTGCATCATCAGCCTGACTAACCCAAGGTTGGGGGTGGCAACCACGGCATGACGTGTTTAGTTCATGATGAGATCACCGGCACTTCATCCAGCCGGCACAGGGTATATAAACCGTATTCAGTTTGACCGATTCACGCAATCTAAGTATATCTTGTACTTTACTACAATCATATCTGCATAAGTGAGTGACCCTGTTGTTGTCCTAAAGCACAAAACACCTTTTCTGTCTGCAAACCATACACAGACCACGGAACTATATACTTCACCCACACAGTCCCAACGCACCAAACTAACCACTGGCACTTCTAGCAATAAGAACATCAAACAACACACGCACCACTCCATAAACACACCAACTCTCACTCCACGTTAATCAAATACCACACAACAACCAAAAAAAATGGCCTCCAACTCGAACCGCCTCCCCAGCGCCACCAGCGGCGGCGCCTCCGCGGAGCCCACGCCCGCCAACAACGCCGGCGGCGGCAGCGGCTGGGGCGACGCAGGCCACCCCAAGGGCGGCATGGACGGTGTTTCGGTACGTTGACCCATCCCCATCTCAACCCGCAAATCCCAGCAAACCCAACAATAACCACTCGCTAACACATATACCACGGTGGTTGAAACAGAGCGACGTCCTCACAGCCCCCGAATTCCGCTCAATCTCAGACCAGAAGTCGGCCGCGGAGCGGAAGTTCATGGGTCGGTTCAACGAGGGCCATGATGTGCGCGATGGCACCTGCGCTACCGAGGACCACAGCTTTATGGAGCGGAAGCCCGGTGGTAGTGGTGCTTTGCCGGGCTGGGAGACGATGAAGGATAAGTTGGGGTTGTAAGTCCCAACCCCCTTTTTCTTTGGTTTGGTTGCTTTGCAGTGGAGGGGAGGTGGGATGGATTAGCTGGTGAGGACTAGCTGATGGGCTTTAGTCTCTATCCTGAGTGATTAATCCCTTCGGGATTAGATCTGGGGATTTGCGGGGGTGGATGCATTATTTTCTTTTGTTTGTGCTCGGTTAGGTTATGGGGTTATGTGTTATGATCGGTCATGCTTGTATTATAGTTCTTGTTTATGGGATTTGATTTTATGGTTCTATTGATCTGGTTCTGGGTTGGGTTGGTGTTGAGGTTTGATATGTTCGGTTTGAAGGCAAAACAAGATTAAATACAATGAGCCTAAGTAACTACTCCGTCTTGGTGGTCTTGCCCTTGAGCCGGTCGCGTAGCGCAATGATCCTCCCCCCCAGCCGGCTCTTCAGCGTCTGCGCCCGCATCGCCGAGGCCTCTTCCGCCGTCACGAACCGCCGCACCAGCAGGTTGAAGATGCTGCCGAACGCCAGCGCGATCACCGTGCTGGTCAGGATGATCACGTTGTACGGCATGCTGAAGTCCGGGGTGGGCAGCGGCAGGAGCAGGCTGGTGGTGCGGATGTAGATCGGATAGCTGGCGGCGCCACCGTTACTCGAGCCCAGCTTGATCACCGCCGGTGCCACGTTGAAGCCCCGGTTGGCGTCCGGCGGATACTCCGTGTACCGCAGGATGGCCTTCTCGAAGTCGTAGGTGAGCGTCACTGTCGACGCGGCGGGCACGGACAGCGCCAGCTCCAGCTGCGTGCCGCGTTCGCGATCGATCGCCGGGCGGTAGAAGGTTTCTTTGATGAATTGCGAGGCTGGGGCCTGGTGGTGCTGGCCGTCGTGCCCTGTGATGGTCGCTTGCAGGGTGTGCACGTAGGGTCGCAGGAACCAAGGCAAAGTCTCGAAGTAGATGAAGTCAACCGCCTTGGTATCCGAGGGGTTGTCGAAGATGATCCGCATCCCGCCGCGTTCCTGGCCGTGGCCCACGATCGTGCGCTCGGCGCGCAGCACGGGCTCGTCCAGCGGGACCTGTGATGTGGCCTCTTGCTCGGGAATGGTGAGGTCGAAGGGGGTGGATGGCTCTAGGGTGTAGCAGCGCGTGTAGCCGTCTGACTTTTGGACCTCCACTACGCCGGAGGGAACTTGCACGTCGCGCTCGTGGGGCACTCGCAGACAGACGGTCCCGTCGGCAGACCCCTCTGCGAGAGGGCATGATCCGCTGATACTGCGGCCGAAGATCTCCGACAAGCCCCAGCCCTTCTCAGATGTGCGCTCCAGTGGGTAGCAGGTATCATCTGAGTGGTAGGGTTTGGACGTGTCGCATACGAGCTGCTCGTTGGGTACTGGACGCGGGATAGGGTTTTCTGAAGAAGGAGTATTAGCTCGCGCTGCAACATGTCGAGCAAGCTGCACTAACCTCGTGGACGTTTGGACCGGTCAATGTCAAGCACGATGTCCACCGACTGATCAATCTGCACTACACAGTCCCCAGTCTGCGTACAGATAGGACGCACGTCCACAGACATGCTCTGCCACGACGCATCAAACAGCTTGTGTCCGTCCAGAAGACTAGCCACGCCCGCCTTACCCTTACACGGGAGGAGCTTCAAGAATGGCGTCAAGTTCTCGGTACAAACCACCTCGCCGGGCAGCGTTCCGTGCAGAAGATGCAAATTACCCGAGGACGCATGAGTTCCAGCGGGTTCGAAGGACGCAACCGGTCTCGTGGTTCGAGTCGAGTCGATGAAATTCAACGAGGCGCAGAACAGTCCGGACAGTGATTGCGTCAGGGTGATCCATTTCGCAAAAGCCCTGGGTCACATCAACACTAAAATCCGCATGCAGGTTCGAGAGTCACACATACGCTTCGTCATCCACGGCATCAATCCATGCCCATAGTTCCACGCCGGTGCCGCCCTCCTTGGTTCCATTCCAAGGCCGAGGACCCCAGCTCTCAGCATCCCAGCGACCCGTTGTGAACCGCAGGTGAAGCTCCTTGGTATTGGCGTGGCGTAGGATCTGACCTAGCGCACGGGGGAAGTAGCGGAAGTGTCGCTCGTCGAACGACTCCTGCGAGTCATTGCCCTGGAAGTTGAACGAGGCTAACAGCGCGGATTGCGGAAGTGGCTGGAGGACGAGGCTCTCCTGGTAATCCGACGTTGCGGAGGCGAACGAGGAGAGCGCGGCCAGGAAGAGAAGAGAGAAGAGCGAAAGGACAGTCATCACGTCATGCTGGTCGACCCGGAAGCTCTAGATAGAAGGATCCGGATGTATCTCGTGCACCACCCCGGGGTGGTGGTTGCGAGCTCCGAAAGTTGCTAGTCAAGGGTGCTAGCAGCGTCTGAGAGTGTGGAAGTCCCTGCAGAACGTCCACGGAGCTTCTTTAGGTCAATCTGAGTTTGCGAAGCTCTGTAATGATCAACAGTCAGTAATTCCACGCCATCGTACGAGAAGCAAGTGCAGAGTGACCGAACAATACTCCGCAAGACGGGGGTTCGAGAGCAAGCCAAGGGGCTCACATAAGCGCAGCCAACCGCGGTTAGCGCCACGCCGCAGAACCTCCAGGCCAAAGCTCCAATCCATCAAACTCCCTCCACCTGCGATTCCGGCCCTGCTTCCCCTTCGTCGTATTTGATCGGTCAAATCAATCCCCAGCATATTCTCCCACCATGGCTGCGGAACAAAGAAAGCTGCTTGAGCAGCTGATGGGAGGTAGGTTTTCCACTTTCACGGCCCCCTCTCCAAACAACAAACTCACCTGGAAATCTTTCCTGCAGCGGACAAACTCGTCGGCACCGGCGCCGCATCTCGCAATGCGCAACTCGCCATCACAGACCCCAAAGTATGCCGCTCGTACCTAGTCGGAACCTGCCCGCACGACCTCTTCACAAACACCAAGCAAGACCTGGGCCCCTGCCCGAAAGTGCACAGCGAAGGACTGAAGACGGAGTACGAGGCCGCCTCGGCGGCGGAGAAGGCCAAGTGGGGGTTCGACTACGACTACATGCGCGACATGCAGAAGTATATCGATGACTGTGACCGACGCATTGATTCCGCGCAGCGACGGCTGGAGAAGACACCGGATGAGATCCGGCAGACGAACGACCTGGTAAGTAAGCAAGCAAGCAAGCAAGCAAGCAAGCAAGCAAAAGCCCAACCATTCATTTCCCGCCATTTGCAGGGGGTATCACGCAAACAGAATGAAACAAAAAGCTGACCGCTCTTTTTTATCTAGTTGAAACAAATCTCCGACCTCACCAACACAATCAACTCGGGCCTGCTGGAGATCTCCGTGCTCGGCGAGACCGGCTCCGTCGCCCAGGCGCTGAACGAACTGCACAAGATCCGCACCGCCAAGCACCAGAAGGAGGCCTGCGAGCGCGACCTCAAGAACCTCCAGGACACCTCCGGTCCCTCGGGCCACCAGAAGCTCCAGGTCTGCGACGTGTGCGGCGCGTACCTGAGCCGCCTCGACAACGACCGCCGTCTGGCGGATCACTTCTTCGGCAAGATGCACATGGGGTACTCGGATATGCGCAAGACGTTCAAGAAACTCAGCGAGGAGCTCAAGGGCCGGCCGCCGCCGGTGCGACACCACGATGACGACGATGACCGGGGCTGGGGTGGTCGGTCTGGTGGTGGTCGTGGGCCGAGGTATGGTGGTGGTGGCGGCGGTGGCGGTGGTTACAGGAAGCGTGGTTCTCGGTGGTGATGTGACGACAATTGGGATGGTGTATGTGGTGTATGGTGGGAAGGGGATGGGGGCTTGGAGCGTGTCCCCTACTGAGATCTCCTTGTTCGGGCTGTGTTCTCTCTGGTTTTGCATAGCGTAGGCGTTGTTTGCTTATCACGACCACGTTCGAGGATGGCATGGGGGCTTTTTTCTCTCTCTCAAAAAGATATTAAACATCATTTACTTCCATTAGCGAAACAATCTACGCGCTGCGTTATGTTACCTTGTACCATGACCGATTTTAATAAATGTACTGGTTCAACGTCTGACCAAATGAGTATATTGATGATCGAATGATCTGTGTTCTGTCATACAATCTGGACAGTGCATAAAGATCAGGCCTGCGAGGTTGACTACTATCAAGCCGAATGCAAAGCAAAAAAAAAGGAAAATACAACACCATCGCCGCTGGGTTTGAAAATCCTGCGCGTCTTGACGAAACAAAAATAGAAGTCCCCTTTCAACGCCGGAATACGCATTTTAAGAGATAAAGAAGACCTTCAGAGAGCCGTAGTGAAACGAAACACCCAAGTGCCAAGTATGAATTGAAAGTAGTTGAAAGAAGATGTGAGAAGAAGAAAAAGTGGAGACGATACTATACAGCAAGATCTAAGCTTCGTTCTACCTGTTGTTCTGCTGTGCACCATGTCCATTGGCCGCCGTTTCCTTGAATAGTTCATCCCTCAACAGCGTGTAGTCGGCGCTTGCCTCTGGCCGCCGGAGCAGAATCCCCTTGACCACGCCTAGCTGTGACACATCTGCGTTGGGGGCTTGCTGTAGGAGCTGCTGGAGAGCCGGGGAATGGGCAGTTTGAGGGCCCAGGACCTGGATAGCGGCCGCCAGGCCCGTGAAGGGGGCTTGGTTGGCTTGGGGTGGAGGAGGCTGATAGGAGGGGTATTGTGTGTTGGCAGCGGCAGCGGGTGGTTGCTGCGGTTGCTGGCCGTACGGAACGGGCGCCTGCGGTGTGGCGGGAAACGAGGGTGCGGGACTGGGAGTGAATTGCGAGGCATGGCGCGGGGGCGCCGGAGTCAGGAATTGTTGCTGTTGAGGCGTGGCCATTGTGAGCGGGCTGGCAGAAGCTCCTGGCTCTTGGCTGGACGGGTGAGAGGGCGGTTGGACGGAGGGAGGGTTGGAATCGCCGGTCTTCACGGCGAAGACGACCAGCAGCACCCGTTCGGGCATCGGATCCTCCAGGGTGTGGTTCTCCAACAACTCGATGAAGTCGGGCTTCTTCGTGGAACCAGCCTCGATTGGAATCAGGTAGGTATCCTTGACGGCGGGGAGTGGGTGTTTGCCCACCACGCCATAGCGGTTGCGGTCCTGGAAGTAGCTGAACAGCTTGTCGAAGCCGGCCCTCTCCTTGGGGTGTTCAGGGCTGCTGATCGAAATCACCGTCACATCGGTCGACGAGCTGAACCGGAGACCACAGAGATAGTTGCTGGCCAGCTGGATGTCGATTCGTCCGTCCACAAGCAAGGTCGAGGGGACGAGCTGGCTCCAAGGGATACGACCGCTGAGGTCGGCGCCTCCAGCGTGCTTCGCCGAGGACGCGAACTCGGCAATGGTGCTCATCGCAACCTTGCCATGCCAGATCGATCCTTCGTCGTGATAGTCCTTCGGCGAGTAGGGCGGCGACTCGGGCTCATCGTCCTTGAGCAACTTATCGATCTCCGCATCGGCCTGCGCCTTGCGCGCTGGTAATTGTTCGCGAATATGCGCCGACATTTCCGGAAAGACTGGCTCGTGGCTGGTGCCACCAGGCGAATGCGCCCTCGGGGGAAAGTCATCGCGACGAATCTCGCCTCCATCAGGAAGCTTGGGCTCGTTGGGGTGCTTCTGCGCGCCATCGCTCTCGGTTTGTGGCGTGGGACTGGTCGGGCTTTGCCCAGCAGGACTGCCGTCGGCCTCGGCCAAACTGCGTCGAGAGGCGGCCGTAGAGAAGACCGGCTCGCTGGCGGCGGTATGGGTTTCGTCTTCGACGAGCTCTTCACCTTTATGGGTCCGTCTAATGCGTGGCCCTTGTTCTTGGATGATAATGTGCTGCCGCTCGGCTTCCCGCTTGATCTGAGCGTCCTTCTGCTGGAGCTCCTCACTGGCCATGTCTTGGGAGCTCATCTTAGAAAGGGCATCAGGAAGTAAACTACCTACGAGCAGACGGTCCCGTAGAGAAGGGTTCTTCTTTACGTTGAACAAGATCGTCCGCAATTGTGACTTATACGCGTCTGTGGGCTCTCCAGATCCTCCGCATATATTCTGGTACATAGCACTCTCGATCGAGAGTCCGAGCTGCTGCGCAACTTCCTCCGCTGTCTTCCCTTCGGGCAAGCTGAAAGATCCTTTCTTCTGGGACTCAGAAATTTGATCTACAAATAACTTGACCAGGGCAGTGGCAACACTTCTCCGAGCCGGGTTAGTGGGTTCTTCCAGCTTTTTGACATCTTCGGTCATCGGCGACGGCGAGGCGTTGGAATTTTGCCGTGATGGCTGCAAGCTGGGCTCATCCTTCACTGGAACTGGCTGGGGAGGGGGTGTCGGGGTGGCGGCGGGTGGTGAAATCTTCTGCTGTTTCGGTTTGGGTTCCTATCACAATCAATGTCAGTCAAATCAGAAATGAGAAAGCAAGTGATTGTGCCGATACGTACAGCTTCTGGTGCTGGTATTTCCTGATGCTCCTCAAACTTGCGCTTCTGCGCGCTTGTTGGTTGGGCCTCGGGAGCATGGCCGTTCTTCTCAGGAGCTGGCGTCGTTTCGGAGGCGACAGCGGGGGTTTCAGCAGCGGGAGCAGGAGCAGGAGTTTCAGTAGCAGGTTCTTCAGCAGGAGTTTCAGCAGGAGCAGGAGGAGCAGGAGTGGGAGCCGGAGGTGGAAGAGCTGCAGGCGCAGGCGCAGACACGGGTGCTGGGGTGGGGGCAGGGGCAGGTGTCGTCGAAGCTGCTGCGCGCGCAGGGGTGCTCGTTTCGACCTTGGCCTCGCTCTGTCGACCTCGTCTGCCCTTTTTACCCTTTTTGCGCCGCGAGGCCTTCTTCTCCTCCGCCTCTATGCGTCGCCGTTCGGCTGCTTCCTCCCACGGCTTCTCGCCTCGCGAGATCTTCTCCAAGAGCACCGGGTGATTCTCAGGCTTGCACAGCTCGCAGAAGTATTCATCGGGTTCTTCTCCCTTGGCGAACGTCAGGCCCATACAATCGTTGTGTTGCCATGCAGAGCATCGATCACAGCAAATCATGTCACGTTCGACGTCCTCTTCCTCTTCGTATTCTCCACAGATACATCGGATAATTTCCTCTTCTTCGCTGGGAGCAGGCGTCGGTTCCACGGATGGCTTCGCGGCTTTCTCCTTCGGTTGGGCTTTGGCTTTCGTTTTCTTCGCGGGCGTCTCGGTGATCATGTCGAGGTTTTTGTGCTGGCCCTTGGTCGAGCGACCAGAGCGTCTCGGTTCATCTGGAGTCCATCGTTAGCTGCTTCTTCAATTCGTCCAGAATGTCAAGTTTGCCTGCCATCAGCACCATCACTGGTAGCGTGGGCTCCGGGACAGCAAAACCTGGTGAATACGGTAGCTTACCAGCCATGGTGGGTGTGGATGACTGAAGTAGATATTCAAATTTCTACGGCGCAGAATTGTTGGGTGTATGTGAATATAAAAGGGTGCAGAGATAAGAGGGAAAAATAGAAAGTGTCCAGGAACAGAATCGCGCACGCCACCCAGGACACGGTTCTACGGCATCAGAAGAGCTAAAGCAATACACAGAGGAAGGCACTGGAGACTGGCAGTTGTCGCCCGGTCCGCGCAGGTATTACTTTATGTTCTCCAAGACCCAGCGACTTATTTAGAGACGATGGCGCGGAATTGTCCGTGGCGTCACCATCTGTGATGGGAGAAGGGTTGTCGGACGACGGTGTCGCGCGCGCAGGATGCTTGGCGTGGGCGGGGTCGCGTGAAAAGTGGCTCAAGCCTCACGGATTATTTTCTGACAGAGAGGGCGCAAGGTAGAATCGCACCACGACGAGTGTTGATGGAAGATGCGTCCAGCAAGGATCAGCCGGGGTCGATGGGGGATGAAGAAGAATGAATCGAAGGTTGAAGGGGAGGTCAGTCCGAAAGAGGAGATGCCTGTTTGTCGCGGTTGAACTTGGGATGATGAATCAGCCGAGCAGATTACTGAACTAACTTGATTTATGAATCACACCACGTGACTGCGGCTCCGCGGACTCGGAGCAGGCTTGGCGCGCGCTCAGCCCGTTCTCGTCGCGTTTATTCTTCCGCGCCCTTTCAAAGCTTCTCCGGATCCCCACATAGACCGATTTTCTGATCGCCTGGACTATCGACCCGGCCCCCTAACTTGTAATCACTACCAACTCTTTCAGATTCACTCTTATCGTCGTTTCAGTCTCGTTACACATCCATTACACCCAGCTTCGGATCCAGAGAAAAAAGACCATGGCAGATGTTCGTTCATTACTCCGCAATGAGCTCGCCACCCGCAAGGGCTCCTCCCAGACAGGGAGCACGGGTAACCGTGTAACCAAGAAGCGAAAGGTAGATCCCGCAGACGACCTGGTGCGCAAAAGGATCAGGCCTGCCGGCGCGGAACCGAGTTCATCGACCGGATATACAGTACAGCCACCGAGCGCGCGAGCGATCGAAGAGGAAGAGGAGGAGGTCGAGCTCGAACGAACGGACGAGGACGTCGCCGGACCGGAAGCCCCCTTAGATGCTACTATCGAGCCCGAGCCCTCCGAACACACCGCTCAACCTCTCGAAACATCCGCCGCGCCTGTCCCAGAACCCACCACAGCCCCTCCTCAGACTATCGATGAGGATGAGTGGGCAGCCTTCGAGCGCGAGGTGGTGGCACCGACTCGCATGCCACACCGGCCCGCCGCCGTGGCAGCGGAGGCAACCATCTCGGCGGCGCCTATGACCGCGGAAGAGATTGCGGCACAGCAACAGCGCGAGTCCCAGACGTTAAGCAAGAATCGCGAGGCAGAGGCGGAGGGCGAGCGGGAAGATGCGGCGCGCTTCATGGAAGCCGAGTTCGATGAAATGGAACAGCTAGAGGAGCGCCTCAGGCGTCTCAAGCAGAAAAGGGAAGAGCTGCGCCAACTTAGAACAATCGAGGATGTTGCGGTACGGGATATGGATAAGTCTCCACCCGCTACCGCTGCACCGGAGGATGAACCAGGCCAGGCTGAACATATCACGGAAAACGAAGACGAACAGGCTGACGACGACGATGACGACGATGACGACGATGATGATTGGGACAACTGGAGGTTCCGGTAATTATTGGGGTCAAGGTTCAGGCGTGGGACACTAAAACAGGCGTCATTTCACAAGAGGGAGGCCAAGAACTTTTCTAAAAACTTACAATGATACCCCATGAGCTATGCGTGATCACACGAAAATGCTACTAATTATCTTAATTTGCTACAGTATCAGCTGGCATCGCAAGTGGTTCCTACTCTTGCTCTTTACGCTTTCTCATCTCACATATCTTTTGCTTGCATGGAAGGGCGTAGCACGCCTCTATAGCTGAATGAAAACCTCATGTGCTCCATTTTATAGATAGAGACAGAAATGATTCGAGATGTATGTTACAGCCGTTTGCAATCATGACATATTTCTATACATGAACGGGTGTTTTCGATGTGCTCCCTATAGATTGGAATTGCTGATGTCGCTTTCCCCTTGCGGTCTGGACGCCGATTGCTCGTCTGCTTCGAGGTAACTGCGCAAACCACCCTTGTTGACATGCATAGCTTCCTCGAGCTCAACCTCCCCTTCTCTAAGCAGATGCTTGCCACGAATGAGTTCGCCCTTTTGCTTCCGCTTTTCCTCCTGCACTTGTTTTTCGCGCTCTGCCATAGCCCTCTCTCGCTTCTCACGCTCCGCCGTTTTCCGCTCCAGCTCTTCTCTCTCCTCAGGAGTAAGGTTATCCTGCGGCGCCGGAGGCAAGGTCGAGATGTATGCCTCAATAAGTGGGTCGCGCACTTTAGGGGCAAGTGAGATGTATCTGAGATCGGTAATGATAGATGTGGGGAGCGCTTCGAGATTGGATGATTGATTCAGTTCGTGCAGTGGCACAGATCTGAGCAGAGCTGAAAGGTCGGACTTCCGGCTGCTTTCGGGTTGTTTCATTCGAGATACCAGATCGCGGTAGAACTTCTCCCGGTCTTTGTCCGACAGCTGTGGCTCTTTCATCTCTGGCTCCTTCCTGTATTTCCGTTTGAACTCCGGCCAGTATAGTTTTGGCGTCGCGTGTTCTTGCAGGAATGACAAGTATTTGATGCGCGGGTCTTTCTTCTCTTGCTTTTGCTTGCGCTCCTTGAGTTCTTGTATCCGATCACGACTCCAGTTCGACCACACCTCGCGGCGCGTTCTCATGTTCGTGAGCACAGTGTAGCGACTGTCATTGATGATGTGGCCTTCCTCAATGATCTTCTCCCAGGTTGTGAAGGGGTTGATGTGAAAGTCATCTAGGAGGTCGCGGAACAGAGCCGTGGCATCTTCCTCTGTAAGCTCCAACCCTTCAGCGCCCTCCTCCCACTCTTCATCGCCTGGTTCACCATATTCGCCGGGGTCAAGACCGTAGTCTTCTCCCATCGCTTCCAGCTGGTACTCCATGTCTTCTTCGGTGAATTCCATGGGCTGTGGCTGGCCTTCGTCTTCGTCGGTTTTCGGTCGCTTAAATGGTTGGTCTTCGTCCTCGCTGTCTGTAACCTCCACCTCCTCATACTCGTCGCTGTACTCCTCGGCGTGACCCGCGGGACCGCTTGCCGACTCCCCAGCTTCTTGATTGTCCGCCAAAGGCCCTTCTTCGTGTTTCGATTCTTCATCATTCTGAGTATCTTCACCCCGGGCTTTCTTCTCCTCAGCTTCTTTCTCCAAACGATCGAATTCAAGGACACCCTTCAGTACCTCGGGAGGGATCTTCCAGAAGCTCTCGTTTGTTTCCGGATTATGAACAAATCGTCTTCCCAGTTTTGTCTTCACGAGCACCCACGGTGCGCATCCCGGCAGAGCGTGCTTCTTCTTAGGCCTGTCTTCTGGTCCGCGACGTCGACGATCGTAGTTGTTCCTTCCGCCACGAAAGTTTCCGGGACCCTGACCTTCTTGCGAATGTCCATGATGGGGTGTCGCAGTGAATGCAGGCACAGTAAGTCCGAATCCATGGGGCGCATAGGGAGTCGACGAAAATGGGGGCAGTGTGTCAATGTTCGTGTTGAATGTGGGTTGCGGCGTTATCGTTGGTGGTTGGGGCTGTGTCGGAACTGGTAGAGGCCTGGTGTACGTAGATTGCTTGGTTTGCGCATTGTAATAGTAAGTATGACCTGGGCTTGATTAGGATGCGCTTTAACAAAGACCCATCTAGAGGGAACGAACCTGTAGGAGCTTTATGTTCGGTCCAGCCTGGAGGTAGTGGAGGAGGAGGGGTATATGTCGACCTTAGCATGGTCAGGGATGAATCTGCTATGTATGATTCACTAAAACGATCTTCCAGTTCAAGTTGCAGGTTTGCAGCACAGCCGGGGATATTTCAGTAGCAATGGTTTAGACTAGGAGTGCTGCTGGGAGATAATTTGCGCCAGTCCTCGCGGAGAGCTTCGCATGGAATCTCGGGGTGGTCCGAGCTTGGCGGACGGACAGTCCAGTCAGCCCGGCCGGGGCTGGTGGACGCGCCAGGGCGAAGTTGCCTGGTCGGTCACTCACTTCAACGGGAGCTCATCCGACCTTCCTGCACAGCTTGTTCTGAATCTCCTCCCCATCACAACTCCGCTCATCCCCCCCATTCTTGCTTCACATACACAATTAGAGTTTCTCACTGTCCGCTCGGTTGATCAAGATGTCAAGAAGATACGATTCCAGAGTATGCCTGTTCCACATCCCCACCCCCCATGATTAATTGTTCCTTGGGAAGCTTCCTAGCTGACCCGATGACGTTCTTCCTCAGACAACCATCTTCTCCCCCGAAGGTCGCCTCTACCAAGTTGAATATGCGTTAGAAGCTATCTCGCACGCCGGTACCGCTCTGGGTATCCTGGCTAAGGATGGAATCGTCCTTGCCGCTGAGAAGAAGGTCACCAGCAAGCTGCTCGAGCAGGACACATCTGCCGAGAAGCTGTACACACTGAACGAGTATGCAGACCCTAACCCGCCGCCTTATTCCGGCCTAACATTTTGGGCAGCAACATGATCTGTGCCGTTGCTGGTATGACGGCAGACGCGAACATCCTCATCAATTATGCCCGACAAGCCGCCCAGCGGTACCTGCTCACCTACAACGAAGAGATCCCTTGCGAGCAACTTGTCCGTCGGTTGTGTGATCTGAAACAAGGATATACCCAGCACGGTGGTCTTCGTCCGTTCGGTGTGTCGTTCATCTATGCCGGCTACGACCCTCTCCGGCAGTTCCAGTTGTACCAGAGCAACCCCAGCGGTAACTACGGTGGCTGGAAAGCGACCAGCGTGGGTGCCAACAATGCAAGCGCTCAAAGCTTGCTCAAGCAGGATTACAAGGAGGACTGTGATTTGAAGGAGGCTTGCGCCATGGCCGTGAAGGTCTTGAGTAAGACGATGGACTCGACGAAGTTGAGCAGCGAGAAGAGTAAGTGATTTCCCCGGGCCGTAGACTCGTCATTTTATGGCTTGTACGACCTGCATCGCTCAGTCGCAACCTATGCTAACCGGGAATCTTTGTTTTGCTCAGTCGAGTTCGCGACGGTGGGAAGAACACCTGAAGGCAAGATCTACCACCATCTTTGGAACGCCGATGAGATCAATGCTCTGTTGAAGGAACACGGACTGGCCAAGGTCGATGATGAGCCCGAGGCTGGCGAGATCAAATAAATGACTGAATGACAGCTTTCTGCTTTTGAACCAAGATAATATCATTTGTTTTCAGTTGAGCAACCATTTCACCAAGAGATACCGTAGACTTTACAGCCATTCAGAAACATGTAATCTCTGAGAGAGATCTTGCCATCAAATCATGGCACACAAATCAGCCCCTTGAAGCTGCACATGGAGCGCAACTGACGTTGTCCACGGGTGACGTGGCAGGCGGCGATAGCGGACTGACTTTCCGGACAATTCATTGTACGTTTGTCCTCGTGTCTCTGAGGAGGATCCGATCCAGTTCTTCATAGATCTCCGAAGGTGAATGGTCCACGTAGCTTGGGAAGACCTCGTCGATGTCGAGCGCCTGATCAAACGATGGGCTTCCACGAATCCTGGGTACGGCATTTCATTCCCTTAAAATGGACCACGGCCCAAACCTCAGTCTGACTTCTCGTATTGTATCAATTCATGCAAAACCCAGCATGGCCAAACCGGCAGTTCACAACATATTCTGTCGGATGATGACTATATAATAACGGCGCCGGTCCAACACACTCATTCGCTCGATCCATGTTGATCAGGAGCAACTTGAAGCCAGGCGGGCCCACACCCAGAGCACAAGTCAAATGCATTCACGGGGGAACTCAATCGAAGATAAGTGAGAAGACAAATCCAGACGAACTCATACACTGCTCCCATCCAGCATCGTCGGACCAGGCAGTTGACAGACTTGACAAAGGCGACTCTAACCCAGTTTGGAGGGTCATCACGTGGAGATTGCCGAAACGCGGGGTTGGTCGATATTCAGCTCCATATCTATCTCCAAACTCACCGTTCTCCGATTCCTTGAGTGGCTTGCGTTTCTGTATGCAAGGCACTCACATCAGTTTATATGATGTCTTCCGATAGCTAGCACAACATACTGGGCTCAGCTACATTCTTCACCCTTTTCATTGAACAATTGCATTGATGAAATGGCTTATCCTGGCGTTGGCGAGCCGCTCGTCAAGAACACTGGCGCTTATGATGTGGAACTTCTACCAAGGGACGGCGCCCGAAATTGCCAATAATACAGCATTGAAATATTTTGATTGGACCTGATCACTTTTGCTCAGGACTTGCTGCTCGACCCGAAAGATGTCCTCCAACCATTGTGTGGCTGCAGCCTGAAGAAACGTTCCAAATAACAATAGTCGAGTTGACCACACAACATGACACATCGACAGTGAAACCCAGGGGCTAAGCACCAGAAATACACACAGAACTTGGACCGTCGCATAACCAAGAGGGAATCAAAACTAGAAAAAAAAGAAGAAAAAAGAAAAAGGAACATGAAGAATAGAACAACATTTGGGCTCACGACAACCACATCCCATTTTTCACCTCTTCAGATCACATGTTTCCTATGACAATGCTCTCTGTCTCTCCTGCTTCTCCCTTTCCAGCTGGAAGATCTCTTTTTCGAGCTCCATAATAAGCTTCTGACACCGTTCCATAGAAGCTACGAGGGTGCCTCCCTCTCGCTTCCACCGGGTCAATCTGTCCACCTCGGCGCTTCGCCGCCGCTTCTTGGTTTCGATCTTGTCGCAGAGGCGGCATTTCGCATTTTCGCTGAAGGTCTCGTTCACAAGTCGCATGCCGCATGTCTCCCCCGTGCGGTACTCGTAATTGCAACGGTGCGCGAAGTTGGTCCAACTCCAGTCGCCGCATGCAAACTTCTTCTGGTTGTAGAAGCACATCTCTAATCCTTGTCGTCAGCTAATGGTTTTCCAGAGCCGTGATGAAACTCACTCTCCGCTGCTGCAGCTTCCGGTTTCAAGTGTCTGTCTTTTGTTCTATTGGCTCCGCCGAAAGCTCCTGCCGCCGTGCAGAGACTTGATAGGCTAAGCTTGCACAGGACTATTGAAGGTCAAGGGTTGCTTTAGAATTGAAACACCGTTTATCGGCAACGAAGTCTTATTTCGAATGGTTCTTCTTGAGGAAGCAGAGGATGAAACGGTCAATGATTCAGAATTCAAGGAGTGGAAGGCCTCCGTGGCCCTATTTATGTTTCGCCAAAAGCTTTCATGTTACGAGATGGCCAATTATCGTACCATGCCCATCAATTGTCGATCAAATCCAGCTCAGCGTACGATAGCTTATCGACTACGGCATCCTAACACCACTTTCACACACACCCCATCCAGTGATATTGCGGTTGGCTCTGCTGGAATTTCCTTGACTGTGGAGACACGAGACATCCACACCCTGCCTGTTCGGGGCAACTGTAATCACCGGGTGATTCACGAATGCATACGTCCAGCTGTCGTGTTCTTCTCATCCAGCCCGTGCCGAAAATCCCTCATTCGATATGATTGATTTTCTTGCGTCTTTGTCCTTCTAGCTCGGATTGTTGTTGCAGCCTGAGTCGCTCCGTTGATCGTCCCCGCTTCGTCCATGGCTTTCTGCTGCGTACGAAACGGAACTTCAAGAATCAACCAGGCAACCCGCTAGCTGTATCAAAGCTCCTGCATGAGACGGTCGTTTTTACTTTTGTGCCAGCTGTCATGCTGTCCGTCTCAAATCGAACCTTTTTTCCCTTCCCGTTGAACAGCAACCTAACATTTCGGCATTGAGGGGATGGGAAACTACAGATGCCGTTTGAAACGTCAGTGTGATCAACGCCCTCATCACTTAGTCTGGTTTGTTAGATGCCTCCTTCATCAGCAAAGCTGTGGCTACTTGCTTACAGCCAATTAGTTTCACCTACAGTCAATTCTAGTGGCATATACTCTGCAATGGAGTTTGCCGAGAAGGAAGCCGATTCTAGATTGGATCCGCTTCTAATTGCAATTTTTCTTTTTCGATATTCCAGCTAGCTGCTAACATGCCCAATGGGTCAGGGTTCCGCCGTCTGGTTGCAACACTAAGTTTCTTATTCTATTTTGTTGGACACTGATCGATCTTTTGCAGATGGACTGACCCTCGTGCCTGTGACCGTCTCGTATACTCCGCATGCTTCCGTCTGGCCATTCCTTACCAAGAACTTTTTTCCTTCATGGTGGCGAAAGACGCGTCACTGAGAGTCCTCGATTGGCACCTATTGCATCTTTGAACGTGATCCTGGGAGGTGAACATGACTTGCAGTTGCATGACGAGCTCAGAATTCTAAGAGGGACCGCTTCTCTTCAGCTGATCTCCCACATCTGCAGAGGAATAATCCCGCATGTGCCCCCACTCAGGTGCAGGGTTTATCTTCATTTACTTGCTTTACTCCGCTGGAACGATAGGATATCATTTGTGCTCATCAGCCATGGCAGATACCGACTGTGGTACGGTGCACCTACAGTTGAATCCATGCAGCTGCATTAGAGCTCGGAGACTCACTGACGTGGCAGCCTTCGTCTGGCCCAATTGCTCGAGTTTTCAAGTCTGTTGTGCTGATGGAGGACTGTCCTCAACTGAAAACTGATCAGTACACAGCCGGGACGGCGCTGAGGCTGTCAATTTCACTTTGACGCGCCCTCAACGCGGCGAATAGGGGCTCAATATTGGCATATCTCCGCTTGTCCGGACACCCTGGAAAATGATTGCGTGAAAGCTTCTCGCTTGTCTGCCTGTTCCCTTGAGCATCGATCATCGGGTAGTGCGCTCTGGCTCTCTGTACACTCGGCGGACGAGCATAGATCCATGGACTGACTGTGGTTGCCAGCTCAGCAGCTGCCGGTTCCGGCTGACCACCGCCATGATGAAATTACATCGATAACGCGTTGTGCATCAAATTCAGACTTTTTCTCCCGCCCGGTACCAGAGCGCGATTTGCCACCCATCTGCCTCCTTCTCGCAGGCTGTCTTACTTCGGATGTTTTTAGTCCAGCCTCGCCTGTGGCGATTGCCCATTGGAAACAAGGATTTGGGCTCTACGAATCGGGAAAATGACCTTCCTAAAATGGCCGATCCTCATCAAGTATCTCAAAATCCAGGAGATCAATTTTTGGTTGCAACGGCTCGAGAGACTCCAGCTGCATATTATCATGAATTTCGCATATACTTCTTGCGACGTTGAAATTGGATTCTGAGACCCACCCACGCGCACCAATATGCTGGGTTTCTTTGATCCCGTGATCGTAACGTGACCGGCTTCTTCTGCGCTTCTGCGCGTACCTATTCTCTTGCAGTCAACAAATCGAACATGCGAAACGGGTATCTGGGGGATTAAGGTGAGAACGCGCTCTCTGCCGTTTCGAGCTCACGGACCGAGATTGGTTGATTTTCCAAAGCCTATTTAGATAGCGTCAGCGCTCTCTATCCAATGAAGTCCACCAGCTGAGGGGCTGTTCGGGAGGTGCATGCCGCTAAGAGGATCCCTGTCGTGATATCTGGAGCCCATGAGAAACACAGACTAACAGCATTAGTATGGATGGGATCCGGGTCCTCGCATCTGCAAGCTGGCACCTGAAATTGTTCTCCTGCGGGCCTTGGGCTTGATGCTGCCCATGATGCATGCTGCATATTCTAGACCCCTGCTCCTGGCACACACGTCTTGGTCTACTCCAGGTGTCGAATGATGAGAAAGAATATGTTCAGGCTGCGCTGCAACTGCACTTTCCTCTTCGAGTCAGGACATTCTCGAATCACAGCATGAGCAATAACGATCCGGTCTCTATGCATGAAGCAGTCCGGTTGTCCACAACCTGGGCGATGACTCGGTCCTCATTCTATGCAAGGCTTGCGTGAAGATGTTGGACCCCGCGTAGATTCTAGGAACGAAGGTGATCTCAAACTCTGGTACCGAGCTGCACGAGGACTGTGCCCATCACAGTTTGGCAATCTGCCGAGTTTCATTTCTGGTTAATCATGAATGACGTGGCATGCAGTTTGGACGAGCACTGTCGAGACGGACTTGTAGTCTCGAGTGTATCTATCTTCTCCGGCAGTTGTGTCATCCGTACCGGCCATTTTCTTCCCCTGAAAGACTCTCTTTAGGCAAGCTGGAAACAGGCATCTGACTGCGAGATTCACGGGAAATATGACAGACTACATCTTGAGAAGGGCTCTGTAGATGCTTGCAACAAGACAGTCGTGAAGATAATGGAAACCGCGGTGCAAGTCGTCACCTTAGGGCCCGTGACCATACTCAACTAATTAGTGATCCGAGCAAGTCAACCGCTCATTTTTCGGACAAAAACATTAGACATACATTGATTGATTACTATTATGCACAACGCCCCCATAGGTCCGCATCACGTGGCAAGGGAATCTGTTCATTCTCAGCCCCGAGTCTAGTACGTGCATCGATGACGTCAACATGATGGTTGCGAGCGGCGGCATTTGACCTGGTCTTTCCTCTGCCCCAGATCCATTTTCCTTTCTAACATAGATATCTCCATCCTCTTCACTACAGCTTTTCCAGTGCTCTGAGCATGTAAGTAACTTACAATATTCATGGACAACCCGAATTGACTCGCGACAAAGAGCTAAGACTTTCCAGAACTACAACCCCACAAACACCAAGAGCAACGCTTGCAATCGAACCTCTGAGTAGAGCTTCACGCACAAAAGCCCACCCAAAAGCCCTGCTATTAAATCATTCATCGTCACCATGTTGCGCGAAATTACTTCAATCAGCCATCTCAGCCGCAGCGCTGTTTTCCTCCGCCACGGCATCACCACCCCTCAGCTCCGTCGAACCCCCGCACCCCTCGCCGCGGCAGCACTGAACAACAACAACAACAACAACCGCGCGCGAACCTTCCACTCAATGCAGCCGCTTCGCACCTCGCAAGGCCAGCGCGAAGAGATGCAATCCGGCGACCGCAACGTCCTCGATCCGCAGCCCTCCGAGTTCTCCAAAACCGGCACCGACCAGGAGGTCTCCCAGCACGACGCGGCCTTCGACCCCTCCAAGACCTCCCCGGAGAGCGAGATCCAGGCGGCGCAGGATGAGACCCAGCAGAGCGGGAAAGTGAGCAACCCGTTGAATGTTAGCGGTGCGAATAAAGACGTCAGCCATGCGCGGGAGCCGACGGAGGGGGCCCCGGATCGGAATGCGGACCGCGGTGTTTCGAGTAAGCGCGGGCAGACGAAGAAGGGGAAGGAGGTGAATGATTGGAAGAAGAAGTATTAAACAGAGATTGTTCTTTTTAATTTATTGTTTGAAATGCTGAATAGAGCATGTTTTGATGGTTCATGTTTCTTGATTGTATACCGTTGATGGGATGTATGATATTAGTACTGGTTTCCATTAAGAAATATATAATTGCACTTTGAACGCCTACACTGGTTCACAATTCGATCTCCCCATCTTCCGTAGTACAAATACAAGAGCGTACAGCAGTCGAATACACATGATTGAAAGACGCCGACCGACTGAGTTGAGTTCCTTACTTTTCTTTTTGGTGGTTCACTCCTTGCCGTACCGAAGGATATCACTGCCATGCAGCAGCCAAACCTTCTCACTCCCAGCAGGCACATCACCCTCCAGGGCCTTCAAACCCGCATTGACAGCGGCTCGGCCGATAACATCCGCATCCTGAGCCCAACCATCCTTGAGGCTGGAGTGCAGCCTCCCCAGGAAGCCTGCGACGCCGCGCACAACCGCCTCAGCTGGGCGACTCTCCTCGCGCTGGCCACCGATCAGCCCGGGCCGCAGGATGACGGTGCGCTCAAAGCCCAGGGCCTTGACCTCCTCCTCGATCTCGCCCTTCATGCGCGGGTACGCGAAGAATGAGCCCTTGTCAGCGCCCGACGACGAGATGAGAACATACACCTTCACGCCGGCGTCGCGCGCCGCGCGCGCCATCTCCACGTTCAGGCCGTGCTCGATCTTGTACTGGTTCTCGAACCCCCCGGCCGCGCCGCGGGTGGTACCGAAGGCGGACATGAAGATGCTGGGGGTCGGGGTGAGCGACGACAGCTGGGCGGCCCATTTGGAGGTGTCGTCCGAGACGAAGGTGGTCAGTTTCTCCTGCGGCGCGGCCGCGGCTGGTTGCGGGGTGCGGCGCGAGATGGTGTCCACGCGTGCGATGGCCGGGTTTTTGAGCAGGCTGGTGAGAATAAAACTCCCCTAGAGAGTTGTGTTACTATGAAGTGAGAAAGCAACCATCCGAACTTCGGTCTACATCGTGATTGTTTTGGAGCAAAATAGTATCAAGGGAGGGAGACAAGGGCCTTGGCGTAGAGTTCAGAAGAACTTGTTTACATACCACCATCCCGGTAGATCCGAGCAAAGCAACGTTAGCCATGGTACTGACTGTAATCAGTGTTTTTAGGATGTGATCGGCGATAATGTAAAAATCGTGGACTTTGATCTCATGCAGTGCGACTGAAAGGGCATGCGCGGATGACGTTGATTGACCGAGGGATAATACATAATTGCCTCAGGCAGGAAGAACCTCCTCACGTGCTTACAGCCAAATATTAGTAATGCGGGGAAATGCCGAAAGCGGAGATATTCTGCCGTGATCTCCCGCCTCCGATTTTTATCGATAAGAAATTGCGTGATTGCCACTAGCCGGATAGGGCAAGATCCCCTGGGGTTTCTATACGGCGGCGACGGGCTTTTTATTCCCCCCCATTGCCTCCCCTCTTCTCCTCCACTGATTCTCTTCTTGTTTTGTCTTGTTCTTGTCTTCATCTGCGAGCTATTGGGGGTTTGACACCGGTATCCAGACAAGAACTCCTCACAATGGGTGCCTCATCCCCAGCTTTGTCTGCCCTCAGCGGCCCTACCTATGTGACTGCCCAGACGCTCATCCAGCAGGTGGCATACCTCCTCAGCGATAAGATCTTCGCTTACTCTCCTGAGTCATTCGACCTGGATGCTGCTCTCCGTCAGTGGGCTTCCAGCCAGGAGACCAACGCCAATGGCGAATCTCCCGAGTTCAAGTCTTTGGAAACTCGCCAGGGTGCCGGTAACATCGCTCTCGGGTATATCTTCTCTCAAGACTTCGACTTGAAGAAGCGCCACATCCCTCAGGGTATTGTCGCCTCTTCGGCTACCCTCCCCTACATGCGCGCCGCCTTGGAGCAACTATCCCTGCTCTACTCAGTGGCTAGTCCTGTGGCTGCCCATGTTGCTGCCGTCGACTATTCTGGCGAAGAGGGCCTTGTCTCCGACTATGCCACTGCCCTCTCCCTCGCCGAGGAACTTGGTTTGGGCCTGGTGTCCAGCGCCTCTGCCCACGAATCGCAGCACATGGCCCTCCTGACCACGCTGCTTGCCTCTGTTCTGCCTTCCGTTCACATCTATGACGGTGTCCGCGTTGGCCGGGAGCACACTCGTGTCATCGACATCCTCGACCAAGCTGGTCTTGCTCGCACATACGAATCTGTCCGTAAGACACTTGAAGACTCCCGCAGCCGTCATCTCGACAACCAGGGCAAGCTTTTGGAGCTCCTTCAGTCCTTGAACGGTGAGCTCGGAACCGACTATGGTCTTTTCGAGTACCACGGTCATGCCGAGCCCGTCTCCGTTCTGGTGGCTTTCGGTACAATTGAGGCATCCCTCACTGCTCAGATTGCCCGCTCCCTTTCCAAGGACGGTGTGCGTGTCGGTGTCATCAACGTCCGTGTCTACCGCCCCTTTGTCGAAGAAGAGTTCTTGCGCGTGCTGCCCAAGTCCGTCAAGACGGTCGGTGTTCTGGGACAAGTCTCCAACGAGCAGGCTGTTCAGGAACAAGGTGTTCGTTCGGCCCTCTATGAGGACGTCCTTGCTGCCCTCACTTTTGCCACCGACCGTGAGCAGACCCCTACTTGCGTCGACATCAAGTACCCCCGCGCTCAGCGTTGGGACCTGATCAACACCGCCGCCGCGTTCCAGCTTATTCACGAGAAGCCTATTGTTCAGGCCGGTGCTGAGACCGAGCCTCTTCAGCTTCTGGACCCATCCGCTGTCCAGGAGTACTCCTTCTGGGACACTGACAACTCCGCGGGTGGTGATGTCGCAACTGTCCTCTCTCAAGCTTTGGCTGCCGATTCTGCCAGCAATGTTACTACCAGCAAGGCTCACGACAACCTGATCCAGGGTGGAGTTGTCCGCGTCGATATCCGCAAGAGTTCCAAGATTTTGGATGCTCCTTATGCCGTCACTGCCGCTGACACCACCTACGTCGGCGACATCAAATTGTTGGGAGATATCGACGTGGTTGCCTCCGTCAAGACCGGCGGCAAGATCATTGTCAACGCACCTGGCGCTAAGGATGACGAGCTGGAGAAGAAGTTGCCTGTGTCTTTCAGACAAGCGATTGCCGAGCGCGGAGTCTCCCTTTACTTCGTTGATCCTTCCGCTGCCGGAGAGTCTGTCGCCGAGTCCGCTGTTCTTCAGGTCGCCTTCTTACGTGTGGCCCTGCCCTCTCAAGAGTCGGTTGGCATCAAGAAGCTGGCCTCAATCGTCGACAATGCCAATGCTTTGGAGACTGTCAGCAAGGACCTCGAGAAGGTCCTTCGCCAGATCGAAGTTCCTGAGTCCTGGATGACCCCCGAGGAGGGATCTCAGGTTCCTCAGTTGCCCAAGGACATCTCTCCCAACAGCTTCGCTGCATTCGACAAGGAGGAGAGCGAGCCTGCTTCCTACCTCAAGAACTGGGAGGCCGCCGCCAAGGGCCTGGCCTTCAAGGAGGCCTACGGTACCCAGACTGTTCTCCGTCCTGACCTTGCTACCAAGACGTTCACCGTTCATGTCAAGGAGAACAGACGGCTGACTCCCGTGACTTATGACCGTAACATTTTCCACATCGAGTTCGATCTTGGCGATTCTGGCCTCAAGTACGACATTGGCGAGGCACTTGGCGTCCACGCCGAGAACGACGCCAACGATGTTCTGGAGTTCATCCAGTTTTACGGTCTCAACGCCGATGACATCGTTGAGGTGCCCAGCCGTGAAGACCCCGCCGTTCTCGAGAACCGCACCGTCTACCAGGCGCTGGTCCAGAACCTTGACATCTTCGGTCGCCCTCCCAAGCGCTTCTACGAAGCCCTTGCCGAATTCGCCAGCGATGAGAAGGAGAAGATCGACCTCCGCACCCTCGGTGGCCCCGAAGGAGCTGTCGAGTTCAAGCGCCGCGCCGAGGTCGACACTGTCAGCTTTGCCGACATTCTCCTGGAATACCCCTCGGCCCACCCTGACTTCCACGACCTGATCCGCATCGTCGGCCCCATGAAGCGTCGCGAGTACTCGATCGCCTCGTGCCAGAAGGTGACCCCCACCACCGTGGCTCTTATGATCGTCGCCGTGACCTGGACCGACCCGCGTGGCCGGGACCGCTTCGGCCAGGCGACTCGCTATCTGAGCCGCCTGCAGCCTGGCACGCCTGTCACCGTCAGCGTCAAGTCCAGTGTGATGAAGCTGCCGCCCAAGTCCACGCAGCCGCTGATCATGGCCGGTCTGGGAACCGGTCTTGCGCCCTTCCGTGCCTTTGTCCAGCACCGCGCTCTCGAGAAGGCCCAAGGCAAGGAGATCGGTGCTGTCCTGCTGTACATGGGCTCCCGCCACCAGCGCGAGGAGTACTGCTACGGTGAGGAGTGGGAGGCCTACCAGGCGGCCGGGGTCATCACCGTCCTCGGTCGCGCCTTCTCTCGCGACCAGCCCGAGAAGATCTACATCCAGGACCGCATGCGCCAGACCCTGCCCGAGATCGTCCAGGCCTACATCCGCGAGGAGGGTGCCTTTTACCTGTGCGGTCCCACGTGGCCCGTGCCCGACGTTACCGCCGTCCTCGAGGAAGCCATCGCCATCGAGGCGAAGAACCAGGGCAAGAAGGTCGAGCCCCACAAGGAGATCGAGAAGCTCAAGGACGAGGAACGGTACGTCCTCGAAGTGTACTAGATTTCTGTTGACGATAGGTAATGGTTGGCGGAGAGGGGGGATTGTAAAAAGGATGATGCGCTGTCTTGTACATTTTCAATCACACACGAGGGTCACCTGATGACACGGCCGGCCCCTCCTGTTTGAGTTTAGCGCTTCCGTTGTATTTAGAACATCCAATAGTATTTAGTTTGGATAGACTTGCCGACTTCCAGTAGAAGGCAATTAATACTTTATTTACTTCTTCTGCATCATGCTGTCAAAGTGTAAATGCCAGATTATAGCCATCATTGTTTATCAGCAGCACCGCTGGTCGTCTCCTCTCAGACGTGAGGCAGTCGACCTTGGAGCTTTTGCCAGCCAGACAGACGTTTGAACGACATCAGTAACCCCCCAGCAGTCCCGAGTCAACAAGCAGTAAACTCGCGATACGTACCTTCTGCCTTAACCCACAGGGATATCGACAAGGATGGGGACCTGTGGTACAGTTTTCGGCAAGGGATTCGGCTAGTTTGATGGCTGTTTTGCGGGCTTTGGGGGGGGGGAGGAGTTATTAGGGTTTTAGCTTGAATTTCCCTGAGGGTTGGTGTTTGCTTGGGGGCTGTATTGAGGCGTGTAGATTGGGGCTTAATTATGGTTGGTTTATTACCTTATTTTATCGAGGGCCGTGAATTTGCGTTGTATGATATATGTTAGATAAGTAAGGTAGGGGCTATAGCTCGTCTGGTATTGAAATACCTTGCAATCATATATTACTGCCCACAACTTGATCTGGTAGTTATTGCTGGGATGCAAGTGATGGTTTCAATCGCTTCCACTGTGGTGCCCGCCCCTTGGCCATTCCAGGCTTTCTCCTAGTTGGTGAAGCTGGGATCTGGATGGTGATGAGCCGGTCGCCCTCATACCAAGCACTCCTGGGTACTTGATACCCGGCGCATGCTACGATCATTGCCTTGATTGCTTTGCTCGTATAACGATGCTGAATAATCTCTGATAAGACGGCCACCAATTTCTCTGTACCATTTGTGCCCGTTCCCTCTGCGACAAGGAAGCAACCATCTACTTGCGCGAGAGCAGTCGAAAACAGCTCCCAAAGTGCCTCCTCGCGGTCACTGGTATCGTTTCTGTCTGGTAGAATGTCGATGGATTGAGGAATGGCACCAGCGCGGAAGCATTGGCTGATTAAAGACTCCAATATACTGACGATGTTGGTTTGTGGGTGGACTGGAGTCGAACAGAGGCCATGGATCACGGTATACGGGGTGGTCGACCGAAGAAAGTTCGTCAGTTCCATAGCCAGATCTACGGCCCGGGGGTGCGCAATTGCGCTTGCCGTTTGGCAGACCAGGAGTGTGGAGCCAGATGCGGCTCCTGCCCATACTTGCAAGGAATGCAGAATCGTGGGCAAGTTTTTAGGCCACGGGTTCCAGAACTGGCGTCGTCTTGCCAGAGCGTGCCGCATGATAGATTCTGACTCCGGTGGTGTGATTCGTCCCCAATGCTCGGTGATTTGAAATTTCACCTTCTGTGCCAGGCAATGGCCTGTCGAGGATGCTGCTGCAGCAAGAGCAGTCAGCGATATCGATGGCGGCTTGTCCGTACCTGATAGACAGTATTGTGCGGGAATGCTGTTTAAAAGGATACGCGGAGATTTGACATTGCTAAGACCCTTAAAGTAAGACAGGAGAACTTTAGCGTATGCTGCAGCAGCGGCAGCGGCGTACTCCTGCCATATCTTATTCTTGTGAGCATCTGCATAGTCGCAGATGCCGCGAATAACCAGACAAGGAATCGTGTTCATCACCCCGGCTGCCTCCATCTCCAAGCAGAGAATATGATAACGTTCTCCCAATTGATCACGAATCCTTGAGCTCTTGACGACCTGATTACCTGATCCGATAATTCCGTAGAAGATTCGGGGATAGTCAGAGCGACGCTCTGAGCGTTCAGCCAGCGGGCAGTCATACCCCCCGGAACCCTTATCGTAGGATACCTCGTGTATGGTGTCTGACTGATGCAGAACGTCATTCTCGAGTCCAGGACTATGATACGAGGAATTTCGCGTCGCAACTTGTTGCATAAAGACTCGAAGAAAATCTGGAGGAAGAGTATCATCGGATGTGAGATTGATGATTGCTTCCGTCAGAACGCGCGGCGGCCGAGTCAATAACCCAGTTGCTTTGAAGGTGTCATCCGCCGTGGCCTTCCCCAAATCATACTGAATCACACCGGGGTGTGTATCCGTAGGTAGACTGACGACCACGTCCCCCAAGCGAACATCGTTCTCTGGAGAGGGAACGCCACCCCCTCTACCTATCAGTAGACAAAACTGAAGAGCAGGAAAGCTGCGGCTCATATTTGTTGCAACATCGGCTGCAGAGTTCGTGCCATATTCGCCTTGTGGGAGACAAGCGGCGACGACATCATGGTGGCCGATCCGTCCAAAGACATAGCTATTCGTGTCGTGAGGATCGAGGCCGACCGGGTCTTGATGTCGGTGGTCGAACAGTGCTCGTACGGCGTAGAGCTCTTTTGGCAATGCAGAGACCAGTCCAACGGTGTATCTTTCCTGACACATAGCCACCTGTAGCACTAGGAAGGGAAGGAAACCTCGCTTGTATGACAGGACCTTTGACGTGTTCACCTGATTGATGCTCCTCCCTGCAGGTTAGACGGAGTTCGTTCGCAAGGCTAGCCGGAGCCTTGCGCCCCTCCTGCACAGTTCCATCCCCACACCTGGTTTAGAAAAGATGAGCTTATCAGGCTTTTTCCGTCAGTCCTTCGAAGAGTCTCAACCAGGTCAGAACCCGATTTGTGCATTGTTCACTGAACCGCGCCAGACGAGCTTCTCAAACGACGATTTGAGCATTCTCACGGGGAGACCAGGAACCGAGGCAGGCATCTAAACCAACTGCCATGAAGCGACAGATCAACACCCTCGACTCTTCCAATCAACCAGACATTGTAATAAAGAGGCGAGAACGAGGAGAAGACTCGAAGGATATTCTCACCAGCACACAGTCAAAACCAGAACTGGAAGTGCATAGCCATGAAGCCGTCAATCAGCGTATAAGGGAAGCGAACTCTCAAATTGAGGCCCAGGACGCGCTCAAGCAATGGTCGAACCCACAAAAGTGGTGCGTGATCCATCGGGTACACTGTAAGAAAGAGGCCGATTCTTCTGGAGGAGATATCGAGGCCTTCCATTATCTGGACCCACCAAGATGGTATGCTGGTATTACAGAACACGAGTTACTGGCAGGCATCAAGCCCATTGTTGATGTGAGATCATACCTCGAGCAAAACCCGGATCTCTATTTCATTGTTTTCCGGGACTATGGCAGGAATAAGCCCGACGGAAGCCACTTTTCCACAGTAGGCGAACTGCATCCGCGTCCGTCCGAGGATGGTTATCCCTTGCCGTGTATGGAGTCGGCATTGCTTGTCCATCCAGTTCTCGTTGAGGTTATGAATCGCTTCTTGCAGGCACTTCCGCCAAACAATGGAATTTCGTTTAGTTTAGGGAAATCATGGCCTCGAGAGCTACAGGCACCATACCTGGAAATTTATCATCACTGGCAGAAGTTTTGTTCTACGGCAGAGTCGCTTCCTGAGCGCATAAGAGGTCCGTGGACGACATTTGTGGATTATGTGCGAGCGGCCTTCCACCCAGAATATGCGCAGGTACAGACCTAGATTGAGCAAGGCGTGGTGTGTCCCAGATTTCTCAAGTATCTTATCAAACCCGGAGACATCCTTCATTGCCCAGGTCACGAGATAGTCGAGGCCGTCCAAGCGCGAACGGCACTGTTTGAGTCAGAAGATCACCTATTTAAGAAAATTCTTTCTTTGCAGTATGATGAGACCGAGACCGAGAGTGGTGCATTGTATCCAAACCGGCGGCGACAGTGTCAACGACTATCGTGGTTCATTGAGATCTCGTACTGGTCACTTGGTACATCTTTCCATTGTAAGCACCAAGTTCAGCGACTAACCACTGGAGGCGATATTGAAGAAACGGTTCCCATTGTCTCCCTGGATTTTTACCCTCTGCGGTTCGCAGGCCCGAGTATCGAGAAGAGACTCCTTGACCGGGGAACTTCCTTCTGGAAATTTTGCCAGGATAAATACTATGTGGAGTATTCCGATGACTTCAAGGTCCACGCATGGAGCAACATCAGACCGAGATATATGATTGATCATTTCGCCTACCACCGAATGCATGAGAGTCAACCGGAAGATGATTCAATGGCGACCAGCAGCCTCACCTCCCATGACCTCTCTCAGGACCTCTCCCAGGACCAATGTCCCGACCATCCTTTTCCTCTACTACTACCCCGAACTGTGAAAGGGTACGGTTTCACTGAAAAGAGATGGGTTGACCTGGAGGTAGATCGAATTAGCGACACGCAGTGGAACACGCAGGTATTCGAGAGCCTAGTTTTAGAAGAGCCGACAAAAGACCTACTCGAGGCACTTCTGAAGAGTCCGCTCAGCCTTGAAGCCTCCACGGATTTAATCCCGGGAAAAGGCGACGGGCTCGTCATTCTACTCCATGGCGGGCCCGGCACAGGGAAGACCTTCACCGCGGAAGGGTTGGCTGACTATGCGCGCAGACCACTTTTACGGATTACATGCGGAGACATTGGCACCAAACCGGTCGATGTGGAGAGATACCTGGAGAAGATGCTGCGGCTGGGTCGTACCTGGGGCTGCGTGATCCTGCTAGACGAGGCAGACGTTTTCCTCAAGGAAAGGACACTTTCTGACCTTGAGCGCAACGCGCTAGTCTCTGTCTTTCTCCGCGTTCTCGAGCATTTTGACGGCATCTTGATTCTGGCCTCAACGCGTGTCGGCCACTTTGACGAAGCATTCCGCTCGCGCATCCGGCTCGCTCTCCACTACCAGAGCCCGGGCCCCGAACAACGCCATCAGATCTGGTCGAATCTCTTCAAGCATCTGCGCACGTTAGAGGACTGTAGTATGGACTTTGACGATCTTGTTCTTCACATCAACGACCTTAGCACGTACGAGATGAACGGACGACAGATCCGTAATGCGATCACGACCGCTCGGCAGCTCGCAGAGTTAAAGAAAAAGAGGCTGAATTACGGCTTCATCAAGAAAGTGATCGCGACGACTGGTCAATTTGATCGATACCTGCAAGGGGTGAAGCAACTGGAATCCCTGCAAGAAGGGACGGTGGACAATACAATTGCCGGAGAGGCAGGTACGAGGTGAATGGTAAGATGCATCAAGAAAGAACGGAGCTCCACTTATTAGCTTTCCGGAACCCTTTTCCGCATCCGCAAGACTAAGCCCATTAAACAAAAGCCGTCATCATCTTTTGTAAATCTATGGGGTATATCTGCTGTATCTTTTCTAGATCTTCTTCTCCCCTGACTATATCGTAGCACCCACCTGCGAAAAATGCGAATCCAGCTTCGTCTAGCCAAAGAGAAGCAAACATCCGTAGACACGAACAATTATCAACATGAAAGACATCGTAATGGAGCATATACACGAAATCAACCAAATACTCCCCTCCCCAAAAAGGCACGCTCATGCCCGACCCATAGCTCCCAGTTTTGTCTTTCCATAAGCTCCACCCTTCTCCTTCCTTAACTCCAAAGCCCGCCGATACGGAGGCGCCGTAGGCGGCTGCACCGGATCGAGGCTGACATGATCCGGAGGCAAAGCGTACGAGGCATCCGAGTCCCACGCGGAGAGATCACCGCAGGCGATAAACCGAGGGATCCAGCGGTTCTCGACGGCGAACTTCTCAGAAAGGGGTTTATAAGCCAACGGTTCCGGAACAGCAGAGGCCAATGACTCGGGGTGGAGCAGCCGCGCGGTGTCATTGAGCGTGGTGTTGGCAGGGGCCGGATGGTTCACCTGCACTGATGTCGCGTGTACACCTGGTGTCTCGTCCGAAACCTCGACGGCTACGTTACCGGCAGCCGTAGGAGCCGTAACCGCTACACCGCCGAAGACGGGGTTCTTGAGCGCCTCCATACCCTTTAGTCCGTCGTGGATGGACGGGGGGATGAAGCCCTCGCAAACCACAAAGGCTTCCAAACTGCTCGCGCGACTACTCCGTGGCTTGGCCACGCTGACCTTCTCGAACACGGTGCGGAGCTGGGCGTAGAGGAGATCGACGTCCCGGCCGCGAAAGATCTTGGCGACAAATTTGCCGCCGGGGCGGAGGACGCCGAGGGCGAGGTTGAGAGCGGAGTATAGGAGTTGTGATTGGATGTAGATGTCCAGGTCGTGGAGGCCGGTCACGTCGGGAGCGCCGTCGGAGATGACTAGGTCGACGGGATGAGGGGGTCGGAGAGCGGTCGGGGTGGGAGACGTAGAAGAGGAGGTTGTGTTCGAAGAGTCGGTGGTTGTGGATTCGTAGGCTTCGGGGTCCAGGGCCCGGAGGAGGAGAGGGATGGTGGAGGGGTGAGTGATGTCGGCTTTGAGGGTCGTGATGCCCTCCAAGGGAGCCATCGGCTGCAGATCGATAGAGACAATCTTGACGTTTTTGCGCGGCTTCAATTCTTCATTTGTTGTCGTTCCATCGTCATTCGCGGCTTGCGACTCGCTGCTGCTATCGTTCTGAATCCGCTCCAGGGCTTCCTTCTCCCGGCGCTTCTTCTCGACCCAAGCGCGGCGCCCGAAGCTCTCACCCTTGATCAACACCCGACTCAACACTTGACTCCAACTGCCGGGGGCGGCGCACAGATCGACGACGCGGGTCACTTTCTCCGGGTTCTCGTGCTCGAATAGGTCGAACTGCTCGTCGATCTGGATCAACTTGAAGGCGGAGCGGGCGCGCCAATTCTGCTCCTTGGCCAGGCGGTAGTAAGCATCGCGCTTATCCTTGGAAGATTTACCCATGCTGACAGATAAGGGAAGGCCGGGTAATGCAATTGAGGTGAGGTGGGAAGTGTCAAGCCAGCGCCGGCAATGGAGGGGAAATCGGCGGAATTTCTTTCGGTCGTCTCTCGCATGTGGGGCGGCGATAAGATTCCCAAGGCGGCCGTTTTCTGCCGCTTTTTTTTCTTTCCGCAGGTTTCGCAGGCCACGCTCCCTTTATCACTTTCTCCATTGTCGTGGCTTTCCGGTGTTCGCTGAGGTCACTTGTTGTCTGATAAATAGCGTCGCCGCGATTAATCATGGGTCAGAAACGGCAACGCGATGCCAAGGGCGCGGATGCCCAGGCGAAGAAGCAGAAGAAGAACGCCAATGCGGACGCCGACAGCGGTGTTGTCACCGTGAATGACCTCAACTGGAAGGAGGTCGCGCTACCCGACCGGATGGAGGATGCCGGAGGATTCTTCGGCTTGGAGGAAATCGACGGTGTGGAGGTCGTCAAGGGAAGCGGTGAGATCAGATTCAAGGTATATTCCCGAGCTGGCGTTCATAGCTCAGAAAGAAACTGACCTTGGCAGGCTGCGGCTGGCAAACCGGGCAAGTCGATTCTGAAGAAAAAGACCGCAGAGGAGCAAGAGGAAGAAGCCAAGTTCGACGACGAGTGGGCCGGGTTCAGCGATAACGAGACCACGGACAAGCCCGAGCCCCCAACTACGGACGAGCCGAACGGCGAACAAGACGAGACCGCGGCCCCAGCGAAGGACAAAAAGCAGGAAATCAAGGACAAGAGAAAAGAGAAGAGAGACAAGAAGCGTCAGGAGGCCAAAGAAGCAAGGAAGCAGAAGGCCGAGCCGAAACAAAAGGGTACCCCGAATCAAGAGGACAAAAGCATCAAGTCCGGTCTCTCCTTTGCAGCTCTCGAGGATGAGGAAGACGATAATGGTGTTGATATCTCTGAATGGGAGACTTTGGGGCTTTCTCCGGAGGTGCTCACCGGTCTTTCCAAGATGAATTTCTCTACGCCCACTCTGGTTCAGAAGTCCTGCATTCCTCCGATTCTGGACGGTCATGACGTGGTAGGAAAGGCATCGACGGGTTCCGGAAAGACCTTGGCTTTTGGTATCCCGATTCTTGAGCACTATCTAGAGAACAAGCGCACGCAACTACGCAATGGCAGCCAAAAGAAGAAGGAAGACACGGATCCTATCGCTCTTATCCTTTCGCCCACTCGCGAACTCGCCCATCAGTTGGCAAAGCATATTGGTGATTTGATTCAGCAAGCACCGGGTGCCAATGCGCGTATCGCCCTCCTTACCGGAGGTCTGTCTTTGCAGAAACAGCAGCGCGTATTGACCGGTGCAGATATCGTCATCGGTACGCCTGGTCGAGTATGGGAGGTTATGAGCACGGGCCAGGGCATGATCCGCAAGATGCAGCGTATCAAGTTCCTTGTGATTGACGAGGCTGACAGACTGCTCAGTGAAGGTCATTTCAAGGAAGCGAACGAGATTATCACTACTCTTGACCGCGTGGTGGATGGAGACTTCGACACCGAAGAGAAAGAAGAGAAGGGAGAAGACAAGATGGAGAGACAGACCCTGGTGTTCTCCGCAACTTTCCATCGGGATCTGCAACAGAAACTTGCTGGTAAAGGACGTTGGTCAGGAGGCGATATTATGGACAAGAAGGAGTCCATGGAATATCTTCTGCAGAAGCTGAACTTCCGGGAAGAGAAGCCCAAGTTCATTGATGTGAACCCTGTCTCGCAGATGGCAGAAGGCCTTAAGGAAGGAATTGTTGAATGCGCGGCGATGGAAAAGGTAAGAATGAATGACAATATCATGTATGAATTCCGCTAACTTGAGGATTCAGGACCTCTTCCTCTACACGCTACTTCTCTACCACCCCAAGCACCGCACCCTGGTCTTTACCAATTCCATCTCGGCTGTTCGTCGTCTCACACAGTTCCTTCAGAATCTCCAACTCCCCGCTCTGGCCCTTCACTCCTCGATGGCGCAAAAGGCACGTCTGCGTTCCGTGGAACGCTTCTCGTCTCCCACCTCCGACCCCAGCTCGATCCTAGTAGCCACCGACGTTGCCGCGCGTGGTCTCGATATCAAGGGAATCGACTTCGTCATCCACTACCATGCTCCCCGCGCCGCCGACACTTACGTACACCGTTCCGGACGTACGGCTCGTGCCGGTGCCTCTGGAAAGAGTGTTCTCATCTGTTCACCCGAGGAGATGCAGGGTGTCATCCGTCTGGCGGCCAAGGTGCACGCCAACATGGCAAATGGCAAGAAGGTGCCTCTCGAATCTCTAGAGCTAGATCGCCGGGTTGTCGGCCGTGTCAAGCCTCGAGTCAAGCTGGCAGCTAAAATCGCGGACTCCACCATTGCCAAAGAGAAGATCTCCGCCGAGGACAACTGGCTACGGAACGCCGCAGAAGACCTAGGCGTTGAATACGATAGTGAGGAATTCGACGAGTCTGCGGGTCGGGGTCGGGGCCGTGGTCGCGGCCGTCAGGAACGGCAGCGCAAGGCTGGAGAGGTCAGCAAGGGTGAGATGGCGAGCATGAGGGCGGAGCTGAGGGAGTTGCTGTCGCAGCGCGTGAACGTGGGAGTGAGTGAGCGGTATCTCACGTCGGGACGGGTCGATGTCGAGGCCTTGCTGCGTGGCGAGGGCAATAGTTCGTTCTTGGGGCAGGTGGATGCGCTGCAGTTCTGATCAAGGTCAAAATCATAATGTATATAGACATGTACAGTTTCGTCATATACAGGTGCTGGCTATGCTCTCGTTTATATTATCCCTTACACTGGTCTTTGAAACATCCTTGGATGTTCTTCTGCTTGAAATAGAGAGCCGTTCACCACGTAAGAGAATAGCTATGGAATGGAGAAGAAGACACGAATTCACTGGAATATGCCTCGCTTATTGAATAAAGAGTGTTTAATGTCAAAACATAGTCTATTAGATTTTGGGGACCTCAATTGTCTCCAACTCGTCTCCATCTCCACAGTTATCGATAATCACCATTCAATTTGATTGAAGGTTGATAAGACATAATGGCATGAATAGAAATGAAATATCAGCAGTTCAGCTGGATTGAGCTTGAAGTCGATAGTGGAGACCTGACTTGGTAGCTAGTAGTTGGATATCCTGTAAGCTGAACGGTCAGCCGTGGCCAAAGGGCGGGCCATTGTACAGTACATGCAGTACAGAATGGCTGCTTCCACTATCGACAAGCCAGGGTCTTCATCTCTTCTGGCACTTCATCTAACCACAAACTCATCTACCTTCATGAGAACTGGTTAAAGAAGCTGTCTTGCCGCGAGCTGAGTCCAGCCTCAGCGCAACGCCGTGGCGGACTGACTTGCAAAGTGTCACGTTTCTTAGCAAGTAGCTTCAGGGCGTTGCAGACTCGCACCAGAGGCAGCCGCTTTTCAGTTACGTGCGGAACGCGCGGCATTCGATGATGTGGAGGTTGGTTCATGCAGCGTTCGGCTGGATACAGATGCAGTTTCTGTCGCCTAAATACAGCCGTCGCACCGGCCACTATGGCCGCAGCATAGAGAATCGCTCCCATATCCTCTTTGAGGTCATCAATGGGATACGCGCCGCGTGCCGCAGCGACTTCCAGATCGGCCTGCGAGTCTCAATGGAGCGGTACGGATACGGCGTGTCCCTGGTGGAGATGCGCGAGGTTGTAGCTCGGGCGCTCCGCTCCGTGAGCAGTCCATTGACTATCTTGACCTCGCTGTCTGGGATTATCGGAAGCCGGCGGCGGAAGAGCCGTATTTCGGCCGTTCCCTGCTAAGCGTCTTCACAGAACTACCGCGTGGGGAAGTGCGTGTCGGTACGTCCGGACATATCATGGTTGCGCAGCAGGCAGCGGATGCGTTGGATGCCGGCTGTGACTTTGTGATGATTGGCAAGGCGGCTATTCTTGACCCAGACTTGCCTCGCCATGTTGAGATGAATCATTCGTATCGTGCGCCGGCGTTACCGGTGACGAGTCAAGACTTGAGGGGCTCTGGACTAAGTAGACGACTTATCGATTACATGAGAACTCGGGAAGGCTTCGTTTTGGTTGCTTGAAGAGATGGTGGCATGAAAGTCCGAGGTCATTATTGTCATTATGTACTTGGATGCCGCGTTCGTGGAGAGCGAGCATATAGATTATGTCTGTACCTCGAATTCTTGGGATGTTCATTCTTTTTCGTTGATTCGTTGGCGTGTTAAATTGGTGCATAAGACATGGGATAGAGCAGCTATGTGGGTGGATATCGCGGATTGATTGCATATATCATGAGAGATAATCCCAGATTTAGTTATGGTAGATCTTGAGGAGTAAGCAATCGATTAAGTCCTGAGTGAGCGTTGACGAACTTCGCCGATTCACCCTTTCGATAATGAATTGAGCATGTCTATGTACATCACTGTACTCCTCGCCTTTATCCTGTCAGGAATGGTCTTACTGATAGTGCTACAACACTTTGAAATGGTCTAGTCGTGTCCATGGTTCTTTCTCGACATAATCAAAGCTGAAGTAGGCTAAGCATCTCACAACAAAGGCAGCGCCAACAATCTTGATAAATAATCCTTCAAGATTGAACCTGGAGGAGATTCAGAAGGCCAAGGCCATGCTGGATGTGCATGGGCTTTGAGTCGGCCGGATCTGCTGCGGTGATACGCGGGAGAAGAAGCAGGTGCATGTTGAAAATGGGGAACGGCTGCGTTGTTGTAGTGTGTTTGAATTGTGATAGTATGAATAGTGAAGTTAGAGATGTATTCTCAAATCTCGAATGACACGGTCCTATTGTACTCCATCTTCATAAGCAGATTTGCTGATCAGTGATAGACACTTGTTAACTCAAATCTTACCATAATACGTCAGTCAGTCAGCCGCCGCTGAAGAACATTCATTCACCTCATCTACTTCTCCGCCCACTTGCGATGCCGAACCGAGACCCGCCTCACTCGGAATTCGGGCCAGATGTGGATCTCCCCTGCAAGGTTCATTGGCGGTTTCCACCCGCAGCATCGGGTCGATTCCACGTGGGCTTACCGAGATGGGAAGCAAGATCCACTCCGATGAACCGGTTGGGATGGAGGCTTTTTCTTCCTTTTTTCTTTCCGCAAGATAGATCTTCACAAGCTATACACCACGAGAAGACGGACGTGTCTGGAAGGTACGTACAGCCTAGCTCAGCCCAGCGCATCGCATCGCCATCGCACGATACAGATCAGCATATCCTCAACTCACTCCTTATCCCCCATTCTCGCAATCAGATAAGAAAGACCGAACAGCAAAACCAGAGTCATCGCAGTTAAACTGCTACCAGAGTCAACCCACGAATACACCTTACACTCGTCCCCAAAACACACATACGCCCGTCAAACCACTTCAAAAGCAAAGCACAGCGCACCACCACCGATCGATCAAAATGTCCCACCTCCCGCGCCTCAGACCCCTAACCCGGCTCCTATCCCAGCCCCGAGGCTACAACAACCTCCCATCCCTCCCAACCCTCGCAACCCAGACTCAGATCCAAAAACAAACACAAAGCCGGCCCCTCCGCACCGCACCCTCAACTTCGGCTTCCGCAACAGCAACAGCAACAGCAACAGCAACGACCCCGGAACATGCACCCGCATACCACCACCTCCCTCCAACCCACAACCACGGCCACAGCCACGGCCACAACCACCCCCAATCCCCAGACCAACAAGCAGAAGCAGAAGCAAAAATCGCAAAAGCCCTCGAAACCCACCCGCTAACACAACGCCTCCGCGCCTCAAAAACCTACACAGAGACCCGCCCCCACCTCTCGATGCACCAGACGCACCGCGCAAACCACTTCGTAGCGGGTACCCTGTCGGGCGCGAACAAGGTGACCGTGCCGCCGTACGTGTTCACGCGGATGAAGTGCGGTAGCAGCCCTACTTCCCAATTCTCATCCCAGACCACAACTCAGACCACCGGCGCAAGCCAAACCCAAGGCCAAGCGGAGACAATCTCCCTCTTCCACCTAGGCAGCACGCTCAACGGACACCCGGGGTACGTGCACGGCGGCCTACTGACTGTGATGTTCGATGAGACGTTCGCGCGGTGCGTGGCGGGCTCGTTTGGGAGCGGGGTGGGGATGACGGCGAATCTGAGTGTGGATTTCCGGGCACCGGCGCGGCCGGATTCCGTTTATGTGCTGCGGGCGGAGACGGTGCGGGTTGAGGGGCGGAAGGCTTGGGTGCAGGGGTCTTTGAGGGTTCTGTCTCCTTCACAGAAGAAGGAAGGGCAAGGGGAGATGGAGGAGGAGGAGGGCACCTTGGTGGCGGAGGCGAGGGCGTTGTTTGTTGAGCCTAAGTTTGCGCAGGTAAGCATTCCCCTTCGGAGTTGGTTTGTGTAGGCGTTGGAGGTTGGGACTGGGAGCTTGAAGAAAGATGGCTAACTTCTCACCTAGTCAATGGTGCCGTTGTATCGGAATTGAAGACCCCCTTCTGGGAGTGGTTGCTGAAGACCACTCATGGTTGATAGAGTTGGTGCAATACCCACCAACGAGTGCGATAATACCCGGCGTTATCTTATACTCAGAATAGATATAGACATAGACTACACAGATAGACATAGATCTCAACATATTGAACCCATTGTAGCAACTGACTACACACCTGCTTATCATCACAATCGGCATATTTGCATTTCTATCTAAATCGGACCAATACGGAGCATTACCTCCAGGCAACTCCTTTTCCCGTCAAAATACACATGCGAAGTCACTCGGACCCAGAAATGCTCACTGAGAAAAGAAAGAATAGAACACATGCAGTTGGTCCGGGTCATTTTCCATCAACAAACCAATCCCTGCTGTATCGAACAATACGCTAGCTTTTGAGCCTCACGTAACGCTAGCACCCGCCTATGAGAGGTGGAAAGCGCCCTGACCTTCCTTGATGGCAACAGACAGCCGCTCGCGAAGCCTGTCCAGACTGCTGTAGTCGGGAAGCTTCAGGTAGTTGACACAGGTCATGACGCTGGGCAGGTAGTCGTCGGGAGTGTACGGCGGTTCGCTGGGCCGGCAGACCACGGTAAAGATCGGTGTGAGACTCTTGAAGCCTATAAAGTACATACACGTTAGCAGTGGATCAGCATAACCAGTCAGTGAGATCTCTTACCACCAATCGGCAGTTTGGGGCTGCCCGTCACAAACTGCAAGAAGTCACGTCGTTGTTGCGGGTTCAGCTCGCTCATCGTCTGCAGCAGGTTTCGCACGCTCCGACTATCCATGTTGAAGCCATGGTCGGCTTTGATCGAGTCCATCAGAGCTAGAATCAGGGTTAGCAAGCCGCTTCGACAGTATGTTGGCGATAACCTACTCTCAATAGTCCAATCCTCCTCGGCGCGGCCGAATAGCATGACCAGTTCCTTGGGGGTGAATGTCCGCAGAGCCGAGTAAGGGAAGACCTGGGAGAAACCAGCTCGGAAGGCCTCGACTTGACGTTGAACACCACTGCCCAAGGTCATATCCACCACCCGGTCCACGTACTGATCCACATTGTCAATCAACACCGGGATGTTAGAGCCATCCTTAATCAGCTCAATGGCCGGATAGCCTGGCAGGGTGAAATCCAGGCTTAGATCTTCAACGTTGACCCCGCCAATCTCAACCGCTTGGAGAGCCTGGGATTTCTGAGCGGCCGACAATCCCCTGTCTTCCTCGATCGCCTTCTTCGCATTGGCAAAGCGCTTCAGAAACAACAGAGAATTGGCCAGATCCTGGTCGACGGCCTTCACAGTCCCAAGCGACGGCGCGACGGAAGACGAGCTATCGGCGATACGGAAGAAGGCAGGGTTGAACGAGATGTCGATGATTCGAGAGTCGAGCATTGAACGGGCAACAAACTTTCCGAGGATCTTGAACAGGTGCAGCTGTTTCTTGCCGGCTTCCGACGCGGCTTGGGCCTCACTCATGGGTGCGGGGAACAGGCCGCGCTGGCCAAAGGCGTACTCTTCGCCGCTAAGGCAGTCATTCTCCCTCCAGATCTTGAGCTTCTTCTTCGAGAATTCCTTCGACACCGTGGAGTAGAACTCGAGCGTAGGGCCCAAGCCGGTGCCGACTTCCTCGAAGTATTCGACCTCCAATACGCTAGGCGACGACCCGTAGAGCTCCATCACCTTCATGGCGGACTCCAGAATACGGGTTCTGGAGATTCTCACCTTTTGCCGCTGCAATCGTCCGAGGATGGGCCGATCATCGCGTCGGCTATCATTGCGGTTATCGTCTCCATTTTGTGAGTTGTGCCACCTCATCATCGCGCGCGAATAGCCAAATGCGGTGGATTGGAGGAACAAGTGCCGCGTCTCAAACGGAAACAGGAAAGGGAAGAGACGAGCAAGGTCTTCGCTCCAGGTCGGCAGGCAGCTGCTCGCCACGATGAGGGGCTCTTCCAATTGACGGTTGAGCTTAGCGGTCAGCTTAGTGTTAATGAATTGCGCCAGCGGCTCAGGCTTCAGCGCAACCAGCTCTTTAGTTTCTGCAACGATATCATCAAGAGTGGCATTCATCTCATGCAAGACACGCAGCAGCTGAAGGATTCTCGCTGTCGTGGGGCCTTGGCTGAGAGAGGCCGGCATCTCCTCACCCTCCGCTTGACCAGCGGCGCTAGACCCTCCCTGGGCAATGGTGGAGGGCTCTGGAGGTGGAGGACCTGGAACTCGTCGAAACTTGACTGTATGGATCGCTGACCAAACGTTCTTTACGCTCGGATCGACCTGTTGACGATTGTGATGCACTGCACGGTATATGGTAGTATCGCTAGACACAGGGTGATCATCAATGCTAAACTCGATGTGCCAGTCGGTAGGAGTCGAGGCCATGGCAGCTGCATATGAAGAAAATGGCCGGCCTGCTGTGGCCAAGGAGCTGCCAGACGAAGGATTCGGAGCGGGTCCTGGCGCCGACGTTGATGATTTGGAAGCTGGTGTTTGCGATGGTGTGGCCACGCGGGTGCCGTCTTCTTTGCGAGCCGTGACCTTGCCGGAAGATGCAACCTCCATGTTGACTGCAGTAGGGTCATGAGCATTGTCGTCAGAAAGGTCTTCATCAAGATCGTCCACGATGGCGTTCAACTCTTCGTCGTCACCATCATCTTCATGGTCTTCGTCGTCGCTCATTTGTCGTTCGTCTGCGCATTCGAGTGGCTCATTGTCATGCTCGCTTTCGGCAGCGGCCTCCGGACGTCCGAACCGTCTAGACCTCGACTCGGACTCAGTCGCACCCGTGAGGGTTTCTCGGGGGCGAGATGTGTTACTCGTACCAGTCGACGTTCGGGGCAGCTGGGGGCTATCGCTGCTGGCGTTATCTCCACTAGCCAGATGCTCACGAAGCCGGGCTGCATTCGCATTGGCAAGCTGCGCAAGGATCGATTCGTGGTTACGAGACAGTCTTGGTCGATCGGTCAAGCTGATTCTCGGATGCAAAAAGTCATCCAAGGCTTTGAAGGTTGCAATGGCATGGATCGACACCATGATGTTGCGGTAGGTTCGAGGTATGTCCGAGTCATCATCTGCTACAAGCTTCAATCGAAGCTGCTTCCCAAGCATGTACGCGGCGTTGCTACGCGTGTTCTCGAGTGAGTTGTGGCTGACGGTGGTGACCTCGAAGTGCTCAGTCCTGCTGAGCAAATCCTGCAATTTTTGAATGAGCACACTGAAGGGGGTGGTTGCGGTACTCTGGCTCTGAGCCTTCTCTGAAATGGTCGACCCCATGAAGGCTTGCAGAAAAGCGGCGCGGGCCTCGCGCATGGATGAGGCTGAATACAGTAAGCACAGATCAGCAGGCAAGGGGCAAGTCGCTTACATTGAAAATCCCCGAAAACACCTAGGAGCACCTGGATGATACCAGAGTTCAGCAATTCGGAACTGGTGATACTCTCCAATGCATCGCCGTCGAAGTACGTCGCCAGTTTTTTGAATAAGGAGAGGCCTTCATCATCACCGTCGCCCGAATAGCAGGCCTCGATATCCGAAGCGAGGCTCTGCAGTTCTTTGAGGATCTCTAGGGCTTTGTCTCGCATATCTTTGCCCTGGCTAGCTTCGTACTGGCTGACAAATCCCTGGGCGTTGTGGGTAACGAGATCTTTCAAGGCATTGGCGATCTTAGTAGCGACAAGTTGGCCAGAAGCAGAAGACGAGGTTTCAGACATGTCGTCATTATCATCCTCGTCATCCTGCTCATCATAGTCGTCTTCGCCTTCGTCGTCATCTTGTCCATCCTCATCATCTGAGCCTACAACAGAAGCATCCTTGGCGGGGACTGCCGCGGCGGGTTTCTCCTCCTTAGATGCGTCCTGCGTAGTTGAGGCGCCGCCACTTTGCTTCTCCTGCTTGTTCGTGGACAATGGCTCCTGGGCAAGCTTGAAAATTTCCGAGATAACGCCTTCGCGGTGGAATTGATGCCGATAGACGTGTTCCAGTCGTATGAAAAGAAGTTCTGCGCATCGAATGGCGTGCGACACCAGAGTGGGGTGATCGTTCTGGGAAAGAATAGCTGCCAAGAAAGACGCATACGGCACCGTCTTCAGAGCATCCTCGATGAGCCCGACATCCAGGTTGTGGAGCATCTTGAGTTGGGCTGTAAGAACCTTTTGGCGGACTTCCAGGTTGACAGTGCTAGAGTAAGCATCGGTCAGTGTTGGCAGGAGTATCATAGCGAAGCGCTTCAGTTCCGTCTTGCATCCCAACAACAACTCGCGCCGTTGCTCAGCAGACTCCTGCGCCTTAGGAAGCTTAGATGCGCCGCTGACGCCGATCAACCCTTCTAACTGGGGAACATGCCGACTGGGCACAGTGGGCAAGATTTCACAGATAACATTCAGAGTCTCGAGGACCTGTTCCTTGGGGCGATGGATCAATGCTTGCATGACCAGGACACTGTCCATTCTCACGGCCGTGTCACCCAAATTGGCTGGAGGAGATACACCGGTCAGGATTTGATATAAAGTGTCAACCACGTCCATTTTGAGCAACTCGACAGACAACTTCGGGCTGGCTCTCGACACGATTGCTAGAACACGCAGGAACTGAGTGTGGATATGCGGTCCGATGAGGTTGGTGGTTCCCGGCAAGAGCAGTCGAAGCACAGCTTTCAGCATGGCGGGTTCGATCAGCTCCTCCAGCTTCTCCGGCTTGTGTTTGTAGCTCTCGACAATTCGCGAGACGCATAGACAACCTTGCTCCACCACCTTCTGGTCATTGCTCGAAAGCACATTGAGAAGAATTGGCATTACATCTCGAACCACAGGAAAGGAGTCGTGGGGCAGGTTGCGGCAGCAATTGGCTGCTGTTGTCACAGCCGTACGTTGCGTGCTCGTAGGGAAGAAATCGAGGTAAGTCAAACAAGCTGTCAATCCGCCCTCGCGCACGATGGAAGCCGGGAAGTCGACCGAGATCTTCGCTAGAGTCTAAGGCAATACCTGGTTAGCGCACAATCATCAGAAGGGCGAAACACTACTTACGCTAAGAGCTTGCTCGGCCAGGTCGATGAACTGAATGTCGAGGAGTTTCTGGCACAAGACCGGAACAGCCCCGCCATATACAACATTAGCCACTGAGCCACGCAGGGCCTCCATCAGGTTAGCCAAGCAGCGACATGCAAGCAGCATAATCTCCGGGTTCTCCTCGCCGAAATCGTTCGGTTGCATCAGAGCGACCAACTCCTTCACGTATGGGTCCGGCGAGAACTGACCCGACAGGTTGTCCTCGTTTGAAACCAACAGAAGGTCCGACAGCTCCTGCAGGGCGATGAGCTGGATGGACGGGTCGTCCTTCATCCTCAAATTATTCAGGATGTCGCGCAAGCGCGAAGACATGCCGGACATCATACCGGTCAGGGCCCGCAGGGTGCTCTGAAGACCTAGATGACCTCGAGCCCCGAACAGACTGTTGTGGAAGAGGTCCGCATCGTCGTCATCGTCGTCATCGTCGTCGTCCTCGTCCAGGGCCGATGGAATGGTGCCTTCATGGTCATCACTAATCGGAGGGGATTCGTGTTCTTCTTCCATCTGCTCCTGCTCCTCCAGATCCTCTTCGGCCTCTCTCATGAGAACATCGGAGTCAGTTTTGGGAGAACGCTTCTTCTGCCGGGGGGCCGGAGACTGAGTGGTCGGGGTACGATCTGTGGTAGGGGCAGTGTCAGTCCTCGTTCTTCGCTCTTGCTCACTACCAGCTCCGCCCTTACCCTCTGATCTTCCGCTCTTATTAGACTTTCGTCGGGATGGAGGCGAGACGTGAGCCTTTGACGATTCCTCCGTGGGTCGCGAGGATGAACTACAAGGATATGCCGTCAGTATATTCTCTGTGATACAAACGCGATCCTAGGTCTGGCTCACCCCGGTTGGGACATAGTCGCTGGACGATGGCGTGTGCCGCGACGGTGGGCCGCAGTGGAAGCCGCTTGGGGTGCTGGCGGGGTAGAAGACGCCGCACGCCGCTGTCGTTTGCTCTTCCGAGGGGTGGAGGAGGGATTCGCTTGTTCGGAGGTTCCCACAGACTGATCAGGACGGGGGGCCTTGCGCTTCCGAATCGACGCCGGACCAGCGGCGGGATTTGTAGGAGAGGAACCGGCGCTGGTAGACGGGTGAGGTTCTGCAGCGTGTCTCGCAGCAGAACGAGTGACCCTGGAGGACATGAGAAGGGATTCACTTCCAGGAAATGATGAAAGGTGATGCGGGTTGTGGAGTGAACAGGAGAATAGGGCCGTAATGACGGTGCAGGAAGGAGGATTTTAAAACTATAGCGGCCGTCGGATCAAGCGAACCGACACGGGGTCGACGGACTCGGCCACATGCACAGCTCGTCGGCACCCCTCCGCGGATACCGCTATACTAGCTGTGAGGATGTATTGCAGCTTGCGGAAGTCACTAGTCGCGAGGAACAGGGGGGGAAATCCAGGACTGAGATCCAGACGCCAGAAACGATAGAGAAAAGTGACGGCGAGAGGGATCAAAAAGGGCAATAGAAGTGTGATATGTACCTGGCGGCAGAGGTGGAGAGTTCAGCGGAGGGAAGAGCGGAAGCGTCCTCTAGAGGGTCCTGGCGGTGAGAATTGGGCCTTTGTTTGGCCATATGTCGATTGCTAACCAGAGCTAGATACGGAGGGCTCGCTCGTCAATCGACGCCGTTCAACCCGCCATCCGTCACTGTCGGAACTGTTGACCGTGAGTGAATGAGAGGTCCGGGGTGGGTGGGCGATGGACTGGGTATCCGTGGACGATCCGGGGTGTGAGTTTCGGTGAGAGCCGATCGGGTGGATTGAAGTGATGGGGGGAAGACAAGGAGTTCAACAGGATGGGGAGAGAATAGAAGAAAAAAGACGTGTAGGTAGGAGACTGTAAGTGGAAGTCACACAGGGAAGAAGATGTTGGAGAGCAAGAGAGAAATGCAAGAGAGCGAGAGGGAGTTGATGGATGAAGTCGGGGGTGACGGCAAGGTGGAAATGGAATGGATGGGGGGAAGAGGGAAGATCGATTGACGTGGTGGTGCCGGGCGGTGATGGCAGTTCGGACACCCACAGACTACCAAAGTGCAACTATATCACCCTCGCCGCCTTGACCAGACATATTCATGCCGCTGCACAGCAGTCCAAGATCTAGGCCTGATGTTCATGGTGAGGTCAGTTCCAGTTGTTGCTGGTATTCATCGGTATCCATTGTTGCTGACTCGACACTCCAAGGGCAACCGAGACCGATCGCTACTAACATAACCATCTCTCACGAGATCAGTACTACATGACGATAATCATCGTGTCGATGGCCAGACTGCATGTAGAACTGAACGAAGAAGTACGCTTGGTTATTGCCCATCTGCAAGACATTTAATAGCTGTCCGTGTCAATCTAGGATGATATCGAGGTCAATAAGGCGGGTCTCGAGCTTATCGACACCTAAGCCTGTGCCCGATATACTTCCGATCATCTTCTGAGCTATGTATGGATCTAGAATCCCTCACAATCCTTTACGGTCGCTCAACCCCACGATTCTCTAATTGCCTCCTCGTCATCACTTCACCTACGAGCCACCGCCTACATTACGCAGACTCATAGCTCTACTGCCTCTGAAGCACGCAATCCGACCCCGAGCGCACCTGAGTTCATCGTACCGGAAGACGCAAGGGGCAGCCATGCGGATGACTGCATCAGCGCGCGGGGTCCTTATCGCCCGCATTGGCTGTGGAGATAGATGTAGCCTCATTCTTGGTGTCCCTACCGAAACTCAGTCTTGCATGGGATATCTCATTGCGACCGTCGCCATAGCTCTAATCGTGGCTGGTTGCTGATATCCCTTACAGGGAAGGTGACCGATGTGACCGATGCCGGAGATCTAAGCAGCAAGGGTAGTCAACTAGTACACTGGCTTTGGGTCCAAGAAGACGAGACATGACCAGGATCATCAAAGTAGGAAGATGCATCTGGCAAGATAATGACAAGAGGCGACCACCAGTCAGGATCTTGTGAAGAATAAGAATAAGACTGAGGGGCTGCAGAGTAATGCATGGGGTACGATGTAGGTACTGTACGACTACCTACAGAGAGGATGTGCAATTCGGAGAAACAAAGTGGGGGAAGTTCCCCTCAGTAAGTATTCAACTTAGTCCGCTCGGGGAATGAATGCCCTCCTCATTCAGTTCGAACTTCGGAGGAATCGCTGCCTAGAAACAGGCCGATGTCCGAGGATTGTACGCAGAAAGATACCTGTAGGCAGCAAACAGGCCCCAAGGGAGAACTACAGCCATAAGAAATCAAGTATTTAACTACAATCATTTATAAAGAGCACCCTCCAGCTCAATCGATCTCATAACAAACACCGAACTCTCGCGTGTGCCCTCCTTATCAAAACCAACTCCAAACCCCCCGCGGCGAAATCTCCCCAATTGGGAACCGAGGATCACATCATCACGAGTTGCTCACACCGAGCGACCGACTTGGTCTTTTTTTTTTTTTCGCAGTGCCATCGGTTTTCCCCGCCCCGCCGCCGGTTTTTGAACTCCTTTCCCCCACGCTGACTAAATCGCCTTTACTTTGCGCCGCCGCCCGCATTCATCCATCCATCATCCATCATCCATCCTCCATCCATCCATCCATCCATCCATCCACAGTATTCCAGTTTATCCTACCTCAATCAATCTCAGCACAACTCTTCTCCCGTCCCTTCCAGTCTATCCCACTATACCCCCAGTCCTCCACCAAAACCAAACGCATCCATCCAAGAAGACACCGCATCCATACAGACAGACGTACCCGCGCCATTCAACCAAATCCACCAACCAAACCCGCTCTCATCCGCGAGAGCACACACCCACAACATGACCGACACCAGCACGATGCCAGGCACAGGGGACGACGTACTGGGCACGCCCCCACCGCTACCCCCCGCCCCAATGCAAGACTACACGTTCCCGGAGCACCGCCTGAAGCGGCGAATGGACGACCCGGAGAAGACGCCGTTGCTGCTGGTAGCGTGCGGGTCGTTCTCGCCGATCACGTACCTGCACCTGCGGATGTTCGAGATGGCCGCCGACTACGTGAAGTTCAGCACCGAGTTTGAGATCGTCGGCGGGTATCTGTCGCCGGTGTCGGACGCCTACCGCAAAGCTGGGTTGGCGAATGCGGAGCATCGGTATGCGTTTCCAACTACACTCTCCTAAACCAAAAAGATAGAGAAGAGACGACGAAGCTAACACACATATCTAGAGTGGCGATGTGCCAGCTAGCTGTGGATCAAACCTCCGACTGGCTCATGGTGGATACCTGGGAGCCCACGCAAAAGGAATACCAGCCCACGGCCGTGGTGCTGGACCACTTCGACCACGAGATCAACACCGTTCGCCAGGGCATCGAGGCCGGTAGCGACGGTACACGCAAGCCCATCCAGATCGCCCTGCTGGCCGGCGCGGATCTGGTCCACACCATGTCTACGCCGGGTGTCTGGAGCGAGAAGGATCTCGATCACATTCTCGGGAAATACGGCGTATGTCCTCCGGCTCACCACCAACCGCTAAATCAAAACTAACTTTACATTAGACCTTCATCGTCGAACGCAGCGGAACAGACATCGATGAGGCCCTCGCCGCCCTCCAAACCTGGAAGAAGAATATCCATGTCATCCAGCAACTCATCCAGAATGACGTCAGCAGCACCAAGATTCGCCTTTTCCTGCGTCGCGACATGAGCGTCCGATACTTGATCCCCGTCCCCGTCATCCACTACATCGAGCAGCACAATCTTTACAAGGATGACGGGACTGCCGCGGCGGCGACGGCGTCTGACAAGGGGAACAGCCGGCAGGACCCGGGTTCCTCAGGATGAACATGAACTCCGGGGTCCCCCACCACCAAAACGTTTGAGTCATACACCCTGGCATCTTAACCGTTCTCCTCATCCAATTAGAAGACGGCAAGACCATAAAGATGGAGACGGGCGGGGAAATGAGAAAAGAAGAGACAGCTGCACGACGACTTCACCACCCAGCGGGCCGGCCTCGCCTTCCCGTCATCTTGCCCTTGCTCACGTCCTCGCATCTGCCCTTAGATCCGCTCAGTGGTGTACCTCTCCCGCCGCACCTATCGCTATCCCTCTTCATCCGTCTCCTGATCAAAAGCGCCCGGAGCACGGGCATAGTGTACGATGAACGATCCACAAAAGAGGGGAGCGAAGTGAGCAAAACTCCCGGGTAATGATTGCACGTGTACCGAACCTCCTCACGACGAGCGAGTCAAAGTGTTCTCAGATCCCTGTTGCCCCATGCCGTTTCTTCATTCATTTTTTTTTCCAACGCAATTGGGACTTGGCCTTTTGTTTTCATCCTCTATCAGAGGCGTTCTGATGCAACTGTCACGATTAATGCGTTGTGTTCTCTGTTCGTGTTTCGTTTGTCCTCAAAGATACCATTCATACATACCATAGAGTCATCTAATACCATCATCCTTCTCTTTTTCCTTTTCTGTTGTTCGTCACACTGATCAAGCAGTTTCGCGCTGTAGGCGACACGCAATAGAGAGTGTTGTCGTTGCCAGCATCATGACTCCCTTGAAAGCAGAATATAAATACCAGGCATAGACTGGTGTCGTTTCTCGCTTCATAAACCCATGAAAGCAGAGTATCAAGACCCGTGCTGGCAGCACAACCAACGGCTATGTCATGTATGTAATCTGTGTCCTGAGATTAAATATGTGCATAGATAAGAAACAATGATAGGGAACCGAGGTCCCCCAGGTTTAATCCTTCGGGTATAATAATAACGACGAAATCTAAAAGAACATGAGAGGTACCCCAATGACGAGGTTTAATATGTAAAGCATCCAAAGCAGGCTTCCTTTACACAGAGTTTGCAAGATTAGTGTCGCCCTTCCTCTCGAACGCGAAAAGCGAGTTGCATATAGACATCATGCATGCATGCAGAGAAACATATCGACAATAATATGCATCGCAAAGAAAAAATAGCTCAAAGAGGATATAGATCACAATTATGACAAAATATCACAGAGAAGAGAGGTCGAAGAAGGCAAGAAGCAGAAGGGGAAAAAAACCCAAGGTATTTATAATCCATGAATACCCAAACATCAGTCGTATACATCGTCGCCAGATTTTGATCTTGCCATGAGGACCTTGCGGACACAAAGGCAAGAAGGAAATAGCACAGCTAATCATCACAGTCATTCCAGAGATCCTCGGCCTCAATCACGCCCAGACACTCGTCATCATGCATCAGTGCGATAACAACCACCGGCGTACTGGCGGAGGCATTCGCCTCGGACGCCAGTCGGCGGGCGTCATCGATGGTGCTGGAGCTGGGGATTTGAAGCCAGTCCTTGCGAGACACGCTGAAGGGGAGGCCCAGGTCGACGAACGACGATACATGCATATCCACGTAGTTGCTCTGGGAAAGGAAGCGCAGGTGTCGGGGAGGAATAATCTCCGATGGGGACAAGAAGACCCATGATTTTGCGTGAGGGTGTTGGATGGCTGTAAGGAGAATGTCCAAGAGCCGGATCTTACCGGATGCAGAGACCTTGGGGATCTGATCAAGGGAAGTCAACATATCAGCAACGCGTGGTCGCTGGCTGCCCTTGCTGTCCGTCTGGGGGAACGAGGCGATGGACTGCTGGGTTGGCATGTAATCGGATGGAGTGGAGGTACTAGAAGCCGAGGACATGCTCATTGGCGTCAAAGCCATGGAAGCAGCCCCAATGGCACCGCCTGGGTGATAACTCTTGAAGATCTCGGCCGGACCCCGCCCGGGCGTGGTGTGCAGTCGTCGAGCCGTGGCGATAGCCAGTGCATCTCCCAGCGACAGAGCTACCGTGGTGGACGACGTAGGAGCACTCACGCCGATCGAGGACTCTTCATCCTCGTGAATTGGGGCGGGTAGAAGTATCCCCATATTTGAAGGGTGGAAGGACAAAAGAGGGCAGGTAGACGGGTGCATGTGGGAGGTGATGGCTATCACCGGAACAGTAGACGGGATATGGGGGAGCAGCAGTAGAAGTTCCGGGGTACGCCCGGAAAAGGAAATCAACAAAAGGGTATCATGCTGAAGGACGGCGCATGGTTAGCCAGACACTATTTTGGAAGAATTCGGATTATCTTACTGGTCGAATCATGCCAAGGTCGCCATGGAGGGCTTCTGTCGGATGCAAAAAAGCACTGTATATTCCGAGACTGTTCATGGTGGCCTCCAACTTCTGGGCGATTTTGCCACTCTTGCCCACACCGCAGCAGACTAGTTTTCCACCATGGTGAATGGTGCGCACGATCTGGCTCACGGCGCGCACGAGGTGTTCCTGGGCGAGAGCATCGGTCTGGTAGATCTGCTCCAGGTGCGCCAAGGCCGCCCGCTCGGTGGAAATGACCTGGATGGCGGTCGATACTGCGCCGGAGGTGACCTTAGCAGCCGAAAGGGCAAGATCCGAGGGGTCCGGAGGAGTCATGGAGAGGAGGAAATCATCGTGAGCGGCGGGAGATGCGTGGGAGAGCGGCGTGGCGGCGGGAGAGAGCGGGACGGGGAAATGCTGCTTGAGATGCCCCATCATTGCGGTAGCATTCTCTGACTGCTTGCTGAAAGAAAAGGCTGTGCAAAGACGAACAACCGCGTCTTCTCCCAGGAAGAAGCCTGGGAAAAGAGAACCCAGACAAAAGCCAGTAGAGAGAAAAGAGGGGAATCGGAATCGGAGGTGGGGGGAAGAAGAGGAGAAAGAGAGAGAGGGAGGGGAGGAAGAGAAAGAAAAATGCGGAGGGGCGAAAGAGGGACCGGAAGAGGCACAGCTTCAGATAACAGCCCGGCCCGGAAATGTTGTCGCGTCGGAGATTAGACTAGCCAGAACAGAAAATGATCCGGAGAGAAAATAGCGCCTAGATACGATAGACTAACCTGCAGGCAGAGAGAGAGATTGGAGATTCAGCAGAGTAACCCCGCCACGATGCAGTGAGCCAGTCAATTGTCCCGATGAGGGCATTCCTTCCATCGGCTGGTCGTCCGAATCAGCCGCTATCACACCATTGCCGCGGATGTTGAGTCTATCTCTAGGCAGTGCACGGATCCTACTACTTGAGGATTAATAATAATAATAATACATTGTCAGATATACCCAATGTTACAGTTACATGCCCCCCCACCCCCAAAACCCCTGCTCTGCCCAACTCTAATATTTATGTTCAATTCAACGGCTTGATCCCCTTGTGAATCGCCGCAATGCCGCCCGTGAGATTCTCGAACCCGCGGCCGGGGATCATAAACCCAGCCTTCTGGATCATCCCGCGGAACTCCTCCTGGCTGGGGAATTGCTCGATACTCTCGACGAGGTACTGGTAACTCTCACGGTCGCCGGCGACCAACTGGCCGATGAGGGGGATGGCGCTGAAGCTCCACTGCTTGTAGACGGCGTTGAAGAGGGCGTTATCGACCTTGCTGAACTCCATGCAGGCGAAGACACCGCCGGGCTTGAGCACGCGGAACGCCTCGTTCAGGGCGGCCTGCTTGTCGGTGAAGTTGCGGATGCCGAAGACCACGGTGTACAAATCCACCGAGTTGCTGGGGATGGAGGGCATGCTCTGGGCGTTGCCCTCCATGAAGTCCAGGCGATTTGTGTTGTAGTAGGGAGTCTGGATGCTGCGCTTCTTGCCCTCCGCCAGCATGTCCGGGTTGATGTCCGCGATCGTCACCCGCGTCGCCGTGTCGTGGTTGATGTTGGTCGCGTGGTCCAGCATGCGGAACGCGATGTCGCCCGTCCCGCCGGCGATATCGAGGATGTTCCAGCCGCGGCCGGCCGCGTCGTGGTCGCGCGAGGGCAGCGCCGACCCCGGGTTTAGCGTGCGCACAAAGTGGTCCTTCCACAGCCGATGAATGCCCAGCGACATCATGTCGTTCATCACATCGTAGGACGAGGCAACCGAGCTGAACACGGTTTTCACTAGAAAGTACGGAATGCAATCAGTAACTGTGGCAGCAAGCCCGTAAGCTGGGTAGAGAGTCGGCAATCTTACCCATGGACTCCTTCTGCGACTCCGGGACATTCTGGAAGCCGAAATGCGTGAAGCGCTCATCGTCGGCGTTCGGCTTGGGCGGTTGAGCCTGGGCTTGTCGTGTGCAGGAAAAGCAACGGTAGGGCGTCTCGGGCACGGCCAATCGCCGTCTTGTTTGAGTTTGCAAGCTCCTCCAGAGAGATCGAGACGACATGATGGTGGTAATGGAGTGTGGAATGTTGAGCTGGGCCGAAGGAAGGGAGAAGATTCGCGTGGAGATCGAGAGATCCGCCCGGGGCGGAATTCTGCGATAACGTGCTGCCTGAGGCACGCAGAAAGTGCTGCCTTCTTCCGTTCCGCCCGCCGCCGCTTCTTATCTTCGGCCGTCACCACAGGCTGGATCTTCGTTGGGCTCAATTCCAATCTTAGCAATTAATTAGACCAGTCTCTTGAGGCAGTCTTTTGAAAACTGCGCCCCTTATTCGTTCAAATCTCCTGTTCGAGCTCTGAAAAGAAACCGGTTATATCCTTTCCAACTTAGACAATTATTGCGATATGATATACTTTGACATATGCTCCTTCAACACATCACCGAACGATCAGGTTCCCTGATACCATCATATGTGAGCCTTAGGACAATTCCCCCTTAAAGAACCTCACAACTGCCCCCAACCACACATTTCACCTTCAAATCCCCCTCCGCCACACTTTCCCCGACCCAAAACACGACGCCATCCCCAGCAACCGGCACCCGCCAATCCTGCACCGCAACATCCCAAATACTCAAGTCCTTACGCGTCACGCTCAACTTGACTACTTCACTCGCCCCGGGTGCCAGGGTTCCAGTCTTCGCAAACGCCCGCAGCTGTCTCTGGGGTGTATCCACGCCCAGCACCGCCTCGCCAGGTAACTGCACGTACAACTGCACGACAGCCCTCCCACTCCGCCTACCGGCGTTGGTAACTGTGACCGCGACCTCAAACGCCGTGTCAAACAGCGCAGGGTTACCGCCCTGTCCGCCTCCGGCGCGCGGGGCGGGCTGCGGCGTGGTGGAGTAACCGGAAGGGTATGAGTAGGTAGTGGTGTTGGTGATCTTCTCGGGGTCATCGAGGTACGGGTACAGGTATCGCCAGATGCGATCCAGGGTGCTGGGCCATGCGACCTCATTCGGGTCGGGAATGGTTGTGGGGTAGGTTGGCACGGAGGCCTTGCTTGATCTTGCGGCGGGAAATCCGGTGCTTAGTTCGGTGACGGTGGTGAGAGCAGGGGAGGAATACTTGAAGGTCGTGTACGATAGGCCGTATCCGAAGGGGTAGCGGGGGGTGATGTTTGCTTTGAGGAAGTAGCGGTAGTCGATATACAGTCCTTCGTCGAACCAGTCTTGGATCTGGGAAAAGAGAGGTTGAGAGGTGATGATGTTCATGGAGGACGGGTAGTTGGATGCCGAGGTGGGGATGGTGTAGGGCAGGTGGCCGCTTGGGCTGGTGTCGCCGTAGAGGATGTCGGTGAGTGAATACCCGGCCGCTTGGCCGGGGAGGTGAGCGATGAGCACCGCTTTGACGCTGGGGAGGTCGATGAACGACTCGAGCAGGATCGGGCCGACGGTGTGGATGACCACGACCACCGTGGAGAACTTGGCTGCAGCGGCCTGCACGAGCGCATTGCCGTTGTGCCACGCATTAAAGCCTGCGTTGGTGCGGTCCCCTGGGTTGGACTCTACGGTGATGTAGTTCTCGCCGGAATCCGCATTGATGAAGACAACGGCGATGTCGGAGGGGGATGGCGTGGCCAAGTTGGCGGGGAAGCTGTCAGTCAGGTAGAAAGTCGTCGTGTTGGAGGTAGTGACGTTGGCGATGGCTTCCTGCGGCGTGACGAGGGATGGGAGGCGTGAAGTACCGCTTCCCCAACCCATGGTTAGGACGCCCTGGTCGCAGCCCATATCACTGCAGGAATTGAGGCCTGACTTGTTGGGACCAGCGTCGGTGCCGAAGACTTTGAGGGAGGCGCTACGTTTGAGGGGCAAGGTGCCGTTCTCGTTCTTGAGGAGAGTGATGGCGTCCCGAGCAATGGCGTGCGCCGTGATGTTATGGTTGCCTTGCACGTCGACAAATTGATTGACGACACCCGTGGGGGAGAAGAGGGCACCCGGATACAGAGGACCGGTCTTGTCGAGGGTGTTGGTAGAGAAATTGGGCAGAGGGTAATCCTTGTCCTGGCCCATCTGATACCAGGTAGCCACGATCCGAGTCACCTTGGAAGGGCTTAGCATAAAAGCAGCAACGAGAACGAAAGAATCATACCATATCATTGAGCCGATCCAATGGAACAGTTCCGTTGAGTATCGCTGTTGATAATTCCGATCCCCAGTACGCAGTCCCCAGCAAAGGGATGCGACCATCGCCCGGCATGGCCATATCAAGTCCGGCTAGGGCAGAAGAAACGCCTCCCTGCTGAGCGAGCCAGTCGGTCATGACAAAGCCTTGAAAGCCCAGCTCGTCCTTGAGGATGCCGTTAATAAGCATGCTGTTCTGGCTGCTTGCAGAGCGGTTCACCTGTGCTCGTCAGCCTAGTAAATTTCTGCGCTCATCCAGACAGACTCACATCATTGTACGCCGTCATTACAGAGCCCACTCCGGCCCTCACTCCCTCCGCGAATGGCCACAGATACAATTCATGCAGAGTACGATCGTCGATATTGGATGAATAACCTTGGGTCAGCGCCGTGGTCTCGCGATACATCTCCTGCTCATTGCCGATATAATGTTTCAAGCAGGCGATCGCACCAGTGCTTTGCATGCCCTGGATCGTCATTGCGCCACCGATCGCCTGCAGCGTGGGATCAGCCCCGAAGCCTTCCCAGCCGCGTCCACCCAGTGGCTTCCTAAACATCGGCCCGACCACGGGGCCTAGGAGGACATTCACACCCTTCCCGCGAGCTTCTTCGCCCAGCTCCACCCCACGCTGATACATCAGGTCCTTGTCCCAGGTGGCCCCGACCGTCACTCCAGGAGGGAATGCGGTGTTGTGGTCTGAGTTCCGGATACCCAGAGGGGAGTCCTGGAGACAGAGGTTTGGTATGCCGAAGCGGAGTGCGCTTCCTGTCTGACCGACACAGGGACCCATGTACATTCCGGTGCCGGTGGTGAGGTTGACCTTCTCAGCGAGGGTCATGTTGCTCACCACGGCTTGGGCTTTGGCGTATGCGGCGCTCCATTCGGAGATCCACCCCCCAGGCGGGGTCGGGTAGTAGGGGGGCGAGTAGGCTTCGGCATCATCACGGCGATGGTGGTCGGCTGCAAAGTATCCCGGAAGGAGAAGAGCTAGAAGAGAAAGATGTTGCCAGACAGGAATCATTGTCGATGTCTTAGAGCCAGAGTACGAGGGCATACAGAGAAGCCGCGCAGCAACCAACAAGAACCGACAGGGTTGCCAAAGATATAACTATCAATTCTTCGTAGGCTCAAATCTAGTCAGGGGCATTCGGTCACAAGGCCTTCCCCATGAAGAGTCTATGCGACCTATACATATCATGACATATGAAAACTGCGAGTCAACGCCAATCATATTGCAGAACATTGCTGTTGACATTTTGAATTCAGCGATCCTTTCTGAATGAACAAGTGATTCAAAGGCCTCTGAGCAGTAGTCTACAGGGATTCCGAGTATTAGACTGCATGAGTTGCATGAGCAGACCGAGGCAATGCGCGTTGCTTGCTGAAAATAGCAGCCGTCCGCGCCATTCCGCGCCCAACAAGGGATGAGGTCCGGTGGCTGATCCACGGTCTATTTGTGGTGGCCAGAGTGCGGGGGCGTCCAGCTGATGTAGGTGTTTTTATGAGGCGAAATAGATGAATTGACATTTAGGCTGTGTGGAGCTGTGCATGCATGACAACCCAGGAGAATGCGAGATTGCACTGCTTGTGATTTAAAGATACATTGGAGAGTGCTTTTGGCAGACGAGCTGTCGACAAGGTCAGAGATAGAGAAACCAGTCTGGAAACAGCCTAGCCAGAGGCCAGGTCAAGTTGACGGACCTGCAGACTGACCAAGGTAGCCGAACGCTTGACGATGATCCTTATCTCGACACTTGACGGACGGAGATGATTGATTGGCAAAGCGGAGGATCGACAGGGGAACGAAGCGTCCGAAGCGTGCGCGGATCAATAAGCGAGCCCGGCTATTCTTACTCCATCCATTGATTCAACGGTAATCCCCGTCAGTCCGCCAGATAATCTCCCAACCGCAAGCCCATCACGTCGGCATCAATCCTTTGCGCCAGCATCCTTGTCTCACGGATTGAGCAAACACTTTGCTCCTGAGCATCCAACCTTGTCATGAACCAATTCCTTGCACCGGGATTCTTTCATCTCATCGACTGTCTTCAACACATAGTCCAGACTTAATCCTTCATATGGTATCAGAGGCGGAGGATAGAGCCCGCGCGACTTCAGTTGATGCACCAGAGTCCCAATCATCAGGTGGTCACAGTCTGGACAGCACACCTGATGGTCGAGAAGGTATTCCATGCGTTCGTACAGAGCGATGAAAATCTCTTCAATGCGAAATTGACGAATCTTATTCATGAGGTCTAAAGAAATATATAAGGTTAGCCTGTTATTCTTACATAGACGAGCATAAATCAGGTAAGGGATTCACCTATCAGTCCCATGGGGATCCCTAGACCATTTGTGGTGATCGGGGCTGTCGACTCCCGCAGCGCGATCTTCGTAACCAGCCGAAACAAACCATGGTGATGAAAGACCCGTGAGACTAGCATCCATTGGGGTAGGTCATGCGAGTAAGTCTTGGGAAAGCAATGCTGGAGTTTTCCAAGCCAGGTCCTTGCAAACGCCTCCACGGCTTCGAGACAACCATAGTGCTGAGTCAACACTGCTACCGTGCAGAGGACCTGGAGGTTTAGAGTGCGGGGCACCTGACGAGTGCGGCAATGCATGATGTTGAGGAGGATGTAGAGGGCATCCAGGTTTGGGAGGTAGCAGGGGAGAATTTCGGTCGTTTGAGTCTCGCTGGTTTCGGTATGAACATTGGGCTGGGAGAGCCTTTCTTGGAATGCATGGGAGGCAAAGCAGAGGCGTTTAGACGAGACGAGAAACTTGATGCAATGGGTGAATTGAGCTGTGGGCTCAGTGGTTTGGAGCACAGGAACATTGTCGCCCGAATGTGTGTGGATGGGTTCGTTAGGTTCGTTAACGAGGGTTGATGTTGACGAGTGGGACGAAGAGGACGACGAGATGGGAGTCTGACGAAGCTCATCCGTATTCTGGATTGTTGTATACAGATGATCCAGAGGTTGTCCACCTGGAGGGCGTTGGCATTGATGGGCAAGAGGGAGGCAGAGGTCTCCACCATTCTTGATCAGGCTTGCATGGAGTCGACCTGCATGTTGTCGCAATACGCGTAGCGCATCCCCATTAGGATCAATGATTATGCAATTCGAATCCATGTTGAACATGTGTTTGCTCCCCATAGCTAGATGGAAGATCGATGGAGACGGGCGAGAAGGAAGGTGGTGGTAAACAAACTGTTGTCTGGGGTGTGGTCCCTTAGCTACATCCCTCGCAACCAGTGACTAGACTCTTCCCCAAGGCATACTCGTGACCTGCGAGCCATTCACAGTCATTACTGCACGCACCATAAAATCACATTCGTGTCTTAAGCTCTATCATCATAAGTTCATTCCTATAAACATCTATCTATCACTCATAAAAATCTAGTTGAAGTAGCCAGGGAAGAGCCAGTTCATGCGCTCACGAGCCTCGGGGCTCCAGTTGGGCTGAGCAGTGCTGAGTCCAAACTTGATGGAGCCCTCCACATGCTTGGCCTGCACCAGCTCGGTGTGCTCATCGGAAGCCAAGGCGTCCAACACCGCCGTGACAAAGCGCTTGGCGTTCTCAGCGTTGGCCTTCATGTGCCCCATCACCATCTCCACAGTCACATCCGCGGTCGACTCGTGCCAGCAGTCATAGTCGGTGGACATGCAAATCATCTGGTAGGCCATCTCCGCCTCACGGGCCAGCTTGGCCTCGGGCAGGCAGGACATGTTGATGACGCTGCCACCCCAAGAGCGGTACATGTTGCTCTCGGCACGGGTAGAAAATTGAGGTCCCTCTGCATGTCATTAGCTTTGCCATTAGACTTTGGCCTGATTACATACCCATGCAGATCAGAGTACCCCGGTCGTGCAGAACCACACCCTCGCCCTCCAAGCTGTGTCCGCAGGCTCTGACGACCTTGGCGACGCCCTCGTCGAAGGGGTCCCCGAAAGGCACGTGGGCAACGACACCACCCTCAAAGAAGGTGAAGGGACGGATACCCTTGGTGCGATCAATAACCTGGTCGGGAATGACGAAATCGCGGGGCTTGATGGCCTCTTGCAGACTGCCGACGGCGGAGAAGGCGATGATGGTGCGGACACCAATGGAACGCAGGGCGGCAATGTTGGCGCGGGCGGGCACCTCGTGGGGGGCGATCTGGTGGTGGGCGCCATGGCGACTGAGGAAGGCAATGGCGACGGTCTTGTTGTTGTGGGAGCACTTGTGGTGCAGGATGGTGATGGGAGAGGAGGGAGTGCCCCAGGGAGTGTTGACGGAGAGGGAGGCGACCTGGGTGAAGCCAGGGAGTTCGCGCAAGCCAGTGCCGCCGATGACGGCAATGCGGACGGGCTCTAAGTGAGGGTCTGAGTGAGTGACAATTCAGACAATTTGATGAGGGTTGGAGGAGTACCGTCGTAGGTGGTGGGAAGGGCGGCCATTCTGCGGGCTAGTTGTTTGGGGGATTCTATGCGAATGCGGGGTTTAGAGATGGAGGAGAAATGGCGCCAAAAAGCAGACAGCATACACCGAGGGGGAGAAGTGGTTGTACAGGAAAAACGAGGAGGGGAAGAGAGGAGACGGAGAAGGAGGAGAGGTGAACGAGAGGCCTGAAATTCTCGGCGGGGTACGCCCAATCAGGAAAATGCGATCTTATCGCTGGGTGCCTGGGGCAGAAACTATTGCTCGCGTCATCTTCCCTTACATTTTGTTTTACATGAAGAGAGTGGACGATTGTACATGATGGAATTGGAATTATACTCAGAATCTGTATGGAACGCTGCGTTATCATCTAGATCGTTAAGCTGCGCACTCAAGCAGGCCGCCACTCGTAGTGATGGGCGCCCTTAGACACAGGCCCTGGGTCCTCGCCCTTGACACCCGGCTTGTTGTACGCATGCGCACCAAAGAGGTCCATCTGGGCCTCCATGAACTTCGTCGGAAGCATGGTTCCGGCCTCGTACTTGAGGTATTCCAAGGTCGCCGAAATCGCCGGGGTGTAGTGGTCGGCTGCCGTCGCCGCGAGGACTGTGTCCTTCAAGGCGTCGAAATGCTTGTGCAACTCGCGCGCCACCTCGTCCACATATTTGACATTGGTCAGCGACTTGGTCATCACCGGCTGCAGCAAGTCTGCGATTGCTTCAGATTGGATGATGCAGCCGTTGCGCCAGATCTGGAGACACTTGCTCAGATCCACATTCCAGCCCTCGTCCTTGGAAGCGCGGGCGATCAGCTCCAGGCCCTGACAGAAGGAGGACAGGAAGGCGCAGTAGACTGCTCTGCGCAGCTTCTCGACAAACGCCTTCTTGTCCTTGACCCCCTCGACAGGTTTGGGTGTGGGGAGGTCAAGCTTCTTGGCAACTTCGAGTCGTTCTGCGCGGTTTCCGCTGGTCACTCGCAGGAAATGCGCCGTGGCCAGCGTTGGGGCGGAGACATGACGGGCGGCCGACTCCATGATGGACCAGTAGGGTGTGCCTTCGGTGTCATCGTCGTCCTGGACGACCTTGTCGAGGACATCGTCGAGGACAAACCCTCCGTCCTTGCTGGCGCCTTCGCCTTGCTTGTCGCCCTGGGGAGTCTTCTTCGTGCGGAGAATCTGCACGCCGATGTCCAGGAGGAAGTTGTTGCGTAGCTCGCCCTCCGAATTCCACTTCTCGAAGATGTCCGCGATCTCCTCGTAGCCCAGCTCAAGGCCGTAGTGCAGAAGCGACCACGCCTCGGCCACGGTGGACAGCATGCCGCCCTCGATGCCGTTGTGGACCATTTTGACGAAATGGCCCGACCCGGCTGGTCCCACGTTGGTGACACACGGCTTTTTGGTCTTCTCGTCTTTAGCGGCGTATTTCTCGAGCAGCGGCAGAACGAGGTTGATGGCGTCCGGGTCGCCGCCCGGGGACAGGCTCGGGCCATGGCGGGCAGATTGGTATCCCCCGGACACGCCCATACCGATCCAATGGATTCCGCGCTCAGCGCAGCGTTTCTGGCGCTTCTCCGTGCGGCGGTAGTGTTCATTGCCGCCGTCGAGGATGATGTCGCCTTTCTGCAGGCTGTCCTGAATCTTGTCGAGCACGGAGTCGGCGGGGTCTCCGTGGGTGATGGAGAAGATGAAGAGTTTCTGATCTTGGCCAAGACTTTGGGTGAATTGATCGACCTCGTTGAAGACTTGCACCTTGCCCTTTCCGGTGAACTTTTTTTGGCCGATCCACTGGCGGATGCCGTCGAGGTTCTTTGGGTTGACGTCCCAGATGGAGACGTCGAGCCCGAGCTCGTTAAAGGCGAAGGCCATCATGGAGCCCATGTTGCCGGCCCCGACAATACCAATTTTGCTAAACATGATGTCTGTTCTCTGTGGTTTGGTGTTGGTGTCTCCTCCATGGTGTGATGTTGTGTCGTTATATGTGGTCGGGGTGTCGACGCAGACCTGACATCATTCCGACATCCGGATCAGCCCTAATTATTTTGGTCTGACATCATCCTGTTGTATAAGATAAGAACCACTGCGACCATTCTGGTTTGAACTTAGTATTATTGAAGCATTCTGAAGTCAATATTACCACTAATAACACAATGACAGTTGATATTCCTCTCTCTTTTGCAACATGCTCGATCGGAAAGCCGACCGACAGTCTTCCGGCTAAGCTGCAGGCCCTGTCGGAAGCTGGCTTCCACGCCGTAGAGCTCGCCTTTCCGGATATTCTGACGTTCGCAAAGGAGACTCGCGGCGAGGTTGCCGAGGACGACTACGAGGCGCTGCGCGAGGTCGCCCGCGACATTAAGGGCGTGTGTGACCGCTACCAGATCAAGGTCATGATGCTGCAGCCGTTCGCCAACTTCGAGGGCTGGCCCCGGGATTCCAAAGAGAGAGAGGACGCCTTCAAGCGCGCGCGCGGCTGGATCAGTCTTATGGAGGCCCTCGACTGCGACATGCTCCAGGTATACATCCCCCACCCCTCGCTTACCCCCATACACATCATGCTGCAATCCAACCATCATCCCAAACCAGAGATAAGCGTCCCGGGGGAGAACCCCCGGACCCCCCTTCCCTTTCAGCTTCCTGGTATACCTCATTCTCAAACCAGAAATAAGGCACTTCCGGGGGAGAACCCCCGGACCCCCCTTTCCTTCAGCCCCCTGGCAGACCTCAACCTCTACCAGAGATATAAGATATAATTATACCGGGGGAGACCCCTGGACCCCCTCTCCCTTTACACAAGAATACTAATGAACGTAGGTCGGCTCAACCGACACCCCAACAGAATCCCTCTCGCCTAGCCTCCGAGAATCTATGATAGAAGACCTCCAATCCCTCGCCGACCTCCTCTCCGAGAAAAAAATGCGCCTCGCCTACGAAAACTGGTGCTGGTCCTCTCACGCCCCAGACTGGTCCGCCGTACACGACCTCATCACCGCCGTGAACCGCCCCAACATCGGCCTCTGCCTCGACACCTTCCAAGCCGCCGGCGCAGAATACGCCGACCCGACGCAGCCGGACGGGCTGATCGCGACCACAGACGCGAAGTCCAACCTCTCAGCCGCCGACAAGTTCCGCGCCAGCATGACGCGCCTCGCGAAGGCGGTGCCCGCCGACAAGATCTACCTTTTGCAGGTGTCGGACGCGTACCGCACGGACCCGCCCCTGGAGGACGTGGCGGTGGACGGCATGCGGCCGCGCGCGCGCTGGAGCCATGATTTCCGGCCGCTGCCGTATGGGGGTGGGTATTTGCCTATCGAGGAGGTGGGGCGGGCGGTGCTTGGGACGGGGTTCCGGGGGTGGTTCTCTGTGGAGGTTTTTGATGGGGAGCGCCGCGGGGTCCCTCTCGGTGAGTATGCGAAGCAGGGGATGGAGAGTGTCACTCGTTTTGTACAACGGTGTCAAGGGGATTCATAGGGGTTCTCTGTGAGGGGTTCATTGTATTTAGCTTGGTGTGCTTTGTTGATAATCCAATATTTATGTCTCTGGAAAAAAGAAGAGGTGTACCAGGGGGCTGAAAGGAAGGGGGGTCCGGGGGGTCTCCCCCGGATATCCTTTTATTTGGTCTTAGGGTTGAGGTGGGCTGGAAGTGTATCTTTGTAGAACTAGTTTAAGGACTGAGTTAGGCCAGGAAGCTGAAAGAAAGGGGGGTCCGGGGGTTCTCCCCCGGAACGCTTATTTCTGGTGATGAGGTTCATATCTCAGAAAGTGCGTGATGATTATTATTATACGGGGTTGGGGTAAGCGAGATGATAAGATGGACATGGATATATTGCCTAACGCCAGAACTATGCAACCTACTTGTGACAAATTAAAGAACGCAAATCATATACATCATCATCAAGCGTTGCTAGGGTAAGCAACCTTGTAGGTGGGGATGAACTCCTCCTTGATCGACCGCAGACTGACGAAGCGGGAGAGCAAGTTGCCGCTTCCGGCCTTGTCGTTGGTGCCCGAGGCACGGGCGCCACCGAAGGGCTGCTGGCCCACCACGGCACCCGTACTCTTGCAGTTGATGTAGAAGTTACCGGCCGTGTTGCGCAGGGCGTCGTCTGCGGTGCGGAGAACCTCGCGGTCCTGGGCGAAGATGGAACCCGTCAGGGCGTACTCGCCGGTCTGGTCGATCTTCTCGCACATGCGGGTGAAGTCGGCCTCGGTCTTGTCGGCGTAGGTGTGGATGACCAGCACGGGGCCGAACAGCTCGCGCGACAGCAGGGGGTGGTCAGGGTTGGAGGTGCGGTAGACGGTGGGCTGAATGTACCAGCCCTTGGAGGAGTCGTAGGTGCCACCGGCCAGGAGCTCCAGTTCGGAATCGTTCTTGGCCTCGTCGATCACCTGCGCCAACTTGTTGAACGACGCCTCGTGGATGACGGGGCCGCAGAAGTTGGTAAAGGTGGTGGGCTCGCCCATCGTCAGAGCCTTGGTCTCAGCAGCCACGATGGAGAGGAACTCCTCGGCGACGGACTCGGCGACGTAGGCGCGCGAAGTGGCACTGCACTTCTGGCCCTGGAACTCGAAGGCACCACGGACGGTCTGGACAGCGGCGTTGCGCACGTCGGCGGACTTGTGCACAAGGTGGAAGTTCTTGCCACCCGTCTCACCAACAATGCGAGGATAGCTGCGGTACTTGCCCTCGGCGACACCGTTGGCAATCTGGCCGTACAGGCTGCGGAAGACGGAGGTGCTACCAGTGAAGTGAAGAGCGGAGAAGTCGCGGTGGTTGAGGACGGTGTTGGTGACCTCGGCGGCGTCACCGGGCACGAACTGGATGACGTTCTTGGGCAAACCAGCCTCCAGAAGGATCTGGTGGACGAGCCAGTTGGAGGCGATGGCCGAAGGGGAAGGCTTCCAGACAACGACGTTACCCATTAGGGCGGGGGCACCCGCAAGGTTACCGCCGATGGCAGTGAAGTTGAAAGGACTGATGGCGTATACGAAACCCTCCAGAGGGCGATATTCAACGCGGCTGTACGCGGTTAGTGGGACCTTTGCAGCACCGGAAAGATAAAACTCACTTCCAGACACCAGGCGAGTGATGGACGGGCTGGGTGGCGTAGAGATCCTCGGCGTACTTCACACCAAACCGGAAGAAATCACACAGCTCGGCAGCGGCGTCAATCTCGGCCTGCCACGCGTTCTTGCCCTGGCCGTGCATGGTCAGAGCCATGATATCGTAGCGGTACTTGGTGGAGATCAGGTCAGCAGCCTTGAGGAAGATGCTGGCCCGGTCGGCGAAGGAGGTGGTGGCCCAGGTCTTGCGGGCCTCGAGGGCGGCGTCGATGGCGGCCCGGACGTCAGCCACGGAGGCATTGGAGTAGTTGGCTACGGGGGCGTGAGAGGCAGGGTTGCTCTGGGTCAATGTCTCGGAGCTCTTGATCTCCTGGCCGGCAATGACCAGGGGAACGTTGAGAGGGCCGTTCTGCTTGGTGCGGGCGAGAGCCTCCTCGAGGGCCTTGCGATCGGGGGAGCCGGGAGCATAGTGTTTCTGTCCGAGCACAGTCAGCAAAGGCGACACCGATCAATTCATCTCGTGACACTCACGTTAGGCTCGTTGTCAATGCGAGGGACCTTGAAGGTGGCGTAAGAGCCCATGGCACGGCTCTGGCGAGCCAGGCTGGCAGAGTGGGAGGCGCATTTGGGGAGACCCCGGGCGCGGAGGAGCAACGAAGACTGCATGATGACAAGCTCTTCGGCGTGAAACAAGGACGACAAAGGAAAAAAGAGAGAGAAGGAGAGGAGCAACGGGTGACGCGGGGAAACACGAAGCTTTAATTGCGACTGAGCAGGCGGAGAGCAGGCGAACACAAGCGGTTACTGCCGGTGAGCTGACTCAGCAGCAGCCAATGGGAAATGCAGCCGATGCAAGGGGTTGACCGGAAGGAGCCTGAATTCTAACCGGAGGTCAATCAGTATCAGTGTGAACTTGTAAGAGTAAGAGTTGTGAGGATAAGAGACTGACTGACCCGTTGGTATCAGTTGGAGTGGTCCAGTGCTATCTCAAGCAATCAGAAACGCCGGCACCTGCCGGGTGGGCCAAATTGACCGGCCCGGTCATTGAGAGGTCACCTTCCAGAATCGCTCCAAAGACTCCATCGCTCCACGACACATACCCCCTCGCATAGCAACGACGACTCTTTAGGTCCGAAGACCGGTCAATGGATAGAGTTCACTTTAGTACCTGAGAATCTGACATCACGGGCCTGGTTCTTTGATATGGTGCTTCGAAGAGCCTAAGTTCATTTCCCCAGATCCCTAGTGGGTCTTCCCCGCATAGAACGATAAGACAACCTGTTGGGCCGATAAGAACCACTGCACTACAGTAAGACCTGGGTACGAGATAGTAAACAAACAACAACACATCATAGCCATTTAGTCATCGTAATCTCGTCAAACGTGTCCACATAATCTTGCGGTAGACTACCAACTTCCTTGATCTTAAACGAAATGCCCGAACCCAGAAGACGGTCAAGGATCACGGCGGAGGCCATTCCTCGCCATCCGTCGAGCATCAGAATTCAGTCTTCGGGACACAAACCAGAAATCCACCGCCGTCCCCTCGTTTTCCAGCTCCGCGATCAAGTTTTTGATCTCCAGGTAGAACGCCCCATACGGGATAGGTCCTCCATGGGCACTCCGCCACCCGTTGGCTATCCAGTGAGGCATATGCTCCGTGACCCCGCTCACCACCCGCTCCGAGTCCGATTTCACCACCAGCCGCTGCAGCGGCATACAGTTTTCGCGTTGCTGCTGGATGCGGATGCCATCGCGTAGTGCCCGACAGCAGGCGCTGAGCTCCGACATGACTATGGTGCGTGGACCCGGATACGAGTCTAGCGCGCTCGAGACGTTGTTCGGATTGCCATATCCCCAGAAGACGCCTATCGCTGCGCGTCCGGTGCCATGGTTCCTCAAGCAGTCGCCGCCAATCGCGACCACCAGGCTGTTGCGGTTGGGCGCGCGCGGCGCGCGGGGGGGCCCAGGCAGAGCCATGTGCACCCAGCGTCCGCATTTGTATTCGATGCGGCCGACGCCGTTATTGTACAACGTTTGGTAGTCGAGACGCCGCGGTACAACGGGATCCTCGATTTCGACCATTTTGCTGGGCTCGAGCTTGGTTTGTGATCAGATCGCTGCAAGGTCAGGACATTCAACCTCGAGATGCTCACCTCAAGGGATGATAACGAGCGGGAATGTTGGATGTCGTTGGATTCGTTATCTGTAAGACTTGCAAAGCTGTTAGTGAATCTGAACGCTGAACTGGCTGGTAAGAGCGGCTATGAGACCGTGAACAGAGTCGGAAGTCCTAAGAGAAATACGCGTCAAGAAGGTTCGACAGCACGCGGATGATGGTGAAGTGGCTGGTGAACACAGCTTCAGTTGATGTAACTAATGAGAATATGACGGAGAAGATGTGTAGTTGAGAGGATATCACCAGAAGGGAAGCATTGGCAAACGAAACGGGAAAGAGGCAGACATACTGAGCCTGGAGCCCAGCCCAGTCCAGTGTTAATGTATGGCAGTGGGAGTCGCGTGAGTAATCACAACAGCGAATATTTCTACGCGGCCACTGGCGAGTTGAGACATGAAACGAGTGAATTGAAGGTCTTTTATGAATGGTTCGAAGTAATTTATTCCGCCTGCAGATAAACTACTCAGCATACTAATTATCAGTCTAGCCAGGCCCTCAGGCAATCCACCACCAGATCCGCTCCAGCCAGTTCCGGGGCTTGCGCTCAAGGTCGTTCTCACAAAGCTGATCAATCTCATCTTTACCCGTGAACACATCCACCTCTGATACCTTGGTCATCCATGGGGTCCGATACCACAGCTTATGGCTCACATAGAGGACCAGGAAGAAGACAATGCCAATATAAGACACTAAGAAATCGGCTGCGGTGAATTTGCCCGGGAAGAAAACAGCATAACCATTGGTGATGGTCAGCAAGGTCACAATGAAGATCACATAGTATGCGCCGTAAGGCTGAAGGACAGTCTTGAAAGGCAGCGAGTCGAGCATGCCGTGGAAGTCCATTGCCTTGCGAAAGCGCTGCATCCGCATTAGCAATATTCATCAAGGTATCACACGATTGGAGGGGACTTACCAAGTATGCAATACCGACGAGCACCCAGCTAATGAAGCCACCGACAGTCGTAAGGTTGGTGAACCAGTAGAAGACTGTTGCACCGGAGTTGGATAGGTTTAGGAACGATAACAGACCCACCGCCCAGGTAACCAGAACTGCTACCCACGGCACACCGTTCCGGTTGCAACGAGTGAAGACTTTGGGCGCCTGGCCACCGCAAGCGAGTGAGTACAGCGTACGAGAGCCGGCATAAAGCCAAGCATTGCCCGAGGACCATGCGGACGTCAAGATAGCTGCGTTGATGACGTGGTTCAAGCCAGAAATCCCTGCATTTTGGATCGCAATCACGAACGGACTGGCACTGGCGGTCGAGCTGCCGCTGGCCACAGCGGACATGAGGTGGGGGTCGTTATAGGCCACAGTGACACCAATAACCAAGGTTCCCAGCACATAAAAGGTGAAAATTCGATAGATGAAACGGGTAGTGGCTTTGGGGATATTGCGTCGAGGAGCTTCGACCTCTCCAGCAGCGGTGGTGATTAACTCAGGAGAGAAGATGAAGGAGAAACCAGATTTGATGAAGGCAGTCCAGAAACTCAAGAAGCGCCCGGTGTTTCCACCCACCAGGTACGGCTTGAATGCGCCGGGGTGCTGCCAGTAGCGGAATCCTAATCGATCATGGCTTGGACCCCCGCCAAAGAACAGAACAACACCCAAGATGATTAGACCGATGATGGCAAGGATCTTAAGAGTGGCAAACCAGAACTCGGCTTCTCCATACCAAGAGACAGCGATAATGTTCAAGGCTAAAATGACTGTAGCGCTTGTTAGACCAGAGGACAAGCACCAAGAGATGCAGATGGACATACCAAGGAGAACGATGGCGATCCAGACGCCAACATTGACTGAGGTGGTCCAGTATTCTATGATGATCCCCGCCGCCGTGACCTCACTGGCCAGTAACATAGCAAACGAATACCTGCAGCTGATTAGTCCCTAGTACGAAGAGACAACAAGAGACAAGCTCACCAATAATTGTATCCTGAGATCAGTTAGTTCATGTCAATAGTCAACTCATGGCTGGAAAATAGTAGGGCTTACCAGCTGCAAAGCCAATGCTAGGCTCCGTATAGCGGCCAATAATGTAGGGCACGGAAATACCCTTGATCGGGAGATAGGTCGTCATCTCGCCCAACATGTTCATCACGAACCAAACGACCGACGACATGGCCATGTACCCCATGAAGAGCGGTGCTGGGCCGACACTTGACAGGGTCGAACCTGACCCGACAAAGAGACCAGTTCCAATACAACCACCGATGGCAATAAGCTGTAGCTGTCGAGAGGAGAGGCCACGATGGGTCTCCGTGTTGGGTCCCAGCTGAACCTCCCCCTTGAGTGCCTCAGGATCTTCATAGCTATCGATGTTGGGAGATTTTTCTTCGAACTTAACCTCCTCAGAGAACTTGGAGGTAGGAGTGGCCATGTTGTGCAAACCAGAAGTGTTGGGACTGGTGCCCTGAGTACAATTCTCCTATTGCAGACCAGGACCGCTTTATAGGATGACTGCTGGGGGACAATGCTGTCGCGAGAGGGAAATTTTGGCCGCGCTTATCAGCAACAACCATCATCCAAGATAACTTTACTTCAAGGTTAAAGCAAGAGATAGCGTCGATGGCGTTCTAAAGAAGTTGGCGATTGGTCTAGATGTGTCTGGGGAGAGCGGTTTAAGTGGGGATGGGCACCTTATCTCTCTGGCTGGCTCTGGTATACGAATGGGAAGGCAAAAGAGTTTGGGAGGGAGTAAGCCCAGTCCTGCTTATCTCGGTGCGGAGACGGGCTGATGCAATCATGGCGCGATGGACGGTCATTGCGTTGATTTTTAGCAAGTCATGAAGCGATAGACGATGTATAGATATGTTGGAGCTGCTTCCAGACATAAATAGATGTGAGATCCTCTCATGGCATTTCAGCATGAAAATCCGGGGTTGACTCTCCGCATTGTTTCAATGATGAATCCACCTCAATTGTCGACAATAATGAGTTTATGTTACCTAATGGTTCGGAGACAGTCCCTGGCCTGCCAAAGCTTGACCCATTCTCTGTCTGTCTATTGGATGCCCACCTGCATGTTTTATTGTTCGATGCTCGCTAGACTTGATCCAGTTTAGTCCGTCTGCCTTCCGGGCCGATACTCAAACTTTCTGCTCTTGTTGCCTGAAAACTCAGGACAGCCGGCTGTGGCAAGCCGGCATTTACTCATTTACCCCAAGTACAAGTCAATCCGTCCTTAGGAACGACGTAATTGTGATCATGAAAGATTGAGCCGTAATGTTATCAAAATCCTCACATCTTATCTTAACATCTATACTTTCCTTGAACAAAGATGCTGGTGTTGTCCCTCGCTCGCTTGGCCGGGCCGGTCAACCTGTGCTGCGCCGGTGGGGCTTTCGACTACCGGCCCGTCCACCGGGCGGTCTTATCAGTTTATCGACGACTCTCAATTCTCCCGGACTGGGATTGAGCCTCCGCACAGCCTCACATCACAATATCAGGTGGTCATTACCTCGGACACCTTGAAGTTTATAGAATTGATAGCCTTGGTTGATACGTCATTGGTACAGCACTAACTCTGGAGGAATCCCAAACTCCTTACGGCTTTCGAACAGTCCTTCCTGCTTTTCCCCATCATTCGCCGCCAGTATATTTTCAGGGCATCTTGGGGTGGCAAGGGAATTTGTGTAACTTGGTCCAGCCCCAGAGTCCACACGTCAGATGTTGCGGGGAAAAATCGATCTAGGGGTGAGCAAGACGCCTACAGGCGATTAATGCGAAGAATATCACCGTATACATTAATTCAGCTCATGATACATGTGCTACCACCCTTGGTCACCATATCTGAATAGTACAGAGTGCTGTTGTGAAGTGGTGCATCTTCTTTAAATCAAGGTCAGACTTTTACACCATGCAACTTAGAACTCTTCTGCTTCTTTGTGCTATAAAATCGGTGGACTTTTGCTTTCGAAACAGTTTAGGCAATACTATAGATCTGGAGGATATATTGACTGCAGGCTCGGTTCCGGGCTCCATGCCGGACAGGCCGGGGGTGGGGTCATCTTGTCGATTCGACCGTGGATCGCCTGAAGAAACATTGAACCATTAGCACATTCAACACGATCTGGCAGGAAAAGACTAAAGATGAGTTTAAGTTATTCTAAGCTTTTAGCTTCTATCCCAGGATGCACTGTGCTGAAGGTTGTCAATGAAGTTGTCAAATAGATTCACGTTATCAATTTACCCCGCTTATCTAAAACTGAACAGACACCGGAGCACCCCTCCGATGCATCCACACCCCTCCATAGATCAATCGGTCAGCTCCTCCGACATCGTCTACGCAAGCTACTCTCGATCAATCTGATAGTCGGTGATTAGATAAAGCCCAAGTGCTTCATTACCAGCGGAAACGACACCGCTTGTCAAATCAGGCCTGGCCACTCTCCAACATACATCCGTGAATCCTCCCTCGGCACCTACAGACCAGCCATCATAATTCTAATCCACGATGCGTATCCTGGCCGAGCCCGACATTTCGCAGATCCTGCGCGAGTTGACCCAGTCACAATGCCACGACTTCCTCAAGGCTCTTTGCGACTCCCTCACATCAGTCTTTAATCAGTCGACCGTCCCCGAGGAGGAGCGCCTCATCCACCAACCCCTCCGTAGCACCATCCTCACCAAAGAGCAGAATCTCTCGCTCTTCATGCCGGTTTCCAACACTGCAAGCACAGGCATCAAGATCGTTACTGCCTCTCAGTCCCACGGCATTATTGGGGTTATCAACATCTTCTCCCCGGAAGGTAGTCTCCAAGGTCTCTTGAGCGCCGCCGAGATCACTGCCTTTCGCACAGCCCTGACAATCATGTCCCTCCTCGTTCGCTGCCAGTCTCTCCGCAAGGAGAACGTGATCATATTCGGCTCCGGCCGTCAGGCCGAATGGCACGCCCGCTTGGTCCTCCTCTTGTTCCCAGGGCAGGTGCGCTCGATCACCATCCTCAATCGCGGCCGCGCGCGACTCGTGGAGCTGGAGAAAGAGGTCCTTGGGGAATTACGGGCTGCGCATCCGCACGTTACAATTACGACTATCGCCAAGGACGATGCAGACCCCAATGTTTATGAGGAGAAGCTGCGGGCGGCGCTGCAGACGTGCGATGTCCTGTTCAGCTGCACACCGGCCACGCAGCCCAACTTCCCCGCTTCGTATCTACAGCCGTTCCGGCAGAGGTTCATCTCGCTGATCGGATCGTATAAGCCGCATATGCGGGAAATCGATACGGAGACGTTGCTCTCGGGGGGAGGGAAAGTCTACGTGGATTTGAAGGAGGCGTGTTTGGAGGAGTCTGGCGAGTTGATTCTGGCGGAGATGACGGAGGATCAGTTGGTAGAGGTTGGCGAATTGTACGGTGAGTTGGGGTCGGAGAGGCCGGTGGATGTAGCTGAAGGGTGCAACGTAGTGTTCAAGTGTGTGGGTATGGGGATTATGGATTTGGTTATTGGAAATAAGCTTTTAGATGTTGGACGAGAGAGAGGCATTGGCATGACAGTAGACGGTTTCTGAGGTGCTGGATTGTTGAGGATGGCAACGTGTGTGAATTGAAAGCTGGACTGAGAGTCAATGCAACAGTTGTTTATTTATATATTGGCGGCTGGCAGTGGTGATAATGCAGTTCCACTGTTTGCCGGACCCGCCAAAGTCAAACCCGCTCTTCTTCCTTCCTTATCAGTTCGCCTTCCTCGTTCCTTTTCCCCTGGAGAGGATTAAATTCCGGGCATTTTTTCCCTTGGCTAGTATCTTTCCGCGAAAACACCGCCTTTTCCTCTTTCTTCCCTGACTTATCCTCTTCTCTCTCTTCTCTCGCCTCCCCATAATCCTCATCGTTTCCGCTTCCCCGCATGGGCATGCTTTGAATTTTACCATGCGTTTGTCGCTACATCGCCCTCCTTGATCTCGAACAGCTATGGACGAGGGCCCAACCACCCCTGCTGGTCTGGGCCAGCAGAAACGACCCCGCGTTTCCGAGGAAAACCGCAAACGAGCCGTGCGAGCGTAGGGTAATCCCCTTCCGCGTTTCCGTCTTCTTGCTTACACAATCAATTCCAGCTGCGATGGCTGTCGCCGAGTGAAGGAGAAATGCGAAGGAGGCGTGCCGTGTCGCCGATGTCTGCGGTATCGGCGACAATGCGTCTTCACCCACCCCGACCATGCGGAGAAGATCGCTCGTTCCTCGCCCATTTCGTAAGGCCCTCTAATCGCCTTTCATATTCTTACATACATTCAACGTTTTATCCAGTTATGACACAGACTAATACAGCTACCGATCTAGTTTACTCGAACGAAGCGCGGCGCTCAGAGGACATGATATTGCCGAGTCGGAGCGGGTCCGATGCATGGAACGCATCCTCCAGCACTATGTTCCCAACATCTCATTTGACGTTCACACTCTGCGGAAGATGGCCGAAGATTTGAAACACAAACATCGAGGCTCTGCGACGGAGGCATCTTCAACGCAGCACGACGGAGAAGAGATGGAGGATCTGGCTATCGATGATGAGGATTTCACCATCAAAGCCTTACCGGATAATACTACTCGTGGGTGTTTCAAGTCCAAGGATAGAATCGCGTTCTGACTCGATTCACAGAGTACTCGGGAGAATTCTCCTATCTCAACTTCTCCATGAAGATTCGGCAGAAAATCGACGAATGGATGAAACATGCTGGACCAGAGGTATGCACATCATGCGCGCGGGATTGTAGATACTCTTTATTGACATTCTTTCAGGCATCCACGGAGACAGAGCCGTTCGAAGAGCGATGGCGGGCAACCCAACTGCAGTCCGGATCGACTCTAGTATCAACCTCAGTGACCTGTCTCCCGCCTCGATTTGTGGCGGACTTTCTGGTGCAGATCTTCTTCAAGTATGCGCAGACGAACAATTTTTATGTCGAAGAAGATTGGTTAAAGGATAAACTGAACATATGCTACACGGATCCGTCGAGCCTGTCTTCCAAGGATGCAGGCACTGTATGCGCTATCCTGATGGTACTAGCGGTCGGCACTCAGTTCGCACACATGGAATCGGCCACATCTGTCAACCGCCTGTCCTCGAATTCTGCTTTCGCTGATGACCACCACTTCTCCGAGGATGACGTTGGCCTCACCTTCTATCAGTTTGCGTCGAAGCTGCTTCCCGATATCATCGCCACGGCTTCTGTCCGAAGCGTGCAAGCGTGTCTTCTCATTGGAACCTACCTTTTACCGCTTGATACCTCGGGACTGTGCTACACGTACTTTGGATTGGCATTGAAAATGGCCATACAGAATGGCATGCACCGGAAGTATTCTGGGGAGGGAATGTCCCCTCGTATGGTGGAGATTCGGAATCGTGTCTTCTGGACGGCATACACGATAGAAAAGTAGGTGCCCAATCAACGTTTTGCATGACCACTGCTGACACTCTTCAAGGCGCGTCAGCATTCTTCACGGGCGGCCGGTATCACTCTCCGATGCAGACGTGGATGCACCGTTCCCAACGGACTTCCCTGGTCTGACACCGTCTGGACATGTCGCAAATGACACAAACATGGTGACGCTCATCAAGTTGACATTGAAACTCGGCCAAGTCGCGAATGAAATGTACGTTCTTCAACTTCAAGGCAGCTTACATTTGACTAACAGTGAACCAGATCCATCCTGCGTAAATCGCGAAAGAATCAACAATCGGATTGTCTAGAGCGACTACTGAACCTCCGCAAATGCTTGGTTGACTGGTGGGCCACCTTGCCAGAGGAAACGAATTGCCGAGATCTCAACCCTTCGGGTCCCCTTTTTCGCTCCAATGTCCATCTCAAGCTAGACTATTGCCTGACTCGGATCTTCCTTGGACGGCCATTTCTGTTTAGTAGCATGAGGGCCATCACAGTTCCCGGCGCCCCGCTCAAGACCCCATCGGGGCTGTCGAAGAGTCGCTCAACATTAGTCACTGATTGTGTGGAGGCCGCACTCGAGATCATCGATCTGTGCCGTTTACTGCGCGATGAACCCGGCCTTGCGCGCGCTTCCTTCACTGAGTTCAGTTCGTGCCGCGCTGCTCTTCTGGTCATTCTCGCCCAGAGCTTGACCAAACGCACGGAGCGGCTGCGGGAGGCGCTCGACAAAGGTATGGCTCTCATTAAAATCATGTCGATGGGTGTTGGCTCTGCGAGGTCTGCTGTGAGTGTCATCGAAACTCTTGAGCGGGCGATTCGTCGCTTCGAAGAGTACAGTCAGACGCAGCCCCAAGGCAGTGCTGGCATGATGGAGTCGGCCTATGACCGTTTCAAGAACTGGGAAATGCTATGGAAGACGGGCCCCATATCTCCCGACCCAATGTCGTTTCCCGATCAGTACCCCTCTAGTGGCGGTGTGATGCCACCTGTTATGACGCCTATGACTGGTCCACCGACGACGAACGAGCCAGCAGAAGGTGAGCTTGCCAATCCCAGTATCCCTGATTCGACCGAGTTCTCTGTGTCGCATCAGCTGTCAGAGATGCCTCACTTTGGACTGGATCATTTTGTTGCAAACTTGCCGCAAGAGCTGGGCGAGTTCACGGCAATCCCGTGCTTTGAGACAGATAACCAGTCCACCCTGAGCGGGGAGATAAAGCCCGGGGCTTCCGACACGCGGTGGATGAATTTTATGAATGAATAGTGTTTCCGACCTCGGCCGGGCTTTTGTGATTTTGACAGCGCTGCATCGTTTGGGTCCATGCATGGCGGTTGCATTGCCATGGATCAGTTTTGAGATACCTAGCTCGTGTATATTCAACGATTTGTCCAGACCATTAGTCTACATAACATATATCTGAATGTCCATATTAAACAATTGTAATTGGATATAGCTTGATGAAATGATGTACATGCTAAACTGGGATATCTACTCAAACACAACCTTCTTACCCGCGAACGCCGCAGTGGCCTTTTGCTCCTTAGCCTTCTTTGCCGCCTCCCAGGATGGATGCAGAGGCTTGTCATCCTGTGGCTTCTTCGGAGGCCCTCGTTGAGGCCGGCTATCATCGTACTGCGGCCGACCCCGTCCGGGGCCTGCACCATGACCGTATCTCCCTCTGGGACCCCCGCTGCCATCCGTCGCTCCCTTCCGTGCATCCCACCCGCCATCTCTCCCTTTTTTGCCCTTTTGTTGTTCTTGTTTGACATGATTCGCTCCCGCGCCGTACTTCTTCTCCCACAGCGCCCGACGCGCCTGTTGACCCATGCGGTTCTTGCGCCGCGGCGGCTCAGCGGTTTCTCGGTCAATGTCTTCGGCTTCAGACTCAGATCCGGACCAATACCCACCCATCATGAGAGAGGGCAAGAAAGTAGTGCTGGTCGCGGGCTTCGCGGATCCTTTCTGGACGGACTTAGACTTCTTCGAGGGAGGTGAGTCGGAATCTTCTTCCTCGTCTACTGCCTCCGGAGTGGGGGAGCGCGAGATGGAAATATCAGAGGGAGCTCTCCTCTGCACCATACGACCGTCAACGTCGTCACCGTCTTCATCGTCCTCATCGTCGCTGTCGCCGAGAATCTGCCGCCGGGTAACCATTTCGTCGTCTTCGTCATCATCAGAGCCCGACGCAAGCAACCCATCGTATTGCGCATAATCAACACTCTCCGCATCGTCCATACTGACATCTTCATCGCCCTCCCCGCTCGCAAGCCGGGATCGCGACAGGCCCTCCGACTCACTACCGGAGACTTCATCCGCCGCCGCATTCTTCTGTTCCGGCTTCTTGTCATCCTTCTTCTTCGTCTTCTTATCGGCCTTGTCATTAGCGCCCTGCTCCTTCTTCTGCTTTTCCGCCGCCGCCGCAGGCTTCTTGTCATCAACCTTCAACAACGCCCGAATCCCGTCCATAATCCCCGGAAACACATTCTGCACTGGCGTCGACTTGATCAAGCGAGCCGTCACATTCGCCTCGTAATTATTCTTGGGCCCCTCCGCCGACAATTTGCTGCCCATATGTTCCTGGAATTCCTTGAAGGTCGGCGACTCGGCGATCCGTTTCGTCTTGAGCAGTTGCTTGTACAGGTACTTCTGCGCTGCCTTGGATGGGTCCAATTCCTACCCCCCTCAAGTATATTAGCATTGCATTCTCTTCCCAATATAATAGCGTCATCAAGCGCGACCCTTTCCGTCGTCGCAAATCCAGACTCAAAGGGTAAGTCAATACGCACCTTCAAAATCCTCGCCTCCTCCGCCATCCGCTCCACCGCGTCCGCCTTCCCCTCATCCTTGACCCTATTCTCCCGACGCTTCCACTTCTGGCGCTCGAAGCCGCGCGCAAGCTTCAGGGCTTTGGTGAGCGATTCCACGCCCTGGCTGTATTTGGTTTTCAGGCGGTGCGTCTGGATATGTAACGAGCGGGGATCGGATTTGTCTGTCACTTCGGATAGTTTGCGTTTCGGCATTTTGGTGTGTTTTTCTTGTGAAGGAGGTTTTTCGAGGAGAGGTGTGGTTTCTTTTTCCTTGTGTTGTAGATCGGGGAAGTTTTTTGGGGCGTGGGTTTTTGCGGCCCGCGGGAATTGTCTGGCAGAATAATTGATAGATTCTGCCGAGGCGGCAAGACGGTAAGTAAAGGCGGAGGGGGGTTTTGGAGGGTGTCGATTGGGTGGTCGGGATGACTTTAGCGGGTTGGTTATTGGTGGGCTTTTTTGGGGGGTTATCTACTATCGTGGATGTAGGTATGGATTGCCAGGTGGTTTAGTGTAGATTCAGATGTATTGTTAATATATTGTGTAATTGGGTTGGTGTATGCAGGTGCTGCGTTTAGGGAATTATGAGTTTGTATAGGCTGTGACTAAGAGACAGGTTACAATTGTCGTGTGGGAAAAGGTTCAATCAGACTACGTCAACGATCGAACATCAACGTCACAAATAATTCAGACATAGACGCGGTATGTACATACAGAACAAATCAAAGAAAAATGAGTCATCTAAGCTAGCCCTCCTATTTCTTTTCCTCCTCCTTCGGCGGCTCTGGCTGGGGAGTAGGGAGTTTGAACTAGACAAGTTAGCGTTTGGGTTTCTCTTCCAAGGGATCAACAGAACAGAATCACATACCGACTCGGGAGTCCGGTCGGTACCCGCCCCAACAGGCTCCCAGGCAGTGGAACCACTCTCAAAGTTCCGGAAGGCCTGCGTCAACTCGAGAGGCTCGATGACGATGCGCTTCTTCTCCTCGTCGTACCGCAGCTCCGTGTATCCAGTCAAGGGGAAATCCTTGCGCAGCGGGTGGCCGTCGAAGCCGTAGTCGGTCATGATGCGGCGCAGATCCGGGTGGCCGGTGAAGAAGACGCCGAACATGTCGTAGACCTCACGCTCGTACCACAGGGCGCCCTCGAAGAGACCCGTCACGCTGGGCACGGGGCTGGCCTCGTCGGCGTAGGTCTTGACGCGGATGCGCGAGTTGTAGCGCACGCTCAGCATGTTATAGACGACCTCGAAGCGCTGATCGCGCGTCGGGAAGTCCACGCCCGTGATGTCCGAGATCTGCGTGTACTCCGCCGCCGTGTGGTACTTCAGGAAGGTCATCGTCGGAATCAGCCCCGAAGGCGGCACGTAGATGCACAGCTCGTCCTTCCACACTGAGAACTGCTGCACGTGCTTCGGCAGGCACGACATGATGTACTGCCCGTACTTGTGCAGCGCCTCAGCCTTGTCGCTGTGCTTGTCCGCTGGGTTGATCACGGGGGCGCGCAGGGGTCCCTCGGCTGCGGGGGGAAGATCAATGGGTTAGCTGAATGGTTTGATTGTTTTGAGGCGCAATTGCTTTGTGGATTGGGGATGAGCCACGAGGGCAATTCATCACATACGAGACCGCTGGGCGTGGCGCATGTTGGGGACATCCGGGATCGTCGAGGCCTTCAGGGCAGTCGTGCTGAAAGCACGGGCGGATGACCGAGTTGCGGATGACAGGGCACGGCCGGTGCCCAGCCGCATCAAGGAGCGAGTAGCAGCCATGGCGAGCAATGACAATGGCAGGAGGTGGATGCTTTGGAGACGTGAGAGGGGGGGAGGTCGAGCAGCAATAGCGGCGGAGATTCCCTTGCAACTGGAGCTTTTGCCCCAAGATGTGCACGGTCACGTGCATGAGCACTGACATAAGCGGATCACTCCGTGGATTTCTGCCTGGTGTCTGAGGCATGAAGGCTGTCCGACGGAGCGTGCAAACACAGCAAACCCGTGCAAACCCGATCCAGCAAAGCTTCACTTCTCGCTATTCTCTGTTCGCCTCCAACTCTCCCTCTTCCCTCTTGCGTCTTGCGTCCCTCTTGCTGCTGCTGCTGCTGCTCACTGCTTCTCTCCTCCTTCCCTCCCACCTCCCCCCAATTACCCCACGTTTCTATCTTCGCCCTACGGACTTGGTCCTGCTTCTTTATTCTATCCTCTTCTTTCCTCTTGGGCGCTCTTTTACTTGCCTCTTTTGCTCCCCTTTCTCTTTAACTTTCCGTCCACGCCCACACTCACACCACCCCCCCCCTCCTACCCTTCCGCACCGGTCCTGGTTGATGGGTGTTAGTCTTTACTGGTGATCGTCGTCCCCGTTTTCACTTGTACATCTCACAGCTTCTTCGACAATCATGTCAAGTCGTCAACAGATTGATTCCGTCATCGACGATGACGACGAGTTCTGGTACGTGTGGCCTTGCGCCGTCGGGTGCGTCCTTGGGCTGACAACCGCTGGCTTTCTTCAGCCCTCTCTGTATCGAAGAGTTCGATCTATCGGATAAGAATTTCAAACCTTGTCCCTGTGGGTACCAGGTACGTCTTTTCGCTCTTGTCTTGTCGGCCCCTGTCGAGCCGAATCGCTTCTGTCGCGTCTCGTGCCACCAGTCACTGGTTTTGTTGCTAACCTGCTGATCCTCGCAGATTTGTCAATTCTGCTACAACAATATCAAAACCCACAGTGAGGAAGGCCGGTGCCCCAACTGCAGACGTGTCTACGATGAAAGCACCATCCAGTACAAGGTCCCTGATGCCGACGAGTAAGTTAACTTCCCGCCGCAAAGTGGTTGGCACCCACACCCTCGGCCCGGTCTTGGCGCTAACGGTTTCTGTTCCGCAAATTTCTAGATTCAAGGCAGACCTCGCCCTCAAACATCGCAAAGCCGCCGCTGCGAAGAAGAAGGAGGCCGAGAAACGCGAGATCGAAGCCTCCAGTCGGAAGAACCTGGCCGGTGTTAGAGTCGTGCAGAAGAATCTCGTTTACGTGATTGGTCTCAACCCCACAATACGGGACGAGAGTCAGCTGCTGCAGACGCTCCGCGGCAGAGACTACTTCGGTCAGTACGGTGATATCGAGAAAATTGTCGTTAGCAAGGCAAAGCCCGGCGGCAACCCGAACCAGGGCATCGGCGTCTACGTGACATACGCGAGGAAGTCGGATGCCGCAACCTGTATAGCGGCGGTCGACGGGTCGGCGAATGGTGACCGGGTGTTACGGTAGGTGGATTCTCTGCTACTCTGATGGGTGGGATTTCGACACGGTGGTCCAGAAACTAACAGTCACAGGGCGCAATACGGCACCACGAAGTATTGCTCGTCATTCCTCCGCAATGAACAATGCCACAACCGGAACTGTACCTTCCTGCACGAAACCGGGGAAGATAGCGATAGCTATAGCCGCCAGGATCTTTCGTCCATGAATACCTTGTCCAGTCAACGGCCAAACGGAGCACCGACTCCACCCACCTACGCAATCCCGCCGCACGTTACCCGGACCTCTGCTCAACCTTTGTCGCAACCGATGCGCCGTCAACCCAGTCGGGACGATGCCGCTGGCAGTCGACTGCCCGATGGCCCCGCTCTCCCCTCGTCAGCTAGCTGGGCGAACAAGGATGCTGTTTTGAGTCGTGCTAGGCGGGCTAGTCTCACAGGCAGTCAAGCGTCACAGAGCCCTCGCCCTGCCAATGCTACGGTCGCGCCTGTCCTGGAAGAACCCAAACCGGTGGAGAAATCGCCGCCGTCTACGCAGCCGGAAGCGGTTCAACAGTCGCCCTCCCCTCCCGAGCGAAGATCCTCCACTCCCCGTTCCCCTGAGGTCGCCCAGACGCCTCCCCAACCTGAGACCCCTCTGCTGGACAATCTGGTCAAGGCTGTCAACTCGCCCGACTTCAAGTTCATCTTCTCGGCGGCTGGCCTGTCCGCGGAAGAAGTTACCCTGATCGAAAATCATCCCTCGTTCATCGACCCTTACGGTGGTGTCAAACGCCGCGCCATGCGCGAAAAGGCCGAGCAAGAGCGCGCCAGACGGGAACAGGAGTTGCTTCAGTCAGCCGCTGCCGAGGAAGAAAGTCGGGAGAGCGGAAGCTTGCAGCTAGGTGGTGAGCCTGATGATGTTATGCCTCCTCGGGGTCGCAGCGGTCGTGAGTCTCACGGTGCCATTCAACCCCCCTCCCAGCAAGGCACAACCGAGAATTCTGCCGTGGGCTCGCCTGTCTCTGCCACAAGCCACCAGTTCCAACAACTTCGTCAGCAACTCAACCTGGCTGGTCGCAGTCTGACTCCCCTGCAACAGCAGCAGCTACTGATCCTGAAGTCTGCCAATGACCGGGCTACCCTTGAACAGCTGCAGGCGGGGCTTGGCTCTGCTGCTCTGGATCAGGCTGCTCAGGTCCGTCAGGGTCTCCTCCAGAGTCAAATGGCGCAGTTCAATACGCTCCAGGCACAGAATCGTCAGAACTCGCGCTTCTCTTTCGCCAACGAAGCCAACTCAAAGAACTTGCCAAATGCCCGCATGCTGAGCCAGCAAGCATCGTTAATGCAGTCGGCTGGAACGCCCAACCCTCTCGCGGCGCCCAGTCCACAGCACGGACTTAGCGGCGGCTACTTCGCCAGTGGTGTTCAGGGACCACCTCCGGGCTTGAAGACGGCTGGTACGCCTCCGATCAGCGGCGGTGGCATGTTCGCACAAGGACACGGTTTTACCACCAACAACAGTCTCGGACTCGGAGGCAGCATCGGCAAGCAAGAAGCGAATCCCGACTTGATGCGTGAGTTGCTGCGTGGCCGTAACAGTGCCGGTGCCAGTGGTTTGCAGGGTCAAGAAGCCGCCAAGCGTGAGTTTATCCTTCCTTTCCTCCAGCAGCACCAAACCCCCCCTCCCCTGACTCCTGCCAATAATGGCCTTCTCAGCTCTTTCTATGGCTCTCAGACGGGGGCTTTCTCCGAATCTGGGCCACAGAAGCAGAAGAAGAAGGGGAAGAAGCACAGACACGCTAACACTTCCTCCGGTGGAGGTGGTGTAGTAGATCTTGCGGACCCGAGTATCCTACAGGCGAGGATGCATCAGAATGCTGCTGCTACTGCTGGGCAAGCACTGTACGGGAGTCAGGGCCAAGGAGGTGGGTACAATCAGACCATGATGTATGGCGGCGGATTCAACCGCTGGTGATTGTTTCCCTTCCCTTTCCATCTTATCCATACGTCTTCCTAATGCCCTAATTGCCTTGTCGTTTCCCCTTCTCGCCCTGTTCTTCATGATGACTACCCTTTCCCTCTGCATGTAATCCCATTACCTCTGCTATGCTTTTTGCGCTTTCATCTCCCATTTTTTCTTTGTTCTTGATGACATGATATCATACTTATCTAGATGGGTCCGGGATATGATCTCTTATCTTTCTCTTTGCGATGTTGCCCTTTCTCATTCGATGTTGAAAACTTTGCGACATATTCCACTCCGCAACGATGCATTAAGCAAACGGCTCTTGAAAAAACAAGGAATTCGGGCTGGGCGTGCCCTTGGCGTTATCTCTCATGGAACTGTTATTTTTGCGTTTCTGTTTCTCTGACCTGTCTTGATTCGTGTCTCCTTCTTCCTGCTTGTTGTCCTGCTGTTGTGTCCCGCGCGAAGATATGGCGTCCCTGCAGTCCGTGGGCTCCTGGTGTCTTCCAAGTCCACTGCAGCTGGGTGGCTGTCGTTTACTCCTGTTCTTGCATCCATGCTGCGTTGACCTATCAGCATCTTGGTGGCCCAATCGGTCTGGTCATGGTTTTCATGTACGTTAACCTCCCTGCCCTGGCTTTCGATAAACACAAGCAGGGCCCTCTATCCGAAACCAATTTCTCACAACCACTGTTCTTTTAGACACTATGCCTTGTGTGTCTTCCTGGCCACACCGGTTGGGGACCTTTATGTAATTAATTGTCTGCCTGCCCCTCTCGTATCTGCGCGTCGTCTCGTTCTGTCTCGGGAGAGTGTCGGCATGCCCTGCTTTTTTCTTCTTATTTCGATCGTTGGGGTTTCGTCATTTTTCACCTTTGTCACCTCTACATGATATCACACACACTCACGCATCTTTTCATATGAAGATGGCTAACCGAGTCGTTTCCCTAGTTGACGAGGAGTTCCCTCCTCTTGGAGCGCAGCCGAAGGACAAGCGTCCGGTCGACACCTTCGGATTTCTTGTTCGCTCACAATTTGCTAGCGATTCGCAAAGCTCTGCTCGAGCCGGAACGCCCACTTTACCTCCAGGCCTTCCCCTCCCTCACGCTCATCCCGCATCAGCTTTGTTTCAAAGTCCATTGAATCCATCCAGCCCGACTACCTCGGTGTCCGTGCCGCCAGGACTAAATCCACCGTTTTCTCGATCAGGAACTCCGTCTCAAGCATTCCAGGGGCTTATCTCTCGGCAACAGTCACCCGAGGTGAAAGATACGCCCGAAGAAGTCCCCGCGTCTAATCGGGTCAAGAACGTTTCTGAGATATCATTGGGCTCTCCTGTACCCAAATCCGCCAGCAAGGCTCGCTCGCAACCAAAGAGTGACCTAGCCGTTGCAACGGACAAGGAGAACGTCGGCGCGTCCAAGGCTGCCTATGCCAATGAGAAGACTGTGTCTACCCCGGTCAAGACCAAGCCTATTAAGCTGGAACTTTCTCTGAATACTCCTCAGGATGCCCTCAAAGCAGAGCAGGCGGCTCCTAGTACGCACGGACCAGCTCCAGTTTCCGCGATTGGCTCTCGTCCCAACACCCCATTGACAGGAGTTTCGCGGGCCTCTGACTCTTCAGCTCCACGCCAGCCACGGGTGCTTCGGGTGGTCGACACGCCTAAGACGGAGACTCCGCCTCCTCCTTCTGCCCCTCAATCTGTTTCGTCTTTGCCGGCCGCGAACAAAGTCCGGTCTCGGCGCCCCAGCATCTCTTCCATGAGCAGGCCAGATACCCCAGGCGACTTGGGATCCGAAGCGGATCTTTACACTTCGGCATCTGTGTCTCGTGCTAACTCCCCTCCCGCCTCCTCCCGGATCGGCTCTGCTCCCGTCCGGGCTATCACCAAGAGCCAAGCTAAGAAAGAGCGACGTCAGAAGGCCAAGGAGGCGGAAGCCAAGAAGCACGAGTCGTCTACCATAGCAGAAGAACCCGTTCAAGCTCCCATCATCGGGCGGAAGCGCAAAACCAAGAAGACTCCTGCGAGCACTAGCGAAACATCGACTGCAGGACCCGAAACGGCCACGGAAGCTGCAAAGCCTAGCACTCCTGGTAGCTTTGAGAGCGACGAGAAGGCACAACAGCGGCCTGAAGCTGTCAAGAAGATTAAGTCCAAGGAGAAGGTGTCTCAGGTGCCCAAGCCTGCCCCAGCCGAGGAGAAAGCCACCCCCGAGCCTAAAACTCCTGCTGAGGCCTGGCGTTCAAAGAACACTGTGGAACAGTTGATCAAGGATGCAGAAGCCAGCGGCGTTCCTGTCAAGGATCTATTCGCAGAACGGACATCTCCGCTGCAGGTTTTACTTGCGCAACTCCACAGATCAGGCCATTTAGATCTGAATCACCACCCCTTGTTCAACCCCACCAACCTCAACCAGCGGTTCGACATGAAGTGCACCTCGGACGATTATGAGATCCTGAAACAGCCAATTGAGCTTGCCGAGGAACACCGCAAGGCTCTGCTCCGCGGAGAGCCTATTCGGATTCACTCTGATCCTGGTTTGCTGAAGGACCGTTGTCTGATCACTCCTCGCGGTTGCGTTCTTCGCCACCTGTCGCAGGATGAGGAAGACCGGTATCTAGCGCTGGAGAAAAGCATCGCCTGGGCGATTGAGTCCTTCCAAGATTACTCTTCTGCTCCCATCACGGAACCGGATGTGACGAATCGCGGTGGTGGTCTTGATGCCCTCTTCGCCACGCCGGAGAACTTCAACATTTGCTGGGCCGACGATACCTCTGTTAGCCTTTCCTCAGTCTCGGCCTCGGCTTCGCTGGCTGGGCCTGAAGTTGGCAGCTCGTCTAGCGTCCCTGCTCCCCCCAATGTTCTCTCGGCCATGGAAGCGGACAGCACGCGTAGTCATAACTGGGCCATTGCCAATACTGCGGAACTGGTGAATGCAACTGCTACTTCGGTGCGCTCCTTTGCGGCTGCCACGGCTAAGCACATGCTGGGTGCGGCTGGGGTGGTTGTGGGCAGTATCCCGGACCTGGACGACGTAGTGGGTATGACGGGAGAAGAATTGCGCTCGTTTGCCGTCAAGTCGCAGAAAGATCTCGAGTCGTCGCGCAAGGAACTGGACTCGATCGACAAGAAACTCAATGCGTTGGTGAAGCGGAACCGGAAGCTTGCGCAACAGGCTCTAGCTACCACTGTTGATGGATGAAGGACTATTTGATTGTTTTCACATTATTCTGTATTGCCTTTGTTTGTTTCTTGTCATGAGCACCAGGCCTCTGTACGTCTCAGGGCTTGGCTGTATCTGTACGATTATTGCACTACACTACACTGGTAGATACGATTGCATGGTGTTTAGGAAGGAGTCATTGAGGATGGATTAGCGGGTAGAAGCATGATCATACTACAGACATTGGGATTACAGAAATAATTTAGTATTGAGCTGCCATGAGATTTGAGGTTACATGGTGTGTTCCTTCGTAGGTAAGATCTGCACTGCACCGCAGCCACTAGTCCCGCTAATGCTTGTTTGGTTTCTCTTGCTCAACCTTCCCATTCGGTGGTACAGACGACGGACTGACTGTCAATCCCCACCTGCGCAATGCTCGAATGGCCTGATGATGGTGATGGTGGTGGTGAAAGAGTGCAGAATAACAAGGCAGAGACCCGAGTAACCAAATATCTGGCTGCATACCAGGCCAATGTCGTCCGGGCATTCCGCGCAACCAACACCACCTCCCTAGCTCCGTCACCAAGAGTTACTGACTTATATTAGTTTGAACTTGGACCCTTGGTGCTGCAGCCTGGAGAGACGTCACGTCACTGCCACTTCACTTTCGGCTTAACTCCGATTCTGTGCGTTGTCGTGTGGAATGGAATAAGACCCCTCTCCTCCCTCTCCCTCGAATCTCTCCCTCTCCCTCGATCTCTCTCTCTCTTCCCTCTCCCCCTCTCGGAACTTCATCATCCCTGTGGAAAGCGCAATTCATACCCTGCACGTTGCAGGCAGACTAAAAAAATGCGTATCCCAATTGACTTTAAACCTACAACCCCTACAACAACAACATCAACCCTAATAAGCCTCCTCCTAATACCACTAGCAACCACCTCCGCCCAATATGTCCGAGACCTAAGCGCAGAGCACTGGACGCTGAGCAGTGCCACCGCGTTGCAGAATCGCACCGTGTCTGCGCGGTTTCCGTCCCAGGTGCATATGGATCTTTTGCGGGAGGGGATCATTGGTATGTCTCTTCTTTGGGTTCTTTTCTTGGAGGATGTGCCGGATTATGTGGGTTTGAGATTCTGATTGTGTTTGCGCATTGCAGATGAACCGTAAGACTTATCGAACCCAAATACTACTTGAATGGGTTGGGGAAGTTTATGAAGGTGGTTGACTGATGCGCGCAGGTATCGCGATTTGAATGATTTTGAGCTGCGGTGGATTGCGGATGCGAATTGGACGTATACTAGTGCTGGGATACAAGGGCTGTGAGTTTGACCTGATTCTCTTTCTTCTCTTTTTTCTATGGTTTGGGGGGAGGTGGGGTTTGAAGTTGGTTGGTTGACTGATTGTCCCAGTGGTGATGACTACGATTCGACGTGGCTGGTGTTCGACGGGCTCGACACCTTCACTTCGATCTCCTTCTGCGGACACTTCGTCGGGAGCACGGATAATCAGTTCCGGCAGTATATATTCGATGTTTCGTCCATTCTGAAGCAATGTGATGGGGACCCGGCTTTGAGTATTGAGTTTGGCAGTGCGCCGCGGATTGTGGATGCGATTGCGCAGGATCCCGCTTCGCCGAGTAAGTTGTCGCGTTGGGCTTCTACTTGAGGATTGACTTGTGGTGAGATGGTTTGGTTGATTCTCTGAAAATTCTAGCGTGGCCCGAGGGCGTTCAGATCACGTATGAGTATCCCAATCGCTGGTTCATGCGCAAGGAGCAATCCGATTTTGGCTGGGATTGGGGCCCGGCCTTTGCGCCTGCTGGACCCTGGAAGCCCGGTTATGTCGTGCAGTTGAAGAAGGCGGAGAAGGTCTATGTTCGCAACACTGATGTCGACATCTACCGGCGGGGCCAGATCAACTACCTCCCGCCCGATCAGAGTCAGCCGTGGGTAGTCAATGCCAGCATTGATTACCTGGGGACTCTGCCTGAGAGCCCGTCGATGGTGGTTCAGGTGAAAGACTTGCAGACAGGTAAGACTCTTGCTTCGCGCTCTTTGGCTAACATCACCGTGACGGAGGGCTCGGTCACGGGTGTGACGGTGTTGGATGGAGTCACGCCGGAGCTCTGGTGGCCGCAGGGTATGGGGGCACAGCACCTCTACAATGTGACCATTTCGGTCACTGATGGGGCGAACCACTCCATTGCAGAGGTCACTAAGCGGACGGGGTTCCGCACGATCTTTCTCAATCAGCGTAATATCACAGACGACCAATTGGCCCAGGGGATTGCGCCCGGTGCGAACTGGCACTTCGAGGTCAATGGGCAGGAGTTCTATGCCAAAGGGTCGAATCTGATTCCACCGGATTCCTTCTGGACTCGGGTCACGGAGGAGACGATGACTCGGCTGTTCGATGCGGTGGTGGCGGGCAATCAGAACATGCTCCGCGTCTGGTCTTCTGGCGCATACCTGCATGACTATATCTACGACCTGGCCGACGAGAAGGGGATCCTGCTGTGGAGTGAGTTCCAGTTCAGCGATGCCCTCTATCCTACCGACCAAGCATTCTTGGAAAATGTCGCTGCGGAGGTCGTCTACAACGTCCGCCGAGTCAACCACCACCCATCCCTTGCCCTGTGGGCGGGCGGCAACGAGATCGAAGCTTTGATGCTGGTGCTTGTCGAGCAGGCGGACCCTGATGCTTATCCATTCTACGTCGGCGAGTACGAGAAGATGTACATCAGCCTCTTCCTGCCGCTGGTCTACGAGAACACACGCTCCATCTCCTACTCGCCCAGCAGCACCACCGAGGGCTACCTGGACATCGACCTCTCCGCGCCCGTACCCATGGCGGAGCGGTACAGCAACACGACCGAGGGCGAATACTACGGCGATACGGACCACTACAACTACGACACCGCCATTGCCTTCGACTATGGCAGCTACCCGGTGGGCCGCTTCGCCAACGAGTTCGGCTTCCACAGCATGCCCAGCTTGCAAACCTGGCAACAAGCTATCTCCGATCCAGACGACCTGACCTTCAACAGCAGCGTCGTCATGCTCCGCAACCACCACTACCCAGCCGGCGGCCTCATGACAGACAACTTCCACAACACGTCCTTGGGCATGGGCGAGATGACGATGGGCGTGCTAAGCTACTACCCAGCACCCAACATCGTCTCAGACCCGCTCGCCAACTTCAGCGCCTGGTGCCACGCCACGCAGCTCTTCCAGGCCGACATGTACAAGTCGCAGATCCAGTTCTACCGGCGCGGCAGCGGGCGGCCCGAGCGCCAGCTAGGCTCACTATACTGGCAGCTGGAGGACATCTGGCAGGCGCCGTCCTGGGCAGGCATCGAATACGGCGGCCGCTGGAAGGTGCTGCACCACGTTGCCCGCGATATCTACAAGCCGATGATCGTCTCCCCGTTCTGGAACTACACCACCGGCGCCCTGGACATCTACGTCACCTCGGACCTGTGGACGCCCGCCTCCGGCTCTGTCTCCCTCACCTGGCGCGACCTCTCGGGCCGCCCCATCGCCGGCAACGGCGGCATCCCCCAATCCCTCCCGTTCCAGGTCGGCGCGCTCAACACCACCAGCCTCTACCGCATGAACATGAAGCAGCAGCCCATCCCGCGACACACGGATGCGGTTCTAACTCTGGAGTTGAGCGCGACGGGCCAGTTGCCGAATTCCGAGGAGAGCACTACCTTCGTCCATGAGCAGTGGTTCACGCCTGCCTTTCCGAAAGATCTTGACTTGGTGGACCCGCGGGTCAGCGTGGTGTATAATCCGGAGATCCAGAAGTTCGAGGTCGAGGCCAAGAGTGGCGTCGCGCTGTATACTTGGCTTGAGCATCCCGAGGGCGTGGTCGGGTATTTCGAAGAGAACGCATTTGGGTTGGTGCCCGGCCAGAAGAAGGTGGTCGGGTTTGTGGTGCAGAAGGATGAGACGGATGGGGCGTGGGTGCGTGATGTGACGGTGCGGAGTCTGTGGGATTTGAAGGGCGGTAGATAGGTGGGTTCGAATGGGATGGGAGTATAATAAAGTATAGCTTGGTGTGAGGTTTGTGTATAGATGAATGAGTTTGAAGGCAACATACTTTGGCTGATTATAGAGTTGAGTGCTATCACTTGAAGTAACCAAGCCCCAACAATAACGTAAATCACTGCACAGTAGTGTACCACTTTCTTACTCTTAAGAGAGAAAGAAAGAAAGAAAGAGAATAAGATCTCCGTCCATAGCATCAAACTCTCTCACCACATATCATTCATCCATCTAAATCATAAAAGCAATCCAACCCGGTGTCAAGCGTGTATATCTTCTTCCTGATGCGGGCCGGTATTTGCAACAGGATGATATTCAAATTAGGTTCAGGTGCATTGAACCTCCCCTTGCATAAGACATGTGGCTGCATATACATGAAAACTTCAATACCCGATTCGGATTAGATAACCCAGCTGAGTTTGCATACGTCAATGGACGTCAATAGGAAGATGCTGTTGCATGAAAGCTGGACCAAGAAAGAAAAAAGAAAAGTATACAACCACTCAGACATTTCCGATATACTTATAATCACCTTCGCAACCTTCAACCACTAGCCTAGCATAGTCACTATTTTCCAACACCCATTCATGGTATATCATCACAATTCTATACTACAGCCATGGCAGCCAACGAGCATCGATTCTGTCTCATCCTAGGAGCAGGATACGGAGGCATCGTCCAAGCCTGCACACTCCTACGGCGAGGAATCCTCTCCTCTCACGACCTCGAGATCATCGACCGCAATGGAGGATTCGGCGGGGTGTGGTGGAAAAACACGTATCCGGGAGCAGCTTGCGACATTGCCGCCGAGGTATACACGATCAGTTGGGCTCTCAATCCGTGTATGTACAGTACATTCCAACCAACCAAGGACCAACTGTTGTAACATCGATTGAGCCACCCAGCACTGACATAAGTGTATACTCTATATCTAGATTGGACTAGACGATTACCCTCCCAACCAGAGATCCAGCATTACCTCGAGAAAGTGGCGCTAGATCACCGTCTCGACGAATGCACCACCTTCAATACTGAGGTGGTGGATGCAGCATGGGACGAGCAGCAATTGCTCTGGACGGTCCGGACGAAGGATGTCCGCGGTACCAAAGCGTGGACTTGCAACCTCGTACGTTAAGTCGATCATCTAATTCCACGCGGAGTCAACTTATGCACATGCTTACGAGAATCCAGTTAATAAGCGCCACGGGCCAATACAGCACGCCCCGAAAACCCGATATCCCAGGGATCGATACCTTCAAAGGGCGACAGTGGCACACGAGCGACTGGCCCAAAGACAACGACGCGGATTTGAAAGGCAAGCGCGTGGGGATTATTGGTGCTGGTCCGTCCGCCGCGCAGCTGATTCCTCATATCGCGGACGATGTCGGCCGGTTATTCGTCTACAAGCGCGGATCGTCGTTCTGTGTGCCGCGGTGGGATCCTGAGACGAGTCGGCTTCGGCGGTGGCTTTTTGCGATGGTTCCTGCTCTTGCGAGGTGGTCGAGGTGTTGGGCTTCGAGGATTGTGTGTTTTCCTACCCTTCCTTTGGTTGTCTGCAGTAGAAGGCTAATGCTGTTCAAGACGAGATATATCCACTGGAACGTGACGCAGGAAGGAAGCTGGTGGCAGAAAGCCGTCGTCGCGATTGCGCACTTCCATCTCAATAGACAGGTTCGAGACGAGCAACTCAGGGAGAAACTCAGAGCGAAGGATAAGTTTGGCTGTAAGCATGTGCTTGTGCTCAGTGATTATTATCCCGTTCTTAATGAGGAACATGTCGAGCTGATCACCGATCCCGCTGTTGCGCTGGATGAGTACGGTATTGTTTCTCGGAATGAGGAGACTAGTCGAGAAGAACGCCGGGAGGTTGATGTGTTGATCTGGGCTACTGGTAGGTATAGTGTCTATGAGGTGCACTTGCACTGTAGGTATGTGGGATTAATGGTGAACCAGGATACAAAGCAGAAGAGTTCGGCGCTGCGGTGCCAACTCGTGGACGGGGAGGACGATTACTGTCTGAGAAATACGGATCTGATATGTGTTCACTCTATGGTGGGTTTGAGTTTGATAGCCACCCTTTCCAGTTTGAAAGTCATTTTTGTGTCTGTTGACTTGGATTATAGGTCTTGCGGTTGATGAATTCCCGAACTACTTCAACCTTCTGGGCCCTAACAGCATTGGGTTCGACATCCACATTGTCGAGCTGTTTGAGCTTCAAGCAGAGTACATTGCACAAATAGCGCAATACCTCCACAGGAGACAGACCGAGAAACAGGATCATGGACGTCGATACGCCGTGATGGCGAAAGGAGAGCGTCTGCGAGAGTGGAGTTTCTCTCTACGCGAGGGACAGGCCAAGCATCCCGCTGCTGATCCAGCTTGCCGCAGCCACTACAAGGTGTGTATCATTACTCAATTTCTGTCGATTGGAACTAGTGAGAACTAATTTCTTCGATAATACTTATAGTCTAAAGATGGGCAAGTCTTCTTTTATCCTTACGGTTATGCTCAGTACAAGAAGCTGGTGCGACAGGTCGACTTTGGCCGGGACTGGTTGCTTCTTTCGCGTATATCGGATAACCCTGTGACTGCTATTGCTGAGATTCCATTGTCGGATCGGTCTTAGTTTGTGGGGGAGAGAAACTTAATTGACTATGCCTCTTAGGTTACAACCACCTGTACTTGATGGATATGTCATATCTCTTGCTGTGTGCGTGACGCAGCCACACACCGCTGATCTGGGATTCCTACTTGGAAGTGAGCTATGTGAGATATCATGCTGTGAGCTTAATCCGGTTCCCAGTGCCTCCCCCGTATACAGATGCTACGGAGTCATATGACAAAAGGAAGCCCGACTTGTACCGCAGTTCGAACTGCTGTGATCGCAGACTCGCCGTATTGAATAAGTACTTTTTGGGCCACTGTTTCTCTCCTGAGGAGCCTTCATTTCTTGGTTGACCGAAAGTGAATCTTAGTATATATCCATGGTGATTAACTTGATATAGTTAAAAAATACCTAGTAACAAACTTCGACCTACCTATCTCTGTCACTTCCGAATATCCTGCGCTGGACTCTGCAAGGCAGCCGAAATATGACCGCAGAGCTCATCAAACAACGCCCCCGCCAACTCCGGACTGATCACCGAAGGATTGAATTTCAACTGGACATCAGCTGCGCCAGCATCCCCTGTCGCTGTGGATGAGCACACATAAATATCCGTAGCCCGACACCGACCATATTGCTTCCTAACCTCCAAGTACTTCCACTTCAGCATGCCTGGACCCCCAACCTCTCCGGATTCTATCCCTTCAAGAGGAGGAACATCAAAGCTAATATCGAGATGCTGAACAATTGACCCGAACGCGGCCATTGGGTCCCAGTCTGTGCAGCGCGAGAGGATATCCGGCATTGGCATGGCTTCGAACGGGACTGTCGCGATCAGCGCATCGCGGACAGCCTGCAAGACGTCCAGATACGTGATCACGCCTGCGACGTCGACCGTGAACGGGATCATGTTGATGCATGGTCCGACCACATCCAGGATGCCTTCCATGTCGATGTTCCTGCCGCTGACGGCGCCGCCGAATACTACCCTCTTGGTATTGGCGTGCTTGGATAGCACGAGGGCCCATGCGGCGTAGATCGTGGTGGCAAATGTGAATGGTGATGGGAGAAGCCTGATAGTTCTCTGGAAGTGGCCGTCTGGCTTGTCGGCGTCGCCACCATCATTCAACCCGTTGTTGCGCAGTGAAGTCATGGGAAGGTTTGCTAGTTGCGCTTTCCAGAATGCCTCAGCGGCTGCGTTGGATTCTAAGGGCAGTCGAGCCGCGTAGACCGAGAACGGAGGCCCCGAAGAGATCGGCAGACCGTGGTAGATGCGTTGCAACTGCGACAGAAGTAACGGCACCGTCCATGCGTCATATTGGCTGTGCTGCAGCCCTAGAGCAAAATGTGTCGAATTCGCGTTCATGACAACGTAGGAAAACTCCACCAACTGCCGATCCAGACAGCCGTCTGGCGAAACGGACTCCCAGTGTTTCACTGCCTGGGATCGAGAATCGAAGTGGACGACCGGCACATCCACCTCCGTCTTATCCAAAACAATGGCTTCGATCGTCCCGTTTCGCAGCCTGTATTGAGTACGTAGTATCTCGTTCTTCTCGACCAGAGACCGACTTGCCTCGCGGAGTCGAGCCAGATCCAGGCTTCCTCGGAGGTCAATGACAATCCGCGTATAGTTCCCTTCAGGGAATGCACCGACAGTGGTGACGGAGACCATCTGGATCCATGTAGGGATATATGCTGTCCGCGGCGTATCAATCTGCACTGGAGACTTCGGTATCGCCGCCGCCCTGACGATCTTCGATCTTGCTATCCGGGATATTTCCTCGACAGTGTGATTCTTAAGGACCTCGCCCACGGTCAATCGGATGCCACAGTCCCTGGCGGCGGAGACCAGTTTCATCGCGCGAATCGAGTTGCCTCCTAGATGCAGGAATCGATCGGTCGGCGAGATGGTAGAGGAGGGAATATCGAGTGCGTTTGCCCAGAGACTTTGCATGGTCTTGTAGCTGTCCGGTAACGCTTGGGCTTTTTCCTTGGCTGTTTCGTTGTCGCCCGAGGAATGTTTGCGACTGAGGAGGCGCGCCTGCGCGAGAATCTCAGCCAGACGGTGCTGATCGATCTTCCCGGACGGCATCAATGGGATGAAGTTCACGGGGATCATGTACTCGGGAATCATATAAGCCGGTAGCTGTTCTCGCAGACCATCCCGCAGATGAGCCCCCAAATCACCTTCAGAAAGGCGGAGAAGCTTGCAAATGTCGTCGTCGCCAGCCTGTTGTCTTCTTGTGCTGCCTTGTGGTACCAAGAACGCAGCGAGGACCGACGAACCCCCGACGCTCAGAAGCTGGACGCTGGCATGAGCGACGAGCGGAGACCGGCATATCGCAGCCTCGATCTCCTCCAATTCGACCCTATGACCGTTGAGCTTAACCTGCTTATCCTTGCGACCCAGAAACAGAAGCTCTCCGTTCGAGAGATACCTCACCAGATCGCCAGTTCGATAGGCTCGCGTCGAGGTTCCACATTCAGCGTTCGCCCATGGCAACGAAGACACAAAGCTCGCTTCGGTGGCCGCGGCATTATTCAGATATCCTCGCGCAACGGTGGGGCCTTCGATCCAGAGCTCTCCCACGGCGCCAATGGGCATCAGTTGACGTTCATTATGGGGGTTGACTACCCAAGCGCGACAGGCGATCGCAGTGTTCCCAATATTGGCCCCCAGACTTCTGACTGAAACGCGTAAGTTGGCAAGGGAGCAGACACATGTCTCCGTCGGCCCATAGGCATTGATGACCTGCTTCTTCTCTGCCCAGAGGTCGATGAGTGAGTGTGTTAACTTCTCGCCTCCGATGATCAATTTCGTCACCCCCGGGATCTGATCCGGGTGCAGTAGCTTCAAAACGCTGGGGACAAAGACGGCCGTGTTTACTCCCAGATTCTCGATCGCTTGGGGGATGTTGTTGAGCCGTGCGGTCTCCGTGGGGATACAGACCGACCCTCCGTGGATGAGTGTCCCGAAGATTTCGAGGATCGAGGGATCGAAGCTGCAGGACGTGTATTGCAACATTCTCGTCTCGCTGTCTAGATTGAAATGTCTCCCGAGTTCCGTCATGGAGGTGCAGATGTTTTGATGCTCGACTACGACACCCTTGGGAGTGCCGGTGCTGCCGGAGGTGAAGAGCACGTATGCGGGTGAGGTGGGATTGATGCCCTCTTGACTATGGATTGTCTGGCACGTTTGCCCCGTTGGGATAACTGATCGCTGGACCACCAGCGGTTTGATACCTAGATCCAGCCGAGAAAGGTCCGCTTGACCATCGTTTGAAACAAGGATGATCTTCGGTTGTACAGACACCAGAATCTGGTCTCGGCGAGCTCCTGCATGAATCGGGTCCATGGGAACAAAGGCCTTGCCTGCTTTCAGAACCGCGAGCATGGCTATGATCATCTCGGGAGACTTCTCGATACAGATGGGAATGTAACCTCCAAGGGAACTGGAACTATCAGCCTCCAGGATTTGACGAGCCAAGCCGCTCGACAAGATATCGAGGTCCCGGTAGGTGATCGTTTCGTCGCAGAAGCGCAATGCCGGCTTTTCTGGGTTCGCTTTTGCCGTCTCCTGGAAGAGTACATGGAGGAGGTTGTTCACAGGTGCTGTCGCAACGTTGTGAGCATTCCATTCATGCAACTCTGTCTTATCCTCCAAGGTAAGCAAGCTCAGGTCACCGATACCTACGGCTTGGAGCTCGTGGGAGATGACGTGTTGGAACGCCTGGCATTGCGTTAGTTAGTTCTTGGTAGGGTTACGTAGGTAGTCGAGAAAACTAACCTGCGAGAACTGCCGCAAGACACGCATTATCTCCGCTTGAGCAACAACATTGCTATCAAATTCGGCTTGTACAGAGATATATCCATCTTTCAGGGTAACTGAAAGGATCAGCGCGCATCCATTTGGCGGGGATAAACGGTGCTCCTCCCCGTTGGTTGCCTCCATGACGGCCTTAGGGTTGGGAAACGCCAGGCAGTTGCGCACGACACCTGCGCTCATGCAGGAAGCACTGATGATGTTGGACGCTGGTTGCAGCTGGCTTTTCACACGCATCACCAGATCGCTCACGGTGAGCGTCCTCTCACAGTCAATTGCGAGGACTTTTACAGCGCTATGGCTATGATTATGTCCCCGAGCTATCTTGCCAAAGCAAGTCTCCTCGCTTCCAGTGTGCTGAGCCAGGACCATAGCCCATGCGGCACAAGCCAGAGGTTGGACATTTTCTTCAGACAACGATACCAGAGAACTCGAAAGGGAGATCTCAGAGACCTCGGTTAGCCACTCCGCTGGATCACCTGTTGGTGCGTGACTGCTATGTTCAAGCCAGGGGTACTGTGGACGAGAATGGATATCATGCAGCAGGCCATGGAAAGGGTCGCTCTGTGTATCAGACTCCGTATGCATCATTGTGGGTTCGGCGTACAGACCAGACCACTTGGGTGTCTCTGTGGGTGATGACGGGATCAAGGTAGGTAGATGTATTTCACTGTGCGTAACGATATCAGAGATCTGCCGCACCCCGTCCTTCGGCTCTCTCCTCCTTTTTATACCTCTCATTCATGGTTACTGGGAGGTCAAGTAGCGGTGAGAAGATTGGAATGTTGCTGCGCGGTATGGCCGCTTGGAATCTTTGTGGTTATTTGCAAGTTACCAGTCTGAAAGATTGCCACTTTAGGTGGAGATTTTTGTTAGTTGTACAGTACAGAGTCACTGAAAATCGAGGATATCCGAATACAGCAAAATGAGGCAAATTCACAGCCCTAACTTATGCCACCATTTTACCTGGCGCTCGAGACCCACATATAGTAGAGTAAATCACTGGCCTAGCTACCTAGCTCCAAATCACTGGCAATGTGAGCCTCACGCGCTGCGAGCTAGCAAATCAATATCTCCAGCCAGCCAGGGCAATTCCGGCTCCAGAACAACCACTCTTTGCGACAACTAATCCCCATCTAACGCCTCTTCTCTACATACACAATAGCCTTAGGATAAGACCAAAGCATGCCCGACAGCGCGCGCTGCTCAAACTCAAAATTCGGATCCGCCAGTCGGAACGAATACTTATACGCCAGTCTGCCCAACACCAGCTGCGAGACACGATTGGCATAGTCCGCTCCAGGACACACATGCCTGCCGCTGGAGAAAGGCCGCCAGGCTTCATGATTGTCAGTGCTGGTCGGGTCGCACCATCGCTGAGGGTAGAAGGTGTCCGGGTTCTTCCAGTAGGCGGGATTGCGTTGCATTGAGTATGTGTCGACGGAGATTTTGACCTGGTTTAGAACTATTGTTAGGTTTTGTTGCAAGAGCATGTACGCTGGTTCTGCCAGAGGCTACGAGGAGGTTGGGAGGAGGTTAACTCACGCCGCTGGGAATGTATACGCCGTCGATTTCCGTGCCCGGGGAGGTGCGGGAGAGGAATCGGGTGTTGATTGTAGGGGCCATGCGGAGGGCTTCTTTGATGCAGGCGTTCAAGAATGGGAGTTGCTTGAGGGCATTCTCGGTCATGGATTCGGTGTCACTGAATGTGCTGTCGAGTTCCTGTTGGAGAAGCTCTTGCTGGCCTTTTTCACGCAGCATGAGACTGAAGCAGGAGGGAAGGAATTCCGAAAGCGTCAGGTAGTTTGCAAAACTGGTCAGGGTTTGTTGTTAGCTTTTCGGCATAATGGCAGAAGAAGACAGGGCATGTGTGCGCATACACCAGTGTCACCATATTGATCAGTAGTTCGTTCTTGCTGAGGTGCTGACAGGTGTTATTCCCAGGCATATCACCCGTGACGTAGTTTGCAACGGTCTCTTGGCTTTTGTCCTGCGTGATCACGAATCTGTATTGCATATACAGTCAGCTAGAACGACTACACAATATCTGAATGCGTCGTCACTAACCGGCGAATCGCCTCATCAGGATTCAAGCTATCTGCATTTAGCAGAAACGTCAACTTGGCAAAAGCTCTGATAACCATTATGATAACAGAACTCAAAATCGGCATGTTTAGTCCCATCAGCAGAATCTCGAGAGCAGGCCCCAACCAGGGACCAAAGACCTTATACTGATCAATTTTTTCTGTGCAGAATCAATCAGCACCCAGCTCGGAATTTGTAGGTTCTCATGGCGAGGCATAACTAACTCTTCGCATCAAACCCAATAGGCTCAAGAAAGTACCGTCCTCCGACAATCTCCCAGGTCATCTCACTAAGCATTGTCGTAAGGTCGATCGGCTCGCCACTCTCGCAAGCTGCATCAATCTTTGCCTCCAGTTGCTTGAGGAAACGCATGTTAATCCCGTCCTCCTGCGGGCGAACCTTCGCCAGCGCCGACTGGACATTCTTTCTCAGCTTGCGATGCGCGATCTCGTCGTTGACGGTGAAGATATTGGCTCGTCCCAGGAAGAGGTAGATTGCCTGCGCTCCGTAGGATCCGTTACTGGGGAATCGCTCCTCCGGCTGATCGTAGATCGCGTGGTATGCGGTGGACGTGGAGAAGGAGACTTCCTTTGGGCCAATTCGGACGATACTCCCTATGTGCTAGGTTGAGTATTTTCCTTTCATTTGACGCACTCCAGGGGACGTCGTATATACCTTTTTGGCGATGGAGTTGGTTAAGGCTCAGGTGCCACTGTCTGTTGGATAGAGCGGATAGTACCCATCCCTAGTACTGTGAGGGAAAGGCTACTGAAGAAGGGCATATGTGAACAAGACTCTTGACTTACAGGAAACACCGTGGATCCTGGGGCTGCTTCAATAGCTTTGAGGGGATCCGAGAACACCCTGGAGGCAACCCACCAGAGACATAAGACAGATGCCTAAGGAGCTTAGTAGCCTGGCTGGCAGGTGAAGCCAAAGAGAAGACTCACAATTAGGAAAAACATGTTGAAAGAATGACTAACGCTGTTCTTTAGACTGTCCACGTTACAGATGACAGACGCTCTCGGTGGCTTTACCTCAAGGGTATTTATACCGATTGACCTGGAGATCAAGACCAAGTATTCCGTGACATGGAACACTGGCTCTTTGACTACGTACACTATCGTCATATTTTGAGACGGGTTGCAGGTGATGTACATGATAGTCGGACAAAATTAAGTCGGCTTTCTTCAGGCGAGCGCACATATTGTAATCACCGACATCTGCGATGCGCATGATGCTGTGCTACAGCCCTTACAGATCTGATGAGTAAGATTTCCCCAACTAGTAAGATGCTCTATACATAAGAAGCGGTGAACATCATTGTATGCTAGGTCTTGACGGCGGATCTCGGGTTTGCCCCACTAAAGAATCATGCAAGGGATAAATCTACTGCCGACCATATCTATCTATGATTGACATCTCTCGAAATGAACAACCGGAAGCAATAGGCCCACTTTGGCAAAATATGCTTTGGCATCTTACATACAATATACTCTTTAGTCCTCTAGCAACATATACGGCATTGGGTTCGGACTACCAGCTTCAAGGTTCCGTTATCACCTGGTAGGGTAAAAGAAGAAGACTTCTCAATAAAACCTGTGTGGCGGTTGTAGTATATTCAAAATTGTAATGCAGTGGCTTTCGAAAACAGAACCAATAAATACCTCCTCGGTCGTATTAGATATGATCAGGAACCAGTTTCTTCTTGATCACCAAGGATAGACCAAAGTTCAGTCCATTATGTCGCCATCAACGCTGTCGACCAACTTGTTGGATACCAGCCAACCTCACCAGGCCTTCCGCGACTCTTTACGGGGCCAGCGAGTCACTATTCCCAGCTTGCATGAATTGTTCCCAGAGTGGATGCCGCGGTTTCATCCTGACTGGCAGAAGGCCCGGGACGAAGTCCTAAACCCATGGCTGGAACGGTAAGAACACTCTCCATATACACGCCCATCATCTGCATGGTCGTCAGATACTGAGCCACTATGATAGCTGGGTTGAAGAACCATACACCTGCGCCAAACTCCAGGCCGCAAACTTCACTATATTCGCCGCGATTGTTTGTGCCGATGCGTCATTTGACAAGTTGTGTACTGTGGCTAAGTACTTTGCTTGGGTAATTCCCTACGCACTCATATATCTTCTGGATACTGACCCGCCATTTCTCATTAATCAAAGTACTTTGTGTGGGACGATCGTAAGGCTTACCACTCAGAGATGCAACAGAGAGACTCAAGGAATCTGACACAAAAGACAATGGTTACAGAGTTCGACTGCGGTTCCCTGACCAACGATGCGCAGGGCAGAACAGCATATCAACAAAAGAGTAAAGAGTACTTCGAATACACCCTCTTACGAAGGGGGAGCCGGCCCGACCTGTCAAGTTTCACGAAGGGGCAGCAGATGGCCCTACTATGCTGGGACGAAGTAGGCGAGCATATCCGCAGGTGCTGTAGTGAAGGTGAGATTTCTCTGCTCCAACAATTGCCAGACTCTAGCTGAAGTGAGGACGTTCGCATGCCTAGAGGTTCGAGAAATCCTTCTAGAGACCATGTTGCCATTCGTCGAAAGTGTCGACACAGTTGACTCGATCTATCTCCACGACAATGTTCCCACAGTGGCAGAATACTGGCAGCGTCGGGATCTCACAGCTGCTGTCTATCCGGTGATAGCTACCCTCTTGTAGGCATCTACTCTCGGCACATCTATGAGTCCATCCTAACCTTCCAATCATAGCTTTATCCATGATGCCAGCACTCCGGTGACAAGCCTGAAGAATCCTCGTCTGGCAGACCTATGGAAGCATACCTCTTATATTGTTCATATGTGAGTTCCCTACCCCCCTCTCTCTCTCTCTCTCTTTCTCTTCACGAGTTGTTAATATAGGTATTATGTTCGGCAGCACCAACGACATGCTCTCCATGCCGAAAGAGGCTGTAAGTATACCGCGAGATCCCCTTCCCCTCTCTGTGGCCATTACCAGCTCATATTTAAACTTAGAAAGATAATCAAATCGAAGGACTGGTACCGGTCCTGATGATGAATTACGGAATAGATTGTAGCACGGCCATGCAATGGAGCTTTCGTCTTGTACAGGAAATAGTTAAGGCTATTCGAGATATCGAGCGTTATCTACTGGAAGATACGGAAAAGGGCGAAGTGAACGCGCTTCTGAAGAAGGTCTTTATTAGCGGTTGCAAGGATGTTGCTATGGGGTTAATCCATTGGAGGTCTGTGGATATGCTCCCTTCCATCCTGGGTTATGCAGGCACAGAGATTGTTGTTGCTGACAATCCAAATAGCTACCATGGCGAGAGGTACTTTCGAAAGAAGGAAGTTCGTGCTGACTACACGATTGAGTTTGTGCTTTAGCTGACTTCTACGTGGAATGGCCGGGGTTTCAACATGGCAACATTGGGAAGTTTGGAACAATTTGGATAGTGCCTGTTGATGACGGGTCAGCCGGCTACTAGTTACTCTAGAATATTTTTGTCACCTCGCCTGCAAATTCATTTAAGCTTCTACAATCCTCAACCAGCTGTTTCTGCGATGTATGGGCACCTAGCAATCACTGGAAGGCTAGTAAAATGCGAGAGGAGTCGAACTCGTGCATAAAGAGTTGTCGTCTCCCAGTACAGATCATTCTTTATAATGAAGGTATCAAGCCTCTCTCTCTTGACGACACCCACCCCCCTATGTACTCTTCCTCTTGGTCGGTGAGAACAGCAAAGAAAAACATACAGCAGAAGGGATTCGCTGGTGGTAACCCACCCAGCTACTAATCTCCCAGCGCATGGAAGTTATTAACTTATTGGGGTAAAGCATGTTAACGACAGAACAGCGAAACTGTGGCTATGACTATTGTGGTTAGGAGAGCCGGCCCGTCCTCACCACCGAAACAATCGGAGATGACTATCCGACGCACCCCGACTCCAAGGCCAACGACATTCACCTAACAGCAGACCTCGTACGTCTTTTCCCCTCTTCTAAACTTACCAAATCAAACAGTCGACATAGCAAAAAAAAAAAAAAAAAACAAGCAAAATGACCACTAACTTCTTTGCCAAGCCCGGGGTGAGCTTGGAGGCGCTAGCCGACCTTCTAGTCCCCCGGGATCTGTCCATCTCCCCCGATGGCACCAAGGTTGCCTATACACTCCAAGCGTTCAGCAAGAGCGGCGAACATGCCACCGCATCGATTTGGATCGCTAAAGTCGGCGAGGAGAACAGCAGTCGCCAGTTCACTTCGGGTCTGTTCAACGACGAACAGCCCCAGTGGTCTCCAACGGGGACCTCGATCGCGTTCAGATCCGATCGGCACCGGCCGGGGCAAAGCTCCGCCATCTATGTCTTGCCGGTCGATGAGGGTGGCGAAGCATACCCCTTGACGCCGGTGAACCGCGAGAAGCCCATTGTAGCCTTTGAATGGAATGCCGCCGGCACGAGCATCGCGTACACCAGTGCGGATGAGAAAACCGACGAACAAGTGGCGAAGGAGAAAGCGAGAGACGATCCGACGGTATGGGGAGAGGACAAGGAGGACCACGGGGAATCTCTTCGCCTGAGGATCGCTCACGTATCAACCAGGCACACCACAACGCTCGTCGCGGGCCATCGACATGTGCACGACTTCACGTGGAGCCCGGACGCCCGGCAGATCTGCTTCATTGCGCACCGGGGGCCCGATATCAACTCCCCTGGGTTCTATGGTGCAGAGATCTGGATTGCTTCGATCTCTGGATTGGAGTCGTCGTCAACGACAACGACGACGAAGCGGGTTGCCGAATTCCCCGGACCGATCAGCCAGATTGCATGGGCGAACTGTGGCGTCTACTTCATTGCCGGCCATGTCCCGACGCACTGCTTGACCTCCCTCTCGCTCTACGAACTGGATCTCGACCAGGGATCCTATGCAGAGCGCACCGACGGCGATGCAGAGCACTGTTGCATCGCGATTAGGAAGAACAGTCAATCACGCCTCTCCTACCGGGCCCAGCGGTACCTGGCCGACGAGTTCTACTCGATCGACGATGCCGACGGCACGCGCACCAAGGTCTACAGCGAAGAGTGCGAGATGACTTCGTTCGACATCCTCCAGACGCCGGACAACAGCGTCATCCTGGCGATCACGAAGGGCGACGGGTCCCACCCCGAGGAGGTGTTTTCCGTCTCGGCGTGGGCGGGCACCGTCCAGCTGTCCGCGCACAATTCCGCCCTCGCCGCGCTCCAGATCGCCCAGTCGTGGGCCATCGCCACGCAGGCCGCGGATGGATACTACCTCGACGGGATGATCTACGTCCCCTCCACTTACAGCCCCAAGGACGGGCCCCTGCCTACCATCCTCATGCCGCACGGAGGGCCCTACTGGCGGATCACCACCGGGTTTGCAGTCTGCCACTGTCTCGAGGCCCCGCTCCTGGTGTCCATGGGCTATGCGGTTCTGTGTCCCAACTACCGCGGTGGGAGCAGTCGCGGGGAGACCCATGCGGCGTATGCTCGCGGCGGGGCAGGCACGGTCGACTACACCGACTGCATTGACATCCTGCGGTCCGGTATCTCCAAGGGCTGGGTGGACCCTGGCCGGGTGATCATCGGCGGCTGGTCGCAGGGCGGATTTCTCTCCTACTTTGCGGTCACGCGCGAGGACTTTCGATTCCGGGGTGCCATCTGTGGGGCTGGGATATCCGAATGGGACTCGATGGCGATGACGAGCGATGCGTACTGGATGCAGGGGGAAGTGGCCGGCGGGGCGCCGTGGGATGTGAATGATGATGATGATGCCGTCGCCGCCACCACCGCTACGCCGGCTGCAGACTCGACGAGCGCTGCTAGGAAATGGATTACTGACACCCACGGTCGCCGGGGGAGCGCACTCTGGCACATGCGGAACGTGACGACGCCCGTCTTGATTCTGCATGGTGAGAACGACGTGCGTGTGCCGGTCTCCCAGGCCATCGCGTTCTATCGCGCTTGTGTCCGCAACAATGTGCCGGTGCGGATGGTGACGTATCCTCGCGAAGGACACTTCATCCTTGAACGCAAACATTTGCTGCACATGTGGGACCAGATTAGGAAGTTTTGCTCTCGGCATCTACAGTGACCCGGCGAATTACTCGAAGAGGGAAAACGGGGAATGATTTCTTTTTTTAAAGAGAAAGAGGACTAACCACTGAGATAGCGACATACCGCAATACTGTCTGCGGTGTGCTGTTTAGAATGTGAGCTTCTATTTATCTTATTCCGTGTCGAATTTGTACAGTACTGAATTGATCCCTCCCAAGACAGGCCCAGCTCAAGTGATAAGCAAAGTACCCGGAATGACAGCACCGTGAACCCCGGACGCGCAAACCCCGTTCGTGCACGTGGAAGACTCGGAGGATGTTCCGGCGAGGGCGAAGAGTCTACCCTTTCCTAGTCCTTTGGGCCCGACAGGGTCTCAGTATGTTTTTTTTTTAAGATGTTATTGGAGCTTTGGGTGGGCAGACCTTGAAACACACGGGAGGCAATTAACGAGGGATATAACTTTGCGACCGCAGCCCAATAGCATGAAACCAGGACCAGAAGCGTGATGAATAGGTACACTGGTCGTCTGCCAAAGCAATTGGCAACAGGTGAGCAGATATAAGCGCTGATACCCAGAGCCATGACGAGACTACCATTCAAGAGGGTGACACTGGTCAGGCTGACATCGAGATCTGCCGCTACCACCACAAAGCCCGGCACAAGCAGTGGCCCCAGGGACCCCGTGGCGCATGATCTTAGAATAATGGTGGCGAAGAGCAGTTCCCGGCAAGTTCGGGTCCAGTCTCTCGGAGCTAATGGGGATGGTGAAGGTCGGATACTCAGCATTTTGCTGCTTGTGGTATCCTAACTGGAGTTAGCTGTCTAGTCAGGCTTTCAGCGCGCCATTCCACTCCTCAGTCTATTGATGCGATGAATCACATGCGCACATGTACCTTGATGCCAGGATCGAGTTCGAGACTCATCTGGTTTATTGGGGCGGAAATTCATCTTCCGCCCTTCGAAGCAGTCTTCTTATTAGATCGATCAGGGCTTATCGCTAGGGGCTTACCACCGCAGCGGCGGTCTGCTGTCAGGCAATCGTTATATTTTACATCTCCTCAAGCGAAATATTGTACTTTAATTAGTACGTGTCATGATTACCGACTTCATCGTTACTTATGTGTATGAAATATTGTGATGAAGCAGAGTAAATCTGCATTCCATATAAGGCTTCCTTTTCATCCACGCACGTTGCCAGTAGCCACCACTTTTTCTATATCGTGAATGGGTAGAATGCTTACATGCTTCCCTAACCTAGTTTGACCTCGAGTGCCTGCGCCATTTACCTTATCTAACTTGAAGATCAAATGAGAACGGCCATCATCGTCTCTGCGCAGTCCCGAAGGCACGGCGCTTAGGGCTTAGGCAGAGGAGGGCGGATGCTGGGCCGCGTACGGGCACTTTTATTGGTTCGCTTGGTTTACCGGGTGCCGAAACCCAAGTAGGCACTAGGTCGGTAGCATTCATGATTCTTTACCGCTCACTGCTGATAGCAATTGCCTTTCCTCCACGAAGCCTAGCGTTCATAATTTTCTGAGCAGAAGTATGCATTGAGCGTCAGTTGTCCATATCCTAGCGAGGAGAGAAAGACAGGCTGCGTCGTACGGCTTCCCGTTCGGAACTGGTCGTACGAGTCCAATATTCGAGGTCTTCAGCAGCCCTGCCCAAGCCCAAACCCAGGCCCAAACCCATCTTAGATAAAGCTTAGCGCGTGTGAATCAGGAAGGCGGTTATCTTCTCAGCCGGTGGGTCTTAGGCATGTAGCCCAATTTGTCCACGTTTCAGCGTGTTAAATCCAATATCTATGTATCCAAAGTAAGCGCGAAACCACGGGTGAAGTTTCCATACGGTTGAATAGAAAGAGCAATCATATTATGCTAAGCGTTCCCAAAGCAATACGCCAGTATCAACACAAGAGTTATAACCAAAAAGGATGGCCGAGATAGGGCTGTCTCGGCGGCCGACCCAAGAACGTACTTCTTCTTTTCTTTTATTTTTTCTCTCATTTTCTCCACAAATTCATGGATAGCAAGCCTGAAGTAGGAACATGATCAATCATTCAACAGCACAACCACCTTCTGCGCAGACACTCCCAACTTGTGAAAATCCAGAGCCCCTTGAATCTCCGCCAGGCCCTTGCCATACACGAGCGGCTCAGGAGCTGCCCGAAATCGCCCTTCGGCCAAAGCCTGCGGCAAGTACTCTTGGAAAAGCATTGCCCCAACCCCGTTGTCATATAGCGTGCTGGCAAAGATATATTTGTACTTAATCCCTCGCATGCGGGACTTGTACCAGTACTTCACGTTTCCGGTCATGAATGCGAGCGCGGTACGAGGAACCGCGAGATGCGTCGGGGGTGGCTGTGGGACTGGATACGCAGCCATGGAGATAAATCGGGGCCCGGTGCATTGAGCGAGGATATCGAAGCAGCAATCCGCCGCATTGGCGCCCACAGTCAGGGCTCCAGCCACAGTCTCGCCCCGACAGGCGACGATCATGTCCGCAACGACTGTCTCACTGCGGTAATCAAAGACTCGACTGGCGCCTAATCGCGTCACCCGCTCGAAGTTCTTGGGTGAGGCGGTTGCGAACACTTGGTATCCCGCGGCTCGAGCGAGCTGGACTGCACAAGCGCCGACACTGCTGGCCCCGCCCCAAATGATGACGGTCTGCCCAGTGGGCTCAGGGCGAGCAGACGGTGGCCTGAGATTCAGCTGGTCGGGTTCAAACAGTCCACATGCGGCGGTGCAAACTCCCAGGGGCAGCACTGCAGCTTGCTCGTACGATAGTCGATCGGGAATGGGACAGGCCATGTGGGCAGCGAGGATGACATACAGTTGAAAGCCGCCTTGAGTGTGGGAATTGATCTTCTCGTCGGTGCCGCATGCTTTGCCGAGTACACGATCTCCGACGTGGAATGTGGTGACATTCTGTCCAACCTCGACCACTTCTCCGGCTACATCAGTGCCTAGGATGGTTGGGTAGGATAGCCACTGGTACATCAGGGTGGTACCCTGCCCTTGGACCGTCCAGTCAATGGGATTGATGGCCACGGCGTGAGTCCGTATAGCAATTTCTCCTTCCTGGGGGCGTGTGTAGGGAGCGGATCGAACTTCAAAAGGATGCCCCTTAGAGCGAACAAGCCAAGCTGCTTGGTTAGATGGCATGTTGAAGGTGGGGTGTGAAGCAGGGGGATAAATATCCTGACGGGGACACAATAGCAAGATAAAGGAAAAGGATGGTCACTGGCTTGTTGTCAAGGGTCAAAATTAAATTCACTATACAAGCAGAGTGCCAGTAAGACTACACAGGGGGTTTACACCTGTTTTTATACTCGATATACTCATCGACAATACTATCCACGTCATTAGATTTGCTCCAGGCCGACAATGAAGCTGTATTGTCCATCGAGCCAATCAAAGCGGTCTGTAACCGAAAAGAGGTCTAGCGCCATCCGCCATCCGCCATCCGCCAGCCTTGAAGCCGTTAAGTCCGGCATCCGTCACGCATACGGAGCGATGCCCCGCGAGGCTGAGAACAAGTCCCTCATCCACCACATCTTCTTCACTTCACCAAGACAGCGTCAAGGAAATTGGAGGCTGAGACAATGGGGACAACTCGTGTCAGACAGCGATCGAGATGGGGCTGTAAGAACTGCAAGCTGCGACGGGTGAAGGTGGGTACCTATCCCTTCTCCGCACGACTGCAGTGTCCAGTGGCTAAGTTGCCGCCGAATATGGCAGTGCGACGAAATCAAGCCCATGTGTCGACAATGCCAGGCTTATGGGGTCTCCTGTAGTTTTAGCTTTACTCAAACTAAGACGCAGCCACTTGAACCCGTTATCGAGCATGTCTTTGCTCCGCCTCGGCCCTCAGCTGGTTTAGCCTGCTGGAATTGCCCGACCGATCGGCTGATTACCCGATTCCAACTGCAAATCGCCCCGACTATGAGCTATGGTAAACGGTTGGATGTATATCAAAACCAGGTGGTGGAATTAGCACATAGGGTGGGCTTATCTTTCTTTTCTTCTCTTTCTAGCCGCCAGCGATACTGCATCAATCACTGACGAATGCACTCAGACGCCGTTCCTTAAGCATGCCATCACGACGGTAGCCTTGATGTACGAGCGCCACACAACAATCCCCATCCGATCGAGTCCCGACTGGGCGGAATTCTACTACTGGGATCGAGCCCTGGTTGGCTTCAGTCGGAAACTGTCGCAGAATCCTCAATCCGATGACAAGGCCGCCTTGCTGAGCACGTCCAATCTTTTATGGCTACTAGTCTTCTGCCACGTCGATGCATCGACTCCAGAAGAGGCTTGGCCGTTATCCTCCGCTGTGGCTAACGGTCCTACCTGGTTGAGGATTTCGCGGGGGAAAGACGAAGTCTGGCGCCAGATGCCGTCCCCGCCGCGAGACTGCATCTCAGCGGCTCTAGCCCCGGTGGAGAACAATCCGATCATGAATCGACCCGCCCCACCCCCGGCGCCTCTTCAAGGGGTTCCAGCCTTTTTCCTGCGGTTCTTTGGTTTGGATACGGGGAAAGAGTCGTTGGCCTATGATTGGGTGTATGATAGCGTCGCTGTCGACGTTGCGTGGGCGCTGTTCGCTGATCGAGCGCTTCTGCCGACTATCTTAAGCTTCGTCACATTTCTCAGCACCATGTCTTCCAAGTTCAAGTCGCTATTGCTGGCGAAGGATCCTCGGGCGTTGCTGTTGCTGGCCTGCTGGTATGGGAAAATTCGCGGACTGGGAGTGTGGTGGATGACACGACGTACCGTGCTGGAAGGAGAGGCGATTTGTCGGTATCTAGAGCGAGGCTATCCCGACAACCCAGATCTACAGAAGATGATAGTCTTTCTGCGGGCGCTATGAGTCAAGTCAAGGAGAATGCTCACTGCCATGTCCTTTCCTAGGTACTCGATGTCAAAGGTCTTTTGTCCTGGAACTGTTTGGGGGATCTTTTTTTGACTGGGTGGGCGTTTGAGCTGGCGAGGGCTTTCAACGTGGCCTAGAGAACGGTTCGCAGTATGGCCGTGTCAAGATAAGATACGGGGTCAAAGGACAATCCGGAATAACAAACAGGGGAAAGAAAAACATACAACAGAATTTGGATATTAATGCTCACCAATTTCTTTACTAACCTGTTACTGTCCTATGCAGGCTAATTTATAATAGATTCTAACAGCTTCTAGTACTCTAGAAATTTATTAGTACTCAAAAACTATATACTAATAGTTTTCTAAGAATAAGTCTAAGTATATTAATGCTATATTACTTTTAGTCTTTTCTATAATATTTCTACTTCTATATTTTTTATATAGATATTATATCTCTGATACTTAAACCGGGATTATCTATATAAATATCAATGATAGTGCTTTTCCTTTCTGTGATCAATCATCCTTGCTAATCAGAGTATCAAGGGGAGAACCACAAGCCAAAGCTATCACTAAAGATTGAGGATGAAGACTCTGGGCATTTAATCCTTAGAGATGCGAGCATCTAGATATTTGGGATAAATCGGTGCCCCTGCGTTACCCCACAACCTAACAAAACATAGAGTGAATCCCTCACATACCCTTTTTGGCTTCTCCTTGCTCATGTTTGGTGCAGATCTCACTGAGAAGACACAGATTCCGACGATTTCAGCCGTGAGTGGATACGTCAGAGCACTTTTTAGCTCAGATGACCGCAAATAGGTATTGAGTGCCCCCCTAGACAAAGTCACCATTATATACCTGCCTGGCACATTCCTATGACCGACCTGAACGTTAAGGAATAGCTTTCTGTACAAGACAGACATGGCTGTTGCTACCGCACAATACATCCTGATGGAGGCATTGGCCATACAGCCCCAGGTAGCAGCCCTGCTATTTCGGAAATCCTTCCTATGGAGTCTTCTATTTTCACTGACCCTGACTTTCATTTGCTATGTCTTCTACTTTACCATAATCTATCCAGCCTGGTTCAGCCCGCTTCGACATCTGCCCAAACCTCGCGTAAGTGCCCTTTCGAAGCAGCCAATCTCCAATGCACATAGTTGAACCTCTTCCCTCAGGGCGCAACCCCGATCCTTGGCCACGCCCTGGCCGAGTTCAAGATGCCCCGAGGAAACGAATACCTCCGCTTCATGAACGAGACCACCAACGCCGGGATCATCCACCTGCACGGCGCTTTCGGCGCAGACCAACTACTGCTGACCAATCCAGCGGCTCTGAACGAAGTCCTGGTGAAACAACCATACGATTTCGAGTGGCCAGAAGGCGACCGCAATTTCCTCCGGAGGATCCTAGGTCGCGGGCTGATCACTGCAGTAGGGCATGCCCATAAGCACCAGCGGAAACAGATTGCGCAGAGTTTTGGAGTGAAGGATATTAAGAGCCTTTATCCCCTCTTCTGGGAAAGATCCAGGGATCTTGTGACGAAGATCGCTGAAGAACTCTCCCAGCAGAGATCAACAACGGGCGGATCTTCTGATGTCTGTGGAGAGGTCGATGTGGGTGGCTGGGCACAGAGGGTGACGTTGGATGTCGTGGGCGAGGCGCTGTTCGGGTGGAAATTCAACACGCTCGAGAACCCGGACCACGAGTTCGCCCACAGCTTCGAGCAGATCTTCGAGCCTACGATTGAGAATGCGTTGTTGTTCGCGGTCAGTGTTTATGCGCCCCCGTGGGCGCTGGATTATATCCCAGGGGGCGTTTCGGAAAGGTTCCTAGCTGCCACTGGCAAAGTCCGAGATGTGTGCAGGGCTTTTATTAGGGCCAAGTCGACAGATGATAACGCGCCGAAGGATCTTCTGTCGCAGCTCATGACACAAGAGGGCATGTGCGAGGACTTGCTTGTTGATCAGACTTTGACGTTACTTACAGCGGGGTGAGTGAGTAACTGGTACCCTGCGAATGATGCTTGGGGAGATGACAGGAGAAGGTGGTGTCGCTAAACTCTCTATGTATAGGCACGAGACAGTAGCCATTGCATTCACTTGGGCCATATATCTGCTGGCCAAACACCCGGACATACAAAGCCAGCTTCGACGAGAGCTCCGCAGCAACTTACCGCATCATACCACGGTGGTCGATGGAGATCATCTCCCATCTACCCTAGAATCGTTACCCATTCTGAATGGAGTCGTCAATGAAACTCTCCGCTTATACCCCTCCGCGCCGGTCGCTGTCCGTGTTTCTGTTCGCGATACGTGCATTCTGCGGAATTACGTTCCGGAGGGGACTCGCATTATCGTCTCGCCATGGGCTGTGAACAGGTCTGTGGATCTCTGGGGGCCACAGGCTGAGATGTTTATGCCAACTCGCTGGATCGACCCGCCTGAGAGCCGTAACGTCGCAGAGGGAGTGGAAGCGAAAGCAAGACCGCCTCTCCTGACTTTCTTGCATGGTCCTCGGAATTGTCTTGGACAGGGTTTTGCAAAGGCAGAGCTTCTGTCACTGCTGGCTGTTTTCACGCGGAGCTTTGAAGTATCTATGATAGATCCCGGTGATGCGAAAGTTCCTGGTGGTGCGCTGAGTGCGAAGCCGGCTGGTGGGATGAGATTGCGGCTAAAGGTTGTTGAAGAGACTATTTGCGTGGAGGATAAATGTCTGTAGTGCGCTAGCATGTCCATCTGGCCTGGGCGTTGGCGTCTGATTGCTAAGCACGACAGTAATACTGTACAATATCTAGGACTCATTTTGAAAGCTGGTACCAGGAACCCAGGGCGTCATGCCACCGGAATAATCATAAAGGAATAGTTGAGGGTGGAGGTGGAATCATAGCAGAAAATCTCGAAAGGCATAAAGTCCTTCCTCTTTTACCGTCTACATCTGTTCAAACCTCGAAGTCTCCAACACTCCGTTTCTTGCAGTGAGGGAAGTCCCCCTAACACTATAACACCTCTGCCACATTTTGACACACATAGAGACAAAACTCATAAGGGTAAGAACACAGTCATTCTGACTGGGGCTGGGCTCTCGCCATATCCATAGCCGGAGTGAAGACAAATCGGCAATTGTGATTAACAAAGAGTCAATTGGCGGATCGGCGACGAGCGCTGCAACCATCCAGATTGATGCATTAGTCTGATATGTGGCGTGCATATACGATCTATGAGTGGGTCTGGGACGGCATGGCCATGAAACATGTCACATTCCTACCCTTGTGCAGATCCAAAAAGCACCTGCTTAAGCTTATTAGCTTGGCAAAACTATTTCATGCTTTTGGCTGGGCGCAGGAAGTAAGGTGTGAATTGCTGTATGCAAGTGCAGTGGGGTTTATAGAGACTTTTGACGCCACCGAAGATTTATCCATTATTTGAGCCAAGTCTTGACAATGAATCAAGTTATTTAGTGAGGTTTTTGAGGTGATTGGGCCTTTACCTCACTAAACTTTCCGACAAGACAAAAGGTTACTTCTTTGTTGACTTATGCCGTCTCCGCAGTGAATGTATGTACTTGTCGGCTAAAATCTGTGATATCTCTTCATAGTCCATCTTTCCCTGTTGCTCTACCATCAACCTCCTAGAGAGGTTCCACGGCTTCACAATGAACAAACTCTTCCATGAAATCGTGGAACAACCACAAATCGCCGGCACAGGCTTTGCAATAGGCGTTCTCGCTACGTTGGGCTCCTCTCTCATCCCATCGATATGGCACTGCCCCACCAACCCCCTCCTAGGACCGATGGTCCAACTAAGAAAGAAACGATATCGTAGAGCCGACCAAAGTCGAGGACTCAGCCGGTTCGAGCTGAATGATCACTACGGACTCGAACAACAAGTATTGAACCTTGATTTCGAACCACAGACAATGTGGATGAATGTTGGATTCTGGAAGGTTTGTCACCGTCACCGTCACCGTCACCCAGATACGAACCCAACGGGCAGCAGTGATAATCACCGTTTGCTAAGCAAAGACTAGAACAACCCAAGATCCCTGCCTCAGGCTTGTCAAGCCCTGTTGGAAGAGGTGTTACGAGAAGCCGGCCTCGATGCTCGCAGCGATGATCAACACTTTTCTGTGCTGGAAGTCGGCTGCGGATGTGCAGAACCCGCGCGGTTTCTCAGACAGGAGTTTCCTGCCACCTTTGACGCGTATATTGGGATTACGCTGAATGCGTGTCAGGCCGACTATGCTGCAAAGCGTCTTGCGGCTGACAGCCAAAAGAGTCCGACTGACGGCCACGCACATCAAAACCACATATACTGTGCCGACGCGGCCAATCCGTCTTCATGGCCTGAAGGACTACGCAACGATCTCGATCAGATGCTGCTCTCTTCTCATCAGAAGTCAGGCTCCACATTATGGCTCCTCGCGTTGGATACACTGTACCACTTCGCGCCAGACCGGAAGCAGATCTTGACGTACGCGTGTCAGGACATGGGGGCGTCTCTCATGGCAACGGACATCATAGTGCCCGATGGCCTCTCGTGGCTGGAAAGCATGAAGCTTCGACTAGTTTTCTGGGGGCTGCAGGTACCTTGGAAGAACGTGATGACGTATGATGAGTACCTTCGTATGCTCGTTGAGTGCGGGTACAGGGAAGACAATATCACGATGACGGATATCACGGAATATTGTTTCGATGGGTTCGATAAGTTCACAGCAGAACACATGGAGCGGTGGGAGGCGATGGGAGGGTCGAGTGTGATCCCCCGCGCGGTGAGGATGATGGGCCGGTTGATGGGTTGGTGGGCAAGTTCGGGCGTTGTGAGAGAGTATATCATTGTTGCGAAAAATGTGTAGTGCCTCTGAGGTTGTGGTTTTGGATTCGTTGTAGGGGGTTATTCGGGTCCTAGCGAGTCGTTCGTTGGGTTATGGGAGGCTGATGAGTGTTTCGTCGGCGGATGGAAGGTCGGCCTGATGTATCTCTGGACAAGTGCAGCACCAATAGTCATAACGAGGAGGACAACTTGGGTTAAATTTCGCTCCATTAGATAAAAAGCTCAAGCAAAAATATTTTCATTGTATAACAGATCGGGAGAAAGATGATGAAGAACGTGCTGATATGATAGTCCAGCAGTTTCGACCTCTGAGACTGCCTGATACGCATTGGCTTCCCGCAAAAGAATAAGAACGACAACTTCAACCATCGATATAAGCGGGAAGAGAAAAGGGCATATACACTGCCTGTGCAGCTGTCAGTAGGCCCCTTGTCAGGTTTACCTGGAATGGCGTATATACACATGAAACAAGAGCCAGCTCAGCGGGAAGAAAGACTATCCGCAGGCTGGCTACCTCATCTTCCATGCATCATTATATGTGAGAAACATGCAAAATCAATAGAGCACAATTCGTGGAGGTAGAACATGTTGGTTCTGTCTCTAGCCCCAACGAGGAAAGGCAACGTTGGTAGATTGAACGTATTGGTCGAGCTTGCCGTGTGAATGGTGTATGATCTTGCCTTTAGATCTTTTGCGTGACTTGGTTTCGTAGACAGTCTGAAGCGTTTCAACGACCGTCGTCTTGTACGACTAGGTGGAAGTCAAAATTACCCGACAGTTCCGGTTCACTTGGAGGGTAGATCTATCCTGAATATTGGTGTCGGAGTGTTAAGACAGCCTGCCCCTTCCGACTCATCTGACGAGGAGGAAGCGATACTTTTAGAAAAGTCTTCGGATTCCAGAGATCTATCACCAGCCGAGCATCGAGTCAAGCTTTGTGAAGTTTATGATTAGGGATTCTGCAAGAGCTTTGAGCTCATCAGCAATGCCAGAAACTCCTCGCATTTGTCACAATAAAGTGCTTGACTGGAGGAGCAGTCGCAAGTACCACATGGTATCCTTCTCAGCAGACCTAAGGGAGCTTTCCCGAAATTTCAAAAGCACCAGTATCTCCGTTGTGCTGGCTCTGAGGAGACTTCCGCGCAAGTGGTCATGCTTTCAATTAGTGTGCGTGCTGAAACCCTCATCGCGCAGGATTCAGTTCCAAGTTCTCTCATGGTAAGGCCATCTGTCTGCTTGTCTTTGCCCAGCCACCTTTCAAGGTCCATGACTTTTTCGCTCTTGGCTCAAGTACAATCTCTGGCCTCCAATCACCCAAGTGTATCCAATCCATCTGTCTGTACATTAAACCAGCCCCAGACATATGAGATGGCGACTGATTCAATTGCCAGTCCGAATCTGTGTGGCAGGATGGAAGTACCTTTAGCTAGAAATTGAAGGACACAGATGCCAGGGCCACACGGAAACAGCAGGACGGCGTATCTACCAGTTAAAATAAGCCAGGACATAGCCAAAATTGTCGACCAAGTGTTTCCCGTAAAATCGGCTCAATTGCAAGGGCTGGAGCATAGAGCATTCTACGAATAAGAGTAAGCTCTCCCAGTCGCTAGCCAATACAGCCTAGACCTCTTTCAGGTCTTTTTTGGGAATCCCTCTTTCTAGCACTGAGAATTTCCTTGGTCCACGCCGCCTTAACGATACCGCGTCCCTGTACCGGATCAACTTTCCTAAGGCGATGGTTAAGAACGGCTGCAGGAATTACATCGACAGACTAATCGGCGTAATCGCTTCGTGCTGCCCAGGCTGTCCCGGCGAGGACCGCGGTGAGTAATTAGTCTCCTTGCAAAGTACATGATATTTACCTTGTTGTGAGCACCAAGGATATGAGAGATGGGTCGATATTGGGTGTAAAGGTCGACTTCACCGGCCTTTTTTCGCGCGGGTTCCAGCTGCTGCCGATGCTCCTTGTGCTCGCGCGCGCTCGAGGATGTGCCACTTGGAGAAGACGACTTGCACCGCCATGCCGCGTAAGCCACTGATTTTGGACTGGTCGATCTCTGTCCAAAATGTGTCGAACCTGCTTTCTGCTTCGGCCCTAATCTCCACGTTCTCTTTGATGTGCTGCTTTCCCCCGATAAATCTTTATCGTCCACTTCCACGCAAGAAGCATCCCAAGTCAGCATACTGACATCCGTAATCCGTCGTCCATATCTTGATGGTACCAGAGGACGCCAATGTTCAATATCAACGCAAGGAGACGATAGGGCTAGAACAGCCTCGCCCCGAAATCAGGGTACCGTGTTTCTTTTTTGGATAACCCAGCGCCTCCATCTCCTCGGACAGGATCACTCGTACCACGATGATCTGCGTCTCGTGATTCGGCCTCAGTCACGGCGCCTTGCTCATCACCAGGCGCTTCCCTTTCGTCACGTACTTTCCTGGCACTTCCCATCGTATGTACGAGAGCTCACTGTCCGAGGATAGTCTTGTGCGGCGAGATCGAGCAATCGCCTGTACGTGTAGAGTATCCAGTTCTAGTAGGTTTCATACACAAATATGCTCGACTTCGCGGCGTCTTGTGAACTGGTCGGCAGCGACATCATTGACCGCAATGGAAAATTCTTTTTGTGCCAATATTCCTAGATATTTTTGCTCCCCTTGATTGAATCCGTTGTCAAGAGTTACCCGCTAATGAAGTCAGGTTTTTCCAGCCCTGCAATAGCCGAGCCACGTCCTGTTTCCACAGTCAGCATGATGACTTTAAGGATCGTGGTCTATGATCATACACATACCTCCATGTGCCGTGTGCACTCTCTCACTATCATAATTCTGGTGACGAATGCGGTCATCTACATTCTGGCCTTGTTTGCCCTCGAGGCGAAAGAGTCGTTGGCACCTCTCAAAATTCGCTTCCGAGAATCGGTTCTCTGCTATGCTTGCGCCCATGGCCATGATCCTAACCGAGAGAGTCATTGGAATGCTTCATGAACATGGACGGGAGCCCACAGCTGTTCATTCTCAACATTTTCCGCCAGATACCACAATCTTTCGTCTTCGCTCATGTCCTCCAGTCTCTTCATATCGTCACTCGGATATGCAGTGGCTTCCTCTTCATCGTCAACCACAAGGCCAAAGCCATTATACCTTTCGCCGCTGCGTATCTTTTGAGCTAGGAGTACCGCGGTACTGGAGGGTTCATGGTTCCAATTTGACCTCTTGTATGCATTATTTGCTTAAGCCAGGTGCTTACAATCTGATCATCCCGTAATATGACAAAGTTGCAGTCTCGTCCAGCCGGCCGGGTCCCGCCAGATTTCGTGCTGCACCGAGGGCAGCAGGACGTCCTCGAGGCTTGTCGTCGCCATCCTTCAGCCGCAATAGGGCCTGCGGTAGCCGCTAGGGGCACATGCGGTGGAGCGTCCACGCCAGGTCAGGCAGGATGGACAGAATCGTTCCGAGCAATATGTCGTCTTCTGGCGACCTGGGGTGCCGCCCCTGATGCCACGGACCAAGTCGGTGGTCAGCTGCCGCAATCTCGCCCAGGTCTCGCTGCATGTAGTGGGCTAAGAGGACTCTATGGACAAAAGGGCTCGGTCGCAGGGGCCCTCGACGGCCGGTGGGTCTACTGACACTCGCCCAGGGACATCTGGGGCTTGGTCCGAGGAGGCTTCCGCACGGACCTCTGCTTCTTGGTCAGAGAGCACCCTTAGGATCAATGCCAGCTGCAGAGGGGCGAGTGGGAGGGTTTCTTTTCTGCGCCCGCCAGTTGGCTAAGGCTTTTCTCTTTCATGGCATCTTCAGGTTCCCACGTGGGCTGCGCGCAGCTGACCCATTTGACGAGGAACCACCTTCAGCGGGCGTATTTGTTCACCTTTACCACGCGGTTTTCGGGATTCTTCCAACTTTCCATTCCTTCTCGCCCTCGGTGAGGACTGCTTTCGGCTGCCAATCCTTGAGTCCCGGCGAAGGCAACGGGTCCGTGGCTGCTGATCTAAGCAGATTTGTATGAAAAACAGGGTGGATGCCCTCCGGGGTGTCCAGTTGATAGGCGTGCTAGCCAACTGGCTTAAATATCGTGAACTTGGCGTTCCGGTGGTCCAGCATCTTCGAGGGGCTCTCAGCTGGGATATTCCGCAGATCCAGCCATACCTTGTCCCCTGCTTTATACCGATACGCCGGTTGGCATACCGCTCCTCGGCTTCCTGGGCTGCGGGAGAGCACCCCGTCGACGACCGCATGGAAGCCATCGGGGCACTGTGGGGGGGCATTACACCGCCTCTGCAATCACCAGCGTGAGCGCAGCAGGCTGCTCGACCGGCTGCCTCGCCCAATCGGAGAGGCCTGGCGTGGTCTGCCGCTTGGGAAAGTAGTTTTAGACAGTAGGTGCGCTTTTACCTTTGCAAGGGAGGGCCATCGGGGGCCTGCGACGGGAAAAAGAGTCAGCTTAGCAGAAGACGGTGGATGGGGACGTGGATGTAGCGGATGCTGTAGGTGTACTGTGTATCTAAAGCCGAGGCCACGGAGACTGTAGTAAATCAATTTTGGTCCGAATAACCTTGATCATCAGAAAATGAGGCAGCAAGAAGTTGAAAGAATTGGGTTTTCAAAGTTTCAGAATAGGACTTCGAACTTGTAGCCTCGGGAATGAAGACTGAAGTTGATGTTTGGTCCTTGGTATGTTGTATACTGCGCATTGCTATTTGTCGGACAAGGACCATCTCGGTTCGGCAGGCTCCCAAATTTTGGCTACCAGAGGCTACTGCCTTGCTGTCCACGAAAGAAAGCAGAAAGTACGCGTAATCCTCGTCAGAGTCCGCCGCGTCGTCCAGGACGAGGCACAATCCGACGCCGGCAGTGTGTGGCCGTCGCCGCTGCCGTCGCGCCCGCTCGACGAGTCCGTGAACGGATCGGTGGGCGAACCGATAAGGCAGCACCGGGGCTGCGCATGCCTCGTCATCCAGCAACTCGCTGGGCCCCGGCGGATCTCGCGCCTTTGACTCCACCTTTCGTAAAAGAACAGAACCTATACTAGTCTGACACCAATCCAGACCGATATTCATCCTAGAATCACTCTAAATCAGGGTGAATAGATGTCGCTGACCGCTACGGTTCTTTCGAGTCTCGGAAGTTGGATCTCAGGAGGTGCATTGGGGTAAGGAGTGTTGGCGTTGGACGCCATACTACCTGGTATATTCCAACTCGTAATGAGCGTGGCTAGCAGTGCTTCTAAAGTCTCCTAGGCTGAGCGAAGCCCGTGCTGTCGTGATCCTGTTGATCATGTATACGAGTCTCTCCTCAGATATCCAGCTCATAGCCGTTCACGGCTCATCACCTGTCAAGGTGAAAGTGAGAGCTAAGTTCGATCATATATCGGGAAATATTGACTTTCAACGTTGTATAGAAACGAGCCGCTGAACACCGGCTTCCAAGCAGTTCCACTGAGATTCTCTGATGGGTAGTTTTGTAATATTGGTCAGGTGCGTTCAGCCCAGAGATGACTGGATATTTCTTCAATTGGCAGCCTATGGAGACCAGAAGAAGGCCGCGCCCCCGCTGATTTACTTGGAGGCAAGCATGCTTGCGACTTTATCCACATTGGGGTCACGCGGGGAGCATCAGTCTGTGAAGTCGGTCTTCAAGCCCACTTCTCCTTCCCCCATTATATGAGAAGTCCGGCGGTATTTGTAAGTATTTTCCCGGCTGCAGTAATCAGGATTATAGCCCGAATCACCTGATATAATAAGCAGTATAATGGCGATTATCAGTTGGAGCAGAACGGTCACGATTGTAGTTAAGTTCACCCGATCTTTGCTTGCTACTGTGATGGATTCGCCTCCCCTAGTTCTTAGGCTGTATACTGTGATGACGAGGCGTGCTCGTGGCGGCTGGTCCGCAAACTTATCGTCTCTTCGGAGTTTTTTTCAGCTGGAACTTACCACTTTGTCTGTCAATTCCTTGGTAGCGTTATTTACCCACGCCCCGGAATCTGCTATCAGCTGGCCCAACACCCAGCTGACATTGTCCCTGACGTATCCTGTCCGGCCGTGTATGACTTTGCAGCCAACTTTTTCTTGCACACCCCAAGTCTCTCTACTCTTTCTCGTGAGAGCGTGAGAGCGCCAGGGTGTTTCAGGTTTGTGGATGTGTGCAGAGGTTCTTGCCTATGGCCAAACCATCCAATGAAAGAAGCGGCCCTTGGCAGTAGGAGAGTGGTGCTTGATCTGGAATTCACCCGGCGAGCTCACCGTAGCTTTGCATAGCCTGTATGCAATGACTGCCTTGTCGTAATGAATCGTCTACCCCTGGAGCGTAGAGAGCAGGGAGGCTCCGCTTCGGTCATGCCAAATCGCTTATTGTCGACAGAACCTGCCGTAGCCATCGTTCCGGTGGCAACATAGAGGTCGTTCTTGCATCTGAGATCCTGAGGCGAAAAGGAATACCCTCTTGATAGGCCCTGAACCTTCTCAGTACGAAGTTCGGAATCTCTCATCATATGGAAGGGGGCTTTCGTTGCTTTCTTGAGCTCCATCAACCTTTTGTTGCGAATTTCTCTCAAAAGCGTTGCCTCCACGTCTCACTATAGAACAATTCACCCGGACAACGGTAGATTTGCAACCTCTCAAAACCATCAAGATTCAGATTGATTAGCAAGACCCATGGGCGTCCCAACACGCAATGGGTCGGTATGACAATCGTGGATCTGATTAAAATGCTGAGCTACGTTGACGCGTTTCCTCTGGCTGGGTAAGAATTTGTTGAAGTATACGGCTTTATCCATAGATATGGTAATGCATCGAGTTGGATGAGCTCAGCCTCACGCATGTGCGCTCTCGCCTAAAGTCGCGTCGTAGCTCCGGTGTCCAGCCTCGAGAGCAAACAGCAGACGTTTGTTTGTGAGTGTCACCTGGTCCTGGGCAGGCGATCAGATGCAGCAGATATCTGTAGCCGTCCTCGAATCGTCCGGCCGGCACTCCTTTGCCATCCAGGCCACAAGCTCCCCCTTCTCCTCCACAACCAGCATCTTAAGCAGCGGGTCGGTTGTCTACCGCGCCTTTCCATAAAACAACTTAATACGAAGATCCTCCCCAAAACGGTCCCGGAGCTCTACCACCCAGTTTGGGAGGACCGTCTTCGTGGCTAGGATCAACGTCGGTTTAAACTGCACGTCCGCACCCTCGTCACGCTGACGTTCCTGGGCTTGTGCCGTACACCACACGTGCAATCTCCCTATGCACGTCTTCCCCGTCCCGCAACCATCACCAATAATGCCACCACGGTCATCCACAGTCTCCACGCAGCGTAAACTCTGCACCTGTCGCCTGCGATGGCATCATCTGTGTAATGCGGGTCGGGTCAGTGCGCGGGGCGAACTGGAGCTCCAAGCCCAGTCCAAGGATCGCACCTGCCTCCAATGCAGGAAGTGTTTTCGCACTGATAAGATCTGGCGCCGACACGATTGTTTACACCTCCCGGTCACAGTCGGAGGTGAATGTAGACCGTACCCCCTTCGGGGTCGAGGGCTCATGCCCGCCGGCCTGACGGCTCCTCTCCTCCCGCTCCCCTTGGCGTTGTGTTCTGATCCCCACCATGATCGTGTACCCTCTTGGCATAATTCAATAGACGGTTCTTCCTTGAACAATGCGCGTGCCTTGGTAGATTGCCGTCAGCCAAAATAAGCGATTGCGAAGCCGGATAATCCTGATCTTCTTATCATCTTCCATCAGTTCACCTAAGTTAGCACGGGAAACTGCTTTACATGCAAGCCGAACTAGTTGAGCCTGCACTGGACCTGCTAATAAAGAACTTGGAAGACTTACAGATCCTATCGAATCTCATTCAACTCGGTCTACATCCACAACAGATTCTTGGTGTTCAACTTGACAAATCTCTCGTTCAGTGCCATGTGGTCTCGGAGGGTATCCGTCCGGTTATCCTCATCGGAGACTCGGTCGACGAAGCGCTCGAGCGTAGGTGAGAATGAGAGCAGGACCACGCGCCGGAGCACTCGCGGCTTGACGATGCCAGTCTCGTGCCCGTTATCGGTCGTGCTGCCGCTGTACAGCTGCTCTTTATGTTGGTGTTCGGCGTGTTCCAGTTTTTTTTTCAACCCCGCTTATCGACTCCATGATTCCACCACCACTGCCGAACCTGTCGTAATGGTTGTTGATCGTCTCAGCGGCACCTGACAGTCTAAACAGCCGGGACGGTTTGAAAATGCATCTGCAGAAGGTCGTGACTGGGAAGCGGTTTCGTTCTGAGATCGTTGTTCGTGAAGACGACGACTTCCCCGGTTCGAACATCACCTTGGCGTTTGAATCTCATGTAGCGCTTATCGTGTTCATCTTGGATGGATGGGGTGAAAGCAAGGTCGACAGTATCGATACGCATGGGCGGGATGTCGTGACCGACAACGTACGGAATATGATCGATCCATAGTCGGTAATTCTGATAGCTCAGCACCTGGTCCTACCCCAGCAGGAAAAGTATAACCATCACGTTGACCTTTAATGGCAGCTAGCTAGTTCTCTGAGCTGGAATGGTCAATACCAACGTGACGAGTAGCTGAAATCGAACGCAGTCTTTAAGCGCGATTCCGATTCCATCCAGTCAGGATCCACCCTTGTAGGTGGCTATTCGCTCTCCTTCTTGCCGTTCGAGACGACGATGACTTATTTGTTTTGTGCGTAGTGGTAGACCAAGAAATCCGGTATGGAGTCAACGGTGAGTGATGTTGCGCGAGCCAGGAGGATTATTTCAATGCTGAAAATATATGTGCGTCTGCTGTTTTACTCGTTGCTGTTCCCTTTCCCACGCAGCAAAGCGGGTGTTGAGTATTGAAGATAGATTCGGGCTCCATTCGTTCTTCTTGTTCAGCGAAACTTTCAAGGCAGTCTATATGGATGGAGACTTTGACCGGCCTAGTCTGGGTTTCGATCGTGTAAGTGCACGGAGATTTCAAGCACTCTTCACGATTCTTTGTCGCATTGGTGGTGACGAATGCGGGTAGAGTTTCGAGTTCCTTCTCTCAGGTCTTTTTCGGTCTTTTCAAGTCTTCGGGTTTCCCATAATTCGATGTGCTCACAGTAGCAGAGCTTTTTGTAGCTTCAAATTAGAATCAGTCAGCCTCAGGACGAGTAATTTGAACTCCCTTGAGGCCGAGCCTTTTCATGCTCATTGGAGCAGCCGCGGCTCCCCCTTTAGTTGTCGTTAGGTCGTGGGTATCAAGTGCGTAGGGTACGGTCTGACGTCTGCTTTTGAGCTTTGAGCCCGCGCCTTCATCATCGCTGTTCACTAGTCCGACTGTTTACCAAGTGTATATCACTGATAATCAGTGAGAATGAAATGGCGTCGTATATAGGGGGACTCTCTGGAGAAACTCATATGCCAAACGTGCAGTTGGTGGTTGCCAACAAAGCCTAGAAGACGACTCGTTGTTGCGCGTACTACACTGTCCCTCTCTTTCTGAGAGTCACAACACAATCAGTAGAGTTCTTATTAAATGCACAATGGTGTCGTAAAGGAGTGCACTCACTCTGCCTCTCCACTTCCTCCGAATTCTTTCCGTTAGACGCGTCGGTTCTGAATTCGACCCTCGGATCACCTCCGTAGAATAGGAGGATGGTGAGAATAAGAGAGGTCGCTGAAGCTGATTGCGAATCCAAAGAGTCCTGCATTTTCAGGTTATGTCTAACGACTCCGGATCAGCAGGCTTTATCTCCTTCTCCAAGCTCGTGGGAAGCTCTCGGACAGCTTGAGTGTCATGCTCATCATCATGGGATGAGGCAAGGTCTTTTGTGCGTTGCCGAATTCGAGCTATCAGGCTAGCAATTGGTTTTGAAAGTGGAGATTGATATGCAGTGATGTTCCTGATCGCTGAGAGAATGTTGCCTAGAACAGTCTCTATAGGCCTTCTGAGTCCCAAGAGGAAGGCTAGGTCAATTATATTAGTATACACGAAGGAATCTGGTGTCTTACCTCTAACCCCAATACTAGCATTCACTATAAGGCGGCGGCGGCGAACCATCACGTTCGACAATATCATCGACCTCGGGATCCGTCAACCTCAACCGCCAAGCAAGCCGCGTCAGCGTCCTCGCATCGCGAACCGCCCGCGCAAAGGCACCCGACTGCGTCGCGATATTGAGCAGCTCTCCACAAGCAGTTGCGCGAGAGAACACAGACCCGATGACCGCCCTCAGAACGAATGCACCTGCACCGTGACGTCAAACCGCTATCAGCCGTCAGACGGAGCAATGAGACTCGAATCATTGGGTTCGGCCATGGCCATCTGCCCTGCCTCGGCATCTTCGTGCTATCCATCATCTCAATGTCATCCCAGCCAATTGCCATGCCTGGGATCTCAAGATTCTCCTGGTTGAGTATGTCGACATAGGCACTGACAGAGTAGTCGCCGGTCTGGCTGAGTGATGCCACTCTCGTCACCCAGCTCTTCTTCTGCACATAAGTCAACAACCGTGCAAGAGTACAGGGGTCCTTGTTCTTACGCCGCTTCGCCAAGCCTTGTCGCATTGCACCGTCGCTGGCAAGAACGTACAGATTGACCTGCGCACGGCTCAAGGCGACACAAAGGCGGTTCGCGTTCTTGACAAAGCCGATGCGGTCCGTAACCACCATGTCGAAGAACATGATAGCTCGTTCGGTCCCCTGGTACCCGTCCACCGTACAGACCCGAACACCAGACAGATCCAGCCCACGGTGCTGCTGGCGGGCGGAAGCCAAGGCGGACTGGTAGAGACGGGCCTGGAAAGTTTAGGGGACCAGTATGACGATGTTAGATCTCGGCCGGCTGCTCGACGACCCAGAGGAGCACCATAAATTTTCAGCACTATCCCTGTCGATCCGGACCCTGATCTTGCGGCCAAGATTGGTGATCCGCATCCAAACGCAAAGGGTATAGATCCAAGTGTAGCAACTAAAATGCGTCCCTTCTCCACCAGACGGCTATACAACCGCGTACCCTTGTCCATGGCTGCCTGCAGCTGCTGCTTTTAGTGGCTGATTGAGAGGTGCTTCTGGTCCGTGATCCGGATGACTTGCACGGGGAGAGTGGGGTGAAGATATTTGGGGTTTATGGTGTAGTAGTTGCAGATCTGCTACTTGGTTATGGGCTAGATAATTCGGTGGTCGGTGTAGGAGTAGATTTAGTGAGTTTGGATAAATTTGTAAAATAAGTGAGCGGTCCAGGCAGCGACCTGTGCTATAGAGTAGTTCCAGATTGATTGGTAGTGCTGCTGTAGCAGGACAGTTCTTGGTAGTTCTGGGCAGAGATTGGGTTGGTGGCGATGGTGTTTTAGTTTTAGAGGTATTTGAAGTTGGGGTTTATATTCTGATGTTGTATGTGGGCGGGGTTGATGAAGCGTAGTGTCTTGTTTATGCTCCCATGGTCTGCGGCGAGGGTGTTGGCTAGATCTGGCCTGGTCTGCGCGTCAACATCACCGTGGTGCTGGTCATCGGGAAGAAGGGCGCGGGATCGTACACTAACGCCGCCTAGGGGGACTCCCAGGTTTCATCTTCAGGATCAAAGTTGATCTCGAGCCTGTCGCCGGTCTGGAGCACGTGCTGGGTGTGCGAGAACTCAATGAAGCCCAGGTAGCGACGGTCCCCAGCGCCCGGGATCTTCATCGTGCGGAGGTGGCTCCGGCCAGCCTCCATCGACTCGACCATTGCCTGGGAGTGCTCCTCCTCGTATGCGTCGGCGTAGGCCAGGATTGTGGCGTAGTCATTGCGGAACTCGAATGCCAGCGAGGCGAGCTCACTCACATTAGGCCTCTCCTCCGGCCGGCGCAGCTGTCCGAGCTGCAGCGGTGTAGTAAGCCATCACGCGGTGCCGCTTTGCCACGTCCTTATAGCGGAAACAGTCATAGCTTTCCCGAGGGAGGGATGAATAATCGTACTCAGATGGCTGGTTATGAGCGATAAACAGCTTGACGTCGAATTGATTGGGGCCCACTTGTTTCGTCCATTCCCGAGCCCAATTACTGACTAGTGAAGCCGGAGTGAAGATCAGCTGGACGCCGTTCTGCGGTGCCATATTCCTTGTTGGGCTGTTTCGCTCACAGGGGCAGCAGATACCGGGCTTATTCGTCGGACAAGGCTCCTCTCCGGTGTAGTCCTTGGGTGCTAGTGTACATACTTGTGTGACGGCTTGGGGTCTTGAAGATGACCTGGCGGAGTGACTGGAGGCAGAGGTTGACCGGTACACTGAGGATGTTGATAAGCTTGTGCCCGGTGCGGTCGGCGACCTGGGTAAGATTGTATAGACGGTGTAAGAGGTAGTGGGCGAGGAGTAGTTAGTTGCTGTTCTTTCGGTGGCGTGCTAACGGCGCCTTGTCTGTTGCAAGTTGCTCACGCGGTCGAAGCCTATGTGCGGAGCGCAGTTGTAGAGGAATATTATGGCAGTTCAGTCCACCTTGTCCGGCAGTATGGGTAGTGGTACTGCTCGAGGGCGTCCTGCAGGCCCATGCTCTGAGCGCGCGGCCGGCCGGAGGCGGTCTTAGCCACTTGCAGAAGCCGTCGCGGGTAAGACATAGTATTCAATGGCTCGTTCGCAGCGTCCCAGGTTTTCTCCGCATCCTGATGTTCAAACAGCTTGTCAGGGCAGCTTGATTCCCTAACAGCAGTATCAGAACCAGGCTTCTCTCAACTGTCTTTCCAGGATATATCAAGAATTTCAATGGCCTTACTTGATTCATCATGAAGGTTGCAGATAGAAATGAGACAATAGGGTACCGCAGCAGGATTAGACTTTCTCCTGGTGCGCTTGGTTCCTCATGTTTGGAGTGCCTGGCCTTCATCGCTTGGCCCATCCATATTGGTGTTCGAGAGCACCTGTTCCCAACCGAAATACTCGAAGGTACGACCCTCATCGCTTGGCCATGGCAGTGAAACTGACCCTGTCACTAGCATGTATATACCAGGATTATAGACGCGAATTATTCCTTCGGATGTTGACCGGAAGTGGCGAACGCGTAAATAAATAAAATCAATGTGCAATGAATCTCCGCCTGAAACGACATATCAACCCATGATATCCTGAACATGTGGGGTGACGATATTAATTCTCACCTAGAACCGCAAGACATGCTCTGTAGGCATTGCACTGTGGCATGTGGCTGGCCAGAAGCGGCGGCTCCGAAATCGGTCTCTAGACCATTTCGTCGCAATATGGCCCCAAGCTATTGCCGCTCAAGGTAAACCGACCCATTGCCGTCTTGACAGTCGCAGGATGGCCACATAAGTACGTGGGCGCGTGGGTTGTGTTCACAGTAGCTAAAGCAGGAAATCTTCGGACGCAGCGTATATAGCACGAGGTATGAGTAGGTCTTCGGTGTGTGCGTATCATGTACTGTACTATCGTCGAGCATGAGGAAGCGTTAGCGATGCAAAGTCTTCAGCCGGTGGTTGGGTGCAACTTACCTTGTTCTTCGTCTATAGAGACCATCTTCTGAGATAACGTATGCTTCTCAAGAAATGGACATGATGGCAGTCTCGTTGAGGAAATAGTCGTCGACTCATGAGTTGGGGTTACTGTGCAGGCTCTTACAGAACTCGGACGTGGCAAAATTGCAAGACCTATCTTGCCGCCTTGAAGATCTGAAGCGAGAAGCCGACAGGTGTATAAATCGATATCTCGGTGAGAAAGCAAACAGGACAGAGGTTATACAGCAGTATAGAAAAATAGGACATACAGTGACGAAAGAAACTATCGTATAGATTAATGAGAACGAGGAAGGAGAGACGAAAAGCAAAGAAGACGACAACAACTGAAATGACAAAAGAAAAGACAAAGGAAATGATAAGAATGTGGAGGCTGATTGTAAAGAAGAAAGCCTGGGAAGGTTACCTGGTGTGAGTTAACAGCTCTTATATCAAGTTCGGTGGCATTGGTCAGTGACGGAGAAGTAGTCGGCCCTTGTTTGTCGACCGGGGGGAAGCGAACATTAACTGGGCTGGATCGGAATGATTGACGGCAAACGAGGACATAATTGCCTGAACTGGGTCTCATGCGTTAACAAGTTACTCTCACTTTTGTTTAGAAGCCTGACTTTCGGAATCACCGCAATTCAACTTCTTGGATATAGCATTCTTCGGTAGGAAGATTCACTCTGTAGCGCTACGTTCATACATATGACTAGAAGAATAGTCGATCTGGCAGTACGTTTCATTTAGGCTCCGGAGTAACTCGATTCATTTGATCCGCATATCCGTAAATATGATACTATCACACCTTTGAATGGATGGCTGGGGCTGCCTGGCAATGAGCCGGAGACATGCAGGACGGAGATGTGGTCTTGCATCTATATAATTGTCTAGGGTGATTCGGATATCTCCTGAGAAACATTAGTAGGTCAAATCTGTGGGTTGAATGGCCACAGAGATAGTCTCGGCGTTATACGACACAACCTAAGCGGATAGCAAGTCTTCGATAGCAACGATCCTGGCAGAGTGTTAGATAGCGGGACATTGTGGGATGATCATCAAGACACTCAGCTGAATACTAGATAGGAAAGGTAACAATGCAGCTCATATTTCAGCTGAGTAAGCTATGCATCTGCATACCGATCCTCCCCGCGGCACATCCCGGACGGACGCAAAGTGCTCACTCAACTCTATACAACCTCACCATTAGACCCTCGCTAGCCTCGCCGCGCTGGCCCGCCAGGCCTGGGTAAAACCCAGAACCACCCCTTCTCAATCGATAATCTACCACCCCATAGGGGAATTCTCAACACATAATGCAGGGCTTCAGTAAGTCCCTCCTCTTTTCCCCCCACCGCGCGGCTCATCAGCGCCATGGCGTCCAGCACTGCTAACCTCATCTCTAGATATGGGACGGTTTGTGTTTCCCTTTGACGTATACCTGACCTCAATACCTAACATACATACAATAGATACGTCCCGCCGGACCAAGAAGGCACGACGTCCGGTAACGCCCTGCACAAAAAGCACCCTCTCGGCGCACGCGCCCGCCACCTCAAGACCACGGGCGCCCTGATCGTGCGCTTCGAGATGCCGTTTGCCGTCTGGTGCACCACATGCCAGCCACACGAGACGTTGATTGGCCAGGGGGTGCGCTTCAACGCCGAGAAGAAGAAGGTCGGCAGCTACTACTCGACCCCCATTTACAGTTTTCGCATGAAGCATACGCCCTGTGGCGGCTGGATCGAGATACGCACGGACCCGAGGAATACGGAGTATGTGGTTGTGGAAGGCGGGAGAAGGAGGGATACTGGGGATGCCGCTCGGGATTTGGGTGGAGAGATTGTGGTTGGAGGGGTGGGCCAGGGGAAGAGTAAAGAGGAGGATCCGTTTGCCAGACTGGAGGGGAAGGTGGAGGATAAGAAGAGAGGGGATGAGGAGAGAGATCGCATTCTGGAGCTGCAGACGCGGCAGGCGCGGGACTGGGTGGATCCGTACGAGAAATCTAGACGGTTGCGGAGGACGTTTCGGGAGGAACGGAAGGGGCTGGAGAGGAAGGAGGCTGACAAGGAGAAGCTGAAGGACAAGTTGAGTCTTGGTATCGAGGTTGTGGATGAGAATGAGGAGGATCGCGTCAGGGCGGGATTGGTCGAGTTTGGCGAAGCCGGGGACGAGAGGAAAACTACGAGGCTGAAGCCGTTGTTTGTAGGCAAGGTGTCTGGAATCAAGGCCGGAAGTGCATTGGAGCAGCGGAAGGCCCTTTTTCGCAGTGAGTTAAGGGGAAATACTCGTGCCGCCATGGACCCGTTTCTCAGCAGCGATGCCAGTCAGTGGCGTCCAGGGATTAAAAAACGGAAGGTTGCCGCAGAGACTCGGCCTATTGAGGAGTCCAGACAGAGCAGTGCAACGCCTGAGGACCAACCCGATAAGACGACGGAGACACTTCCGCTGGCCTCGGCCGGGCTGGTGGACTATGCATCGGATTCTGACTGATTTTACATGGCGGTGCCTGCACTTACGGCGTTATTTTGGTTGCTCATGATACCCTGGCTTCTTGGTCGATACGTTTGATTATTATATACAATCTTCTTACCGCATTGACTCTGATCACTGATATCGAAGTATAGTTCAGAGGACTGATGCTAAGGGTATATGGGTAGGCAGTAGAACTTTTGAGCATCCGCAGCTTACTTAGCCCAAGGGGCCTTGGTCAGCATCTCCTCCTGGGCTGTCGATCCACCAGTAGCCGAGTTTTGTTGAGCATTCGCCCAAGGCGCTCGGGTAGGCGCCATAGGTCCCTGAGGTAACCGTGAGGTATCAGGTAAAATCGGGGCTCTAGCTGCGCCTCCAGAAGCCCAGGGTGCAGCTGTGCCACTACCCGCGGTATTTGCCTGTGCTCCGGCGGCCCAAGGAGCTTTGGTGCCTGGCCCAGGATGCTGCGCAGGAGGTTCCTCTCGAGTTCTCGACTGAGGTCCTGATGCAGCATGGACAGTCGACGGCGGAGGCACCGCATTGGGCTCGCGATCCCAGCTGAACAAGGATCCAAAGGGGAAATGCTGCACAACGGGGAACTTGGACAGAACCTCCGCATTGTACATTTTGATCATACCCTAGTAACTGTCAGTTCCGTTCTTCCGCCTGGCCTGGCTCAATATACCTTGTTGATCTTGGCCCAACCAGTACGAATGCCCGAGATATCGTAAAGCATTGGGCTATGTTCCCAGAATGGTCCCTTCTTCACATCATAGATGAAGCCAATAGCCGAGAAATACATGTTTCCGCGTCTCTCTCGTTCCACGGCCGTCGCCTTTGCGACACTGTTGGGGTCAGGTGCATCAGGGAGTGAACCTTCCTCGGGTACTTGATCCGTTTGCGACAGAGCCGGGGCAAACTGCGCGGAGCCGAAGATGTATGGAATGAACGAATGATCGTCCAATCCCCATACGCCGTGAGACCCGGCCGGCTCAAGGGTGTAGGTCTTAATTATGGTGCGGACGAGTTCCAAATAACTCATTTGAATTCAGTAGGTAGTTATTTTCTGAATGGACGTCTGACTCACGGTTGGATCACGCCCAGAACGATGGCTCTTTCCTCCACCCCTGGGGTGTTTTGAGGGAAACCATTGAGCTTCCAAATGGCCCCCAAGAAGGCCAGAAAGCTCAACTCATGACCAGTGCCGTAGTCGAGCCGTTGAGGACTTCCCCAACTGCCAAGGAAGTAAGCTTTTAGCTCTACTTCTGCTGTCGGGCCGTCAGGGCCTGATGATTTAGTCTTCAGAATGCCTGGGGACAGGCATTCTTCCAGTAAGCTTGAGACGCGGCTTTCCACGATCTCATACCACCTGCGGAAACTAATATTCCCAAACCGGCGGGGACCCTGATCGGGTGGCGCTTCTTCCAGGATAGCTTCTAATCTGGACAGCAGCTGTTGCAGTTGCCGGACGGGGGCGGAGTACTCGACTGCATCGGAGCCCAGAGGCCAAGTCTGGACGCCTCCATCTGATAGCTTGGTGGGGAACATAGACCGATTGAGCTGCAACAGAAAAGTCATAATATTCACGTAGGCTTTGGAGCACAAGAATTCTGACACATCCTGGTGCTCGTGGATGCGTTTGATGGGCTCCTTGAAGCAGTGTCCCGCGGCGGGGTCAATGACAGGCAAGACACGGACCAGTCCGTTTGCAGCCATCTTAGAGCAGAATTAGTCAAAAAAATAGTTGACTTAGTTGATAGATCACTTTTTGGAGTCGGGCCAACAGGTTGCGTTGCCCTCGTGAAAGGCGTTGTTGTGGTGTGACGGCAGCGAGTTGCTGTTTGTTCAGCAGCAACTGCAGCAGCAGCAGCAAGCACTTATCGATAACGGAGGGAGGGGGGGGGGGGAACCCGTCCGTCGATCGATGACGCTTCCGTTAATGGATGGATTGTTTTGGTCCGTCCGACAAGCCGCAGCCGCAGCCGCAGCCGCAGCTTTCAGCTGTCAGTCCGATTCAGTCCCCGGATTTCTCGCGCGCCGTCCTTCTTTATCGTCAGCTGATGATGCTATGAAGGCGATGCAGCCGTTTTTCCAGTTGAGGTCCAAACCCTGTGGGCCTCTAAGATGCCAAGGTCTCCGCAGTCCGCCGCGTCGCGACGAAGAAAGCGCGACTCCACCATTCAGTCCGTAGATATTCTGAACACCGTGATGCACACATTTTCCCCCGCAAAATCACACGTTAAGGCTTCTCTTCCTCTTCCTCGTCGGACACGCAGTACTACTCTTGCGGAAAGCCGACTGCCTCGAGACGATTTCTGGGATGTTTCACGATCTCCCCCGGCTCCAGCATCTGAGCCTCGCCGCCGACTCTCAAAGAAACTTACCACCCCCCAATCGTCATGGAAATCCCGACTTCGAAGCTTTACGGAAGACACAACTTTTGGATCAGTGGTTATACAAAGCAATGATGAAGGATACGACCGAGCTATCGCTAAGGACAATGACGGGAGCATTGACGAGGAGGGCGAATATGACAATGCTGGGGAGGAAGAAGACGCAAGTGATATTGTCGACATCCTAGGCAAGGAAGCCTATGGCCACGACAATGACATTGAGATGCTTGATGTTCAAGATGACAAATCCTCAGAAGATGTTTCATCCCCTATAAATCTTTTCTCCGAAGAAAGCGATCAAGAGGTTACAGTTGCACAGCACAATTCGCGATCGCCTTCAATGGTAGATGACAATTTGCCCAGGCTGCAACCAGCGGAGCAACGGGAAAGACTGGGCATCGCCCACTCAAAATCAGCCAAAGACACTAGCCGCTCAGTGGATGAGCAAGGACATGCCTCAGAAACATCAGACAACAGCCAGTCACCGCCCAGGAGCCCACCTCATGATGGTAGCAAAACAAAAGGAGAATCGGCGAGCCCGTCGGGACAAGGAGCAGGAGGTAACCTTGTTGATTTTGTAAATCCGTCTCCAGAGCCCACAACACGTGCCAAGCAGCGCGGAAAGGCCTCTGAAGTAGCGGAAACGCTCAGCTTCCTCAGTTCCGTTGGTGGAGAAGGGCGACGAATAACGCGAGGAGCATTGGCAGCGGCAGCATTGGCGAGCAGCTCGCGGAGCCATTCTATTGAAGAACAAGCCCCAGGTACAAAGAAGCCACAGGCAGTACGATCAACAAAGATCCATGCCACTCGAAGCCGAGAGAAAATGCATGACCCAGGCGACCCACAATCTCCCAATGGACACCGAGAAACGCTAGGCATACCTGATGACCACCGTGAGTCCTCTGAAGACGATGAATGTAACCCCGTTGAGTCGGACAACGACTCTAATGGCTCCTGCGCTTCAGGCGTGCATTCTTCTGAATTCGCATCGTCTCCGATCACATCGCCAACAAAGCGAAGACGGACCGATGCCCCTTCTCAAACAACGCAAGCGATGCTGCCTCCCCACGAGCCAGTTGTTGCAGTACCCATTTCTGGAGCACCGGCTCATGGAACGGAAACTCATCAGCCTTCGCGAAGCAACTCGAATGATGATGAAAATTCGAGTCAGAGCTCCGACGACGAGTTGGACTTTCTAGCGGACAGTCCTTGGTTTCAGAAAGCGTTGAAGGCGGACAACCAAAAACAAAGCTGGAAGGCAATCATCAGGCAAGGTCGGAAATTTGCTCGCGTAAGTCAGTCAAGTTCGACTGCTGAACTTGACTTGATTCAGAAACCGCTCCGGTCATTCATTGCGCTCTACATAGGGCTCTTGGAAGGCCTGAAGGATGGCAGAGGACCTTCCGAATATGAAGCCTCTCGTTGCGACCGGCTGCTTCGGAAGGTGGTAAAAGAGAGATGCCGACTGCGTGACAAGGTATACCATCTGAGTAAGAGAGGCACTTCATTTAAGGAGCAAAGCATGGCCCTGGTGCGGGCATTCTACAAGGAGGTAATACCGCCTATGGCACGGCTTCTGCTCCTCTGTTATGAGGTCTATTACATGGACGAGAAACTCTTCTTAGAGTCCTATGAGCATTTGGGAAAGTCTCTGACTGTGCTTTCCGAGTCCTGCAAGTGGGTTGACAGTATCGCTCAATGCTTGGACTCCATCACCTGCCTTGAATCGGATCTCCGTCGCGCCTTGGAGAAGCTCGTCCAATCCTTAAACTATGGCCGATTGAAGAAGCCGGAACGCCCCAAGACCCCCGAGCAAGGCACCGAGGTGGTGGTGGCGCGGAAGGCTCGTATCACGTCCAAGGAATGGACGAAGGACGAGGAGATGGCTCTGATTAGGGGGTTGAAGATTCATCCGGGTAAGTGCCTACGGAACCTGATCCTCCAAATATCGAGACTAAAGAGATGCCTTTGTAGAAGCCGCGCAGAACCGATATCAATCGGTACGAAGCTTCTCATTGAAAGAGCTCAAAGACCGGCACATCCTTGATATCCGCTTGAAGAGTAGAGAAATGTATACGGCTATCCGCCCGCAGATTAGGGAGGAGCTGAAGACAGCAGAGGGCCAACAAAAATGGGCATGGTTGATGAGCATCCCCAATTCACGGTAGGTCCAGCTGTTTTGCTGCTTTTATCGCCACCCATCAATCCAGGGGTGGCTGAAGGGCTCCAGGCTGGAGGTGGGCTTGGGTGAAGGTGGGTATGGGGGAACCATGGATCACATTGTCTTGGATGGGGGAGGGTAAACACAACAACAAACAAGATGGTGAGGATGTACTGGAGATTCAATTCGATGTATGTGATTTCCGGGATGAAATTATATATCAGTCACAGTCATGTGGCGAATGAATTGTAGTAGAACGGTTTAAACCATCTATAATATAACCCACTCTGTTGGTGGAAGGGAGAAGAGAGTTCCGGTTGGAGGGGGAGGGGGGAAAGAGGGGGAGTGTTGTGTTGGTACAGTTGAGCACCTCCTGACTTTTTGTACTGTAGAAGGGAGCTCCTTCCCCCTCTCTCTTTCTCTCTCTTCTCCCTCTACTTCCCTCCTCCTTCTCTTCTTCCCCCATTCCTCTCTCTCTCTCTCTCTCTCTCTCCAATTTGACAACCCCCCTCATCACTCGCCTCCATCTCTCTCTGTCTATTCTTTCTCTTGTACTTACTTACCTTGTAATACTATAATTTCTTCTTTCTTATTTATCTCTTTCCTCCCTCCTATTGTGGTGTTTACCTCGTGGTTGTGGCTCTTGTTTCACCACTTAATCACCATCACCACCAGTTCTCGGTAAGTCCACACCTCAATCATTTCCCCCCTAGCTGTTCTCGATCTACATACATGTCCGGGGCGGCAGAACCACAAACCCCTTCTCCGTTACCCTCATTGCCTTTTCTCTTTCTTCCCCTCAATTATCATTTCATTTGTCTCTGGTCAATGGTAAAGATAAAACATCTTGCCATTGAGAATGCTCATCTCAAGTTGGGTGCGCGAATTGCCAATCTGTTCTCCGCTCTGGTCCCCGGAGTTTAGGAGGGCTAAAAAAAAAAAGGAGATCCGCCTCGGCTACCCGTTGTTGCTCCCTCCGCCGGTTGGGGGGAATCAAAAACATTCGACTTCAGTCACCTTCCTGGGTTCTTTCCCCTATTTTATTTCTGTGATCTGTGTTGTCTGGCGCCTTTGGCTACTCTTTCCACTTCGAGAAGCTGGAGCTGTCTCGTCTGCATTGTCCTGTTCCGCATTGTTTACTTGACTTTTCGTTTTCTCCCCTCAATTTATTTTGTCTTCGCTGTCCGAGCTAACGTGGACACTGTCAATTCGCTAGACTCCCCACTTGAGAACTTTCTCTCCCTCCCCTTTTAAGACGGCCGTTGTTCCACCCCCCTTTTGACCACAGACTCGCGATCTCCTACACTGCATCATGGCGTCCACTGAGGATCCCATCGCTCCTGTTGCTCCCGCTGAGGTTGCCGCCGACATCGCGCCCCCCGCTACTCCCGTCGAATCAACCGTTCTTTCCGGGAGCGAGGGACCCCTGACGAGCCCCGATGTCTCCAGGGACAAGGAGAACGTCAAGGCATCGCCAGTCAAGAAGAGCCCGACAAGCACGACCACCGCCACCAGACGTCCGCTCTCGGGCACTACTACCGCTACGAAACGTCCCAGCTCGGTGTCCGGACCTCCTAAGACTACCACCTCGACCTCGCGCACCTCCACCACCAATGGGACTACCCTGAACAAGCCACCCACTCGGCCTACCACCACGACTACCGTGCGCAAGCCCCTTGGGACAACCACCACCACTGCAAGTTTGCACCGGTCTCGCGCCTCGGTCAGCAGTTCAGCGGATGAGAAGACCCGGTCGGTGGCCAGCTCTGGAGATGAGAAGCGAGGGATCTCCAGCGCAGCCAAGCGCATGTCGCTGGCCGGTACACCCGCCACGAGGGCTCCCGTCAAGTCCAGCACATCCACCTTGGATCGACGCTCCAGCATTGCGGGTTCTACCACGGCCGACAAGAGATCCTCTACCTCGCGTCCCAGTACCGCATCCACTGTAAAGCCGCTCGCACGACCACCTACGGCTACGTCGACCTCTCGCCCGACCACGTCCTCCTCTGCCACGGCACGCCCAACCACCCGTCCCGCTTCCTTGGTCTCGAAATCCACCACATCCACCGCGTCAAAGCGTCTAAGCACTGCTCCGAAAAGCACCGGAGAGGATGCGGACAAGATTCAATCCCTTCAGAACCAGCTGTCCGAGAGTGAGGCCGCAGTTTCCAAGCTCAAGGCAGATTTGGACGCGGTGAACATCAAGTTGACCGAGTTGTCGTTGGCTCCCAATGAGACTGCTTCCCAGGATATCGATGAGGCCACCAGAGCGCTCCGAGAGCAACATACAGCGGAAATTGAGAAGCTAGCGGCTGCGCATGAGGAACAGCTGCAGGCGCTGCGCGCTCAGCTCGAAGAAGCTGAGATCAAGCACAAGGAGCTCGAGGAAAAGTCTCTGAAGGATCTAGAGGAGGCTTCTCAAACAGCTGCTGCCAAGGGAGACGATGAGACTGCCACCACCCTGGTAGAGTTGAAGCAGGCTCATCAGGCCCAATTGGAAGTGCTCGAGAAAGAGCTAGAGCTGCAGAAGGCTGCGGTTGCTGGATATGCCGAGCAACTCGATGCCTTGAGGGCTGAGTTGGAAGTGCAGAAGAGCCAATTCGAGGATGTTACTCAAGCCTTGGAAGCGAAGGCCACTAAACTTGACGACCTCCAGCGGGAACTGAACGGTCGGGACCAAGTGGTGGAAACCTTGCACATGGAAATGGACCGCCTCAACCATGCCAAGGAACAAGAGGCTCGAGCGGCCGAGGAAGCTGCTAAGCGAACTATTGCTGCCCTGGAGGACAAGGTTGCCTCGCTCGAGACGAAGCTGGCCGAAGCTGGATCTGTGACTGACCATAGTGGCGAGGACACTGCTGCCCGCCTGGCTGAGAAGGACCAGACAATTACTGAGCTGAAGGAAGCCCTCACGAAGGCTCAGGCCGAACTTGAACAGGCTCGCGAATCTGCGGAGAATGCTCTAGCCGAGAAGATCAAGGAGCTTGAAGCTGCCCACGAGGCCGCAGCTGCCAAACTTCAGTCCGAGCATCAAGATATTCTCGAAAAGGTACAGGTCGAGCTCCAGGAGGCACGCGACACTACTGAGACCGGTCTGGGAGAGAAGGCCAAGGAACTTGAAGCTGCCCACCAGGCTGCAATCACTCAGCTGCAGCTTGAGCATGAAGAGACTCTCAAGAAGGTGCAAGCCGAGCTCCAGAAGGCCCGCGAGGAGACCGAGACCGGCATGGGCGAAAAGTCCAAGGAGCTCGAGGCTGCCCACGGGGCTACGGTTGCCCAGCTTCAGCTCGAGCATCAAGAAACTCTTTCGAAGCTGCAGGCTGAACTTCAACAGGCACGCAATGACACTGAAACCGGCCTGGGAGAAAAGGTCAAGGAGCTCGAGGCCGCCCACGAGGCCGCGATCGCTAAGCTTCAGTCTGAGCATCAAGAGACCCTGGAAAAGGTACAGGCTGAACTTCAACAGGCACGCAGTGACACTGAGACCGGCCTGGGAGAAAAGGCCAAGGAGCTCGAGGCCGCCCACGAGGCCGCGATCGCTAAGCTTCAGTCTGAGCATCAAGAGACCCTGGCAAAGGCACAGGCTGAACTTCAACAGGCACGCAGTGACACTGAGACCAGCTTGGGTGAGAGAACTAAAGAACTCGAGGTTTCTCATGAGGCTACGGTTGCCAAGCTCCTGCTCGAGCATCAGGAAGCTCTCGAGAAACTGCAGGCCGAACTTCAAGAGGCGCGCAACACTACAGAGACAGATATGGGTGAGAAGGCCAAGGAGCTTGAAGCCATTCATGAGGCTGCGCTCGTTAAGCTCAATTCTGAACATGAAGAAACCATCGCCAGTCATAATGCCACAATCGCCGAGTTGAAGGCCAAACACGATGAAGCCCTTGCCTCTGCTGCTGCTGCCCACGCCCAAGAACTTGCGATTGCCAAGGAGGCGGTTGAGTCTGCTGGCACCACCCACTCTCAAGAACTTCAGGAACTTCGTGACAAACTGCAGGCATCCGAAGCCGCCTACGCAGCCTCCACCGCCGCGGCGCAGGAGGAACGCGAGGAACTGCTTGCCGAGCTTGATGCTGCGCATCAAGCTGAATTGAATGCTCTTCGGCAACGGTTGGAGGCGACGGAGCAGAACCTCACCGAGGTCCGACAGGCTATGGATGATGGTGCTAACTCGGCGCAGGATCTAGCCATTCAGGAGATCGAGTCGCTCAAGGAAAAGGTGGGCGCGCTCGAATCACAGCTGTCCACCGGCCAGGGTGAGATCAAGTCCCTCCAGGATGAGATCCAAACCAAGCAAGGACAGGCCGAGGCGCTCCAGCAGAGTCTGGATGCTTTCGAAAACAAGACCAAAGCTAAAGATGCCACGCAACAAAGCCAACTGAAGTCCCTGGAGGAGGCTGCTGCCGCGGCCGGAAAGGAGCTGAAAGATAAGGTCCAAGAGGCCGCCGCTGTTGCCGAACAGCACGCGCAGACGCTCGAATCGCTTCGGGCCGAACACGCTGTCGAGCTGGAGAAGGCTCGGACCGATGATTCTGGAAACAAAGAGGAGGCGCTCGGCGAGTTGCAGATCAAGTACGACGAATCCGTGGCTATGCTACGTGATCTGGAATCCAGGCACGCCCAGCAGATGGATTCTCTCCAAGCAGAGCTCAATGCGGCCCTTCAGCGTCACGCCAACGAGATCACGTCACAGGCTGAAGTTCGCGCCCAGGAGATCGCTGAGCTCCAGAAGCAGCATGAGGAGACCCGAGCGCAGCTCCAGGCTGAGCTGCAGACTAGCCAGGCCTCCAAGGCTGCCGAATCGGATGCAGAGCACAGCAAGGCGATCGAGCAGCTGCTGACCATTCAGGAGGAAAAGCTTGCCAACCTCCGTGCTGACCTCGAGTCAACGAACCGGGCTAAGATCGAAGAACTACAAAAGGCTCACGATGCGGCTCTGGCAGAGGCTCACGCTCAGCTGGAGGAGGCTCACGCTGCTGCTCAAGACGCTTCCATTCTGGAGAGCCTGAAGCTGACCATTGCAGACCTTCAGGGCAAGCTGACGGAAGCGGAGCGGTCTGCTGCGGTGAGTGGTGAGCTTGCTGGTAAGCATAGCGCCGACCTTTCCAAGGTCGAGGCTGAGAAGCACGAGCTGGAGGAGAAGCACCAAGCCGTGTTGGCGCGGGCCGAAGAACTCGAGAAGACTCTGGCCGCTTCGCAAGGCGCGAAATCGGAGTTGGAGGCAGTCTTGCAACAGCTTGCGGCATCCAACCACGAACTGTCGCAGCTCAAGAGCCAGCAGGAGTCTCTCACGGGCGAGCTCGAGCAATTCCGTTCGCAGAACCGGAGCATGGAGGAGCGTGTCCTCCAGGGCGAACGTGACCTGAACAGCCAGATTGACAAGAACATGTCTCTCCTCAACCAGCTCGGCGAGGTAGACTCGATGATCTCGGCTAGTCGCAAGCGCACACGGGAGTTGGAGGCGGAAGTAGCGGCGCTGAAGGCCGAGAGGGACCATGCCAAGGGCTCGTCGGCTGGCCTGGATGGCAGCCGGCGGGCTGGAGAGACCCTTGCCAGAGAAGACGGTGGTTCCACCGCAGTCGAAGGTGAGGACCTTGGTTCATCTATTCAGGGAACGGTGGGATCTCCCCGTTTATCGTCATCACCGTCTCCTACGGGACTGCCCCAATTCCACCCTTTCACCTGACCACGCCCGTTCCCATTGTGTGTGCCGAGATGGATTGACTGATTGGTTTCTTTGGGGATTCGATAGATGGCCAGCATCCAAGAGCAGCTTAAGCACATCCGTACCACCAATGACGACTGGTATGACGAGCACCGACGGTAAGAGTGTCTTTCCGATGTTGGGGTCGGGCCACCTGCTGACCGGATGTTGTCTTAGGATCCTTGGCGAATTGGCCGAGTTGTCCCGCCGGGCGACGCCTAACCCTCCGAGCCAGTCTACGACGCCGCAACCCGAGAGATCGAACGGCACCAGCAGCAGTCCGGACGAGCAGGGGATTGAGGAAGGATTCTCTTGAACGGGGAGCGAAGAGTCTGGTCTTGGGGGAGGATGACACTATTTCCTTTGTCGTATGATGTCCGAAAGAGGAATTTCCTTTATTGTTGTATTGGCCTAGGCTGTATGTAATAGAATACTCAGGATACCCCTGTTCTCCGCTTTCTTTCTTGTGCCTTGTGTTCTACAACGCCTACCTTCTTTCCCTCCAGTAGATCCCATTGGCCGTGTGAGTGTGGTTACACAGAAAAAAAAAAGAAAAGAAGAAAAGCCATATTGCCCCCGGCGATTGCATACCCGACTGGACTGGACATTCTTTCTGTTTGGCGTGCCGGTGACACACATTGGAGAGGTTGTAAGCCCAGATTGCCCCGTAGGTTTGTCTGGCCGCCCTCACCACCGACCATATCGGCATGCTGCTTTCTGTTGTTCGCCTGCTTCTTAGTTCTTAGACCTTTGCCTCCCGTCTCGCCGTCTCGCCTCGCGGACGCATTCGCGCCCAATAGCTCTGCACCGTCCCCCACCAGTGTTTTTTGGCTGGCTGCTGCTGCTGCAGACGTTGTTTTTGTGTTGCTTGCCGACGGGCTTGTTCGTATCGAGCGGGGGTGAGGACCCGAAGAGGAGGGGAGAGGCGCGGACGGAGGTGGTGGTTTGTTGCTGTTGCATTTGTGTTTGTGTCTGAGGCGGTATCTGAATCGGTTTCTTTCTGGACATTTGCATGCTCGCGCCGGTACTCGGGGTGATGAAATCCTTGGCGTTCGCCTGCGTCGTCGTCGAGGGAGTAGCGGTGACGTATCCAGTGGAGGATTTCTTGGGTTTGGGTTTGGGTTTGTGTCTGGGTTTGGATGTTTGGGGTTGGGATGATAGGTTCTTCTGGGGTTTTGGTCGCGTGGTGTTGTCCGGGGGTGGTTGTGGTTGTGGTTGTGGTTGTGGTTGTACCCTCTTCGCCTTCTAGATTAGGTTCTGTATCCTTTGTGTTGTTGTTGTTGTTGTTCGTAGTGTTTCTGTTTCTTTCCTTGGAGGTAGAGGTGCGGTCCTCTTTCTTCAGGTGTTCTATCCCTATCCCCATATCCATCTCTGAGTTTGTTGTCGTATCTCCACCCGTATCCTCTATTTCCCAATCTTCCTTCCTGCCGTAATACGGTCGGTTCTCATGGTCATGGTCATGGTGGTTCTCTCGATCCTCCTGATCATGATCAAGACGATCCTGTGTATCGGGGCCAGCATTCAACATCCAAATATCCTCCGGCCGATAAACCTCGCCTATCCGCCAGGGTTTTGTCCGTGGTTTCCTATGTTTGCTGCCTTGGGGGGGTGTTCCTCCTGTAGAATCCGGCCGCGTTTCCGATTTTTCGTTTTCTGCACCGTTTGCGTGCTGTGGGTGCTGCTCGTGGCATGATGCGGGTGGGTTGGTAATGATGACAGTTGCGTGGTCATTGGGATTGGGAATGGGACGGCTGGGATCTTGGGTTGCGTCTGCGTCTTTCTCCGGTTCTGATACGGGTTTTGCTTTTGCGTGGGGGCTAAAGTTTGTGTGTGTGAATAGTGCCTCTGCTTCTGTTGGGATTTGTACATTCGAGTGGGTGTTGTGCTTGTGCTGCTGTGGACAGTCCGCGTACCGGTAGCTTTCTGCCGTCAGGCCCGATGAAAATGCTCGGCAGTAGGCCGCGTATTCTGTATTCAGATTCTCCGTTGATGGGGTCGGGGAGCTGGATGAGCTGGAGGCCGAGATGGAGGTTGAGAAGCTGGATGGTGTTGTGGATTTGGGGCGGGGGCGGTGTTGTGTGGTTTTGGTTTTGGTTTTGGGGATCGGTGGTGGTGCTGCTGCTGCTGCATGCAAACGGTAGGTGGGTTGCTTGGTGGTGCGGAGGTTGGGTTTGGATTTGGATTTCGAAAGAAGTTTGGTGTTGGGAGATGTTGGTGTGGGTGAGGATGAGGGGGTGGGCAGGTGTTGTGAGAGCCAGTGGCGGAGGTGGTGGATGGTGGATTTGCGGCGGAGGAGAGTTGGGGTATTGTTATTATTATTATTTTGTTTATCGGGTGATTGGTGGTATTTGGTGGGAGAGGATGGAGGAGGCAGAGTTGAAGAAGTGGTGGATGTGGTGATAGGCATGGTGGAGGTTCATGGATGGTGTTGGTGTTGTATACAATAGTAAGTATAGTGTAGAGTGTAGAGTATAGAATACAGAAAAGTAGCAGGCGGAAAAGCAGGATCGGGATTGTATGACGGGTTATATAGTCAAGAGAAAGACAACGACAAAGATAAGCAAAGGCCAGAAGTGTTCTGCAGTGATAGCCAAAAGTACGTACCGACTGTAGTAGTCTTCTTTTGTCTGAGACATGCAGCTCGTCGCAGCAGGCAGAGAAAAATAGTAAGAATAAGATCAATAAATTCCCTGCTCAACCACCCTTACCTTACTTGCTACACTCCAGTTTGAGCTTCCCCCTACAGTAGCATCCGTGCTGAAATAGACCCAGCAACGGTTGTGCAGCCATTCATTCATTCATTCTCTTTCAACCTCCTCCTCTTCCTCCTCGTGGCGTTAATGCCGTGCTACCGTTACGCCGGCTGGGGGGTGGAAAGAAGAAAAAGGAGCCCTGTGAGACATCAATCATCCAACAGCAGTCGGTTGACCATCTCTATGTCTTTATGCAATCTCCGTTCAACGTCGTAGTATACAGGTATAGGTATATATATAGAGAGAGAGAGAGACATATACATCACCCCGACACTCCATCTCTTCCCAGCCCCCATCGGCCAACTTCGCGCATGGCCTCATCGCCGCCCTCCACCAACCGGCCATTTGCATTGGCCGCATTCTGGCTGCCCAAGACTCCAGCCACGCACTCCCACCCATCGCGTCCTCCTCCCCAGCGCAACACCTCCTTCTTGTACCGTTCGCCCGCCTCTCGGTCCAGCGCCGCTTGACCCCCGCGGAACACATCCTCCCAGATCTTGTTGGCGATCGCCCGATCGAAGATGTAGCTGTAGTAGGTCGCTCCGTAGCCATACAAGTGGCCGAAGAAGCCCTGCCACGAAGTGGGCGGCCGCGAGTCCGTGGGATCAGGCAGGCTGGAGTGCGTCGTCGAGACTTGATGGTAGAGCGCCGTGCTGTCGATCGGCCGATCCGCGGGCAGCGTGTGGTAAGTCTGGTCCACTAGTGCCATGAGGATCTGCGCTTCGTCCTCGACGGCCCCGTACACGGAGCCGTGCGCGGTTCGGTCCTTTTCCATGCGCTGCATCGTGCTCTCGGAAAGCGGGACATCCGTCTCCCAGTGCCGGGCGTACAGTGCCAGCACCTCCGGTGCCACCGCAAAATGTTCCATGAGCACCGAAGGCAACTCGGCGAAATCGGTCGCGCATCGCGTTCCCGAGATGGATTGCAACCGCGTCTGCCCGAGAATCGAGTGCAACGCATGGCCCATTTCGTGGAACAGCGTCCGCACACAGTGCTCAGTCAGCAGAGTCGGGCGTCCCGCTCCCGTCTCGGGGGGCTCGGGAAAGTCGCACACCAGAGCGATCGTGGGAAGCTGCCGGAGCGTCTTGCTCTCTGAGTCAATCGAAGTCGCCATGCCGTCGTTGGGATGCGCCGACGAGTCCAGCACCGTGGCGCACTCCGCCACCTCTTCGGCAGAGATCTCCCGCGCACACCGCAGCGTGAAATGGGCCGGGTTCGGGTGTTTGTTGGGTCGCGAAAATAAGTCGCAGTAAACAACCGCAAGGTGTCGGCCTGACTCGTCCACCACATCCAACCGCCGCACGTCCGACATCCACGTCTCACCGGGGGCGGTTTCCCGAGGCACTAGTCGCACCCCGTACAGTCGCTCGAACAGACGAGACAGGCCCTGCATGACCGTTCCCAGCGAAAAGAATTCGGGCACTGCATCCAGCTCCCGCGACCGACGCGCCATGGAATATTGCTGAATCCGCCCGTTGACATAATAGGCGTGATCCCATGGTTGCAGTGGGCCCGCAGGGCCTTTCATACGTTGCAATTCCGCGAGCTCTTCTTTGACAAGCGCCCGGTTGCTGCCCACCAAAGACGTCAGGAAATTAGACACCGCTTCGGGGCTCTTAGCCATTTTGTCGTGAAGGGTCATATGTGCGAAACTGTGGAATCCAGACAGCTGCGCGAGCTCAGCTCGTTTCGTGAGCAGCTGCTCCAGAAGCTGAATCTGGCGCGGATTCGACGTCCGCGTGGCCAAGTAGATCTGCCGTCGGGCGTCCTCGTCATGGACCGACCGCAGCGCCAACCGCGGGATGAGGCCCATTGTCGGGACCGAGGCGGTCCGATTCCATCGCTTAATCTTCTGTATCAGCATCGGGTCCAACCCCCGTAGGCTGTTGGCGTTAAGAGTCACATGGGCCTTGGCCGGCTCGGCCCCATTAACAAAGGTCGACCCCAGCTGGCTGACCTCCGTCGACAGGTTGACGAACCGTTGTCGCACGTCTGGGGGCATATGGATGGCGGAGTTAGAGAAATCCTTGATGAGGATCTGCGCCACAATTTTCTCCTCATCCGTCCAGTGCGCCGTCACCTCCGGGTTGGCGGCCGCCTTCTTCAGCTGATCGTTCAGACCCGTGGTCGTGTTCAAAACGTTCATGTACTCGAACATCAACGCATACGCCTGCGTGGCCGCCTCCTGCACCCGCGGGTCCGGGTGAATGACCCGGATAAAGTCCGACAGGTCGATCACCCGACACAGCAGGTCGCTCAGTCGGTCGAGATCACGGGTCATCGTTCGGTATTCCTCCAATGTCGACGCCGCGAGCACTTTGGCGACGATCGCCTGGCATTTCTGTAGGGTGGATGTGGCAAAGACGCGGAAGCCATCTGGACTAGTCAGGTATTGGTTCTGGACCAAGCCGGTAGGCTTCAGCTGGGCAGCGCTATTCTGGGAGAATTCCCGCCAGAACGGCTGCGAGTCGAACATGCGTCGGAGGGTCTCATCCTCCGTTTTCTTCTGGTGATTGTTGGTGGATGCGAAGTCTGTAGCCGGACGGTGTGCAGTGGCTGCAGCTGTTTCCAGCGATCGTCGAGCCTGCAACAAACAGGTGCGACAGGTCCACGGACGTCGCCGAAGCGACATGAGCATGTGAGGCGATCCCATGATGGATGATCGGGATCAGGGCGAGTGGGTGATTCGTAGACGGACGTCCGTCATTTGGGAGGAAATCTGCTTAGACCATGGGAATGAGCCAGAAGTAAGGAAATTTATGTGAGATAGTAGTAGGGGAGAGAGGAGGGAGGTGGTTAAGATAAGAGATGTGGAGAGAGCAAGAGAATCAAGAAAATGGAGGAGGGGAAGCGGAGAAAGAAAGGGAGCAAAGGAAGAGAACGCAAAGCACGGGCGATGACGGAGTGAGTGGCCGAGCCGCGACGGGCAAAGGAAAAAACCCGCTTGGCATTCAATCTGAACCTCCCGTCATTCCCGACTCTCTCGACTTCAACTTCATTGACTCTTCCCTCCATCCTCCCCCCTCACTCTCCCCCCATTGGCCTCTCTCTACCATGTCTTTCCGGCCAATGTTTCACCAGGTACGAGATGCAAGTCTCTTAACGCTCGACCCTTCTCACTAACCACCTCGAATCAGCGGGCTGTGGCCCCCATTGCGGCCACTCTTCTGGCTGGAGGAGTTGCTTTCTATCCCCGGCGGACGGCCTTTGCAGAGGAACCCCGGGACCCGGTACGACCATTGTTCCTCCTATGGACTTGACCTACGTACAGCAGTGATGGCTGACTGTCTGTCCGTCTGCACAGAGAAAACCCATCTACGATGACTACGAGGACGAGATCCCGACCACGACCAGCACCAGCAACATCCCGACTCCCACGATCACTCCATCCTCTTCCTCCATCATCCCGGCGACGCCGACCTCCTCCTCCGCCTCCTCCTCCCCGACCCCCACAGACATCCTGACCGCGCAAGTCCGTCAAGCCCGACTATTCCTGTACCAGAACTCCTTGGCGGTGGAGACCAGCTTCAACAACTTCCTGTCGCGGGCGCTGCACATCGAGAACGCCTTCACCAACACGGTCGCGTCGCTGGCCCCGTCGCCCGAGTCGGGCGAGCGCCTCCTCCCCGGCGGCGTCTACGTCGTCGTGGCCGCCATGGCCGGCTCGATCGTCTCGCGCAACCGCGGCGTGCTCCTCCGCACCGCCTCCCCGCTCGCCTTCGGCACCGTCGCCGCCTGGTCCCTGCTGCCCGTCACCATGCGCAACGTCTCCGACCTCGTCTGGGAGTACGAGAAGAAGGTCCCCGCCCTGGCCGACTCGCACCTGCGCTTCCGCGCCCAGGCCGAGCACATCTACCACACCGGCCTCGCTCACAGCGCCATGGGCCGCGCCATGTTGGAGGAGAAGATCGGTGACGCCCGCAAGAAGCTGGAGGAGGTCGTCAGCAAGGGTCATTAAATAAAACTGCTGCTTCCTGGTCGTCTGTCTTGTTTAGCCTTTCTGCCTGTGTCTGTGTGTGTTGTGTGTCGAAGCGGAACGTCATTGTGTCCTCCCCCTTTTCCTATGTGCTCTGCTTGAGCCCCCCTCCCCCTTTGTGGTTAGGTTATAGGATTTGGGATGATCTACTTCCTGGCATCATTCTATCATCGTCCGTTTCTTTTGTCCATCTGTCTGAGTGTGGCTGTGGGTGTGTATGTGTGTACTTTAAGAAGCTTAGAATTGAAGAGCGCACGATTCTAGACACTGTGGCTCATGGACACAATTGGTAGTCAACTACTAAACTCTACACAAGTAAAAGGGAATCTTGATTAGTGCATACCCGACCCATCAAACCAGCACCCTCAACCCGGCCACACAAAACACACACTTGCTTTACAGACAAGACATAATAATAGGTTTCTTTTCGCTCTGGTTATACAACTACTCCGCCACGGGACTCGTCGAGTCACTCGCAACAGGCGGAGGCGGAGGCGGACTCTGCAAGACCCCACCAGCACCACCTTTCTTCGGCGGCGGCGGCAGGGGCGTGCCCTTCCGACTCGAGGGAGCATAGTCCAGCTCTTGACTCTTCTGCAGCCCCTCCGCGAAATACTCATCGAATGTCGACGGACTGGGCGCCGCCCTCGCCTTCCGGTGCGATCGCCCATGGCTCGCTACCGCCCCAGCAGCTGGACTCCCCACGCGATTCGTCGACGTAATCGCCGGCATCGACCCTGCGGCCACCGGCGGAGGAGGCGGAGAGCTGAGATTCGCCGGCACGAGGAACTGATGATGCTGGCCTTGTTGATCTCCGTAGGCTTGGGGTGATGGTTGTTGTTGTTGTTGCGGATGCTGCTGGGCGTACCCGTAACCTCCATACTGGGGAGTAGCTTCCCCCCGTCCAGTCTCAAACACCACCTCCCCGGGCCCCTCGACCTCCTCCCCAAGCCCAATAGGTAACCGGTGCAGGGCGCCGAACCCCAGCTCCGCGCCCAGCGCGCCCTCGCCGCCCCAGCCGCGCGTCGGGATCAGCTCGACCTCGCGCACCACGTCAAACTCGCTGTTGTAGACCCACAGCACCAGCGTGCGGTCCAGGTGGTCTTCGACTAGCTCGCCCAGCGCTGACTCGCCCCGGAGCGTGCCGCTCGGCGTGCCGATAATGTAGTCGCTGTGCGGGAGAAGGCCGGCGCGGTAGGCGGGGCTAAGCGGCGAGGGGATCGAGAGGACGTGCCAGATGTTCTGCGTTGAGGAGAGGGGCGCCAGTTGCACGGCTAGACCGAGGGTAGGGTTGGCGGCTGGGACGGGGATGGATACGCTGTGGGATTTTTGACCCTGTGGTTTTGGTTGTTAGTCTGCTTGCCTGGGTTGTTGGAGGAGGTTCGGGTGTGAGGAAGGTGATATATGAAGAGATGGAGGGAGGGAAGTGGTTACTTTGGCGCTCCAGACTTCGAAGGTTACGCTGGAGCCGGCGCAATTGCGGACTTCGGTTGCGAACAGGGTCGGGTCTGGGTCTTCCTGTGTTTGGGTATTAGCTTCTCGATGCATAATTGACAGGTGATCATAGACAGTAGCGCGAACGTGTACAACATACAATCAAGCGTCCATTGATCCCGATGATGAAGTCAAACCACGGCTCGAGGGGCAGCTCGGCGTCCTTGTTGCGGAGTACCTGGAAGCCGAACGAGTTGTCCGCCGTCGATGATCGGGGTTGCTGAGCTGGCTCAGCGTCCAGTCCGATGAAGCGGTTGAAAGCGCCGAACATGACGACGACAGGTGGTCTTAGCAAAGACGAAACGGAGAGAGGGGACTCGGAGGGTATTGTCTCAGCGAGTAAGTGAAGCCCGTGGATGGGCGCAACGTGGAGGGAATCCCAAGCTGGCCATATCAAACAAACAACGCAAACACTGCGCTGGTTTATCGCTTATCGCGATTTCCCTCCCGGTTATCGCCTTCCTTTCCCGCCCGCGCTCTCGATAATGCGCCGCGGCCATCGGTCGAGCTGCGGAAACCTTCGAGAGTCGAACGAAGTCCCTACTCCTGATTCATGGCGCGCGATCCGAATGTCGATGTGCCTCCGCCAGAGGTGCATCACTACAACGAGCTCGACGAAGTGCCGTGGGATATTCAGAAGTCAGTCCACGATCATCCTTGCTCGCATGCATCTCAGACTAACTATTGCGCTCACCCACAGCTACTGGCGCCAACGATACAGGATCTTCTCGAAGTATGACGAGGGAGTCTGGCTGACCGATGACGCTTGGTTCGGAGTCACTCCAGAGCCTGTGGCCAAGTATGTTCGGAAATCTCCTGCCTCAGATACGCGCTTCGGAACTAATAATGCTCTAGTAAAATCGCAGAGCACATTGCAACATCCGCTCCAGCGGACCGCATGATCCTGGTCGATGCATTCGCCGGTGCTGGCGGAAACTCCATTGCCTTTGCACTGTCCGGCAGGTGGAAGCGTGTCTATGCCATCGAGAAGAACCCGGCCGTCCTGCAGTGCGCAAAACACAACGCTAAGATCTACGGCGTGGCCGACAAAATCACCTGGTTCGAGGGTGACTGCTTTGATATTATCAAGAAGCAGTTGATGGATCTGGCCCCGTACAGTGTCTTGTTTGCCAGTCCACCTTGGGGAGGTAGGTTAAAAGCTTGGGCTTGAGCGAGACTTGTCACTGACTGATGCTGCATAGGACCTGGTTATCGATCCGATAAAGTCTTCAACCTGGAGACTATGGAACCTTACTCACTGTCGAAATTATATAGTGAATACTCCTTGTTCACTGAACACATAGTCCTCTATCTTCCACGAACATCTGACGTGAGGCAAATGGCCAAGATAGTCAAGGACGGTCAGAATGCACCTGTGATGCATTACTGTATGGACGCGTCAAGCAAAGCACTTTGTGTATATTATGGTGATTTTAACCTGCAATAACGATGGTTTGTGCTTGAATCCTTATTATATTCCTTGCCCATTCTTTGATTGTCTATTATCTCTTGTGTCATTTGTCTGGGCCAGATTTGTTGAGTGATGCGAGAGTGAGCTCACCTAGCTGAATGGTTTTCTTAGGCTTTTACTATGGCCGTACTGTACAATACTCTTTGACTAGAAGTAATCAAATACCCCTATATTTATTTCACTGAGATTCGCATGTGTTGTAATCCAGACTGGATGGAGTGACTTTCAAGCTGCTTTCCTGATTGGGATTAGGGCGGTGTATCTCCGTTGGACTCTCTTCTCCGTCTCTCTCTTCCTCCCGCCGCTTCAACTTCCCGCAATCGGCTTCAAACACACTCCCCTCACTCTTCCCTTCACTCGCAACATAGATTTTTACGCGTACAGCTCGGTCACCATCTCTGGTAGACAGAGACGGTCCCGATGCACCCGAACACGTAACACCATCAAGTCCTCACGCTCCTAATCCGAACCTCCAGCCGAACTCTCCGTACGACACCAAGGACCACGACCACACTTCGACTTGCGTCCCATCCCCTCTAAACCGCCAGAATGCCTCACGCGACCGAACTCCCGGTCCCCGAGACCGAAGATTCAGCGTTCGACAATGTGATGCGACAGATGAACGGTCCCTTCGGGGAGGGCGGCATGTCCTTTGAATTCCTGACGCGCGACCTGGAACCCGGCGAGAAGGCCGACGACGCCGTCGACTACGAAGATTTCGACGACGATGAGCTTCCTGAGGAGGAAGAGCGCGCGGCGCCGCGGCCCGCTGCCGACAGCGGGATGATGGATCTCGCCGAGGACGACGCCTACAAGGATCTGTTCGGAGCAGAAGACGAGGATCTTTTCGGCGGTGGTGGTGGCGGCGATGATGATCAGGATATGGGCGATGCCGGCAGGGAGGATGGGAACGATGCAACACAGCAAGCGCCCGGCGATGAGCTGGATGATCTCTTCGGCGAGGGCCCGTCCTCCCCAGGCGCGGACCACGCGGATCCGACCCGCGACCTGTTCTTCGATGAGGAAGAGGAGACGGCGGGTGAACCACGGCCTGTGAAGGAGGCGGCAGCTATCGCGGAGCCGGCAATGGAGGAACCGGCTCCCTTGTCGCAGGAGCCGGCGCCGATGGATGAGGATGACGTGGATCTGCTGCAGGAGGATGAGCCGTTGAGTCCCACGGCGGAGGATATGGATCCCGCGTCCCTGCGCGCCTGGAAGCTCCAGCAGCAGCTGTTTGCGATGTCAGCTTACGGCCCGGATAACCCGCCTGCGCCGCCCGAGAACGTCGAGGAGCTGCTGCACTCGCTGTTCCCTACTTTCGATCGCAATGCTCTTCCCCGGTTCCTGGAGCTCATCCCGCATAAGAAGGCTTTCTTCGTGGGCAAGCAGCCTCTCAAGCCTCCCAAACCTGTGATCCCGAGTAAGGTGAATATTGAACTGGCACAGGACCAGGAACGAGTTTTCAAGGCCGCGGGTCAGGTGTTTAAGCGCGCACATGAAGCAGAACACTCGGGCTTGGTGACCATCACGGAGGCCGCTCAAGAGGACGAAGAAGAGAGCAGGGAAGATTCCGAGCACGATACCGACACGGACGATGCTTTGCCCGGGGGTATCTCTCTGCATGATCTGCAAATCGTTTGTGCGGACTGGGACGTCAAGGACGATATTTCCATCATGGAGGTTGATGAGCCTGAAGACCAAGAGCTGGACCCGATGGAGGATGATTGGCTTCTCGACACGAATCGTCCTGCGAAGAAACGCAAACTGGGCCGAGATCCCTTGGAGGTGGTTGCACTTGCTCACATCGATGTGCCGATTGTCGATGATCCGGAGCAAGCGACCTCGCGGATCGCCCAGAAAGTGGTTGTCGACATGAATGACCCTCACATCCTTCTCGATGAGCGAGGACCAGATACCGTCACGCAGAAACCGAAGGCGCTGGGAGCTATCAACCGCGATGAACTCGACGCGAGCGTCACCAAGCGTCTCACGTCGCGCTACAATGTCTCCAACGATCAGGCTTATGACATGCTCAAGCAGAACCACCAGAATAAGGTCCGAAGCACTCTCGGTAATGTCACTCTGGAGCATAGTATGCCTGCTCTACGTCTGCAGTGGCCCTACTATAAGACGGAGCTGGCCAAGGCCGAGGCTCGCTCGTTTCATCGCCCAGCACTGGCTTTTAGACCTGGTCAAACATGTTGGTTCAAAAACACCGCTCACATCAAGCGCAAGCACCAAAGGGGCAAAGACGCCAAGACCCTTTTCGATTCCACGAAGTCGCTATCTCTGGCTGATAACTCGAACATCCTGCTGGTCGAATACTCCGAAGAAGTGCCTATCATGCTGTCCAACTTCGGTATGTCCAACCGTTTCATCAATTACTACCGCAGGAAGAGTTTGGAAGACCCTACGCGCCCGAAGGCGGAGATCGGCGAGACGGTTGTCCTCCTCCCTCAAGACAAGAGTCCGTTCTCGATTTTCGGTCACGTCGACCCGGGCGAGATAACACCTGCAATCTCCAACTCCATGTATCGAGCACCGCTGTTCCAGCACCAGGCCAAGTCGACCGACTTCCTGATTGTGCGCAGCACCACGGGCTCGGGCGGTAGCGACTACTATATTCGGAACATCGAGAATTTGTATGTGGCTGGTCAGCAGTTCCCTTCGGTGGACGTCCCGGGCCCCCACTCACGGAAGGTCACAACGGTGGCGAAGAACCGCATGAAGATGCTCGTGTATCGTCTGTTGAAGAAGAGTCCCGACCTTCGCCTCTCTATCAGTGACGTTACTGCACACATTCCGGGCACCAGTGATATGCAGAACCGCCAGAAGGTGAAGGACTTCCTTCAGCACGACAAGGACTCAAAGTACTGGGTGCCCATGGAGCCTGTGCCCGAGCAGGATGTCATCCGATCTTGGGTGCAACCGGAGGATGTATGTCTCTTGGAGTCCATGCAAGTCGGCCAACAGCATCTGCACGACACAGGTTTCGGCAACGATGCCGAGACCGGCGGTGATGATGATGACGACGGAGAAGGCGAGAGCTTCGAACAGCAAATGGCACCTTGGAAAGCCACACGCAACTTCCTCCTGGCTTCTCAGGGCAAAGCGATGCTCAAATTGCACGGTGAAGGTGATCCCACTGGTCGTGGAGAGGGTTTCAGTTTTATCAAGACATCCATGAAGGGTGGATTCAAGGCTGTCGGCGAGAGTGTTGAGGACAAGCTCGATGCGCAAAGACTCAAAGAACTGGGCGGTCACAGCTACAACGTTGCTCGGCAGCAGAAGTCTTATGAAACCTCTATTCGCCGCATCTGGGATGCGCAGAAGGCCAGTCTGTCGTCGACTGTCGAACATTCCGACGATGAGAGCGACATCGACCGCGATGACGAACAGGAGTTCAGCAAGCCGACGCCTAGGTCTGAGGCGCCTACACCGGCACCATACCGGCGTGACGATGAGACGACCAGTCAATTTAGTCGGATGAGCTTACCAGACCAGAAAGGAAAAGTTCTGCGTATCATCCGGACACACCGGGACGAGAAAGGTGAAATTTATGAGAAGGAGACTATGGTGTTTGACCCCAAGGTCATTCGGCACTATATTCAACACCGTCACCGTGTTGAAGCTCTGAGCACCAAGTAAGCTTACCTTTTCCAAGGCTCTGCGCGGCGAAACTAACAGTTCCAGACTTGATTCCCTTCAGCCCACGGGCGATCCGGAAATAGACGCCCGCAACAAGAAACTGTATGTCCTCTCTGTCTCTATCTTATATTCTACGCTTTGCGAGGTTTAGAAATACTAATCGCCCCAATTTCAACCCAGTCTCGAAGCCGAACTGAGCCGCCTCAACCGCAACAAGGAACGTCGCTTCGCCCGCGAGAAGCAAAAGGGAGCTGCCCGAGCGTCCGCCGGAGACTCACCAGCCGACGGTGGCGGTGGATCCAGCAAGTCCGCGGGCACACAACGGAAATGCGCCAACTGTGGCCAGGTCGGTCATATCAAGACCAACAAAAAGTGCGTTCTTAATCAGGGTCACTCCCTTCTCCCCCCGATCAATTTCCAGTCTTCTTTCTTTACTGCCTCTTCCACAACCCTCTTTGCTCCCTGGTCGGCTTCTCCTTCGCCTCGTTCGTCCATGTCCCCTCAGGCTCCCACAGCCGCAACAACTGTAGGAGGCGATGGACGACGACGCATGGCAACCCCCTTGAAAGGCATCCTAAAGAAACCCACCACCCCTGGGCTAGACTTTGGGCTTGGATTTGGCTCTGGCTCTGACGCTCGACCCTCCCCTTCCCGGACACCCCATTAGTGAGAGTTGGCAAGCACACAGCAAGCAAACCATTGCTGCTGCTGCTGCCACTTGCATAGGACTCATTTCCCTCTTCATACACCAAGACGTGCACGGCAGAACAGGCCCCATGACAACAGACCCAACTCAACAAGGAACCCAAGCTAACTCAGAAACCCACATAACCAAACAGGCTCTGTCCCCTTCTCAACGGAACCATGAAACCCGAAGACCGAGTCAGCGATTCCGCCTTTGCAATGGGCGCGCCTCCCGCTCTGTGAATTGGCGCCCAGTCCGCCTAGTTCTCCATCCATCCGCACGGCCTCCCACTTCCTACGTTCGACTCCTTCTCCAGCAAGAACAACAACTCTTATTCTACTCTACGCCTACACTTTTCTCAATATGATACCCCCGATCTTCAATCCCCCTCTCTTCTTGTCTATTCACCCCTCTAACTCCTCTTATATCTTATCCTCACTTCCTCAAGCCCAAATTCAACGCAGCCATGGATTCATATCCCCTACCTTCCATTAACGAGCCCCATTTTGTCTCCCCATCAGACGGCCGTTCCATATATTATTCATGTCACAATTCCAGATGGTTTTCTATAAGATCAAGTTGTTGATCGGACCGAATGAAATTTCACAAGCAGAAACTGAGCATCATTGCATACATATGACATTCTTCGCACCTCAGTTCCACTTTTTTTTCATGTTGGCGGACAGGCAGATCTCACGATGTTCTCGCCACCACAGCTCTCTTCTTTGGCTGTCTTTCTGTAACCGATACCTTTAAAGTTAAGGCTAGATAAAATTCACCTTAAGTTGGACAATTGATATTTCTTCTGTATTATGAATGCATCGGTGGTACGAAAGTCCATGTACGTGGCACTTTACTCTATTGAACGAGCATGAACTCTAAAAACTGGGAGAGAGCCAGTTGGTCAAAAAGAGAGATGGTAATTTCTTCTTTCGTCATATCAATATTCAACAATGATTGACAAGCGGTACCGAGAGCCAGGTATCTCACTTCTAAGAATGTGTGATGTCTGCCACATAACAATGTCCGAGAAGGATACATCATGAGTCGTAGTATACATTCATCGTGCTTGAACTCCAGGATTGTGAGAATGCCTGGCAGACAACGCTACGAGCCATACAGCTCCGACAATTGACCTCGCCCCAGACAATGTCGACCTCGATCAGGAGTCAGAGCCACGGTCACAGACTTGGGTCGTCGATAGGTGTAGCCCAGGAACGCCCCTTTCTTGCGCATCTCGAGCACCGTCCGCCGCATTTGCCGGTCACGCAGAAGCTTATCCCGAGGGCGCTTACGCTCCTTCTTCTTGCGATCTTTGTGTAGAGAGGCTTTACCTCCGGGACCGGGACCTGGTGCGGGATGTCGAGCGACTTGCTGAGGCACGGGAGATTCGACTTTGACTGGGACTGGCTCTTCGACCTCGCTATCCTCTTCGAGGTGGTCAGGGTCTGACATGACAGAGATATCATCGTGGTCACCGTCGTATCCTGCGTCGTCAAAGTACCTAGTATCCTCCCAGCCTTTGACCTTGGGGATGAACGGAGGAACAGATTGGTGGATTTCGTCCCACTTGATGTTACGGAAGAAACAATGGTTTTTGATATCCGTTGCATCATTGGGGAAGACGTAGAAACCCTTATGGTTCCGATTGCGAGTGTCCATATTGTAGAAGAAATGCCGGGATGGTAATCGGGAACTCAGAGAGTCATTGATCTTGTATTTGCTTGAAGACAGTCGATGCTCTTTCTCCTGAAGCAGAAAATTGATAAGATCGATTGCGTCGGCCGAAACCCGCTTGTCCGAGGTTCGACTTGCGGGAAAGCAGAGTGTCTCGTGGTGATGCTTTTTCTTGATCAGTTTCATGGGATGTGTGGTGTGATGCACGCACATACATGGATTTTCATCTTGGTCTTCTGTCGATCGTGCGAAGCGAAGGGAGTGAAGCCGTAGAGACACTGTCAAACTCGAGTTAGCATTGTTCCTTCATCACACAAATCATCGTACCTCGTATAATATGATACCAATACTCCACCAGTCGCAGCGACCGTCGTATAGCTCACCCCGGACCACTTCTGGTGCCATATATTGATTTGTTCCGACGACACTGGCAGCCAGCCGTCGTTTTTGGGTGCGGTCACGCCATCCCAGTAAATCCATTGAGGGTGGTGTGCTTTCGGAGTCGGCTCCAGCACCATATTCATGTGAAGATAATTTTGCCGGCTTGCGTGCTTCTCTTCGATCCTGGGAATCCCCCGCCACCTGGATCCCCAATTTCTTGAGCAATGAATACCGCTGTTCATTATAGTACACTTGGTCGTGAGCCCAGTGCCCGTCAAAAGCTAGGCCGAAGTCGGATATCTTCAAGTGTCCAGACGCCGATATAAGGAAATTGTCAGGCTTGACATCTCGATGAATCCAGCATAGCCGATGGGCCTCCTCAATGCATAGAATCATCTCTGCGATATACCACCGAGCGATTTCTTCTGGTAGGATGCACTGACGCATCAACAGTCCTAGGAAGTCCCCACCTACCATGTAGTCCATAATAAGATACAAATGATCACGATCCTGAAAGCTTGCAATCAGGGGCACAATCCAGCGGGATTTGGCTGATGCAACGAGAAAGTCACGCTCAGCTCGGAGATGGCCTTCTTGGCTGTTGCGGATCATTGCAGATTTTCGAATCACTTTCATCGCAAAGACATCCTTCTTCACTCCTATCATCATTCTTCGACGTGTGCTTGCGGTCCCATCCATGACCGAGATTGACCGGCTCTTGAGCTTTGCCAGCTCCCCTTTGCAAAAGAAATGCTTCTCATGCGCACTACCACTATCGCTGCCACCCACTTTCTTCTCCTTGACGAGCCGTACAACGCCAAAGCTTCCCCTTCCTAACACTTTTATTGCTTCAAATCCGGCAAGTGAAACCGTTTCATCTTGTCGGCCACTATGGCAGTGGCTTTTGAGAATGCGACACTGACGCAGATACTGACGTTCCTGGGTAACCCAGTTCTCCCAGATCCTTGCCCTTTCTTCAGGAGCCAAGGGAAGGCCATATATGTACTGTTCAAGCTCATGCTGGCGCTGCGAACGAAGGTCCGCTCCAGCAAAGACTGAGTTGAAGTATGTTTCAAAAAATACCTTTGCGTTGGCAGCGGCCTCCACGGTAATAATAGATGGTGAGCGACTGGATAAGCCTTCTACCGCTTGAATTCGAGTACCTTCGTCGCTGCTAGAAGGTGAAATTCTTAGGTTCACTTGATCAGAATCTATATGATCTTGCTTCGAGCTTCCTGACGGCTCTCCTGATGTAGGAGGAGTTGTGGGGGGAGTGGTCGGAGGGGTGGAGCGTGTGCTGATCGGAGAGGCACTGTCTCCCGGTGACGTAGGGGGATCGGAGCTATCCTGAGCACTGTCGCCTTGTTTGTTTAGTGGTGAAGCAAGTGAATGGCCTGGGAATTGGGGAATCCGGAATTTGGGTCGCGAGCGAAGATGTGAGCGACGGATGACCGTAGGGTTTCCAAAAGTGGTCGATATTTTGGTTGAGACGATGTGTGTGAGTGCTGTGGGTGTCGAGTGACTTCGTTTCAGAACTTCAGATAACCGCTTATGGCTCGGTCGTGCAATTGGCGAGCGGGCATGCAAGGGTGTCCCTGGAGATTGAGGGGGTTCCTGTGGGTGTGCTTGGACATTCTGGGATGATTCCTCAAGTGGGTTTGAATTAGAGTCCATGACGATGTTCGTCGTACTAGATCCTCCAGACGCAACCGGAGACTCATCAAGGATTGCACTTGGAACAGTCTCATCTCCGCTCCTTGCGGTCTCGACGGGAGTAGGAAAATAGTGAAAGGACTGTAATGGGACGCGGTCATGCTCGATTATTCGAGGGTCATCGGGTTCGTGAATCGTAACTGCTTTCAGCACTATGGTCATTCATCAGCTCCGGTAATCTCGGAAGTTTCAAGGAGCAGTAACGGACATTGAGTCGGGTTTCGGAGGCCCAGAAGTGACAGTATTCTGGAACTACGTTGCCGGATACGCTCTCGGATGCTGTCTTTGCTCTTGAGCTGGCTTGCGTGGCGATCAGGGCTACGAGCACCTGATAGCGTGGTCTCCAGCGTCGAGCCTTCGCTGCTCGCGAGACTGACAGGGACGATGCTCTCATCGGTCGTCGCAATGGTTTCAGGCGAAGTTTGCGAACCGTCGTCGTCCATGCTGAGTCGTTCAAGTCGGCCTGGTATCAATATTATGGGTATGGGTTATAAGAGCTCGTTATGCACTTTTGATGGCAGAAATGCGTGCTGCGCTGTGCTATTGAATGAAAGAATAAGCAGAATCATGGGTGCCTCTTTACAGCACTGCCGTGGTGCATGCTTTATGACTCTGTGAGGACTTGGTGCCCTCTACAAGAGAAGAGAACTTGAAGGAGAGTGAGTGAGCTGAGCTGTCGCCCGCAGTCTCGATTAGGCAACCCCGACAAAGGCCCGCCACGGAGAACGGGGAAGGAAAGAGCGGTGCTTGCCCTACAAGTACAGAGTATACAGAGGCAGATGTAAAAATAGGTAGAGGGTTGCAAGATGGTGATGATTTGAAAATCACTAAATCACTTCTGTCATTGTGGACACAGATATTCCGTTACTATCCTCCTCCCTGCCAAATGCAGCGGACGGCTGTGCAAAGAAACAAGTCGGATATCACAGAAAATCAAAGTCATATATTGAAAAACCCCTTAACACCGGTTCTTTTGACAAATCCAACAGATACAATAGCAATAGAAAGATTAAAATGCAATAGGTAGAGACCGAACCGCTTATTTGATCTCAAGCAGCTTGACGTCGAAGATCAACTTCGAGTTGGCGGGGATGCCGGGGAGAGCACGCTTGCCATAAGCAAGGTGGGCAGGGATGGTGATGCGACGCTCACCACCGACGGTCATGCCGGCAATACCGATGTCCCAGCCCTTGATGACCTCACCCTTTCCGAGCTTGAAGGTGAAGGGCTTGCCCTTCTTGTTGGCTGCAGTCACACATGTTAGTCAAGTCATTACTTGGGATGTAGGAGCTAGCGCTTACCATCAAAGACCTTGCCATCCTCAAGCTTGCCGATGTAGCGCATGGCGACGGTGTTGCCGGCCTTGGCGGCAGTACCCTTGCCAAGCTTCTTGTCATCGATCTTGACGCCCTTGACCTCCTTGACACCGAGAGTGCCAGTGGTCTTCTCGGCAGGCTTCTCGGCAGGCTTCTGAGCGGAGGGAGTGGGGCCCTGCTCGAGGTTCTTGGCGAACTGAACCTTCTTGCCCTCCTTGGCGTCCTTCTTCTCCTCAACGGGGGCAGCCTCGCCGTTGTTCTTCTTGAGCTTCTTCTGCTGCTTCTTGCTCAGAGCGGGCTCGGTAGCAGCGGGCTTGGCCTCCTCGGCAGCACGCTTGTTCTTGCCCTTGGTCTCAACCAACTTGGGGGCCTCCTCGTCGCTCTCAACCTCGGTGACTCTGGGGTCCTCGAGCTCATCGAGGTCATCGCTCTCGTCCTCCTCGCCCAACAGGGCCTCGAGGTCCAACTCCTCCTCACCGGGAGGGAGGTCGTAGTCGTCCTCGTCGTAGTCATCCTCATCGTCGGAGCCACAAGGACCGTGCTCATCAGCGGGAACGACGTAGTTACCGGTGAGGTAGATGGTGTGAGTACCGGTAACCTTGAAGAAAACGCGCTCCTCCTCGCCAACGGTGATGTCCAGAGGCTGCTGGCAGTTCTGTGATGCAATTGAGTCAGACGATTTGCATTGATAAAGGGGTGCTCGCGCTTACCTTCTCGGGGTCCAAGGTACAGAGGACCAGCTCATCAAGCTCGAGACCCTCATCGGACTCATCATCAGAGTCGTCGTCGGTGGCGGGGCCCTTGCCCTTAACCAGCTTGGAGATAGCAGCCTTCAGGTCGAACTCATCATCCTCGTCATCGTCCTCGGAGTCCTCATCCATGGCATCCTCGAGCTCCTTGCGAGCAGCGGCAAGCTTGAGCTTGCGGGCCTTCTCCTTGTCGCTGGGGCCGCCGTTGACCTCCTCGTCGTCCTCGGAGTCCTCCTCAGAGTCGTCCTCGTAATCCTCATCATCGGACTCGTCCTCCAGGTCCAAGCCAGGAGGGGGGCGCACGAGCTTCAAGGTAGCGCGGGGGCGCTTGTTGGAGTCGAAGCCATCCTCGTACTCGGGAGCCTCATCGGGGTCGATAGCAGCCATGGTCACACGGAACTATAACACAATTAGCTTGATGATCGACATGTTTATAGAGCAATTGGTACTCACCATAGCAGCAGCCTCAGGAACAACGGCGGGGATCAGAGCTCCGCCAGCGGGAACTCTGAGCGCATAGACGGCAACAGGCTGGATTCCAGACATTGTGAATGTGATATGGATGAGATGGGAGGGAGAGAAAAGGTTTATTAAGAGAAGGACACAAACAGAGCCCGACGGAAGATAAAGAGAGAAGAGGCAGAGAAGAGATCGTCTACCAGAAAGCACAGGAGAACGAAAGGGAAAGAAAGAGGAGGAAGAGTAGGAAGAGGAAAAGTTTTGAGGCCGCCGCAGCACGCCCGGAATTGCTGTGGCTGCACCGAGTTCGCCTTCACCGCCTTTGAGCTTTTTTTTTTTTTCTTCAGAAATTTCCCGGGCAACCAATCACCGGGGAAGACCCACAATGTCACCGCCTTCCCGGTCCAACAAGCTCTTATCAGATCACGTGCAGCCCCGTTCTCCGCCCGCGCATGCCTGCTTGTCTTTGCCGCTCCAGACCACGCGCTTTCATTGAGAGATTAATCACTTTACTTCCCTCCTCGCCTGATCATGCTGCTTCTCCTGGCCCAGCATGGGCTCTGTGTTGCATCAGAATTCCAGCGCTGTGCGCAAGCGTATCCAGAACCGTACGTGCGGACTCTCCTCTCACATCGTCCTTCAGATACACACCGTTCTGCTTGCTAATCGCTTATCGCGTCAATCTATAGATCAGTTCGAAGATGAGGGTGGCGAAGAATACGAGGCCTCCACCTTCGGTGGCTTCAGCGATTATATGCGCAGGAAGAAGCTCAAACTACAGAATCTGGACGCTGAAATACGCTCTGCTTCTGAGAACCCCCCCATCTTCCGAGGCGTGGTTGCGCACGTGAATGGCTATACGCAACCGTCGCTCCAGGACCTCCACAAATTGATCGTCAGCCATGGCGGTGGTTTTCTTCAGTACCTGAGCGGCAAGACCGATGCTACGCACATCATCGCCAGCTCACTTACCCCCAAGAAACGGGAGGAGTTTCGAAGGTACCGCATTGTGAAACCGGCTTGGGTAGTGGAAAGTGTCCAGGCGGGCCGCTTGCTTCCTTGGGATCAGTTTCGGGTGGTGGATGAGGGACATGCACAGAAAGTCCTGAAGTTCGATAATGGCCGTATGCTCAGCCAGATCAACAGCCCGCAGTCGGGCTATCGGGAGCAGAGTATGACCAGTTGGTACACCTCTCAGCTTCAGGCAGCAGATAGGACTAGTCCTGTGGGATCTCCTTCAAGACACCCTGCGGGTACCGTGGTGCCCGAGAACCAACCCAACACGGCCTCGCAGTCGGACTATGGCGACTTCCCTAGTTTCTCCATGGACGACGCAGGTAGCCTTCCTCCCGTGTCGCAACAAACCAATGTACTATCTTCTCCCCGGGACCGTGAATCCAGACAGGATGAACCTCGTAATGATATCGCTTCTCCACGGCCAGAAGTTTCGAAGACCAGGTCGCCAACGGCTCAACAAGCTAGTCCCTCGAAACCAGGAATGACGTCCGAAGAGTACAATGCTCAGTTATTGACGGATTCCCGCATGCGCAATTCCAGTGCAGCCAACCCCGAGTTCATCCAACAATACTACAAAGAATCCCGACTGCATCATCTGTCGACGTGGAAGGCCAATCTCAAAGCCCAGCTCCAATTGGCAGCCACGGAGAAATCGCAATCCCAGGCCAAGCGCGCAAAAGCTGCACCTGGCGCCAGACGATATATCATGCATGTGGACTTCGATTGCTTCTTTGCCGCTGTGTCGACATTAAAACACCCTCACTTGGAAGGAAAGCCAGTGGCGGTGGCACATGGTACTGGGTCAGGCTCTGAGATTGCGAGCTGCAACTATGCGGCACGCGCTCATGGGATTAAGAACGGGATGTGGATGAAAGGCGCTCTACAAGCGTGTCCTAGCTTGCAGGTCGTGCCTTATGACTTTCCAGCCTACGAGGAAGCAAGTCGGAGGTTCTACGGTGCCATCCTCGCCATAGACGGGAATGTGCAAAGTGTGAGCATCGATGAAGCGCTTGTGGATATCACAACGCAGTGCTTAGAGGCTGGAGGCTCAGACGGGCGAGGCGTATCCGAGGGTTCTATCTACCGGGAACAAGCCAAAGCCGATGAAATCGCGGAAGCGTTGCGGGCGACCGTGAAGGAGCAGACGGGCTGCGCAGTATCCGTGGGCATTGGAGGCAATATCCTACTGGCCAAAGTCGCTTTGCGAAAAGCTAAACCGGCGGGTCAGTTCCAGTTGAAACCCGACGAAGTCCTCGAGTTAATAGGCGGGCTCACGGTGCAAGGTCTCCCGGGTGTCGGCCACAGCATGGGCGCCAAACTCGAAGAGCTGGGCGTCAAATACGTGAAGGATGTTCGCGAGCTGACTCGGGAAAGACTGACCTCCAGCCTGGGTCCCAAGACGGGCGTCAAACTCTGGGAGTACGCCCGAGGAATCGATCGGACGGAGGTTGGCAACGAGACGATACGTAAATCCGTCTCCGCCGAAGTCAACTGGGGGATCCGCTTTACCAATCAAACGCAGGCCGAAGACTTCATCCGGTCACTGTGCGACGAATTGCACAAACGACTAGTCGAGAATCTCGTCAAGGGCAAACAACTGACGCTGAAGGTGATGCGGAGAGCGGCCGACGCGCCATTGGAAGCAGTCAAGCACCTGGGGCACGGGAAGTGCGACATCCTCAACAAAAGCGCCATGCTGGGCGTAGCCACCAATGCATCCGAGATTCTAGGCAAAGAGACGGTGGCGATGCTCCGCAGCTTCGGGATCTCACCTGGCGACCTGCGAGGGCTGGGCGTTCAAATGACCAAACTCGAGCCTCTCAAGCCAGGGGGTTCTCCACGCAAGCCGGACGGCAGCCAGCGCCAGCTGAACTTCAAGCCATCACCCATCCGCAAGAGCATCGAGCGTGCCGCCGACGACCCAGACGAGGACGACGTAGACAGTCCGCGTCGAGGCGAGAGCGAGACGGTGCGATCGGTCCCCTCGATACACGAGAGCGGACACAAGCCGCTGAACATGAGCGGCACGCAATTCATCCTCCCGTCACAGATCGACCCGCAAGTCGTGGCCGAGCTCCCCAACGACATCCGCGCAAAACTAGTAGCGCAGGGGCGGTCCCGATCCCGACGGGAGTCCCTCTCCCCATGCCCACCCTCACGCCCGCGCACAAGACCACCAGACGTACGCGCAGCGGAGCTCCCCCCGCAATCGCAACTGGACCCAGAAGCCCTAATGGCATTACCAGAGGACGTCCGCGCCGAAGTACTAGGATACTACACACGCGACGCAAGCACAGGGGCCTCCGCCTCACCAGAACCATGGACGACCGCCGCGCGCCCAACCACCTCCAGCTCATCGAGCTCGCTCAAACTCCGCAAGCCGACCACGCCGACAAAACGACGACGCGGCCGGCCTCCGATCATCAAATCCAGCCTACCGACAACACTAACACAAGCCAAATTCGTCCTCCCACCAGCACCACCAGCACCCACCACAACAGAAACCCCCCAACCGGGAGTATCAGTCTCAGACGGGATATCCGCAGACTTCCTCGCCGCCCTCCCAGAAGACATCCGCCAAGAGATCCTAAACGAACAGCGCCGAACGCGCCTCCTCCAACGCCCAGCCCTCCACCCATCCGCGCACGCAAAACCACCCACATCCACATCACCGAGAAACACCAACACAAACCCAAACCCAAACCCCCCACCCAGAGAAAAAACCCTCCGTCTCCCACCCCTCCCGCCACGCCCTACCTTCACCTCCAACCGCCTCACCTCCCTCCCTGACCTCCGTAACGCAATCAAAACGTGGTATACGGCTTTCAGTCCCGCCCAAACCTCCCCCTCTATCACCCGCTCAGAAGAAGAAGGTGAAGAAGAAGAAGAAGGTCCACTGGAAGAAGACACCACCTCCCTCGCTCGATACCTAAGGCGGGTAGTGCTCGAGGAGAGGGATCTCGATAAGGCGGTTTCGGTGGTGCGGTGGTTTGCTTGGTTGGTTGAGAGTGATTATCCCTTCGCTCTTCAAGGTCACGGGGAGGGGGAAGGGGAAGGGGAAGGAGAGTCTGGTTCTGGGTCTAGATCTGGGGTAGATTCTCAGGATGATGCGTTCAAAACGCCGAGTCCGAGTGGGAAGGTTAGTCGGCGTGATGGAAATCCTGCTAGTTCGCAGGGCTTGGGGCGGAGGTGGGGCGCTGCGGTGCGGGTGGTTAGGGAGAGTGTGCTTCTGGCGGTGCGGGAGAGGGGGTTGGGGGATGTTGAGTTTTGAAAGTGGTTATGGATGTTACAGGGTTGGGTTGGGGTTTGTTGTTTGGGGGCAGGGGTGTTTAGTTGTGTTGCTTTGTGCTTTGTGGAAGGGATGAAAGTAATTCAAAGGTGGGAGACTGGTTGCGGCGCATTGCACAGATAGGATACCCCTTGACGAATTGGCATCTGCATAACATATGAAATGATGTATCACGGATCTACCAGTACGAGGTATATACATCGTTCCACGACAACATCCCTCCACTTATCAACAAGAAAGTAAGAAAGAAAGGTGATCATCTCAGCCCTAAAACATCCCGAACCCAAGCACAACCCCCTCAACCCCGAGTTGACTATATACAAACACAATCAAACCCACCCAACACCCAAAAACCACCCCACCATCTTCCTCACCAACTCCCCCTCCCTATCAACCACGGACCCGACAGCCTCCAACGCCTCACTCGCAGCCTTCGCCCTCTCAGTCCGGAACCTCAGTTTCCGCCGGGCCGCCAACACCGTCTCCTCAAAATCATACTTCCCAGCAAAGAAGTCCATTAACTTGGCCGGCGGATTACGGACGGGGTCTGGATGCTCGCGGAGTCGCTGCACCCAGTCCTTAGGCGGGAGCTCCTCGAAAGTAAGACCTGCGCTCCGGAGTAACGGGAGGAGGTCCCTTGTCCAGTGGAAAGGAGTTGGGTTGACGATGTTGTAGATTATTCCTTCCTTATCAGACTTGCTTGTTTCTGCGGGTGGGGATGGGGATGGTAATGGGGCTGGGGCTGAGGAGAGCGAGATATCGCGGATGGTTTGGGCGACGACGTCGACGGGGAGCCAGAGGGGTTCTTCGTCTAGGGCTGGAAGGGCACCGACGGTGTGCGCGGACTGTAGGATCAGCGGGATGGCCTCGGTGGTGTTCCAAATGCCGTGTTGCGTGTCGCCGATGATTTGGCCAATGCGGAGGATGCGGATCTCCATATGGGGTGCGGCGCGGGTGCAGATGTGTTCGGCGACGAGCTTGGACTGGGCGTAGCCCATGCCTTGTGCGGCGGACAGCGAGGATGGGAGGGTCTCCGGGACGGGGTTAGTGTCCGAGTTGACGACGGAGCTGACGGAGGAGCAGAAGTTAAAGGTGGCCGGGCGGGGCCGCTGGGTCTTGAGGCAGAGCGAGAGCAGATGGCGTAGGCCGCCGATGTTGTCGCGCTCCAGGCTGCGGAGGGTCAGGTTGAAGTTGACCGACCAGGCGCAGTGGATGACGGTTGTCAGCTCGGTGGTTAGGCTGGTGTAGACGGATGGTGACAGGCCGAGGTGGGGGTCGCTGAGGTCGGAGGGGAGTGCGATGAGTTTGCTGCGTGCTTCTGCGGAGAGAGAGTCGTAGATGCGGCGCGACTGTAGCGATCTGTGAAGGCGCGTGTATGCGTCGATGGTAGAGGGAGCCCGAATGAGGCAGTAAATTTTCTTGACGTCCTCGTCCGCGGCGAGCTGGGCCACAACATGGCTTCCTAGGGAGCCTGTCGCGCCGGTGACAAGCTGGGGGTAAGTTTAGTTTAGTATGGAATTAATCATCAGTCTTCAAACGGCAGCTTACAATATACCCCCCTTCCAACCCATTCGCGCACGGCACATGCTCCTCAAACTGGCTATACTTGTCGATCATTGCCTGCATCTGACCAACAATCGACTCACCACTGTCGGTAGCACCGGACATGAGATTATCGAGATAACGAGCCAAAAAGCGGATCGTCGGCTGCTCGAACGCGATATTCAGTCCCAGCTTCTGCCCGTCCGTGTCTATATTCCGCAATATCACAGAGCGCAGCTGCGTGGCCTGCAATGAGTCCATCCCCAGGGCGAAAAAGTCCGCATCGTCAGTCAACTGACCCTGATTCTTGAGCGGGAGGATCTCCAGGAGCTTCTCCCTGAGGAACGACCTGAGCCCCGCCTCCGGCAGCACCAAAGTACCGGTCATGGCGTCTTCGGCTTCGTAGGCCTCTTCAATCAGGCGCTCGTATTCCCGGTAGAAGCCCTGTCGGATGACGGTGCCTTTGTCCGTGCGAGGGTATCTTGTGTCCGCCGGCAAGACACGCACCATGTTCTTCGAGAGTTGGCCGAATGCAGGCATAGACTCGTGCGCTGTCTCGACGGCAGGCCAAATCGCGTCCACGACCTCCTCATCAGACATGGACTGAGAGTCAGGGGCGCGAATGATAGCCAGACCAATGCAGGCCTTGCCGGCGCCGAAGACAACGGCTTCACTAACTGCGCTGCTTTGCCGAACGCGCCCCTCAAGGTCGAGCGGGTTCACCTTCTCGCCATTGACGAGGACAAGCGTATCATCTAAACGCGCATAATACTTGTATGCTGTCATGGTAGGATGCTTGACAAACAAATCCTTAGTAGCATACGAGCCATCGGGTCGGTTGGACGTGACTTTGGAAGGCCAGCCGTCCAGGCAGATAAGCTCGAACACTCCAGGGAATCGCTCCTCAAATTGCAGGTACTTCTGCACCAACTCCGATGGACGCAGCCAGTCCCACCCTCTATCCTCTCGAGGTCTTGTAGACATCATCAACTGTCCGGTCTCTGTCCTAAAATATGGCATCAGCAAGAACCCAGCCTCGATTCCCCAGGAGAACTCACGATCCATAGTGACTAATAAGGTGCACCCCATTCTCAACCAGCAAATTACCCAGCGAGTCCGGACAAGCCGACCCGCCAAACATGACTGCCTTGAACTTGGAAAGTGCAGCGATTCCCTCGGACGTCTCCGCAAGCAGCTTAAGAGCATACGGGACGCCATAGAAGATCTCGAAGTTGTTGGACTCCATGATATCAAGAAGATATTGCCTTGTCAGCGGCAGGTTGGCGGTGTAGAGATGCAGCTGTTTGCCAGCATGAATCGTACGGAAGAGACAGCTGATCCCGTGATTATGGTACAGCGGCAGCGTCACAAACCCGGACATGTTCATGTGTCCTGCATAGTTCTTCAGCGCTGCTTGTTGAGTATGGAAAATGGGCTTCGGGAGCCCCGTCGAGCCGCTGGAGTGGATGATCCATGCGATATGTTTGGACTCTACGGCGGGGTCCAGATATGGTGTCAGGTTGGTGTCAATCTCTTCATCCGGGACCGGGAAGTCGTAACACTCCTGGGTAGGGATCTCGTCGATAAGCAAGTCGGGAAGACGCTTTTTGATCTCTTCGGCTGTAACCCTGAAGGAAGGGTGGATGAAGATGTGCCTTGACTGGGTTCTTTCCAGTAGTGACACATAGGCGTCGATCGATATCCGCGTGGAAAGCAGCAGGCCGGAATGACCGAGCTTGGCCAACGACAGGAGCATAACTAGGTAGTTGAGATCGGAAGGTCCAAGTAGCGACACGACAGCTGGAGTCTCTGCGGAAGAGTTCCGAGGTGGAATGCGTTTGGCCAATACTTGGGAGACACGGAAGGCGTACACATCAAGTTGGCGCAGGGGATAATCAACATACTTGGTGCCATTGTGCGGATATGAAATGATGGGCTGAGATTTACTGAGTGAAGCGCGCTGGCGGACAAGCTCGTCAATAGTCAATGGCTCCCACTGTGATGTCTGGGGAGAAGCATTGTCGTCCTTGGCGAGAGGTGCCCGCAAAGTGGGCGGTTGTGGAAGTATTGTAGATAGCATGATGGTTGAAGACACCACCGAAAATCACACTCAGTCACTTGAGACTTGTCTCTTGCCAGGCAGACGTCATCCAGGTTCTTATAACATCCTTTGCGCAGTTTATCCGAACTCGTTTTCCCTCATCCACGCTGGTATTGCTGGGAGGCATGGATATCCGGCAGACCCGGATACTTTTCCGAACTGAACTGCATGATCGTATGGCATCATCAAAATGTCGATCCATGTCAATTCCGATGGCATTTCCGACTTCAGTCATACAGTATCAGCAGTGAGCTGCTCTGTATGCCACATAGGAGTTGGCAGTATAACTAGCCAAGGCGACGTACGAAAGCCACAGTCTGAGAGCAAATACAAGTAGACGACTGCCAGGCTTTTCCCAAGAACTCATACATGATAGAGGGGGAATCTCAACTCAAAGCAAGATACGAAGGAGAATAGTCCAAAAAAGTACAAACGCCTTTTCTCGGGGAAAAAAACCCATACTGCTAAGTTCACCAAAAGAGACCTAGGCCAGTCAAGAAACAATCCCAAGAAACATCAACTGGTATACTACATATGAAACGTGGACGGATTATTACTCAGATTAGTAAATGCCTAAGCGAAGAACAAACAGTCAGTGACAGTACGATGGAACAACCAATCAAAAGTGACTTACCCAGGAGTCAATCTGAGTCCAAAGGAGGGACCCTTCCAGGCTATCCAGAAAGCTCAAGTCCATCTCGGAGTCCAACGGCGACGGTGTGAAATTAGTCGGCTGTAACCCACCTTGATAGTTGAAGGAACCAGCCTCCAGCTGTCTAGAAGGATAGAAACTAGCCGTATACATCTGCCCGTGCTCCGCACCTGAGCCGTGAGCTTGGAAGAAGACAGCCCGGAATTCTTCAGAGGTATCGTTGGATGAGCCGATCCGTCTACGAACCTCACGCCGCAGCTCTTCCAGGATGATGCTGTAGCGACGACTGGGGGAGTTCCTCCGCGTTACCTCTGCCAGATGCTGTTGGCAGGCTTCCGCAAGGCTGAACAGTGAATAGAGGCGGTGGATATCCTCGATCCCGTGGGAGGACATTCCAAAGGTAGAAGATAATCGATGTTGTTGGATTGTATATATGTACACCACAATGATGGCGCAGAAGCACACGTAGTGGGTAAACCAGAACGACTGGATCAGGACTCGCTGTTTGGCTAAGCTATCCACTAACCTCATGACTTGCTCGGCAGCCTCGATACACTTGAGCACATGGTGCGTAACCGTAGGATGTGGGCTCTGCGGCGTGCGGTTCAGATCCGTGAAGTCATTGAGCAAAAAGGAGCGGGTGGTATGAATGACTGCGTGCGAGTAGGCCAATTGCAGAACTTGACTCTGGCGACACAGCGGAGGGATCAGGCTCGTTGCACATACACCATTGAAAAGTGGAGGAGTGGCCGCTTTCCACGCTTCCAGCTTCGTCATGAGACGTGCAGCCGTCTCGAATGACGCATCTCGAGACAAAGGGCTGACAGTATACAACTGCCGCGAGACATCACCAAGTATACGACCGAGTCTATGTAGTCAATCGCTGCATCAAGGAGCGGGGAAATGACTGATACATACCTAAAATGGAGAATGGAGGCGGTCATCATGCAATCACCCAAGCCTGGTCTCGCCGATGGACACCCGTGCAGGATGTCTTCATCATGAACTTCATCGGGGAGTTCCTGGTCAATGTCTTCATCATGGAGCAACCGAGGCCTTCCAAACATGACACTGAGATACTTATCCAAAGTATAAGTACTCCAGAAAAGGCGTTTCCGAAGCTCTCGATCCAAATAGGAGTTGCCATCGTGGGAAAGCTTGCCTCGGTGTCTTCGGTGCAAACCCAGCGCTGTCACCAGCTGGAGGGTTGTACCGAAGGAGTACCAGCATTCATTGGCTCTGGAGGAAGACAGTAGATAGAAACATTGGCCCAGTCTCGCCTGGACAGTTTCTAAACGCGGAGCTCCTGACTCGAGTGAGGTCATAGACTTGGAGGCCGCATACCATTGCTCACTGCGGATGCGTCAGTCTGCGCCAACGACCGACGATCGTCACAAGAAGGCTTACTTACCTCCCATAACGCCTATCTATTTGCTTATCCGGGTCTTGCTCTTCGTACAGAGTGCCCACGGCGAAAATCATAAAGATTATGGCCGTCCGCGCTACCATGTCCCCCGAGGGAGGATTCGATACGGAAACATTACATTCATACACCTGGCGAAGCCAATCATCCACACTGCCACGATGTAAGAAGCGATAGGTAACCATGGACAAGTCAAAGTAAGTGGTGGCCAGCTCGCGCGCCTTCTCGTACGAGGGGAGCGTGAACCCCGCGCCGGGATGGGCCGAGTAAGGTTTATCCCCAAACATGAACACCGAGGTATTCTGAGAGGGCCATTCATCCCCATTCTGCAGCGTATCAGGAACCGTCCGTTTCTCATCGTGGTGGAGGCGACGCCAGACGCGATTGAGGAAGGACAAGCCGGACGCCGGGCCCAGGTAGTTGCCTTCCAAATCGGTCACGGCGGGGTCCGGTGAGTTGCGTTGGGAGATGAGGTTATTGTTGCGACCATCGAGGTCGTGGTGTAAGCTTGATCCAATCCGTGGCGAGGATCGAGCCACCGGATGTAAGCGGCGCGTTCTCGGCCCTTCGACAGCACGGGTGGGACCGAGCTGGTGGTCGTCGGCCGAAGCGGGCAAGGGTTCGGGAGGCAGGCCGCGTGAGTAGGCGGCATTATATTCACATGCAAGCGACAGCCGGGTACATCTTACACAAGGGATGGTCCCTGTACAGCGAGTCTTCTTCTCCTTGCAGTGATCGCACGCCCGAGTGATCTTTTGACGGGGGGTGTGGGAACTGTGGACCAGCGACGACTCGGAAGACCTCCTTTGTCGCTTTGCTGAGCCTGTGTCACGGCCATTGGTACTGGATCGACGGCGATTGTCATTGACGAGTCCCAATGCAACTGGGTCTTCAGGTGACGATAGACTGTCAACAGCAGCTACCACCGTTGCAGCCATATGGAGGGTAGAAGAGGCGGGGGGGGGGGGGGGGGAAGATTTACCCCGATTTCCGGGGCGCTTCCTGTTTCACCGGCGGTTCGCTTCGACCACGAAACACAAAGCGACCAGTGCCGGGCTATTTTTATTTTCCGGTGAACAAGAGAGGTCCCACCTGAGGAGGAGGGGGGAGAATTGAATCGGACGAGGTCTTACCAGGGAAGTAGATGGGGGACGCTTCTCAGATGGAGGGAGAAAGAGAGCATTCAGTAGTGAAGGGAGAAATTTCCGGGGAAGGAACTCGACTTCAATCGAGAGATGGTGTGATGGCTGGAATTGATTGTTTGAAGTTCAGCCGGATTTCCAAATGGCGGGGAAGGAAACTAAGTTGCGGGGGTTCCCAAATGCCCCAAACTTCCCAAACTTCTCAAACTTCTCAAACTTCCAGTTTGCGGAGACGCAGTCATACTGAAATGTTGCAAGGAGGAAGACGTCTAGACTCACAGATAAGATACTTCCAGACCTACACTCTACACACTATGCCAGAAGATACCGTACTGCTCACATGACACAGGTGATGTACATCAAAGACAACTCAATAAAGAACCAGGAAGGATTGGTATGTAGATCATGGTCTCATCTCTTTCCTGGATCTTTGAATCGATACCTTAACTAAATGAGTAGTTATAGTATAGTACCTAGTACAATACTTGAAGAAACGGTACATACAATCAGCACAATCAGAAATGCGTAGTCACTCGACAGTATGACAACCCTGACTCAGCAAGCACAATGAGTCAGCGACATAGCATAGGACAGCGAAACCTGCATTCATCCATGAACGTCGTCAAAAGCATTCTGAGGCACAAGCAGCACTACAGACCTGCCGTGGCACACTGCACAAACCGAGGGGCTAAAAGACCCCGCCACCGTGCGAAGAGAAGCGATGCCATGAAGCGTGTACATGAGTACTACTCTACACACGCTTCATGTCCCACCGCTCTCGGCCCCGGATAGTTGTTCTCACAACCGAGCCCTCGACTTCTCCACGCAAATCGAAGACAACTAAGCGATAGCTACAACTCATCAGACGCTGAGAACGTAGTAGCATGGAGAAGGAAAAAAGAAAGGAAAATCCACCTTCATGTTGTAACTAGAGCAGAGTGGCAACAAACATGTTCATCACTGGAGAGAGGGGCGGAGGGGGGGAGGAGGGCGCTAACCCCGAGGCGAAAGATATCCTATCAGGATTGGGGCTCGAAACGCACGGTTGCAGGTCTGTGGCAACACCAAGGACAATGAAAAACAACCTGCTCAGAAATGTGATTGCGCAGGCTATTCATAAGGGGGGTCAGGGCGTCTCTTTCGCCCGCCGCAGGTCTTGGACCAACCCATGCTTGCTCATCTTGTTTGTGTTCATTTGTCTTTGTTCCACTTTGCCCCCGCACCTCCGATCAGACAAGGCACACCGAGTGTACGGTAGATGTTTTCGCCAGGCCCTTCTACCTCTTCATCTTTCGCCGGTTGGATGCGTGCCGTGTCGTGGTGGGTCTCTTCCGGACAATGCGCGCCATATGTGCAAGCCATGTGGCGATAGGGCTTGGAGTCGGTTGAGAAGGCTTAATTGAAGGAAGCCGCCGCGGTAATCAGTAACACCCATCATCGCAAAAATCAGAGTGACCGTCCATGAACCCAGACCAACACTGCGAGGGGAGGAGGGGGTGCGATTATTTGGCCGAGGGGTTATATCTGTTGCCAACAAGCCCATGCCATCCCATATATTGGCCAGCATAGACCCCTGGCTGCAACTGCCCCTGAACTATCCCCTGCCCCTCCTCATCATCATCCTCGTCCTCATCCTCATCCTCATCCTCGCTCCCATCCTCGCTGGCATCCTCCTCCTTGTTCTCAATCCCAATCTCACTTTCACTTTTACCTTCCTCCTCCTCCTCCTCCTCCTCCTCCTCCTCCTCCTCATCCTCATCCTCATCCTCCACAATCACCATCGCCTCATCGCGGCTAGGAACATCCACGTACTCGAGAAGATGCTTGAGAAGACGCGGGAGGGGAAGCTTCGTCCTGACATGGGCCAAAACCTCTTGGGTGATCTTGGGGTCCTCGATTCGCAAGGACCCCAGCATTGCTTCCACCAGACCCCTATATAATTTCAGGAGTTCCTCAGTCTGCCTGGCGGCGGCCTTGCGGCGTTTGTCGGTGCTTAAATTGACTACGCACTCACGACCATGTATCCGGCATTCGGTACAGGGGTTTCCAGTACCTTCGGGGATGCACTGTGCAGGCAGGGAAGGGTTCATGTCAGAAAGTCGTGAAGACGAGGTTGAGTGGAGGTGGGGAAACCGATTGACTTCATCAAGTCCCGTGAGAGAAAGAGAGAGAAAAGGAAGGAAGGCAAAAGATAGAGAGGGAAAGATGAGATGAAATCACGGAGACCTGAATCCAGCACAAAGCAAAAAAGGGGAAGAGGGGGGGGAGGTTAACTCACTCTCGTTCGCCTCCGTTGACACTCGCCGCACGCGGCCGACGCTCTCCGGTTTCTCGAATCGTCGACAAGAAGAGCACCAGCAGCAGTATTCGGCGGAGTCGACTCTCGGCCGTCTTCTTTGGGGGCAATATGACGATACGCTTTGGAAGCTTGCTGGGACATGCTTCAATTCAGGGTATGTATGGGGTATATGGCAGAAACGAGGTGGGGGTGGTTTCCGGACTAGATGTTGAAGAAGTGTTGGAAGAAAGCGGGAGGGAATCAGAACACCAGGGCGACTTTTTGAGGAAGAAAGAGGCCAACTGATCATATGCTCTTCCCTGAGAGACACATCTATGACCGAAGACAGAGAAGGATCATGCTCGATGGAGTTAACCTAAACTCTCGGTGCAGCAACCTGCTGCAGGTGATCAAGAAGCCAGGAGAAAGAATGGGCATGGATGTGTGGGTGAATCCAAGTCAGCCAAGCCAGCATTCGAGAGAAAAGGGAAAAAGGCAGAAAGAAATGCAGCGTCAGACGCAGGCGCGAAAAAAAGCCCCTCCCGGAGGCTAACGGGCACAACTTGAAGAACACCAAAAGTCAAAAGCTCCGTCCAAGACGGGAGAGTGAACTAAACTCGAAATCCTCAGAAGGGATGGAGTGTTTTCTAACTAGTATTTACGCGTCCACTACTCGATCGAGCGCTCTTTTCGAGTACGATACTTAGACCTTTCTTCACCACTCCCCCAAGAGAAGCATTGATAGCCACGAAAGTGATCACGACTGAGACATGTCGCAGCTTCAGTCCTCAAGCCGAGCCTCGCTAGTGAGCAGAAAGGAAAGAAGGTAAGAAGGTAGGGGGTGGGGGGGGGAGGGAAGGGCGGAGGACTGAGGAGGGGCCGCTCTCGACCGCTTGTTGACGGACCGGTGAGCCATGAGCCAGCCAGCCACCCTCTCCGGTACATCCCAGGTACCAAGAGACATTGTCAAGAGTACCACTGCCGACTGGGGGGGATCCTTAGGTTGGACTTAAAAAGATAAGACGTGGCGGACCACCGGTTCAGTAGCTGGGTTTTGACGTGCAGATGACGAAGGAACAACACGGTGAGGGTAAACAAGGTTCTGTCAACCCGGGTATTGACCGGCAGTCGCCTCGCCGGGCGACGCGCAAATGCGTGAGACATCTCAGAGACCCAGCCAAGGTGCTCGATGGAGCCCTCCGATCTGCTCAATTGTGAGAATATTGCGGCCACTCTCAGGTAGCATTGCGATTGGGCCAGTGACAGTAGAGGTCCACCGCGCTGACACCCAAAATTCCGGGCCGCCGGAGGGCAGTCACGTCTCTCTGGGTTCTGTTGCCAGTCGAGGGAGGACCGACTCCCTTGCTGCAGAACAGAAGGACACAGAGTTAAGTATTGTACCAGACCAGACTTGCAGTGTAGCCGTAAACGAGGACAATGACATCGTTCAGCAACATGCATCGCGTCCTGGTTTATGATTAGACGGAAAAAGGCTCCGTGCCGTAAGAGTGGTGGCTTAAATGAGGAAAGACGCTATGCACAAATTGGGATCAAGCACGGTACGGATATAGGATCCCGAGTGTTTCTTTGGGTCGATGGAAAGCTGGAGCGGGCGGAGCCTCTCTGCCCTAAAATCCGCATGGTTAGTGGCTAAGTTAAGGCAGGTCTTCGTAATAGTGACTTCGGTAAGGAACGCACGGTTGGTCACAACGCCTTCGTCTCATCGCCCAGCAGATCTGGCCTGTTGCCTGTACCCACCAGCTCAGAGACACACGTCTTCGGCCCGCATCGTATAAGATCCAAGAACCACTATCTGGGTACTTTACAGTCTGACCGGGGAGTATGAGAACTAGTACTACTAAGATATCAAATCAGAGGACGGAAAGAGTCTTCCTAGACTTTCTGGTTTTGCAGACTGGTGGGCAAAGATCGGAGCAGGAGATTCGAATCCCAAGGGAAGGGAGCTCGGAGAAAGCGGAGGCGAATTTCTCCGGCCTGGTTCCCACCAGACCCGTCACGGCATAGCTCCAGGCATACTTACCTACCTTATCTACACTGTCAATACTCTGTTGGACTACCACTTAACTGTTCTTTACTCGGTACATCTTTACAATTGACAAGAAGATGAAGGAGACGAAACCTGATGGAATACAAAAACAATTTCTGTTTGATACAATCGAAGATCTGGGGTATTCACGGGAATGTTTGCAAGATAGCCTGGTAATGATAAAAGCCGAAATATGCCGGAAAAGACTCGCGCAGCTCAAAAATGGTGAAGAAGAAATCCAGGGCGTTTCCAACTTTCTCGGAGTCTCACGTAGAGGACCTCTCAGTAAATAGGGCGGCCTTCATCCCATTTTCGCGGCACAGGCGTAGCATCCTGGCTGGCCAGGAGACGACCGTCCTCAGGTGATGAAGGCGAGAAATGCACTTTGTGCACATCTCGACCAGTGCTGGTGCTGGTGCTGCTGTTCTCAATCTCGTTGCGGACGCTGGCGATCCCCCCAATCCATTCCCACACGCGAGCAACGTCTCCTCCGCGACCTTCACGCACCGCAGCCCGAACATTGGCATTGCCCTCGACGATACTGCGCACACGCTTCCAAAGCCCCTCGCGCCGACTTCCTCGCAGTTCAGACCGGAGGACATCATCACGGAGCTGTCCAATGGGAATGTACGGCTCTCGGGCCGCCCCGCGAGCATGTAAAGCCGCCTGGGTTGCGAGACGGTCGAGCGTTGTGGCCACGAGTTCGGGGACTCGAGCCATATCCGAGCGCCGAGCCCGAATCTTCGAGCGAACATAAAGAATCAGACATCCGGCCAGAGTCAGAATTGAAATAGGGAGTCGATACGCGAGGAGAGAGAGTCGGACGTAGCGGCGGAACGCGCAGGTGAGAGGGATCCGGCTGACGGAGGTGGACGTGAGGGTGAGGACAGAAGATGGTCTGTAATTGTGTGGGCGTCACTGTTAGTTCCATGATACAAGTCAGAATCCGAATCCTTGGGTGGTGCCGCGGGGAAGGCCAGGGTGCCGTGAACATGGTGAGATCAGAAAGAGAAACATCGGGAATAACTCACTGTTGGACTCGAGTGACAACTTCCTCTCTGCCAACGACCTCGCCCAACGCTCCCTTCCACAGGTCATCGAACTCAGCGTCACTCATCCCCTTACGGCGTTTGTTGCCAACTTCCTGCTTCAGCTCGGATTCACTGATCTCGGGACCCTTTTCAGCCTGGTCGCCGTGCGCAGTTTCACCGCACTCCCACTTGGCCCGGCGGTCCCGGAGAGTCTCAAGGGCTCTATCGGCAACAGCTTTGACTCGGCGTGCCTTTTCACTGTCGGCTTCACACGTTGGTGCAAGAGGCACCAATCCACCCAGGGAGAGAGGGTGTGCCTTGAGGATGAAGTCATGCTCACAGCGAGCCTCAAAGTTGGGGTAGCAGAAAGCATGAGGAGGGCATGGTTCGCACTGCGGTTCGAGGACGTTGGCCCATTCAGGTACCCGGGTTTCCGCCAATGACCAGGTAGGCTTTCCAATACCGCAGAATCCAATCTCTATCTTTTCTTTGCGCCACCAAGCACCAAAACTAGCGAAAAGAGCGATTATAATTATCCAAGGCGCAGCACGACTCGCTGTCCGCGGTTTCTGCGGCCGAGTGCTGGGGATGCTGGGCGGGTACATGAGGTGAGCCCGGTCTTCCTCGAGCGCCAACTGCTCCTCAGGCGTGAACTCTTCACCGGCACTGATCTCACTATCGCTATCCTCGTATTTGTCCACCTCCATGGACTGCTGGGGGGACCTGGGCTTGGGGATGGGAAATTCGAAGGAGGATCGCTTTGACGGAGTAAACCCATGGTCGGCATGCATCTCCATTGGTGTTACCGATCTCCTGGGACGTAGGCCGTTGCTTGCAGCAGGGGACTCCAAAGAAAATCGCGAGACGCTCTTGCGGCCAATACTAGAAGTCCTTGGGCTTCGGTGCTCCCAACGGGCTGGCGATCCACTTTGGAAGGGATTGTCATCCGTAAAAACACTCTCTTCCTTGGGTTCCAGCTTGATTGCTGAAAAGGGTGTCTTCGGTTCAGCATCTGGTTCAGGGTGCGGTTCAGGTTCATGGTGCGGTTCGGCAGCAGGGGTCATTTCACTTTTGCGTGGTTTGCGGGAAGATTTTCGGGGCGTAGCCGTGTTGTACGGGACCGGAGTGGCCAACAGGTCATCATGCAATTCCGTGTCAGACGCGCGATAGCGTTTGCTAGTTGACTTGGGGGCAGCTCTTCTAGAGCTCGTAGAAGGCGTGGCCGACACATGTGCATCCTCCGTGTCCACCGTTGATGCTCTGGTGCTCAACTTGGAGCGTGCGCGCCGGCCGCCAGTAGCTGTCGAAACAGTGGAGGGTGTAGGCGGGGGAGGCATCGACTCTCTGCCAGATTCATGATTTTGGTCGTTATAATCGCTCACCACGGATGACGCGCGACTGCCCATATCCGTGATTCCCTCACTCGTCCGCCTCACCCGTTCCCGCTCGCGCAATAACTTCTTGGCCTGAGGCAAGACCTCTGTCTCGAGAAGGCTGATGAGTTGCGCCTTCTTGGCTGAGGCTGGATAGGGAACATCGTGGTTAACAAGGATGGACCGAAGACGCGGTACGGTAAGCGAATTCAGATCGAAGTCGGGAGCCAGATAATCCAACCCGTCCGCCATGATGAAAAGTGCTCCTGATGATGATCAACGCCACCAAACGGGAGGAAAGAGGGGTAATGGTGTGTGGGAGGGAATGAAGATGAAGATGGATGGAGGGTGTTGCGGCAGAAAAAAATCCGGGGGAGAAAGAGAAGCCACTGCAGTCGATTGGCGGTCGACAGTGGACACTGAACTGGCACTTCAGAGTTGAAGCGAGAATCCGGATTTTGCTGATTCCCACTGACTTTCGTCAGAGACGGAAGCAACCGTTCAAATCTGATCGTCTCCAGGGCAACGCCAAGTCCCACGGTGCCAGCGAAAACAAAGAAGCCAACTGGCCAGTTTAGGAATCGAGCATCAACCCCCCAATAGTGCGATCTAGATACCTAAGACACGCACGCTCAATGACGGATTCGTAGTATTAGTCTCCGAAGGTGTAAATGAAAGAACCGTGATCTGTCGCGGCCAGCGCTAGTGCTGGAATGCAGGAATGGTTGTTTGATTGATGATCGTCGATCGATGATCACTGATGACGCTGGGAAGGAAAGAAACCAAGCCCCATTTAGTTTTAGTTGTGAGTCACGTGATACGATTACACAGCTGAGTCATGCAGGCATTGCATAATTAACCAATTACCGAATCCAAAGAAGTACGATGGACTTGTTCTACACGATCACCCCGCTACAATCCACAATCAAATATTGGAGTCCATTGAGTACGCATACGCAATTACCAGGAATCCAAATAATAGTATGAGAGCGACGCTGCCACCTCTGGCTCCTGACCCATGCTTCGGAATTCCTTTCACACCCCGCCCTCCCTCGAGACGCCCGCGCAAGTGTAGCAAAAGGTCAATGGGAAAATAAGCAACGAGAATGATAAGTGGCAATAAATACAGGTATGGTTGATTAGAGAGACCCCGTCGTAGCTATATTCATCGGGGTTTGGGGACAGGGGCGAGATCCGCCAGGGTTCATCTCGCCGGACAAACTCCCTTCGTGAAGAGAACGGTCACATAAGATCAGATTGGTATTCACCGCAACTCCCATGCAGTTAACTTCATCTGTAGCTTGTTGTAGTGCCAGCACTGACAGCTAATTGTTCCTTGAGAGTACGGTACTCGGCAAGCTGGTTTTGCAATTCTTGCATCACTTCCGAGATAGGTGCGGCGTGGTCGTTAAGTTGATCGCCTGGTTTGAATGGTCGTAGCATGTGGCGGACGGAAAGGGTATTGATGCAAACCTAGGGGGCTAGTATTAGCTTATATCCTGACATTGGAAGAACGAGTGTCAGAGCTGAACAAGATTTTGACTTACCTCGATACGCGTTACCTGTTGTTCCACTAGGCTGACTACGGTCGAATCCGCAAGTTCGCCGCCATGGTTCTTGACAACATTAAACAGGGACACATTTGGTTCCTTGAGTCGGGCTTCGCCAGGATATTCCAAGGCGCCGCAGAGCCTCTCTAGCCGAAGAGTAAGTTCCCACAGGCGCCAGATTAGGTCGGTCTGAATTTCAAGCTGCGAGTGCTTGCTGATAGTGGTTGGCGCATGCTCATTGGCCGCATCCTTGTCTAGGGTCGTCAATCGCCCAGACAAAGCATGGGGATAGATCAAATAGAGCGGTTCTGGATTTTCGAGTCCCTTGAGCTTCCGCTCGCCCTGATCCTTGATCACAAAGCCTTGGCTATTGAGTTGCTGAAGCTCGCGTCGGATATTATAGCCAAGGTTGTCAAGTGCATAACTCTCTTCAGAGCCAGTCGAGGCCGCACGTTCGCTATCAGCAAATACCTCCAAGTTACGTTGGATATCACTCATGAAGTCCGAAGACACAAAGATCTGACCACCATCTGCGACGGCGGATATACGCGAAGCACGGTTGACCATCGGTCCGAAATAATCCATACGATTGGTCACTGGGTCCTTCTCGCAAACAGGTTCACCCCAATGTATACCCATTCGGACTGACAATCCGCGGAAGATGATGTTGTTCTCCATGTCGTACTGCACCTGGCACTGTGGCTGCTCGAGAATCTCCGTTGGCCACTCCGCCTCCAGAAGCTGCGTCTGGCAGTTGAAGCACCAAAGCAAAGCGGCCGTCGTTGTGGAGAACGCGACCATGAAAGCGTCACCTTCCGTTTTGACCTCGTAGCCACCGATAATACCCAGCTGTCGACGAAGTATGTCGTTGTGAATCTGGATAGCCGAGCGCATTGCCTCAGGGCATGTTTCCCAGAGACTTGTGGACTTCTTGATATCGGTGAAGATGATAGCGAGCTCCCCGACGGGGGCGTCCACATAATCGAAGCGGGCGAGTCTGGAGTCGCCTGGTGCATCACGCGGCTTTTTGGTACGCTTCGTGCTCGGAATGATCTGATCCTCCGGGGGTCCGACCATGGAAAGACTGGGCCTTAATCGTATCTTCTCCCGCTTCTTCAAGTCACCCACACCCAAGATCATGACCATGAGTTTGTTATTGGCTCCAAATGAAATGGCCAGGTCTCGGATCTTCTGGGCAGCAATCATGAGGTCTCTGCGTTCAGCTCTGGCGACGTCAACAACAAGGTCAGGCGTCACATAATCCCACAGCTCTCTTGACGCCAAGATGATCATCTCATCCTGCTCCGTGAGATTGAGATGCATCGTGTGAGGTGCCGCGATAACTGCAGGCATCATCTGGAAATGTCCAAACGACCTGGAGACTGTAAGGGCGTCATTCAATTTGCCATTGCGGGAGACAAAGCCGCCTGCAGCGCGGATCCTTGCTCTTTCGTGGGATTCTGCAGGATCATGGTTTCGGGTCAAATGCTTTAGCGAGCCATCGGACTTGACAAGGATCGCCTGCGCATCACCAACGTTGGCAACAAACAGATCCATGTTATTCAGGTAGATCACAGTGGCAACTCCACCCGAATGGACATCCTCTTTGTTCAACCGCACTTTTTTCTGATCCGCAGGATCTTCCTGGTAATGACGCACATCTTGGTCAATCGATTTGTAACACGCAAATGCCATGTTCTTATTCAAAGTCAGGAATGCTCGTCTGAGTGCATCCAGTGGAGTCTCCAGTTCTTCGGTTCTAATCCGCTTGAGCTCGGATGAAAATGTGTGTATAAAGTTTTCGTGTAAAAATTTGGCAATTCTAGACCCTCCAGTTGACTGGGATTGACCATCGAACATGCCCACCACTGTCTCCACCTTATCAGGTTTGAGTCGAGGAACGATCATATCGAAGATAGAGAGATGTTCACTCTTGCCAAGAAAGTCGGCCATACCATATGCAAGGGACCCAGCTAGGGAAGCGGAAGTTCGGACACGACGATCTTCTGTCTCTTCGGGTATCGTAGAGATCGTGAGAGTGACGTCCATCAAGCCAAGAACGCGGAGATGCGTCAAGGAGTTGAAATCGGTCAAATCGGTCCCGGGTGTGGTCGGCGTTCCTAATGATGACGCATGCGGTTTGATTTCCAGCCGTTTGTTGCCCGAAAAGTTGAGGTACTTTAGATTGCGGTTCCAGTTCCAATTCCAGTCATACGGCCAGTTAGAGACATTGTACTTGAGAGCATTGCTTCCAACATCCAGAATTGCGAGCTTGCTGACTTTGCAGAGTTCGGCTGGAAGGACTTGAAATCTGTTTGCATTGATATGCAGAACCTTGAGGTTGCTGCCTTCTTCAAGATCATCGGACGGAAGAGACGTGAGTTCGTTACCTGAAAGGTATAACTCGGTCAATAATGGCCAACGTCTCAACAGCCCTTGGGGAAGCTCCGTTAGCTCGTTGTATGAGAGATTTACAACACGTAACTCCGGTATCAGCGCCAGTTCTCGAAATATATCGTCTTCCAACCGGTTATCCGCCAAGTGCAGGTTCCTTAGTGATCCTCCGAACGTTGTTGCAACATGTTGCGAAAAATTCGAGTCTTTGCGGGACGAAGGACTTCCATCAGTGAGGGAGCGAGACGCCGCGGAAACTTTTCGCCCACCTTGCCCTAACGATGAGGCGATAGAGGGTTTCCGGTAAGCTGTTCCATTGGGCGAACCTCCGGTGTTCAGTACACCAGCTCCTGATGCTTGACTGGGTCGGCGTGCTTCCTGTTCCTCAACTGCACCTAGCTCTTCGTAATTGGGATTGTTCGACAAACCCGGAGTTGCTGCAGGAGTCGCAGATGCGTCAATTGGGAGCTGGGGTTGAGGACTGCCATGCTTTGGGAATCCATCCAGCACGTTTGATGAAACGTTCAGAGTTTCCAACCTCAGACAGTGCCAGATCTCTGGTGGTAGTCGCCTAAGATTGCACTCCCTCAGGTTAAGGTATTTGAGCTCAGTCAGGCAGCCAATAGTGGCGGGTAGCGAGGCCAGAGGGTTCTTGATCATACTGAAATGCTCAAGCCTGCGCAATTTGCCAATGTGCGGAGACATTGATACCAGATGATTCTTATCAAGGATCAGCTTCTGCAAATTCGGAAGATTCTCAAAGAGCGAGTCGCGAAACTGGACCAGCTTTGCAGAAGCTATGTTCAGGGATGTTAATGTTGGGACAGGTCCATCAATGTCGAACTGTGTCATAGGGCAGTGGTCGAGGATCAAAGTCCGCAATTTGGGGAATGATCCTTTAAATTTCGAAATGGCATTGTGACCAATGACAAGCTGCTCCAAGCGCGGAAGGAGAGACAGGCTGTCTATGTTAGTGATTTCATTGAACCTCCCGTCAATTTCCTTCAGATTTTCGAGGCCTCTGAATACCTCGTCAAGGGAACCTCGGACGATGTTATTCGTCATCCAGATCCGCTCGAGTGTAGTTAAGCGCCCAAGGTTAGGTAACTGAGAAATGTTGTTGAAACTGATGTCCAAATCGACGAGACTCTTGAGATCACAGAGCAGCTCCGGGAACACCTGGAAGTTGTTGGAGGATATGTTCAAACTCCGCAAATATTGGAAGTTGCCAAAGTAGGCAGGAAGCTCCGTGAGCCTGTTGTTGGCCATCTTGATACTGACAAGGCCGTGCAGTCTATCCAGATTGGCATGACTCAGATCCTCTATCCGATTGTTCGATATATCAAGATATGTCAGTCTACTTGCCAGGCCGAAACTGGCCGGCAACCGAAGAGCGTCGTTTCCAATAAATTTAATCTCCCGCAGGTTGATACACCCCTGAATGAAATCCTTGGGCACGTCCAGGGACAGGTTCTTTGACAAATTCAGAGAGATGATTTCAGGTGCCTTCTTGTAAAGAGTAATCGGAATGGTGACCAAGCTTCGGTTGGAGAGATCCACATGGCTGAATTTCTGGTTTTTGTTGAGGACGGGCTCGCTCTCGAGGCTGCTGTAGCCACTGATGCGGGCTGGGAGGAAGGTGAAGCGAAGAATATAACTATGGTCTTCGCGGCCGATTTCCTCAATCTTGTCCTTTTCGGTATAGCCTACTTGTTCGAGCATGCGCTTCTGCATGAGAATGGGCATCTCACTCGGACCAAGCTGTCTGGAGAGGTCATTCTTCCGCATCACTAACTCGTAGTTGTTCAAATGGTCGGTAAGAAAGGATTTGCGACCGAGTAGAAGGAGCACATCAGCGACAGTCGCATAAAGTCCAGCTGAGAGAGTGGCGAAGGTCGAATCGGCGCGGAACACCCGGATAAAGTAGCCCACGCCGTCGGGTTCAGAGATGGTGGGCCCAGGTTGCTCGACGCCGTCATCTGGTAGTAAGGACGATATATCATCTTTTTGCTTTTTGACATGCCAACTCTCCGGCGCATCCCAGTTTCCGGCTGGCAGATTATCCCGGTTTGCCCGATCCTCAGCCTGCGCATGAGCCCCATCTGGCATTCGACCCCGTTCACTTGGGGATGGCGGGTTCACAATGCCCTCCATATGGGAAAGGTCTGTATCAAGAGCCCACATGTTGGAATCGTCTGAAAACCTGGGGTCTTTGCCCACCGGATACTCATTGCCCACACCTCGCCGGCCGCGCAGCTTGGAGGGGCAGATGGCCAACCCTTTCCCGTCCCTTTTACGATCGCTTTCTCCATCGTTGTACCGAGAAGATGTCGCGCTTTCGATGCTGCCCTGTCTCCCTCGTCTGGCGGGTGAAGCTTCTCGTCGCGCCAATTTCGACGCAGCGGCCTTCGTGGTGTCTTGCACGCCTTTTACGGTCGCAATGTTCTTTATATGGCCGTGCTTCGGGCGGCGTATCTTGTCGAGAAAAGAACGCTTACCCGGCTGGGCACCCGGGGAGTTCTGTCCGTGTCCTTTTACGTGGGCGCTCTGGACGCTAGGTGTGGGGCTAGTGGCACGTCCAAGTGTGGTGGTCGATGTCATCGGGGTTGGGTAATTGAGGCTTCCTTCCCTGGACGGATGGAGTCGAAGAGATAAATCATCTCGCCCGGTCGCCGGGTGGGCTGGGTAACCAGCAAGATCGCCGGCAGCAGTCGGCTTTTCTTCTTTACTCCGGGAGTGGCGGTGTCCACTAAAATGCCTCCGAGTTGGATCTCTTTGGGACGCCGCGGCACGTTGCCCTTCGGTTGTGGGGGCTTGACGCACGGGAGCCTCCCCAAATTGAGGTATATCCTGCAAAGTGTCTGCATCAGCACGAGCCAGGTGGTTCATTGTAACAAGATGCAGCGACAATATTCGACGCTATCGGACATATAGACTCACGTTGAAACTTTGGTACAGCCATGGAGTGATTTCACTTGAAGGAAGAGGAGTTCGTGGTCTGGCGTGGTTTTGATGATTTCTATCATGTGAGGTGTCGGCAGTGTTGCGTGATCCGTCTGAGTTGGCTCGTTCTCGGGCTCGGAAATAGTCGATCGAGGACGGCTTCGAGATCGAAGCCTGGGTATTGTTGTCGGAATCATGCTTCGGATCTCCGTTGCCTTGGTATTCATCGCCGAAAAACCCCTGCAGCTTCTTTCTGAAAAGCGCACCAGTACTTGATTTAGACCCTTGGCTACTGGCTGTCATAGCACTGGCCACCGATGGTCTTCGATGGTCAACATTGAAATCCAAGTCAAGCGGTTCACTTGTGTATGTTTGAGCAGTTCCGGGGCGGAAGGTGGCGGCGGCTGGGGAAGCCTCTTGTTCCGAGTAGTCATGAAAGAAGGTGCTAGGGGCATCAGCCGCCAACATCTTGGGTGAAGACGATAACGAAGGAGAGAACCCTGGTTGAGAGGTGTCTGTAGGACCAATGCTCGAATTTGAAGGCTGCACGTGGGAATTAGACGCGGGGGAGCGATTTCGTTGGTCGGTACCTAGCATATTCATTGCTTTTCTGTGACTGCCGAATTGCGGCGGCTTGCGCTGATCAGTCGAAGGCACATCCGGGGCAGCCCAAGAGAATATGGAATTGTATAGGTCGGCCGGGGCGCCCAACGGGGGCGAATTGCGGCTCTGCGAATTTGATCTGGTTGATGTCAGTATAGTAGAACAATTGCGCAGTGTGTCGATCTCATAGACTTGAATCCCCCACGAAGGATGCAGTCACATAGAAGGCTAACGATACCCACCCAAGTGAGTGACTGTGGTATAGAAAGCATACTGGCACACTGGGTCGCAATGGAGCAATACATGATTTAAGCGAACATGAACGACTGACACACTCTTTTCGGGGATGTTTCGCGCAGCGTTGATTCACACCAATCAAGACATGATTTTATCAAGCTCACCACTCGGGTCAATCGGTACCTTCAGAGAAGCCGACGTTGGGCGGCCATGCCATATCTCCGAAATATTGTGCTATAAGGAGGGGGATGAGAGGGAGATGGCTTGGTTTTATCAAGATCAAAGGACAGGGGAAGGTAGGGACGCAGGAGTTCCTACCTCGTCAATTCCCGGCCTCCGGAGAGCGGGGAAACACTGCGCCCATGGGAGTGGGCATGGTTGTGCTGCTGGCGCGGGTTTCGACCTTCTCTGACGGTCTCCTGCGACAGCCAGCTATGTGCACCCGAGCTTTCTGAGCTGCGTCGGCCTTCCGACCGATCGCCAGCCCGATATTCCATGCTTCCCAGTTTCTTTTCGATGGTATCCGGGTGGAGAGTGCGGCGAATGGGTGGTCGGGCTGGCAGGAATGGCGTTCACGGGGTTGAAGGGGAGGATTAAGGGGGAGGCAGCAGTAGCATTAATGGTGTTGAATTTAGCCCCGAGGCACGGGGAGGGAGGCGATGAGTTCGTGCAAAACGCCGTGGGATTATCCGCCGCTTGATCCGGGTATGAGGGTGCAGGCGGGAGAAAGCCGCTGGAAGAACGAGGTCCGGTGGGCGGGGGCGAGGTATGTGTATAAAGGTTTGGGTGTAGGGAGTCTAGGAAGAAGCCTCAGCCGCCATCTGCGACTGTTGGTATATGCTGTTGAGGATAGAGATCACGGTGGAAAAGATGTTCGGTGGTAGCACGAGGGTTTAGCGTCGGGCGCGACGGTGACAAGGCATGCTTCATGTTCTAGAGAGTGAGCGGCAGTGGTGAGGAAACGTCATCACACAATCTAGGCGAGGACACTCTGGTCCATGAAGGGGAAGAGTTGACAGATAGACGCAGGCAAACTGGGTGGAGGTAAGAAGAGCAGGAGGAGGAGAGAAGAGGGTCCAGAAATCAAATAGACTCAGACGTAGTGGGGAGGGGGGGGGGATTAGGAGTTGAGGGAGGGAGAAAAGAAGTGGTACAAGAGTGGTTGTGTGGGTGAAGGGGAGAGTAGTCGGTCGGCGGGTTGTGAGGGAACCTGCGCAGAGTTAGTTAGCACAGCAGTGTTGAGGCTCCGACTACGGACAGCCCGCTAAACCAGACCGAGAAGCTCTTTAAGGGCGGGCTCCAGCTCCCTCCCGAGTCTCTCTGGCTTAAGGGAGGTTAGTTAGTGAGGAGAGAGAGAGGGGGAGGAGGGAACTTGGGAAGAGGGGGCAAAGGTGGGACCCTCCCGTCTACAAAAAATGTACGAACTTTACCCTACTCTTCCCAGACTCCCAAAGACCTGGAAGAAACATCAATCGTTGGAAATGATGTCAAGATCCGACTGGCTTTCCGAGTTCTCGACCATTTCATCCCCCAAATGAGACTACAGGAAGAACTAAAGTGTATTAATAACCCAACCAGATCTCAACCGGGTCGCAACCGTACACAGCTCACACCCGATGGATGTCGCCTGGAAAAGGGAGAGATTTCCGGGGAATGCATGGTCCGTGGGTATGTCTGTGCTTTTTTTTCTCTTTGGACGGGAATCCTACTGCCTGGCACCTTTTCAAACATATGCGTTGGACATGCTCGATCCTGTATTCTGTTATACCAGCATGGCGGGAATAGTATCTGTGCTCATAATCATTGTCTCACCCGTGTTACTAATTGCTACTGAACAGTCTGCAAGCCAGATGTTTCATCTTTCGAAGGCATGGGCGAGTGTTTGAGCTTCGAAGTATAAAGTGGTGGAAGTAGCTATATATAGTCTAGTCGCTATAGTTGCTTACTATTTTAGAGGTAATCTGGCTAAACTAGCTGCTCCGACTTTGATCAACGTCTCTATATTCGGATCATGGCGTCCGAATCCAATCGCGGGGAAACGTCGGAGCCTGTTCGTTTTCAGGTATATCCCACGTGTGTAATGCCGATCGATGTTGGATACCATGATCTGAACAGAGTGATTTGCTGGCTGTAGGGGACCTCTCTTGGTGGTGCATTATACTATGATCCGCGTGGCTCTTCTGGCGCATATCCTGCATGATCATGTCTACAATATTTTAGGTATATAACGGTAAGTATTGTGTAGATATTCACCAATCACAGCATGTTAGCTCAGGGGAAGAGCGCCGGGCTCATAACCCGGAGGACCCTGGATCGAAACCAGGACATGCTAAGATATTCCTTTTTTCCATTTTTGTCGTTTGCACCTTTGCACTAACGCAAACAGAGTCCCTGCGTGAATCTCGTACAGAGTAAGGGATATTCGAGATCTACTGCTGCACTGGTCTTGCTCATAATCCGGCCATGAAAAAAAAAAAAAAAAAAAGCCATCTACTGTATATTCACCGAGGTGCCGCGAGTTATCTGCTATCCGCCGGTGTGACTGGATGCTACATGGCTTCTATATCAAAAGCATGCCGAGGTTGTGATCGATGGAGGGTGGTTTGAAGCTGTCATGGGGTATGGCACAAGGTGTTGCGTACTGTGACGTACTGTGAAGTGGAAGCGAGGCTCTATTGGCGTATGTACGTGGCTAACTGGGTGCTGATGATTGCAGGGACAATTGGCTGCTGCTGTCGAGCTCATTTCTAATGCTTTATGGTGGACTTGGCTCGTCGTTGCGAGGATAGGGAACTACTTGATTGTCAGTGGCGGCTTGATCAATTGGTAACTGGTGCCAACCTTCCTCCTGTACGGAGAATCTCCTATCGGTGTCGGGTTGGTTGTGTACTCGGTGGTGGCCAGTGGATGGTTGCTTGTTTATCCAGGTCGCGGGCTGGATGCTCACCCAGAAGCAAAGATATATTCCCGGTCGGGGGACCTAAGTTGGACGTTGTAGCAAGAGACCGCACAGGGGATGCAAGAAGGAAGAGATGCAACAATAAAGACAGACAACAGAGATACGAAGAGATACTAGGAATAATTTGCCACATAAGCAACCACTTGAAAAAGCACATATACATGGTTGCAAGTATATATACCACGCGATTCACAGGTACTAAGAGTAGTTGAGAACATCAGGATCATGACATAGATTCTTTATTGAAATGGGTTATAATACACTAATGTGATCATAATTACATCCACCAAGCATGTTAGCTCAGGGGAAGAGCGCCGGGCTCATAACCCGGAGGACCCTGGATCGAAACCAGGACATGCTAAAAATCATCTTTATTTTTTTATTTTTACTATTTGGTTCTGCGGCTTCAATCACAATGTTATCGGCGTCTATAACACCCAGCAACCCTCCCATATCACGCACGGCTGCGCTCCTCATCTCGGAGGATCACTTTCTTTACCCTCTGATCATCCCCTCCGCCATCTCCTCACCCATTCCCGCATGCGAGGCTATTCGCTGTTGTTCAACCCAGCCCTGTGCGTCTCCCGGTGGAAGTACATTCGAAGCAAATGAGCAGGACCCTCACTTACACTCGAAATCCTGCAGCCAGCATTCAGGTCTTATTACAACGAAAGATAGGCGTAACAATTAGGTGTTGTTGTCGTACTACCTTACGGCCATCCGAGCCCATAGCCTCCCCTACATCTTCCAAACCGTCCCCAATAGTGTATCACATGGCTCTAAGAGAGAGGCCGGTGAACACGAGGACGCCGAATCATAGCAGAGCATGTGCCTGCCCATACGAGAGGGACACCTCTATCACGAAACGCCCCATCGCCCCCTGTATCCCAGCATGGTAGCTGCAAGCACGACGGTGGGGCTTGAGAGATTCATCATTTAAGCTTAATTTCCGGGGCCTACATGTCGTATTTGCTATCCTCGCAGACTCGCAGCAGTGATGGGCATTTGAGCACGAATGAATCCCTACTGCGTTGTCATGCTCTCCGTGTCTCATGCCTATGGAAGTCCACGTACTGCACAAAGTCCTCGTATTGGGCTGCTTCCTCCCATGACTCGGATGGCTATCCGGCGGGCAGAGAGCCCCGCGCAGGGCGAACCACGTATCTGAGTTGGAAGCGTGAAGTCCACAGCAGTGGCACTACTGCTCAACATGCTCAAAGCTTAGATCCAGACGCCATCTCAGCCTGAGATAAACCCTACCTACTTGAATGGACACCCTAATCAGGCCCATATGACCTCAGGCCCGAGGTCGCACAGACAATGCCACAACAAGGCAGGGATGAGTGGCAAGAACGCTCCTGTAAAGGCCATTATGAAGGACAGCGGTCTCGAGGCATACCCCGTGTGCCAGCGTGCAACTGCAGCAGCCATGCAGTCCATCAAGAGAAACGAGGGTGAGCGTCACTCTGGCCGCCTGCATGCATGACGGTTTGCCAGGCACCTTGCCCCACCCGCTAAGCTTGCAGGTAAACATCGAACATGTCATTGATTGAGTCGACCAGTAGAACTCTTTTGCCTTGAGGTGTAGGCCAGAAAATAAGGAGGCTGGGGATGGGGCGGACAGACGGGGCTAAAATAGTTAATCAAGCGGGAAGGCCAACGAAGCCCGTCGGGTGGCGGTTGATGCTATTGTTAGAAAAGCAGTTGCATATGACACAAGATGTGAGTATCTGTCGGTGTAGATGAAGTCAGAGTGCAGTCCACTCAGTGAGTCAGACCATTGACCAGGTATACCAGGACTGCAATGTACTGTAGATACGACGATCTGAGTAGTTACCTGGTACTTCATTGTATAGAAAGACTTGGGTAGCAAGCCGCCAGTCATTCGTTTCTGGGCATAGGATACCTTACGTAAGGCACAGTTACGCACTAGACCGCTGCACCAAGGTAACCAATGAGAACCCAGAGACGGGGAAGGTCCGAGGCTTCCTGCCCGATCGGGTAAAATGGGAGGATGCAAAGCGAGGAGGCTGGACGATTCCAAGTTAGAGATTCAACTTCAAGCCTGCTCCCTCTCTCCACTCTCCACCCGTCCTTAAATACATTGATTGTTATTCGGTTCCTGCGTCTGAGCCTTGGCTACATCAAATGCTTTAATCCCTCTTTCCCCCTCTTCTCCTGCTGCATCCCCCCCGTATAACTCCTCAACACGTGGTGGGCTGCCCGTGAGTAATTGTATACTACCTCACCTCCTGTCCTCCCATTTCCTCAGTCACAAAGTCCTTCTTGACTACACGGGCGCTTTCGAACTCTGCCTCACTCCAACACCGGCCACTCACCGAAAATTCATCTACTCCCCGGTCTTTGCCTGTCGTCTGATTGTCTAATCCACTGCGCATACTCCTACCATGCGGCTTTCTCTATTCGGGGCCGCCTTGGGCCTCCTCTCCTACCCGAGCCTAGTCACGGCTCAGACATACACCAGCTGCAATCCTCGACAGAACAGTACGTCATTACACTCAAATACCACGAAGGGATCAGACTGACCAAGCCTCTGCAGCATGTCCTGCGGATACCGCCCTGGGAAAGTCGGCTTCCTACGATTTCACCTCAGGTAGCTCTTCCGCATTCGAGTCCACTGGCAGCCCAGCATACAGTGACGATGGGGTTGCTTTCACGGTGGCTAAAAAAGGGGATGCTCCTCTGATCCAGTCGAAATGGTATATTATGTTCGGACGAGTTGAATATGTGATCAAGGCAGCACCCGGAACCGGCATTGTCAGCAGTGCCGTCTTGCAATCCGACGACTTGGACGAGATTGATTGGGAGTGGCTTGGTGGAAACAACAATCTGGTACAAAGCAACTACTTCGGAAAAGGGGAAACGTCCCCAAACAATCGCGGAGCAACCCACGACGTTGCCAACAACCACGACGAGTTCCACACATATACCGTCGACTGGACTAGCGAGCAGATCGTGTGGCAGATTGATGGAAAAACCGTCCGTGTGCTCACCCCGGAGACTGCCAACGCCAATCAATACCCACAGACGCCAATGGTGGTGAAAGTTGGAATCTGGGCGGGAGGCGACCCCAACAACGCACAGGGCACGATCGGTAAGGCATCCTGGTAACGCGCTCTAGATATTTTCAACATGTGTGCTAACATCTATCGTAGACTGGGCTGGTGGCGAGACTGATTACAGCGCTGGACCATACACCATGTACATGAAGTCCCTCAAAGTGACGGACTACTCAACTGGGTCTTCGTACTCGTATAGTGACAAGAGTGGATTGTGGACGTCGATCACCTCGGACGGAGGCAAGATCAATGGCAACGTTAATGCCGACACGATCTCTTCTGTTCAATCTGCTCCTACGATAACCGCCACCGTTAGCATTCCAATTCCCTGGGAAGGCACCCATCGCGAAACTTCAAGTTTTGTGACCCCTGACATTTGGCCGTGGGTTACTGGTACAGGAGCTGCCACTGCTTACTCCGGTGATTGGTCCTATTCAGGTTCTGGGCAAGTTCAGCCGCCGAGTGCGGCTTCCGTGCGTGAGCATCTCCAGTACGAAAATATTGACTTGTTAGGCATCAGCTGACGCATCCCAATGAGCAGTCTACCTTCCCGTTTACGTCAGCCTGCTCGCCATCTGTGCCGGCTTCATCATCCCTCTTCGTCTCTAAAACAGACTCGATAGCCAGCTCGATAACCCGCGTCATGACCAGCGCAATGGCTAGTCCGACTCCTAGCTCGACGAAGATCAGCCCAACGAAGATCAGCCAAAGTATGACGAGTGCGATAAGGACTAGCTCTTCATTGACTAGCCCGCCGTCAACACGTCCAACACCAGCCAGTTCGATGGTGACCAGCTTTTGGATGACGAGTTCGAAGTTAACAAGCTCAATGATGACCAGCTCATTCACCGACTGGACGAAAACCAGCTCAATCTTAACCGGCTCAAAGACGGCCAGTTCTATAATTATCAGCTCTAGGATACCCAGCTCAACAGTTTCTTCTACCCTTCGCCCAAGCCAAACTAGTCACCACACAAAATCTTCGTCCATCATGACTACAAAAGCTGTTGAGACCAGAGCTACCGCTTCAACTGGGTCTTCAACCCAAGCCACAACCGTATCGCCAACGGAGACGCTCCATATAGCACCAGATGTCGGTGCAGCAAGCAGTCTCTACCACGTTCCGCTCTCCATGGCTGCTTTATGTGGGCTCATTTCTCTCATACTGGCCATGGCCTAGAATCTGCCTACTCACTGCGCCTGAGTCACTTCACGAGTTATATTATATGTATACGATCATTGCTGAACGACATGTTACGACACTACGACCGCTAATAGTGCACGACTTTTCATGAACATTTTCCCTCTCATGTAAATGCATGACGGCCTCTTTCCATACACCAATCTTGTGGATAGTTTCTGTTGAATATGTCTATTGCTGGAGGCATACGGTGCCGCTCATATGCTGGTTAGTCTGTTTATATTGAGTTGTGTTTCTTGGAGCTCGTGGCCTAGACTATATTAGCTAGCAGTAAATACCCTAATAAGAATCTACACCGTATATACGCTACCAGTTACAGTCACAGAAGCCGGGAGTTCTTGATTTTCCCGCATCAATGTCTCGGAGTGAGCCAAAGATGCAGGGCAGGTCCTCTTGCCATTGGACTCGAAGAACATAACACATATATTTTTTGTTCAACTGACCCGTAGAACCTCCACCCAACCAACCAATCAAACCAATTAATCAATCAACCAACTATCTCAACCCAATACAACAGAACTACATTGACATCGTCCTCGTCACACAAGACCCATTCATTTGGTGGTAACAACATGCAACCCCAAAAGCACAACCCACCCTGCTATAGAAACTCTACCCCAGGCGAGACACTACAATTTTCTCTCCCATCTTGTTTTAATTTTGATTTCGAGGTTCAAACAGGACTCTGGAGCTCCACATCAACCTGACGCTGCCGACGGGTGCGGTTAAAGTTGATGCGTGTGAGACTGCGTCCCCGCAAAGGCTGGATAAGTCGCCCGAGGCCCAGGAAGGGGGAATGGTTGACCACGCTGTCGGAGCCTGTGTAAATGAATACATCGTAGAACCAGCCGCCGAAGGCGCAGCCGAGGAAGGGGGAGATCATCGGGATCTAATTTTTGTGTTGGTTGTTTGGCTGGTTAGTGAATATAGTTTGTGTTTTGGGTCTTCGTACTGGGGTTCATGGTCGGTTGGGTGGGATGGATGTATGCATGTATATAGGTTTGAATGAATAGGTGGGTACAAGGATGGTTGGATGAAACTCACCCAGAAGTAATACTCCCCAGCCTTCCAGACTTCGGTCCCGTACCCGATCATGTATGTCACTAGGCGCGGCCCAAAGTCCCTCGCTAGGTTGATCGCATATCCTGTTTCCCAGCCGAAGCAGGCCCCTATACCGAAGATGAGGAAAAACATGGCCAGGGGCATCATGAAGGGTAGATGGGGGCCCGTTGGCGGTGCTGGGGCCGGGGTCGTGGTTATGGGTGCGGTCGAGGGACTGTTCTTTATGGTGGTGGTCGTGGTGGTGCTGGTATTGTTGTTCTGCTTGTGCTCGGTGTTGTCCTTCACGGCGAAGATCCCAAACATCAAGATGGCGCTGGCCAGGAACTCGGAGAAGAACTCGCCCGTTCGTGTCATGAAGGGAGCCGGATAAGTGCTGAAGATGCCTGCGGTGGCGGTCGAGGAGTAGCCGGGCACGGTGCGGATCGTGGACCCTCCCTCGTAGGCGTCGATGGCGGATCGATAGTTGGCGTAAACTATGGCCGCGCCGCACATGGCGCCTAGGAGCTGGGAGAGGATGTAGATGGGGAGTTGACGCCAGGGAAAGCGGCGGAGGAGGCAGCTGGCGAGGGTGACGGCGGGGTTGAGGTGCGAGCCTGAGGGGCTGGAGACGTAGACTCCGAGCATAACGCCTAGTCTGAATTTGTAGGAGGTTAGAAATGAAAAGATAATGGGGAAGAGCCAGAGAACCTAAGGAACGACAGGCTTACCCCCAGCCCCAAGTGATCGATTGGTACTCGCCCTTCTGTCTCTGGCTGAGCAGCACTTGCGCTACTACCCCATCCCCAAAGAGCATCATGATCATGGTCCCGAAGAATTCAGAGAAAGCATTGCGGAAGAGATGTCGTATCCTGCTCCATCGGAGCGGACTGGCCTTCGACATGGACTCGCTCTCGGTGAGATTAAGGCTATCGACAGAGGCCTCGAGGTTCTTGCTAGTGCTGGTTAGGGTTACGCTGCTCTGGACGAGAAGATCCGCCATGGGTGAGTGGTACAAAATGTCCATCTGGACAGACTGGTGATGAAACGAAGATGGAGAAGTCTTTATGTTGAACTAAGTGGCTCAGAAGAACTCGCCGAGGTGTGAAGGAGAATGACCAAGACACATGGTGATACGTGTTGCTGCTAGTATGATTGTTTACCTCCTTCATGGTGTGACCTTCACATTCACTGCTCCTCATATTGGTGGTTGAGTGTGCCTTGCTCTGATGGCCTCCGGAAGATAATCTCCTCCAATTTGATTTTTGATGTGCAGGCATGACACGGAATAGAAGATCGATAAGCCTAGCATGGACACACAGCTTTGCACATCTTAGTGGATTGGGTCGTAGAACAGAGTAGCAAATCTGCACTCACACCGCAGACCCAAATTCGCTTGCTCGGCGATATGAGCATATAGCGTTAGAGCTGTCAGACAGCGGCCTGCTCATACCAATATGTTTACTTAAGCTTGGCCTACTTTGTCTGACTGAAGCGTTGGCCGATTTCACAGCCGTTGCCTTAGCTGGTAGATTTAATCAACCGCACCGAGTAAGAGGATTAGACCTGTACATCCACTGGGGTAGAAGACGTTGCTCTTGTCCTACAGCCTCCATGCTCATTGAGCGGCTTGGCATTCGTTGTGCGACTGCAGGCGTACTGAGGAATGATCATGACGAATAACCTTGAAAAGACACGATCCGCAAGGAACGCATGAGGCCGCATGATGCGAGGTTGTTCGAACGAGAGTGACCCTATCCCCAGCGGTAAACTCAGTGTAAGATAATTCGCAGCATTTGTGACCTACACTCTTGTTATTGCTGCATACTCCACAGTCAGAGTAAGGCTAAGTGTATGAATTACTTGATCTGAAATGCAATATCTAGAATCAATCTGTGCATGAGAAGTGGAAACTGTCATGGATGTTGGAATGAATCTCTTGCAGGGTCCCTAGCATCTTCCTTTTGCGGGGAACAGAGTCTTTGGCCTCCAGGGCTCGAGTGACTGGGCGACCTCAACCAGCCAGCTAGCGAGGACTATGGCCATGTGGTGATAGAGGGGTTGATAGTGCGTGGCATGAGGTTGAATCGAGTCTGATGTTGCGGCACGGCAACTCTCTTGGGCCGACGGAGCAATTCTCTCCGCATTTCTTTCATACTTACTCTTTCTTCCTTCCCTCCTTCAGCAAAACTTCATTTCAACAGACAACAGCCTCCTTAGCCAATATACCACGAGACCGGCTCTAAGCAGGGGCCACAAAGCTAACCACTCTTAGCTGGCGTCAGTGATCAGCTGAAGCAGACCAACAAACGTGTCTGGCTCTCGTGTTCGGATCGCTGTCAACCCTCCCGGTCGACTAGAGCCCACGCCTATAATGAAACTTTCGGTGGACAAGCATGGGGTGCAGGAGTGAAAGAGCGGTTGAACAGGCCTGTGAAATGTCAGTTTCCCCGCATACGAGGGTGAAGAGGATTTTGTCACGGGTGTTCGGTTGCACAGGCATGGTGCATTTTCTCCCCTTCCTTGAGGATGACCCCGGTGGGTCTGTTCGCCATGAGGCTTTATTCGACTAACACAGCACAGAGTAATCTCAAATCCAGCCTTCAGCTTCCAAGCTACCTTTTTACTTCGTGTCCCCAGTGCAAAGAGGTTAGTATTTGATCTGCAGGAAGACATACATCCCCATGAAAAATGGACAATCCAGACATCTTCATCGGCTCAATCGATCAAGGGACTACCAGCACCAGGTTCCTCATTTTCAACCAAGCTGGTGAGCTAATTGCCTCTCACCAAGTCGAGTTCACTCAGATCTATCCAAGCCCAGGGTGAAACAAGTCTATCCTTGTAAGGCTGCTTGTTACTGACAAAACCAGATGGCATGAGCATGATCCCCTCGAGATAGTCTCTTCTGTGGAGACTTGTATTGAAGAAGCAGTCGGAAAACTCGAGGCGCAATGGCTCTCTCGCTCAGATATCAAAGCAGTCGGCATCACTAACCAGCGTGAGACCACCGTGGTATGGGACTCGGAAACCGGCGAACCACTCTACAACGCGATAGTCTGGACGGACACCAGATCACAGAATATTGTGGACAGACTGAAGAAGGACCCGGGAGCATCTCAGCTGCAACAGATCTGTGGTCTTCCGCTATCTACCTACTCTTCCTCATCCAAGCTTCTGTGGATGCTTGTGAACGTCCCCAAGGTTAAAGATGCCTACGAAAGAGGCACTCTGGCTTTCGGTACGGTTGACGCATGGCTGGTTTACAGACTTAATGGAGGCCCTAGAGCGAATGTCTTCGTGTCCGATCCGACAAACGCATCACGAACTATGTTCATGAATCTGAAGACTCTCGCATACGACGACTATCTTCTCGGCTTCTTTGGAATCAAAGGCAGAATTCATCTGCCCCGAATTGTCCCGTCCTCGGACGCCACTGCCTATGGTACGCTCTCCTACGGCGCACTGGCAGGTACCCCTATCATGGGCTGCCTTGGAGACCAATCAGCAGCGCTAGTCGGCCAGAAGGGTTTTTCGCCTGGAATGGCCAAGAATACCTACGGCACCGGTTGCTTTCTTCTATACAATGTCGGCGACACACCAGTCATTTCTTCGCACGGCTTACTAGCCACCGTAGCTTATCAATTCAACGGGAAGCCCGTATACGCCCTTGAAGGAAGCATTGCTGTGGGTGGGTCCGGTGTCAAGTTCCTCCAGAATAACCTCGAGTTCTTCAAGGAGCCCAAGGAGGTGAACGATCTGGCGCTGACTGTCAGCGACAACGGCGGCTGTGTCTTTGTCACCGCATTCAGCGGCCTCTTCGCTCCTTACTGGATCGACGATGCCAAGGGAACCATCTGTGAGATACCTCTCTGCCCTTCAAATTAACCTGATCGCAGCTCTACTCCCCGTCAGTATCGCAGGCACTAATCGCCCCACAGTTGGAGTAACCCAATACACCCAGAAAGGCCACCTCGCCCGCGCCATCCTCGAAGCCACCTGCTATCAGACCAAAGCTATTCTCGACGCCATGGAGAAGGACAGTGGCCATGCCTTGTCCGAGTTAGCCGTAGACGGAGGAATGAGTAACTCAGATCTAGCCATGCAGGTAAGTCAGTTCGGCCACATCGCACCCCTGACATACCATCTCTCTCTATCTCCCTCCCTACGTCCCAATACCAATTCCCATCTCACTAACAGGCGAATCTAGATCCAAGCCGACCTAATCTCCATCCCCGTCTACCGTCCCCAGATGCGCGAGACCACAGCCCTTGGCGCTGCCATCGCCGCCGGTCTGGCGGCAGGGGTATGGCGCAACATCACCGAGCTGCGCGACCTCAACCGCGGAAGTGGCAGCGGGGGCACGGTCTTCGAGCCTCGGCCGGGTAGCCGCGAGAAGGGAGCCCAGGCGTTCGCCATGTGGGAGAAAGCGGTGGAAATGAGTCGGGGGTGGACGGGAGATCGCCATCCGGGCTCGAAGGAAGAGCGTACGACTGGAAGCCTCGAGCTGCCCTCCGTATCAAATGGAGGTTCTGAGTCGGATCGGCATAGGCGAGTGGCTTTTGCTCATCCTGCTAAGACGACCACTACTATTGCAAAACCGGTAGGGGAGGATCTTACCAGCACGTTGGCTGACCTGGAGGATGCGGATGAGGAAGATCTAATCCTCGAGCTACGTAGGGTGGAGATCCTACAGAGGATACGGAAGTTGAGAAGGGCAAAGACTGCAATTTCTCAACAATGGTGATGGATATTTCTCGCATACGATGATTCAAGATATATGAGTTCCAGGAAATAAGCTTAATCAACGAATAATGAAGGTTATTTCAATGTATAACTATAACTCAAGAAGAAAGACCCCATAGCATATTTAGAATCATAAAAACACATAACTATCGCGATTTCGTCTCTCGGTCCCGCGAGCCCTGTCGTCACATGATGGTCATACCCTATGTCATACTGGCTGAAGCAAAGAGTATCACTCCAGCTCAGATCAAACCCCTGCTAATTCCATGGCTATGCCTCTTTGCTGGCAACAGCGTCATCAGCATGGCGCTCAAACACGCAGTTCAGCTCCGCCGCCGGCGTCAGCGTCACCTCGAACTTCAGCGGCGGATCCACGACCTTGTCCATGCCGTGAGCGGGGAGGGCCTGAATGGCGCGGTAGGCCTGCAGGATGCGCACGACCGTGTACCCCATCTCGATGGTCGCGAACTGCTGGCCGAGACAGATCCGCGGGCCGCCGTTGAAGGGGATGAAGTGCCAGGGCTTGGGCTGCCAGCCCGACAGCCACCGCTCGGGGACCCACCGCGCGGGGTCGAAGTACCCTTTGCTTCCGGGAGGCGGGTAGTTCTCCGGGGCGCGCTGCATGAGGATGGTGGAGTAAATCACGCGGGTGTTGGCGCGGATGCCGACGGGAGAGAGGCCGTCCGGTCCGCCGCCGCGCGGCAGCGAGGTGTTCTTTAGAGACGAGCGGACGTTGAAGGGCACCACCGGGTACAGGCGCATGGTCTCATTGAGCACGGCGTTGAGGTACTTCATCTCCTTGAGGTCGACGTAGGTGGGTTTACGGCCCGTGGAGCCCAGGCCGAGGCGCGCGTCGATCTCGGCGTGCAGACTGGCGACCGCGTCTGGGTGGCGGGCGAGCTCGAAGAGGCAGAAGGATAGCGTCGCCGCTGTGGTGTCGCGGCCCGCGAGGAGGATGGCTACTAGTTGGTCGCGGAGGACCTTTGGATCGCGCGTAAAGCGGGCGAGCGCGTCCAGAAATGTGTCCTTGCTGGAGAGCTTTTGGTCGAGTTCTTCGGGAGAAAGGGACAGAACTCGCTCGATGTAGGGTTGCATGAACTCGTCCATGATGCGAAGGTTCTTGCGGAATTCCTTGCGGGGGATGAGGAAGTTGAAAGGGCTAGAATTCGGGGAGAGGTCAGCTCATGTTTCTGTTCAGTGATGACGAGCAACCGGCCATACCCCGTTCGGAAGATATCAGCCTGGCAGCGCTGCACGTAGCGAAAAGCTTCGGCGAAAATAGCGGTGGGGTTATGAAGGCTGTTTGTGCCTTGACCCAGAAGGTAATCTGTCGCAGCGTCCAGCGTGTACCTGAAGAACAGCGGGGTGACATCGACGACCTTGCTCTCACTGGCAGAGGGCCCTCCCGCCAGAAGAGGGATCAACTTTTGAACATGTTTCTCAAAGAGTTCGGTGTCCACGATGCGATCGCGCACAAACATGGGTCGAATGAGATGTCTCGAGCGAGACCACAGCTCACCATCGGTCGCGAAAATACTGTCTCCTAAGAACTCCTTCCAATCACGATGGAAGTGCTCCCCCTTACCATAGTCGGCGAACTGACCGGTGAGCAGGGCTTTAATATTTTCAGGGTCGGTTGTGAAGATGATCCGGTTGGAAATGCCCGAGTCGATCTCAGCAGTCTGGGGAAATGCCATCTCTGATGCTCCCTTGGCATTTTTGACGGTGTTACTCCAGAATGACAGGTCTTGAAATCTTTTACTAGCAGCCAAGGCTCTGTAGATGTGATCAATAGCTATATTTCGATCCTGTCAGTCTCGTCTCGCTAAGGGCATGTTGCATCATTAGACGCACCGTAAGGCAACATGAGCCGCACACGAGGGGCCCTGCAGCCAAGGCGAGAGATCTCAAGGGAGACCTGAATTCTGCGAAGCAGACCCGCGATAAAGAGAGTCCCAATGACACAAGCGACTGCCTTCCCCGGGGTCATCTGGGTCAGGGTTTCGTCAATCATGTTTGCTGTGTTGGCGTCAACAATTCCGTTGCTGGGTTATGTTAAGGCGAGACAGGCTAAGTTGGCAGTGACAGAAGGGCAATATAAAGAGTAATTGCCATTAGGACGGGCTGCGGAGCCATGGAATCATTACAATCGCAATCATTGGCTTCTTGCATGCAATTGTTTAGACATGGACCTGAGACGACGATCACTAGTTAGTGGAAGACTTCGCGCGTTTCCTGTTTGAGAAATGCTTGCGAACCCCGCGTGTTGAAGCCGACGGGCTCAGGGCCTTCTGGCCGTGGCCGAGGCATAGTTGATCACAAGTCTTTCATACTGATTGTGGGGAAATCGCTATGGTTGTCTCCAAGACACGCGAGTCCTCAATCTGTGAGCGAGGAAAAAGCATACTAGAAAAACGTCAGCATGGTGTGACATCCAAAACTCGTATTGTTGCCTGAACCGATCAGCTGAAATGGTTTTCCTTAGAGATAAATACTGACATGACAAAGAGGACAGTCATTTTAAAGCGAGACATTCAATACAGAGAAGGCTTGAATTGACTGCCCCGGATCTTGATGGAGGGAAATGAGTTCTGGATTTGTTAATTGTATTTATAGTATGGAGCTTTATTCACTTGGAACCTGAATGGAACCTCAGGTTAGCAATTCACCAGTTGGTGCAGTTTCAACCAGACTGCGCCACATCCAAGATCACGTGTGGGACATGTGGCTAGGGCCAGTGATTCTCGGCGGCGTCTTTCATCATCGCCCGCAGCGAAAGTTCCTGCGGTCAATCACCCTACTCCAAACTTATCGTGATCACCTCCTATTCTTCCTTTATCCTTATTCCTTTCACCACTCTTTCGGCTGAACATACCCTCCAAGTTCTCCAAAGATTTATTTAGCTAGATCTTCGAACGCAGTTAGTGTGGCCAGGTGCGCCCTGTCAACCAACCAGTGCGGCATCTAGCACTTATCAAATCTCTCTTTACTTCCTCCCTTCCTGTCACTTCCTGACCCACAGCCGATTCGCAGTCACTACGCACTCCACCATGACGACTATGGTTGCAGCAGGTACTCCGCTCGCGGAAGCCCTGAGCAGTGTCATATCTCCCAAGTTGAGCGAGATGGGGTGGAGTTCCGACGGCGACGATTCAGCCTTGATCGAATACGTGATTCTGATGCTGGTAAACGGCAAAACACAAGAACAGATCGCCGGCGAGCTCTCCAATGATCTCCTTGGTCTGGGCGAAGAAGGTGATACTCAGGCTCTTGAGTTCTCAAGGTGGTTGTTCGAACAGGTCGAGATTCTCAACCAACAGATCAATGGTGGTGGCGCCCCAGCTTTGAACGACCATACCTCGGCGCAGGCGATCCCTTCCTTCGCAGATCAAGAGGCTGCTGTTACTCAACCGGCCGGCCTTGACGGCCATACCCAAGATGCAGACATGGCCATGGGTGACGATGCGAATGCGACAGATGACTCTATGTAGGTGTCTCGTTATTCTCGCTAAGAATCTGAATTATAGGCTGACTGAAGCTCCCCAGACCGACGGGTCCGAAGGCAATGCGCAATGGGCGCCCCGGTGGAAGAGGCCGGATGCTCAACCAAATAAACAGGGCGATGGACCGAGGCGATCGTGGCGACTCGACTCTCCATCGCGTTCGTGGGCCCGGTGGCGGACGGATTAACACACATGGTCAGAACAACGGAAAGGGTCGCTTCAACCAGAATGGTGGCGGTCGGATGCAGGGTGGTCGTCAAATGAACATGGGTCCGATGATGAACATGAACCAGAACGATCAAATGCAGTTGATGTCTCTCCTCGAGGAGCAAGCACGGATGATGGCGCAACTCATGCCTGGATTCGTCCCTCCCGCTATCAACCCGGCGTTTCAACAGAATGGTCCCCAACAGGGTCGGTCATTGTTCGATCGCGTCGAACGCCAGCATGGCCCCCGGCATCATCGCAATCAGCGCAACAACCGCACGACGGAACAAGACAACGACACCGACATGGAGATGAAACCTCAAGGAGAGCAGGACGAGACCAACACCGATACCGTGTGCCGCTTCAACCTTCGATGCAGCCGGAAGGACTGTCCTTTCGCCCACCAGTCCCCGGCAGCCCCCGAAGGCAGCCCGGTCGACGTTGCGGACCCCTGTCCTTATGGAGCAGCATGCAAGAATCGCAAGTGCACCGGGCGCCATCCTTCGCCGGCTGTCAAGTCCGCTCACCAGGCCGAGGAGATGTGCAGATTCTTCCCCAACTGTGCCAACCCTCACTGTCACTTCAAGCATCCTTCCATGCCGTTATGTCGTAACGGGGCCGACTGCACCACCGAGGGCTGTAAATTTACACATCTCCAGACAGCTTGCAAGTTCAACCCCTGTCTTAACCCGAGTTGCCCCTATAAGCATGCTGAGGGCCAAAAAGGTGCCTTCCCCGACAAAGTCTGGACACCAAATTCGGGGAAGCCCCACGTGAGCGAGAGAAAATTCGTGACGGATGAAGATGGGGCAGAGGAGTTCATCAAGCCGGGCGCTACGGATGGCTCTCAAAGCCAGGAGATCGTGACATGATTTTGGCCTGTGCGCCTTTGATGACTGCTTGCATTGCACGTGTTCTCTCTCCGATACTCAATTCGACATGTACTACGTCCGTGTGAAGAATGGTCGACGGAGGGAAGGGCGTTCAGTTTGATTTCAATATTATGGCAAAATCTCATGGTGGTTTGTAAATAGAATGGGGATATCATGGACCTTCTTCACGTGGCGTTTCTCATAAAGGATAATTTGACACTTCTTGTAGTAACACTATGTTTGTCCGAGACCTCCTACTCCACTGTAATAGTCATGCGTAGAAAATCCTCGCAATGAAGAGTAAGAGAAATGATATATTCAACTTAACCGCAACTCGACAGAGTCAAGATTAAAAAGGTGCGTGCATATAAATAAGCCACATCGAGGCAACTGGCTCACCGCCCTGTTCTGGAGGCATACACCGCCCACCATCGTGGAAATACTGCCCGCTATAATCCTAATCTTCGCGCAGTCTCACAGCTCCGATAAACCCATTGTTGTCCCTAATTCCATCATATACCCTTTTCCTCTACCCTAGCTGAGATGCGGCTCGTATGCTCCTCCAAAGGCGCACTTGGAGTCGTAAGGGTGCCATTGGGGCGCTCCCACCTTGGGAACTGTCGCTTGCATTCCACCAAACCGTATGATGTTGCCGTCATTGGCGGAGGCATCACGGGGCTCACAGCAGCCTATCGTTTGTCGCGAGACCCAAGATGCAAGAAAGTCACGCTTTACGAGTCAAAGGATCGCCTAGGAGGGTGGATGCAGTCTGATACAGTGACAGTCGAGAACGAACTATCCCAAGGGAAACTGGTTCTCGAACGCGGCCCGCGGACTCTGAGAGCTGCCTTCCCCACAGCTCTCCCTCTCCTTGACCTGGTATACTAGAAGCTGCAACCCCCTCCGACGAGCTCAAACCTAGCTAATCCGGTACAGTTGCTTGAGTTAGACTTACAGGACGATGTTGTTATCACGAGGAAAGACTCGCCGGCCACCACCAATCGATACATCTACTATCCTGATCACTTGGTGCGCATGCCGGCACCTCGCCCCAACGAGAGTCTCATCAAATATATCCGGAGTTTGATCAAAACTGTGAAAGAGGAGCCACTTTTCGAAGGGATGATTAATGCGCTCTGGCGCGAATTTCGGCACCCACCGGCGGCGTCCGGTAAACCCGACGAGTCGATTGCGGATTTCATTTCGCGCCGCTTCAGTCCCAAGATGGCGGATAACCTGGTCTCTGCGGTCATGGCTGGCATATTCGCCGGTGACATCAACCGCCTCAGTGCACAAACACTAATGGGCACGTTCCGGAACCTTGAAATGAACGGGGGCTCCGTCTTGAGAAACATTGTGAAAGATATGCTGCAGAAGCGGAAATATTGGTATATGGATGATACCTTTGCTTACCAGTGTCTTCTGGGAGGCTCGGGCGATCAGGATTATGCCCAAAAGCTCCAAGCGTTGTACAAAGATGCTAGCGTTTTTACCTTCAAAGAGGGCCTTGAACAGCTGCCCCGTGCCATCACCGAACAACTGAAGAAGTCCAAGAACGTTGATATCGTTACGTCAGCCGATATACGCGCATTAATCCAGGACCCCATGACGCATGACTTGACTGTAAGGAGCTGGCGCAGTTTTGTGTTGCGTCTGTTCGAATAGGCTGACACGGTTCTAGGTTGACCTCGGAGGAACGAGCCTTCGCACGCACAACCGAGTGATCGCTACCGTGAAACCGCTTCATCTGGCCAACATGATCCCCCAGCGGATGGCTAAGAGCCGCTACTACCCTGCTCAGTCGGTCAAGAACCTGCGGGCTGACAATAACAACTATGCCGTAACGGTCATGGTGATCAACCTATATTACAAGGAAGAAGACCATCTGGACATACCCAGGGGTTTCGGGTACCTGATCCCACGCTCGGTACCATTCGAACAGAACCCCGAGAGGGCCCTGGGTGTCATCTTCGGAAACGAGACTTCCGTGGGCCAGGACACTGTCGACAACAAGAAACTGACCGTGATGCTAGGTGGGCACTGGTGGGATGGTCTGTCGGAATCGGAATACCCGGATCATGAGAAGGCATACAACTTGGCACGTTCTGTGCTTCGAAGACACCTCAACATCACTGCGGAGCCACTCAATACCCAGATCTGCCTCCACGTAGATGCCATTCCCCAATATACCGTCGGGCATCTTGACCGCATGAACGAGCTCTCCCAAACGGTTCGCACGGAGTACCACAAACGGCTGACGCTCGCTGGCTCATGGTACGGCACCAATGGTATCGGTGTGCTCGACTGTGTCCGTCAGGGCTACTTGGCCGGGACGTTCGGGGTGGGTGCTAGGAAACTCAAGCCCACTACGGGATCTGGGTATTGGAGTCGCTATGACTGGCAAAACTGGGATTTGGAAGGTGGCATTGTGACCTCACCTGTGAGATACGCCGAGGTCAATGCTTCGGACGCCAACGGACTGTAAGGCGCTGTCGTGCGCTGCTGTAGGCTACCATGCTGATCATGACAGCTTACTTATCTCAAGGTAAACCAGGTAAGTTGATAGTGGCAAACATTCAGAGTGTTCGTGTGGAGGTACGTAAATGCTCGGTGGATAAGCTAGCAACACAATCTAAAGCTTTGAAAAGCCTATTGAAGAATATGTACAGTAAGCATTGTATAGTACTGCCAGCCCGACAAGCCAATTCAGTTTAATTCAATATAATTCAATTCAACTCACTTCCTATTAACCTAATTGAGCCCGCCTACGTGTAGCTAGCTATGTAGGTGCTTTCGTTGCAGCCAGAACTCACCCGGAACGCCCAGAAACCCTCGAAATCGCGATAAAAAAGCCATAAAAACGATCAAACCAAATCAACCGCGCGCATGTAAGACTACTAATCTGTATGCCTGGCTAGCGGCCACGCATGCAGAGATACTTATACATGGTAAGCAGTTGCAAGTCACGACGCTTCTTTGGAAGGAATCTATACAACCTTGATTACGAAGCGCGTAAGCGCGGAGCCCTATGCTAGGCCTTGTTTTTTCGGGAGGACTCCTGAACTGCGTCTGATTGGCTATCTTCTAGCTCAATAATTGGCTACAGAAAAGCTTGGCAACTATATAACACGTGACTGTTTCTGCCATTACTTCCAACCGCGTCAGCCAGCTCGAGTGGGGGGAGAGGCCTTGCTTGCTTGCTTGCTTGGTGGGAGGTGCTTGGCGAGAGGTGCTTGGAAAGATTATCAAAGACTACTCTTATAGTTCGCGCGTTGCATGCCTTTGTTGCACTCGGTCCTTCAATTTGAAGGAGTCAATCGAGTGTAAACAGGACCTAGTAAAATAAGATACAGGATATCATCATCCGAATATGATGAAACTGGTGGAACACCCCTGAGAGACGTGGAAACGGTGATTCTTACTATGGAATGACTCGGGAAATGAGGCTATCTATACACGGCAACGAGGACGGTGAGCAGACCTTCTAGGAGCCTCAGGCTTGTCAGAATAAGAACAAACACAACGCCAACGCCTAATCTGATGCATGTATGCGACCTTCACTGCGAGCAAAGTGAAATACTGCCCAATGCCTTGTAAGTCATACCTCCCTCTCATACTTCGTGACACTCTAAAGAATCTTCTCGTGAGTCATGATCCATTCGCGCAACTCTCCGAGATTCGAGATGCAGTCACGGAGCACTGCGAATGTATTTGGGGGATTCCTCGTGGAACAATGTCATTTTCGAGAGTCTCTAGGGATTCCCGAATACTCTTGAAATAGAGTCTTTCGGCTATGCCCCGAGCAATATGTTCGCTAGTAGCACTACTCAGGAGTCAGGACTGGCCTATGTTCAACAATCCAGGCTTCGAACCGACTTAGGGTCTCTCCGATACCCAGACGTACGGTCTACATGCCTGATGGAGAACGCGATGCGACTGAAGTGTCTCTTGAAAGTGTGATAATATTGATTAATCATGGAGAGAGGGAAGGAAGGAAGAAGGAAGAATCCGAGGAAAGACTGAGCAAGGAGCGGGTGAGAGAACAAGAGACTATCGAAGGAGTCAACCGAGGGTAAACAAGCCCTAGTGATATCTATGAATAATTATGTACCCCCCGGACCGTAGCCCGCACAACCCTATCAAATTATGTGTCATGTCGGGAATACCGAGGTCTAGACTCATATCATTTGTACTGGGATATGATGCTTTATAAGGAACCAAACCAGAAACACATGTAATGACTACGCTCAAACTCGCTGCATGATGGTATCACCGAGTATCCCTTGAGAGCTACCTGGATAGTAGAGCATTATTTTCCCCAGTTCAGCCACAGCCCACAGGTTTCCAAGTCAGCAAGTCCCTTTTCCCAGCTGAGGGCAGTCAGATTTCAAGCCACCACGAAAGAAATACAAGACAAGGCAGTGAAAGTTCTTCCCACTCGAACCATACGAACCCTTGCCGCAGCTTTTCTGCCTCGAACCCCGATGCTCAAATTCAACTCCGTCACCGCGGTCCCACGCTGCAAATTAATGCTGGAGATCTCTAAGAGAATGACAAGCAAACGTATCGTCCTTCCAAAACTCATGATACCAGGCCAGGTCCCGAGACCGACATTGCACCCGCCATGCCTCGTCCGGAGGCCAGCTTGTGCCCCCCAAGTCCCTCGTCACTGTGAAATACCCCTCACGCTTCCACTGATGGCCAACATCCCGAGTAAACTGCGCGCCACACTCCAAGCACTCATCCATGTGCCAAGACCCAGCATGCGCGAAGTAAAGCAAGCTCCGATGCGGGCATGCAAAGAACGGTTGCATGGAGGGTGGGAGCTGCGCCCCGCAGCGCAAGCGAACGTGATATTGCGTGCGGACAAGTAACCGATTCCGGCCCGCGTTCAGGTTCAATATGGTCGTGAGCGCGATGTCAGCATCTGGGTGGTTCAACACCTCGCATTTGTGCACTAGGGTCCGACTCCAGTCCTTATGTATTAGCAGAATGAAGCCGGGGTCCTGTTTGATGGGGTAGTGGAGACGGTCTTTTTCCTTGCGCACGATCAGCCAAGATGCGGGCGATGCGGAACTTGTGTCGTGCTGTCAGGCTTATGCAGGGGCAGAGATCGATAATCCCGGCTCGTGCGGTGCAGACATCGCTGCTCGGCGCATCCGCGAGGAAGTCCTGGAAGTTGAAATACCCATCGAACTCGAACCGCGGATGTAGCTTGAGGCACGTTGAGCAGTAGGCCTAGTAGCTATCTTGGAGCCGGCCGAGAAATATACTGCGGAGTACATTTGATTGATGTAGGCTGATCATGGAGTTGCGGTTCGCTAATAGTCGAGGAAATCCTAGTTGGGGATCTCGGAGACTGGATTGGAATGCTCGGAAATAAGTATGACATGTTAAGGCCAAGCAGGCCTGAGATGCGAGGGGTAGAAACGTCAAGATATTCTCCAGAATCTCGCTTGGGAGACCCAGTAGGCTGGCGACTGTATTGCCATGAGTACCTAGTTGTGGGCTTGGTGGTTCTATGCGTATGCCCGAGAATTTCCGAAGAAGTTCGATGAGCTGGATGATCATGATTTCTGGATACGAGTTACGGATGGGAAAAAGATGATTAAGATAATGAGATGAAAGGTAAAGTTCTGATTCACTCGAGACATCCGTGTGATGTTGGTGTAAGCAACAAAAGAGGTAATCGTGGTACTGTACATACATCATGGCGTGGAAGAATGATCCGAAGAAAGACCTTCACCTGGCCTTCGAACAATGTTTGTCTCATCCACCTCCGGAATCCTCACTCATGACAGTCCCCATTATTCCTCCCTTCTATTCAAAGAAAGCCGATTCAGTTCTCGAGGACATCACGGATCGATGTCAAGGGCGGAAAAGGTGGTTGAGCTCGTCTTAGCTTCACCCGAAGGCTGCACGTCTCTTCGTTCCAGCCGGCTACTTAAATCCGACCTTTGTCGCAGGAGTAACTGTTCAGGCTGATAAGCCTAGGGAGTCCTTCGAACATCGCATAGTTTCAGGCAAGAGAGCCGCCAGTGCTCGTAAGCCCTCGCCATCCGAATCAATCAAGAACACGCATTGATGCAAGGCACACTTATGAAGCGCCGACCCACAAGGCTACCTGCATGCATCCACAATACCTTGATGATGCCGTCGACGTCATTTTGTCATAAATGTGAGGATAAGCTAGAGCATTGTGCAGTGGCACATGTGCGGGTCATGTTCTTGAGTAGGCAATTTTGATGCCGGGCTGACCCTCACGGGTCGGAGCGACCCGAAAGATTAACCTTTCTTTTCTCTACTGCCAACCTCTACTACCGTCTGGTTTCACTCACAAGATGTGGGCGCTGATCAGGCAGGCCACATGCCTGCCAGGACTTGGAGTGTGGTAGCAATCAAGAGAGTGGATAGTGGGATTACGCATTATGTTCACGTTGGAGGACAAGAGCTCTGCACCAGAACTCAAGCGACTCAGAAATCTCGAGGCTCCCTCAACCGGGCTTGCAGCGATCTCTTGAGGTGCTGTATCCGAAGATGAGGCCGCTACAGCAACATCAGTTTGAGGCAGGTTGGCAGAAACTGCGTCTGCAGGTCAGGGAAACGCGTCTGCCAAGTGTGCTTGCTGCGGGACATCGACTGGCTTGACGAGCTCGCGGCGAGCGAGGGTAAGCTGTGGTTAAGCCAGCTGACTGACTACGACACGCTCGTCTCCCACCCGCAGACGAGCCGCTACGTCGCCGATTTCATGATTCAAACAGGCTTGCTCGTGCAATCTCACCACATCGGTGTGGCTGAGAATACGAGGGGCGAAGGCGAGGAACACATAGGCCTAAGGGCCATGGGTATTGGCGTGGAAGACAGGGAGTAATCTGACCAAGCAGCCTGCTCGCTACGGGGAGGATCAAACACGAGGAACTGAGTAAGAGGAGGAGCAACCCCGGCTAAGGCTTTCGCGCCTGGTTGAGTATACATTTTGGCCTCTTGATATATGAGCATGTATCCTGGTAATCGTTCCTTCTCGATTCGTGACTTGCATATACTGTCTAATTCTACCAATTTCATCATATTCAGATAATGATGATGTCCTGTATCAGACTTATTAAAATTGTGGAGATTCCAAAGAAGCATTGTGACTTGTAACTGTTCACCATATATGTATATATTTTGACCTCATGGTTACAACGCGCGTAAGCGCGGAGCCCTCTACTAGGTCCTGTTTATCTCAGCCTGGAGCCAGCTCAGCCCCTTTGGACATAGAAGCGCCGCCTCAGGGTATAAGGACTAAGGGTTGAAATAGCGTGGTGAACGAACATCTCTCGCGAGAGTCAAAGGTGGTGTTGTATTGCCTCAAGGTTTTATCGCTAATCTCCTTTTCTCGCGGGTAGCTGTCAGTTTATGTAATGGTCGCGGCTACTCACTTGATTCTCTCACGGGATTAATTCTCCTTGATCTCGCAGGGGTGGTCAGTATTCCTTCACGATAAGCTTATCGCGAAGGTTGGAAGGATATCAGTCCTTACATACCGTAGAAAGCTAAAAACTACTAACAATAATAATCTACTACTATTCAAAAAAGTACAGAAGTTACTATACTTTTAGAACCGTATTGAAGAAAATCTTGTAGCGAATTATGATTAGTGTGAGACTTGATTATCATTATAATACTAATCCTTTCTAACTTTAATTAATTTTCAATGAAAAAACCTTAATCTTCTTTACTTATATTAGGATTCTTTAGGGTTATTAGGCTTATTAAGATATATTTATTAACTAAAGGATAATTATAGAAAATATCTTTTATTATCTTTCTATATTAAGGCAGTATATCAGGGTATATAAAGTAAGAAGAGAGATTTAGGTATAGTTTATAGTTCTTTATCTGATTAGCTGGTATATTTTACTGTTAAATCTAAGAAGAAATGATGTTGTAGTATGAGCTATACGCCTTGTACCAATAACAATTCTCATTTTATAAATATACCCCGGGACTGGATTACCCATATTCCATGAAGACCCTGAAGAGGATGCGGTGATATCCGGCCATTACTTTCCACCCAAGGCCCAAGGTAGGCCCAGCTGCCTCCCTCCTCCCTCCCCCATCGAGTACCCCCTATCGTCAATGTTTGTACGTGCTAATGGCTTCTGCTCGTCTCCTCTAGGCAAGTGTCGGTCAATCTAGGGATAAGATGTGAAGGGAGACAGTGGGGATTAAATATGCTTTGTAGATAATACATTGTGCAGGCTCTGATTGCTCAGACCGACATGGGAAGTGATTAGTTTTAAACCGCATGCCCGTTTTCGACAGCCACGAGGAACAACTTTTGCAACTCGGTAGGTCCCGAGGACATCCCGAGGACATCCAGATGGTATGATTCTCACGCCCCAGCCGCGGAGTGGGAAGAGCGGACAACGGTCACGCCGAAATTGGTTCAACTGCAGTGTGATGCCACATCTGCAATGCGTGGAAGGCGGCCATAGACTAGTGATATGGATCCCTCATTGGAGGTATGCACCGCGATCGCAGCGCTCGGTGACAAGTCGCTCAACGCTTTCGGGGCGTTCTAATAAGTCCGATGATCTCTCGATTGCCCAAGATAAAGACCTTCAAACCTTCGCACTTTCTGTGTCCTTTTCTTCTTCTGCCGAGGCGTCCTTCTTGTCCCCATTGGCATCGAACCCCAGTGCGTCGAGCTGGCGAACGAGTTCCTGAATCTTGATGACCTTCTCGAGCTGTTCGGGCAGCAGCGCCTCGCCCTGATTCTTCTTGTCGCGCAGATCGCGCGCCTGTCTCAGTTTCTTCTTCAGGTTGCGGGCCTTCTTCTCATTCTCCGCCTCGGGGTCCAGCGCCTCTTCGGTTGGCTGCTTCGCCGCGCCGCTACTATCCGCTTCCTTTTTTGCTGCGCCGTTGGGTGCTGCCGCCGCGGCGCGCCAGTTCTCGATCTGTGTCACGTCCTTGGTTGCGCCCGCAGAATCCTGAGTCGCCTTGGCCTTCTTCCGGGCCTCCCGACGTTTGGCGTTCTTGTTGCTGGCTGCGCTGCCAGAGTCTTCGGCGCTGGGTTTGAGGCCCTCAGCCCCCGGAACCCCACCGCCGGTCTTGCCGCGGTTCTTCCAGGCTTCGGCCGCGCGATTCTTGTAGAGTTCGACGTCCTCCGGGGGACGGTAGCCCGGGCGGACACGGATTTCGCGACGCTTGGAACCGTCGGCGCGCGTCGAGGACGGGATGTAGCGTTCTCCGGTGGATTCATTGGTAGCGATGCCGGACGAGGTGACTCCTCCGGTTTTGTTGGAGGCCATTGTTTGGTATTGGTGGGAGGGGGGGGGGGGGGGCGGTTGAAGGGGATGGGAGATGGGTGAAAGGTGTTGCGAAGTTTGTCTGGAGAAACGACGGTGGTACAAGGAATGAGACGATGGCTCTCTTCTGAAATAGTGTTAGACTGTAGCCTCCCAAGCGAAATCTCGCTCCAGCGACCGCGGCAATGTCAAGTTGAAGATGGCTGAAGCGAAACACAATAGAATGGAATGCATTGAAATGATTGAAATCAAACGGGAGGCTCTGGGCAAGGCGGATGACCCGACTGGCCAATCAGCGGGCCGGTGATTCCCGCCGCTGCTTTTCGTCTGGCCCCAAACTGAACTTATCCGAACGGCGATTCTTCAACCTCATTCCCGATTCCTCCCTCCAATCACTCCAATTTCGTCCCTAGTTCGCTTCTTTCCCACTCCCACCTCCTCTTCTTTCACATATCAGCACAATGGCCGGCGCTGTAAGTTCTTTCCGCGACAATTCCCGCCCCTGCTGGTGGTGCTGGTCGTCCAATGGCTAACTGCAGGGTGTCTCCGGATCCAGTTCGCTACCACTCTCTACCGGTATGTCTACTTCCCTTTGGGCCTCTAATTGAACTTGCTAACCACAGTCAATGCTCTAGGAGCCTGTTCCAGCGCAATGCTGCCTACCTGACTGGCATCTTCGCCAGTGCCTTCGCTTTCGAGCTGTACGTCTAGCCTCCCATCCCCCCGGAAGACAGACCACTATCGCACGACCAGACCACGGGCTAATCACGATTCCGGAATAGGGCCTTCGACACCGCATCCAACCGCGTCTGGGACTCCTTCAACCGCGGCGTACGTTCTCCCATGCAGACCCCTTCCGGATGCGAGGTTGTTTACTGACAAGGGCTTTCTTCGACTCGTCTTTAGCGTCAATGGAAGGACATCAAGCACCGCTACATCAACCAGGCCGAGGCCGACGAGGATGACGAGTAAATATGATGCCATCGAGTGTTTGGGGTCGCAGGTGGTGGGATAGACCAAGTGCTGGAGGGTAGAGATATCCATTCCCATGTTATTTTACCAAGCTCGGGAGGAGAGAAAGGGGAGGGAAATGGGGAGGATGATCGGCGGTGTTCTTGTACGAAATAGTATTTCTGGACAATAAGCTGTACTCTTGAGAGTGCATTTCTTCCTATGATTTTCCAGCTATCGGAAGACTGTTGTAGAGACCGCTCTGTAGAGTATTGGGATTGGAAGGGAAACTGCGGGCAAGTTGGTGCCAAGCCGCGGTGTTCTGCAGTGTTCAAAGATGTCATTCTTTCCTTTTCCACCCCCCCTCCCAATACAATCAATTAACCTCCCCGTTCTCTTGAATTCCTTTGTCCAGCCTCCACTTCCTGGCTGTATTGAACCTAGACTGGGAAGATATAGATACCTCAGCAGTATCAATACTCACAAATTGAGAAGACATTGTGCCTGATCCGATCCCAGCGGAGCCACCAGCAATTCCCCACCGGCTGCTGTGACATCGCATATCTACTAACTGACTGACTTGAAACTAAACCACCACCCAACCAGCTTGCTATCTCAACTGATCGCCCCAAATATTCTTCCCCTCGGTGCCATCATTGTAAAAAGGTTTGTTGCGTTCTGTCATTCATCGTTCTCTTCTTCTCTTGGCCGGTCTCGAGATCCTCTCTCTTGCACAGTCCTATTCTTATCTACGGAACCCTTCTATCGGCGCCCGACTGAGTTGAATTCGCAGGCCGAATCGAAGATTTATAAGCCCGCCACCAAAACGAACAGCCCACCCCTCCGAGCTCTTGTTTCAACACACTCTCTCCCCGCGTTTCCGACCTTTTCTCTTTCTTAAGAATAGACAGCCGGATGGGTGTCGCGCTCCACGTGCAACAGGGATAAATGATGCTCACGGAATGTGAGAGGTTTCTCAGCGAACGCCTTCTGCGGCTTCCCTCCGAACACAACTACCGCTATGGCCCCCAGGCCGAGAAAGAGCTGCTCGAGCTCCTCTTCCGCTCGCTGACCGGCCAAAACGACGAATATCTGCGACAGTTATTTCCGAACGGGCTGCCGACCGGACCCTGGAAGCTGGCGCAGGCCCAGGGCGCCGAGGAAGGTGCGGAGTATACCGAGGCGGCGCGGGGCAAGCGCTGCGGCCACATCTTCAGGGCTGGCGAGGCCACCTACCGTTGCGTCACCTGCGCCGCGGACGACACCTGCGTGCTGTGCAGCCGGTGCTTCGATGCCTCCGACCACACCGGCCACCAGTACCAGATTTCGCTTTCGTCCGGGAACTGCGGCTGCTGCGACTGTGGAGATGAGGAGGCCTGGCGCCTGCCATTGTTCTGTGCGATCCATACCGACAGTGGAGACAAGAAGGGGAAGCAGCGGGCGCAGTCCCAGCTGCCGAAGGACTGGGTGAAGAATATTCGGCTCACGATTGCCCGGGCCTTGGATTACTTCTGCGACGTCATCTCTTGCTCACCTGAGCAGCTGCGACTGCCTAAGACCGAGGAAGGGATCAAGAAGGACGAGGAGGCGTCGCGGCTGCGGCCGGGCTGGTATGCGACCGGCGACGAGGCGGAGGAGGAACCCGAGTATGCGCTCGCCCTCTGGAACGATGAGAAGCACACCATCAAGGATGTCGCCAGTCAAGTCACTCGCGCCTGTCGAGAGACAAATCGCTTCGGCATGGACCGTGCCCATGAGACCAATGATATCGGACGAAGTGTGGTCAAGTATTCCAAAGATCTGCCCCGGCTGTTGAACGTGTCCAAGACCATCGAGCAGATCAAGGTCACCGTCACGATCCGATCCGCTCGCGACACGTTTCGTGAACAGATGTGCGCCACGATTGTGGAATGGTTGCTGGATATCTCTGGATGCAGTGTTGGGGACGATAACGAGATCTTGCGCCACATCGTCTGTGAAGAGCTGTTGACCCCCTGGAGGCGTGGTAGTGGTGCTTGTAATGCCGACATCGGGTTGCAAGGCATTGATGATCACCAACGGAACGATGATGCCCCCTTCCGCACGGTCATGCTCACGGTATCCCCCCAGGGCCAGGTTGTACTGGCCGCAGATGGCGACGATGATGAGGAGGACGAGGATATCAATTCGGGCAATGAACAGGGTGTTAATGACGAGGAAGAGGCGGAAGAATTCGAAGAGTATCTGCGAGCAGCGCGCGAGGAGGCGAACGACGAAGAGGATGATGGAATGGAGCTAGAAATGAATCGACTCCGTGGAGAGGTGGACGACGACGATGATATGGTCATGGGCGACGCCGATGATGCCCTCGATATCGCTCAGACCATCCTCGGACTTGCTCAGCGAGAACAGCAGCGGCAACAGCAGCAGCAACAGCAGGAGCGGCGGCGACAACAGGAGCAAGAAGCGGAGCAGAATGAGCTGAACCATGATGACCCGCAATCCACTGCTGACGAGCAGACCTCCAATGGTCAGCGACGGCCGATGAGCTATGTCCCTATTCCCAAGACTCCGTCAGGAGTGGTTCGCCCTTCCCCGGCGAAAACACCCACTCATTGGCAGTATCTTTCTTACAACGCAGCGGAGGGGCCGGTTGTGCCCGCTTACGAGGACCTGGGCCAGCGGACTCGTCTCGATTGGATGATCCTTTTCGACCTCAGGCTCTGGAAGAAGACACGTACCGAACTCCGCGACCTGTATATCGGCACCGTCGTCAACGTTCCCCAATTCAAGCGGATCATGGGCCTGCGCCTTTCAGCTCTCTACACGGCGCTCGCGCAGTTGTACCTCATTGCGGACAGAGAGCCTGACCACTCCATTGTCAATCTCTCTTTGCAACTTTTGACCACTCCGTCTATCACGGAAGAGACTGTCTTGCGCGGAAACTTCTTGACCAAGGTCATGGCTATCTTGTACACGTTCCTCACCACGAGACAGGTCGGCGAGCCTCATGAAGTCAATCCTAACGCGACTCTGGCATTCGACGCTGGGTCTGTGACCAATCGGCGTCTATATCACTTCTTCCTGGACCTACGATATCTCCTGCAGTCGGAGTATGTCCAGAACCGTGTTCGCACGGAAGAGCAGTACCTGTGTCAGTTCCTGGATCTGGTCAAGCTCTCGCAAGGCATATGTCCCAATGTGCGTGCTGTAGGGGAGCATGTTGAGTACGAAACAGACGCTTGGATCAGTGCGTCTATTCTCATGCGAGAAATCAACCGACTGTGTCGCCAATTCTGCGAGGCTTTCCGTAACCCTGAGGTTGACGGCGGCGACAAGTTGCTGCGAGCGATTCGTTTAGCCACCATTCCTGCTGTGATTCACTCGACCGGATCCGAGCGCAAGCGCTTCATCCAAGCCGAGATCAAGGAATATGTGTCTTTCAAAACGCTTCCCCCCTTCGATTTCGAGGTCGACCAGGAAAACGTCCCCCGCTATCGTGTCGTGGATTTTATTGTCGAACGTGGTTGGATGAGTTTCCACCATGCTCTGCATTACACGCTCTCATGGTTGCTGGAATGCGGTCGTAATGTGAGCGGCGCCATTATGCGCGATGTGCTCATGGACGCTGCGCAGGCTGCAAACGATCAATTCATCCATGATTCTCAGCTCAGCCCTGAAGATTTGCTCCTTTCAATGTTCGACTATCCCCTCAGGGTTTGTGCCTGGCTGGCGCAGATGAAGGCTGGGATGTGGGTTCGCAACGGTCTGAGCCTTCGGCATCAGATGTCCCAATACAGAGGAGTCTCGTCGCGCGACTTCGCGTATTATCGCGATATCTTCCTGCTTCAGACGGCCTTGGTCACCTGCGATCCTAGTCGGGTCCTTGCGTCCATCGCGGATCGCTTTGGCATGGTGGATTGGATGGTCAGGGATTACACGCCCCGTGCAGGCTACGAGGACGCCCAGATTATCGACGTCGCCGAAGAGTTTGTTCATCTGTTGGTCATCCTACTGACAGACCGGAACTCTCTTACCGCCATCGATGACGGCGAGAGTGCGACTCGCGAGAGCATCAGTCGTGATATCGCGCACGTCCTTTGCTTCAAGCCGCTATCTTTCTCTGACCTGTCGACTCGCCTCAGCGACAAGCTGCTGGACTCGGATCTGTTCCAGGATGTGCTCGATGAAGTTGCCGGATTCCGTGCACCGGAAGGATTGAATGACACCGGTACCTTTGAGCTGAAACCGGAGTACCTTGACCTCATCGATCCGTATAGCGCCCATTATACGAAGAACCAGCGGGATGAAGCGGAGAACATTTACAAAGAATGGGTGGCCAAGAAGACGGGTAAGAAGGCAGCGGACGTGGTGTATGAGCCCAAGTTGCGACCCATCACCGCTGGAGCTTTCGCCTCGCTTCCTCGCTTCACACGGACGTTGGTATTTGCCCAGATCGTGCATCATTGTCTGGACTACGTGGTATCGTCCAAAGAGCGCACTCCGGCAATCCCGCCTACTCGGATCGAGACTTTCTTGCAGGTAGTCCTGCATCTCATCCTGGCCGCCTCGCTTGAGGATAACAGCGACGAGGATGAGATGTCCGACGGCTCTCCGGCGTCCTTCGTTTCACACGCGCTGAACAAAGTCCGAGACACTACGCAGGCTGGCCCGTTGACCATTGTGGGTCTCCTTGAGAAGATATCCGTTATGAACGAGTTCTCTGCATGCGGAGCCAAGATCCGTCACATTCTCAAACAACTCTGGCAGAAGCGCCCTGAGGCATATGCCTCCGCCACTGCTTCGCTCAAGTTCCCCTTCGACAGGGTTGACACCAATTCGCCTGCCATCGACAATGACAACGAGAAGGAGCTGAAAAAGAAGCAGGCCTTGGAAAGACAGGCTAAAGTTATGGCTCAGTTCCAACAGCAACAGCAGAACTTCCTCAACAGCCAAGGCGAAATCGACTGGGGCGAAGAAGAATTCAGTGATCTTGAGTCCGAACCGGAGACAGCACCCGAAAGCAAGCTGTGGAAGTACCCCAGTGGCACCTGTATCCTCTGTCAGGAGGAAACGAATGACTCGCGACTGTACGGCACGTTTGCAATGATCCAGGACAGCAGTATATTACGTCTTACTGATGTCTCGGACCCGGACTGGGTGCGTGAGGTGATCAAGACACCAGAGAGCCTGGATAAGTCGGCAGATCATATTCGTCCTTTCGGAGTCGCCGGCGAGAATCGCACGACTGTCCGCCGACTGGACTCGACAGGGAACGAGGTCACCAGCGAGAAAGTTGGCCTGAGCAAAGGTTTTAAGGCTCACAACACCTATCCTGGGCCTGTGACCACTGGCTGCGGACATATCATGCACTATTCGTGCTTTGAGGTATATTTCACTGCTACGGATCGTCGTCACCACCAGCAAGTAGCCCGTGCCCACCCTGAGTCTTTGGTTCGAAAGGAGTTTGTCTGCCCTCTCTGCAAGGCGCTTGGGAACGCCTTCCTTCCCATTGTTTGGAAAGGCAAAGAAGAGTCGTACCCGGGCGCTTTGGGTACTGCAGTCTCTTTTGATGAGTTCATTAATGTAGAAGTCAAATCGATCCTTTCTCAACCCCGCAACTACGCGCTACTCGCGGAGAACAACAGCAACCCGCAGACCCAGGCATACCAGGAAACTTTCGTGAAATATCTGTCTAAGACGTTGGTGCCTCCGCTGGCTTCGAAATTGGACCACATCGCATCGTTCCCCTCCCTCCCGTCAGCTCCACTTACTCTGCCCACCGCCCGGATACCCATGCCTGGTCTCTTCCCTCAGGAGGACAATGCTGTTACTAGCCCGCTCCAAGCGACCTTCAACGTGAACGAGAATCCTCTTTCGGAGCTGCTGCAGATCTACAAGAGGCTGAAGCAGACTCTGAGGGTCAACCACATCCGGTCTACGTTCAACCATGCTCCGGATACGCTGGAAAGCAGTGATCTGTTGCATACTGACTCGCTCTTCCAAAGCTTTGGCTTCAGCATTGCCGCAGTGGAGATTTCCCAGCGGGGTGTCACATCGGAACCCGGCTCGACCCTGTTGGACAAGATCCCTCAACTGACGCTGACGCATCTCCGCATCCTCGCCGAGACAGCCTTCTCGTATGCTGCGGTCGGTTCCTTGCAGAACGGTACTAGCCCACACAACCTCAGCGCGGACGAGGTGCACGAGACGCACCGGCAGAAGATATGTCAGCTGCTCATTGGTCATCCCTACTTGAGTGGTACAGCTCTATTGAGGGAGCGGCGCGAGATTGAGCCGCTCTTGGCCAAGGATACGTTTGTGTTCTTGGCCGAGTGTTCGGTTTCTCTTTTACCCACGGTCCCAATTGATATGCGGCATTTGATACAGATGTGCTATGTGGCCGAAATCGTCAAGGTGGCCATCACTTACATCCTCTGGCCCTCCGGGCTGCAGGAAGAAGTGGCTCAGCATGGAGATGCGAAGTACATGCCAATGATGGATGAGTCAGATTCCCGCTACAAGCTCAGTCGGCATTTCTTCAAGTCCATCGTGACCGAGTTACGGACGAACATGGGCCAGGACGAAATCATCTCGTTCCCGACCGAGGGTAACTACGTGGAGGATGGGAAGAATGCGTCTCCGCAAGTGGTAATTACACTGCGCCGGCTGATTTCGAGCTACGCATTGGCCTTCCTTCGCAAGGTGGTCATTCTCCTTCACGTGCAGCACGGAGTCGAGTTCCCCAACACGGGCTTCAACGATGTCGACGCATCGGAATTGGACCGTCTGACCAAGGTCTTGCAGCTGCCCTCCCTCGACGAGATCTTTGGGTCTGTCAACGCTACCTGCAATAGAGGCAGTGTCTTCGACTCGGTCATCTCAGGTTGGATTCACCACTGGAACGTGTCGCGGCCCGGCATGCCCTTCGGCTACCACACGCTCTGGCCTAGTCTCCCTCACCCGGCGATCTTCGAGCTGGTCGGCCTGCCCAAGTACTACGACAGCTTGATCGAGGAGGCCAACCGACGGCGGTGCCCGAACTCGAAGAAGGAGCTGACCGATCCCAGCATCTGTCTGTTCTGCGGCGACATCTTCTGCTCGCAGGCGGTGTGTTGCACGGACAAGGGGCAGAATCTGGGCGGATGCAACCAACACGTTTACAAGTAGGTTTCTTGTTCTTTCAAGGTATATTTATCTCAGACTGACCGTTTATCTTTTCTCAGATGTGGCAAAAACATTGGGCTGTTTATCAACATCCGCAAGTGCACGGTTCTGTATCTGCACAACCGCAACGGATCCTGGCACTATGCGCCGTACCTGGACCGGCACGGCGAGGTCGACCCGGGACTGCGGCGCAACCGGCAGCTGATCTTGAATCAGAAACGGTACGACCGGTTGCTTCGTGATGTGTGGCTGTCGCATGGGATTCCGACGACGATTAGCCGGAAGCTGGAGGCGGATATCAACAATGGGGGATGGGAGACGATTTAGGGAGGAGAAAGGTTTCTGGTTGGGGTTATGATAGGGAACTGTGACTTATGGTGTTCGATCGAGTGCGTGTGATGAGATGACTATTTTTACTGTCTACATCGTAGTACACGAGAACCTTAGCTGTGTTGTTTGTTCGGCGTGGAAAAGTTGTGGTAGTGCAGAAGAAATATATTGATAGCGCTTGCTTGGTATATATTGATGAGGATGATCAGTGCTTGGGATAGTTTGTTATCTCTTGTGATAATGTTCGAGTGATTCCTAACGAATCCGACAATTGTTAAGAGCATTGCTCGTAGATAATCAAAGATGAACAAGCACTCCTGATGGGGCCACCCCTGATCCGATTCTCCCAATTCAACCGTAGTAGTCTCTCCAACCCGAGAAAACCAACCACAACCAAACCCTTACTCAAAGAGACAGGTTCGACAGACCATTTCACTACACCACACAGTAACACGCATCATCCACCTTCCCGCTGAGGAGAAGGAACAAACAATCCCCCCTCACTCCCCCTCCTTTCTACCCCGGTCAAGACCGAGGTAAAAAGAAGCCACCACGACCCCTCCCATGATCGTCTATCTCCTCTCTCCTCCGTGCCGATTCAATCAAGGGGACAAACACTACCCGTGACTGCTTTCAAATCCGGTGAAAGTAATGGAATACTGTAACTGGTCGACCAGTTATGGGAAGCAAAAAAGCAACAGGAAACCCCACACAACGCACGCCGACGCGGACCCCCGTTCCGCTTCCTTCCGGCAAGCGGGATGATTGAACTTCAACGGCGGATTGAATCAGAAATATTCTACGCGCGTACCTATCTATGCATGGGGGCTGGATTGTCACCACTCTTTTCTCCACTTTCCGCTATGCTCTAGAAGCTAGAGTATTACTGTAGGGGATGTACAGTACAGTCCATGTGCGCTGCCAGCCTGCGATGCCTCGCTCGGAAGGACGTCGACGGGCTGCGTGTGGGTGGGTTCCAGGATGGACTTTGACTACTCATAGATAGTTTTTTTTTTTTTTTTTTTTTTACCGAGGATGGATGTTGATTATGGGTTGTTTGTTTTGATCCCCGGTACAGTAACATCCACCAATGATAAGATATAGAGAGGAATCAACCAAGGTAGGTAGGGATTATCTGAATGGTAGGTTTTGTTTTTCATCCGGGTTTTACCCAGCCAGTTAGATTTAGTGCGTACTGTACAGTACATGAGTGAGTGAGTGAGTCAGTCAGTTAGTCAACTAGTTGATAGTCGGTGAATAATCATCCTCGTAGAATGGACGAACGTAGTTCGAACGGAACTTGCAGACAAACCGGTGGTTCGTGTTGTTGGCGCCCCGCGAGTGGGATGTAAAAGTGAAACGCGAACGCGACAAAAGTTCTGGGCCCGGTTGACTGTTGTTGGTCATTGCGTTTTTTTTGTGTGGTGGGTTTTTCTTGTTTTGATCCACTGCGCTTTTACTCAGAGATACTAGCGGTGATTGTGGGTTATCTAGTGGGGGGTTTTTTGTGGTGTGAAGGTGACGGCGGGGAGGATTGCATTCGCGTGTTGGTGGGGATGAATTGCAATTGAGATTGGGATTGTGCTTGTATTCTGGTGGAGTTGTTTCTCGGGTTGTTACTTTGAAAGAATTGTCTTCTGTTGTGTGGATTGGATTGTAGTGTTGACTTGGATTGTAGCGATTGAAGGTCTGGAAATTGTAGGGGAAGGATTAGTTAACTAAGTGTGAGTATTGTTGGTCAGCAGCAAAGAGGAAGGTTACATTTCCATAGCAGAATCCACCACCGAATGAATCACTTTCGCCACACAACCACCACCGAAATGTATCAATCAAGCAGCTGTCACTGTCAATCAGACACACCGGAAAATCCCTTCCTGAACCTGCGTCCTGCACCCTGCAACCACCGCATCTCTGTCACTCCTCAGTCCAGTCCAGTCCCTGTCAGCCTACTACCAGTCCTTCGATGCATACATGCGTGCACCCAATTCTCCCTCTAATTCTCGCACGCAATTGAATCATCCCAGTTGAGAGTCGGAGCAAGTAGGCTCCATCCAGCATTTGTTTTGTTTTGGTGATGGTCTGATTCGGGCCACGCAACGGGAGACGTCAGTTCCCTCGACACCTTTCGACCAGAAACCCCGAGCGAAGGGAGAAGGTTAGTTAAAAATAAAACTACTACAGTACATGGAAGTACGAGGGTGCTCGGCGGGCGACGGAAATAGAGTCGAGCTTTGAAAGCTGCTTTCCCACCCCCCCTGGCCCCCATTCAGGATGTGTTCTTGGCTTTGTTGGGATCGTTTCCCCGATCACTACTATTATAGATAGATACTATTGAGGGTTGAGGGGGAAATGGTGGTGGTGAGAGATTTAAATCAAGCGTGCAGTGCTGTGATCGGAGCAGGTCGACTCGTATGCAGACGTGGCTGTGGTCTTGGGATGGCCCAGGGACGGGGAGTAGCGCTAGGGCTGGTCTGCCCTGTGGAAATACAGCAGAAGAGTCTGGACTGGCAGACGAAGACAAGACAAGACACAGACGGGGTGGAAGTGGAGCAGAGCAGCAAAGCCAGAGAGAGAAAGCAACGCGAAGAGAAAGAGAAAAGAGAAAAGAGGCGTTCGTAGTAGGGCCGCCACTAAAGAACTAGCGTGTTTAGTGCGATGGAGTTGGCCACGCCTTGACTGTTGGCAGTGGGCACTCGAGTTCTGGACTGTTCACTCGGTCGGCGGTTGACTTCTGTGTAGACTGTAGACTGTAGACTGTATACCTCCATGGAATCCCCAAGTCAGTCATGTTGGGTACAGATCCCCGATAGACTTTTTACCTGTCAGACGGGGAAATCATCAGGACCAGCAGGAATATTCAGATGGTTCAGGGCAGCATCAGCAAAACAAAAAACCACTGCACCACCACTGCAGGAACCGCCAACACAGACACACCCCCAGTTGGCAGTGACAGAAAATGCACAGGCCCATCTCCCCCGATGACGTTCCACGGATCTTCCCCCGTTGGGCCCGGTGAAGATGCAGGGGGAAGAGAAGAGAAGCAGAAGAAGAGGAGAAGAGAGGGGAGAGGATTCAGGTACCACCCGCCAGATGAGGGGGCAGAGGGGCCTAAACAGACAAATCAAAGACTTTCAAACGGAGAATATCGCCAAGATGAAACACTTTTTGCTTTTCTTTTCTTTTCTTTTCTTTTTTTGCCTAGTGTCGTCCTTTGACTGGTGCCATCCTGGGCGTTTCGCCCGATTGATTGTCGAGTCCGCAAAGAAAGTCAGCGGCCAACCCTAATTGTTGGTTCTTCTTGTCTCCCCCATTCCCCTCGGGCTTATATAGTCCCTCTTCTCTCGCTCTTTTTCTGGTGTTTCTTGTCTTCTGACTATCCTCAGTACTGATTTCAATCAGTAGTTCATTCCTTTTTCATTTTTGCGTGCCCGTGTCGTCTTGAACTCAGCCTGTGCCGTGCACGGTTTCCAGTTCATCCATTCCTTTTCTCTTTACTAGCTCCTACTCCAACTACAGTAGAAGCATCAGCACTCCTTGTCTTGTCTATTATCGACGACACAAACGAGCACACACAACCAAAAGTTTCGAGAACCGGTCTTCTCGCTCAAAAGCCAAACACCAAAAAAAACCCCCCCATCAACCAAAATGGTCTCTTTCACCAAAGCCCTCCTGGTGGCCAGCACCATCGCCAGCACGGCGCTCGCGATGCCGCAACACGTGCACTACAACCGACACTCGAACACGGTCTCGCACCCTCACCTCGAGGAGCGCAGCAGCAGCTCTGCCAGCGGCAAGCGCGGCGCAGCATACAACTCGGCCAGCACCGTGACGACGCTGAGCTCCAGCGGCAGCGTGACCTGGGGGTACGACTGGAACATGTACGCGGACGGGACGCTGCCGTCGCACGTGGAGTACGTGCCGATGCTGTGGGGCAGCAAGATGTTCACGGGGTGGTTTGCCGCGATCGAGACGGCCCTCAATTCGGGGTCCAAGTACATCATGGGCTTCAACGAGCCCGACAACAGCGGGCAGGCGGCCATGTCGTCGGCCGAGGCCGTCACCTACTACCAGAAGTACATCACCCCCTACAAGGGCAAGGCCAAGCTGGTCACGCCCGCCGTCACCAACGGCGTCGGCTCCGACATGGGCCTCACCTGGCTCGAGAACTTCCTGAACGGCTGTGGCGGCAGCTGTGGCGTCAGCGTGCTGGCCGTCCACTGGTACGGTGACTCCGCCAGCGACTTCAAGTCCTTCGTCAACAAGGCCGTCGCCCTCGCCGAGAAGTACGAGCTCGAGTCCACCTGGGTCACGGAGTTCGCCCTCAACAGCGCTATGTCCGCCGGCCAGGGTACCCAGGAGGCCGCCTCCTTCCTCGAGGAGGTCGTCCCCTGGTTGGATGAGCAGAGTGGCGTCGCTCGCTATGCGTATTTCATGTGCGCCGATGGTTATCTGCTGAGTGGGGAGACGCTGAGTGCCAGTGGGAAGGCTTATATTGCTTAGTTAGCTTTGAGGCTTTGCCTTCTTGGGGAGAGGGCAGGGGAAGTCAATCCGGCTTTTCTTGTGCAATCATGCTATTGGATTATTTCATGCTTACGTTTTTTGCTTGTGATCTTGTTGGCTATTGAGACCTGTCTCCGTCCATTCGACAAGACTTGTCAGATGGATGTGCTGTACCTTTGATACCAGTTTGAATTTCCAGTCCCGTTGTTCTTACATCCTTGTGCTAGACTATACAATCCACAAAAAAATTCAATCAAAGAAAGAGTGCCGATCAATCTCATTTTATCACATCGATTATCCACCCATTCAATAATCATTACATTGTAACAAGCGCCAACAAATCAATCAAACCTGAAACACAACAACAAAAATAGATAGACCCCCCCAAAAACAAGTCTACTCACCAATGAAGTAAAAGCCTGGACTACGACTTGTTCTGCCCCATCCATGGGAATCATGAGATTAACATCCATCCAGCCAAAAGCATTGGCCCCAAAAGCCCGCTCCCTCGCCGAACCATGGATCATCCGCTGTCTGGACTTTTGGCCGTGGAGATCTAATCGGGTTGGCCATGGTTCGAAGGTTCAGTTTACTTGTCAGATGCGTGGAGGAACCTGGAAGCCAGTCTGTTACTAAAGATATCAACTATGAAAGTAAAAGGGCTTGGCTTGGCTAGGTTTTCTTCTTACTCTGTTCGTCTGTAGATAGATAGGCTAGCCGGTGTGGTTCTGTTCCTACGGAGGGTAATAGCAGAGGTTATTACTTACTAGGGCTCTTGGCTGCCTTTCTTCCTTCTGCTCTTTCTTTTTGAACAAAAAGTCACTACGTAACGGTTTGGCTGTGGGCCGCGTGTCTCTCCATATTTTCCTTGCTGGACATTAGAAAGAAAAATATTATACATCCACCTGATTCAAGATTATATTCCGCGTGTAGCTTTTTTCTTCTCTCTCTGGGATTTCCCTCCCATGGTTCCTTCGGTGGAACTCCAAAAGTGTTTGCTGCTGCTGCTGCTGCTGCTGCTATTGTTCGTCCCTCATGTCTAGTATACAACCCAATTCAACCCTCAACCTGAAAACGCCAGTGTCTCCGTCCCATGGTTTGCATCGCTGTACATTTGCGTCCTTTTCATTGGTATTGTAATGGTGGGTATTCTCGTTGTAGCTGATCACGCCCCAGGGGTGGAGGTCGTCGTGAGGAGGGCCTCGCCCATTTCGGTGTCCTCTGGATCGGGGATACCATTGCCGTGCCCGTTAGGCTCCCCGAAGATGGCCATTGGGGTGGGTTCCTGCGTGGCTGGTTCGGCGGGCGTGGTGGGATCGGAGGCCATCAGCTCCCTGCTGCCGTTCATCGCCGTGCCGTTCGTCTGCTCGCCATTTGTAGTCGGGTGTCCGTCTTCCTTTGCAGTACTCGCCTCCTCCCAGACGCGAACGGTGCCATCCAGCCCGCAACTGACCATCAAGCGCGCGCCGCCCAGGGAGCATGTATCCACCCCCAACACCACCCCGGTGTGACCCTCGATGCGCTGCAGGATCTGCTTGCTCACGACGTCCCAGCATAGCACGGCGCCGTCCTCGCTGCCGCTGACCGCAAAGGCATACACTGGCATCCCGCTGCTGCTGCTGCTGCTGTTGGCAGTCCCGCCTCCGTACGTGCCAAACCCGCCCTGCAGGCTGTACTTCCGGTTGCTGTGGCCCTGGTAGGTCTTGATGCACCGGCCGGCCACGTAGTCCCACAGTCGCACGCAGTCGTCCAGCGTCCACGCCAACACGTACTTGCCGTTCGGGGAGAACTTGACCGCCGTGACGGGCGGGTTATCCTCGTGCACCAGCGTGCGCAGACACTGGCCCGACGCCGTGTCCCAGATGCGGATGAGTCCGTCCGTCGCGCACGAGGCGATCAGCGTCCCGTCCCAGACCACGTCGATGCCGCCCACCGGGTCCGAATGCGCCGGCAGCGACCGCATCACTTGCGCCGACCGCACATCCCACAGGAACACCGCTTCGTCGTAGGACCCGCTCACGAGCATGTTGCCTTTCGGGGAAAACGCGATTTGGTAGACGTAGTTGTGGTGGCCGACGAACGGGATGGGATGAGCCTTGCCCTGTGGAAGTAGAAGAATGCGTTAGCCTCAACAACTCGATCTCTCCCCGCCTTTCCTTCACGTGGAATATGCTCCGATAGTAGGCTTGCACTTACTGTCAAGACATTCCACAATCGAATCGTCTTGTCGTCCGACCCAGATGCAATCGTCGCGCCGTCCGGGCTCCACGAGATGGTCGATATACCCGCTAGGTGGCCCTCGAACGAATGGATCAACTTCCCCGTCACCGTATCCCACACTTTAACAGCCCCGTCCGCGCCTACATTACACGCGCCGTTAGCCCTGGGTCTCGTCCCCTCCCATGTAGATGCTCATAATCAAAAACTCACCTCCACTCGCAATCATCGACGCATCCGGCGAGAACCGCACAGCCGACACTCCCCGCAGATGGCCCTTCAGCAAGAACTTGGGGCGATAATCCACCTTATCTGGTTTCGGCGGTGGCGGTGAGGGTTGCGGGAGCGGCGTAGGCGACCGGTCGGGATACGAGTCTGGGGTATCTTCCACCAGCTCGCCATTCGTAGTGGGTTCGGGGTCGTGCAGGTCAATATCGACGTCGGCGTCGGCGTCGGCAATTTCCTCGTCTTCAACGTCACCATTGTTGCTGTTGCTGTTGTTGCGTTGTTCCTCGTCCTGAATCTCCCGCACGTCTTCTTCTTGATCTTCTTCTCCTCCATGATCATGCGGAGGGCCATCGGCGGCGGCGGATGCAGCGGCGGAGGCGAGAGCAGCGACATTAACAGTTTGATCCCCATCATCGATGCTCATTCCGCCCTGCTCCTCCTCCTCTTCTTCTTCCTCTTCCTCTTTCTCCTCCTCCGCATCATCATCATCATCATCATCATCATCACCATCCCCGACATCCTCCTCCTCCTCATCACCCTCAGCCTCAGCCTCAACCTCATCCCCCCGACCAACCAACCCACCATCCCGCTCATCCTCACCCTCACTGAGTTTTTCCTCCGACCCACCCCCACCCCCAACCACCTCCTCCACCCTCCCATTCCCCTTGCCCCTCCCCCGCGCCTTAACAGCAACAGCAACAGCCACGGCGCCCGTCGGACCCGGCCCAGCCGCGCGCCCCAGCCCCAACTGCCCACCACCAGCAGCAGCAGCAACACGCGACCCCTCACGACGCGTCCTCCCGGTCGAGCGCCAATACTCATCAGCATCGATAGTCAACTCATCAGGACTCTCAGAGCCGCTCAGACTGCGCGCCGACTGCGGAAAAGGCCGTTGCGGCGGATAAACGCCCTGTTTCTGGATGGACCAGCTAGCGCGACGACGGCGCTCGGCGGCCTCATCGTGGTCCTCTGCGGGCGTGGTGGCGGCCAGTTCGTCGGAGGAGTCGGAATCGCCCTCTTCCTGTTGCTGCTGCTGCTGGTGGTGCGGCGGTGTGGAGTGGTGGTGGTGATGAGGATGATGATGGTTGAAGTTGTCGCTGTAGCCATTGTTTTTCGGAGTGTGGTGGGATTGTCTTTTGGTTTGGTGGGTGGGTTTTGATTGCGAATGATTGTAGTGGTTGTGGTGTTGCTGGTATTGGGGTTTGTTAGCTGGCGGCGTGTCCAGGCGACGGCGCTTGGGACGGTGGGTGGGACCGTCCATGAAGATTAATTGTTAGGTAGAAAGAGGAGAAGGAAATGGGAGGAAAGGGATATTTAAGAAAATGCGACTAAGGAGGAAGGAAAAAAGGAAAAGAAGCTAACGAAAGCAAGATACAGAACAAGTTGTCGTTTTGGTCTTGCTCTCTTTCGCCGTCTTCCCTTTTGCGATTTGGATTTCTTTCAATTTCCCATCCCTCGTGACGATCGGCCGCGTTTGGGAAGGCGGTGGGGGAGGGCGGTGAGGAGCGGGAAGGAAGGCAAGGATGATGAAATCATTGCGGAGGTAGATAGCATGGAATGGGCAATAACTCCTGATAATACTGACTGTTGCTGATGTGGTCTGTTCGTTGCCAGCTTACACACGCACATACTCTCTCGTATATTCTTCGGATTTTGGCACCATAACGGCACGAAAGAGCAATCGATGCAACTCTAATATGATACATACCTCCATCTGATCGCGATCCCATCCACCATGTCCGTCACCGCCCAAACCTCTCCTCCCTCCACGGCGACAACCACCACCACGACCACTACCCCCCCAACGCAAATCCGCATCCTCACCCTCAACTGCTGGGGTCTAAAATACATTTCCAAACTGCGCCATGAGCGCCTCACCGAGATCGGCCGGCGGCTCGCGATCGCCTCCCCACCGCCAGAGATCGTGGGACTCCAAGAATGCTGGACGCAGGCCGACTACGAGAGCATCCGAGAGCAGACGCGACACATCCTGCCATACGGGAAGTTTTACTTCGGAGGCATCTGGGGGGCGGGACTAGCGATCCTATCGCGGTGGCCGATCGAGGAGAGCAGCATGGTGGGGTATCCGCTGAACGGGCGGCCGACGGCATTCTTCCGGGGGGACTGGTACGTGGGGAAGGGGGTAGCGAGCGCGCGGGTGCGGCTGGGGGCGGGGGCGCACGACGTGGCGGAGGTGTTCTGCACGCATTTGCACGCGCCGTACGAGCGCGAGCCCAACGACTCGTACATCTGCCACCGCACGGCGCAGGCGTGGGAGATCGCCAAGCTGATGCGCGGCGCCGCGGAGCGCGGGCATCTCGTCATCGGGCTCGGCGACTTCAACATGCTGCCGGCCTCGTTCGCGCACCAGCTCATCCAGGCCCATAGCCCCGTCCGCGACGCCTGGCAGGTCATCCATCCGGACTCCTCCGTCGGCGCCGCCATCGACCCCGTCGAGCAGCGCCGCGGGAAACCCGTCCCCTCTGCTGAGTTCAACCTCCGCGTCAACGGCGCCACCTGCGACGGCCGCTTCAATACCTGGCGCTGGAGCAAAGAGGACCAGAAGCGTCTCCTCCGCCGCGGCAAGGATATCGCCGTCGATGGCGATGCCCCCTGTCCCCGGGGCAAGCGCCTGGATTATATCTTCGTCGGCGACGGCGGCTACCGTGCCCCCCACAAGTGGTCCGTTCAGTCTGTCCAGCTCAGCATGACTGAGCGCCATCCCACGCTGCGCTGCTCGCTGAGTGACCATTTCGCTGTAGAGGCGGTCATCACGCGGTCGTTGGTGGAGCATGTGTCCAAGATTGAGACGGAGGGGGATCATGCAAGCACCGCTGCGGGGGCTGCGGGTGGGGATAATGAAAATGATGATCGTGCTACCCTCGCTCCCAATACCGCCTTGACACCAGAGACCTACGATAAGATCATCGAGATGATTCACAAGTATGTACGACGGGAACGTTCGCAGCGCCGCTGGCGGCTTGCGCATTTCATCGCGTCCGTGTTTGTGTCGATTGGCTGTATGGTGGGCGTCTGGTGGACGGGCGACCATCTGCCCTATGTGGCCTTCATCTTGCTCTTCGTGAGCACGCTGAACTTTGGCGCGGGGATCCTGGATGGCTTGATCGGGGGTCTGTTTATGTCCAGCGAGCTGCGAGCGCTGAAGGAATTTGAGTGGGAGGTTCGCAATGCGAGGCAGATTGCGGAGGCGGCTGGCGGGGGTGGGGGGCAGTCGAAGATGGTAGAATGATCCTCTCTTGTGTCTGTGTATGGCTTTATCTGTATAATATGTCTGATTAGTATATAATGTTTACAGTGAGATTGACGAGCCGGTCTTCTTTGCCCCATTACATGGCATGTGGATGGCGAGTACTAGCTGATAGTAGAGAACAGCAAGACTGCTTGGCTTCTCGCATTACAGGGGAAGCTTCTATGTGATGAAGAAGCTTGATGTGAAAACTGATGCTATATTGGTATGCTATCTTCCTCCCATGACTCCCCATCCCCCCATGCCCCCACCCTCCCACTTTCATCCCCATCCCCGCCCACATTGCCCCCGTTGTCCTCACCCATGCCGGGATATCGCCATGTCGAGAATCGCCTTGCAATGCATCGAAACCTAAATGAATAAGAAACTACGTCAGCGACAGGGCCGCTGAGTAAGGTCTTCCACCTGCAAGGGCTCAACCCCAGAGGGCAAACCACAGCCACTGAAAGCGGCATCCCCCGTCATCCCTTTGTTCCACGGAGGCCCAACTTTACAACCCCTACTACTTCCGCTGAGGGACCGGCTGTCCTGGGAGCCTACGTTGCAAGTGGTTGATCTTGTCTTTCGACAGAGATATCCTCCTGAATCGTCCAGGATGGCCCCAAACCGACCACTTAAGAAAGTGCGAGAGATACCGTTTGCTCTGGTGGCCCTCCAGAAGCTCATCCCGGGTATTTTGATCTATATCCCCTTCTCCCGTGGTTGCCTGTCCTCATCGAAAGGTTCACTCACCCAAGCTTGTGGTCATAGGGGCAGAAGTAAAACAGCCAAGAGACGTCAGTCTGGGAGAAGCAATATCGAAAAAAGAAGGATGAAGGAAGACAGGATCAAGTACACCGGAAAAGTCTGAGCCAGGTTCTCTGATGTAGCGTTCCTTTTCTTCCAAACACCCCTGTACCTCTTTTCTCTCTCACCCACCTTTTCAACCGTCTCCTAGATTATCTGTTTCGCTAGAGCGACATGACCACAAGTTCGAATGAATGAGAAAGGGTGTAGGAACGTTGAAGAAGGAGTAGGGAGATCAACGCAAGGATGGCTTCCAAAGGAACACTTTTATCGCCACAGAGAAGGTCCGAGGGAAAGCTGAGGGGAGGGATGGCGGAGTGAAGGTTGGGTTTGTCGTGATGATTGCTGAGGTTCTTACCTGCTGTTTTTGTGTTGTTGCGCCCTCTTTCTCGAGGATGTGGTGGTGTTGAAGAGTGGAAGAAGGGGGAGATGGAGGGAGGAGAAACGAAGAGAAGAAGACAGGCGTTCGGAGGAAGAAACCGAAACGAAGAGACAGACGAGCTCATAATGAGTTCATCCTGATAGCTTATTCATACAGACCCCTGGTCAATAGTGATGATAGGGAAGTGGTCAAGGGAACTTAGGGAGAAGGATGATGAGGATGGATGGAGATGAGCAAGAGAATAGAACAGAAGAGATGGGAAACAGGAAAGTCAAGAGAGAAGAGGATGAAGAGGATGAGGAAGAGGAAGGAGAAAGAGGGAAGAGGGAGGAAGGAAGGAAGGTCTTATATAGCCAGAGCTTTCCTGGCAGGTGCTCTAATTTTATGGTAATCAATCAATTCACTGGTATCATGACACAATCAACGCAACATTCATACAATCATTCACTGATCCTGCTTCCGGCCTTCCATCACACGTAGCACATCTGACGCGCTGTTTTTGTCACCTTTCTTCTTCTTAGGCCCTCGCTTCCTCTTCTTCCCACCGCGGCCCTCGCCCTCTAGCACAACCTCCTCGTCATCCTCCTCATCTCCCACGCGACTACCTCCAAAGCCCATGTCCATATCCATTGCATCCAATGCCTCCCGCCGTCGAGCCTCGTCGAGGAACTTCTTCCGTCGCAAGGCTGTTTCCGAATCGACGTCCTCCTCTCCCTCTCCCGCAGCCTCTTCAGACTGCCGCAAGGCCGCTGCCCTTTTAAGAGCAGCCATTAGCGTAGCATCCTTGGCCAAAGGATTCGACCGGTCGATCTCAGGGACCTCTTCCGTAGTCGATGTAGAGAAGTAGTTGCGTGGGCGGGCTGCCGTCTCCTCGGCTGGTTTCTTCGTCGCGTCCGCAGTAGCATGGGCTGTAGGATCCGTTTTCTGGACGGGTTTCTTCTGGTGAACCTCGCCATCCTCACTCTCATCGGACGATGACGAGTCGTCCTCGTCTCCCAGCTCCGCAAGAGGGTTGTAATCTGCACCCACTCCAGCAAAGATATCATCGTCTTCCTCCTCCGCCGGAGGCGCAGCTTTGGCCGCCAACTCGGCAGGAACCTCCATGCCCAACGGCTTAGCAGCAGCAGCAGCAGGAGCAGGAGCCTCACCAGGCTTATCCAACCATCGGACCTTGCGTTTGATCTTGCCCTGCGCATCCGTGATCTGCAGAATCTCCTTCCGCCGGCCTGTCTCATCCTGCTCAATCCAGCGCTTCTTCTCAGCCTTCGACTCGCCCCCAATCCTCTTGAACCGATCCCCAAGCGCGGGCTCAGCCGGCCTCTGCTCCTCCGCTTCAGCTTCAGCAGCCGCCGCCGCCGCCGCGGCAGCAGCACGACTAGCCTTCAACTGTCTGAGGATCTCATCCCTCGACCTCGGCACCCCCGACGACAAAGCAGCAGAAGGCGGCGGAGGCGGCGCCATAACACCCTTCTTCTTCACCTTCTGCTCCCTAGGCGCAGAAGGCAAGGCCCCCTCGTCACCAAGCACCTTATCCAACTCCTCATCCACATCCCCCGCCTTCTCCTCAGTGCCCTCCTTCCCCTCCGCCCTCGAAACATCCTCCCCGCGCCTCACCCTCTTCAACAACTCCCAATCCAGCCCCTTCACCATATGCGTACTCCCAAGATCACCACCAACGCCCATCTCCCGAATCAGCTTCTCAAAGGTCCCCTGATCGATCTGGCCGAGCTTGACCATCTCCTCCAGCGCCTTAACCCGCTGCTCCAGCTGCTGGTCCTCTCCACTTTCTCCTTCCGGTCGCCCCTCCTTACCATCTTCCCCTTCCTCAGCAGTACCCGACGATCCTCTTAACAAAGCCGCGCGATCCTGATACCCAGAAGGTAACCTCGTCCCTTTAGGCGCAGCCGTCGACTTGAACCGCTTAGCAGGCGGGTGAAGGCTATTCTCACGACGGTGATCGGCAAGCTGGCGCGCGAACTCGTGGTGGGGGTTTGCGTGGTTTAGGGCGCGTCTGCATCCATCCCAACAAGTCTCAGTTAGCGCTGCTTCTATCAAGAACGTCCCGGCAGAGTGTGAAGGCAAACGCACGGCGTCATGGGAATACTCGAGCGGAGGCGCGAGCCCAGAGCTGAAGGCGTCGCGCCTGGGGCATTATTTTGATTGTTGCTGCTGCGCGCATCGGTGCTTTCTTTCCTTGTGCTGCTGGTGGTTCTGCTGGTCGGGGTGTCAAGGACCAGGCGTCGGAATTGGTCGTTGTTCATTTTGAGGTTCTCTCTCCTTCGGGAGTGGGAGGTGTGTAGGTTGGTTGGTTCTTGATGGTTTGGATTTGTATTCAGGGGAGAGTTTAAGAGGGTTGCATTTTACTAGGTCTGGTTTTGATACGGGAAGTGGAAGGTTGGTGAGGGGATAATAAATGTTTATTGAAGTTGGGATGTTCTGCGGCCGGCGGAGAAAAGCGCGGCGGGATGCGGTAGTTCTCCGGCGACGTCAGTGCTCCCACTTTCTTGGCGAGCGGTAACTGTAGTGAACGTACTTAAGAAGTTCAAGGGGTTTTTGGGCTCGTTGACTTGAAAAAGGAATTTGGGAAGTTGATTCCGGGGAATGCATTGGAGCGAGGCTACGCGAGTGAGAGTTACTGGGTGTCTTGATTGTTGCGCGGCTGAAGCTATGGCTAGGTATAAATAATCACTACGCTGATTCAATATACATAATTATAAACGAGTGTTCATATTTGGCTATCGAGCGCGTCCGTTACAATTTGTGGACATTTCAAAGCATAACCAGCAGCTTCGTCAATTTGTCTCTGAGCAGAGCGGCACACACAAGAAAAACTCATGAGCATCTTACTCGGCACACTCACGCTGGCGCTCATCGAAGATCTTCAGGGCCTCCTCGGCCGCCTTGACACCGCTGAGCACCATGGCACCGAAGGTGGGACCCATGCGGTTGAAGCCGTCGATCTCGGACAGCTCCATGCCACCGATGATCAACCCCTTGGTGACCTCACGGGTGTTCTTGACGATGGCGTCCTCGGCGGAGTTCATGTCTAGACCGCGCATGCCACCCAGCTTGTCGACGCTCGCCATCGAGACCAGACGCTTGGCTGAGAACGCTCCGAACGGGCCGTCGTGGCCGGTGGTACTGATCACGAGTGGCGCGTTGATGGTGTTGGGGTCCATGCAGGACTGGTCGTCGTGGTGCAGCGTCACCAGCGTCCAGTTGGTGACCACACCCGCGATCCGGGTTTCCTTGGGGTTCCCGTTGGCGGAAGGACGGGTCACCAGGTCTTCCACGCTGGTGGCGTTGAAAAGCTTGACGTTGGGGAATGCAAGCACCTTGGACAGTAGCGTCGACGTGAACAGCGAGGCATGCTTCACGACCACGTAGTTGGGGTTCGACGCGTCTTCCTCGTAGGGCACGCCCAGTTCGTTCAGGAACACTTCCGCGGGACGGCGCATGACCATCGCCGAGAAGAGCTGGCCACCCAGCCAGGCACCACCACCTGTGACACGGGTTAATCAATGTCCTGATGCCGCTCCAATGGGGTAGGAGGACGAACCAGGGGACACGTTGGCCTCGATGATGGCGATCTTCAGGTCAGGGCGCGCGTTGGCCAGCACGTACGCGGTGCTCAGACCACAGGAACCAGCCCCGACAATGACGATGTCACTCTCGGCGTACTTGTCCAGGTCCTGGAAGTAGCGTCTGGTCATGGCGCGCGACACCTGACTCTCACGGATCGGTGCGAACTTGAAGTCATCCCACTTGCCACCGAAGTGGTCTAGCAGCTTGGTCTGGGGTTCTCCGCTCATAATGGGAGCCATCTCCGGGACGACGACCTTGCCCTTGAGGCCGGCGGTAGGGGCCACAGGGGACTCGAGCAATGCAGCTGGGGGAGACATGTTGTTCTTGGTTTGTTGAGAGTGAGAGGAGTCACGGGAGTGACTGATAATTGTTAGTACTTCCAGACAGCAGGGGAAACGAGGGAAGGCATGATCCTTTCGCTGGTATTATCCAGATCAAGTTTAACCGTATAATCTCAGAACGAACCCAGAGCCACCAGCATGCTAAACCCCGAGACGGAAGTCCTCCCGTTGGGATCTATACATGCTAGTAGATAGGCACGAACACCGGTTCATTGCCACAATTACCTGAGGTACCTGATCATTGAGTTGCCCAGCTAAAGACATTGCATGACTTCCACCGTCGAGACCCGCGAGGGGTCCTTGGTAGGTGGTGTTTACATTGGACGAATTGAGTTCCTGTACCACAGTTAGTCAGGTCTCTTCACATAGGGGAGAGTCAACAATGAAAGGGGATCACGACTTCTGAGGATGAAATCGATCGAAGATGGGAGATGATGGAGTTGGTGGGGGAGAAAGAGAAAGAGAGAAGAAGCGGGGTTGAGAGGAGGGGTAAGCAGCTTAAATAGTCAGAGCCCACGATACGTAATGCCCATGACATCTCTCGTCGATTTAATTAAGCTCGGGCTTGAGGGCTGCAGTGACAGGTTTGTTCCTGACCCTCCGGTTCTGCCCGCTTGCTCTGGTCGGTGAACTGAAGGAGTAAATCGCGCAAGTGGATGAAGTCACTACAGTCTCATAGACATGATCTAGATGGCTTAACGGTGGTGTGCATATCCGAACCTTAGCTATCTAGTCCCCCGAGGTCGGAAAGTGAGTCAATTTCGGCGGAGCACAGTACTCCTCCTGTCTTAGTAGTTATATGCCGGATAGTAGGTACTAGGAAATATACAAGATCTCTTCCGGCATATCCGGTGCAAGAGAAAAGAATCATATTGTAATGAGACTTACCTAGGATGGAGTCATTCAGCGTAGACTGGATAACCTGGATAACTGTGGGGATAAGTCCATACTCATCGTTCACAGCATAGCTGACTGAGCAATGAGCCGGGGATGCCCAGCACATCCCCGCATAAACTGAGTCAGCGACCCTTTCTGGCTATGCAACCCTTATGTAACGGGGCTAACCGATACTGGGGTGGGGCAAAGACCGCACAAACGCGTGACTTGCAACCGCCGTCGACGAAACAGCGAAAATTCCCACCCCATCGCCCATCGCTCTCCCGCCCCCCCTCGACGACAACTCGACAGATCCCCTTTCGTTGTTCTTGAAAGTCATCACATAACGCCAAAATGGGTAAGGTAAGTATCAAAGAAAATGATGTCCCGTTGATTCTGAGATGTTCTGGATGGAAATAACTAACATGTTGATGAATATAGGTTCACGGATCTGTAAGCATACCCCTTCTTCCCTCATGAAGCCACCAACGCCCGTCGAACGAATACATCACAAAAACGACAAGCGGAAGGCGACGATTCCATCCGAATAGAAGATATCTGACCTGAACTCTCTACACAGCTCGCTCGTGCCGGTAAGGTCAAGGCCGCCACTCCCAAGGTCGAGAAGCAGGAGAAGGCCAAGCAGCCCAAGGGCCGTGCCTACAAGCGCGTCGTCTACACCCGCCGCTTCGTCAACGTCACCCTCACTGGTGGCAAGCGCAAGGTATGAATCAACCAGTTCAACAATCCAACGGGGAAATGGTGGAAATCAGCAGCATCCAGGTGGAAGAACAAGACGAAGGGAATGCTGTGCTATCTGAGCAAAGAGCGCTTACACAAATCTCCGCACCAACAGATGAACGCCAACCCCACCCAGTAAACGGATTGTCCACGACAAAAAACCTCTCGAAATTTGATTTAAAAAAACTCGATGACTTTTTGAGCAACGACGATTCCCCGGGTTTTGGCGTGAACGAGAGGCTGAGGATATGATGCGGTATTTGCGATCGGTGGGAAGGCGAGTGCTACTCTGTTTAGAGTAAGCTCGTTTTTACCTATCTGATCCAAAAACACGGCCCCCCCGTGTCAACTTACGACGGATTTCGCCTTCGGTTACGGATCTTCGTGGGGGGAAACGAGTGGACGGGTGTTTTTCATTTTACATGGCTGTTTTAGCAAGAGGACGATTTAATCGGACTTTTGATGCTTGGGGATGCAATACCATCACTATTTTCAGTCTCTCATGGCTGGTTCTGTTTCTTCGCCTTGCTGGTTTATTGATTTGGTGGCTATTATGTGCGGTGGTCATCTAGTAGATGGGTTCTATCCTGTTTCCTGCATTTCGAGGCTGGGGCGAGTCAGGTGGCGAAGTTGTGCTCGGTTTCGCCATCGATGATAAACGGGCCCTGTCAGCTAGGCAGCTCGATATCAAGGCTTCGCACCATAAGCTGCGATAACTTCTACGATGCCCACGGTTGATATCGCATGGATGCTTATCACGTCTTCGTAGCAAGTATCTTCGGGTTACTAGGTAGATTGCAACTGTGCAGGTTAAGTCCCAGGAAGCGTTGCCCCCTACACACTAGACAACATATCCACCTTGACCTTCACTCCATGATCGTGGACCCAGTTCTTCTTCTTGCCCACCTTTTCTAAATCCTCCGCCCGACCCTTCAGTATTTCCTGTAGCACGGACGTAGCAGCATCCCCGCGCCTCACTTTCAAACGCAATACATCGCGATCCCCCTTCTTTTTCTCGACCGAGCTCCACTCCGTCTCAAACCGAACCCTCCACTGGGCCTCCGGCTCCCGTCCCGCAGGATACACATCGCCGATGATGGCGGCCACGCCTCCCAAGTACCGACACCACCAGGCCTCATCCTTCGACACACACCGGCGCAACTGCCGATAGAACACCTCATCCGTGGGGGCGAGGTCTCCCTCCCAGCGCTCACAGAGCACCAGCGCGATCAGCGCCCGCTCGACATGCGACAGACAGTTCGTAGCAGCCAGAATCCCCGTCGAGGTGCTATGCAGCGCGGCGGCCGCCCGCGACTCGCGGGGCACCTTGGCATGCACATATAACAGGTTCGCCAGCGCGGCCAGCAAGTTTCGCGAGAAGGACGGGGGCGCACAGAACGCGGCGATAGGCGACGGCGTGGCCGGTAGTGCCGCCTGCAGCAAGGACGCAATCACTTGCGCCGAGGGCGGAGCATACGGGCGCGTCGCGGCCAGCAGGGGATCAAGGGCGCGGACCTCCGTCGGCAGACGGTCGTACAGGAAGCCCTCGCGGACGCCGCCCTGGCAGAACTGGATGTGCGAGATGTCCGGCAGCGCGGCCATGATGACATCGACCAGGACGGCGACGGCGGGAATCTGCGAGGCCCGCCGCTTGGAGACGCCGTAGATGCGGCTTGCGTCTGCATTTCCGTCGGCATCGGGGTTGCCAACCAGATCCAGCACCGAGACGGTGTCGTCGAAATCCGCCCGGCGCACCCGGAACCCGTTGATGATGGGGATCGGGTACGGCTCTTCGCTTTTCAACGCCGCCGCCTTCATCAGCACGTATCCCCAGCCGCGGAACCCGCCGCCACAGAGATACAGATTAAACCCCGTGCTGCTGCTGCTGCTGCTGCTGCCGCGGTGGGATAACGATTCGGGTACCCCGAGCTGGTTATACGCTTCCCGAAACTGGCCAACCATCTCCTCCTTGAGCGCCTGCACACCACCATTACGCCCCTGTGCCTCCGCCAACAACCGCGACAACGCCGCCGCCCCGTAGGGAAAACTGAACGACCCCTTGGGACTGGTGGTCACCACCCCATCCTCCTCCAAGACCCAGGTAATCTGCGTGCTCCCGCCGCCCAAATCCATCGCGATGCCCGCCACGCTGGCGGCGCTGCTGGCGATGCCGAGCGCCCCGATCCGGCCCTCGTCCTCCTTCGACAGCAACCGGACGTCCCAGCCCGTGGCGGCGCGGATCCGCGCCCGGAACGCCTCTGAATTTGGCGCCGTCCGCGTCGCCTCGGTGGCTAGCACGTAGGTATTGGCGTCTGGCACGCAGAAGTCGTTGCATGTCGCGCGGAAGTGCACGAGGCGGTCGACGACTTGCTCAATGATTGCGGGCGGGATCGGGCCCCGCTCCTCCCCGGAGAATTGCGCGTCGTACAGTGAGATGCCCGCTCGGTCTTGGTAGATGATGGGCATGATTCGCGCGGTTGGCGGGGAGAGGTCTGTGATCGAGAAGCGGATGCCGTTGCTGTTGTGCTGGTTAGTTTCTTGCTTTTCTACCTGTAGGTGGGGTGAGGGGGTTTGGGGAGGGGTAGAGGGGTGATGTAGTGTTGCGGTTTGCGCACCTTCCCATATCTACGATTCCGTAGAGTTCGGGGTTCGGGGTTGGTGTTTCGGCCATTGTGATGTCAGGGTTGTAGCATGAATTGAGCTGGGTTGACTGGGTTGATGGCTGGAGTGAGAAAGGACAACACGGCGTCACTGTGTTGTGATGTTCAAAGTTCTGGTCGCATGGTTTGCGTTGGTGCGACTAGCTTGGGTGAGAGAGTGCTAGCGTAGGGCAAGAAATCTTCACGGCGGTGACTATACTATCAATAGTGAGGAATTGCGCAGCTGTAATAGTCGTATGCTTGATGGAGTGACCAGTGTCAAAAACTCGACTGCATATCCTGTCTATGAAGAAGAGGACTTGCTTGGCGGGGAAAGGCTTATCCAAATCCTTCTCCCGTGATAACATACAGACAGATCCAGTACTTAGCTCTCTCCGGGGCATTTGCGCATACTTCTCCGAGGTACTGTATCGGGTTCAACTTCTGTTTTTTTTTTTTTTTTGTCTTGGGTGACAAAGGTGGACAGTCACAACGATTGCATATCTGAGATCGTGTCATTGGTGTGTAGAAACTGCAAGAGTAGTAGGTAGTGGACAATAGGCTACGAACATATACTGCCCCGGCCACAAATAGCTCGACGCCCTCGACGCGAGTCAAAACTGACAAATCCCCAACAAATACTGTGGCGGCAATGATGATCACAACAAGCCGATAAAACCATGCTGCTGAGAAAGCTGCAGACCATGATTGGCGTAAGTGCAACCGAGGCAGCGCGCCAGGCTGCAGTTTATTTCCTTGAGACTAATTGACTATTGGAACACCGGGACCATGCTTTGTTCATACTTTCTGTCAAGACGATGAGCGATCTATCGTTAGACTATACACCCAATTAAGGCATTACGCGGCGTAGTGCTCTCCTCTATGGCTCGCGACTTGACTGCCTGAGATAATTATGGCTGATAATCTCGCATTCACAGATTACCTATCGAATCGGAGATGAAGTCCTGCTAGTAGTCCGCCGCGAGAACGGGTTGGAGGCGCTTGAGGGCCCGTATTTGATAGCAACTGTTAACTCTGCAACAAACTACACGCATTGCACCCGAGATAAGGCACCAGTGGGGGGTAGGCGAAAATCTAGAAAGGAAGAGTCAAAGTGCATCAATGATGGGCAGAATGCTGGTCTCAAGGTATAGACTCACGGGGAAAGCCTAGAGATATGACAAGATGGATTGAAATGTTGGAGAGGGCAGTCAACAGAATGCCCGAAGAACATGCGTCGAGACCTTCGCTTATCCGTGCTCTGGCCGTTCGCTTTGTGGGCCGCCACGAAGAAATCCAACAGGCCGCGGGTCTTGACTGAGCAGCTGAATTGGGACAAGAGTCTGTACGGCTCGCGGCAGAAAGTCACCCTGACCGATCAGAATGTCTAGGTCCACTCGGATACATTGTCATTCAAAGATATATGTATCAAGGACGAAGGTGCGATCTGTATCGCGGACACTGCGCATTGGCCGAGGCAACCGAGTTTATGTCGAGAGAGAGTCCCTTAAACCACGCTGCTGCAACTTCCAGGGAGTTATTGAATCCACTCCCGGAAGACCACAGTCAGTGTGCGAATATGGTAGCGAATCTGGCAATTGTTTAGTTCGAACAATCAACAGGTCACTTGGACATCAATTACCAGTTTGTGATAACTATATAAAGGAAGCTATCATAATTCAAAGAGTCGCACTTATGTATAACTTCTAGGGAGACGTCCTTAAAGGTTTGAGCGCCATTCACGCATACGGGTGACGAAACATATCGTCAGAGATGTCACGATTACAGGGAACGAGTGCGGAGGCTCGATAATCTTGAATCTGTCATCATCATGCCGTACGAGCCTTGTGCAACGTCGAGCAATAACCTTGTCCAATGACGGGTGCCACTCAGAAGCAGCGGAGACCATGAGCCAGGCCGTGGATCTTCTGCCGACTCTCAAGCCACACACAATGGAAGATACGAATAAGTAAGAAAAGCTTAGGATTTGTCTGAATTGGCGCTTTGGCTGCAGCTGTAGCCCTGAACACAGGCCGAATGCCTGCCCAGGCATTAGCAATCCTGGAAAATGGCCGCGTGGTCATCGCAGGATTACAATTGAATATGCAATCGGATCTCTCTGAGTTAGAACAACCATATCCCGGTCTGGCTAGGAGATTCATCTCCTTCGAGACGAGACATGGCCACATATTTGGTGAATACCAGTTGGTGAACAGAACACTTCCAATTCATGCCGCTGGATGTCACAACATTGTCGATGAAAATGGAACAGTCATTGACCGGCTAATCTCCTACATGTTATCTGTCAAGTCTTTGCTCCACTCCCGCAGAGGAAAAACACACCAAGGGATCCCAGCAAATGCAGCGAAAGGTGCCCTCCTCGGTTTCATGGCACAAATCCCCGCCATGCCAGTCTCCCCTTCACGGATATCGGAATCGCGGCTCTTGAGCCATCATGCAAAGGATTAGACCTCAACGGTGACGGCCCTTGACCACACCAATGCCATTCTGGACCGACTGTCCAATTTCGAGATCTTCCACTTTGCAGGCCACGGAATTTTGGGCAGCATGGATCTGGGGCGAAGTGTCTTTCCTCACCAAGCGTTGGGAAACGAATCCTTGACAGGGGACAGGATGCGTCAGCAGCATATCTTTGGAAGACCTCCTCTTCTCGCCTATCTCTCTGCATGCTTTGGTGGCTCATGCAAAAACCTAAGATCAAGAGATGAGGCCCTTAGCATTATCAGTGTCTCTCAACTGGTTGGATTTCCATACGTCGTAGGTACTTTGTGGGAGATATCATACCGGCACTGTGTCGATGTCGCTCAAGCTACATACGAGACACTGCAGGGCTGACAGATGAGACTGTTGCTCTAGAGCTTCATTTTGCAATCATAAGGGTCCGGGGTAGTAGCAGATTCTAGACCAGTCCGGACCAAAAAAGCCTTAAAAATTGGTAAGAAGCATAATGGAGATACTCAAGAGGAAGACAGACTTCTACAACAGCTCGAGCGGTGTATGAGGGGAACGACCTGGTCCCAAGTAATGAGCCATCTGAAGAAGGTAGAGACATAAAGAAGAAGGCACGTCAGCAGACAAGGCAGCAGTCTCTTTTTTCTGTGTGCCATATGCATGTACAGTACACACTCCTATAAATAGCTTCAGTGAACGCTGGCGGATATTACCCTAAGATGGTTTGAGATCTGTTTTCCATCGGGATAAATGCAGCACTGCTTGTAATTACATACCTGCCGTCACCGTTACCCACCTGAAGTATACATTGTCCATATTATTAGATTCTAGTCTCGTGAGTAAGCGCGATTGACTGAGGAGCCCAAAAGTATACCTAGCTGACTTGGTCATTGATTGACCAAGCAACAGCCAGACCAGACCGCCAACTTCGTTGCCACCGAGTCATTTTTGGGCAGCAAAGATCGTTAACCGAAAGTTGGTACTGCGATATTTGTGATTTGGATGACATCTATCAAGTCACTAATCATCGGTTTGACCTATGATGACAGTGGCAGTTATCAGGGGAAACTCGGACCAAGCGCAGCAGACGCAGGGTTGCATTGCAGCAGACAGACATGAATGAGTAGTTAGCCTGGGAATAAGTCAAGTCATCTAGAGATTAACTTCGCGGGGGGATTACGACCAGTCACCCTACAGGAAACGCTAGCCTAGAAATGGCTATACCTGCGAGGAGCTGAGGGCTGGGGGGCTGAGTAGATTGTGGAAGTTGCTCAGGCTTGATGCTGCATGCAGATAGGCGACATGGAAGGATTCCGGTTGAGTGGTCTGGGCTGCTAAGGTGAGCGAACCAAGTTCTTGACTTCCTACGGTAGGTCTTTGCCATTAGTCAAGGATTATTTACCAGATTCGGAGTATCCACGTATGCAAGTTACTGTCCTGCACTCCGCAGCGCAGACTGCTATTGAAGTAGCTGCGGGGATGACAACCCCCGCCGCCTGTCGTTCGGGCTTATCCCCGCCCGACCCTCTCTCGATCTTGATGTCGTCTTCACTCCATCAACTCCACCAAGCGTGTTCGACAAGACAAGATCTCTGGCGAACTTACTTGACATTCCCGTTACTGAGTCATCTCAGCTATTGCGGACAAAAGGACGATGAAGCACAATCACCTACCGGCTGTCACCAAAGTGAAGGCTGGCTGGAGTGCCAATCCGCGATTCGTTCTCCTTGCGCTTTCCCACCTCCCTGGACATCCTGAGACGCCTGCTATTTGGAAACTTCGCAAGTCGACAAGGTAATTCCCGAGGATGGGCGGGTCTCCCTATCAATCCCAAGGCTGCATAACCTGCAGACAGCGGAGGGTCAAAGTATGTGTCCAATCTAAGTCTAATTTCTCTGCTATCCTATCGAGTCTGCCCGCAAAGCAGTAACTGATATCCTCCCCCCCACTCACCGAGAACCAGTGCGATCTTGCTAAACCCGAGTGCGCGCGATGCGTCAAGAGAGGCACGCTATGTCTTGGCTACGAGACGAACCGGCACTTTCTCCACCATACACTCATCACGCGAATCGATGACTCCGGCGCAAGCAGCAAGAGACCAGTCACCCAGCGGCTCGGACAACTGAGACCGCTTGCCCTGCCGGCAACCCTGAATCTGGGCGCTGAAGTGCGAACCCAGCTCTTCTCCACATTCATGACCACCTTCTTCGCATCCGACGACAATGTTAATGATCTCAATGCACGGGACGATAGCTGGTACTTCATGATGGCCCGGTTCCCTTCCCTGACGGGCGAGTCGGCGCTTCTAGACCGGTCAGTCATGGCATTCGTATGCACGTTCCTGGGCAGGAAAGCCAACGATAGCCCATTGGCCCGCCACGGTATCGAGTTGTACAGTAATGCGCTGAGGTTAATGGCAGGGTGGCTCAAGCAGAAGGCCACGTCGACGCCTCATCTTCTACTTTATGCTACTATCGTCTTTCATACCTATGAGGTAATGTGAATGACCAGGGGAACGTGGGAGATAGAGATTAACACGAGCTCTGCACGGCAGACAATGCAAACTGGCGATGCTGCTCTGCAAAACAGCTTCGCTCACATACGGGGTGCGACCGCTATTCTTAATCATCCGTCCTTCCAACATGCTCCCGATCAACCTCTTACACAGACGATGATCACTCGACAGAAGTGGGCCGCAGTAAGTCAATGGCGGGATCGTGTCAGCCACTTTATATGACCTAACAGTAGGTGCAGGCTTTCTGCATCACAACGACACCGTCGGTACTTGACAACATGGAATGGGGATGTTCCACGCAAGATCAGAACGAGGGCCCCATGGACGCGATGTTTGCCCTGATTGCCGAAACCGCTCGTCTGCAACGGAGCCTTGACACGAGCTCCCGCCAACCTCATTCGGAGTGCCAGGCAGCCGCCCGAGTGTTACTCCGGCGCTGCTTCGACCTGGCGAAACGGCTTCGAACATATTGGCCGGATGACCAGGGCGATCGCCGTCACCCAGAGGATCATCTTCCCTCACTTTGTGATCCTATCACACTGCGACATGAACATAATGAGCCGCAGACTTCCCCGTTGCCGGATGATCCCTTCAATCTCCCGCCCTACGATTTCGCCGACCTGGGGACTGCCAAAATCTATCTCCTCTACTGGATCGTGGCGATGACGATTCGTAGGTTAATCTATCACACTGAGACACTTCTTCTCAAGGGAGATAATGGCGCGACTGCGCCGCCGGTGGTACTGCGCGTGCCCACGCGCGAGATCTACCGCACGGTGGCCTATCACCTCCAGCCGAGGAACCTGATGTCCTCGACGCATGCGGTCCTATTTGCAGTGTCCGTCTTGTCGAAATGCTGTTTGGATTGTCGCGACGAGACGGGATTTCGGTGGTGCCAGGGCATCTACCGCTTACTTCAGGCACGAGGGTTGGATGTGGCTTCGCGCCTTGGTGAGGCGGACCGGAGACAGTGGGCAGGGATGCATTCGTCCATGACGGAGTTAGCTCTCCCTGTTTCTGTTTGAAAACCATGCTATGTGTAGAGCTAGAATAGCCTCTGAAACGAGTTGCTGGGCTTCGGAGAAATACATACCTAGAAAGCAGACCGCGCCAAGCTAGGGAGGGACGGAGGACATTATCGAGGTATATGCCCCTCGGGATACTTGGCCCTGGAGGCTGCGGGCCACGAGGCGGATTACGATCATGCGTTTCTAATTTACCCCACCCCACGCTTCGGGCTGCTCGGTAGCGGGGATGGATATATCTCAGCTGTGGGAATAACTGCGCCCCTCCTTTAGACAAACACACAGATTCCAACATCGGGCAAGTCGATTATATACAAAGAATTCTACTTCAGTCCTGTCATAAGTCATGACTTCGTCACCGCAACAATTACCGAGAAAGCAATCACGCTAGAACTGAACACTATAACACATATCGAAATCCTGCCCCATAATTCTCCTCCCCCACGGCGGCATCATCCTTGCTCCCAGCTGTCCATCCCGCCGCTGCACCATACCGCTTATCGAGACGGCGATTCTCCCATGCCAAAAGTACTCGCAGAGACAGTGCGAGAATCGTGTTGAAAAACATGAACGCTGCGCAGATCGACAGACCCCGGGTAAAGCGAGGCGAATCACCGGAGGGAAACACATTGGTTCCCAGGAAGGGCCCGCACTGGCCGATGACGTTGAGAATGACGATTCCCATGCCTCGTCGGCTGTCCGAGCCTTGGTTGTCTATATAACCACGTTAGTGCATTGATCGTCGGTTGGAGGGGGATGTTTCCATACTTAGAGCCCAGGGAAGAATATTAGCAATAGACGGGAACACCCCGATAGCGGCGAGAAACACGCCAAGGTAGCGAACACCGACAGAGTCACAGACCGCAAGCAAGACATAGCCGACAGCGCCGACCAAAGAAGCACACGCAATCACCAAGCCTCGCTGTTGGATCCGATCGGCAATCCAGGTCGTGGCGATCGTCACGAGGAAGGACGCAAAGAACGGTGGCGCCGTGAGGCCCTGGGCGTTGATCGAAGTGAATCCCATATCCTCCAAGATCGTGGGCAGAAAGACAGGCAACGACGAGAAGCTCACGTTGCAGCTGAAATACATGAACTGTAGAAGTCGTTAGCATACCTCACGTACAGAACCTGACTAGAACCGGAAACAACGTACCGCCAGGATCCATGCCTTCGCATCCAGCAAAGTATGGCCCAATTCTTTCCAGTCGATCCCAGTCACCCGCTCGCTCTCACCACTCCGTCGAAGAGATCTGGCTCGCGCAACCTCCTTCTCCTCTTCGGTCAGGAAACGGGCGGATGACGGGTGATCTGGCAGATAGAACCAAGCCAGAACGGCGGCCAAGAGTGACGGGCTCCCTTCTACCAGGAACAGCAATCGCCAGTTTGCTAGCTTGGCATGTCCGGAGGTGATACCGTAAGCGAGAGCGCCTGCAAAAGTATTCGCCAGGGGAGCTGCGGACAAGAACATGCCACAACGGAGTCCGAGCTCATGACGGCGATAAAAGAACGATAGCAGGTACGGACTTCCTGGACCAAAGGCGGCTTCCGACATGCCCAGCAGAAATCGCAGAGCCATCAACCCGCCCCAGTTCTGCACTGCAGCCTGACAGGTCGCCACAATGCCCCTATACAGCATTAGACTGTGTCTCAGAATATAGGAGACACAAGTCGATTTTCAACATACCAACTCAACACGGTAATAGCCGCCCATCTGTGTGGGGGCATGATCTTCCACATCAACGCCAGAAATTCGAACAGAGTGTACGATATATAGAAGATGGTCAAGAGCCATGAGTATCGGTTTCCTGTGAGGTGAAGATCTTCCTCCATTCCTGCGATTTTCGCATTTCTGTTGCCCGCATTAGCCGGATGGGTACTGCTAAATGTCGAGTGCATGGCAATCAAGCCTACCCAATATTGCTCCTATCGAGCAGCGATAAGAGATCTGTGCGAGTTCTATCAATTAGACGAAGATTCAGAAAAGACGATAAATCATGTCAAGCTAGAAATCCAGAATATGTGTATCGGGCTCGGAAGCGAGAGGAATGATGACCGACAGTGGAAGATGAATAAGAAACGGGACCAGCATACATAGAAATCCTAACAGGGTCGGCACTCGAAGATCCAACTTCCTCAGCACTCGAGCTTCCATTGCAGGATCTATAGGCATTGTGGATTGAGGCATCTGCGGAAGTGCGGTGTGGGATTCCTCGTCGTGCATGGGCTGCTGCTTCTCCGGATCGTTGCCCGGAGCCTCGACAATGGCGTCGACATCGTCAGCAGGACTGCTAGGGGTGTCTTTCTTTCCGAATAGCCCCATGATGTACTGCAATGTAATGCGATAAGGAGTGACAGGAGTTTGATGGCAGTAACAGGTTATGAGGTGACTTCTCGTGGGGGGGGGGGACACGCTGCTTTATGAACGCGTTCACACCGATACCATAACGCTCTTTACGTTTTCACACAGACCCAATGATTGGACAATGGCCTACCAGCCTGATCTGCGAAGATTAACCCGACCACACGATGGCCACGTCGAGTTAGCTAGGGGTGACGTGAAAAGGTGAGAGAACGAAGGAGGGGGCGCGGTGAGTGGAGTGTCGAGTCGAGTCGACTGAAGTCTTTTTTTCACAGATAGCTTGGTGTGATACGTGGGACGGAGCTCATATCCAATCACCCGAGAGAGCGGGAGGCACAACATGCTAGATGTGCAGGGAATATCCAAAGTGGACGCATGGGGCTCTTGCTTTGCGCTCCTCGGGGATATGATGACATGCTTTCGAACACCCAATTAGGGCGTATGCGGAGACAAACCCACTGGTTCTTTGGTGGCGGGCCAAAGCTTGAAGTAAGGCCATCAGAGCGGGCGCAAGGCTTGGTCAGAACTGAGGAATAGCATTGGATGTTAACCGAGGTGAAAGAGGCTGGATGTTCCAGTCTGATTCGTTTCATCCCCCTTGCACATTTTGATGCATGCCTCTCCCAGCATGAACAAGCATAGAGTGATGCACGTTTCAATTTGGAAGTCGGGAAGAGAGCAGCGGGTGAAATCCCTTCTCGCTGGGCCTCGGGCTGGGTAAGAAGAGTCGATCCAACAAACCTTGGGCGGTGTTTTAGGGGAGAAAGTCCACGCAGTCCGGGGCAATTGAAGCCGTCCAGGAAGTATGATTGCGGGGAATGAGACGATCTTCAGCTGTAAAGAGTAAAAGCGCCCCGACCCCAAAGCTAGTTCTGATCGGGTAATTATTAGTGCCTGGAGTTCTAGGTGTCAAACTGCATCTTGGGCTTTCATGGCTGGCCGTACCGCGCCTGACTGAACCGGTAAAGGAACCTCCAAATTTCCGCGTCGCGTTGAGGATTCGGTGTCTTTGCTTAGCATCCGGCGCCTGGTGACCGCTATCCAGGCTCTCTTACCTTTCAGTCTCGAGCTTCTAATCTGTCAATCAAAATCCTTAAATTCTTTGCGACAGATTCAGTGCTTGCGATCTCCTGCCATTGAGGCTCCCCAGTCAACATGGACGACCCGGCGAATCGTGTTCCCGCGCAGCTGGTAAGTTGAATCGTTCGAGATGGAAAGCGTCGGAATAGAGCTTGAGTGCTGATTCGGAGTCTTATTTAATCACTTTAGCTGCCGCATATGCACCTGGTGTCGCGGCAGCGCTACCCTCTGATGCATATGATGCCCACCGATACTGTTGTCGAATACCTGCTTGGCGCATCGAAGGTCGTGCGCGAACAGCAACCCATGCATTGGACCTTCCTAGATGCGCCCCAGGATGGCTCCGTTATGCTTACCTGGCAGCCACTCAACCAACTCGGAACCAATTTCGCCAGTGATGGATATGTCTGGGCCGACGTCGAACAAGCGTTTACCTTCGATTCTCGCGGCTACGTATGTCTCTCTCCTCTCCGAGCCCTGCCCTGCGGCTGGTCTCCGCGCAGGCAAACCGGCCACTGACACGGAAGGATAACAGACGGTCGAGATGTGGTTACACCGTAGTGGATATCACCCCCCGAACGAGTCCGTGGCGATCCATTGCCGTCGGCGGTATCGCCTGCTACCACCGAAGGTTCCCAACCCCAACCTACCTAATCCCGATCCCGCCTTGTGGATCGTTCACTACACGAGAGCGCCTCCCCAAGATCATATCCCTGCAAGCCGAATTCCTGTCATGCCTCAAGTGCAGAACATGCTAGCTCAGCGACGCTTCCTGCAGAGCCAAGGCCAACTTGCCCGCAAGGACTTCATGCTGCACGATCGGAACAATTGGCCAGCCATCAACTTCCCTCCGCATATGGCGCCTCAGGGCTTCCCGCAGATGCCTGGAGCGTATCCGAGCGCCATGGCCGGACGCCAGCCGTTCTATCCTCCACCCGGACCGGGCGTGCCGCCTCCCGCTGCTGCTCCGCCGGCAAAGGCCGCCCGCGGTCATCGCGCCTCCTCCACCGCTGTCACTGCTGCCACTGCCGATTTCGCCTTGGAAGATGAAGACGTTTCAGCTGGCGACACCATGGATCTACTCACACCCCGTGAAATCAGCAAAGTGCGCTATACGCAACATCATGAGTGGATGGAAGAGATCTTCGCCTCGCCCTATGCCATCCATCAAATCACACCTGTCTCTCTTGGTCTGGGCCGGAAAGGAGAACTCGAGTCGCTGACGGCTGGCTTCTTCGACGCGCCGGTTGGACCTCCCAATGGAGAAACGAAAGAAGCCCCCACCCCCTCGCAGGCTGAGAAGTTAGAACCCGCCAAGGCCGAGGAGTTCGCTGACCGGGTCGCCAAGAAGGTCGCTGACATGACGGCCGAGATTGAAAAGTTGAAAAAGCGCCATGCACGCCGAATGGAGAAATTCAACCGCACCTCTCTGCTCAAGGGCGCAGAACTCCGTCTCAGGGAAGCTGCGGCGGATCCTGCAGAGACCGGGTCGGAACCATGGAGATTGGAAGGTCGCGTTGTGGTTCCCTCAGAAGAGGATGACTCGCAAGCGCCGCATGTCGAAAACCAGGCCAAGTACAAAGTCGACGATATTGTGCGGGAAGTGGAGAAAGTGTGGAAACGGCAGATCGTACCGGAGCCCCGAGTTTCCTGCGTGCAGAAAGGTGGTCTGCTCGAGAAGATCGAACCGGAGCACAAGCCCGAGGCTCAACCAGAGGGTGATGTCGATATGGAAAATGCGGATAGCCACTTTTTGGACCAATTGGGCTCGCCAGGAAATGTTCCAGGGATCTCATCAACGATCCAGGACGCCGGACAGGCCGGACCATCACATGTCCCTAACCAGTCTGTTGCGCCTGGAGCTAGTGGAGTAACTTCACAACCGTCCCAAGCGGCAGCGAACATCCCTCATCAAGGCCCCTCTACCTCTTTGGATATTGAGATGGATATGGGCGACGTACAGCCTGCGAGTGCCGCCGGGGAGACTGGCGACTGGGTTATGGTCAATGATGAGAAGAAGGATCAGGCCGTACCTGGCGACAACTCTTTACCTGTTGTAGATACTCCCGGCAGCGGCCTACAAGGATTGACCCCCGGAAACGCAGGCAGTACCGGGGACAACGGTCTTGACGGAGCCAACTTTGATTTCACCAACATGGACAGCGCTGGCGACGCCCTCGCCGCCTACACCGAGCAAAATGACGGGCTCGACCTCCCCGATCTGGAGAATTCCGCCTTCGGAGACGCTTTCCACGCGTCCGATAATGAAAATACTCACCATCACGATGCGGACGACATGTCGTAAAGAGGGGTATCGGAGACGTCTTTGGTGGTTTCGGGAGTGCTTGGATGTCTGATAATGAATCGGTGTGGTGTTGTTGGTATGGTTTCCACCATTTGGCTTGGCGCTGGATCTGTTTTCTTTTTGTTGTCTTCTGCTTCTCAGCCCTATATCAGGTCAAGGGGAGAGGCGGAGACTAGTGTAGACATAGGATTAAGCCTTTCCGTCTGCTTCACTGTGAATCAATCTGGTGGCAGACTTCTGAATTTACCACTAATTCTTCTACCATCTCTATCTATCGTGATCACTACGACGGTGCTTCATAGAACTTGAGATGCATCTATCAACAACAAGTTTCCAGCTGCGATTCGAGATTGCTTTCCAATCACCAAAGAGTACTTTCCCGACAATATCAGCTGCTCGAGAGCATCATCTTTCAAATGAGAATCTAGACCTTGTGCCGGGCCCGACAGTCGTTTCCATGCAGGCAGCCCTATGCTCCTGTAACTAACGCCGCACACCAGTCACATCGCCCCATCACCAGCCGCCAACACTCAAGGTTATTTATCCTACCCGTCATTAAACTATGTCAAGCGATATAGACAACCGCTGTCCTCATTCCTTCTGAATCATTTGTGGTTGGGTTCCCCCATCACCGGGTCCGATCACCCGCATGGGGGGTCAAATGATCCCCGTTTCCGGATTGGTCTGAGGGGGCCGCAATAAAACAGTTCTACTACCTGCTACCCTCCCATACAAAACCTTTGGAAGCTATTTTTCTCGGGGTGACATTCAGGAACGTGCTTTGACCTCCTTCACTCGTCGGTCGTGTCACTAGTTTTGAAACGAAGGTCTGGATCTTGATTCTCCGGATTGATCCCATTCTTATACTTCGGATGTTGGCTGATTCGAGTATGCAGAATAAACCGAACAGCATTGCCGTCTTACGTTCGAGAGTACACCTACTATTGAGACACCGAGCGCGAGCTCAGAGATCAGAAACATCGCCGCATTACCGCTCCCGCTTCCTAGGGGACCACTACAATCGCACGATGTGTTTCACCGACTGCGACGACGACGTCTCAAGCGTGTGTATCAAAGAGTATAGGTGCAGCTCTCGTCGTCGTTGCGGCGACCACCACCGTCGCCGCCGCCGAGGTAGTGGTAGCTGCAGTGGGAGTAGCAGCAGCAGCAGCGACAGCAATGACAGCAGCGACAGTCCTACTGCTGGTGGCGGTCATGAAAACACCTGCAGCTGCAGCTGCAGCCCCGTCCGCCCTCCTCCCCGATGCTACTCGCCGCGCCGCTGTGCTGCGCCGCCACGGGGCTCCTACACCTCCATCCGCCGCAGTCGATGCCGCACCGTCGAGGAATCCTTGATCCCGATCCGGGTGGAAAGGCCCCCGCCGGCGCGGTGGGTGGATGTGCGTGCGTATCGGTGCGTCCCGGCCGTGGAGTGCTTTGAGATCCTGGAGCCGGAGGAGTGCCTCGTTAGGCGGAGGTGCGGTGGGGGGAGGGTTTGGGAGATGGAGACTGATGTGGATGTGGAGGTGGAGTATATTCCTGCTCGCTGTTAGGGAGAATTCGAGATGGTTGGGGTTGAGGTTGGTGTTTGTTTGGGCGTGTGATCTCGTCTTTGTTTCTGTTGTTGTTTCGCTGATGGCGTGCTTTTTCGTCTTGAGTTCGGAATGCTTTATTTCTGGGTTAAGATTGAGATGCTCTGGGAAGCTGAAAGGAAGGGGGGTCCGGGGGTTCTCCCCCGGGACTCTTATGGTATTCTGGCTTGGGGGTAGACAAGGGGAGAATGTGTTTGATGATTGACTTGGTTTATGCTTGTGCGCTGAATTGTTGTTTAGTTTCTCCGGATTGAGTTTGTGTGGTGATGTATGTCTGTATGGTATGTATGTATGTAGCTCGTGATCTACAATCACTGAATCAAGCAAGGATGGGACTATACTGGATCCTGCCGTGGCCACCACCACCCGATAAGCGCGGGAGATTTAGACTCGACGCCAATCCATGGTCAACGATGAACTGCAAGCGGACAATGACTTCAACAACTTCTTCACATCCGCCCATGCCCGCATGACGTCACGGTACGCCATCGAAGACTATCAGATCATTACAACACACAAAGTTCCCTCCATCGAGGTGGTCGTCGACAGTATCTCAGTTCAATTCCGTGTTTCAGATTGACAAGACTAAATACCACGAACGGTGGTTCTTGGATATTGAAGACTACCCGCCGAATACTTAGTGTTGGGGTTGGCATTGACCACTGCCCCTTATTGTTATTGTTGTTACTATTACTCTCGACTTTCAGGGAAGGTGCGATCTTACCTTGAAGTTACCTTGGACTTACATATTGTACTGCTGTTCTTGTACACTCCAACATTTGCACCTGCTCTCAATACAATCTGTGGTTTTGTGCTGTATAGCCATCGAAAACAAAGCGAATTCGCAACAGAGTAAAGTGTTACGGCAATCATGTATGCAAGCCAGATTCCAGCCTGATAGGCACTGCCCCAATAGCTGATCACACCCAGGAACCGCAACATGTCCATCCGCGGCCGGAGGAATTCGGTGCCCTCGCGGGCCCGATTCAGCTTCTCGACCCTGCGCGGCCACCAGCAGCCCGAGACGAGTCGGCGACTGAACCAGCTCATCAAGAACGAGAACACGGCCATCAGCGCCCATGAGAAAGCCGGCCGCGAGCGGGTCTCGATCGCCAACCAGCTGTCGGACTGGGGCGAGTGGACGGAGGACGACGCCGTCTCGGACATCACCGATAAACTGGCCGTCCTGATGGCCGAGATGGGCGAGCAGGAGGACAACTTCGCCCAGTACCTCGAGGAGTATCGCATCGTCCTGAAGCATATTCGGGACACGGAGAACTCGGTGCAGCCGTCGCGGGACCAGCGCGCCAAGATCGCGGATGAGATCCAGAAGCTGAAGTGGAAGGAGCCGCATAGTAACAAAATCAACATTCTGGAGCAGGAGCTCGTTAGAGCCGAGGCGCAGAATTTGGTGGCGGAGGCGCAGTTGACTAATGTGGTATGTTTTTCTCTAGCCTGTGTGGAGGTGTGAGAATGGACCGATGTTGACTGTAGCGCTTGTTGCCCGTGTAGACGAGGTCGAAGTTCAAGGAAGCATATGATATACATCTCGCGGCTGTCATCGAGCGGGGAGAGAAGCAGATTCTGCTCGCCCGTCATGCACGTCGTTTGCTCAACCACCTGGATGATACTCCTGTCGTGCCCGGGGATTCTCCTCACGAGTATGACCAAACTGCGGCCACGAGACAGGTCATTGAGGATGCGGAGAACGAACTTCGCGCGTGGGAGAGCAGCGCCGAGCCCATTCATTCTTCGGCTGGGGATGTCCCTGACAGCACGCTGCTGCCAAGGTCTGGCCGTAGGGTTCGTGACTCGCAAGGTGCCTATGCAGTCGAGACCACAGCCTCGGACTCTGTGCGAGACGTGAATGGTTCCGCCGAAGGATCATACGCTCACGGCACTGGGGCGAACGAATATGCCCGCGATACCCCAGCGGAGCCATATGTGGAGGGCAACGACCCTGGAGCGTACACTGATAGATCCCATCGGGAGTCATCTGCCAACGGCACTGATCATGAGCGCTACGTCGAGGGTGCGGGTTCTGAGCTGTATGCTGACAGCTCCGCGCCAGAGCCGACGGCCACCCGTGCTGAAGAAGAACACTACACCAACAGTGCAGCTCAAGACCCAGCCGTCCTCACTGGAACTGAGGCGCAGTCTAGTAATATGCCCGATATAGAAGATAAGTACACCGGCAAGAATGTCCTGGGACAGACTGCCAACGGGGCTGTTCCAGAGACCGTTAACAAGACCGGAGAAGAGCTGCCGCGGGCATCAGAGGACTTGCAGTCCTTCAATAATCCCCGTGGCTCAGAGGTGCCATATGTGTCAAGCCCTACCCCGGCGCATCCAATTGCTGTTCCGATTTGAGACCTGCCTGTTCTTGTTCGATTTTGGTTTTGGGCCTTGTATTTGTATGTCTTTATGTGTCGTTCTCGCTACGATGAAATAAATTAGGGGTTCAGGTCAGGTCACCGAACCAGGAGAAGGAAGATCTGAACATAGCTTGTGTTTAGTTAGTAGGGTATAGTTATCAATGCGATGTCTTGTCTTTGTGATGTTCCTGCTGTAGTGTAATGTCAGTGTCAGTGTCAGTGTCAGTGTAGAGGGTACTTGCACGTGACCCAGGCGGCAAGGCGTGACGCGGACGGAGGCAGCATTGGAGCTCCCCAGCAAGCAATCCGCCCTCAATCACCAAAGCTCCCGAGCTGCAACTTCCGCCTTCTCCATCTCTCTCTCTACCATCTCCACCCTTATCTTTCCACCTCTCGCTGTATTCTGTCTCCTCGTCCCATTCACTTGCCATACTAGACCCATTCATCAACTCTCGCACATTATGGATAAATTGGTCGCCCAATACACGCGGACGCCGCATCAGAATGAGTTCTACTCTGAGCAAGAACAGCGTGAGCTCACCGAGAGCCTTCCGCCGCTGTCCTTGAAGTTCAACCTCCCTCCAGTCGACGATGTGAGCCCATTCCCCAGTGGTTTCTGCGTGCTGCTCGGGCCTCAGTCTCCGTGGGTGTCAATCCGATATGCACTCGGACTCGCCGCCGCTGCCGTCGCCCGGACAGACACTCTGGATTGTCCTCCCCCATTAAGCCGTTCATATCAGCTAACCTGGAGCGTTGCTCTTCAATCTAGTCCAGAGCCTTCCTCCGCGCGATGACCGATGACCACTCGAACCCCAGCTGCCCCATCAAACTTGCCCACGGAACGACGACGCTGGCCTTCCGTTTCCAGGGCGGAATTGTATGCCGTCATCACCACCCTTTCCCCTACCTCCGTTGCTTAGACTGATGGTGTTCTACTTGCAAAGATCGTCGCGACCGATTCCCGAGCCACCGCTGGAAACTGGATCGCCAGTCAGACAGTGAAGAAGGTGATTCCTGTTTCGCGGCTGAGCCGCGGTGAAGATAAGAAGACGTCCGAGCCGACTCCTGGTCTTTTGGGTACCATGGCTGGAGGTGCTGCTGTATGTGCTTTCCCATAAGAGAGCTGGGGGTGCCGGTATTCGGAAATGAACGGAAATGCTGACGGGATATCCCCACATCCAGGACTGTCAATATTGGCTGCGATACTTGAGCCAGCAATGCACACTCCACGGCAAGTTTGCTCCCGCCCCAACGGGGCAACCTTGCACCCTCAACGATAAACTAACACCTTGGGTATTCCAGAAATCCGACACAAGCGCCGCATCACCGTGGCCGCCGCTTCGAAGATCCTCGCCAACCTGACATACGCCTACAAGGGAATGGGTCTGAGCATGGGAACGATGTTAGCCGGCGTACGTTTCCCCCCTGGTGTCTAGGCTTTCGAACTCATTGTCTAACACACTGCCAAAATAGATGACCCCCCAAGAAGGTCCCGCGCTCTACTACATCGACTCGGACGGCACCCGGCTGGCCGGCAACCTCTTCTGCGTGGGCTCCGGTCAGACCTTCGCCTACGGTGTTCTGGATGCCAACTACCGCTACGACCTGACCGAGTCCGAGGCCCTCGAGCTCGGCCGCAGAAGTATCCTGGCCGCCATGCACCGCGACGCCTACTCCGGTGGCTTCATTAACTTGTACCACGTCAAGGAGGAAGGCTGGATCCACCACGGCTTCGACGACATGAACCCCATTTTCTGGAAGACGAAGCTCGAGAAGGGCGAGTTCTCCAATGTCACGTCGGAGTTGTAAGGTTGACTTTTCTGTGACGTGACTCCTTTCCTGGTCCTTGGGGTCCAGGAGGGGTGTTCTCTCGGGTGACCGAGGGGAAAGGGGGTTATATTGTTTGTATGGTGGATACTACTTATGAAATGATCACTCGATACTCTTCTTACTTCCCTCCATACTAGTGGGTAAATTCATTGTAGACACGTACAATCTGAATTGTTTGGCCAGCAGCAGCATTAGAGTTTAGAAAAGCCAGGCTGAATGATCAGACTACATGCGCCTGTAGCATTGGAAGAGCATACAGACAGAACTAAATGACGGGGCCTACTCGAACTCCGAAATCACAAATCTGAATAAGAAAATCCGTATGAACAGCAGCAGCAGCAGCAGCAGAAATACGTACAAGTCCATACCACATGGCAATCAATACAAACATCTCTCCAAGACCAACACTAAATAAAAAGAAAAATTGCTGGAATACGCCCATCTATGACAAACACGACACAACAAAGAAGAACAGATCAATGCTTTTTGAGGACACACAATTGCGCTCTGCCTTGACTATGAGAAATCTTGCAGAAGGACAGCCAGACGGAACGTGTGCGGTGTCCTCGAATTCAAACCCGGGCTCAATTGTCGACCCAGAATTTCATGCGGATGCCCATAGCAGCGAGTTCGACGTCCAGGTAGCGAAGGACACCGGGGACAGCGACGACGGTGACGTTATCACCGCCGACGTAGCGGCGGCCGTCGCCATCCTCCCAGACGACAGCGCGGGAGTCATCGAAGACTGCTTCGCGGGCGCAGCGACGGCAGCGGACGAGGCCGGACATACCGCTGGGGCCGCTGGGGCCACCACTGCTGCTCTGGTTGGAGGCGGCCTTTGCGGCGGCGATGCGGGCCTTGCTGGAGCCGGCGGACGAGGCGACGACCTGGGTGGAGAGGAAGGAGCCGCAGTCGCGACAGATCCAGGAGCGGGTGGAGTCGGAGCAGTTCATCAGGCGGTCCTGCAGCAGGAAGGCGGCGCCGTGGGCGATCAGCGAGTCGCGCTCCATCTCACCGACACGGATACCGCCACCCTTGGCGCGGCCCTTGACCGGCTGGCCTGTCAGATTGTTCACCGGCCCCGTGGTGCGCACCTGGAACTTGTCGTTCACCATGTGACGCAGACGCTGGTAGTGCACCACGCCGATGAAGATGTCCGCTGCGAACTCCTTGCCTGTGATCCCGCTGTACAGTGGCTCATTGCCGAAGTAGTTGTATCCTGCCTTGCGGAGCTGGTGTCCGAAGTAGTCGACTGCTGTGTTCTCTTCGGAGAATTGGAACGGAGTGCTGTCCTGTGGGTGGCCGTGCAGGGCGCCGGCTTTGCCGGCCATTGACTCCACCATTTGGGCGATTGTCATACCTGCGATGATTGTCAGTTTGTGGTGAACGGAGGATGGGGGTTCCAAGAGGCTTACGGGAGGGGAAAGCGTGAGGGTTGATGATCAGGTCGGGCTGGATGCCGCTCTCGGAGAAGGGCATATCCACTGCCGGCCACAGCTGAGAGCAGACACCCTTCTGTCCGTGACGAGACGAGAACTTGTCACCGATGATGGGCTTTCTGGGGATGCGGTACTTGACACTGATGGATTGGCAGGGCTCGACACCGGACTCGGCGCCCAAGATGCGCACGCTGTCGATGTATCCCTCTTCCGCATCCTTGTACTTCACGAAATGGGTGACGCCGTCCACGTTGACATAGGAATCGGTGGCCGCGTCATACCGCACGTTGTGCCACGCTGCAACATAGCTGCCTTCCTTGACTCTGGCGCCGATGTGCGGCAGACCGTCCTCGTCGAGCGTTGCACGCCATTCAGCTTTGATCTGGTCACCGGGCGCGAAGCCGAAGAGCTTGGTGATCTCGCGTCTGGACTTGCCTCTGCGGGAGTCGTTCTCGTCGAGGCCGTGGACCTTGGTCTTGTAGATTGTACCGTGACCGAAACCACGCTCGTGAGAGGATTTGTTGATGATCATAGCGTCGTCCATGTCGTAACCGGTGTAGGAGATAATAGCAACAATGGCGTTCGTGCCGTTAGGGAAGTTGTCCAGACCGTAGGCGTTGTACAGCGGCGACCGCACGATCGGGGTCTGACCAGTCTGCAACCGGTAAAGCTTGTTGTCCGTACGGTAATCGATAGCAGTACCGGGCGTACCCATTGTCTGCTTGCTCATCTGACATTGGTACATGTTACGAGGGGACTGGTTCTGATCGGAGAAGGGCGTCATGTTGGCGACAATGGAAAGCATGTTGGTAGGAGTGAACTCAATGTGAGTGGAAACACCCGAAATGAGATCGTTGGGCATGCACGCAATTTCCATGAAGGGCTGTTCGAAGGGACCGACGTAGTCGAGCTTGCCAAGGGGCAGGTACTTGACGGGTCTGAACATTCTGGCGGCTTGCGAGAACATGTAGATACCCGGATACTGACCGCCAGTAGAGTTGGGAACATAACCGATCTCCAGCTCGAGAGGGATTCGGTCATCTCCTGCCACCTTCCAACGTCTCAGCGTGTTCGCAATGGCACCGGCCTGCTTCGGTGAGCAGTATCCGATAATACGACCATCCAACTGGACAGTCACGTTCTCCTCCACAGAAACTGACGACTCAGAACGAACACCCAGCTGCACCAATGCCTTGGGGACCTTTGATACGTCGACGTCGCTGGTAGCGATCAAACACTTGTGTGCAAGATGGTTAAGCAGACCACAAGGAGCTCCATCAGGAGTGTGTACGGGGCAGAAGAAACCCCAACTTTCAGGCAACAACTTACGAACCGTAGTGGTCTTCAGCTGGGCGAAGAAGCTACCTCTGTGAATCATGCGGAAGTGACTGATGAACCGGTAGAAGTTGATCTTTTCCGCCATAACGGTGTAACCGGACGCCTGCTGCAAATCGAGACCCGTGGGACTGACGAGGTTACCGGTAGAGAGGAAATATTCCAGAGCTCCTCCGATATTCTCGTTGGACCGCTTCACGATCTTGCTGAGGAAGTCTCTCTCGAAAGCGGAATCGGTGAACTTGGCTCCGCTATTCCGGTTGGACCAGTCTCTCAGGATTGGGCTGAAAGACCGCACCCACTCCTCAAGCCTTTCCTTGAGAAGCATTCCATAAAGGAAACCACCAAGAAGGATCTCTTGATTAGAAACCGCATCCGGGTTGTCCGGAGCGCAATCGCCGGCAACCAACGCGTAGAGCTTTCTGATCATGAACAGGAGCATCTTGAACTTGTCGTAATCCTGGGTTTCGGTGACATTGTGACAGCCCAGGTGGGGAAGGACAACCTTGCGAAGGAACTCTGTACCAGCATCCTCATTGGACATGTCGGCTGCTACGCCGAGAACGGGCTTGAACTTCTCTCCGAGATACGATCGACAGGCCGAACGACTGTGTTTGTTGTATGCCTTGTACGTCCGAAGCAACAGCTCCACACGATCCGTGATGAAAGTGTTCTTGATGCCCTCGGACGAGGCGTTACCGACGATTCCCTCGAAGATCTCGCGATCATTCGTCTCCACCAAAGCCTTGAGGATCATCATCACCGGGATGAGGTACTCGTTCTTTCTCCATGAGAAACGGAAGGTCAAGTTGCCGTCGGTCAGGTAGTGTAGGGAATTTGTTTGCGAGGTCTGATCTGGCCGCACGGATCGAATCTGGATACCGTATTTGGTGTAGGTGTGACCACGCTTGACGAAAGAACCACGGACGATCGCCATGGGGTAGTTTCGCTTTCCGACAACCAACATTCGGATGAGTTTCTCGTTTCCGTTGACGATGAAATAGCCTCCCAATTCCTCCGATTCTTCCTTGTGCTCGACAAGTTCGTGTGGGGTCGCCTTCTCCAAGTGGCATCGATTGGTCTGCCAGCGTGGTCAGTAACTCAGGGCCACCAGGAATACCCCCATTGCCCACTTACTCTCAGCATAATGGGAACCTGGCCCAATTCCCGGACCGACTCCATCCAGTCGCCATTGTTGACCTGCCACTCAATTCGAGCGCGCAGCTTTCCACGATACGTTGCATGTCTCTCTCGACATTCCGAGGGGTAGATATTGCGGTTGCGAGTCGCGAACTTGTTGGTGGGGGGAAGAGCTGGCTTCTCGAGGAAAACCTCACTGATCCGAACATTGAGCCGGTTCCGCCGGGGTGCCTTGCGACCCTCCGCAATGCGAACCTTCTTCTGCTCGGAGGTTTCGACATCCCCGTCCAGGAAGGTCTTGGTGCCGATGTCCTTCAAGGCCTCTTCCAGGGTCTTGGGGCCGTCGAAGAGCGCATTGAAAGAATCGACGTGCGGCCGGATGGAGGCGGCCAACGCAGGGTATGCGGTATGATCGGTAGGAGGGTTTCTGAACAGCTTCTCACGCTTCAGAACATCGTAGTTGACAGACCAATCGGTATCTGTCGCGGAGGGAGCCATGGTGAAGACACACACTGGCGCAGTGGAAGCGCTCTTTTACCCAGAAGACTGGAGTGAGACCCCAAGTTCAGTCTGAGAAACGGACGAAGCCTCATCCTCGTCCGACGGGGAAATTTTTCGAGGTGGATCCCGCGGACAGATATCATCACGTGCTGATAGCCATGCAGCTTTGGCGGTCTGACGGTCTGACGGCCTGACAGCCTGAGGCAGGAGTCACGAGGCAATCTCCGTTGACCGCCTGGCAATATTCCGATGCACATCACGGGACTCTTCGCATGGGACAGAGTTCTCGGAGGCCTTACCGCCTTACTAAGTAGGCAACTAGGCAAAGAGCGGGCGGGACTGGACCGGGCGGGCCTCCTTCAAAGCTCAATCAATCAATCAATCGCGGCGGCAGACCCATCCTCCGTCATTCTCAATTGTTTAGTAGTATGGAGTTTAGGGACTTATCACGTCGGGTCGAGGTCGAGGCTAAGTGGACGCCAGGCCGCCGGCGTTTCCCACTCTTATGCTGGTGGACGAGAATTCGCCTTCTGATTTTGAGACTGTGACTTTGTACAGTCAGTCTTAGTCCTGTTGGCTACGATATACGAACCCTGGCGGGAGAGTGAAAAGGGTGACGGACGATTGGCTGGTAGTTGCGAGTGCAGCAGTTCAATATCATCATTCTATTAATCTTGATGCTCCCGGGAATTGCCGTCTATTCCTGGGCTGGCTACATTTTTCAGCGCTGGGGACTTGGTTAGCCACTGACCAGCCTCCCTAACCGTATAGTATTTAGTCTTCCTACTACATGGGTGTAAGTTAGGTACAAGTATCTAGTTGGCTATAGCCTCTCAGTCCTCCACCGATCGACTGTTTTCAAAAGGAAAAATCTGCGACTGGAAGACAGGACGGCCATACCTTGACCTGACAGGGACCCGGCAGGACTAAGAGTCTAAGAGTGTAAGACTAGTAACTAGGTAGTAGTAGCAACTCCTCAGTAGGCGCTCCCCTCTCCCTCGTTTCGTTTCTTCCCAGCCGCGGCGGCGCAAGAGCGAACGGTCATGTGTGCACATACTTAGTAGTTTAGTTCCCATCAAAGCTACTAAACTACTGTACTTCATTTTCACCACAAAGCAGAAAAATCAAAAACCCGAAAACGAAAAAAAAGAAAGATACCAGAAGAAGAAAATATTCTTCTTGCTCCCCACCCTTCACTAGACACGCCTAGAGGGCTTGTCAAAATCCTGGAAACTTGCCGCCTCGATCGATGGTGGTTTGGCCTCTGGGAGTTTTACTTTTCTTCCTTTTTCCACCCTTTACAACAACAACAATCTGCCGCAGTCTTCAAGTCACCGGTTGCCCTCCTACGCCGCTTCTCACGTTTTCCTAACCGGTTGCTTGCAATTTACAATCTACAGTTCGTTTTTGTCCGCCGGGTCTGTTTCTTTTCCTTCTTTTCCCCTCGCTTCTGATGAGGACGGTCTTCCTCCCTTCAACCAGCGATCCCCACCCCACTCCCACTTTACAACATCCGTGTCCTTGGAAACTCGATATAATCGCCCACCCCGTCGTCGATCACCCACCAGCCAAGTCAAGCTGCAACTTCCCACCTGCTATTACCCACGCACGCAACTCCAAAGGTATTTCCGACCACCACTTTTCTGTTTAGCCTTCCCAACCTCAGTTTCCCAAAATGGCGGGTATCTTCCGAACGATCTATGACTGGCTCCTGAGGATGTTCTGGTAAGTGGGCCGTTGTTCCCCCCGTCTTGAAGTAAATCGTCCTCTTCTCCGGAACTGGTCCCTCCTTCGGCCCCGTCCACGCCGTCAGGGCATAGAATGGCTTGCTAAGATCAAACCGTATTTGATGACTTTGCAGGGCGACAGAGATGGATGTCACCATGATCGGACTCCAGAATGCAGGGAAGTCTTCCCTGTTGCGTGTACTTGCGGTATGCCTCGGCCCGTCATCATCCAGCCGGACTACCATCGTTTCTGAGCACGGTTGCTAATTCCATTCACAGGGGGGCGAGTTCACTGTAGAGTAAGTTCGATCGCGTTGGACCTGGTCCGACCGTGACGCGGAGTTATTCGATCACTAATGCGCAGTTGTAGTTCGATTCCCACCATCGGGTTTAACACAAAGCGTGTCCAGAAAGGACATGTGACTCTGAAGTGGTGGGTGCCTTGTCCAAGGATTGAGCTGTGGTGTAAGCTTGTGAAACGAACAGGTGACTGACGCGAATGCAGCTGGGATCTCGGAGGACAGCCGCGATTCCGACCGATGTGGGAGCGGTACTGCCGGGGCGTCAATGCGATCGTGTAAAGCCCTACCCTCCCCCATTCCTGGACGACAGTTTGGGATATTGAAGCCGCTGACTGGCGCATTAGTTACATCGTGGATGCAGCCGATCGCGCGGCCCTGCCCGTCGCCACCGAGGAGCTGCATGACCTGATGAAGAAGTCCGCGCTCGATGGGATCCCCCTGCTCGTGCTGGGGAACAAATCGGATCTCCCAAATAAGTTATCGGTCGATGATCTGATCGAAGCGATGGACCTAAAGTCCATTACCCACCGCGAGGTGAGCTGCTATGGTATCAGCGCGAAAGAAGAAACGAACCTCGATGCGGTCCTGCACTGGTTGATTGCCCGTGCCAGCCGCTAGATGTCAAATCCAAGGACGGCACCAGAGCGACTTGACCCAGTAGTCCCTGCCATCCTTTTATTCTTGGTCCCAGACACGAGATCAAGAACCGTAGACTGCAACCGTTGCGCGCGGCTCGCGGCCTCATTGTAACGATGTGAACGTTTTTGTGAGCCAGGCACATTGTCCCATTTGTTAACGAAGCCTTCTGTTTCATGGTTGTCGCATTGGAGTTATTCGCTCATGTCTTGCATGTATTTTATCATATCAACGGAGGCAGATCATCAATCGAGAAGATTGGCGCCATGACCGGTTCATCAGAAGACTAGACAAGTGAATTCGAAGTGTTGATGTGTAGGAATTAGCAGAAGTCTAAAGTGTGATCGGGCTACCGGAGGAGAAAAATTGGCAGAAATGGGGTCCATGAAGGAAAACTCGAGCCTGGACCCTGAATCGAGGGCATGGCCCTCTCTTTATTCAAGAGAATTAGACTACTCGTGAATGGGTTCGCCCATGGGGTGGGGAGAAGGGGAAAGAAAGAAGAAACAGGCAAACCCAAAAGGGCCACACACAGACCAAGTGATGCGTTGGCAATGCAGATGCGAAGACGGGAACTAAACCCAGCCCTTCGTCTTCCCATGGCGAATCCAGCAAATCCCAGCCCCGCCAGCAGGGCTCAGCGAAGGTTCAGGGCGTTCTGGGGTTCAAAACACCTCCTCGAGTTTCTCTCACTCTGTGCTGTGCTGGCTGTCATAGGCAGGGAGGGTATTTAAGCGTACTGGGGACTGGCTGCAGGCTTCTTTCTCTATGTGTTGGCCCTAATCGTCGTGGTGGGCGGATAGGCACCCGAGTCACTTTTCATATGCCTACTATACTGTATTGTACCGTCCATTGCTTTGGTCGCGATCGAGAGATCTGTGGTCTGATGGAAGCTTGTAGATCCTATGCTGGAGGATTCGAGAATTTTGGGGGGAAACCCACCCGGGACTGCTTTTATGCCCCGGGATTAGTTGTAGATCCGGTCTCTTGTGCCGACAAGGATGATCTACTTTCGGCCCTCGTTGGTAGTATCCTTGAGATGGTAGTAACTGTAGTTCTGTACTGTCTCTGAACCCAACTCACTGACCTAGACTGACATGCATAAAAGCTTTTCCCTTAGTATGGCGTAGACTATACGAGTACGACGGTTGCCGTGCGCCGTTATTTTGCTGGTCTGGGGAGGAAATGATATCATGCCGAGACAACACAGCCACAACCTGTCGTATCTCGGTCTGATGGGGCTAATTATCGACAACAGCTCAGTACTAAGCTGAGTAGATTTGCGTATTATAGTTCAAGCGGTCAACTACTATTGCATGACTGCGGATGCTGACTTGGTTGTCAAACCCGGGCCGACCGCCGAGGTTGTTGTTGGTTGGCCCCCAAAGGAGGGTTACGCTTCCAGCAATCTTCAAGCAGGCACCGAAATTGATATCAAATGGGGAGGAAGAATGGCAAGGAGCAAGAATTGAACTGCAAGACTAGTCTAGGGATGGGTCTCAGATTGTTATTCGGTATGTATGCACCTATTTTATAGTCGTGATCTCCACATGAGGTGATCATGTTCGGTGAAACCACCCGACATACAACAATGGCCTGAATCGACTTTCATAGCCGTTGTATGCACGGATCATAGAAAAGGACCGAGGCTGTACGACACTGTGGAGAAGAAATACTACGTAGGTTGACCCTTCTTTACCCTTACATTTTTTTCCATTTTATCTTTGCTGATGGTAAGTAATCATGATGATATGAAGGTGACTTCATGACTGAAATCTCTCTCTCTCTCTCTCTCTCTCTCTCATTGTTTCTGATGCAATGAGTCAATTGCCGGCCGATTATGCAACCATTAAATCTCTGACTTACTCATGTATCGATCCGGCAAGGTCAAGAAGAATAGTCCGTTAATTACAGTGCTAAAAAGCCCAGCCATGCTGGAAAAGCAGAGCCACTGCGCAGCCCTACCCTGACCCGACAAACCCCCATTACCCAATCGTCCCGCCCCGTCCCCATAATAATTAACTTAGCCGTGCAGTGCCTTTCATTATTCATTATTCAGTTTGGCTGCTGCCTTCTGGCACCGCCCCAAAGAAGAACTTCTTCACTCACTCACTCTCAGTCTTCTCTCTCTCTCTCTCCTTACATTGTTCCTGGCCGAGTTCTTTGCTTGCCAAACCAGGTCTCATCGATCTCTCTGATTCGATCTCATTCAATTTTCACATATCACCCACCTTTCTTGACTTGCTTGTCCCCCCGTTTCAGCAGTCTTTCTGCACCCGTGGATCGACGTCATCCCCCGTCGCCTCCCAAGCCTCGCATAGAGAAGAGATTCAGCCACCATGGGTATTCTGCTACCTCGAGATTGGTATGTATATACCCTGCGCACTGTGGTATCTGCTTCGTTCGCCTATCGTACAGACCTCACCCTAGAATTGTTTGAAAGCTAACAGGCTTGCAGCCGTCAGACGTACTTGGATGGCTATGTCTGCGATGGCAATAGCTGGTATGACTGGGGTCGATGGATCGCCTTCGCGGTGATTGTTGGAGTAGCCTTACTTGTCTTCTTCCTTTTCGCGTATGCTTCCTCTCCCATCGCGTGCAAGTACAAAGCCGAGGGCTAACTTTTTTGGACAGTTGCTTCAACGCTCGCCGTCGGCGCAGACAAGGCCTTCGCCCTCATCCGGGCACCGCATGGCTCGCAGGCCCTCCCCCGACCTTCCAGCAATCACAGCAACAGCAACAGCCTGGACAACCGTACTACGCAGACCCCTACTATCAACCTGCACCGCCGCCGCAATACTCCCCTCATCCTCAATACGGCTACTTTGGAGGCCAGCAGCAAACGGGCATCGAGCTGCAAACGCCACAGAATGCCTACCACAACGGTGGCGACCGCGTATATCAACCACCACCGGGACCTCCTCCGGCTTCCAAGGTCTAAACACGGGCTTTGGCTTCCAACGAAATGAATAAGATGTCTGTTTCTCAAGGACTTCCTTGATCGACCACTGTTCTAATCGCCCAGTCGGCTTGCTCCCAGCCCGCCACTGAGATATGTCGCCCTCCACCCTCTCCAGCCATGCGACTGGGGAAGAGGTTGTGACGAGGGAATGTGTGACGGGACTTATGAGTTTCTTTTCTTTCGTGTCGTATCTCCTACTCGTATTCTAATGACTTCGTCGGGGTGTTGCTATGTGTTTTCCTTTTGATCTTCTTCCGTGTTATTTTTGGGAGCCTGGCTTGCATGATGTTTCGATACCTTCCATTGCACCTATTTTATTTTTACTGTGTCATGTCGCACTGTTCAAACCAGCGGCCTGTCTCTTACACGGATGTGAATTCTTCTCTAATGCATATAAATGAACTCCTAAGAGACAAGTATGAGTATGTCGCTCGATGGACCCGAATCAAATTAAGATAGCCCTGTTCCCATCTGCCAATGTTGCTCATCTCGACCATTTTTAGGAACTCGTTGGAGGGAGCCTTGGAGGGAGAGACAAGGTTAGGCAGCCGAGTTTTGCCCTGTTCGCTTTGCTTCTTGGCCTGTCCGCGGGCGGCGTCCGACCAGACCTCCCTCCCTCAGTCACTCACCCAATCTACTTTACTCCGAGTCCGAGGAGATTCGATGGAGAGACAGGCACTCGAGACAATTCACTCCAGATAGTGGGCTGTAATGCGCTTTTGAAGTTAGCAGTCTATGTCACGGAGGTTTGGTGGGCCCTGCGACTGCCAATGAGGCGTTTCACTGCTGTTTCGATCGACAATGGGTGGAGTGCGACCGAGAAGGAGGAAACGGACAGTTTCAGGTCTTACTCTAGTAGACTAGGTAGGGTTCGAAACAGATTAACTCTTGCTATCAACTTAGTAGTAAACTCAACTCATGACTCTGGAGTAGACTAAGGGTTATTCTAGGGGTGTCGTATCGTATCCGTACCTGACTCTCAGATTCTTTAAGCACAGCCGTAGAGATGGGGCTTGCAAAATACGAGATGTTTGATCGCGGGTTAACCTAGCCTTTGAATGAATGGGCTGCTCCTCCTCCTCCTCCTCCTCCACATCCAACGCCGATCTCTGGCGACTTCTCCTTCGCTTTCGTTCTTCACTACAACCACAACCACACCCTTCCCCCCCCCCCCCTTCTTTCTTCTCCTCCCCTTCTTTTGACCTTCTACTCAACTACTCTAGTCGTTCAGGGACTCCCTGACGGCGCCTCTCGTTTTTTACAAATCCCTGTTTTCCAGCCGCGGGAGGGGACTTATATGCCCTGCTGGTGCCTGAAAGTCTGCATATGATTGATTGTTTAAACCCCCCTGGAGGCGGTGCTCGGGCTCTTGAGCGCACAATCTTCACAACAAAGATCATTATTCATTCCCTCAATCTTTAACTATTACTTAGTTGATTCTGGTCCATTCGACGTGAGAACATATACCTTCGTCTAACTAAGCCGCCCTAGCACGCGTCGTTCGATTTTACCTTGCGCAAACTCGACAGGGCGCAAAGACGAGAAACTCAGGCCACTCATTGCATTCAGACCGAGTTTTTGGATGGATACACGAACAACACATACATTCATTCTATATTCGCGCATTATCGCCGTCTCTGATCCCAAATCGCTTCCGAAATATTTCGCACGATCGCTCTTCAGGTCGACTCCGCTCCTTTCGCTATCATAACGTCGCAAAGTACATTACATGATCGCGCACAACGTGTCCGGAACACGCACACAAACAGGTTCTATAACTCTGAACGACTACATTCGTTTAAATCCGGTCTCGGATCAACAGTGGGGTTCTTGGGAAACTAGCGCCAAGGTAGTAACACACGGATTGCCAGGGCTATAATGAGTCCGGTGGATAGAGTCCCCGCCCCATTGTGGGCGCGGGATATAGTCAGCGACCTCAAGTCTGCGTCCTCCACGTTCTCGAGTTGGGATAGCTGCATGTCGAAGGCTTACTGCAAGTATGTTACTTGATTTGACCCCGGATTTGTTGTCGCTTTTTTGAGAATTAACTTTGTTTGCAGGTGGCCTGTCATCGCGGCTATTATCGTCGGCGCGCTCATCCTTCTGTCCATCATCGCATGTGTGGTCAACTGTCTCTGTTGCGGCATCCAGTGCTGCACAGGATGCTGCGGATGTTGCTCCATGTGCTGTCCGTCGCCTCGAAACAGGCAACGCAAGGCCCAGTACTCGGATGATCCGTACCCACCCCCGGAAATGCCAGGGGCGATGCCGCCGTCCATGCCGGTGAACACGCCGTATCAGCCTCTACAGCAACCACCTGTGTATCGTGGAGCGGAAGTCGCTCGGTTTGATGCGCCAACGAGCCCTGTAGGCTCGAAATTTCACGATGATGCATTACCTGCCATGCCTAGCTGGGATAATGCTGTGACGAAGAGGGTTGAAGATACCGGGCCCCATGTTGAAACGGTCGAATTGGAGGCCATGGACCATGTCAGTCGCGAGCCTCGGCGGATGCCTTCTGCGCCTAGGATGAATCCAGGTGGAATGGGGGGAGCAGGCTATTCGGGCCCTCCGCCTGTCAGGTCTAATACACCTGGGCAATATCCCGCTAGGACCGGTACCTCCGGCCAGTACCCCGCCAGAACTGGCATCCCTAGCCAATATCCAGACAGGACCGGTACGCCTGGTCACCACCTCGACAGAACCGGCACTCCGGGCCACTATGCCGAGCCTCACAATTACAACGCACAGTCTTCGTATGGCTACGATACCCAGAACACATATGGATACAATCACAATGGTCCTAGATCGCCACCTCCGGTTTCACCGTACGACGAGCAGCCCTACAATCATGACTTTCCTCACGAAGATCGGTACATGTCACCAGCTCCGACCTACACCACCCAACCGGCTTTTGCAGCAGCGGAGCATTCGCAACCTCATTACATGCCATCGGAGACCCCGCTTCCACCATATATGCCGATGGACCGAACACGCTCGCCAGGCCCGACTCTCTCGTCGGCTATGAATGCTCCTCGGCCCATGCCATACCGCCAACCATCTCCGGCAATCGGCCAATATACAGCTTACCCGGGAGTTTCTCCGGTCACCCCGACCTCACCACCGCCTTTCGCTGCCGCGCCGGCTCCTCATGAAGCTAGTGACCCAGGCAGGCCCCCAAGTCTCTTGCAAAGTGGACGGAGGCCGGTGCCCAATTCTTACAGGGACGTTTAAACTTTCGTTGATCATGTCACTCTCGAGGCCGCGTGTGCACCACCGATTTGACACCTCATCACCGCGTCTCTCATGACCTGAAGCAACTCAAGTCACACTCATTTGGCGCTGGGGTAGAAGCTACCATGAGTTTGAATGTCTTTAAACAAGCTCATTATGCCATACCCAGCGCAAACCCCTACCCCTCGGAAGTCCTTTCTTCAAGGCACAAAGCCTAGACGAGCAGTCAGGGCTGCACCCGGAGCGGAATAGGTAGCTATATTCTGCTCATTTCTTTGTAGCCTTCTTCGGTCATTGTGGAGAGCTATCACGCCCAACACAGACCCGAACCTCCTACCCATGCATGACCTTGTATATATACCTTTTGTATAATACTTGGTCCGGTATGACCCCTGACAAAACTCTTGCATGATGTATGTTTGATATCTTTTGGTTATGATTGAGAATATGATGACTTGTATGGTTGATTATTGTGGACTTATTTGGCTGGATGCTGTTTCTTCTGGCTTGCATGGTTTACTGGGTAGAAGGTAAGCTGCAGCAAAGCAGGGCTATACAACGACTGTACTCTCTTTGCTACCATGCTCTCATTGTATATGTGTAAGCAGGACTGTACAGCAGTCACTCATATACTGACCTCGACGTACCCTTTCAAATCAGATCACCACTCCACTACCGGACCCTAGCCACCAAGCTACCTCCTACACCCAAGACACAGTAATTAGGTAATTCTGTAAACCAATAGTCTACATGACCCATGAGCCACGAATCCCTAGGCAGTGATACTAAAAATACAAACCATCTGCGACGCGTGTACTTTATCCAACGCCACGCAGATGATATACTATAGTTGATACAACCAGATGCATTCTCTTCAGAATCCAGAATCAGAACTCAATCGGCCTCAAGCCAGCTTCTTCAGACGGAGGTCTTTTGATATGGATTGTGGGCCGTTCACAACGTGAAATCAAATTCCTTAAACGCCTCCTTAAATGCCACCGCATCCGCCTCCTCCTGCGCCTGCGACTGCACGTCCTTCCGCCAGTCAATGCGCTTCTCCAGCCCCATCAACTTGGCCATCACGCGGCGACCGAACTGGAGGTCGAACCGGAATTCAGGGCCGAGAGGGAGGAGGAGGGTTTTTTCTTGTCCTGTTTGCCCCGTGGTAGGTTCCTGGGGCTTGGGTTCTGGATGCTGCTCACTGCCGCCCTCCCCTTCCCCCTCCACTGGAGGAGATTCGGCAGAGGCGGCGGGAGGATCCCACACCCAAACTCGGAAGAAATCGCCGCGTTCGCTACTGGGGTCTGCATGGTCATCTGATGATGTTGAGGCAGCTTCAACGAAACGCGGATACTTCAAGTTCTCAGCTTCGACCTTGAAGGCCGCTTCCACGAGACCCCGTTTGACCAGGTCAGCAGGCACAGGCAGGAACTGCCAGTGCACGTGGATGCCGTTCGCGCGACTCACTTCCCAAGTGACGGCGCCGAGGCGGCCGGCGGCGCGGCGGTTCAGCATTGTCTGTAGCGCGCTGCGATAGCGATTCATCTCGGTGAAGGTTGCGTGGCGGGTTGAGTCGTCGGCGATGGAGGCTAGTGTCGGGGTGTGCGTGAACGGGATGATCAGCATGTGGGTTGGGAAATTGAGGGTGTAGGGTTCGAAGGTCTGGGCCGTTGGTAGTGGGCCCTTGGCGGTTGTGAGGTAGGATTCTTCGCCGATGGAGGTGATCAGGTGTGTTGCGATGTTCGGGTTGCTGAGGCAGAAGAAGCATTGTTCTGGGCCGGGGGGTGCGTGGGTATTGCGGGCGCGTTTGCGGGGGCGGTGCTCGTGATCGTTTTGGTCCGGGGCTGCGAAGCGTTGGTAGCTTGTTTGTTGGTTGGGTAGGGGTTTGCGTTTCAGCGTTGATGGCGGTGGGAATGGGCTTGCTGTTGTGCCGGCTGGGATGCTGAGGGGTGCGGGGGCCTTTGGGTCCAGTGTGAAGGCGTACATCCATTTTTGCTTGGTCTTGTTGGTGTAGGAGGCTAGGCTGATGAAGCGCGTCAGCGGTTTCGCGTCGGGGTCGTCTTCCGTCGGGAGGTGGAAGAAGGGTTCGCGCTCGTAGAAGAAGCTTGGCGTTGAGGAGAGGTGGTAGCGTGGTTTGAGCGTCGCGCAAAGATCTGCTACGCTTTGCACTTCTTCCGGCGTTGTGGCCGGTGTTAGGTCCTCCGGGAATGCCGCCTTCGAGCCTGTTCGGATCCCCTTCGGCCATTGCTGCGTCAGGAGGATGTCTGCCGCGTGTGCCCCGTGCAGAGCGCGCGCCTCGGACTCGCTGTAGCGAGGCTGGTACTTGTCTGCGGTTTGGTTGCTGCTGCTGTTGGTCTCGAGCTTGCCGCCTAGCGATACGATGCGCACGCCCTCGGCTGTCTTTAATGTGCCGCGTCGGCCCAGGAAGTACAGGTTTGGGCACACTTCGTCGTTGGCCTCGATGGCCTCGATCACCCTCGTCGGCAGTGGTCGACTGCCCAGGGAGAAGTACGTCGGGAGCGGCACGGCGATGGCTCCTGAGAGTAGGGCTGATATCTGCTCTAGTTCATGCTCCGTCGAGCAGTCGCCGAAGAGGTCTCCGACGATGATCGCGAATGAGAAATTCTGTTTCACGTGTAGCTTTGCGAGCTTGGTGAAGACGTCGCGTAGCTCGCAGTCGACGCCTCCGATCACCACTCTGAGAATTGTGTTAGTGGGTGTTTGACACACTGGTCGGCGCACTCACATCTTCGAAGCCATGTTTCGATTCGTTACTATGATGCAAGAATCGACTCCGGCGCAATGGAGTCGCAATGGACTCGGGTTCGATGGTCTTCAGCCTGATGAGATCCTTGAATTAGACGGTTGTGTTTGCAGGAGTGTCTCGGTTCTGCTTCAGTTCCAATGCTTCAATGTGTCAACAGGCTATTTTCATGGAATACAGTAGATCGAGAACTGAACCTAACGTTGGTGAATCCAAAAATGGATGCCGGAGCTCGGACCCACTGCGGCCCACGTGATAAGCCAGCAGTTAAACCCCGGCGCTAATCAGCCTAATCTCCGCACCGGATCAAAGGTTGTGGCGGCGCCGATGAATTTTTTTGTCTATACGGCAAGAAGACCGCTGATTGACCAGTCCCACATCTCATTATTCACATCTTATTCCATAGCGGCGCTGCTGTTTCTCGTCGCCATCACACATCAGGATGGTAGCAGCGTCGTCAACTTCGCGGTCTAAGCCCGTGAAGCGGGTCAAGGGAGGAACAGAGACCACCAAGTCGCATCGATTCGAACCGTTTTCGCAGCGCGTCGCAAAGCTCAAGATCGACCCCATTCACCGCGTGCGCCGCCCCAGCTTTGGCGAAGAAGGCGATGAAACCTCCTCTTACTTTCGGTCGGCCTTCGACCACTGGGTCGAACTGAACCTCTCCGAAAATTTCGTACAGTTCGCCCGCCGAGTCAACCCGCTGTGCGAGAGTCTGGCGCAGATCCTGTACCATGAGGACAAGATTATGAACCTGCTGGTGGAATTCATCGAGAAGAGGGATCAGTTATCGATAGAGCCGCTTCTGGGTCTGCTTGCCCAGTTCGCGCGTGATTTGGGCGTCCGGTTCGAGAAGCACTTCGCCACGGCGGTTACCCTCATCGCATCCGTTGCTGCCACACATACCGATGTCGAGGTCGTTGAATGGAGCTTCAGCTGCCTGGCATGGATCTTCAAGTTTCTTTCCCGGCTCTTGGTCCCGGACCTCAGACAGCTGCTAGGTATCATGACTCCTTATCTCGGCAAAGAACGACAGAAGACGCATGTCGCTCGATTCGCCGCAGAGTCCATGTCTTTCCTTATCCGAAAGGCGGGCTTGGTCTATTACAAGAACACCACGCCCCTACAACGTGCGGTATCATTTTTGCTGCAAGATTTGCGCCAGGCAGCCGGAGACGACAAGAATGTCGACACTTACAAGGATGGACTTATGGCCATGTTCTCCGACGCCATCAAGGGTGTCAAGAATGGCCTCCACTCCAACGGAACAGATATCTTGGTTTGCATTCTGGAAAATATCTGCACTGGAGATGACCTTCAGAGTAGCCTGGCGCTAGACGTCACTTGCGGATTGCTCATCAACATAATGCATAATACGACAGCCGAAACTTATGAACCCCTCTTGGACACCATCCGCTCATACATCGAGTCATCGTGCGCAAAGACCGACAAGCAACATGCGAATGCATGCTGTCGACTGATCTTCCAATGCATTGCCACTCGCAAAGGTTCCCGAGTGAAGCACTGGAAGCCTGTGCACAACATTCTACTGCGCTTGTTGAAAAAGGCCGCAGATGCGCCTGGAGCATATGCCGAAGCCGCTCCGCAGCTCCTGACGGCTGTCGCTTATGCACTCCAAGTCTCGCCCATGGATGAGATGCTGCCGTACATGCGCTCACTTATGGATGCCGTGACCAACGACAAACTATCGTCTTTCTTCTTGCCGTTCTGTGCTACTTTCTCGGAGTGGGGTCCGGAGAGATTCCATAGCGTGGTCCTGCCTTACTTCCAGAAATTCGTCAATACCTTGTGGCAGGAGCATGAACACGAGCTCTGCCTTGCCTTATTACGATTGAATCAGGCCGGTTGTATCACGTCGGAAGCCTCGAAGCCCGGGTACATCACCTGCCCTGCATCATGGAAATCCCGCGTCAAGGATACGCTGAGCAAGCCCACCCACAGCGCTACCGAATTAACTCTCGTCAACGCCTATTCCAAACTCCCAAACGCCATGTCCTTGTCCACAGAACCGTCTTTGTTGCCTGATATTGTTGAGGCCTTGCACGGCCATCTGCTTCGCACCCTGAGGAAGAACAAGAAGAACGCTGATACGTCTGCGTCTACCAATTTCTACCTGGGTCAGGGCTTCAAGGCATATGTTGAGCTTGCTTTACAGTCTGAGAACCTCGACCGCTCTCTTTGGGATCAGATCAGTGCGGTCGCCGCGAAATACTCTCGCCTTCCAGTCTTCCTCGAAGCGACGTTAGCCTACATCTCGGCACTAAATGAGGACTTCGACATCAAAAGCCCGACGGTGGAGGAGTTCGCCGAAGTGCTTATCACTAACCTCAATGGACCTTCTCAGAATCTCAGGTTGTTGTCATTGAAGATATTGCGGGAATTGATTCAGGCTTCGGGCGACGATACCGAGCTGATCTCGGTGGCTATTGAGATTGAGGAGAGTCCTTTAACCCTTCATAGTCATAGAGTCCTGGCAATGCAAGTGCGTAAGCTTGCCATAGCTTACCCACAAGTTGTTCCCCGCAGATGGATGGCTAGGTTGATCCCATACTTCTGCTTCGGTCTCTTTTCTAAGAAAATGACTCCGTTGTGGGACGACTCTGCGGCAGCCTTGAAAACAATGAGCGAGCACCCTGAGGGAGAGAAGATTGTTTCAGATCTCGCCATGAAATGGCTCCTCGAGCGAGGCTCATTCGATGCGAGTACAGAGGGAGCAGAGGAAGAAAGCCCTTACTATCGGTCAGGCTATTTCCAGTGCTTCAACGCGGCCAAAATTCAAGACATATCCGCTAAATACTTTGAAGGGCCTGAGCAGCCCGATTCTATGTTGGAGGATGAATACAACAAAGATCACACTTTCACGGATGCACTCCCAGCTTCTCCCCGGACCCATGCTTTGCGTGTCCTGAATGCCGTCCCGAATATCGCAGAGAAGCGTTTCCGCCAAATTGCGCCTTTGTTCCTTCAGTGGGCTTCGCGCGATGACGACGAAAACCCCTCAGATGAAGGTTTCATCCCTTGGGGATTCCTTGATCGTCTGGCCTTCCTCAGGCTTCTGGGTCAATTCCTTAATCCTCGTGTTCTATACAGGGCTCCTGAGATCCATGACGCGCTTATGGGCTTGTTATGCCACGGTAACTCTGACATCCAGAAATCCGCGCTCAAAGCTCTCTTTACTTGGAAGTCACCGAGTATCAATCCTTACCAAGAAAACCTGATGAATATCATGGATGAAAACCGCTTTAGGGATGAGCTTTCTGTTTTCGTCCGTGTCGGCGGTGAAGACAGCCTGATTGAGGAAGCGCACCGACCCGATCTCGTCCCTGTTCTCCTCCGTGTGCTGTATGGTCGTATGATTTCAAAGGCCAGCGCGAGCGCCGGGCAAGCAAGTCAAACAGGAAGGAGAAAGGCCATTCTGAGAACCTTGTCACAGCTACCTGACAAGGAGTTTGAGGTCTTTATGCAAGTCTCATTCGGACCACTTGGTGATGTCAGTGTTGTTCGCGATGGCCAAGCCGATGAGCAGGCTTTCGAGCAAGCCCTTGCGAGTCCGAGAAAACAAATGGGTCTTCTGAAGATGATTGAGACTGTTTTCGATACGCTTCAAAACCGAATGGTCCCTTACGCTGAGAGATCCATGAACGTAGTACTGTACTGTCTCGTCCGGGCATGTCGAGAACTAGAGAAACAGCACACGACAGCAGATGCAGACTCGCAAGAAGGACGACAGCTCACAGTGCTGCGCAATATTCGCTATACGTGTATTCGCTGTCTTGACCTCATCTTCTCCATCACTCTCGATGTTGACTGGTCGTCTTACGTCCGCATCATTTTCGATGAAGTAATTAATCCAAGATTGGAAGACTTCGCGATTGAAACTGCGCAAGGTGTGTCTGGTCTTCTCAAAATCTTCCACACTTGGGCTACTGCACCGAAATCGTCATTTTATCTCGCCAAGTTCAACGATGCCCTTTTGACGAAGGTGGTGGATTGTCTTGGTGTCGACTCCGCACGCGATGAAGTGAAGGTCTTTGTAATGGACGAGGTATTGAACCCTCTTATCGGTCTGGCTACCGGAAAGACGCTTCAGGAAAACGAGATCATGAGCGATATCCCCGCGGACGAAATCAGATCCCAGGTCTTGAGTCCTTATATTGAGCATACTCTGTCTCACCTGACTTCACTCTTGAAGCGTGGCCCCTCTCGTCCGTTGCTCGTTTCGGGAGTCCAAACTCTTTCCCTCATCTCGCCTTGTGTTGAATCTTCCAAGGAAACATCCAGCCTCATCAGCATTACTACCTATCTACTCCGCCAGCCCCCCGACAGAGTCTCCCCCAAAACCAAATCTGGCTTGCTGCGTTCCTTGGAGCATTTCCTGCCATTGTACAACCACCAGGAAGATGCTGAGCTCACTACAGGCGTATTTGAAGCCATCTCGTCGCTCTTTGATTATTTCAGAGATAATGCGAACAGAGAAGTGTTATCTAGGGTCTTCACAGCGTTTGCCACCCACGATCCGGAGCTCACCAAGGTCGCCAGTCTCTGTGAAGACCTGAACTCTATCTCTACAAAGAAGCTGGAAGTTGACTACGAACGCCGACTGCAAGCTTTCAGGGAAGTCAACGAGGATCTGTGGGACAAGCTGGATGCTAAGCAGTGGCGCCCTCTGCTCTACAACATGCTGTATCAAGTCAAAGACGAGGAAGAACTCGCGATCAGATCGAGCGCTTCTTTTGGACTAAGACGATTCATGGAACGAGCCATTCTTCCCAGCGATAAGGACGAAATCGAATCGCTTGTGACGGACATCTTGTTCCCTGCTTTGCAGGCCGGTGTTCGCCAGAAGTCAGAGCTCATCCGCGCGGAGTTTGTGTCTGCACTCGGCTACTTCATCAAGCTGAACCCAGAGCGTCCGACCGTGAAGGACATGCATGTCTTGCTCGTGGGTGACGACGAAGAAGCCTCCTTCTTCAACAATGTACTGCATATTCAACAGCATCGTCGTTTGCGTGCGCTACGCCGTCTGGCGAGCGAAGCAGCCAATGGCAAACTCCAGGCGTCCAACATCAGCACCATCTTCATTCCTCTCAATGAACACTTTGTGTTTGATGAAGAGGCTGACGAGACCGCTCACAATTTGGTTGCGGAGGCTGTGAATACCATCGGCACTCTTGCAGAATCCTTGGAATGGAGCCAGTTCCGCGCCATCTTCCGGAGGTATCGCGGTTATATGCAAAGCAAGTCCGAGATGGAGAAGAGCATTTTGAGACTTTTGGGCAAGATGTCTGACTCGTTGACCAATGCAATGAACCAGTATAAGGCCATCAAGGAAGCAGCTCAAAGTGGAATGGACGGTCTCGAGACTTCGGAACCGACCTCCACCCTTGCTCGAACCCTCCCCTCGCCTGCAAAGGTTGCCACTGAGCTTACCACCAACTTTATCCCGCAGTTGACCACTTTCATCCACCACAAGGATGAGGCGCAGATGAGTCTACGTTTGCCAGCTGCGATCACGACAATCAAGTTACTCAAGTTGCTGCCCGAGGAGGATATGGCTATTCGCTTGCCTCCAGTGCTTCTCGATGTGTGCAGTATCCTCAAGAGTAAGGCCCAAGACTCGCGTGATACTGCTAGGAAGACACTCAACGAGATTGCTCTCCTCCTGGGTCCTGCTTACTTTGGCTACATCCTCAAGGAGCTGCGCTCCACTTTGACCAAGGGCTACCAACGTCACGTGCTCTCATTCACTGTGCACTCTATACTCGTTGCGACAACGGATGAATTCAAGCAGGGTGACCTGGATTACTGTCTGACAGACCTGAGCTCGGTTATCATGGATGACACGTTTGGCGCCGTGGGCCAGGAAAAGGAAGCCGAAGAGTATGTGAGCAAGATGACGGAAGTCAAGAGCAGCAAGAGCTACGATTCAATGGAACTGCTGGCGAAGAATGCTACTATTCCCAACCTTGCCAGGCTGCTCCGGCCACTGCAGTCGCTTCTGCTGGAGAAGCTCAACTCAAACATTGTCAGGAAGGTTGACGAGTTGCTGAGACGTATCGGCGTGGGCTTACTGAGGAACCCTGGGGTGGCAAGCCGCGACATCTTGATGTTCTGCTACGAAATCATCAAGGAAACGTACAAGGGACCGGCCCAAGCCGAGTCCACCACTGCTAAGACAGCGCAGGAAGAGAACCTGTTGATTGACCTTAAGTTTCACAAACGAAGCGACAAGAAAGGAAGCACGACATCCTATCTTTACAAGTTGACGCGCTTCTCTCTCGACATCCTCCGTTCCGTACTGAGCAAATTCAATTTCCTGCTCACTCCTGGAAATCTGGCTGGGTTCGTCCCTATCATCGGCGATTCGCTTGTTCAGGCACATGAGGAAGTCAAGACTTCGGCTCTCCGCTTGTTGTCGGCAATCATCAAGCTCCCTCTACCGGAGATCGATGCCAACCATCATGTCTACATCACAGAAGCGGTCAAGGTCATCAAGGAGGCACCGAGCACCAACACGGAAGCCGCGCAAGCGTCCCTGAAATTGATTTCGGCTATGCTGCGAGAGCGCAAGAGCACCAAGATTCGAGACGGCCACCTTGCCTATCTCCTTCAGCGTCTCACCGCAGATATTGAGGAGCCTGACCGTCAAGGTGTGACCTTCAACTTCATCCGCGCGGTAATGTCTCGGAAGTTTGTTGTGCCTGAGATGTACGAATTGGCTGATAGCATTGCCACCATGATGGTCACCAATCAGACTCGCGCCGCTCGTGACCTAGCGCGCGGCGTGTACATCCACTTTTTGCTTGAGTATCCGCAGGCCAAGAGCAGGTGGACCAAGCAGCTTAGTTTCTTGGCTAAGAACCTGGAATACAAGCATCAAGACGGGCGTCAGTCAGTCATGGAGGCCATTCACACGCTGCTGTCTAAGACGGGCGACGAGTTGGCCCAGGACATTGTTAGCACATTCTTCCTGCCCATTGTCATTGTGATGTCGAACGATGATGCTCCCGAATGCAGGGAGATGGCCGGTGCCTTGCTGGGCGAGTTGTACTCCCGAGCCGACAGGGAACAGATCAAGACCATGCTTACGCCTCTACATTCTTGGCTGGAGCAGACGGAGAACCTGCTCCTGAACAGCACTGGTTTGCAGGCCATGAGAATCTACTTCGAAGTTGACGCAACAGAGAAAGATAAGGAGGCTCGATTCGTGCTGGATATCTTGCCGTCCATCATGCAGCCTGTCCTCAACGCTGAAGACAACGAGAATTGGCAGACTCTTTACTTCGCTCTTCAGCTTTTCTCGAAGCTCTGCAAGACCGTGCCCGCCATGGCGCTCTCCCCGGAACGTGCGTCGATCTGGGCTGCCGTCCGCGAGAGTCTTTTCTATACCCATGCGTGGGTCAAGACTTGCGCGTCGAATCTGGTTGGCACCTGGTTCGCAGACCTCGCGCGCTTCAATGCCACCAATGGTTACGCTTCCATCCCGCTGGCTGGTTCCACGGGGTTGTCTCTCGACAAGGATGCCATGTTGCAGCTGATCCGCGCCAGCTTGCGCTGCCTCCGCACTCCGGCGGTCAGCGAGGAGCTCGCCATGCAATCCGTGCGCAACCTCATTTTCCTGGGTCGGTGCAGTGCTCAGAACGGGTTGGAATTCACTAGGGCAGGCGGTGAGGACGCCGAGCTGGACGCCAGTGACAGCGAGAACGACGACAACGACGAGGAAACTGAGCAGTCGGCTCGACCATCGAAGCCCGCTATCCGGTACATCTTCGAGCAGACATCCTCCATCCTCCGCCGCGAACTCATCACCACCCGAGCAGAGTCCCTGGTCCCCAAGAGCGCTGCCATCGGTCTTTTCGCTTCTCTGTGCCGCCACCTCGAGGTTGAGCAGATTACCGACTCGCTGCCCGTCATCCTGCTCCCTCTGCAGCACATGACGGACAACACCATCCCGGCGCCCCGCTCCTCGGACGAGGTGTTCCGCGAGTCGTACAAGTCCCTCGTGTCCAACTGCCACGAGGTGCTTGACATCCTCCAGAAGAAGCTCGGCACCACCGAGTTCATCAAGCAGATGGCGCTCGTCCAGGATGCGATTAAGGAGCGACGTGAGGGGAGACGGGTCAAGCGGCGCATCGAAGCGGTCGCCGAGCCCGAGCGCTACGAGAAGGACAAGAGGAGGAGGAATGACCGTAAGCGCGAGAAGCGCAAGGAGAAGGGAGCCGAGCACCGCGGCAAGAGACGTGGTTGGTAGTGGGGATATGTCTATTTGAAGCTTTTTTTACTTCTCTTCTTTTCCTGGAGCTGCCACATAAAAGTCAGGCGTTGAGGAGAGAATAGGAGATTTTCTTTGTCTATTACATCCAATCAACTTTCTCTTTTCTCTTCATCTCAAGAGTCCACCCAAGCATATCTATCTTTAGAGTAGAGAATATTACATCGAACACAGCAACTATACACCTATTCAACCAACAACCTCCGCAAGACAAGAGAATATAAACGCCACCAGCACCACGCTTTTCCTTTCCTTCCAAGAGAACCCCCTCTAACAGAAACACTCCTAAACCGCACTCCTTCCCCAAGAACTCAAGAAATCTGCCCCTGCCCCTGCCCCTGCCCCGCATCACCAGCACCCTCCTTTCCCTTCTCCTCATTCTTCGACTGTGCCAAAGAAGAAGTTCTCACCTCCCCATTCTCCCAAACCTCCATATCTCCCTCCACGTACCCACGCAGCAGCGTATCACCCTGCCGCGCCAGGATATCCTCCAGGGTACTGTTGCGATCGAAGAAGATGTTCAGATGGTCGGCGATGACGTGCCGGTTGCTGCAGCTGGGGCACTGGATCAGCACGGTGCCGCGGTGGTAGCCGTGCTTGGACATGCGGTGCGACGACCGCTCGCCGCACGGCTTGCAGGTGAACGTGATCTGGTACGCGGGCTCCTGCTCGCGGCGGAGGCGGTTCTGCTCCGCGTGCTCGGCGTCCGTTGCTGCGTTGGATTGCCGGTCTGTTAGGTTGTTCGCGCTACTCGTTTCCGTCGTATCGGATTTGTGGCGGGTTGTGAGGAAGGGGATTTTTCGGAGGGTTGTGGGGCGCGAGGTGGGTGTGCGTTGCGTTAGGTGGCTGAGAGTGCGTGATGGTGTTGATGATGATGCTAATGAAGAGACTGTGGCGTTGCGGGTGGTGAGGGTCGCTGTGCGCGGGAGGGAGCGAATGGCGCGCAGGCCGTGGGATAGAGATTGGATTGAGCGCATTGTGAAGGTTTTGTTGAGTATTCTGTCGTGAATTGGGCCTGTTTGTGGGAGGGCGCTGGAGCTGTGACTATCTTCAAGAGGATTGTACCAAGAGAGATCAGAAAGAAAGCAAAGGCGGTGGGCGGGCGAGAAGATGACGGAGTTCAAGCCCGGACTTTAGCCTCGGAGATAAGTTCTTCCAGGCTCTCGCTCCCCCTCCCTCCCGCCTGCCTCTCTCTCTCTCTCCGCGGACTCGGTTCTGGGTCCGGAACTCGATTCCCTCGTTGCGAGCTTCGATGCTCAAACATGATGGTGTGGAAGTGTTGATCGCCTGAGCTTTGCCTTCATCCTCGGTTACCCATTTCTCATTTTGCTTCGATTTGCGCGGTTCTCTGGGCACTCGCCACTCGCTCGATTAACCAAACTCGCGGAATATCCAACTGGAGAGGCTTTGCCCCGCGCATAAAGCCGAGTATACAATTTCGGTGCATCGGGCATCGTCACCTGCACAACATGGCGATGCGAGCCAGGCAACGTATTCGCGCTCCGCGGAGGGTGAGTCTTTGATTATTGTCTTTTGTTTCTTAATTGCTGTGATGGTCTCGAGTTTAGAGTTGTGTCTCGAGCGGAGCGGGCGATCGGTAGCAAAGTGGCGATCACGATTCTCCGACTCAACATCCTAAAAGACCGTCCCATCCAGACAGGCTTTTGCTGACCAGATAATACAGGGCCTTCCGGCTAGCAAAGGTGATGATTTCGAGACGAATTGGACCGATCTCTCGACCTCGTTGAAGAAAATCCACACCAAAGATGCCTCCAACCTGTCCTTCGAGCAGCTCTATCGCAATTCCTACAATATCGTCCTGATGCAGCGCGGCGAGGATCTCTACGAGCGGATAAAGAAGTTGGAAAAAGAATGGCTTGACGACGAAGTGAAGAGCAAGGTGACGGCGGCGATCTCGTCCAGTCTGCTGCTCGCGAAGGAGCTTGCGGAGGTGCAGGACCAGGCCAATGAGCGCAGGGAAGCCGGCGAAAGGTTTCTGGCCGCCATGAGAGAGGCCTTTGAAGACCACCAATTGTGTATGGGCATGATCACGGATGTGCTCATGTATATGGTATGAATTCAGAGACTAAATATATGCTTGATTTGTTGTGGCTGACCGTCTGGTGGAACTTCTAGGATCGAGTCATGTCGACAGACCACCGGAAACCGTCGATCTATGCAGCAGCAATGGCTTTGTTCCGAGATCATGTAGTACGGGCTCTGATCCGCCCGGACGCTCAGACGAAGGTGGTAGATGTGCTCGAGTCGACTGTGCTTTTCATGATTCAGCTCGAACGATCCGGCCAGATCATCGACCGCCCCCTAATTCGCCACTGCATATACATGTTGGAAGGACTGTACGAGACTATCACTGAGGAAGAGTCGTCCAAGCTCTACCTGACCATATTCGAACCGGCGTTCCTGGAAGCAAGCCGGAAGTTTTACCAGTCGGAAGGCCGACGCTTACTAGAGACAGGCGATGCCGCAACTTTTTGTAAGGTTGCCATGGACCGCCTCGCCGAGGAAACTGAGCGGTGTACCTACACCCTTGCATCGTCGACAGAGCCGAAAGTCAAGGATGTCCTGGACAAAGAACTGATCGAGAATAATATCAAAGAGGTTGTGGATTTGGAAGGCACGGGTGTCCGGCAAATGCTCGACAATGATCGCTTGGATAACCTGCGGAGTGTCTATGTGCTGAGCGCACGGGTTGACCCGAAGAAGACTCCGCTGACAGCCGCGGTTCAGAAGCGCATCGTGGAAATGGGCAAGGAGATCAATGCTGGCGCGGTTGCGATGGCACAAACCTCGGCAGCGAGCTCTGCGCCCAAGAAGGCCTCGGCAGATAAAACTGAAGGGGCCAAGAAGCCGACCGAGAAAGAGAAACCAGTCAACCAGCAGACTGCGGCAGCTATCAAGTGGGTGGACGACATTCTTGGTCTGAAGAACAAGTTCGACAGAATCTGGGAGAATGCGTTCCAATCGGACCACGTCATGCAGAGCGCTATCACTACTAGTTTCTCGGAGTTCATCAACTCGGAGTCGCGCAGCTCAGAGTACCTGTCGCTTTTCTTCGATGAGAATTTGAAGAAGGGCATCAAAGGGAAAACAGAAACAGAGGTCGACTCGCTGTTGGATAATGGCATCACGCTTCTTCGCTATGTCAAAGACAAGGACATGTTTGAGGCGTATTACAAGAAACATCTTTCCCGTCGTCTTCTCATGAAGCGCTCTGTAAGCATGGACGCGGAGCGGCAGATGATCTCGAAGATGAAGATGGAGGTCGGCAATCAGTTCACCCAGCGCTTAGAAGCGATGTTCAAGGACATGACGATTTCGGAGGATCTGACGGCAAGCTATAAGGACCATGTCAAAAAGACGGGTGACCCCGACACCAGGCGCATTGACTTGGACATCAACGTTCTCACCAGCACCATGTGGCCCATGGAGATCATGTCCAGTGCGACCCGCGACGACGTGCAACTGGCCTGCATATACCCGAAAGAGGTGGAGAGCGTCAAACAGAGCTTTGAGCAGTATTATCTGGGCAAACACAGCGGACGCAAACTGTCGTGGCAGCCCACTATGGGCACTGCAGATATCCGATTGGAGTTTCCGCGATCCAACGGCAAGATCCAACGGCACGAGCTCAATGTCTCTACATACGCCATGGTCATTCTACTGCTTTTCAACGATGTATCCACGGGCGAATCCTTGACATACACAGAAATCAAAGAGCGCACGCGCATTCCCGATCATGACCTCATCCGCAATCTGCAATCGCTTGCGGTGGCTCCGAAGACCCGCGTTTTGCGCAAAGACCCGATGAGCCGAGACGTCAACCCGACGGACAAGTTCTACTTTAACAACGACTTCCAAAGCCAGTTCCTGAAGGTCCGCATTGGCGTCGTCAGCGGCAGTGCCAATAAGGTCGAAAACCAGGATCAGCGGAAGGAGACGGAGAAGAAGATGAATGAAGAACGTGGCGGGAGCATCGAGGCTGCTATCGTCCGGATCATGAAGTAAGTTTCTTGTCTTGTGTCAAGCTCCACGACGATTGTGCTAATCTTTTGAACAGGCAGCGCAAATCGCTGACCCATTCAAACCTCATGACAGAGGTCCTGACTCAGCTGTCGGCGCGGTTTGTCCCGGACGTCAACATGATCAAGAAGCGTATCGAGAGCCTGATCGACCGCGAGTATCTGGAGCGTATCGAGGAGGATCCTCCGACATATGGCTATGTCGCATAGTTGGCTCTGGTGATTGTTTGTTTTCTTCTGCTTGATTGTTCCTCTTTTTGTGGGTTCTCGCTCTGTAGCGTTGAGAGCAAGGAAAGAATGGGTTCTTGAGCTTAGCGTTGAGGGCGCAACGGCGATTGATGTTATCTCCGGTATAGACTTTTCTGTCCGCTGCATTTCCACTGGAATCGGGTTCTATTATCCAAAATGCATTTTTCTGGATCACTGGTGGCAGGGTATGGGCGGGATTGAGCCAGCCGTGACTCGTGTTGGTAGGATATCCAGATATTGAAATGAAAGTCTTTGCGTGTGCATGTGCAGTATCGATGCAATGGTTGCAGGTATCATAGAACGGAAAAACACAGAAACACAAGCACAGAAACACAAACAGAAATAGAAACAGAACTCGCAACGCCGCCATGCATATCCTGGTCATGCTGACCCAGGACTGGGATCTCTGCTGCATATCCCCAGAGCCAGACAATCCACCCATCCACTCTCAATCCTTCAACCAGTAACATAGGCATCCCAGGGGAGAACCCCCGGAAAGCCCTTTCTTTCAGCGTCCCAGGCACCTCAATCCAAGACCATAGATACGGGTATCCGGGGGAGAACCCCCGGACCCCCCTTCCTTTCAGCCTCCCAAGCACCTCGCCCCCAACCCATCACCACGAAAGCGATAGAAAGATAAGACTAGAGAATCTCAACCTCACCCCTAGTCCAAGCCCCCCGCACCCCCTCCCACCGCACAGCCCAAACATCCCCCATCCGCATCGCCGTCCCAACAGTCTCCTCCTCAACCCCATCAGAAGGCGGCACCACAACGCGCACCTCCTCCACCAAGCACCGCACAAACACCACCTCGCGCATCTCCGGCCCCTGCACCATACTCGTCCCGCCGGCATTATCATCCAGCCGCCGCAGCTGCGGCGCAAACGACCCCAGAAACGCATCCCCGTAGTGCCGCGCCAGCAGCCTCTGGTGCGCAACCAGGAAACTCACCTCCGGCGCGGAGAGCGGCGCGATCGCGGCATCGTCGCCGGCCAGGGGCACCGGGATCGAGTCCTCGGGTCGGATTTCTCCGTCTGGATTCTGGGATTGCGATTGCGATTGCGATTGGGATTGATCGTGTGGGCTGGAGATGCGCATGAGGTAGTGCATGCTGTGTTTTGTGAGTTTGGAGAGGCGTTGGCGCAGCAGGCTGCGGAGAAGGTATTGCGTGCGGGAGAGGTCGGTTTGCAGGATGGAGAGTGTGAGGTTGAGTGTTGTGTTTGATTTTGTTCCGGTGGTGGTTGTGGTTGTGATTGTGGTTGTTGGGGGAGGAGGAGGGATGGAGTCGGGGGTGCTGGCGGCTAGGTCTTCGATTGTTTCGATCTGTTGTGGGTATCATTGTCAGTTGGTTTGGCTGGGGTGGTGTGTTATGCCATAGGCTGGGAAATGAAGACAGGGCTGAAGGAAGGCAGGAAGGCAGGAAGGTAGTACCTGTCGTCGCACTCGCTCCATCATACGCTCCATTAATGGCCCCGGCCAGGGAAGAAGCTCCGAAACACCCCGCTCGGCCACCCAGAAGCGCGTGAGCAGCTGGTGGTCCAGAGCCGTTGACTCCGGGGTCGTCGGGTCGTGGCGGTCGACTGAGGCGAGAATGTCGTCGATGTCCATGGCGGTGGTTTCATTGACCTCCCCCTCGTGTTGTGGGCTCGATTATTGTTTTAAGTTGGGAAGAGAAGAGAAAGAGAGGAGCGGAGCGGAGGCGGAATCGCCCACGTCCAAAGAAACCCACCGCCCGCCCCGCGTCGCCATGCCTTAGGCTACATTTTCCGCCCGCCGTCAACACCTTACTAATGAGGCCTCCGCAACTAACACCTTACGACTGAGGCCTACGCACACGGTAACTGAGATAAAAGTAATTCGTTTCTTCATTGTTCCAACATAGGAAAGCTGTCTCTAATCTTTCGACTCCCCCTTCCATTATCAGGCCGGGCCAATAGCCGACCAATTCTTATCTATGTACAGCTGCACCGGCAGCCTCCATCAAACACTTATTAGTCTGACTCCTAGGTCCATCTTCGAACCAAGTCAGCGCCGTGTCGATGACGCCGCCGCGCACAACAAAATTATCGTCTGACCAGACGAGCCGTACATCGATATATACTTCGTACGGCGAGCAGTGTGACACTCCCTCGGGATTGTACAGGAAACTGGGAGGATGATCAAAGACGGTAAAGAAAATAGGAAAAGTCGTCGAAAAGGAAATTGCCGGGTGGCGAGGTATCATAGTGGCGAGGTGTTTCCCGCGAATTCAGATGCAATTCATCATCACGGGACCTCGTTCAAGGAGACATAGGAAAGGTCCGAAGGGAGTGATCGGTGAAAGGGATGTCGATTCAAAATAGGTCGTGATTGAGGTATTCTGTGTCGTGTTTCGGGTTGGAATCGTCGTTCCGGGTGTGAAACGGATCGGTGAGGGAATATCAAAGCTTGTGGTGTCATCAAATCGCCGTGTCCCTTTTCTTCTTCACCACATCATCCAAACGGAAATAGGAAACCGAAAGTCAAAATGAGCGGAACGGGGTCGGTCAGGTGAAGCGCTGCCTTGCGGAAGGTTCAGCGCGTTCACCTCCAAAGCCCAAGGATGCAAACCCTTTTGCGCCAAAACTCGCGAATGCATTCATTCAGCCAATTGACCTGCACTGGCCATTTTTTGAGAACGCTGAAAGGCAAGGGAAGGGACCATATGCAAACGAAGGTCATTCCAGGTGGTCGCAGCGTGGCTTGTTCCAAATCGGTCATAACATCATTGCGTGGTGCAAGGCATATTGCACGAAGGGTTCATAAGTTTAGTAAGAAAGCATACGTCGGCCGGATAATCGACTCGATGCCGGGCTTTCGGCAAATGGGGAGCCCATAAATCGGTTTCGCTCGCTAGGGCCGTTGCGACAGCGTCCGGTAGGGCTGTCTTCCATTTGGGGCGAGTTCTCGCCAAAGGCAAAAGTCTGAGCGCGATTCAACTTGGAGCGTTGCTTAACCTTGCCGAGACCTCGCTCGCAGGCAAACTCGTGCTCCTTGGCGGACATTTCGACATAGTTTTGCGGGTAGCATAGCGATCGATGCTCGGAGAAAAAGGAGCTGTAACCACCATCCAGGACATACAGGTCGGGGTAGGTGAGTTGTGGGTAGTGATCGATGTTGAATGCGCGGTCCTGGTGACGGATGTACTTGGCCATAATCGGGGCCCGATGGGCCGAGTACTCGCAGTGTAGGATCAACGCCGTCCGCGGCTTGGGAGTGGCGAAGAGTTCGGTCGCCAGGTGGTCCTTGTCGTTGTAGTTGACGGCTCCGGTAATGTGGCCGCCGTCATACTCATACTCAAAGCGGCAGTCGATAATCATGACATTGTCAAAACGATCGTTGTATCTGCCATCCATGAGCTCCACCAAGATGTTTTTGTCGATACGAGGCAATGTATCTGCCTGGTCCTCAGAAAAAGTGTGAGGAAGCTGCAGGCTGGGGGATCCTTCAATGTCGATGATCGACGGGAGTGGTGCATTTGTAACTAAACTGGCCTCTTTTTCGACGACTACATCCTCCGGATGCTCAAACATGCTCAACGAGCGTCTGCACTGCTTACGCGGGCGCATTGTCGGGTGCGAATTCTTGCGGACCGATGCCGCGGACGGGGACCCATTCCCGCGGACATGGCTGTTGCTACTGCCGAACGGTGGTCTCAGGCGAGAGGTGCATAGCTGGTTGCTGGTCGAGTGGTTCTTCAGCGACGGACGCTCTCTCTGGGGAGACTCGCAAAACATGTCCTCCAACGACGCAGACGCGCTTAGTGACGTCCTGTTTCCCTTGCTCTGGAACTTGAAAGGCGGTGCTTGACTCTCTGGGGCCGGCTTATTCATTCCCAGTTGGAATGTCTGAGCTTTGCTCCGTGCTAAACTCGGCCGTAAGAAGGTTGGACGCTTTCTCCTACAGATAACCGTGTGATTAGATCCATGTAGGCCTGCAATGACTCCACTCTCGGGCTGCCTCTCTTACTCTTGTAGACCGTCTTTCGAGCTCACCAGTGGGGATTCCTCCAATGGACTCGGGGCGGCCGAAAGCATAGGTGTATCCAACGACGAATCCAGAGAGGGCGATTCCAGCTCGACTTCGTTGACCAGCCCGAAGGCTGGCTTGTGAGGCAAGGGGGACATCTCCATAGAGTCCATCGGAGCCGGCGAGGAGGGAAGCGGAGGTGTGGTCATAGATTCTAGCGATAAACTGTGAGCTATCAACACTTTTTAAACACACGACGTCAATGTCACTCACCACACCGATTGGCTTTCCCAAGGAGGCTTGACGAGAACAAAGACCGCCGGGGCGTGGCCAATTGCGGGCTATTTTTGGTCAGCCAACTCTTTATTCATGAAACACACATGGCTGCACAAAGAAGGCGGACAGCATGAGACAGACCTTTGATCAATATGAAAATTCTGGGACAAGTCCGCTGCCAGACTAGCAGTTGGTGAGGAGCCCCGCACAGGTTTCACATTGAAGTAGTCCCCATGGGCCTTCTTCATGGACAGGTCTTTGAAGTTGAAGCTGCTGTGGGCCAATCCCGCCATGGGACTAAAGGACGCATAGGAGGTCGGTGCATCCGGACGAAAGCAGTGGCCGAACATCACAGACGGCGGCTGCATCGCAGCCAACGGGGACGAGTGTTCCATTGTAGCCGACCCGAGTTCCTTCTTCCTTGCCGATCATTCAAACCCGCGGATTGGTTCCAAGTCGATCTCTAATCGTTGTCGGTACAAGGCTGCAAGCTTCTTCCTCTCCCTTGTATGCAATGCACGGCAGATGCGGGGACAATGGTAGCCGATCGAAATGACCACCAACCCAGCTCCTCTTTTCTCCTTCGTTCTCCCAACTGTCAAAGTGGCAGTTCCAACCTCGGAAATCGTGGTACCGGCTCTTGAAATCTTCCTGAGCTGACCAGCCTGTACCCACACTTTCTTTCGCGGACGGGGGGGCCAAGGATCTAAAGCGACATGGCTGGCTGACGGGGAACTAGATCAAGGTGCTTTCGGATAGGATATAGGTTGAAACAGGAAGTATGCCGGCCGGGAGGAAGGTCTAAAGATACGACAGGTTCAGGTCAGCAACAGAAGACTTCTCAGCCAGTATCAGGGGAGGGGAGGGGGAGTTGCCAGCATAGATATGGTGGTACGCTAATGCACTGGGGGGAAAGGTTACCGAAGGGACGAGGGCTGAAGACGGGATCGGAGCTGAAGACGGTGGCTCACGGAATGAAGCATGAGAACGCAACGGACGGGAAGAAGCTCTTATGAGGAAGTTAGAGCTGTGAGAGGAAAAGAAGAGGAGAAGAAGAAGAGAAGAAGAAAAAAGACACTGGAGAAAGTGAAGCTGAAGGGATGCCCTTGTTGCAATGGCAACGCAAAAAGTGGGGAGGGATCTCCAGATGCTCGAGAAAGAGCTTAAGCGACGATGGGTTAGACTAGTCTAGTGTTGGCTGCTGGTCTTTGGTTGTGTCAGAAACCACTACGACGGAAACTGACCTGACTAGAACCAAATGGTTGAACCGGTTTGGGGGGAGGGAAGAAAGACTGAGAGAGAACAGAGAGAGACTGTGAGAGACTGAAAGAGACCATGACCGCATCAGGCCTCAGGCCTTGATCCTTTCTTCTCTTTCTTGCTTGCTTCTTAGTATGTTCGACCATTCATTCATTCATTCATCCCTCCCTCCCTCCCTCCCTCCCTCCCTCCCTCCCTCCTCCCTCCTCCCTCGTTCACTAGTCTCTACTTTTGTTCCAGGTTGCCCTGATGTGGAGAGAGCTTCCCCATCCTTTGCTTCTTGTTCTTGCCCTTGTGCCCTTCTTATTCAATTGACTTCATACTACTGACTTGACACCTGTAGGTACACCTGTTCGGGGCAAATAGAAGGATCCATCCATTTTCACTTTGGGTGATTTTTTTTTCCCTTTTGGCATTTTCGCATTTTACATTTTGCGTTTTGCATTTTTTGGGGAAGAATTAAATTTCTCCTTCTGGATCTGGATTTTTTTTCTTGCCTTCTGTCTTGGGATTAGGTTATAGGTTAGTTATGTACTCGTACAGTACAGATGTATGTATAGTATGTAAGTGTGTCCGGTAGGTACCCGTACAGTACCTTTGGGCGGTATATGCAGGCATTTGGATGAATGAGGCATGTCGGATGGGAGGTATCATACTGAATAGTACTTACTTAGTTACTTACTTACTTATTCTTACTCAAGTGCACAGTCTGGCTAGTGACTTTACTGACTTCTTACTATGCCTCGTTGCCGGGACTCCCTTGCCGCCATCATAAACGCTAGCCGCTGCTCAGCAACCCCCCGCCTATCAGCTTCCTTACGCTCCCTTTTGGCTGGCTGATGCATGGATCGTGCCTGTCTCAACGCCGAACAGTCCAGAGAATCGACCCAGTAAAGACCTTTCCAAAGACCCAAAGAGACCCAGGACTCTCCATCCTCTCCGTTGTTCTCCATTTGTCTCCTCTTTTTGCCTTTTCTTTCCTTTTTCTTTCCGCCTTCTTTTCTTTCCATTACTAACACCACTGGGTCGCCCGCTGTATTCGCAATTTTTTCTGACAGGTTTCACCTGTGTAACAGTCGCACTACAATTGCTGTAGAAACCGTTGCTCATGTTTGACAGTTGCCCAGCAGTAGCAGCAGCCTTGGAGTAAAGAGAGAACCCGGGGATCTGTCTCTTCAATCCGACCAGTGACCAGCTGCCTCTTTCGGGGGATCTGCCTGTCACTCTGGTTTGGAGGTTTTGATGTCCTCCTTTTAGCTCGACACGGAGTCGTTCGCTTCATTCTGCTCCTGGCTTAAGCTAGGTCGGAGGCTCTATAACTATCCACTTCTAAGGTTTCTCAGGACCCAACTCACTAAACTACCCTGATGATAGTGATACACGCGTGATTCGATGGGGATGGGGAAGGAGGGGGGTTGTTCGTTGACGAACCCACCAGTTAGACGAAATGTGGCCTGAGGATAATTTTTACATTGGATCAATAAATTTCGTTTCCCGTGTGTGCCGTTCGAATTTTTTTTTTTTTTTTCTTACAGTCTACTATATACATCATTCTCAAGGGCCCCGAAAAGAGAAGATCGAATCTACTAATGAAATTCTCCACCGGCTCCACTCGGTCGGAAAAAAGAGCTTGTCCGGCCGGTATCTTCTCAGGAACAAGTGCCTTCGATTGGAAGCTGTGGAAAAGAACTGGAAAGTGAACGCTGTCATTCATACGTAAGGTTGTCGACCGTTATTTTCGCTCTTCTCGGCCCTACAATGCAGGTTTGGAAGCAATCTATTCCTCTAGAAGTGGGCAAAAGGTGAAGCTGGAGGGAGTGAGAAAGTCCTTCTCTTTTTCCGGATTACTGTCGATCGTCTTACATGCTACCTACATACTCGCCTACCCTGGTTGCTACTTGGTCTTCGGTCATCGTCGTCCGGTCGGGAACGCAGAAGAACGGGTTCTATGCCCAATCCGGTAACTCTGCCTCAGGAAGAACATCGGCCGAACATACCAGGCGCTTAATTCTCCCTCTTGCTGAACCTGAAGAGCTTTTTGCAATCTCCCCCCCAAGAGAAACCGGATGAGAGAAAGCACCTTCGAGCCGATCGGCATCGTAGATTCACTATGGCAATATCCCTGTCTACCTTCCAGGTTCACTCAGTGTGTCACGACTATCACGGTCATTCCGATGCGAACCCGCCCTCCGAGGTATGTATTTGGCGACAGGTTGATCTATACAACCGTTGACCTTTGCCCGGTTCCTGGTGCACAGTCGCTCGACGCTTTGATCAAGCTACTGGGCTAACAGAGATTTCCTACGAGATGACGATGGCTCAGTGCCCAATGGTCCGTCCGACGAAGTCGTCTAGAAATACCGTGCTCTTCGCGCACTGTTCGCATGGCGGACCGTTCACCCAGACACGCGCCCATACCCTTATTTGTCTCGACTCTCGCCATTCCCGCCGATCATAGCTCGCGGTGGCCTTTTTCCCTTCTGCTGCCTGCTCGCCTTGCGCATACCCAGATCCATGTTGTTAATCTATCGTCGGCTCGAGTTCTCCAGTTGATCTTACAAATCTTATCATTATCGCAGATAATGGGCAAGAATCCCCGAGCCGATCCAAGCCCCCATCTCAGCTACTCACTCAGCTGAACGACGCGACTAGGTCTGACAGCCCAGCTCTAGCACGCCTTCCTGATGTGGGGTTAGTATCCCTCCTCCTCCCAAGCTGCTGCCGCAAGCTTGCCCATCGTACCCGAGGTCGGTCCTCACGACGTCACCGACCAAGTCTATTCTCCCTCGCCCGGCCGGGTCACCGCCATGACAATCTGGAAGTCCACTGTCGTCACGGTTATTTCGGCAGAGTGAGAGAACTCTTTTCCCATGGTCTCCGCTCTTTCTGGGCCTACTTTTATCGCTCTCAATCAATCGTGCATCAGATCGTCACGATAAAGGCCCAGAGACTAAGAGCTGCCCCTCCCCTCTCAACTCCCGTTGGCGCCGAAAGCCGGAATTGCCCAATCAACCCCTCCCAGGATTGAGATTGGAATTTAGCCTCTGGTTATTATCATTTACACCGCCACGAAAAGTGAGATCGGTAAGCTCGTATGCACAGCGATCACACCTGGTCCCCCCTCATGTGGGATTCTGATCCTTCCCACTTCAAGGCCCCTCACCTCTGAGACACCGGTCGTTCCCAGCGAAAATCCCTTTTCGCGTCGAAGGTGTTGGTGCGGGAGCTCATGAAAGTCCAGATTTGAGGCATATGCCATCATATCTCGATGCTAACAGACCTTACCGCTAACCGGACTTGCGGCTCAAGGGTCGGCCTTATCCGCCAGGAAGAGCGCTAGCCCCCAATACTGGGTTATTATCTTATGCCTCGCGTTGCGACACTGGGATGCGAGTCGAGCGTATCCGCGGACGCGCCAACTCATCATCCAATCCGTAAGCTTCCGGGTCGCTGCGAAAGGTCAGCTCGGCGCCGTGCGGCTGAATAGTCAATTCGCCGACCAGCCGCGCCGGACATTGCTGTGGGCGGAAATAACCACGCGATGATGAGCCGTGCCAGTGGAAGCCTAGTGTTCTTGCCTCGGATGTGTTTACAGGTGGAGTCGCTGACCATAATGGCTGACTCGAGACGCTGTGCCGCGGTGTCATCGCCATGTGCGCGCTGCTATCGTTATCTGTCGGGCAGGCCGCCCAGACACCCTGGAGGACCGAGCACCAGGATCGGGCACACTTTCCCACGACCAGCACCAGCATCCTTAGTTAGTAGAGTGATAAACCGACGTAAGAGGCCGACTAGACTAATTCTACCAGCAAGCAGACGGCCTTGGCGGGTCAACAGGAATTTAGGAAGCGCTGGTGCGGGGGGTCTAGATGGGTGATGGGGGCGCTGATTGGGCCAGCACGGTAGGTCTAGTGCTCGTGCTCCAGAATGACTGTCTGCAACTTTATTTAGATACGCTATGCTCGGCGCGTCGCGAGTGATGTCGTCGACTGTCTTGCAGGAAGGGAGAGAGAGGGGGGAGGGTCGGAGACTCGGAGGGGACGGACTGGACTGGACTGGAATGCTCCCAACCGGTTTCGCTCTCTGCCACTGCACCCAGTCGTGATGTCAGTGAGGGGAAAGGCCTTTCACCTGCAGGAGCGCGTGTTACTATTTTCCCCCGCCAATGCCGATGTAAGTATGTGTTGGCTGGCGTTTTGGAATCGGTCTAGAGATCCCCGTCGTCAACAACACGATCTGGATGCATGTATAGCTGCCCCATTGTTTATCCGCGTTTGGCGTGTTTGAGATGTAAACATCAACAACATAGATCAACATTGGCAGGGTACTTTGAGCCATGGTACTGTGGAGGTAGCCGTGGGTTGACGCGACCGACGAGCGCCATCCCGTGACCATGACATAGTCTGCCTGAGGTTTTCCCCGCACGGGATACTTGGGGGAGGATGACATCACAGTTACCCTCTAACTCTCTTCCTCCCAGCCTCCCTTCTTTTCCTTCGTTCCTTTTCCTCTCCTTCAATTCTCCCTGCTTGCCAGAGACTTCGTTCCTTGCCGCCCCGTGACATAACAGAATCAGTCCTTGATACGGTGATACGGTATGTACGGTAAAACCATCAGCTCGACACGCAACCACGGTCAACGATTGATTGCCCATCCACCCACTCGAAGACGAAGAAGAAGCTTAATCAATCTCTCGCTACCCTCCCAACTCCAACCGACGATGTAGTAGGCTCAATGCGCAACCCTGGCGGCGAGTACGCCCTATCTACACACCTTGCAAAGTGCAAATTGACCCTCCCATCGCGATCACGATCGTGCTTACTCGTAGTAAAAGAATCGATCGATCGACCAAACAAACCCACCAACAATCCAAGTACACGATTTCCCAAACTCCACCCACAAAACCTACGTAGTGTAGGCGCGTCCCGAACGGAGAAGTTCCAGACTCGTTGACAATGTAGTCTATGTAATTTCCTCAGGCCACCCACCCACTTCTCGGCCGGCCGTCAAACCCAGTGCCACACGCCCAAGACATCATCATAGATGCCCACTTTTTCTTTTTTGTTCCTTTAACCGGCTTAAAGTTTGCCACCGGAGCCCGGACTCCTCTTCTTAGTGCCCGGCTAGTAGTACTAAGTAGTAGTGCCTTGAGACCCATTCGGTTGTGCTTGTAGGGCCAGAGGGGTTATGCAGCAGTCAGTTGGTGGTTGACATCGATCCTCGCTTCTACCAAGTATTCAGTATAGTTACGCGGGCAGGACTTTCAGAAAACCGTAAGCGTGTCGCTCGCCTGAAACGGGGAAGAAGGGGGGGCATGCATAAAGGGAAAAGCTTATGTGAACATGAAGAGAATCGCTAGGCTAGTTATGTATGCAGGAGGAACGTTACCCTAACTATGGCTCCCTCCCTTCTATCCCTTGATAACCTAACTTAGTTGAAGAGAACGCTTATGATGGCACACGAGTTGTGCGCATGCAACAGATGGTTTTCTTGCTTCCGATGACTGATGCAAGTTAATCAAGGTTTAAGGTTTCTTTTTATCGGACTATTGATTAGAAAACTTGTTGACTGATTGATGGATTGAATGTATTGTATGGTTGAGACTATTGGGGGTCTGCCTGTTCACCCCCAGCCCCCCCCCCTTCTTCAAAACCCCTCCCTCGTGGGACCGCCCCTTACTCTTAACAAACTAAAAAAACTCTACTTAATGCAAGACTATCTATTTATCTCCTGATCCACTTCCACAATAAATCTCGACTATCGATCCAGCATCGTGGGGAAGGATGGAGACAGTACAGTGGATGGGTGGGTGGCAAGGGGGATGGATGGATGGATGGATTCAAGATCAGATCTGTAGATCGATCACCACCAACGCCACACCCTGAGCCTATCTTCGAGCCAACCATTCAAGGGATGGGGATTATCGTACTGTATCCAAGTATATACTAAAAATGTCCGCAAGGCACGACACACCCCTTATCGCACCCTTTATCAATCAATCAATCAATGCCCTTCACCCCCTCCCATCCCATCCCCAACCCTGTCGTGATAAATATACAAAACGGGATCTCGGTCATAATCCTGGCCCTAAACCCTACCTTGTATTGAAATATTCCTGCAGAAAATTCTCCGGTATCAAGGGCTTAAAGCAGGAACCCCAACCCCCCCCCGGGTTTGTGCACCTGCGTCTAGGGATAGTGGGGGATGATGCCAGGTACGAACAATTAGACATGCATGCAGACCATCGGTTTGTTCCTTGCGCTCCTGCTTTTTATCCCCGGATTCGGCGTGCTGAGGCGGGGGAGTTTGTCTATTTAGTTTTGTCCTGGGGTGGGTGTGTTCTTGCGTCTGGTGAAGCTGTAGCTAGTATGTTTCGCAGCAGCAGACGACTACTCGAGTGGATGGATTGGGGTGTAGTTGAGGAGGTGGGTCCTCGCTGTGTCTATGTCTGGGCGTGATGCTATGTTGATTACTTGCGATTGATGGGCAGATCAGGTTGTGGTTTGTATCTCGAGCTCTAGGAGTAAGTTTCGGGGTTGGATTGTTGGGTATACTATCGTATATATCCATAGTGCTTGATCCCACCGACACCCATTGAGCTAGTCCAATCATCCATACCTAGAATGAATCCACAAACTGTAGTACACAACAGCATACAATACCTCCTCGACAATCCCACCCTCTACAACCAACTATACCCTCTCCAACCAAAGATACGTCACTACCTCCCTCCCTTTAAGCAACAACTAATTAAACCTCCTCTTCCATCCAATAAAATAAGTATGAAGAATCATCCCCATTCCCAAAGGACCGACCCGCTACGCACCCCCAAGAATGCAAGCCCAACAATGCACGCACACCCAGGAATGCCGAGTACCACCTCATCACGCGGCAGAAGAACCATAGAAGCATATCTCCTGCTGCCCTGCTGCCCTGCTTACTCGCTTACCTATCCTTAGCAAAGTCCCATGCAGTAAGTAGATAGGCTAGTCTACCAAAGGGGGAGGCGATCTTCGCATTCCTAATCTTTAATTCTTGCTGGTGGGTGGGTGGGTGGGAATCTCGGTGCCACACCCGTTGCTCCCTTCATCGTGGATGTGATGTGGGTTTCGTGGGGTGGGGGCTGGGTTTATTTTTGGGATGGGATGGGGTTGTTCTGGGGATTTTGGTTCTTTTAGAGGAGGGGGGTTATGTTGAGATGGAATTGAGCTTAGTGGGTTGGGGTTGAAGATCGGAGTAGGAGGGTGGGGGGTGTTATTCTTGTAGTTACTAGATGTATCCAAAGAGCAATTACGGAAGAGGTCTCCGGGGCAGAATGAAGGATCGTTCTATGCTCTGGCGAGGATGAATATCTCGGAAGAATTGAGCCGAGTAGAGGTAGAGTCCGGTGTCAGATGAGCGGAGGCGGTGCGCTGGATATAAGTACGGAGTATGCGATGGATATGCATAATACCAATTCAGGCTTTGGGAGCAGATGATGGATATCGGAGGCATTGGGACTTCATTCATGCATTGCGGTGTAGTAGTGTTATCGTTGTTGGCGGTCTGATATCACTGGAAAAGGAATTGGATATATCAGCTGTCATTCTTTTCATTTCAGTTCACGCAAAGAAGACGTGGTAGAGCGATTCTTCGACAATATGAAATGAGACATTATGAAGGCCCTTGTGAAAGACAACTGTTCCAACCAGGGACAGTAGTATTCTAAACATATATAGCCAATAACTTTCTCACCATCCATTGACATTGTGTCTTCAGCCGTGGCCTGTCTACTCAATGCTAGGAGGCACTTGAGAGATACTGCCATGAGAAGATACATCCACAGCTGGCAAGATATTCAATGACAGTTGCAACACAGATTATGTAGCTAGAGAGTCTATTTGAAGCTCCTCATCTTCTCTCTGCCCACCCTTCCTTCTCATCTACCTATATGGCTCCATCTCTTGTCTTCCATCTTCAATATGTTGCACATTGGAATGACGTACTCTTCATATGCCCTTTCTAAATAGTGTTCCTGTTCTTCTAGGGCACCTCAGCTTCGCCTATTCAAAACTATCCCAACTGGTATCCAGAAAGATATCCCTCTGCCAAGGTATTCAGCCTAAGGCCCAAGATGCAACAGATCCCTATACTCATCTTTATTCCCAGATTCTACAATGGATATAGACGCCCCTGGAACTCGACCTGACTACTTTGGCCCACGCGAGGCCAGAACCTAATCCTTTTCTCTCCTGCAGCAACGTAGCTGCAAATGCTCGGACTTAGTTAGAAGATCGAGGGCAAGAAAACCACAAGAATGGCCCCTTTGATGTCGGGAGACCATGGATGGAGAGTCAAGCTTTGACTCTGAAAGGCCGGAAAGCGACCGTGGCAAGCCTGATAAGCTATTCGGCAGCCCTTCGGAGGTACAGAGAAGGTTGATCCGTCAACTGCTGGACGCAATGCTGAGGAGGAGAGTGAGTCCGCACGGTCTGTATACGTGCGTCCTAGCAGAGCTAGTGAATGGGATAGCTGGCTACTAATGTTGATTGACAGCTGATAGAGATACCCTGAATGGAGGTGCATGGAGGAGCGCTGGTCTAGGTAAATCCTTAGCAAGCAGTGCATAGCAGACAAAAATAATGTTGAGGTACGCGTGTGCATCTCCTAGTCGGGTCAACCAAGAGAGTGCTATTTGAAGGAATGAGGTGCGCACTAAAGCATTTCAGAATACACAAAACTTGCATGCATATCGGTGCGTTTATTCTATGTAACATGCGCCGCGGGGGGTATACCGCAGGGTGTACCTGTTTCGTTCGGTGGACTGCAAGATGTATGACCACCTAGGTTAGAGGGTGCGACGACTTTCTCTTTCGCACCTATTGCTTGACTTGTTTCGTGGGGCTTAAGAGGGCAGGCAAATTTTCAAGGGTCTGTCTGTATTGAGTTCGAGTCGTGTGTGTGGATATTCCTATGGCTTTGACTACAATTGGAAGGAGAAGCTTAAGACTTCGAGGCGTTGTTGCAGTATAGCTACAGACTCATTTGGAATTGATTGGTGTGCTATTATACTACGTACAAGTTAACCTGCAAGCCCTTGAAGCGAGTTATCGAGTGTCAGAATGAATGAACTTGAATCCAATCAGAGTCCCTTGTATTATTCTATTACATGGTGATCACCTATCGCAGTATAGTGATCCTTCGCTAGTTTATGTTTCATAAGATCAAGAGCGCAGAGACAGAGAACAAGACATCCCTGTGCTAAGATCAATCTATCTGTATCATGTCATTGACCTTTTGGAACAAGCATGAGACATCCCAGAAACCTGCCTCCCCATCGACTACCGCGCTCCGGGTCTGCTTCTTCTGCTGCCACGCAACCATATTCTCGGCACAGGCATCACAGTGCTCATGGACGGCCGCGCCAAGGTGAGCGAAGTACTCCATTAGCCTTCCATCGCTATAACCAGCCGCGTAGTGCACGGGCGGATTGCCTTCGTTGTCCAGGATTCAAGGATTCGCCCCAGCTTCTACCAGTAAACGGATACACCGAAAATGTCCTCCGCGTGCGGCCAAGTGTAAGGCTGTCATCGCCTCCGAGTTGCCCGCGCTGATATCATGGGTCATCAACAATGGATCCCCTGTTGCTGGGGCGCGCCACCTAGGTTCCTGGGAAGATGGCGGCTGAATGGCCATCCGAACTAAGAGCCATTCTACTACGTCGGCAGCGCCACATCCCGCTGCAAGGTGTAGATAGCTGTTTCCCTCACTATTGAGCTTATGCAGATCCTTGCTGGCATGGAGCATGGTCAGAATAATCCCCTCACACGTTTTGCTGTTGCTTTCCTTGTATTCGTTCGCTAGGCGCAGTATAATATGGATCGGTGTGTCACCTGTCTCTTGCTCGGCAATATCGACATCTGCGCCTGCGTTTATCAAGGACGGAAGTAGCTTCTGGAACCTGCAGTATCTGATTGCCAAACTGGAGGCAACATGGAGTATCGTGCGCTCCGAGCCGAATGGAGTGGACAGGTCCACGGCAGCTCTGCCCGAGGTGATCAATTCTAAGATTCGAGTTACCGCTTGCCATCCAAACTCGGTCGAGAGCCGGGAGACGACTGAGTCCAGGAGAAGTCGGCGCCGCAGGCAATGGTCAGGCCAGAAGGCCGGGCCTCGACGAAGAAGCAGTTGGAACACTTCCTCCGGGCCATCCAGTGCTCGGTCGATAGCGCTTTTACCATAGACGTCTACGGCCAAAAGATCGCTATCGGAATCGAGGAGCAATTCGATCAGGGAGATACAACCGCAGGAAACAGCGTTGTGGAATGGAGTGACACCTCGATTGTTAGGGGCAAGAATGTCACTGCGTGAGTCGGTCGTCGCTCTCAAGAGATGCTTCACGACTTCTGTGTGGCCTTGCTTGCAGGCCAGGTTCAAAGCCGTGTCGCCGGTTGAGGTCTTTCTGAGAGGGTCAGCCCGGTGAGCAAGCAAGTATTCCACGATGGGAATGTATCCCTGCCAGGACGCTAAGTGCAGCACTGTATAGCCTTGAGCACCAGGCGTATTAATGTCGCCTTGAGTGTGGGTGATATGAGAGATGAACATTCTTGAAAAATCTGTCAGACCATGGATGATAACCATCTCGAATGGGGATGCCCCATCCGCGTGGCTAGTGAAAATATCCGCACCCAACTTGAGCAAGTGCGCAGTCACTTCCAAATAGCCCCCACGGACGGCCATATGCAATGGTGTCTGGCAATAACGATCGACTGCATTGATATCCGCCCCAAAATCTGGTAGGGCCTGCACGACATCAAGGTGGCCTTGATACGCCGCTAAATGCAGGGGCGCAACTCGATCCTCATTCTTCGCATTGACATCCGCCCCTCGTCGAAGAAGAACATCAAGCAGCCACAGATTGCCGGCTCCTGCGAAGTGATGTACTAGTGTGGATCGATCATAACCCAGGAAATTGTCGGGTTGGAGCCGCGAAAAGTAGTCAATCGCGTACTGTGATGTCCAGGTCTTGGTGTTACCCCAAAGAGAACGATAGCTGACAGAACTGGCACAGTGGATTCGGATCCAGATGTCATAAAGCTGCGGGTACAACAGCAGAGCGTACCTCCTCGCTGAACAAGTCAATGCGGCGAGCGATTTGGGCTCAAGGAAATATCCCAAGCATAGAATAAGCTCGGCGGGAAGACTATCCAAACTCATACTGACTGGTACAGGGAAGCATGAGGACAGGCATGGATAGCTTCCAGTCAAGCTTATAACCAAGGGGTGGCTGGCTTCATGGAATGTTCATCCTGCAGTATTACAGGCTTGCTGCTGGTCCCCTTGCGCATCGAAGACTCCATGGCGAGTTGCCATTGGGTCAGTCAGTACGGAGGAGATGAACATGGCCGTAGGGCATATCGCACACCTTCACAATCTGGGGTGAGCATCGATGGGAATGAAGCATCCCTTCTAGAGGTCGCAACAAAGCTTCAGTTAGCTGTGAGGTGCACCACCGGCAGGCGGCCCCTTAAATCATGTGACCGTCCCATGTGCCCAGATTTCGTGGCACTTCCGGATAGATACTTCGTGCGATCGACACTCCCAGTTGTTGAGACGTAGGGCGAAGCTATTCGCGTGAAGTCTCAGGCATGCTGATTGGCTGTTGCAGACAAGGCCTGGCTTCGGTGATTTGACTGGACATAGCCCGCGCTGCATCCTGATTTGCCCGATAGCCTCCTTCGCGTTGCGCGGAATAAACTCTCAGCGGTTCTTTTGTCCTCTTATGGTCTCGCTTATCATGTCGTCCGGAAGTTAATGGTGGTCGACACAGGCAGGCAGCAGGCTCCAACACTGGATGCATACGTACACCCACATCCTCAGGTTGCATGGAGGTGTGTCTGTAGTGCATGCAGCTCTCCAAGAGATACGCAGGATTCCCCATGCTCTCATGCGGCATTGTCTGACAATCAACGTAGGTAGGGAACCAAAGCGACAGTGTGTCGTGAGACGTGGACCCGTTAGGACGAAAGACTAGTGCAGTATGGTGGAGCAGCGGTGAGTCTGTTTCTCTGGAAGCGTCTAGATCCCTCCGGACGGGTTGGCTTGGGTTGAGTTGGCCTTCCCCGTCTTTCCCTCGTCAGCGATCCTCCGCTCTTTTGTCGGCTCAGCTGTTCTTCTTTGCCCGAAAGACGGGGTGTTGGAGTAGGGGATAGTCGAATGAGATCATCGGGATTGTGGTGCGCTTTCCGACTGTCGTGATCAGGAAGATTCAGGGACAGACGGGGTCGGGAGTCAGGAACTGGGACGAAGGGGAGGGAATGAATCGGACAACGAAGAGAGAGAATGAAGGAAAGCCACAGAAGCCAGTCAAACAAGGCAAGGCTAGCAAAAGTGGGGTGGAAATTGATTCAATCCAACGCCATGAAGTCACTTGGTGGGGGAGATTCTTTTAAGTTGGATTGGTTTGGGTTAGTTTCGGGGCGGGATGAAGTCATCACGCCAGGAATCCGAAGTACTTCCCGGTACCTGGCCGTGGCTGTCCCGAGACTAGTCCTGCCGAGTACCGAGAGGTATACTCTGTGTGTGAGTGTGTGCATCTGTCGGTCTGTTGATCAATCACCAAAACTGTCAATCTGTCAGTTTGACTGTCATTCTGACTGTTGGACTGATGTGCTGTAGATTTCTTAGTAGTTTTTGAAAGGATAAGCAATAATTCCTCCCCGTACTGCTGTTCTCCCGATTGGTTTCAGCTGGCAGCATCCAGTCAGCCCATGCATGGACCGGAGAGACTAAAACCGTCCAGACAAACAGACTGGCAGACAGACTAGGTTCAAGTTCCAGTCTTGTCTTGTCTTGGAGTCAAATCGGGCAATGCTGGCAGTCCCCACCTGCTGCTGCTGTTGCTGCTATACTCAATCCCTCGCCTTGACTTCATTTCCCCTCTTCGTTCCTCGAACCCCTCCATCCGATCGACTCGTTGCTGGCATTCAAATAGCCTCGTGTTTCCCCTCGACAATGTTCTTGCCTTCATCTCATCTCATCTGCTCTTCATCTCTCCCACACTTCCACAGATAACCCACCTGATCTCTTCCTCGTTTCCCTCTATACCCTTTCATCATCCTGTAGGTGGCTTCTTCCCCAGTAAGCAGTCAGCGAGATCATCCTGTCTAACCGCTCGACAGCATACCACACATCAAGCACTATGGCTGCCAACCTCCCCAAGACCATGAAGGCCCTCCGGTTGGTGATGACCTGTTCCCCTCACTGGTTGTCTTAGTCAAGGCTAACTCATCACAAAGTTACGAGGAGCCCTTGAAGCACGGCATTGCCGAGGTTCCCCTTCCCACTATCCGTGACAACGATGTCTTGGTAAGTCTTGGAGACTTTGGGTGAAGTAGACCCCCACTAACTCGCAGCAGATCAAGGTCAAGGCTTGCGGTGTCTGCGGTACCGATTTGCACATTCACGAGGGTGAATTCATTGCCAAGTTCCCTCTCGTTCCCGGTCACGAGACGGTCGGTGTTGTCGCTGCCGTCGGCTCCAAGGTCAAGGGCTTCGAGATTGGTGAGCGTGTGGTGGCCGACAACTCCGAGCTGTGCGGCGAGTGCTTCTACTGCCGTCGGGGTGATGAGTTGTTCTGCGAGAACTTCCAGGCTCACGGTGTCACCATGAACGGTGGCTTTGCCGAATACTGCGCCTACCCTGGTATGTTTGTTTTAGCCTTCTGTAACCAAGGCCGTTGGCTAACAGAACGTAGCTGGCAGGGTGTTCAAGATTAAGAACCTCTCGGATGTGGACGCCACTCTCCTGGAGCCCGCTTCCTGCGCCGCTCACGGTCTCGACAAGATCGCCCCGAAGATGGGCTCGTCGGTTCTGTTGTTCGGTGCCGGTCCCACTGGTCTGGTAGGTGATCTCGCATCCAGGGTCTTTCATTCGCGTCGATCTGACATCTCTCCAGATCCTGGCTCAGTTGCTCCGTCAATGCGGTGGCTGCCGTGTCGTCGTTGCTGCCCCCGAGGGTCTCAAGATGGACCTGGCTAAGTCCCTCGATGCCGGTGATGAGTACGTTGCTCTCTCCCGCAGCGACCCCAGCGCACAGTTCCAGAAGCTCAAGGACGAGAATCCCTATGGCTTCGACATTGTCGTCGAGGCTACTGGTAGCGTCAAGATCCTGGAGGACTCGATCAACTATGTCCGCCGTGGTGGTAAGCTTGTCGTGTACGGTGTGTACTCCGGCAAGGACCGTGTCTCTTGGCCCCCTAGCAAGATCTGTAAGTCAATCTCTCTCCGCTGTATCCGCAACGAGTGCAACGCTAATGATTTTCATAGTCGGCGACGAGATCACCATCCTGGGTAGCTTCTCCGAGGTGTACAAGTTCCCCGCTGCCATTGACTACTTGGACTCTGGCAAGGTCAAGGTCAAGGGCATTGTCAACAAGGTGTTCAAGATTGAGGAGTGGGAGAAGTGCTTGGAGAGCATGAAGAACAAGTCTGCCATCAAGGCGGCCATCACTTTTGATTAGATTAGCATAGCTGGCTGTGCTTTCTAGGTAATGACTGACGAATAAATCTGTATGATATATCTGCGTGTTTAAAGTAGCTGTCAGTAGCTGTAGCGGTCTTTAAATAGTGTCGAGAGGACCTGGTGGGTCGGTGTCTCCAAGGTCCTTATTGCATCAGAGTGACCTAAGATAGCTGCTGGATGAGTTGTCATTTGTTTAGTCTCCAATCCTCTTAGTGTAGCTGAAAATATACTAACCTTAACATATTGAGTGTGTTGGACTAGTCTCTGTCCATCAAATGTACTCGTGTAGTTCAATCCAACCGCCAAACGCAGCTCAAGTGGATCCGCTCTTATCGATAAGCAACTGCAACCCATCACTGTCTTCGACTTTCTCTCCACTCCATCTTTCTTCAACACTACAGCGCAATCTCCCATTCGTCCTCCTACGCATTCCCCTCTCAAATTCAATTACCTCTCGAACGCACCAATCCTCAAACCAAAATGGTCAAACCCCTAACCTTCAAAGGCGACAAGCCGAAATCCAGCAAAAAACGCAAAGCCGAGACCTCATTAACCAGCACCTCCAAAAAGCCTTCAACAAACGACCCATCCTCCGCTTCAACCACCATCGCAGACACCAACCCACTGACCGACCATCCCGCCAATGAAGACGAGAACCCAGAAGACCAATCCTGGGTATCCGCCGACGCGCCCTCGGACCTCGCAGGCCCGATCCTCCTAGTGCTGCCCAGCCAACCGCCGACATGCATCGCCAGCGACGCGCACGGGAAAGTCTTCGCCTCGGAGCTCGAGAACCTGATCGAGGGGGACGCCAGCACGGCGGAGCCGCACGACGTGCGGCAGGTGTGGGTAGCGACGAAGGTTGCAGGCGTGGAGGGGTGGAGCTTCAAGGGAGCGCATGGGCGGTATGTTTCCTTTTACTCCCCTCATCGTCCTCCTTAGACACAATATAATGCATAGTCTGAGCCATGAAAGCTGACACCCAGGAAACAAAAAGGTATCTATCCAGCGACAAACACGGCATCCTCAGCGCGACCTCCGCGGCAGTCTCGCACTACGAAACCTTCAACGTCCTGCCCGCCGCCGTGCCGAGCACCTTCTCCATCCAGACGGGTACCAGCGAGTCCGAAGAAAGCACCTTCATCAGCGTGGCGGAGACGCCATCGAAAAGCACCGCGTCCGGCGTCAAGCTGGAGGTCCGCGGCGATACCGGCACCTTGTCGGCTGATACCAATATCCGGGTGCGCATGCAGGCGCGCTTCAAGCCTAAGATCAAGGCTAGTAAGGAGATCAAGGCGCGCGAGAAGGTGAGCCGCAAGGAGCTGGAGGCTATCGTTGGGCGGAGGTTGGAGGAGGATGAGGTGCGGCGGTTGAGGCGCGCGAGGAGGGAGGGCGATTTTCATGAGGTGGTGCTGGATGTCAGGGTCAGGGGGAAGCATGATAAGTTTGCTTGAGGCTTGGTTCGTCTGGTTTGTGGGGAGGAGTGAATTAATGATGTTATATGGATTAATTCCTATACCTATACTCCCTTCTTTCTGCTCTCGAGCCTGTTGGCGGTGATGCTATAGAATGGCTGGCACATTATAGTATAGAGAGATATCATGTCTTTTCTGCTGGTATGTATAGACTGAGGCGGGTTGACTTTTGTACAGATTCTTGGTAATTAAACTGCTCTATTCTTTCTGGGAAAATAGGTCCCGCCAGAACTGCTTGAATCCATAGCCCTTCGAGTGATCTTCTTCGTACACCCGCACAGTGTGAGATGTACTGAGAGACTCTAAGATGCTTGCAGCTTTAGGCCCTTTTGTGGCCGGGCCCCGAACCCGCTCGGTTGCTCGTCGCTTGATCTCCTCCGCCAGACCGGGAGCCACGTCGGTGTAACATGCATTGAGCTCCCGCTCGAGATTGAGATACGGCTTCTGCGCCACTGGCGGAGCCATAAGATTGTAGGACCGCGTCTGCGCATTCAGATTCTTGACCATAAGCTCCAAATACGAGCGCTCGGTATTGAGATATTGCGGGTCACGGAGAGGCGAGACATGCGGCAGGGGCTCCTCCGAAACCTCGCCAGCTAATGCCTCAATGACAGTCGCATCGGAAGAGACCCGCTCTTCACTACTGCTGCTGCTAGATTCCTTGAACGCCTGCTCGATCTTGGCTCTTTCAACCAACCGAGCCTCTGCCGCGGCATACGCACGCGCTCGCCGCATCTGCTCCTCCAGCGACCCTCCCTCGCTGGCGATCAGCCGTGCAGCGTGCCGTCGCCACTCAGCCCGCAGCCGGGAGCGGAACCGATCCACCTCCCTGGCCAAGTCCTGCTGCTTTTCAATCCAGGGCGGCACAATCTCCTGCTTCTGGATGATCTTGTTCATGAAATACTCCGTCGTGTCGATAAACGGGCTATTCGCATTATGGTCCGTCGTCACATTGACCCCCTTGCCCCTCTTGATCTTATTGAACTGCCCACGCGCAATCGCATCCTCAATCCGCTCGTTCGCCAACGCCGTCAACCCCTGCAAGGTAGCCGGCATCGGCCGCGCGCCCGCGGAGAACCGCTCCCTCATCTCCCGACGCATAGCCTCACGCTCTTTCTCCGAGGGCCCCGAATTTTGCGCCTGAGTGTACGTTGCCGTGCGCTCCTTCGCTCGCGCCAGCCGCACGCCGGCCGACTCGTTGGATTTGGGCTTGATGCGCATGTCGACGGGTTTCGGGATCTTGTAGGGCGTGCGCATCGGTTTGATCGAGCTGTCCAGCATGCGCAGTGTGACGTCGTGGAGGTTCTCCTTGCCCGTCCAGGGCTCCGCGCCGGCGATGTCTCGCGTGCCTTGTCCTGCGCTGGCCTGTATAGAAGCAACGGAGTATGAGTCAGTACTTCCATCTCCCATATTCTGTTAGGGTCCAAAGGGTGTAACTATACCGGCATATCCACAATAGCATGGGCACTCGCATAGTCGTTCCGGAATGACGCCGCCGCCACCCGTTCCTCCAGCTGCTTCTTCAGATCCTCCGAGAACCCCGCGGACTCCATATTCTTGCGTGCAGATCGCCCGCCTTCGAGCATGGCGTCCTCGGTCATCGCGGATAGTCGACGGGCCATGGCCCCTTGCTCGGGAGATTCTCCATCTTGAGGTTTGCTGCTGCTGCTGCTGCTGCTGCTGCTATCATCGCTCTGCTGTTGGGCGGTTGCCGCATCTTGCCGCCGCCGCGCACTGCTGCTGGAAAAAAGACATCGACAGTTCGGGGAAGAGGGTTGAATGCAGCGCGTCGTGCGCAGCGAGACGAGAGTATTCAAGTAAAAATCACAGACATGCCTTCTGCTCATTCTCGTAACAATATCTGACTGTGCAATCTTGTATGTTCTTGGCGAGGCGAAACTGAATGTAGAACGAAGCACCTTATCAGTAGCAATCCAAAACCGCGCCGAGATTATGTCAGCACCACTCCGAAAGGCAAACCTCCGCGGGCAAAATTGTCCAGAAGTCTTGGCGGGATAGCACTTTCCACTGGCTCTGCATCCTTCGATTCGATCCATTCCGATCTGGCGGCATTATTCTGCATTGAAAACCACGACAAAAGCAGACCCAGCCCCTTTCCCTCGGTGCTCCAAGTTCAATACAGTTGACGAAACCATAATGCCTCCCAAAGCCAGCACCCGTCTCACCCCGGTCCGTCTCCAGACCATCAACCACCTGCGCGTCCGGAGACCGAACAAGCACCAGGGCAACCCCTGTGTGGCTATCATGTCGTCGATGCTGAGTACGTTCGCTACCTCTCAACATATCTGCCACCTACCTGCCGTGAAAGGCTGTTCTCCAACTATCCATCTAGAGGAATCCAGCTCTTAGCGGGAAGCACCGCAACCCTCTCTGAACTAAAACCACAAACAACACCTCCAACGAATCGAACCCACCCTAACTAATGTCTCTTTCTACGCAGGTTGCTGGGCCTCAGCCGGTGCCACTATGGAAGGATGCGGGGCCCTGGAACAGCAGCTACGAGCCTGCATGGACGCACCCGTACGTTTCTCTTTCCTGCCATGCACAAACGAGACGGAGTTGCAGTTTACTAATCCGCTATCGCGACATACAGAAACCCAAGGCCCAGGGCCGCAGCACGATCAACTACCACCTCATGAGAATGTTCCCGAATGTTCGTGGTCCGCAGAAGAAGGAGAGTGTTTTGGGTTGAGCTTCGCGTTTGTTCTTGCGTTTGCTTGCGGTGTTTAAGCTGGTTGTGCTTTTTGGGAAGCGGGTTTGAGTACTGGTACCTACCTACCTAGGTATTGAGAGGTGAGGGTCTGGCATGGGAGAGAGTCGTTGGGATGGATGAGGATGGGGCTGTGCTGGGTGTGCTATGGGCTGGAAGTGGTGGTGGGGGTGGACATAAACTGTATTCTACTTTGTTATTGGAGTTTCTTCGTTTTCTTTCTCCGGGTTTGAGGGTAAATGTGATCGTTTATTCTATGGGTAAATGCGTGCATGGTTTGGGGTTGTAAATAAGGGAGGAGGTGTTGGGTTCAATGTGCTTGGTGCTCAGTGGATGAAATACTACTGGGAAGGTATGAGGAACACGACGTTTGTCTTGCACAACATAAGTCAATAGATAGAATCTGCTATCAGACAGTTTCAAACCGCAAGATCAACTTCTCGCCACGAGGCTTGACGGTGTACGCATCAATCGCCTCGATGTCGTCGTCATCGACGATAGAGGTCGTGAAGTTCGTGTAGATGGCTGCAACAGCCAATTTCATCTCTTCGGAGTATCACGTCAGACCGGCATCAGCCATATTTGAGCGATAACTTACCTTGCAGGGCTAGATTGCTCCCAACACACATCCGTCCACCGCTGCCAAAAGCCCAGAACCACCGTCGCCGTTCCTCTAGCTCGGCGGCCGTGTTCTGATCTTTAAGCCACCGCTTCGGTTCCCATGATTCAGGCTCGGGGAAGACCGTGGGGTTACGGTGGAGTGAGTAGGCCTGCGCGTTCACCCTAGTGTTTGCCGGAATATCGCTATAGCCTACGAGCATGCAGCTTGGGGAGGGTGTCACGCGCGGCTGGATCCCTGGAATTGGCGCATGCAGGCGCAATGTCTCCGTAACGATGGCTTCGAGAAGAGGCAATGAGTCGATTGATTTGGGTGACGGAAGTTCTCGGGATGAATCAGGACGAGGATAATTAAGTCTTGGCTCAAGGGTCAGGAGCTCTTCGTGGAGCTCTTTCTGCAGGGCAGGGTGCTTAGAAAGCTCCCAGAAAAGATAGGTTAGAGCCACTGCGCTAGTCTCATGGCCAGCGGTGAGATGGTCGTATAGTTCGCAGGCGATCTCGCATTTTTGTTTCTCGGGGTCTGCATCCGACGAACCAATGGCCTTCTGCTGCTTCAAGAGACCCTGCTTGAGCTGTTTATATACCATCGGCTCATTTTCTAGATTGGTAGACGTCATGCATTCGTCGGCCTTGTCGCAGAAATCCAGTCCCCATGCGTCCAGAACCTCGTTGGCCTCGTCGCACCATTTGGGTATCAGACGAAGTCCAATCTTCTTTGTCCATGCCAGGAAACCAGGAACTTCTTGGTGATAGAATTCGAATGGTTTTCTGCATTGGTAAAGATGTAGCATTCTCCTGCGGAAGGGCTCATTCTGAAGGAAGTTCGACCCATTAGCCAGCCCGTAGAGATACGAGGATACAAAGTCCATGGTTAGGCCTTGGTTTAAATCATGTATGTCAACCGGCGCATCAGACGAGAATGCCTTGTGGATTAAGGGCAGAAAACGGTCGAGGATTATTGTTTCGGAGATCAAATGGACATGCGGTGATGACTGTAAGAACGACTTGCTATAGATGTTGGACAGCAGTCTCTTGCGGCTTGAATGGGCCTTGTTGTCGGTCATAGTGAACATGCTTACGGTCCTGTGTCATTGGATTAGTACTTCGTCAACCACAACGGCACCATAGCAATCCTCACCCAAAAGACCCAAACACGCGTGGATACCATTCATGTTTCTCGAAGCCCCCAGTGTAAACGCTCTTGATACCACCGTCAACGCAATTGATGGAGATTTCCGAAGGTCCTAGTCTCACGATTGGACCGAGCCTTTCATGCGCCGCCTGGATGGTCCGATTATTCAAGGCCCGATACCGTTTCCATATGATCCAAGCGGGAGATACAGGCGCTGTCCAATGTGCATTTGGGATTTTGGACAAAGGTGATAGAAAGGCTGGATATACAATTAACTTGTAGGCCAGGACCAAAATGCAAGTGATAACTGCGACGGTAGTGACAGCAGAAACCGCCATTTTGTCGGATGAAGTCTCCCGTGAATCCTGTCTTTGTCGTCTCCGATACCTTTCCAGTATTGACAATAGACAAACTATACCTGGACCTCGGGGAGAGTAAGGCGCGCAAGTAGATCGGCTCTTTTCGGATGTAGTCGAGAAACTACCAGGCACAGATAATTCCTCGCACGCAGTTTCTGCGCGACAGAATGAAGCGTAAAGACACAGAATGTATATATCTCAAGCCTCTTGGACAAGCAAGTCGGATGAAGAGCAGTTGTAGCATGACTCACTGGAAATAGACAGACAATGAATGGTTCATTAAGCGGGGAGAGACCCATACATGTCTGCTGCGATAAGAGATTGCCGATGAAGATAAGAAAGAGTGGAGCGAGGGAAGGATGACATAACCGAGTTCCCAATCAGGTTGCAGGTCACATGTTCTCTTCATGAATGGATTTTTTGGGTCTTTATCACTATTGAATTCACAGTATGTTCAATCTTCTCAAGCTAGCTCTTGTACAGTATGCTATTGTATGCTGCTTTAAATATGGCCGCTTGTTCTTATAGGCTGACTAGAGCTTTCTGAGCTTGGCAAAATGCAGACTTATTTGTGCACGGTATTGACATATCCCTCCTATGCCAGTGATAGGGTTGCCAGCCCATATTTTCCCACAGCATGTCTTTAATCGCCGGCAGTATATAACAAAATCCGCTTAGCAAAATAGACACCTTCGCTTCTCATCTTTATTATAGAGTGTGGGTTATGGCCTTCTTATCCCATCCCTCAAAACATGGCTGACAGCGTGGCGAACAGCCTTGCACCATACGTCATTTCTGTGCCTGATCTTACTGAGAAGGGACAAACACAGTGGTGTTTCAAGATTCGACTTCTTCACCCTACATTATGTTGGAGGATCTACCTGCTGAGATTCTCTACCTCATAGCATGTCATTTGCCTACTGTCAATGCATTAGTGCAACTTTCGCGGACCAGCAAACGTCTGCATGCCACCATTGCTGCCGATAACTGGAGGATCTTTCGTGCCTTTGTGCAGAAACAATTTCCTGGCGCGAAGGTTCCTGGCTTCTGGAGAGAAGCAGCTCAGTCACTCACGTCTCGCTCGAGAGCCTTGGACAAGCATGCTGTTGTAGGACGGTTTGTTTTTCCGCCGCAAGCAACTAGGATCGGGTCTGAAAAGGCCATCCGGGGCGATAGGCCCACGCTGGGCTATCGACCTGCCCTGGACACCTACGAGACCTGGAATGGTTCAGGTTGGAATGACCGCCGAGAGGTCCTCGCTTGGGGTGCGGCGGACGAACTCTTTCTGCGAGTCAAACAGACAGGCTCGAAATCCCACGAGAAATGGATTATCTTTAGCGATCTGGATCATATCAGCAGTGTAGACGACATATGTGGTCTGCACATCCTGAACCCGAACCACCCAGCCTATGAGGAGGGTACGGAGCATCTGATCTTTGCTCGTGCCCGTGGTGAGCTACACCATCTCGCAATCTCCATCGACGAGCCTTCGCATGAGTACAAGCAAGTGTTTGAGACATACGGCCTGGGTATTGAACGTACCGACTTGAGCAACGGGGAGGAACCTATCCTCGCGGCGCACATGAACAATGGCACCATCGCATTGTACAATACAGCATCAACGAGCTCGAGAGTGTCAGAGTTCGCGCGAATTCAGATCGACCCGGCAAAGAAGGCCCGCAACAGATACTCGAAATTCCTTTCGTCCGACCTCCTGGCCATCGGAACAGGGCGCATCGACGATGCGATCGCTATCTCCTCCATCACCAACCAGCGCATATCGGTCGACCGAGAAATCAGCCTGAACCTGGTTGATTACGACAGATTGGATTCCTCCACGGCCATCAAGTCGGACGTAAACGCCATTGCACCTCTGAGCCCAACCGGGCAGGTCTTCCTCGCAGGATGGGGCGATCGCGGCGTCAGGTAAACAGCTAAACTCTCCTCAGCACACACCTCACCACCACTGACCCGGGTACCCCAGACTCCATGACCTCCGCTCCAACGCAGAGCATGAGCAGACATACCGCGACGTCACCGACGACAACCCGATCTACTGCATCCAGCCCCTCACGCACAACCGCTTCATCGTCGGCTCCGGCGGCGAAGCCCTCGTCAAGATCTTCGACCTCCGCATGGACCGCGGCTACAGCTACCTAGACGCAAAGCCCTCGATGAGGAGTTTCGCGCGTGCATCCCCGAAGAGCAAGACCACTACCGCTACCATCAACACCCTGGACCACCAGCTCCAAAACCTCAACCTCAACCTCACCTCCAACGGCACCACACACCCCCGCAAAGAAATGTCGATCTACCTCTCCCAGCCCGCACCAACCACCTATCACGCGCCGCGACCCCAGCACCACCGCCCCTACCGCGGCGCAATCTACACCATGGCCTCGCCGTCCCCCAGCTCCCCGACCCTCTACACGGGCGTCGCCGACGGCGTCGTGCGCCTGGACTTTGTCGCCACCGACGACCTCCTCGGCCCCGACCGCGCCTGGCACGCCGCCCCGCTCTCCCTCAACCTCGCCTCGACCCAGCACTCGCGCCGCGCCGACCGCATCCTCGACCTCTCGGGCTACGAGCGCCCCGACCCCGCTAATAGCTCGGCGGTCGTGCGGCTGCGCACGCAGCAGGCCTTCCGCGAAGTCTCGGCTGAGGACGCCGAAGAAGAGCGTGCTACCGGGTGGGACCGTCGGTGGACCCGTCTGAAGGATTTCAGCTCGTGGAGACGGGCGCTGTAGATGGAACAGAGCTTTTTGCATGGTGATTGGGGAGGTGCGAGTCGTGAGTTGCACTTTGGATTACGGACTTTGGGTTCTTGTGCTTGGTTGGTCCGGTCATTTAGGGTTCGTATAGACCTGAGGTATAAAGATTGTTTTCTTTCCTGTTTTGTCTACGTTGCTGTACAGGGTACTTCGAAACCTACTTGATTAGGTTGGATGTGCTACGAGAAGTTTGCGAAAAGAATAGACCATTTCAGGTAAAAACGAGAACAGACCTGGACCAATTCGTTCTTTTGTTTTCAACGGACAGGTGTAGGTACATTCGTAGGGAGAAGGTAAATAAGGGGGGGAAAAAAAACAGAAAACAAAATTCCGACCCGGCTCCATTAGCGCCTTGCTGCAAGAAGCAAACATTTTTGAGGGACCCCGAGATCTAAAGGATGCATCTAGATCTGATCATCTAATAATGTGACAGTGAATGACTTTTTCTTGCTCCCTGGGTTTATGGTCGGCCAGTTCAGCTGCTTCTGTTGCCGTAGCGTACATGACAAGCTAGAAAAGTCCCAACACAAGCCCCCAGCACGGAAAGCGAGAGCGTCAAAAAGTGAATGGCAGGGGGTATTTTGACAACTACAACGCGAAAACGCATCTAGTCATCGAACTTGAAGGACTTGCCGCCGGAGATGTCGATGGGGCCACCACGGTAAGATCCGCGCTTTTTCTTGTTCTTCTCCTTGGTGAAGCCTTTGCCCCGGGTGACGGACAGATCTTGCCAGGCCTTTTCGGCGTAGGCGTAGGGGATGTAATCGTTCGAGGGGTGGTGGTCGTAGGGCTGTTCACTGAGGAGAGCCAGGGGCGTGGGGCGGGCACCGGTGTGCTTCTTCTTGGGGAAGCCGTTATCAGGAGCAGAGCTGGCACTCGAGGAGGTAGTCTCTCGCACGGTCACAGCGGATGCGGCCTTCTTGCTGTCAGACTCGGAGTTCTCGACGGTTTCGCTGCTCTCGGAGCTCGAGGGAGTGGCCTTTCCGCTCTCATCCTCGGAAGAGGAGTCGGAGTCGGAGGAAGAAGAGGAATCAGAGTCGGAAGAAGAGGAGCTGGAAGTCGAGGCGGCCTTGGTTTCCTTCACGGGCTTGGCCTCCTCCTCGTCGCTGGAGGAACCAGAGTCGGACTCCGACTCAGACTCGGAGCTTGAGTCGGAAGAGCTCTCGTCTTCGCTGGAAGACTCGGAGGAAGAGGAATCAGAGTCAGAAGAGTCGGACTCGGAATCGGAGGAAGATGAAGCCTCGGCAGAAGACAATTTGGTCTTCTTGGACTTGGGAGCCTCCTCCGATTCGGACTCGGACTCAGATTCGGAGGAGCTAGACTCGGCCTTGCGCTTGGTGCCCTGGGGCTTAGCGGCAGGAGCAGCGGCAGCTTCTTCCTCCTTCTCGTCATCGGCATCGCTGTCGGAGTCGGACGAGGAAGAGGAAGATGAAGGCGAAGAGCTTCTAGACTGCTTCTTCTGCGTCTTCGGAGCGTCATCCATCTCGACGTCGGAGTCGCTAGAATCATCGGAGCTGCTGTCACTGTCCGAAGAGGACGAGCTAGAGTCATCCGAGCTGCCGGACTCCGAGGATTGGGACTGCTCCCAAGTCTTGAAAAGCTCCAACAAAGAAGGCACGTTCTTGGTGTCGGCACTGATGGACTTGCTGCTCAGCTCTTTGACGAGAGCCTCGTGGGACTTCGACAGGCCATGCTCGGACAGGAACGAGGAGATCGCCGCGACAAGGGGAGCAGGAGGGGTCTTTGATGTAGAAAAGATTTGTCAGTATACCATCCGGCGCATTTTCAGCTAATGGCAAAATTGAAGCGAACTTCGCATACCGTCTTCTTGTCCTTAGGCATCTTGGCAGGAGAGGATTTCTGGGCTTTCTTGCCGGCCATTGTAACGCTCTGGTGAAGGAAAAATGAACTTGGAGCGAAGAACAAATGGCACTCGGGCAGTGGATGTTTTCGATCTTTCCTTTATCGGACTGACAGAAAAAAAAGTTTAGAAGGGGAAGAAAGGGACGGCTTTAAGGCACAAGGCGGTAAGTAGGATGCCGTGAGTTAATTGGTCGGTCGGGATTTTCATCCTGCACTCACGTGGCGTCCCGTGATCAACTGTTTGGTATGGTCACGTGTCAATCAAGATGGATCGATTCAATCGAGTATGAGTGTGAGAATAACGAAATACAATGCGAATGCTCAGACTTTCAGTTCAATCATGCTGAGTAGTATAGTATGTAAGCTTTCCCCATTGTTCTTGAGAGCAGCGTGGCCCGGTCGGTATGCTAGTTCCCACGGTGATATATACTGATCTCCTGTCTGATTTTCTGAATGCGATAATACATATTCCCCGTGCGTGATCCTGATTCGGGTCCTAGTAACTCTGTATGACCACTGTATTCTGATATAATCAGCAATAATCTCCAGGGCAAGCTCTAGACTGAGCTCTCCAACCCTCAAAATGATCTCAGCTGTGCAACACTACTCCATACCTCCCGGCCAATGACATCCTGCCGCAACTCGCGGGGAATGATCGAAACGTGGTGGAGATGAAAGGATTTATGCAAATGCTTACATTATTATACTGCGCTCGAAGGTGGGCCAGGCCACCGTCGAGTAGGTATAGATCGATGCCTAAGGCTTAAAAGTAACTAACTAACTCTTGTGGTGGTTTTATAAAGAGTATGAAGAGTTAAGAGCTTGAGAGAAAGCCACACCTTCTCAATTGATCTGTAAGATGGTTCTAAGTCTTGTTCCTGGAAAAACCCGTATCGTCGACCAGTCAATGCATGTCGAGTCAGCCTCGTTCTGATGCCGTGTGCACGAGCTCGTCCTTCGACTCTCCGCCCGCGACAGCTGCGGTTAGTGTCCGCCGCCGCCCATATTCAGCGGTAGCCTGTAGGAGTAGTTAACCACCGTCCGTAATTAATGACCTAATCCAACTCTCCGGCTCCTCCTTGGTTGTGTTTCGCATTTAGTATTACTCCCAACAACTGTGCATATCGCTTGCTCCGTTATACTAAGAGTGTTGGTCTCTTTTCAAACCCATTTTCCTTGCGACTTTGTTCTTTGATGGGCTGTGCTAGTCGCCCACATCGCGCCGCAACCGCACCCCCGTGTCTTCCTTCCCTGTCAACCCCCCCAACAATGTCCACTTGGGCCCTGATACATCCTGAGTGATCCAGCCTTTCGGGTTCCAAACAACAATTATGAGCAGTCGTGACCGTTCACGGGGCCCTCCGCCCGGTGAGATTCCTCCTCAAAGGGATCCGCGTCGTGCAGGCGATAGTCGCAATGGCGGATTCGCCGGACCCGGAGATGGCTCGTTGTCAAGGGCGGAGAAATTCGAGGACGAAAAAAGGCGGATTATCCACAGCTGCTTCGCAAAGAAAGATAGTGATGGGACTTGTATAGGATCCTCCCCTTCTGAAGTCAATTGTATCAAGCAAAACTGATCGCGTCTCCCTTGGTTCCAGTGGTCGAGTCCTACATAACACATGTCCGCATCATCGAAGATGCGGCGTATCCGTCCACCCCCGCTCCTCCAAATTCGCCGCCTGAAAACAAGAAGCCTAGGGTCATAATCGTTGCGGTCCGAAGATCGGGCAGAGTGCGCTTGCATAAAGCTAGGGAAAACAATGACGGATCTTTCTCCATCGGGAAAACATGGATGCTGGACGACTTATCCGCAATTCAATCCTACAATGCCCTCGTACCGTCGACCCCATTGGAACAACAGCAGAAGCAGTGGGCTCTCAATCTCGGATTTGTGATCACCGTGGGAAAGCCTTATTATTGGCATGCACGGACCTCCAAAGAGAAGGACTTTTTCATAGGCAGCCTGGTGAAGATCTATCGCAAATACACTGGCGGCAAAATACCCACGCTTATCGGATTTGACGATCGTGAGCGCCAACTGCTTGCTGGATCGCATCCCACGCCTCCGACAGCACCACCAGCTCCCAACCCCCCTAACGCAGGACCCTCTCGCTCAGATGTGACCCTCCCTCCCCCGCGCCCACCCTCATCTCAGGGTAGTCGACCTCAGTCTCCGTATTCGAGCCGTGCCCCTAGTCGGGATGGACCCAAGCGGCCGCCGCCCGAGGAACATGCCCTGCGAACCCAGAAGAGTCGAGAGCAGATGGCAAGGCCATCTACTGGCCAGTCTGGAAAAAGCGCATTTTCCCCGCTCGCTCCCCCACCGCATCCGCCACCAATTCCTCCTGATCATCGTGAGCAACCTCCTCCTCGTGCAACTGAACGACTCGCAACAGATGTCAGAGGCCCAAAGGCGCCGCCGCCCCCTCCTCACGGCCCCCACGAAGCCAGAAGCAGGGACTTCCCATCTAGTTTACAGCCTGCCTCTTCTGCTGGCACGCTGGAGAGGTTTAGCGGCCACAATGGCGACAGTCCAGGGGTTCCTCACTTGGAGGCCCGGCCGCCGTCCTCGCGAGATGGAAGGCCAGGTCCCGAGTCCAGGCCTATGCTTCGTACCCATGATTTACACACTAGTCGCAGCAAGGATGGTCTACGACCTACCACACCAGGATCGATTTCCGGAGAAAATCGCACCTTCTTGCACAGTCCAGCCAGCACTGTGGGGCCGCGGTCGCCCCTGCGAGAAACATCTGAAAGGTCGTCTAGGTCGGAACTACAAACAGAGCCCCAGGAGCTGGAGGCTCCTGTTGGTTCAAGCGCCGGTGACCTGCCATCTACGTTAATGCCCGGCTTATCGGCAGGCAACAAGACACCAACCACACCCCAGACTCCTGAACCGATAGCCGTCCCAGCACCAGCACCGGCACCGGCACCAGCACCAGCACCGGCACCGGCACCAGCACCAATCATAGCAGCACCAGAGCCTCCACAGTCTCCAGATGCTGCCGAACCAGTTACAGAAACGGAACCCGGAATGCCTGAAAGCCCCCCAGATGAAACTGATCCTACAGCCGAAGACCTTGATACACACCGCCCAGGCCTCGGGCCCATGATTAAGAAAAAGCAAAACAAGGATGTTGTGGGAGTATTCCGCAAAGCCGCCACTGCTTACGGTGCATTCAAGCCAAGACCCGGAGGTGCAGGCGAAAGGCTTCTGGCAGCAGCCAGAAAGCAAAAAGCAGCCACGGATGAACCCGACGGTATCACAAGCGTTGTTCCAGCTCCATTCTTGCTTCGGACGAACAGTGACAATACCACGGCCGGCCCTGACAGCCCGGACAAAGAGGAGGCCCCGGTCCCGTTACCTGCAGCGACAGATAAACAGCCCGCTGCGCCACCGCCTATCACGATTCCTGCACCGGAACCTCCCACGGTCGAAGTAACTCAAGCTCCTCCGCTCGAGCCCGTCATCGATCCAGTCGAGGCACCCGCGGATACACGGAACACGTCAAGGCCTACGGTGCAGGTTGCCGCTGACGAGAGATCAAGGTCTGTGTCGCCCTCACCACACGATCGCCGCCGTCGACGTCACGAAGACAACACAATCAAATACTGCCAGTCGCTTGGTATCAAACCCAGCGTTCTGGGAGGGCGAGGTGTGGAATTCGATGACATCCTAACAGACCTTGGCTGGAATGGACGGTTGAGTGACGAGAAACGCATCGAAGACCTTGAAGCAGATATTCGTCGGGAGATCGGACGTGTGGAGGCTACCAGCTGGCTTGGTAACCTAGAGCAGCAGGAAGGGAAGATCGATCAACTGGCCAAACTGATTGACAAGACGGTCGAGGAGTGTGAGGAGCTGGATAACCTTCTCACGCTCTACGCGCATGAACTGAATGTAAGTCACGGCCTTAGGCGTATCTGGGATCCAGACCTTTTCGACATTATGCTAATCTGGCGATAGACTCTTCATGACGATGTGTCCTACATTGAAACACAATCTCAAGGTCTGCAAGTGCAGACGGCCAACCAAAAGTTACTTCAAAACGAGCTACAGAATCTTCTGCGAACCCTCTCGATATCCTCCGAAGATCTCCGCGCACTAAAGGAATCATCGCTGAGCAATCCGGATGGCCTGCAGGATACTGAAGTCGCGCTGTCAACATTGTATAAGGCGATGTTAATGATTGATTCCGACCTACGGCAGAACAAGAAACGGCTGGCCGACGCTGCTGGAGATCATGGTAGCCTGGGCGTTTACGCTGACACGGAAATCGGCCAGATGCGGGCCATTCAAGAGAAGAAAGAAGAATACCGTACACATTCTCGGGTATTTTTACAGCGACTTAAGCAGTTCATGACGATCGCCTATAGAATCGCAGAGCAAAAGAGAATCGATGCTGCAGCCGGTGCTGCCCAGAAAGATCCCCTTAAGCTCAACAGTGAAGCTCGGGCATACTGTCGTCGAGAGCTGTGGCAATACCATGCCGTGATTCTCTTTGCGCGGGAAGTCAGTGGAGGCGAGTGGCAAGCCTTGATCAACCTCTATGAACAGCAAGCAAAGGCGCCTTATCAGACTGAGTTCCGGGACAACAACGTGTCTTGGAAGAAAATGGCCAGAAAATCCACGGGAGATGAGCAGGAACTCCTTTTTACCCATCAGGAGAAGGAGAAGGAGAGCGAAGGCATCACGATGGCCGCGCGCAAGCTGACGGTTCGAAGAGGCAAGACCATCCGTGCGGCAGCAGGACTTAAGCTCTCATCTGGTGATAAGCAACACGGCAAGCTTGAGCCCTGTGAAGCATTTGCAGGCACACTCCAAGAGACGCTGAGGATGATATCTGAGGAGCAGAATTTCATTGTGCATTTCTTCCACTTGAACTCGCTCTCCACCGTCGAATTCCCCGATCTTGTCGCTACAGGTGCCCCCGATGAGCGCAGGATCCCTAATTTTAGTGCTAAACTGTTGCACGACCCGGACCGGGGCATGGCAAAGAAGGTGGAACAGAGTATGGATGAATTGTTTTCATTCTGGCCTACTGATATGCAGAATCTCGTAGACTGGGCTATCCGCGCCGATCCACTGTAAGTTCCAAGCCTGTGCCAACTGATCATTGCTCGAGATGCTGATTAATGCTATCATATAGACAAGGAATTGGCATTTTGCTGGCGCTGGAGAAGGCGATCTCCGAGTTTGATGACGCCAATCAAGACTTCATAGTTCACTCACTCCAGAAACTGCATTCTCGACTCCTTGGCCTATTCAACCGCTTCGTGGATGAACAAATCCGAGGCATTGAGGAGACCAAAGTCAAGGTTAACAAGCGCAAGGGGGTCATCTCCTTCATGCGAGTGTTCCCGAACTTTGCCACCGCGGTAGAAAATCTCCTCACACAGCAGTCGCAGGATTTCTATGATATTCGGATCAGTGTCAATGAAGCTTACGATCGCATTAACCGTGCTATGTGGGAGTCACTCAAGTTCATCGCCAAGGAAGCTCCGGGTCAACCCACGGGCGCGGCGGCCACGTCCGGCGATCCGGAAGATAAAGAGATTCTCAACTACCACATTCTCCTAATTGAGAACATGAATCACTACGTGGAGGAAGTCGGTATCCGGGATCTCCTGGTCTTGGAGCGTTGGCGCGACCGGGCGCAGCAGGATATGCAAGAGCACTTGAAGTTGTATCTTGATTCGGTCATCCACCGACCCCTAGGCAAGCTGCTCGAGTTTGTGGCATCTGTTGAGAACCTGCTGGCGAGCGGTATGAGCCCCTCGGACATCGCCAGCCGACCCAGCCACTCGCGATCGGTGGCGAAGAAGGTAATGGCTGCGTACGACGCGAAGGAGGTCCGACGAGGCATCGAAGGGCTGAAAAAGCGGGTTGAGAAGCACTTCGGTGATGCGGATGATCCGGGCCTGAGCCGAAGTCTGGTATTGAAGGTGCTCCGGGAATGCGAGGGTCGTTATGGGGAAGCGTACGACCGCACCCGGCGCATCATTGACACGGTGTATGAGGGACAATTGGAGCTCGAATGGCGCAAGGAGGAGGCCGTTGCCATGTTCCAGAGGTGACAGATGGCTATTATTGAGATTTTTGAGTTTCTGCCCTTACTTGACTTTCTGTTGCTTGCTTGCGGGTGCGAATCATACAAGGGGCGCATGGGATCCGGCGGTTGCATTTTCATTTCCCAGTTCAATGTGTCTCGCTTCCATTTTTTTCTTTTTTCCCCCGGTTCTTTGTTAATAGCTACTGGCTTTCTCGAGTACCCTTGCCTGTTATTGTATTTATAGTCCGCGATCTATGAGGGTGGGAAGGGGTTTCCTGAAGAAGTACTACTGGAGAAGACTGGCGAGAACCTTTGTTTGGCGTTGTCAGCCGAGCCAAAAGGTCGTCTCCGGCGGGCTCACGCATGGTTCGACGTAAGGAATCGGCTCCTAGTGGCAGTGGTCCATGCGGAATGCGGCAACTAGTGAGTAGTTACACCAAGATACTACCGTGTTTGTTGTCGATCATCTTATCATCTTGCGAGAAAACTCCATGTAGACTAATGTCAGTGGGTGACCCCTGGTTCCGTGTTGACAGACAGCCGATCTTCGCCTGGAGCAGGCAAGGCGAGGGAACTCCAAGAAGGAACATCCAAAATTGCGGCCGCGACACGAGCCAGTATTGGATGGATTCAGGGGGGAGCAAATGGGGTCTGTGCTGGAGGCAAAAAAAGGGTGGTGGATGTGGGTTTGCCTTGCCTGTCGGTAAATCACTAGCAGGATACGGAGTAGATGAATGAGTGAAAGCAAGATTGATCAGATATGCCGCCAGTGGCAAACCTACAACCTCCGTGACACTAGATACTAACCGTTGCTCTTTTATGCATCTATCCTGCCTGAAAAAGAAAAAAAAAAAAAAAAAAAAAAAAAAAAAAAAACGCACGTCCTGTACGGCCAGTCAATAGATAATCCGTTGCGAGGGCAGCGATTGGGTTCGATCCCGATGAAGATCCATGGATGGGATGGCAGGACGAGAAGAAGTGATTAGACCAATTAGTTCCAGATCCCGTGTGACGGAGA